AGGGAGCATTATCATCGTAGCCTGCTGGACATGGTTGGAGTTGCCAGTATTGATGTGGGGATGAGGCACGCGCTTGCCACCTAAGGCACGACTTCACGACGTCACATGATCAGGGTTGGTGACGGAACGGTCCGCCTCTAAACCTCCGCAACGCAGCCGCCCGAGCAGCATCAGATTTCACGAAAGATCCAAGGAATTTGGCCTCTGCCAGAGGACGCCTCAGCTGAAACCGAGTTATTTACTATCAAGATGCCGACATTCCAGGCCAAACCTTTCCGCCCCTCTTCGGCGTCCAATACGCTACCAGCCCGCTATCGCGCTCTTCTACGGAAGCACCCATTCGCCTTATTTGGCCTGCCTTTCATTGTTACGATGGTTGCTGGGAGCTTCTTCCTTACGCCTGCGGCGGCGCTGAGATACGAGAGGCATGACCGCAAGGTGCGGCAAATGAGCAAAGAGGAGGAGCTGGGCATAGGGAAGGACCGGAGGAAGGTGGATATGAAGGAGGAGTACTACGTGAGTACATCCAGAAGAAGTGTCAGCAACATTTTCGGATTCGCGTTTGCTGATGGTCTTGATGTACAGAGACTGGCTGCGAAGGATCTCGACGACTGGGAACAGAAGCGAGTAAAGCGGCTAAAGGGCGAGCACGATGGGATTCTATGAGCATCAGAATGTTGTTTGACAGCTGGTATCTGCATTGTGTCGGTGTCGAGGCGCGTATGGTGCATGGAACTGGAGCTTGGCGTTGGTATATCGACACTCCTCGGACACTCTTTTATTCACAATGGCATCGGCTGGCTTGGAAGCGTAAAAGCATCACAGCCGCCACACTGGTACGTCTAATCCATGCCAGACGTGCGATAAATGTGTCACATTCATTATACGAATTGAGGACAGGCAAGCCGGGAATACGCCGGACGCACTGGATGCCTCGATTTCGACGAGCTATAATACCTAGCTAGTTGGAGGGTCGGGACTCACCATCTTCTAACCTTCAGAGTTCGTGAGTGGTTGCAGCCTGCGAGCAATGGGGATTGTGTTATGGGCACCATATTCTGCTTTCTATTCTTATATGCGACTGTAGTGCTCCTCATGGCTCACCAGATACCACATGCCGTGCTTTTGAATTAATACTTGGCGTTAACACATCAAGCGGCAATATCTCCGTTTTCAATTCTCGCGTCTTCTTCTGCTTCGGTTCTGGAGCTACAGCGTCCGCATTAGCCGGTGCCGCCTCGCAACAATGTGTCCTGAAGTCGACACACCTTTTTCATTCTCCTGAACATAAAACTTCCTCAGCAGCATGATGGCTTCTTCCCGGAAGATACCTCCATAGACCGGGTAGGATTTATCGACGCCTGGACTGCCGCCCACAACACACGTTAGCAACAGCTTCCTACTATCAATCTCGTCTCTACTGACTGTCATTGTCCCAGAAGCTGACGCCCTCTGGGGACAATCTGATGTTCCGAGCTGATGACCAGTCCTCGTCTGAAAACCAAAGGGTGACTTACTCGTTATGCACATTCAATACTCCCCCAGTGCCCCCAAATCTCTCATTCCAGCACCCAAAATACACAGCCCTGATGCCAAACTGCCGAAGCGCCGAAGCACACATAACGCACGGCTCCACCGTAACATACAGATCCGTCTCCTTCAAGATGCTGATGGGGTGCTCGGCCAGGATTTGAGACAAAGCTACGAATTCTGCATGCCGTGTACCCTTCAAATCTCCGGTTAGATACGTTGTGACTTGGACTGGTTGCTGGGCTGTGCCTCCTAGCTCGATGTAGGGGTGCTGGCTTACGTTTAGAGCTCTGTTCGTGTCGTTCATGCCTCTGCCGATTACGGCGCCGTTGCGGACGAAGACGCAGCCGACGGGAGTTTCGTCGTTTGCGAGGGCCAGCTCTGCCTTGTGGAATCAACATGCGCATGAGATGGTCCAGAACTACTATTTAAAATGGGCGGAAGGATTGATACATCATGAAATAAACGGTCAGATTTTGACCGCGTTGACTAGCTAGAACGATAAAATTTGGATAACGGAGACAGAGAGTCTTTAATGAAGAAACATCTGGAGCCACGCGGAAACACAACAGATGTTACTTACCATTCGAATAGCTTCCCGCATAAAGCGCTCGTGATACTCTCTGTTGTCCAATTGAGCAGAGGTCGAGGTTTGTAACACAGGCCGAGCCTGCAACATCCTGAACAGATTCTGCAGAACAATCGGCCGTAGCAACAGCCGGAGCTCTCTTTTCAACAAAACTTATGAATCTTCCAGAGACCGGTTGGAATGTTCAGAACGGGTTTTCGCTTTTGCTCCAGACTTGAGATCTGGGTTCGCCTTAGGTTGGCCTGATCAAGGTTCCGGGGACGCGTCCCAAAAGGGCAACTATGAGGGTTTTCCGTAGAACAACGCAAACGAGGAGAGGCCCCAAAGATGTTCAGACCATGTTCCAAACATATTGGCATGTCAGCACGAAAAACAGTCCCGACGTGAGTGTGACGAGGGACTTCGTAGGATGCACGGTGAGCCTTCCAGGGTTGGTGTTCTCATGCAACTTTCTGTATACTCATAGTGCGTTAACCGCTTCACGGTACTCTTCTACTAGAACGCGCCATGCTCGATTGATGGAAGCCTTTACAAGATTCGCAAGCGCCCATCAAAGTGCTACAGTACGAACAGGTTCTAGTTACCATTCAAGCTACGTAAGGTTAGGCCCATTACTGGTGCCACATCTATTCCTCCTGCCTCGGAGCACTGATGGCACCCTTGACCCGACTATCCAGAAATCTCTCCAACTTCCCAAAGTTCTCGAAAGAGCGGTCTCCCTTGCCCTTCGCGGCGCCAGACTCCCCTACAGCACTGATCCTGAACTCACTCCCAAAACTCGGGGGCCCCAGATACGTACGTAGCGTGATCTTGAAGTTCTGCTCCGGCACACGTAACGTCGCTTCCGTCTCGAGCGGGCCCGTAATACTACCAACAACAGCATCCGCGGTTGATTGCGCTTCCGATTCCATAGCGGCAAGGTTAGGACCGCCTGCCCGAAGGGTGAATGACGCCTCGGCGCCCGCCTCTTTACGCGCTGTACAGGTCGTCTTGAGATACTCCCGCAACAGACCGACATCCCTCCAGTGTTGCAGCACTGTTAACAACGGACGCAGTATTGCCGTTACGGGCGGCTTGCGCTCTTTATCGGTCATCGGGGGCGGGACCTGTGAGCGGAGGTGCAGCCGCTGGCGGTAGCCGTGCGCGAGGAGTACGCGGAGCGCGAGTGCGACTCGCTCGGCAAAGGCGTCCTGGGTGTGGCCGTCGTAGTCATCGAGCGTCTCATCCAGGTAGACCTTGTCTATCAGGATATGTTCTGTTACTTCCTTGGAGCCGTCGGGTATTGTGTTACTCGCTTTCGGCGACTTGGCGGGTACATTTATGACTCCGTCTCGAGTCTCGATGTAGTAGCCATGCAGCTGCCGCGCCTCTAAGATCATTTCCTGGTAGAGCTCTTGTTCAAACAGAGTGTCGCGAGCTCTGTGGACGAGCTCCTCGACCGGGGCTTGTGCCTTTGTATCTATCGCAGCGAGCCGCGAGGAGCCGATGATCTTGTCCTGGTGGCGTATGCGGACGCGAATGGCCTCGGGACGCTGTGTGAGAGCTTCGTCGAGGATGATGTCGCCTTCATCGTTGCTACGCAAAGCCGAGAAGCCGCGGCTTTTGAAGCGAGGCGCGGCTAGAAACATATAGTTAGGCTGCATATCACCACCATGAAAGCTCCGAGCGTGCTTGACATACCATCTACGCATCCAATCTGCACACCCAAAACGTTCTTCTGCTGGGGAACCCGACGTATAGCCCACCCTTCTCGGCTGAGCGAAAGCACCTGCTCCCAATACTTCGTCTCCTTCTTGACCTCCTTTTCGAGCCTTGCTGCACCCACGAGCAGTGAGTCAGCCGCCGCGTTGAGACTCTGCATCTTCCAGCCCTTGGTCACGACGTCTTCGTTCCGCAGCTCTGCATTCGTACGCTGTGTGGGTGGCCACTTCTCGTAGTGTATGGTGCCAGGCGGAACGAGGCTTTTGAGGGCTGGCGACATGGACTGGGTGCCCTGCGCGGGCGCATCTTTGGAGAGCAGGAGCGAAATCATATCGAGGGCCATGGCGGCTTCCTGGTAAGCCTGGCTGCGCTTGCGTCAGTGCAGCTCGTCCGGACGGAAGCAGCAGCGGAAGCAGCATACCCTACATAGCGGATCAACTCCAGCCGCGCGGCTGCCAGTCCTTCGCGCGTGTGCACCTTGTCCTCCTCCTCTTCCTTGTCGTTCTCCTCGGTCGTCTCCACCAATCCGGCTTCTTGCGCCTCAATCTCCCGGCGCAGGCCCTCTTCGGTCACACTGCGGAAGTGGCCACGCTCAGCATTGATGCGCCAGATCTGCTCGGCGAGGGTATGGGCGCCGTTATTCTCTGCAATCGCTGGTCGCAGCGAGAGCTGGATTGTTGAGGACTCGGTGGTGTTCATTTAGGGGATAGGTGGGGATATTCGTAGCTGTATTGGGTTGTACTAAACCATATATCATCCAAGAGGGCGCGATACCAGCCAGCAAGTGCTGTGGGATATCAGGTGTAGCTTGCGCTCTGTAAGCATTCGATATGGTGAAGCTTGTAGGCTATGGACAGCTGCCCCGCAAGGATTAGGTTTCCCTGCAGGAACGCGACTGGGTTGGTTTTAGCGTATGGCGGCTCTTCCCGACATCGATAGCTTAACGCATAACAGCTTAGCGCATGACAGCCCACCCTCGCATGTGACACAAACACTGCCGTCGCTGTTCCTCCTCTCTTCTCTACCAAATTGCCCGCCATGACAACCAGATACAGAGTCGAGTGTATGGTCATTCCTTTCGCCTTGCGTCAGTACAGCTTCAGAAGAACTGACAGAACCTACAGATGCACTGAAGGTGCGTTTCATCCAACTCCCCTTTCCACCTGGAGCTGCTGACAAGGCTGGTAGACACATCGCCGTGATCAACTGGTATGCCCCTTGGTAACCCCTGATAGATGCTCCAGACGCTGATTCTTCTGCAGATAGAATGGGTCAAAGGCCTGCTAGCTGTGCCCTTCGTGCTGCACTCGCAGCCGACGGCGGTATTCGAGCCCCGGCGCGAGTCCGTCGACCAGATGGCAGCTGGGGCCCACCGCCGCTACGCAGAGATCATGCGAGATGTTGAGGAGCTCATCAACGACCACAGTCAGTTTCCATCCTCCCAACGGGGCCTCACCCTACAAACCATCCCTGACTCCAGACAGTCGCCCACCAAAAAGCCGGCACCCATGCGCACTCCAAACTGAAGCTCCTCGTCCCCTCCGTCGGCATATTCTTCACGCCCCTCCCCCTCCACGACGCCTTCATATACCAAGATTCGCGCCGCTTCATCAGCTACCGCCGCTTCGTGCCCCCCTCCTTCAACGACATCCGCCTGATCCTCAACACCGCGCAAGTCATGTCGCTCGTACGCAGCGGCCCGCTCGAGCTCGTGACCTTTGACGGCGATGTCACGCTGTATGACGACGGGGAAAGCCTCACGGCGGACAACGTCGTCATACCACGGATACTGCGGCTGATGCGCGCGGGGACGAAGGTCGGGATCGTGACCGCGGCGGGGTATACGGACGGCAAGAAGTATTATGGACGGTTGCACGGATTGCTGGATGCGGTCCATGCGTCGGACTTGCCGCTGGCGCTGAAGCAGAATCTGGTCGTGCTTGGGGGCGAGAGTAACTACCTCTTCAAGTTCAACAGGGACCATCCGGATCTGCTGGAGTTTGTGCCGCGCGAGGAGTGGGTGCTGCCGGAGATGGCGCTGTGGCTTGAGCAGGATATTGATGCGCTGTTGGATGTGGCGGAGGTGGCGCTGAAGGATTGCATCAAGAACATGCGGCTGCAGGCGCAGGTGCTGCGGAAGGAGCGCGCGGTGGGGATCGTGCCGGCTGTGGGGAGCAAGCTTGCGAGGGAGCAGTTGGAGGAGACAGTGTTGGTGGCGCAGAAGATACTGGTACAGCTATTTCTCTCTCAATCTACCAAGCTTGACAGAACTAACGTCCCGCTCAGGAGATGTCAGAAGTCGGCCGCCGCCTCCCCTTCTGCGCCTTCAACGGTACTGCCCCTTCCTTCTGTTTCCTATCCCTCGCTCCGTTATGAAGCCGCACTAACACTTCCAGGCGGCAACGACGTCTTCATCGACATCGGCGACAAGTCCTGGGGCGTGCTCGCCTGCCAGCGCTTCTTCGGCGGCATCGAGGGCAGCAAGACCCTGCACGTCGGCGACCAGTTCCTGTCTGCCGGCGCCAACGACTTCAAGGCTCGCTTGGCGGCTACGACGGCTTGGATCGCGAATCCGACGGAGACGATTCAGCTGCTGGATGAGCTGGCGGAGTTGGATGAGGTTGTGCAGAGAAAGATTCAATAGGTGCGACTATTGGACGGGCTATGTTCGCTGTGTTTCTGATACCACTCTGAGCTTTTGACTAGTACATGCGGTGTTAGATAGTGTTGATAGGTACTTTTCCGACAGTAAAACCTCGATTGTTTTTTCAGTGTGTTCCCGATCCGGCCACAATATCATAGCTGTTGCAAAGCAGGGTTCAACATAATCAAAAGGCGAACAAAACGAGGACGAGTTTCTATTTTAGCCCTCAAGCTACCTACGTTTTCCCAAAAACAAAAACCCCCTTCCCTTTCCTGAACCCTTCCAACGTCCCCCTAACCGCCTCCACAAGCGTCTCCTGCTTCGTCTCCCACTCCCACTCGACCTTCTGCCACGGCACATCCCTAAACTTCCCCTCCCGCGTCAACTGCAGCACATGCTCGACCGTCCTCTTCTTCTCCTCGGGATTCCGCTCGCTCCACCGACTCACCCAAAACCCATCGAAGTGTATATCCTTGAAGATGAGCAAGCTGGCCGGCACCTCCGTCGGCTGCTTCGCCATCGCGCCGTACGTGACGAGATGGCCGCCTTCGGATAGCGTCTTTGCGAGGGAGGTGGCTGCTTTGCCGCCTACGCAGTTGAGGCCCAGCTTGACCTCTTCTCGGCCGCCGTGCGTGACTTCTTTCACCCGGTCCCGGAACTCGCGGCTCTGGAGCTCCTCGTCCGTGACCACGACATCTGCGCCCAGCTCCTTTAGCTCGGTTTTTAGGTCTTCGACGCCCTGTGGCCGCTGCCGTATCACGTTGATGCTCTTATACCCCCATAGCCGCCCCAGCTGTATCGCGGCCCGTCCGACGCCGGAATTCGCCCCGTTCTGGATGAACCAGTCGCCTTCTTTCAGGGCTGCAAAGTCGCGCAGCATGCGGTACGCGGTGCAAGGATTGACGCTAACCGTCCCGACCTGCACGGGCGAGAGGCCGGACTTGTCGTCGATCTTGAGGAGGTTGCTCTCGTCGCATTGCGCGTGTGTGCGCCATGTCCCGAAGCCAGGCGTCTTCTGTATCACCCAGTCGCCCCTTTGGACGCTCTTGACGCCGCTGCCGACCGCGATGACTTCTGCGACGCCTTCGTTTCCGGCGACGGCGACGGGGTCGGATGTCCCCAGGCTGGTTGTGAAGGTCGGTTTGGAGGGGTATACGCCTTGGATTTGGTTTATGTCGGCGGGATTGATGGGGGAGGCGAGGAAGCGCAGGGTGAGGTTTTTGGAGTGCGCGGGGCTGATGGAGTGGGTGTGCAGGCTGAGGGCGTCGGCGGGCTCGCCGTATTTGCGGAAGATGAGCGCGCGGGCTTGCTCGTAGCCGTAGGCGGATATGAGGCGGGTTTGTGTGCAGGTGGTGAGGTTGGTGGATGAGGAGGTGAGGAGAGGCCTGGCGGCGGACTTTGCTATTCGTGTTGGTGCCATTGGTGTGGTTTTGTGTTGCTGGTGGCAGAGGCACCTTTTGATGAAGCTCAAGCTCCGAGGGAGAATGCGCGATGACGTTGCGGGGATGCCGAGGTGGTGCCGGATCCGATGGTGTTTCATGCCTCAAAGCTTTTACAACGACAAGATGGATGAAGCTTACGGCGTCTCCCGACGCCATATTCATCACAAAATTCCACCATCATCAAACTACTGCAGCCAGGGCTGCTCTAGAAACCGAGCAGCGGCATGGCTTCTCCGATTTCCTATCATCATGTCAGATCTTGAGTCTCGACTTTTCTGAGCAATGCTTACAATTTACATAGTCTTTCTTCTCAGCTTTTCATAGTACTCCTTAGTCTGCGCCTCTATGTCGAGGACTTCATACGGCTCTTCCTGAGCCCAGATGGCCGAGGTGGGGCGACAGAAAGCATTCTTGCTAGTTGGTGCTGCAGTGGGCCTGCTGCTGAACCGGCGTGTAAGGCACTTGCCTAGCTTCTTGAAGATGTTTGCCATCTTTGATTGTCTAACGTGCTTGGTCTTGCGATATTGATGAAGATTTTGAGTTGTGATGATGGTGTATGTATAGTGCTTTGAGATACTACCGCGTAGTGTACTTGAAAGTGCAGCTAAGGGAAAGCAGATTTCGGGAGCGCGGTGCAGCATTCTTAAAGGCGTAGGTACAGCTTCCAGAACATTTCGCATCACTCGTGTCTGAGCGGATTGATCCAAATTTTGTTGTTTGGTTATTGTACTTTTTTGAAAAGTGGTTCGGAACTTAGCGACCCACGGTTGTAGGACCCCACAACGTTGACGATAGACGTTACCTCTCCCAGCCACGATGCAGACACCTTTTCCGTAACAAGATGGTTCTGTTCTTCACGTCGCGATTTGAGCCGCTATAGGATAGTGATAACTGAAGCATATTAAGAAGCCCTACTTCACAGGGTTGCAGCGATTTGAATGAAAAGATTGGTATTATGGCATCCCAGCGAGGACGTTTTGGTGCCACTTACCAGCTGTGACTCACCTTTGGCGGCCACTAGTACCATGGAAGTGATCAATCCAGAAGTACATGTGATGCGACCGCGGAACCGCATCGACGATCGCAAAGAAAAGCTGCGCCGTTCGGATGCTCTTGCGGCAGGGAATGCACGGCGCAGGCAAAGATGATGGAAACGAGCATTAAAATTGCATCAGCATCTAGTGACAATACGCAGGAGCGCTTTACAAAACGGGTTGTAATGCTATTGCAATTAATGTACGAATAGCTGACATGAAAGTTCCAAGTGAAAGCAGAGACTTGTAGCACAACGTTAGATTGGTGTGTTCTTATAGAGCAATCCCCATACTCGACCATACAGGCTTCCAGTTACGCAGCTAAGTAAAGGTATGTATGAGCTACCTCTACCGCCACGAGTAACGCCCAACTGCCTGCCCGCGTGATGGATCGAGAGAGGACTTAGGTAAGACATGAGGATCGTAAAGGATGTGCAATATAGAAAGCAAGCTACGTCTCTGTATGCTCGTCAATATGACATTAGGGGGTATGTGCGAGTTTCCAGCCATGCCAGCTAAGCCGCGTTCCCCGTGCCGATCCAATCATGTGCCAGGTCCTTGTGCTCCAGGACTATCGGCTGGCTGCAAGCGCTCAACGCCGCCATACTAGTAGCAGGGCTATGAACACAGGCTCTCCGCGTGTTTAGTCGTTGTTGTGTACGATTTGTTCAAGAATAGGCCTTCTTGGCCAGCCATCAACGCACAGCACCAGATCACCCAATATTCTTAAACATGTCCTCCCCACCCAAACTCCCTCCCGTCTCCAAACTCCCCAGCTCCGGCAATCTCGGCGGCGATGGCTCACTCCTAATCGGACTCGAAGTATACGCACCGAGCTGCGGCGAGCTGTTGAAGCTATCCACCCGTTTGTCTTCCTGCGCAACGATGTCCGCCTCGTCCACACGGCCGAAGAAACCACTGCGTCTCCTGCCCGAGTTGAACCAGCTCCCGCTCTTCCGCCTGGCTATGCTCGGGCGGCTGACAACGCTGCTTGCGGTGGGAGATTCGGACGGTGATTCGCCGCTTGGTGTGCGTGGAGAGGGCACGGAGTCCGTGGAGTTGTTGTGGCTGTTCATGCGGAGGCGCTGGAGGCTGAGGAACTTGCGGACTGAGGACGGGCGCTTCATCTCTGACCTGCTGTTGCTGTTGCTAGTTGCGTCCGTCGATATCGTTGCCGCTGGGCTGAGGTAGCCGGGCATATTGGAGGGAGAGATGGGCGAGGGAGCTCGATAGGGCTTTGGGCTCGCCGACGGGCTTCGGTCAATCGGTGATGTGCGTGCGCGATTGACTGGAGGTGTTGTTGGGTAGGCGCCGGGGATGTGAAAAGAAGAAGGAGAGGTAGGGTGTGAGGATAGCGGACCGCCGCCAGGCGTTGGCGGGCGTGGGATTATGGGCGAGGCTGGCGGTGAAGGGATGTTGGTGCCTGCTGTGAGGGAGAAGTCGATTGGCTTGAGATCAAGGAGTGTGAATCTGGGTGACATGTTGTTGATGATAGAAGGTGCTCGAGTCGTCAGGGGAAGCTGTCAATGGACGTCGTAGGAAGAAGAATGGAGTGAGCGTTACTTCCTGTCAGATTGTGGGGCGATTGACGAGGGCAAAGAGGCAATTGAGCGCACGACAGGTGAAACAGTAGTCGCAGGACGTCTGCAGATAAAGAGTGGCACAGAAGAGAGCCCCTGCGATAGGGAGTGACGCTGTTGTGGTTCACAGGATGCATGCACACGGCCCGTTTGCTGACTGGGAGCGAAAATAGCCGTTTCTACAACGTGTATCCTGGCTCCCTGGCAGGAGGCGCTTGCGGGGGGAGCGCCACAAGGGCAAAACAGCCAGAGGGCCGGGGCAAGAACTGGCGGGAGTTCGCGACTCTAGCGCGTCGAGGGGCGGCTTGGGCCCTGCCCAGGCGAGATTGTGGCAGCGCCACCTACACAGCTGCCGTTCCCAGCCTTTTACCGCGGGATGCCGTGTCGCGTCGTCTAGGTGCGAATGCATAAGCCGACTAAACAGTATCTCCGGCTTATGTATAAAGCTGGAAAGACTCTCCGGGCGCTTTATACGAGCCTCTCTTGCTCGCTTGACAGAACGAACTTGGTAGCGTGCAGGCAAATGATCTTCGCGTCATGGAAACCTCTCATAGACAATTCATGTCGCTGCCCGTGGGTTATAGTACCGTCCCACCGCTTCAATCTGAATATGATACCCTCACGCAGGCTTCGGGAGGAGAGCCAGAACCGATCCGTTCGCAAAGAGGGAAAGTAAAAAGAAGAGAGACAACCGCCACCGTGTTTTCACCTACACCACGGGATGCAAGTTCCTCCGCCCGCTCAACGTGTCGACAATGCCCTTCAGTTCCCTCCAGAACTCATCCTTCGGCCTCCGATTCGCCCAATCCGTGCCTCTCCTCTCAACTTCCTCCATAGGACTAAATCTGACCTTCGCCCCAACGACGCCAATAACCGTCGTGCTCATCGGATCGTCCGCGATCTCGTTCTTGCCCATCTCCGCGAAGGTCTCCAGATGCTGCAGACTCTTGATGCCGAACCTTGTGGCCCTGATACGATCCATGGGCGACGGGCGGTTGCCCTGCTGGAAGTGGCCCGGGATGGCGGGCTTGCACTCGAAGCGGCCCTTTGCCTCCTCGGCGATCATGCCCGCGATGACCTCGGTCGTGTAGATCTTCGACGCCTTCTCGTTGCGCAGGATGATCTTGCCCGCGCGGTTCTGACCCCGGTCTTTTGCGAAGGACTCGCGGAGGTAGTCGATGTCGCGGTCGAGCATCTTGATGTTGATGCCTTCTTCGGGCGTGTAGACCGCGACTGCGCCGATAGACAAGCCTGTGATGGTGGCGACGTAGCCGGATGCGCCGCCCTGAGTCTCGACGACGAAGGCGCAGCGCCGAGACGACGAGGCGGATTGACGTAGCACGTCGCAGTACTCGATCAGCGAGTTGAGGCACGTGTCGCTGCCAAGCGAGTACTCGGTCCCTGGGACATTGTTGCTGACGGTCGCGGGAAGGATAACCATGGGGATCTTGAAGGAGCTGTAGTACGCTCTCGCTTTGCGGAGCTCGCTGACTGATCTGAAGGCCTCGAAGCCGCCAACGATGAACAGCCCCTGGATGTTGTACTTAGTGAAGCACATCGCGGTCGTCTCGATGTCTTCGGAGGGTAGGCCGCGGTTCGTACCGATCTCCGATCCGCCCTCGCTCGCCCAGGCCTCAGCGTCTAGCCAGGAGACATCCCGCACTGCACCAATAGGCTGGTCGTCGTGGTGCCTGCACAGCCCGGGGAAGCCGTTATGGATCATGACTGGAGTGTGTCCTCTGGCGAAACAGTATGCGACAGCGGCGCGGGTTGCAGGATTCATGCCTGCAGCAGGGGCTCCGACGTCTGGCGCGAAGTCAGACATGGCAGGAGAAATTTGGTGAGCTGACAGTTACTTACGCATGATGCCTATGCGCATCCTCTTCTCCGGGGGGAGCATCATCTGAGGCTGGACGGTAGCGGTTGTGATCTTGAACGCCTCAAAGTACTCAGTAAACTCAGCATCCCGTAGGCTCATAGCGCGAGCAAAGTCCTTCGCTTCTATGGCCTTCGCGACTTCTTGGGTCTGCTTGACTGCCTCCAGCAGAGGTTTGCGAACGATCTTGTTCTCGACGATGGAGATGACGGGGCTTGGGGTTGACGGCGTGGCTTCTAGAACGGCTTTTACAGCTTCTGCGCCCTGCAAGGTAGCCAGCATGCGGTCGTACGCGCATGGCGAGCCTCCGCGCTGTGTGTGGCCGAGCGTGGTGATTCTGGTATCAAGGTGGAGTTTGTTCGTAAGGAGGTCTTTGATCACGGTGCATGGAATCTTTTTTAGGTTCGTGTCAATGGCTCCTTCTGCCACTATCACGATTGTCTTCCGCTTGCCTAGGTCTCGGTGCTTGAGTGTGTTAGCTTGATGTGTCATCGAGGTGGGTAAGAATCCGTACCTTCTTGATAACTTTGCACATCTCCTCCTCCCAGTTCCCACTGGGGGGGTTCTCCGGGATGACCACAAAGTCAGCGCCGCAGCTGATGCCAGCCATGAGGGCCAGCCAGCCGCAATGCCTGCCCATGACTTCGACCACAAAAGCTCTCTGATGTGACTCGGCCGTGGCATCTATCCAATCGACGGACTCGCAAATACGATCGAGGGATGAGTAACAGCCAATCGTCGCGTCCGTCATGGCCATGTCATTGTCTATCGAGCCGACCATACCGACAATGTTGAGGTGCTTGAACGGCTCGACTTGCTCCGCGGTAAGCTCCTTCTTCTCGACTAACTCGTCCATCAAGCTGGGCCATTCTGACCTGAAGAGGTCCGCGCCAGTCAAGCTGCCGTCTCCTCCGCAGACAATCAGAGCGTCGATTCCCTTGACCACCATGTTCTTCGCTGCCTTTAACCGTCCCCAGCGCTCTTTGAAGGACATGCAGCGTGCCGTGCCAATCATGGTACCGCCTTCGGAGAGGAAGCCTCGAACATCATCCCACTTCATCTCCCTGATCATGTCTCCGCCTTGGACAAGCCCTTCGTAGCCTTCGTAGACGGCGTAGGCCTCGCAGCCCTGGGCGATGGACATCCGCACGACGGCGCGTACGGCTCCGTTCATACCTGGGGCATCGCCACCGCTAGTCATCACCGCGATACGGCGCTTTTTGCCCTCGAGGGGCGGCGGCGGCGCGTCTGGAGACATTGTTTGTATTCTGGGAGCTTGTTTGGTTGTTGGAGGGGTAGCAGAGTGAGAGGAGTCAAGTAAAGCTCCAAGGTTCGTGCAGGACGCTCAAGCCCAAAGATACTTGGGTTTTGGAACTGGTTTGTATGTGAGAATAGGTACATGAAGCTGTAGAGAGCAGGCGGGATAGATATTTGTTCCTGACAAGCGGAAAAGCAAGGTGGGGCAGCGGTGGCCTGAGCAGCTGGAGTCACAGCTCTCCCAAGCTGGAGCGGGAAGCGCACAGGCTTTCGCCACCGACGCGGCTCGATAAGATACCGTAGATACATAGCCTTTAAGTGGGGGCTAGCTGAGATTAGGTGGTCCCTGTTGTACCCGTACATACGAGCAGAGGAACCACGCATCTACGGAAGAGATGCTGGTGTCAGATGCAATATCAACAGAGTGTCTACTGCGTCGGCACCGTCGACCCTGTTTTCCACTTCGCAGATCACTTATGCACAGTTCCCTATTCCGAGGAGTCATAGGGGAACTCAGCCATATATATCGGTCGAAAAGCGGACGACTTCAAGGGCTCAAGCGATATTCAATATTCAATCGTAGAGACTACGGTGATGTGCAAAGCTTAGCTTCTGAAGGTCTGGCAACACTATAGTAGGGCTATCCACCTCAACTGACTGGTGACCCAGAAGTGCAACTTTCGACTCGCCGGTATCCAGCATATCGAACTCTGAATTTGGAGGCCTGACGAATGTACACTCCGGATGGAAAAAGATAGAGCATTCCTCTATGGATATCCGACCACTTGCTCGATCAATTGGCCCGTCTGTAAGTCACCTGGTATCCTCGTTCGAGCACAGGAAGAGCTGTGGTGTATCTCATCGATGTATATTACAACGTATACCCCTTGTTGAACGCTAGGATACCGCATGCTTGCTACATCGAGCCGTGCAGATTCGCCTAAACCGTGAGTTGCAACAGAAGCCGTTAGTACGGATTATCAGCCAGCCTGCCCTGGAGAGTCGAAGGATTTAGCTCCGCTGGAGAGAATCACATTTCAGGTTTCGAAGATTGAAACCTGAGGATGTTTACCGGAGGCTAGCCGCCCGTTACCCATTGTTCCATTACTTGGCTATGTACTGGGTCAGACACTTCTCGTCGTGCGACGCGATTGCTCCAGACGCCCTCCGGAAAGCCGTCATGAGGTTGACAGAAAGGAACAGCCCACGGCTGAAGAACTGGCTGCGTTACTCCTGGCACGAGAACAGCATGAACATTCCGTAACCTCCAAGGTTTCAGCCCCCTCACCACGGCTTGCTTCTTCAATCATCCAGTCCTTCTGCGATCTCTGCTGGAGAACTGCAGGCCTCAGTACGAGAGGGACATAGAGGCTGGCCTATTCTGGGCTGCCAAGGACGGGCAAAAACGAAGTCATTGAAGTCCTCCTGCGAACCGAGCTAAACCCAAACTTGATCGCTGGCATGACTCCCCGAGTATCGCCGCTCAACTTGACCATGCCGACGTCGTGAGGCTCCTGATCGCAGACGAGCGCGTCAGTGTAGGCCTCGGGGGATGAGGAGGCCGATCTCCCTTGTCTTTGGCCGCCGGTACCGGTTCGCTGGATGTGGTCAACCAATTACTGAGGCATTGCAAGATTAAAGCGGACAGTCAGGACGTAAGTCACTGGACGCCTCTTTGCTAGGCTGTTGGAGGCAACCACCCCGATGTGGTGTTGATGCTGGTCGAAGATCACCAAGTCAACGTCGCTCACGTTGACAAAGCTGGTCGCTCCGCCTTCTCCTGGGCAGCAAGAGACGGGTATGAGGAGACAGTTCGGTGTTTCTTAGCTGTGTCCTCCCTGGACATCAACCTTAGTGACAACCGCGGGCGGACAGCACTTTTCTGGGCCGCTGGAAACGGACATGCCAACATCGTGAAGCTTCTGGCCAACGGGAAGCGTGCTAACATGAGCATTAAGGACGTGGACGGACGCAACGTGATGTGCTGGGCCTGCGCTGGAGGCCATAAGATGGTTCTGGACAGCCTGCTTGGATCTCACCGCAACCCAGCATCCAGCTATGTAAGTCTAGGCTAAAGAAGGAATTCGATAGCCCACTTGCGCGTCCACACGGCCGATCCTACGCCCTCGGTCTTCAAACAAGGCGCTCCCGACACGGTTAGAGTCGTTCCTGGAGAAGGATGGACTGATCTCAGAAAAGCCCAAAGACATTCTTGCGCGCTGTGACGTCCCTGTTTGAACTTGGGAGATCTGGGAGATAGACTGCTCGCACTCATCTTTGAAAAGGCGTTGGTCAAGCGCTTGTTGTTGCTCTCGCGTCTCGATGAAATGTGGTCTTGAAAATCCCAGATTTGTCCTAACCAGTGATACGCTGCATTTTCTTGCAGCTCGCCGTATCGCGTGCTGTACCCTCCTTCCTGTCCGAGCGTTGGTACCAGTTACACTCGAACGTATGGCGCACTTCGACCCACGCCTCAGCCCAGATCATCAGCCAAACCGTCCAGAAACCGATCCGCCTGCACCTTCCCACGCTTTTCCTTAATCGCCCTCCTCTTCTCCTCAATCTCCCTCCTCCTCTCCTCCTTCCTCCTATCCCTCTCCTCCCTCGCCCTCTCCGTCTCCGCCCGCTCCCTCTCCAGCGCCTCCATTTCCCTCGCCCTCGTCTCCGCATCCGCCGAGAACTGATAAAACCCCGTCCCCTTCGTCCTGATCTCCTTGCTGCCATCAAAATGCTCATCCGGCGGCGGCGTCGCCTCCTTGTCCCGCTTAGCCGCCAGCGCAGCCATCTGCTCCGCGATCGTGACGTCCGGATTGAACGCCGCGGCCTGGACCGTGTCGCCATAGATGATGTTGCTCGGTGCGGCAGGGCGCGCGGTGAAGCGGTCCGGCTCATCCGCCGCGGCGGCCTTCTTGCGGCGTTCCTCGCGCGCGGCTTCGGCTTTGGTGCCGCGTCGCGTGCGCCCGAACTCGTCTGTGTACTCGACCACCTCGTTCTCCGCCTCGCTGTCCTCGTCGCCAGACGACGTCTCGGCGTCCGACCCTGCCCCTCGCTCCTGCTGCTCCGCCCACTTGCGGTCAAAGTCCACGGCGTATTTCTCGTCCACGTCCTCCACGTCTCCGCGCTTCATGGCGGCGTATAGGCGCGCCTTTTCCTCCATCTTCCGCTTTGAGCGGTGGTAGGTCGCGGCATCGAGGGCGTCGGAGCTGGTGCTGTGTTTCTGCTCGAAGGAGGCGTCATCTATGTCTTTGAGGGCGCGCTTGCGGCTGCCTTTGTTGTGGGTTGCGAAGATGTCGCCTTTCTTGGGGCGGGCACGGCCGGTGGAGGAGCGGTTGGTGGTGCTGGTGCTGGAGGCGATGAGGGTCGAGAGCTGGGAGGTGAAGGCTAGGGTTGTGGAGGAGGAGATCTCTCGGCCGGAGGCTTTCTTTGGGCGGGGGATGCCGTAGAGGGAGGAGTCCTTGGTGGTCATGGTTGCGATTAAGATGTGCAAGCAGGAGCTCGGTGATGGTGCACGAATGATGCGGCCGGCCAGAGCTCCGATTTTCGGCTGACCCTTGATGCATGGCATGGACAAAATGTCAACCCCACCATCCCTACCACGCGGGAGAAAACAGAGAGTTTAGTCTTTGGATTTGTTGACTGAATCCGGGTTAAAGAAGTAGTATACAGACATCTAGCTCAAAACTACTCCATTCACAGCAGTTCAATTAACATAAAGGCCTTCCTTCATCGCCCACCATGCCCGCACCCCGCCAGGTCTGCATAGCCGTCATAGGTGAGCCATCACCCTATAATACCCATTTCGCAACCCATCTGACAAGAGGTCCCAGGCGTCGGCGGCGTAGGACGCTGCTTCCTCACCCAGCTCCAAGACCTCAGCGCCCGCCTCTCCCAATCTCGCCTCAACCCCATCTACCTCTCCCTGATCCTCGTCTCCCGCAGCTCCAAGCTCCTGCATTCGCCCTCCTACAAGCCCATCAACCTCGCAACGTGGGAAGACGACCTCAACGCCTCCACTGTCTCCGTCTTGCCGCCCTCCGAAATCGCCAGCTACCTCGAAAACGCCCCCGCGAGAGTCGTGCTGGTGGACAATACCAGCAACCAGGACGTCGCGAACGCGTACCCCTTGTTCCTGAAGAAAGGAATCAGCGTTGTGACGCCGAACAAGAAAGCCTTCTCCGACTCCTTCCAGCTCTGGAAAGACATCTTCGATGCCGCGCTGAATGGCCAGGGCAGCGGCGGCTACGTCTTCCACGAATCGAGCGTCGGCGCTGGCCTGCCCGTCATATCTACGCTGAAAGAGCTGGTAGAGACTGGCGACGAGGTGCGGAAGATCGAAGGTGTCTTCTCGGGGACGATGTCCTTCCTCTTCAACAGCTTCATGCCCGTTGGCGGCGGCGGGGGTTCCTTTTCCGCGGAGGTGAAAAAGGCGAAGGAGTTGGGGTATACAGAGCCGGACCCCCGCGATGATCTGAATGGCCTGGATGTTGCGAGGAAGCTGACAATTCTGGCGAGGTTGGCGGGGCTGGAGGTCGAGTCGCCGACGAGCTTCCCGGTGCAGAGTCTCATCCCTAAGGAGCTGGAAAGCTGCAGCAGCGGTGATGAGTTCTTAGCCCGGTTAGGCGAGTTCGATGATGATATGGAGAAGCTGAAGAAGGAGGCTGCGGACGAGGGCAAAGTCGTGAGATTTGTTGGCAGCATTGATGTCGCGAAGAACGATGTTAAGGTGGGCTTGGAGAAGTTTGATGTTTCGCATCCTATTGCTGCGTTGAAAGGCAGTGATAACATCATCAGCTTCTACACGAAGCGGTATGGTGATAATCCGTTGATCATTCAGGGTGCCGGTGCTGGAGGCGAAGTCACCGCTATGGGCGTAACGGGAGACCTTGTAAAGGTTATTAGACTCCTGAGTTAGGCGTACAAAAGCAACTATTGAGTGATAGTAGAGCTTTGAAGGCGTGCGATGTTCCAAGACTTTAGTGAACGGTTGATCTCCCGGACCGAGGTGATATGATGCGCCATGGGACTACATAGACATTGACCAGCACCTAGGCTATAAAAAAACAAAGATAATGGATATACGCGGCAATGAGCCTCCGAACGTCGTGACGCAGGACCCTTGCATTTCTACTTCTTCGCCTTCCCAGCTTCGTAGTTGATGTCCAACTGCCAAAGGCTATCCCACGCCCCAGCCCTCGCCTTCGCCGGCTGTCTCGATGGAGAAACGGGCCCTTCAGCGGCGGTCCTGGAAAGCGAAGCCGCAGCAAATTTGAACGGAGAAGCATCTACGGACTTCGTAGGCGAGGCGGCGTTTGATCTTGTATGCGGCACTCCGGCGCGTGCTTTCTACTCGCTCGTCAGCCGCCTTTTTTTGCTTCACGGTCCCCAGAGCAAATCTTTTCTGACCTCATCGTTCGGGTTGTTCTCCGTGTCAACGCCTAAGCCCATGGCAGGCATATGGCTCTCCTCACGCAGTCGGCTGGGCCCAGCATTCGCAGGAGGTAGCTTAGATGCCTCTAGTGCGTCCGCGAGTAGCGCTTCCGAAGAGTCTGCCTTGGTGATGGACGGTGAGCGCAGACTTGCGCTCTTCTTAGAGTTCCCGCTGCTGCGTCTGCTCTCGAGGCTTTTGTTGAGGGTCTTACTAGCATCTGGCAATTTGCTCTTCGCTTTCTCCTCAGGCCCGATTTTGCCTCTGGCGTCTACGCGGGTCACGCTGGCGATTGAGCTTTTGCCGAGACCTGGGGTCGTAGGCGCGCCGCCTTTTTCTTCCGCGGCGTCAAGGAGGTACCAGCGCAGGCCGTCGGATAGTTCGAACGGATTGTCGTCTTCGAAAGATGCGCCGCCGTCGCTGGTCTCGGCGATGGAGCGAGCGCTGTCCATAGTCTTTGAGAGGTCGACGATGCGCTCCTCAACTTTGGAGATGCGGGCGACTAGCCATTCCTTGTTGTGCAATCTGTGTGACTCGTGCTCGCGGAGGAAGTAATGGGGTGCGCCGACATTAAACGCTGCCCAGGGCCTAGTAGCTTGATTTCGGGTGGGCAGGAACAGGGCTAGATCGCCTTCCTTAAACGAACGGAAAGCAATCTTCTCATGCGCCTCACTTTGTGCGCGATGAGACTTGTCGCGGTAAGCTCGGGCTTCTTTTTGCCATTTGCGGGCAGTGTGCTCCATATCCTTGCATCGCTTCTTGACCACTTCACTTACGACGTCGAGGTTCAAGCGGTTTATAGCTTTGAGGTACTCAGCGTATCTCGCCGCCTCCGCCTCTGGGTCCTCCTCGTGCATCCAGTCGAGCAATGGCAGATCCATGGCGCCATCGAAGGACTTTCTCGCAGGCGATGGAGTCGACGCGCTGCGGCTCATCGGTAGCGACGATTCAGCCAGTATGGTGCTTGCTCCAGATTTTGGGGCCCTTTGGATAAGGAACGTATCCTCCTGCTGGGTGACCATCAACCCTAGGTCTTCTAAAAGACGGATCAGCCTCTCATTTTGGGCGTATAGCCTCTGGGTCAACTCCTTGGCTCGCAATTGGCGTTGCCACATATGTGCACCGCTGGCGCTGGCGTCGGCTTTGAGAACCGAGTACTTCTTCTGGAGGGACAGCAGCTCAAGGTCAAGATGATTGTTGTGAGATTTAGCGGCAGCAAGCTCCGTCGACAATCTTCCCACTCTCTTTTCTTCTTCAGTGACTCGCTGGCGTAGTGCTTCTGAGCCAGTCTCGCCTTCAGCGAACTTGGTCCGCAGCTGCTGTAAATGGCCTCGCTCCTCTTCGAGTTCGGCCGTCAACGAACCTACTTTGGCGTGCTCTGTAGCCGCCTCTTCTTGTGCCTTGGCCATTCCAGCTTGTTGCTCCTCAAGCTTATGGAATAGCTGTTCGTTCTCCGACCTGGCGTCGGCGAGAGCTTCTTGCAGATTCTTTACCTGGTTCAATGAGCGTTGTATGAGAGCCTCCAAATCGGATGCCAGATCTGCTTGGTCCTCTGAGGACGGATCTTCTGATGTTAGATGCGAGCGAATGACACGCAGTGCGCGTATGTGTTCAGTATCTGCCTTTCTACGCTTATTGAGAGTATTCTCAAGCTCCTCAATACGACTCTGTGCTTGATGCATTTCGTTGGTAGAGTCCCTGCGAGTTTCGTCGAGCTCGGCAGCAAGAGCCCTCGTCTTCGTGTCATTCTCGGTCCTCTCATTGTGGCGGCTGCCGAGGATCCTGTCAAGCTCATCCTCTACCTCCTCGATCCTGATCCTACATTTTGTAAGTTCTTCTTCAAGCGACCGCCTCTCATCCGAAAACTCCTTCTGCTGGGCTTCCATGTTTTCCATCAGATCTCTCTTCGTAGAGTTAGCTTCCTCGATTTGACGTTGGATGTCCGCCCCAGTTTCTAATCTAGAAAAGGTAGCCTTTTCCATGCCGGCACGGTGCTCCCGTTCTGCTGCCAGCTCCGCTTCAAGACCAAGAATTCGCTGCGTCAGTGCCCTCTCGTCTGTCGCTTGGTTTGATGAGAAGCGACGGGATGAAAGTGAAGAGCGACGCGACTGATCATTCTGCGGTTGTGGTGAGATTACATCCCTGGCAGGCTCGGGCGTCAATGGCTCAGGGCTCGAGACAGCTTGCGGCTGGAACCCACTGCCGATGGAAAGGCGTTTGACGTGGCTTTGGCGATGGAGTAGGTCTTCGAGCTTGCGTACGCGACTCTTCTGACCCTTGAGCTCCTCCTCCAGCTTCGTCTTTGACTCCATGAGCACTCTCATCTCCTCATCACCTCGCATAAAGGAGCCGTTGCCGAAAGCCACTTCATGAACACTGCCAGATTTGAAGTTTGCTACACGCTTGCCCCGCTGCTTTGTCGACTTGTCAGGTTCGTTTGTGACCTGAGCTAGAGCTTCTAAAGTGGCTTCTTGCCCGCCGACACTGCGCAACGTATGCTGATACTCCTGCAGCTCCTGTCGAGTTACGTATGGCCAGCGTTGATCGTCTCCTTGTAAATTAATCTCCACGCCAAGGATCTGCCCCTGCACAGCGTCAAGGTTGACGACATCTCCGATGCTCTTCAGCCACTTCTTTCTACGGCGGCTTTCTTCTTCCCTATAACCTGCAATCTCCTCCGCAAGAGCGGACGAGTCCCCCTTCATTTTCTCAGCCCACTCCCGCCGCCTGACTGACTCGACGAGAAGGGATCCATAGACGAAAGGCAGCCTCGACAATAGCGCGAGTGTTTCGAATGCTTCCAAACCATCGGCTGGTACATCAAGCGAAGACAGTTCGGAGTTGACGGCGGACAGCGTAGACTCGATACCCGCTATAGCTTGCATATGCTCAACAAAATGGGTGACCGAGTTGTTCTTTTCGCTGAGAGCGCGCCGGACAACTTCATCCATTTCGATACTATACTCGGCTATGCTTGGCAAGTAGTTGCGAGTATGTAGTAACGCCATTTTGGAGACTTGAGCTACTGACTTTGAGGCAGACGGAAGGCTTAGAACATGATCGTAATCAGATGCAACTTTCTTCGCAACCACTTCGATCTCCTGCAACAGTCGGACCGGTTCGTCACTTTCCTCGAGCGCAGATCGGTTCTGGCTTTGGTCGATGGCTCCGATAAGCTCGCTGTAATCCGACGCGAGTTTCTTGATCATGTTGCCCATGCCTCTCACACGGCTTTCCAGAGCGCTTGTGACTGACTGGCTAGTTGATACTGCGTTCTTGGCGGCCTCCACATCTATGAAGGTATCAAGCGAAACGCCTCCAGTTGATACCCTCCGTGGCCGCCTCGGGGTTGGGTCGTCGGGTGCGCCTGAGACAAAACGACGAAATTCTGCTTTCGCGGGTATGCTCTGCAGCCGCGCCAAGTCGTCCTCCCATGACTGTATATTGAGTTCTTGTTCCTTGACCACGTCCTCAGACCATGCTTGTGCCTCCCTGTGCTTCTTTTCCAGACCGCGGATATGCGCTTCATGATTGGCCGTAGCGATACGGACGCCTTTGTCAACAATAGTGCGCTCGTCGAGGTACTTCTTTGCTTCCGAGCACATTGACCGGCATCGCTCGACCAAGCTCGTGGCCCAATCTCGTCTTGCTTTAAACAAGACCTGCCATGCTCTCAAGTCGTTTTGATTCGACAGGGTGTCTGGCGGGTCCGGAGGCGTGAAAGGCTCTGGTAGTTGTGTAGATGGGATTATGGAGTCGGGTGACTGATTTGCAGGGAGACTAAAGAGGTCTCGGTCGTATACGAAGATTTCCTTTTCCGTGAGCAGCGCTTGGAGCTTGACATGCTTGCCGCGGGTGGTGAGGAGTATTTGATCGTGCGGTGGTATGGAAGTAGCTTTGGTGATGAACGAGCGCAGAGCGTCTAGAGAGCTGAGGGAAACAGGGTCGGCATCGAGCCGTGAACCCGTATGGGCTACAAGGAGTTGCAAGGACATGCGCTTCTACGGGGCCTAATCGTGGAGTCAGCGTCGCGCAAATGCAGATGGTCTATCAGGTATCCCTACGAGCACTTTTCCACTTGCACTGCTGATGCCTCGAGCTTCTCTCGAGGATGGTTATGGAAGCAAAGACGACTAGTCAGACACCACTTACCTCAAGTTTCAGACTCGCCCCTTGCCATCACTCGGTTCTCAGGCACGAGTCTGTGGAAACTCCCTTGATGGAAGATCACCGCGGGATAGCTTCTTAGCGGCGGGCAGAATAACCGTCCCCAAGCATGACCAGGTACTCGGATGTGATGGAGACGCTCAAACACGTCAAGTCACGCGAACAAGCTCTGAATATCATCAACCGACGATCCTTAGATTCCACTACTTTCCCCTCCGCGTATAGAAGTTCGCTCATCAGAGTCTGGACACGTTCTGGCTCACACAGTATTGGGCCCGAGTTTCCCATCACTAAGTTCTGTTGTCACCACGTCTATTCACGTGCCGAAGCTCACGACCGCATGATACATACAAGTAAACAAGTTGATCCGTCTCGTCAATGGAGAGCCACACGAGTGATCAACGAGCCGTCATAAGCGAACCAACGCAGCAGAATGAGCTGGGCGACGTGCTGAGCCTGCTGCAAACGAAGGAGGGTAACACACCAGTCCTGTCTGAACGCGAGCAGTTGATTCTCACACTTTTTGATCAAGAGGAAGAGCTACGCCTCGAGTCTAGCTTGTACGAAACTCAAAATGCGGGTATGGCACCATCCTAAGTGCTCTTTGCTGCAATGCTGACTATGTTTAGTGCAACCCTATGATACATCAACACTGTCAGATGATGATATCCAAGCACAGCTTGCCGTCGCAGAGCAGGAACTGCTGGAGGCCAGAGCAGCGTATGCTCTGCGGAATAGGATCGTGCACAACGTCCTAATCACTCATCCAGTGCTTAAGGCCGTTCACGCAGAGCCGAATGCGGATCCGGCTGAGAGGTGCAGTAGATTGCCATAACCAACAACACAAAAGGACGTTTACTAAATCTAATTCAGGAGACTGCTCTCCTTGGTTCATGATAGAGATGTTCTCGCCATGTTGCACAACGATACAACAACCAGGCTCTCCACAGCGGCAGTAGAGCTCACAAAAGCTGAGCGCGGAAACGTCATCGCCAACGAGAAAAACCGAGAGCTAACACAGACTTTGCTGGCCCTTGCTGAAGAGACGAAGTCCGAGAAGACCGAAGTAGTGCAGGACCCGAAACTCCGCTCCAAGTTAGAAGGTCTTGACGCTCAGATTCGGGCGTCGCGTCGGGAATGGCGGACCATGAAAGGCATCACTGCTGCTGTAATCGCGGGCAGCGGAGTGGACTGGGCGCGTGATGATGCCTTGAGAGGTCTTGTCATGGATGACGAGGAAGACCTTGGATGAGGCACGCTATCCTACTAAGGTTTTCAGTCGCATCAGCTTTCCGCCAACGGTAGTGTTATTCGGCACGGCGACAGCAGGTCAGGTCTGCGGCTGGACTCGCTGTCACTCAAGGACTCATCGTCCAGGACTTCAGAATGGAGTTCTTCGGCGCTGTTGCCTTCGGCACCTCGTCCTTTCGGACGTATAAACGGCTTCCCTTAGCTTGCGGATACTCCAGAGTGCCGCAGCGGGTGCGGAACATTCATCTTTATCCTCAGTGACAAGAGCACCACTTCAGACCACGAAATTGAGGCCGTGCAGACTAGGCCCAAGGTCACGTGCTCTGCAGTGTCGTTGATGCAAGTTATAGCAAAGTTGCTATGTTTAGATGTGTCCATCGTAGACTTTAACTCTGTTTGATCCCATGCTCGAAGTCAGCTGACCCCCAATTGGAACGCTCACAAATGTAGTGTTGGTGGCCACATGATAAGCGACTCAAATGAGACCGCACCATCTTGCGACAGGGCAAATCCTTAGACCGTCCAGTTCTGTTGCAAGTGAAGATATCTCACTACCCACCTTAATCTTCGATGCTGATGTATGGCAGCCGCAGCTGTCACGTGACTGGCTTCGATCCTGGAATGATATCTATGAGACCGACGGCGATGGCTCCGCTACCGCAGTTCTACAACTCTGTGGTATTGCGGCAGCTCCATGGCAGCGGAGACATTGGCCATTAGAGCCGGACGGTGAACACGAGCGTATGGCACTGCTCTCCAATCAAGGCGAACAGCACGGTGAGATGGGCAGCTTCCTGCTGGAATGCAGGGTGAGGTTGTTGTCAGGCATGGCGGGGTTAAGCTTAGCGTTGTTTTTGCCCGGGTCTGAGCGGGCTGCTGCCAGTTCTCTCATATGAGTTCCCTCACTCACACTGCCAGCCCTCACCTCTCCAACGCTGCCTACCAAATTTCTTAGGGACGCTCTATCGGTCAGTACTTGATGGTTTTCGTGCTCCTCACGAACTCGGTCCCAGACATGCCACGCTTCCACGCTTCACAACACCCTCAATTGACGCGTTTTGCACCGCGATTCCCGCGACATTCGCCTTGATTCGCCTTGCTCTCGTCATGTTTCCTGCCTCCATCCGCTCTTTCGAGTTGACGTCGCCGTCGCATCCAAACCTGCGCTGACCACAGATCCAACCACAGCTGTCGCAAACCTCTTACAGTAAACTCTCGACGATCGCATCAAGCGTCCAAGTAAGTCTCATACCTGACTGCATCCGTGTTCCTGGTGTTGTTGTTCTGGTTTGTAGCCACCGCAGCTCAAGCGCTCGCGGCTTCATCTTCGCATGACGCGACACCCCAAACTTAACAGGGTTTGGCTTTTATCTGCGCAATTCTGTTAGAGTAAAGGTTGCTCGCGCTCGACCTCGGATGCTTTTTGGGTCTGTCACCTGCACATGAGGCAAACTCTTGAGGTCACCTGCATCCACTGCTCTTTCTATCGTTACACGTTTCTTGCGTATAGTCGCATCCTAAACAACCCTTCTAACACCACTCTAACACAACGATTACACAGTCGTACAACACTCTCCTCAGCTCTTCCCGACAGTCACCATGCCTAAGGAGAAGACCACGACCCGCAAGGCTAAGGCTGCCAAGGTCGATTCCGGCAAGAAGAAGAAGGGCAAGTCGCATTCCCCCTGATCTTGCGTTCTGCACTAACAAGCCACGCAGACCCTAACGCACCAAAGCGAGGACTTTCCGCCTATATGTTCTTCGCCAACGAGCAGCGCGACAAAGTTCGCGAGGACAACCCCGGCATCAAATTCGGTATGTACTCGCGATACTCCTGTTTCATTCACGTGCTGACAAGGATGTCAAGGCGATGTCGGCAAGATGCTGGGCGAGAAGTGGAAGGCCCTGAACGAGAAGCAGCGTGCGCCATACGAGGCCAAGGCTGTTGCCGACAAGAAGCGCTACGAGGAGGAGAAGGCAGCCTACAGCGCTGTACGTTGCCCCTGTTCATACTAGCCCCTCCCTACTATTTGCTGACTATCTTAGAATGCCGACGAAGAGGAAGAAGTCTCCGAGTAAGCTCCAATCAACGACCACATCCAAGCGAACGACACGGTCGCCATCTCACCTGTCATGCCGATCACGGGCTTTCTTGCTCGTCACCTGTCTGCTCATCTAGTCCCACTCATCCCGCACCACCTTGTACGTGGATCGGACCGCATGTTGTAGTGCATCTGGTGCGCGAGGATGGCCGGAATCAGACTTCTCTTGCTTTTGCTTTTGGAGTTATTCATTTGCGCGGAGGGAGGCCCTGGGTTCTTTATGTCGGCTAAAAGACTTCTACCGGACATGCTGCTGGGTCCTGCGAATGATGAACTAAGGGTATGGATGGTAATGCTTTTCCCACCATTTCTGTACAATAGTTAGCTACAAAAATGAGTGGACTTCCTTCTTCCAAGCCTTTGCGCGTCCGCTATTGCCCAGTCCGCTCACTGTCCTTCACGTCATTCCCCCGGAAGGTGTCAACTTTCAGCGATCCTTGCAATGCTAGCTACAAGCCGGCAGCAGCTTCCTTTCGACACGTCTGCGTCTACCCGGCAGCTGCCAACGAGCCGCGGTCTGCTGTACGCCGCCGCAGCTCGTCACCGCCTCAGCCAAAAATTAATACATGCAAAAGTCAAGCAAAACACAAGCTATTGCGAGAGGCGGGGATTGAACCCGCGATCTCTGCCTCCGTCCGTATGTCTGGGAGGGCAGCATCTTACCGCTAGACCACTCCCGCTGGCTGAGATGAAGAGCTGTATAAATGCTACATATATGCTTGGTACGTGAGGTTGCCCACCATTTTTGCTGACCTCCGTGCATCATAAGCTTTGCAAGTCTATTGTCGCCCCAAAATCGTAATCATTTACTGGCAGAGCTGCAAAGCGCCGTTCGACACATCCTTTCTTCCAGAGTGCGGATTTGCTATCAACCATTGAACACCGGATCCCGGTTACTAACCGTGAGCACCCTTTACTCTCTTTGCAGCACCACCGTCAACCCCATCAACCCCAGCATCACTGTCTTCAACCACGGATACTCGCTCAACAAGATCGTGACATATCCCACGAAAGGAATGTAGCCCACCACGCTCCCAATAACGTCCTCCTGCCTGTTCAGGAAGCTCTGTCCGCGTGCATACAGCTCTGTGTCGTCTGCCGCGTTGTTGTCACCCTTTGTGAGAAGGCGGAGAGGACCTGTTCTGTATATTTGGAAGCTTTTAGCATGGGACTTCCTTCCTTCCAAGACCAGCGAGGCTTCCGCTTGGACGGTGCTGTTGTGCGAGCGATGGATTGACTCACCCTCCGCCAAACCGCCTAACAACTCGATGCACAATCGGGATGTCCTTCCCCCGCACATTGTACACAACTACCTCCCCAACCTGCGTGTCCTGGCCTCTGTTCCATAAGAACAATAGGTCTCCCCGCTGGAAAGCCGGTTCCATGCTGCCGGAGAGCACGACGACGATCGGGGAGGGCGAGTCGGTGGCGACGGAGAGACCTTTCCATAGCATGAATGCTGTGCTCAGGACGAGGGCGAAGTTGAGGATTTGCGCGGCTAGTTGCCGGGGTTGGAGGGAGGAGAGGTTGAGCATTGTGGGCGGCTGGTAGGTTTGATTGAGGGTGTTGGGCGTCGCAATTCTGATGGATAGTACGGTCTTAGTGGTTCGAAAGTCTCAAGGCGCTATCATGGGAGCTGTGCCCGTGGGAGGGCGAGAATTGTGAGTTGTGCGAGCTGTCGGTGGTGTTGTTAATGAAGCCAGCTTTGAGAAACGAGATGCTCGTCTAAACCTTCCGTCTGTGCGAGACCTGTTCCTAACTTCTTGGGATGTTCATCAACATCTCCACCACAAGCTACCACCTGCGTGACAATAACCGCCGAACTCCATAATCAGATGGGTCTTCAGCCAGCTTAGGATGGCCACGAAACGAAGCCATTGCTTATAGTATACTGCCTAATAAGCGTGTTCAACCCATCCTTGAAGGTGGAATGGCTGGAGTAAAGATCTTTGGAAACGTGGTGGATTCGATGAATTTCTGTAACTTGGGAGTAATTTGAGTGTCCATTGATCTACAAGTCCAGATGTTTCTGTCATCCGCGTGGTATGTTCACCTTTGCTCGCCGTAGATTCTCGGTAGGTACCGATTGTCACTAAACTTTCCGTTTTCTATCCCTTTGGCTCTAGATAGCAATTCCATCCTCTCAATCAATGCAGGTGGTGCGAATGTCTTTTCCTCCAACTGCATTCCGAACGAGCTTGAAAGTTGAATCTCATCACAGCAAAACCCGCGGGTAAGGCTCCGAATAAGTCTCTCCACGTCTGGAGATGTGGTCGTGTCGATCCTCTCCTGTAGTCTCTGGGGGTGACAGAATTACTGTTATTACACATCAATTACTAAAGATGTCTATCGAAGAAGGTTTATTAAAAGCTCCACACCTCCATCGGTATTGCTGGGAAGAACATACTGTGCTGTGAGCTCGGATCTGAGAGCCGCCCTAGAAAGAACGTTCTCACAGTTCACGCCTTAAAGCCTGTTTGTTTGAGACCTTTCAAGAGGGTTTCACTGCTGCTGTTACTATACATTCTTGGATCTCATGTTGTCACAAGCACTTGGGCTGTTCGTTCCCTTTGCGCATTGAACCGCATCGTCTCACAATAACACTCAATTCTCAACTCTCAATTACGTTGTGGTGAAGCATCCTCATCAGAGTGGTGGGGGAACACAACTCTCTCCGACCCTGAGACCGGCGCCAGAACACGCACCCGACAACGGACTCTCTCCATCCTTTGGACTGACTGGCTCGTATCCAACCTGCTGTTCACATGAAACCTTTCCTCACTTCAGTCCTCGAAGTCGTCATTGTCGCTCACCCGGTTCTCCATCCTGAGAGCAGGCCTCGTATGACGCTTGGATAGTCAACGGTGTTCACCAGCGGTCAATCAGACTCTCGAAGTTTCGGGCAGCTCAACGACCACTTCACCAACGTACCAGAGCATCTGGCGCCTACTTACACCTAGCCTGAGTCAGTGGCGTACAGCTTCATTGGAAGTCAGATCTAACCGAAGCTTGCAACCTGCTGTCAGCATCGAATTCATCACCTGACTCCCCTCATCATCCTCTGAGTATTTGGCAAGCCAGGTTGAGCAGTCTCTATCGTTCATTGTCACATCATCAACTTTCATCTCTTCTATTCAGTATCTACGTCTTCACTAGAGTTTCGTGTTTTTGACGCTCACAAAGCAGCAATCAACGCTGCTACTCGGATAACCGCAGTACAATTCGCCTACCACGGTACTTCAACACCGGCTTCGAGGGAAAAAAGGCTAGGCGCCTCTTAGGCGGCTTTGAACTCGTGGGTTACCAGAGCTTCATCGCCGTCCACTTCCGCTTCACTCCACATTGATTGAGCGTGTGATCCGCCGTCATATCCAGCCACCTCATGCTCTGGCATTTGCTCTTTTACACTGCATCTTCCTCAGTCAATAACCAGCATTCCGAACATGGCGCCGTCACATTCGTTGGCAGGTTCTTCGAAGTCTTCCTCAGTTCCTCTTAAAAGAGTTTCACAGAGCACAAGAATCGAGGACGGGAGTTAGTGAGTGAACCAGGGTCTGGCCTCTGTCTTACGATGCTAACCCCGTTTCAGCTGGCTCGTCAAGGCGTACAGCGAATTCTGGCCCGCTATCGTCTGTGATCGCGACATGGTGCTAGAAAACTTCCGGAAGCAACGCCCTTCCCAGGAAGGGGCCACTTTCTATCCCATGCTTACCATGGTGAAGCACGAATTGTGAGAGTTTCCCAAGTTGGCATGACCGGATGATTCCCTGTTACTGACGGGCCGATAGTGTTTGGGTTCCCCACAGAAATCTCCGCGTGTTCGAGCCGAGTTATCTTTTCGAGGCGCAGTTAGATAAGAAGTCCCCATCCTTAGCAAGAGCACATCGAGCTACTAGTGCGGTTGACGGTCTCCCTCGAGATCTGGATTACTGGAATAGCTACATGCTTGCGGAGCGCCTACAGAAAGGAAGAGACCCAGTCACTCAGAGTGTCGCTTCACCAGCGCAAGCATCGGCAACTCAATCTCGACCTTTGATTATAAGCCAGGGAAAGCGCAAGTGTGTCGATGTGGAGACGAACCCTCCGTCAGAAGTCAAGGATAGCGAAGAGGCCGAATTAGATGATGAACAACCACTACCAAAGAGGGTCCGTAGGGGCGAGGAAATTCTAATTGCTTCATCCGAGAGCGACGTGGAAGACGATGATGAAGTCCTGTCACGGTCATCAACCCCGGAGATAGACACATTGGCCGAGACGTTCGAGGGGCTTACACCAGCTACACCGGCAGCAACAGCGTCAACAAGCCAGTCATGCGATTTTCCTACAGGAGCCGGTGATGCTCGTTCTCAGCCTACCCGCGAACAGACGCCGCACTTAGGATCGTCGGAGCGTGCAGCAACGCAGGCCGATAGTCCACTATTCGAGTGAGTAATGGAGCCTGGTATATGTTGTCGCATTTCATGCTAATGAGCCCGCCAGACCGGATGGCGCCATGGTGGCTTTTATTATTGGCAAGGACAGCACGCCGGTGCGCATTCCGAAAAGCAGCGTTATGAAGCCTGAACTTCTGCACTTGACAGAGTGTATGACCTGGGATGACGAACTCGGATGGCACATCACTAGACCGTTATACTCGGCATTCACCGTCGCGCGGTTCCAGGCCGTCGCAGATTTTCTCACTCACGGCGACTTCAACCCAAAATTGCTGGATGACAGTGATCACAGGGCACGCCTGGACGGCGTGGAGAGCATCGCTCAGAAGGCCGATGCGCTCCTAGACTGTGGCCGTGCATTCAATGTCGCACGGGAAGTCCAGCTCCCAGAGATGATGGAACTGGTCGTCCACAAGGTCTGCGTCCTTCGCCCGTGGCCAGCCGCTGAGGTCCTCATGGTCACGAATTTTGTGTTCCACGAGCCACCGACTGGTCTGGATGCCGACGACGATTTGCGCAAGCTGTTATGCAACCACATCGCTGAGAACTTCTGGGAAATCAACAGTACACAAACGACCAATTTGAAGATGATACTGACGCGCTACCCGGAACTCGAGGAGAGTGTGTTCTCCGCTCGACTGGAGAAGTTACATCTCTCTACACCTGACAGCGGGATGGGCGAAGAGGATTAGGCCCTAAAAGAACCACGATCCTTTGGCAGACCAATTTCTAGCTCGCTTTGGGCCTTCAGCACCTTCAGAGTCATCTGAAACGTCAGAAGAAAATCTCAGATTTGGTTTGTATTCGCAGCTGGCGTTTTTTCGGTTACGGAATCCTACAGCATATCTCATACGACAGTCGGTTTGGGTTGCATTGCCAGTTATCCAAGAATCATTCACTCTTTGGAGCGCTATCGTTTCATTTCTGGCACTTCTTGGGAGGCACGCGAGCACCTGAACACGAACGTGCCACGCCTGCTGCGTCCACGCGACAGTCTTCGTTGCGAGACAGCCATTAGCTTTTCCAGCAGCGAAAACGGCTACACACAGACATCTGATTTCTCGACGCTAGGTATCTTTCCTCGAGTGATTATATATGTGATATTTGCCCACGACAGCAGACCAGTACCCGTGATGTCAAAGAGCCCCACGTCGACTACTCTCACCGCCTCTCTACCGAGACTTCGGCTATGGAGCGTTTGAGATCGGCGCTTAAGGTACAGCGGAGCACGTGAAAGCATGAGGCTGCATCTCCCACAACGAGGACAGGCTCATTGCTGGAAGACTCACCACCGCCATGCTTTGGAGAGTGAAAGCGCCAGCTTGACTTTTTGCAACGTGATAACAAGGCCGTTGGTGACAGCAATGAGTATTTTCTGCCCTCGTGAGTGGTGGTCGAGTTTGAGTTCGGCTTGCAGATGGGCCAGGGATCATCGAGCCGGAGGCATCCATGCCCCTCGGCGCCAAATCGAATTCTGCCACCTTGAACCGCAGATTCGACTGCTTCCCAGGGCTGTTTTGGTGGGGCCTTACGTTTTTCCCTCACACGGCTCTCTGCCTTGTTCTGAGCGAGCACGCGAGGGCTTCTCCTCTGCAGCGTAAAATGAATTTTGATGCTTCCCATTGACGGGGATTAACCCAGTAAATGCTAAGCAAATGTGCCCCTCTCGATTTTTGAGAGGTATCCCCTGCACCCTATGACGAGCAAGGGCTCAAAGCTGCAAATCAAGCGCCGCCGGCCGCCTCGCTCTGACTCCGTGTATCCCTGCAACCTTTTGGGAGCCTCACCGCTTTCTGCTAGCTTCACGCTAACTTTTCCATCCAAAATAATGTCGTTCCTTCCCCTCCAAGCCCTTCCCTCTCTCCCTCAAACCGCTTACAGACAACGAAGTCGCAGTAACATCAATCACCAGGACACATAACCAGATTCACTTTACCTGTTTTCGTCGAGGAAAATGCCGCGGGCTGTCGCTGAGCTGTAAATCCTTACTGGAGGGCCTACCACGGTTGCCCTCCAGTACGGCCCAGCACATCGAGAATTTCAATACCTCCACGAAGATCTCACCAGCCAATTGCCTCAAGCAGACGTTGCTTAGGTAACTGAGTTCACTTCCAGAAATCTTATTCCTATAAGTAGGAAGCTCCACGAACCCGATCTTGCCGCGCTTTCCACCTTTTAAAACAGCGAACAACGACGAATCAGCGGACCCATCTTCGTCGAAAGACATCTTGAGTCCCACAGCCATACACTTTCCATCTTTCTCGTCGGCGGACGAGCGCCTATCCACAGCTCTTCGAGCCCCGCGATTCGCGACTACACTACAACCCCCGCCCTTTTGAGACCCGCCTCAATCTTTCATCACTCCAACACCGCACAGATCTTCTCATACCGCGGCACCCACAACATAACGACCTACCATACAACCTCCACACATCAAGCACGAGTTTTTTTCACAACATGGCGCCACCGGGCGGTAGATCATCGGTCCTTGCCGACTTTTTAGGGACACCTTCCAAGCGGCACGAAAGACTCAGTGGCGGTAATGGAAACGCTTCCAGGAAAGTCCATCGTCGTGAAAATTCGATCTCTTCACAAAGCACTGTGAGGCAGGAAGCGGCTGGCCTTGGAGAAGATGCGTCAACCGACGGCGAACTCAGCGGCGACGATGAAGACAGTAGTGACGAACCGGACGAAGAAGAGGAAGGGTCGGAAGAGCCAGAACGAAGCGCCCCGTCCGGCGGATCCGGTCTTGGTAAAGGGAAACGTCCAGCGATCCGGGCTGGCCATCGACATGAAGGCGACCAAGAGTCAAACAATCCTGTTATCCGCAGGGCGGGGCTACAGCACGGCAACACTGCCGCTTCGCCACATCTCCACTGGACGAAAAAGAGGACATACAGCAACGTCAGCACGAACTCAGTCTTGACGGTGGGGAATGATGAAGAAGAGATGAAGCGATCGCCGTCCGTTTATCCTCGCAAGAAGATTGTTCGGAAATCCAGCAACAACGCAGCAGGACCTCTGGCTTTCGAAAGACCACACCGAGGCGCCGCTAATCAATCCGGCGACGATAATGTAATAGAAACCTCGGATGATGAGGTGTATAAGGGCGTAGATCAGATCAGTGACTCCGAGGAAGACGATCCAGGTGTCGAGAAATTTGAGGAGAAAATCATCATTGAATCTGAAGCAGATATATTCACTCCAAGCTTCTACTCCGGGATCACAGACAATGATGTGGACTTTGCTCCGTTTGGTGAAGAGTCGTTCCTAGATGGTTTTGGTCTCGGTGACACTGCCATGGGTTTCAATGATGCCCACCTGTTATCTAACAACGATGCTTACCTTGACATCACTTCTCTTGACAAAGCGCAGTCGGAGGGCTCTCCGAGGCGAGTTAGGTTTGACGATAACGTCAGGTACTCAGATGAGACAAGTTGTACGTGCTCAGGGGACGACACCGACGACTTCCCCGATCTCTTGCTTGACCAGGCAAGTCTTGCGCCTGGGTTTCGCTCAATGATTGAGAACGATGGCGACACGGACTTCGGAGGGGCTGCTGCCAGCGATGGAGAAAACTCCTACTGGGATTTTACGGAAGAGCGCGACTACGAAGGAGTTGGATCCGCATCGCCAGACTCTGACACAGAGTCTAGCGGTTACGAAAGTATGAGTGCTCCTGCCGCTTCGCCTGTTTTCGCTAACCTTCCTGTATAGCCGATGACGGCGATACAACTGATGAAGAGCTCCCACCAACAGCCACCGTGCGCCATCCAAGTGCCCTGCTTCGTCGTCGGCCGTCGTCTAGTGCTACGGACAAGACTGCCACCCTGAAGCCCTTCCCCAGAAAGAATGGCCCAACTACGGCTTCGCGGCAAAAGGGTCCTGTCATGGGATCGTGGGCTGTGGATCCGACTAAAGCTATCTGTGTCCTTGACCCAGTAGCGAACCGTCTGGTGGTCATTCCTTCCAGGACTGCCACCAACAATATGCTCTCGCTCAACGGCAGCAGCGCCAGCAGTGTTGCTGATTGTTCCCCTCGTCCCTCGTCCCAACCGTATCCTGGCGAGGACAGCGACTTCACCGAAAGGTCGCTACAGAGCCCCGTCGGTCTTAACGTTGTGCTTGGTGGTGTGTTCGGGATGGATCCAAGAGACGGCCTCTTCGACTCTTTCATTCCTCAGCAGACGTTTCCACCTCCAAACTCTACCTACCCTTGGACGAGAGTCAACCCAGATGGTACCTTTCTCCCAGTCACCTTTCAAGACGAGGAAGAGGACGAGGATGACGACGAGGATGAGGGAGAAGCTAACCTAAACCTCTACGATCTGCTCGAATTTGGCGACGATACCGATGAAGATATGGCTGATGACGACGTGCTTGCATCCCCAATGACTTCAATCCTCGCTCATCCCGCTGTCACCCCAGCTAAACCCGCTGAGAATCTCAACCAGCGCAATGCGTCACATACCCTCCTCGAACACTTCGATCGCGTTCCGGTCGGCGCATTCCGGAGCAACCAGCACAAGTACCGCGATATCTCCCGTCTCCCACCACATCCAGCAATGCGCGCGTCCATCAACCAACCTCTTCGGAAGGGCAAGTCGGCAAAGAGCACGATTACGCCGATACGGAAAAGAAAGACATCCAATGCTGCTGGTACGCAGGCTAGCCCGCTTGCTCAGAAGGCGTTGGCGAAACCTCATGGCTCCGGTCATCGACGTACCCAGAGCTCGGCGTGAGCTTACCTCACCTCTACAAGTTTTTGCTTCAGAGATCCCCCGGTCAGTTTTTGAAGCTCTTTTCCAAGACAATCTTGATTTTCATTCCAGGACCCGGACCTGGTCAGAATGAACTCTCGCCTGATGTGCGAATTGGCGGAATGAGGTTCACACTACCCATGCGTCATGAAGTAACGAAGTTACGACCTTTCCCATTCTACACGAAAAGTCTTTCACTCAGACGGAGGAAGTACAGCCAGCTATGGGCGGATTCTGTTCCTCATGCGAATTGTGTTAGTGTATGTTTAGAAGATTGTCTAGGCTTGAGTTTTATTGGTGCCCTCAGTATATTTCTTGCGCCTTGCTTCTTGAGCTTTTCAGCGTTTCATGTGCGCTTCTTTCTGGTTTCTTTCGTTATGATACCTCGGGTTAAAAGTGCGGTTGTTTGCTCAGGGGTGTCCTAGGTTGTCGGACAGGGCGTGATCCACGCCATCTCATAGACACAAGCGATGCGTCACGGGGGAAGATGTAGGAGTACAAACTGAATGCAAGAGAGTAAATATACATTCTGAGGATTGTCAAACAACTGTGTTCTTGAAGTGAAGGCTTGCATGCCGCTTACGTTTCGCCAGGTGTTTAGCTTATCCACCATGCGTCCTTGCGCTGGAACACAGACACGGTGGGCATCAGTGTGGGCCTCAATGATCTCTCTGTGATTGTGAAGCTCTCAAGTGCGAGTAAAGTTATTGCGCGTGAGAGCAATCCGTGAAGGCTGCGGAGGAGGCACGCTTCGAGCAGCTCACGTGCAAAACGCCGGTACCTTGGCTGCCGACGAGTCGCCGCATGACGCAAAGCATCGCCAAAGCTTAATGCATGACTCGACGAGAGGCGACAGTCTTCGTTGCTATCGAGGTCCGCCATCTGTTCTACCAACACAGCAAACGCAGGCAGCTTGCTGTGGGATATCCTTCTGCCACTCCCACTGCTGTCGCTCGTTGCCGGAAGCCGACGTCCAACACAAAGAACAGAGTTTCAGTAGTCGGCTGTCCTTCGAAAACACATTCTCACCACGCGCAAACTCTCGCCCTCAGCCACGCCCACACCGAAACTGGATTCTATCGGACGAACTTGTAGCGGCAAGACACGATCGCGATAATGGCGCAAACATCGGAGCATGAGCTAAGCGCACAGCCGCACCTCGAAGAAAGCGAACCGATGCTTGACGGAGAAAGCCTTGATGTCCAGGCGGGCAACGGGCTGGACTCGAACAAGGACAGTTCACCGCAGGTTGAAGACGAAGATGGAGATAAGGGAGCAAAGCTGGAGCCGCTCAGCGAAACCGAAGACGCAGAAGCGAGGCTAAAGCTCCTCGCGACCGGCGTCCGTGATCAAGACGATCTCGAGCGCGACATCGGCCGGCAAGCGGACCAGCTGCTGACCGAGCAAGCGGATGAGCGAGACAAAAAGCGCCTGGAGAAGACTCAGTCGGAAAAGCAGCGATGGGTGAACCAGCTCGCGAAGCTGAAGCAGCGCCTCGACGGACCGGGTGGGTCGATCATCAAGAACAAGATACGGTCAGACATTGCAGAAACGGAGGAGCGGATACGCAACCTGGACACAGAAGTCGAGCAAATCCAAAAGCGCATCAGCGACCGGCACGATGCGGGTGGCGAAGGGGAAGCACCCCATGGGGCCACTGGTGGCCCTCTACCGGGCGAGAGCAGGAGGGATTTCTTGATCAGGACCGGCAAGATTACGCCATTCTCGAAAATGGCATCTCTGCCTCGCGCGTCTTCGAACCTTGCAGATGTCATGCTTGATGCCGAAGTCGAAGAAGAGGAGGTACAGGACGATACTCAGCAAGAGGCAGCTGCGCAGCCGATGTCACATCGCAATCTTCTGCGACCGGGATTTGCAGAAGACGAGACTAGCGATACCAGCTCTGTTGTGGACTTCCCGATCGAACGAGCATCGAAACGGAGACGGCTTGAGAACAGACGGGAAGCTAGAACCAAAATTGAAGTCGATACGACGAGCTCTGTGGGAGGCGTAACGGATGATGCGATCGACACGGATGCACATGATCCTGACGCAACGTTTACTGACGATGCGGAAGCGGAGGAAGACGATTTCGATGACGACTTCTCCATGGATACTGCGCCCCAAAAGAAGCGCAAACTTCCGCCAAACAAGGTGAAGAAAACGCCCGCGGCTGCGGAAAAGGAAGATCTGACAGGCATCGATGACGGGGATGAGCGTGTATATCAGGCACGGCTGCAGAGCTGGGTGCAGCGACGGAGAGAAGCTCGGCGAAAAGCGCAAGCTAAAAAGCGCGCTTCTGAGGCCGACGCGGATTCTCAGATGTCCGGTGCTGATATAGCTACTCCGGCAGGGAATGTGGCAGAAACGGAAGAAGAAGAGGAGTGGTACAAGCCGCACCCAACGCGACCAGACACCGAATTTGGGGATGGTTTCCGTATGCCTGGCGACATCTGGCCATCGCTGTTCGACTACCAGAAGACTGGGGTGCAGTGGCTCTATGAGCTATACACACAGCAAGTAGGCGGTATCGTTGGTGATGAGATGGGGCTCGGGAAGACCATCCAAGTCATCTCCTTCCTGGCTGGCTTACACCATTCAAAGAAGCTCACAAAACCAATTATCGTCGTAACCCCTGCTACGGTTATGAAGCAATGGGTCAACGAATTCCATCGGTGGTGGCCGCCACTTCGAGTATCTATCCTGCATACCTCTGGTAGCGGTATGATGGACATCCGACGCGAAACAGCAATGGAAGAAGAGCTTGAATCTAGGGATTGGAACAATACCAAGAAGAGGACGAAAGGCGAGAAAGCTGCTAGACGGATCGTCGAGAGGGTCAAGCGCGATGGCCATGTCCTTGTCACCACTTACTCTGGGCTGCAGAGCTACCATGAGTTCCTGATCCCGACCGATTGGGAGTACGCCGTTTTGGATGAGGGACACAAGATCCGGAATCCGAACGCTGGCATCACGATAGATTGCAAGGAGCTCAGGACCGCGAACCGAGTTATTCTATCAGGAACACCCATGCAGAACAACCTAACGGAGCTCTGGTCGTTGTTCGACTTCATCTTTCCCATGCGTCTGGGAACACTTGTGGATTTCCGCACGCTTTATGAGAATCCAATCCGCCTCGGTGGGTATGCGAATGCATCCAATCTTCAGGTCGAGACCGCCATGAACTGTGCACAGACACTGAAAGACACTATCAGTCCATATCTCCTGCAACGCTTCAAAGTGGATGTGGCTGCTGATCTTCCCAAGAAGACCGAACGCGTCCTGTTCTGTAAGCTGACGAAGATTCAACGGCGCGAGTACGAGGACTTCCTAAGTTCGCAAGAGATGAACGCTATCAATGATGGCAAACGAGAGGCCATGTTTGGTATCGACATCCTCCGCAAGATCTGTAACCATCCGGATCTAGTGCAGCACAAGACACTCTCGCTGAAAGCAGGGTACAACTACGGCAACCCCTCAAAGTCAGGCAAGATGCAGGTAGTAAAAGCGTTGTTGGAGATCTGGAAGAGAGGTGGCCACAAGACCCTGCTCTTTGCTCAGCACCGCATCATGCTGGATATCTTAGAGAAGTTCATCAAGGGACTCGAAGGCTTCAACTACAGACGCATGGACGGAACGACTGCGATCAAGAACCGCCAGAGCATGGTTGATGAGTTTAATAACGACCCGGACCTCCATGTCTTCCTCCTCACGACCAAAGTTGGAGGTCTTGGAGTCAACCTGACTGGCGCCGACCGGGTTATCATTTACGATCCGGACTGGAACCCCTCCACGGACGTTCAGGCCCGAGAACGAGCTTGGCGTCTTGGCCAGAAGAGGGAGGTGGAAATATACCGTCTCATGACTGCAGGCACAGTCGAAGAGAAGATATACCACCGACAGATCTTCAAGCAGTTCCTGTCAAACAAGATTCTCAGAGATCCGAAACAACGGACCACCTTCCAGCTGCGGGACCTGCACGATCTGTTCACGCTTGGTACAGAGAACGATGGCGAGACAGAAACTGGGTCGTTATTCAAAGGCACAGAGGTCCGCTTCTCAGACAAACAACCTAGCGCGAAGGAACAAGGCATTCCGACGCCGCCAACCGACAGCGACTCAACTGCTAAAGCCAACGCTTCAACGAACCCCAACGACCTCACCAAAGTCGTGGGCATCGCCCGCAACGAAAACTACGCTCCAGCAGACTCCCCTCAAACCTCGTCAACACCCGCCACTGGAGACGGCGAAGCCTCCAAGCCCTCCGCCTCCGACGACCGCCTCCTCTCAACCATTTTCGCCCGCTCTGGCGTCCACAGCGCCCTTAACCACGACACCATCATCGACTCGACTAGCAGCAAACCGAAAGTCCGCGCGGACCCCGAAATTATCGCCCGCGAAGCCCGCCGCGTCGCCGCCGACGCCGCACGCCAGCTCCAGCGCGCCGGCGAAGTCGCTCGCACCGTCCCCATCGGGACACCCACCTGGACCGGCGTGGTCGGCACAGCCGGACGGCCCGAGGAACGCCCTCGCGGCATCGGAAGCAGCCGTGGTGGTTTCGGTGGCGGCGCCGGCCGTGGCGGTGGACCGTCCTCGTCGTCTATCCTGTCGAATCTCGCAGCCCGGCAGGGGCTCAACACGCCGAATCGCCTCAGCGCAGCACCTTCGCCCTCGTCTTCCCGTGCATCGACACCGTCGCAGCAACAGCCGCGCGGCAAGGACTTCCTCATCCTGATCCGCGACTACCTGCGCGCGCATGGAGGGACGGTGTATACGCAGATGCTGATCGACCATTTCAATCGCTTTTGTGGGACCGAGCAGCGGACGGCGGAATTTAAAGAGATGTTGAAGCGGATTGCGACGCTTGAGAGGGGTGGGAGGGGGAGGGCGAGGTGGGTGCTTAAGGAGGAGTATCGGTAGTTTGATTAGAGAGGCTGGGTGTAATGGATGAGGGGCTGAGCGCTGTGATGGGATAGGAGGAAACATCCCGCACAAAACCTTGCTCTAAGGTCGCTCGGGAGCTTCGTTCGGCTGCGGCCATCTAGCATGATAACCCGTTGAGCTAGCTCAAAATCGAGGCAGAAATCCGCATTGCACAACATGGCTTCGGTAATGTGATTTTTACATTTGAGTAAAAATGATAACCTGCGGCGACGAACCGTGTGATCTCCATCCACCCTTTTCATCATTACAGCCCTAGTTTCAAGCCCATCCCGAACGCCTCCCAGAAATAACGTGAAGCTGAGCAGCAAAGAACGACTGGGAACCTTCCCAGGAATATGCACATGGCAAACAATAGAAAGAATGTAGCGCCATTCCCAATGCAAATTACTACATGTGGTAGATCAGGACGAGAAGCAATGCAAAAAAGATAGCTTAGAAGACGCCAAAGCCGCCGGCAAACCAGGTAAACGAGAGCACAGTGATGACGCCCATGCCGCCAATGACGGTAAGAGCCTGTCGCTCGATGGAGCTGATACCGCCGTTCTTGAGGCAGGTGGCGCAATTAAACTCTGCAGGATTGTGATGGTCAGCTGTGTTCACAGTTGCTGCGGCTGGGGTGCAAGAGGGAGATATATGGAGAACTTACGAGCCAGCGGCGTATACTTCTGCGGCTGATACATCCCGAACGAAAACTGCCTGAACGGGGCCAGATACCCGGCCGCCGGTGCCGCACTAACCTCGCTCTCGGAATCGTAGATGATGAGGGTATAGGTCGACGTTAACAAAGGATCCTTGTCGTCCGTGTCCTTCGTGTTCCACACCAGCGATCCCGTTGGCTCCACCGTCTGGTTCAACGCCAGGGTATAGGTCGCCTGGTTCGCGGAGCAGGAGGCTAGGATGTCGATGGCCGTAGGCGTCACCTCGAGAGAGGTGTAGTTCCAGGCGAAGCTTACGTAGTCTCCGATCTTGTAGTATTGGGCCCCGCTAATGGCGGCGGGCGTGATCATCGAGATGCCGCCGGCAGGTAGACGGGCATCGAACTCAGTGGATGTGGCGGTGTTGTTGCCTGCGGTTCGAGTGCCTGACCTGGCCGACCCAGTCGCCGTTATCGTCCCTGTCGTTCGTCGTGTACCGGTGGTCGTTGCTGTTGACTCTGAGTCTGGAGAGTCTGAGGTGGCGGCTGCTTCGTCGGATGTTGGTACTGCTTCACTGCCCGATGCTGTGGCTGTGGCTGTCTCTTCTGCGGCGGTGGTTTCGCTGGCAGCGGCGGACTCGGCAGAGGTCTCTTCTGCCGTTGGCTCCGCGGTTTGGCGGGCTGTGGTTGAGGACAGGTCAGATGGTAATTCGAAAATGCCGATACATCATTGGAAATGTCAAGACCCACCTGTTGCTGTGTTCTGCCGTCTATATAGCATGGCCTCTATGTTTTGTACCGCCTTCAATTCGCCGAGTGATTCGGGCCATGGCCATGCCGATGTGAGGGAGGAGAAGGCGACGACGGTTGCTATGAGTTGTGTTGGCCGCATTGTGGGTTGGGGCTGCGTGCCTATACGTCAAAGTCGTCCCGCGACAACTTTTCAAGACGCAAACAGAAGGTATATATGATTGTGTCCAAATGGATTGAGGGGTACCGCTCGCTGCTATTCGACTTCGACTCAACGACTACGTGTTTTGGTGGTTGAGGACGCAAAGCAGGAACGCGCGTCACCGAAAAGTCGTATAGCTCCTTGCCTCCTTTCGAAACGAGTGACTGAGTAAGCAATAGAGACGCTTGAGAAGTCTACACAAACGACCTGTCCGGTGGGTGAATGATTTTAGTAGAGAAGGAAACGAAAATGGGTGGTGGACAAGATTGGGGCGACGGCAAGTTGGTGTTGCTGGTTCAGCCTCCCTCCTGCATTTGCTGACAGGGGGCAACTTTCTGGGGTAACATTCAAGGATTACTTAAATATTGAGTTGCGGACCTTTGTAGATACACACTTGTTACCGTCCCGCAGAGCATTTCCTAACTCACCCTCGATCCCGGCACATCTAATTTTAACTCCGTCGCCATCGTGAACATCACCATCGCGAACTACGAGGATGCAATTCTCCACCTGCCGGGATAGTGCAAAAACGCTACAAAGTTCCTCATGTCGATGGTGAAGCTGCGTTAGAGAGAGAAGCCACCACGACTGGAAACACCACATGCAGGTGGCCTCGAGTGCGGTTCCCTGCAGCTGCCAGCCTCCCGGCGACCTTCCATTCGGGATATCCGCATAGTGAGGCTGGCTTCAAATTCCCCTTGAAAACTCAATTTGAGAACAAAGCCGGTTGTCTGTACCTCGTTTCCTCCAATCTGCACGGTTTGGAACAATCATACAGGACTGGACCTGTGACGCATATCAGTGGGATTGGGCGCATCCAAGGCAGGATTAGAGTAGAGCATTATCTTCTCACACTCCACACCCTTGTCTACGGTCAGTAGTCTAATCTCCTCACCCCCAAACGTGAGATTCTCTGCGCTAGTGACCTTCGAAGCAGTGTTCATGTTACTTGCTGCCTGTCTCGTAGATGCATTGTTGACAATGACACGTCCTACTTGACCATCCCCAGTAGTTCACTTTGAATGCTATGAATCTGCAGTGCTATAAAGCACGCCTCAGAAGCGTCCTGATGAGAATGCCTAGCGACCGGCGCTGTTCGCATAGATCATATAAGGTTAAGCTAGCTGTTGACACAACCTCTCTTCGGGCTGCTGTAGTTGTGCGTATGCCGAATACGATAACAGCTACGACTAGGTTGCTCCGGAGTAGACTCTTGAAATTCTTCAAAGGCGGTGTAGAAGCTGCGAGCAGTCCAGGTCCATTTACACTTGCAACAACCCTGCTCGGCACACGTATCGATCAAACAGTATTGCACTACCGAAGAAGAGCAGACTAATGGCGTACATCTTGACTTTCTCAGGATGTAATCCATTATGGATTGATTTTTCTGTCTCGATATTGAGGTGTAGCTTCTGATACCAACCCACGAGCGACCTGGAGCGATCTCACGAGCTACATAGCCGTCTGGTTTTAGCAATGTGTATCTGCTGGGAGCGACACATGCCGCCGTTTTTCAATAGCGATCGTTGGGGTGAAGCTGATGGAATAGTAAGCGAATGCCGACTCAACACGGAATAAGACCAGAATTCGTACCAGGATCAAAATACTCCCAGACGCCATCCCAGGCCCTTAAGGATGTCCCCCAAGACGGTTTACCGGTCTCTCTACCGACCGCCCTACAGAGCGAAAGAATAGCCACTGAGACCTCCCTCCAGCTTTGTCCGGTTCCTTCCCCGCAATCCCTCTCTTAGCCCCCTCTACCCCCTCTGCCTCCTCTGCCCCCTCTACCCCTAACCCACACATCCGGTGCACCCGGTCCATTTGCGCTCGTCCACCTCAGCCTCCTCAGCGGCTCCCTCTGCCTCTCAACCTCGAGTTCCAAAATCCCCTCCCCCTTCTCCACCGCCTCGCCCACGGGCGTATGCCCCAGCACCGGCAAACTGACACTCGTGCCGCTGACCCTCCTCCCTCTGATCCTCCTGACCTCGCCCGCACACCGAATCTCGTACGGATGCGGCGGCTGCATCAGCAGCATGCGCCGCCAGCACGCCTGCCGATGCTCGAGCAGCGACTCGCGGAACTCGTCCCGCATGCTGAGCCACAGCCTCTGCGTCCCGTCGGCGCGGCACTCCCAGCCGATGGTGAAGGGCCGCTGGAGGAGCGGGTTGAGCCGTAGCCGCAGGGGATCGGGCCGGGACTCGTTGTCTGCTACTGCCACTGCCGCTTCTGCCGCTGCTACTTCCGCCGCTGCCCTTGCAGCCGGGATATGGTAAATATCCTCAAATCCTGGAAGGTTGATGGTCTCTGGAAGTGCTGCGCTAGTGCCCGTGCCCGAGCCCGTCTCTGTCTCGTTCTCCGCCGCGATTTCCGTCTCCGTCGATGTGTCATCGCGGTAAGGCACCGGCCCCGGCTCTGCCCGAAGGAAAAGCGCGAATTGCAGCGCTGGTGACTCGGCTATGAGGTCTCGCCACGCACGGCTGACGCGCTGGACGCGGAGAAGGAGGTCCTTCATGGGGAGGTGGAGGAGGATGAGTTCGTGGAGCTCGGTGGTGCCGAGGACGCGGTCTTGCGCGGGGTGTGGGGACTCGGTGTTTGTATCGTGGTCAATGTCGGCGTCGGTGTCGATGCCGTGGTTGGAGGAGGCCATGATTATAGCCTGGTATGTTGGGGAGTAGAAATATGTGGTGGGTTAATCGGTGAATTGTGTGGTGGTGAGGTGGAAGGAGAGAAACAGGACGGTCGGGGAAGGTTACATAGGAGGACGAAGGAGTAGGATCCCAGGTGAGTATAGAAGGCGCTGCCCTGGCGGGCCGTGAGGTAAACACTTGGGTTGGGTGGCAACCTGACATCCTGCTAGCTCTCACCCCATGAGGATGGTGGGGTGAAAGAGGGGAGCTTGGAACGGCAGGCGGCTCGGGCAGTGCCGCCGCGTCACTCTCTGCAAGAGGCTGAGTTGCGCGCTGTGTTCTTAGACGGTAAGGCAAACATAACTGTTAACAAAAGCTAGTGTCCCTGAGATGTTCGGTTGAGGAAATTTAACAACATTTATGGACTGCTCTCCCCTATCCCCTATCCTTCTCCTTCCCATCACCATACCCGTGACCTTCAACCTGTCCCTTGTCACTCGGGCGTCTAGTAACCGTACTATCCTCCTAGTCCAACTGCGCCTGTCCCCTTCCTCGCCTCCTCCCCTTCCCTCTGCCCTCCCTCCTCTGCGCCTCAATCGCAACCCTCTTCCACCCGCCCTCATCCCTATCCTCCTGCATCTCCGGCCACAGGATCTGCTTCAGCACAACTGCTCTGACCATCATGCCAAACACCCAGCCCCACGTCGCGATGAGCAGGACCGTCAAGATGCAACCGAGGACGCGGAAGCCGGTGTTCCCCTGCAGCGCGGTCGCCACAGCGAATGTGGCGGTGATGAGCGCCGTGTTGGGGAAGATAAACGAGTACCACGACATGGCGAAGTCCATACGGCGGTCCGAGACACACGAGTAGTGGGCGCCTAAAGAGACGAGGAAGAACCAAAGAGCCAATCTACAGCATCATACATCGTTAGCTTCTACGCAGGGGTCAAGGTACCAGATCTATACGGGACTACAGGAGGGGTAGCACGAACCCCCAAAGCCAGATCCCCCACCAATTCGCCATAACCGCCGATACCTCCCCCGCAAGTCTCCCATTCCCCATGAAGCCCTCCGGAATGACCTTCGGCAGCGTCTGAGCCATCGCAATGATGCTCGCGGTCGTGAAGCCGGATGGCCCGACGCTGATGAACATGCCAGGCCGCAGACTCTCCGTCGGCAGCTTCTGCGTCATGAGGCGATAAATGAATGCCGCGTAGACCATAAGCGCTACCATGAAGCCGACGCCCTGGAGGATGAAGCCACTGACGATGACTTGGATTGCATTTTCGGGGGAGACGTGCGGGCACAGGTTGCCGGCGTAAGGGCCTACGAGTAGCAATGGGTATGCAGGGAAGATCCAGACAGGGGTCATGCGGGAGATTGTAAAGGTTTGGGTGGACCATCTGGGAGGGTTAGTCTCTATTGAATGACGATTTATGGAGTAACTGTTATGAAGGTGAATGATAGGAGGAGAGAGGCCACATACATGATGAGGTAGATCCCGCAAGAGAACAGCATAGCTAGAGCACAGTATATCCAATACATAACGACCATAGTGTTTTCCAGCCAGAGCCCAGTCCTGTCCCCGACACCATACTGCACGACGTTGATCATGACCGTGCCGAAGCTGATGACAGCTGCCGGAATGAAGAGAGACTCAGTCGGATGGAGGAAGCTCGACTTGAAAGTGGAAGGATATAGGTAGAAGCGCGTGCTAATCATGAGGACGTTGAAGATGAACAGAACGATGTTCAGAAGGAAGAACGCGCAGCCAATTCCGTATATGCCGTTGAAGCGATAAGGTACTGGAATTCGCGGTTATTATATTAGACCTCGTGGAACCTGAAGGAGCAACTAGTACATTCCCAGTACAGGATGGTCGTAAGGCTGCACAAGGGCAGCAGTTGTACGAGGTTGCATAGCATTGTATGAAGAAATTACCCACCAGAACTCAGCACGTTGGCAATTCCCCCAGTCGCCATAGTCATAGTAAACCATGTCCAAGTAAAATGCCGCACCCTCTCCTTCAGCTTCAGCCTCAGCTCGCTCCCGACCCACGCATCTCGCCCATAGTCAGCCAAGCTCTGACTCCTCTTCTGCTCCAAGTCCTGCCCCTCATCCGCCATTTTGCTCGATTCGTTGTCGAGGGGCATAGGCTGGCGACCGCGCTGCTGCCGTCGGCATGCTGCAGCTTGGCTAGGTTCTGTCGAGGAGGTTGAGGGTTGAGACGACTCGGCAGAGTCGGCTTTTTCGATGTCTACATCTTTATGGTGGCGGCTGAAGCGGCGCCCAGCGTTTGACATCTGCAGACCGGAAGGAGATCACGCGGGTTCGGTCTCGAAGTGGGGGTTCTGGGGCTCGGTGCGTGTTCGTTCCAGTTGATGGAAGTTGGTGGAGGGTCTCTTGGTGGAGGAAAGCCATGGGATAGTCTGCGGAGGAAGACGGCAATGCGGAAGATAAGTGTGGTACATGGTGTAGGCTAGAATATCAGCTGCTTCTTCTTGTTGGCTGCTGGTGTGGTTGAGGCTCTCGGCGCCAACGGGGATGACGCAGGATGCCGGAGAGAGCTAAGGCGCTAAGGCGCTAAGGCTCTGAGGCCAAGTACATCACGTGATATCTGGTAATCTCCAAGCGAGCCTTGGCGATCCAAGCTCACACATCAACGAAAACCTCAGTGTGCACGGCAGCGACGACTTCAAGACACCGACGCCCAAAGCACTGACTGTCAACCGCCGAAATGGCTATCAAGCACAACCAGCAGATCCGTATGTCCTTTGCCCTATTGACAATGTCCTGTACAATGGGCCGCTCCAGCTACCGACTTTCAATCCCACCCTCAACCACCGCATTGTCCAGAGACAAAGTCAGACACTAACAAGTCCTCCAGCGCACAACCACTTCCGCAAGGACTGGCAGCGCCGCGTGCGCGTGCACTTCGATCAGGTAATTCCCCTCTCACATCCATGAGAGCAGTGGCGCCTGCAACAGCGAGCTCGACCGCAAAAAAAAAAACCACCGCTCTAACGCCCACCTCAGCCCGGCCGTAAGCAACGCCGCCGGGACGCGCGCAAGACCAAGGCCGCCGCCATCGCACCCCGCCCGGTCGACAAGCTCCGCCCCATCGTGCGATGCCCGACCATCAAGTAGTACGCTGCCTATCCTCTACACCAACAGCGCGCAATGGCTGCTAATAATAGTCCCCTACAGTAACCGCCGCGTCCGCGCCGGCCGCGGCTTCTCTCTCGCGGAGCTCAAGGCCGCCGGGATCCCCCGCAAGCTCGCGCCCACCATCGGCATCTCCGTCGACCCGCGCCGGCAGAACCTGTCCGAGGAGTCGCTCAAGGCGAACGTCGAGCGCCTTCAGGAGTACAGGAAGAGGCTGATCTTGTTCCCGCGCCGCGCGGGCCAGACCAAGAAGGGCGATGCCTCCAAGGAGGATATCGAGGCTGTCAAGAGCGGCAACATTGTGCGTCATTTGCCGGCTGTCAAGAACACTTTTGAGGTCGAGGAGGGCGCGATTGGCGATTACGAGGGCGAGGAGAACGCGTATATGAAGCTTAGGATTGCGCGCTCGGATGCACGCCTTGTGGGTGTGAGGGAGAAGAGGGCGAAGGCAAAGGCTGAGGAGGCTACTGCTGCTAAGAAATAGATGTGAGGAGGTGGTTCGGCACTGTCTGCATGTACTTCGAGTTGCTAATGGAAGCAGATGTACGCCAAAAATGGTTCATGATACCCTCTAGGTGATTCAGAAAGATCATCACATGTCAATTGCAACACTTGTTCTGAGTGAGGTGCTTGCTATGGATGCTAACGTAAGGCCCAACGCAAGCTCCCCCTTATACATAGGTGCACTCCCCCACCGTAACCCACGCCCAACCGCCCCACCCTAGTTGTTCCAAACACTACTCGACCTTCCAAAAACCCACCCACTCGGCGCCTCCTCCGCGCCATCATCCCCGCCGCTCCCCACGTACATCCATAGCTTACTCAACTGCCGGACCGTCCTCCCACTCCCCTCACAAACCGCATTCTGGGAATCATCCTGCACGCTCATGCGCCTCCCATACCTGCTCGGCACCCTCGAGATGATGAGATCCTTGTTGCCTACACTAAGGCTTCGGGCCCTGCGCTGCGCCGTCGCGGTATCGACGTCGACCATCTGGTCCAGGAACTTGTTCATCAGGGGCATTGTAGGGCTGTCGTCGGTGGCTTCTTCTTGGATGGTAAGCGTCGCTCGCGCGGAGGATAGCGGGAACATGGAGTCCAGGTAATGTTCGTTGAAGAGGTGTCCGCTCGCGCCTTTGTAAATGAACACGCGGCCTGCGTAGCGGTGCCCGGGGCAGTGGCGGGTGTTGTAGAGCACGCCCCAGCGCGGAACGAGGTCCAGCTCGTTGCAGTAGTGCTCGATGGTCTGTATCACGGTCGTCGGCTGGAGGAGGAGCGGGCGTAGGTCCCGCCGGGAGGGGGACAGCGTCCCAGACGCCGCGGGGCTGCACAGCGGGTTGTTGAAGTGCGCGGCGGCGGAGCCGAAGGTGTAGATCTCGAGTTTGGAGATTGCGCGCGAGGGCAGCTCGGCGTACATCCTGTCCAGGGCGAGGGAGATGACGATGCCGCCTTGGGAGTGCGCGAGCACGACGACTTTCTCGATGTTGGGATCGAGGATGTGTTGCTTGAGGCATTCGTAGGCGACGCGTACGTCTGTGGTGTTGTAGGAGAGGCACCGCTGGATCAGGCACTCGAGGATGTCGCCCACGATGCCGTACGAGCGGTTGTGCACGCCTGTGATGGGCCGCTTGAAGGTCGCGGCCAGCCTGTTGCAGGTGTGTTGGACCAGGGTGCGGCTGGTACCGATGCCGTTTATGAAGAACCACTTTTCGGTGGGGTGTTGCTTGTAGCCGGTTAGGTCGACGCGGGACTCGATGATCAGGGGCCCCCACATGCGCTGCTGAATGAGGTAGACAAGCGTGCAGACTGCCGTGCCGCAGACGATGGTCATCCAGCCTCGGAGGAAGAGGATGGCGGGAATGGTGACGAGAAGGAGGAACCATTGCAGCAGCGCCAGGATGACTGTCGAGACGACATCGAGCCAGGATCCGGGTTGCTCATCCTCGACGCCCGGCAGGGGAGGAAGTTGTCGAAAGGGCAAGATGGTGTTCGGTAGGTATTTCAGGTTCTTACACAGGATCTGGAGATCGATTAGGAATAGCCGAAAAGGACTGTGAAGAGCGCTGCGATCGCTGATGGCCGCGGCCTCATCGAGCGTTTGCGAAGGAATGAAAGCCACGCGTCCCATGATGATGCTAGGAATCTTGAGGATGAGGATGATGTAGCACTTACAAGTCTCGGTCGATTGCAGAACGAGTGATACTCCGGGTGCATCGCGCCTGCCTTCCTTGCGGGCAACGTCGGTTGACGGACTGTTTTCTGACATATTCGGCGACTCGGACGAACGCGGAAGCTGCGACTTGCAACAAAGATGGATTGTAGAAAGACGAGACCTTTGGGAGGACTAGACGGATACTATTACTATCAACCATGCCTCATTTCACATACGTAAGTTGTGAAAGCGAGAGCGTCGTATTGGAAACTTTCACAAAACTCGCATGGAGTTCGAATGTTGCGACAATGTCCGCATTGTAGCTTAATTTTGTGATTAATGATAGTGTTGCAGTAGTCGGTCTCTCCATCTTGACCTGGTGAACCGGTGTTTTGGTTGAAGGCTGGGGCAGGACGCTGTTCCTCATGACCTTGCAACCGCTCCATACTACTGCGCATAGGCGATTGGAGATTCCCTGTCATCGACCAGACCACCGAATCGACACCTCCCAAGGACCTCATGACCACATGTGAAGCTCAAATAGTCCAGGTAAGTCCCTGTCGACCGTCCAAGTGAGATAATGGCCTGGCGCGCCCCATATGAAAGCGTCTACCTCCTCGACATGCCAAGCCAGGTTATCAAACTCGAGCCGGCTACCTTTCCTCAAAGGCCACCTTTCGGCCTCCATAGCCAGATGGCAAGGTAAGTAAAGGCGACCAAGCCGCAGAACGCGCTCCCAACTTCCACTGCGTGAGCTTGGTGAGCCGCGGGGCTTCCAGCACCACCGTTCGACGGTGACCTCGTCATTGACCCGCAGGATGCCTTGGCAGACATGCGCCGTTCGAATCACCATGCCCCGAGCGGTGCGCGTGCAAACTATCAGCACAATGGAGAGGTTCGTGGTCCCAGTTCTGACAGGCTGAACTGGGATATGCTCCCAAATCTCCTCATAATGAGTCAAATAGCCAGTCATACGACGGGGTCTACGTCCGCGCTCGATATACTGGTTTGCTGCTCCGCCAAGGAACCAGTCGCCTTCGCATATGTGCGATGGCTGATTGATGATGTCTGCACGAAAGAATCGAGTAAAGCCATGGTGCGGAAGCAGATTTTCGCTGGCCGTCTCCAAGCTTCCGGCGGATCCCCACTCCAGGCGATCGGTCGGACCGCCATCGTTTGGTAGTGCTGGCTGGCCTTGTACCATCGACGTCTGGACGTGGATATCGATGTAGTGCCTCCCGACCGACGTAAGGCTCAGCGCGGAGGTGAATGGATTGTTGTCGCCATTGACCTGGGATTGTAAGTACTCTGCCAGGAAGCTCCAGACACGTGGTGGAGCGGAGAGAGGGCACGTACCCAGGCGCCGGATCTTCGCTCAAGGATTGCTGGATTCATGACGGTAACGTCAATGACTGGGTTGGGTAGATAAGACATCTTGACGAGTGGCAGAATTTTCCCAAGTGCTGGACTGTAAGGTGCAGTGTGAGGTCTGAGAAACTACCACATATTCTTCAAGGCGAAAACACTGGGAGTGAATTTGTGAGATCTGACTCGAGACTTGGAGGCTGTGGAGTGGGAGACTTTGGGGTGAAACAGCAGGAAGGAAAGTGAATGAACTGAACGAAGAAAGCACGCCAGAGGCCCGCGACGTCCTCTTCTGGTTCCGGCATGAAGCGAAGAAGCCGCTTTGACAAGAGCGACTGTGATATACGGTCTGCCATATCGACTACTACCACTCCTTAACAACGGCGTCCATTGTCCATAGCTGTGCCCTCATCAGTAGGAGCAGTTACAGCACATCCGACGCTCGTACTCTCAACCCTCTCCAACGAAGGCTGGATGGAGGAAGGCTGGTAGACGAATGCTCAACGGGAGAATGACCGAAACCCGGGATGTCGGGCGGTCACTGTTCCGTCGGATGCAGGGTCGAATCTGAACTGCTGGACCCTTTGCGAGATGCACCAATCGTCGACCAGCGATTCCCACGTCCTTAAATCGCGACATCATGGACTGCCGTTGCGGCAATCCGTAAATTTGCAAGCCATATCGATGGCGCTTAATTAATGGTTCCTTTAGATGGAGTTTCTGTCCTCGCTGTGCCCTCAGGGCCACGCTTTCTTCCTAGCAGCTTCTAACATAGCCTCCATTGTGTGGTAGTCAACGACACGTGCAAACACCACCACGATGCCCAAGCCCACAACCCCACTATCCTCCATCCTCCCTCCCCTAATCTTCGGCACCGCGACCTTCAACTACCAGTACAACAAAGACCCCTACCAGCTCGACACAACCGGCCTTGTGCACTCCGCCCTCACCCTCGGCATACGGGCGTTTGACACCTCACCCTACTACGGCCCCTCGGAAGAGCTGCTGGGCGCCGCCCTCGCAACCCCCCTAGTCCGCGCCGACTTCCCGCGCTCCAGCTACCACATCCTGACCAAAGTCGGCCGCATATCTTCCTCCTCGTTCGACTACTCCGCGCAATGGGTACGACAAAGCGTGCACCGCTCGCTCGCGCGCCTCCAGACACCGCACCTCGACCTCGTATACTGCCACGACGTCGAGTTCGTCAGCCCCGCCGACGTCCTGACCGCGGTGCGCGAACTGCGGCGCCTCCGCGACGAAGAGGGCGCCGTGAAGTACGTCGGCATCTCCGGCTACCCGCTCCCCGTCCTGTGCGCCCTGTCGCAGCTCGTCCTCGACGAGACGGGCGAGCCCCTCGACGCGGTCCAGTCCTACGCCAACTACACGCTCCAGAACAGCCGGCTCGCGAGCTGGGGCCTCGGGCGTCTGCGCGCTGCGGGCGTGGATGTGGTGCCCAATGCTAGCATGCTGGGGATGGGCTTGCTGCGGAGGGATGGCGTGCCGATGGGGAGCATGGGCGATTGGCATCCCGCGCCGCAGGAGCTGAGGGCTGCGATCAGGGAAGCGAGTGGTTTCTGTGATAGGCATGGTGAGCGGCTTGAGGTGATTGCGCTGCGCTGGGCGCTCGAGTCTTGGCTTTCTGCTGGTGCGGCGGTGGGGTCCAAGGGGGATCTGGCGTCGGGCGTGCCGTGGACCGAAGAGGCGAATGAGGCGGTTGGAGGAGGGAAGCTAGGGGTGAGTGTTATGGGCGTCAGTAATGGGGAGGAGTTGGAGAAGACGATGCAGGTTTGGCAGAGCATACTGGATGGGTTGAAGGGCGGAAAGGAGAGGTGTATCAGGGCCGGGAGGTGGGAGAGGGATCACGAGTGGAGCTTAAACCGGAAGAAGGCGGTACTAATACTCGCCGAGGGGGTGAGGGAAGTGCTGGGGGAGTGGGTCGATTACACCTGGGAAAGCCCGCCGCCGGATTTTGTGAATGAGAGGGACAAGGATAGGGAACAGGAGCCCTGAAAGCCGCCTGGATGTCCACTATCAAGGGCGACCTTCATCCTCACCAATGCTCAATGACCCGGTCAAAGCCCCTGGCACTTTGTCCTCGCTGTGGACCGTTATACCGATGTCAACTCGAAGAGTCCCGTGTGAGAGCAGGTATCTTGTAGATATCTCCGTTGATGATACGGGTTACTGGGACGAGAAACATCTCGCCAGTGCCGTCGCTTCATTGTCGTTCGCCCGGTAACAGCAGCTTTCGGAGTCTCTGATCCTTCAAGTCATTTGGTCATGCCATCGTATTAGCAGTCCATGCTGGATCGGAGACTCGCGCAGCGCGCTCATGAGACGTTGGTGTGGACCAATCAAGAGATGGGTCACGATATTCGTCGGTAGCCATGATGGGAACTGATAACACAATATATCCAATTATCAAAAGCTTCGTTGATTAGGATGGCCTCCGCATAGTCGCCATGATCACCCTGTTTCTAGACTAGATACACATCTGTCTTAGGCCTTGCGATATCGTCAAGCCTTGCTTAGAACTGGAAACCATTGATCTTGCTTCGCTACTTTCAACCGATCACTTGCCCGGCTACTGGACTTGCAGAGGCCCTTGAGCCTCACGACAGAACTGCGGAGGGCTCCCGTCCTCGACTATCGACTTGTCGTATAAAGCCGCTACCATTACAACGACACCACTACCAATCAAATATCACATTCAAACTAGCCAATCATCGATAGATTATTAAGGAAACAGCTAAGAAAGGTTCGATATGTACACTCCAGAAAAGGAAGGCGCGCCGCGCGCGCTGCAGGAGGTTAGTTCTGTCGCCCAACAACTGAGGGTTGACTTCGCCCGCCGACACTCACGTGTTCAGATGGTGGGAGACAACTCTCGCGATGAGCGTTGGCGTGCCCGCTTACAGCACATCGACTATCTGCGAGTCCAACTAGCCGTTGCGCTGGAATCGGCACAAGACCGGGCCAACGACATCTGGACATGACTTTCCTAATTCTGGCAGGACGCTTCGGACATTCCAATCCCTGGGTTCCTTCTACAATGACTTGAGGACGAATCGGAGACAAACGGACTGCTCTTGTATCCTACGGCCTTGTCAGACACCCAAGTAAATCAAAACATCCGAACTCCATTAGGACTCGATACCTGCCCCAACCCCGGCGTACTCACTACCGCCCCCTACGGCAGCAACGTTCAAGTCCATAGCCAATTCCATGGTTCTGAACGTGCCGAACGCCAGTGTGCATCATGATAGTGGAGGTGAACTATGAGCTCGGTTCTGTACCGTAGAGGACTGCATGACACTGGTGACGAACAGAAAACAGGCGCATACGTGACACATAAATTCGCGTGACACTCACGTCTTGAGGATCTGATCACATTCAGCGGTGCTGTAGATTGTAACTACCTCTCGCTAATAGATGTCTAAATAAAGCTTACACCAATTTGTCTCCAGCACAATGATGCGCGTGTTCCCTCCGTGAAATTGCGTGCTTCATCGGCCTTACTGAACGTCGCGTCCATGAAATGTGGCTCGTGAAGCCAGCGGTTAACTTGCACCGATCCACCTCCAGCTACGGTCCACCTCTAGCAGCCGAAGACCCTATCCCTAACGTTCACGAAGACGCTTCTCCCGAACGTAAGCCTCCATCACATCCATCCACATCTTAGCGTCCAACGCAGGCATCTCGGGTCTCGCACGTTGCGCCATTATCGTTCGAATCTGCTGCATCTCCACGTTCATGCCCTCGGAGTTTGCATGGCGCTCTTGTGTGAACCAGCTAGGCATGCTATCCTCGTCGGTGTCGATCTTGATGAATTCAGGAAATAACGCGGAAAACCGCAGTGTATGCTTCTCTCTTGTATTGGAGAGTGAGGCTTTTCCTGAGCGCTCTCGAAGGGTGTTGATAGCGGAACCGCTTATCAAGGAGAGAGGATTACTACTCGAAGCCAACGACGCAAAACAAGCGCACAAGACGGGCTTGGAATTTGGTTTTGTGGTACGCACACCAATTCTGTGCGATGAGTGTACGGTCCGTACACCTACTGCGAAACGTGACTGACTCGTACTTGTGAAATCTGAAGCGCACGAGGTCTACAGTCTGATCATGCCTTACCTCTCGCGGACACTTCGGACTACGACATCGAAGTCAAACGCGCGATCCTGCATGCCTAGCAGGTCCAAGGACCGCACCTGCCTATAAAAACTTCCGGAATCGGTTCAAAGCCTGTGTGAGGGACCCCACGAGGATGCACGAGGAACGCACTCACGGCCAGCTTTCAGTTCGGTCCGTAGGCACGCTTGCCAAAGAACACGCTTCTCAAAAGGGTAACAGCCGCGCTTCCGTAGAATGACGCAGTTGAAGTCCGCGATATGGTCCAGAAGTGATCGTCTGGCGTCCAACAACAAGCGCACGGCGGAAATCAATGTTGGCTCAGTCCGAGAAACAGCCCGGCGCATGACACCGTGGTATGTGAAGCACACGAATGATCCTTTGGGCTCGAAAATCTCATACTCGTTCATCCATAGTGTGCGCGACCGCATATCGGGCTTCTGCAGTTCGCGAAGTTTTAGGAGCTCGGGCCAGGCACATCTCCTAAAACGGCAATATGAGCTTCTTCGTAGAACGTCGCAAGTTCCTAATATGGGGCCCGCAAAAATCCTACCTTTAGGACTAGAGATAGTCCAGACGGATAAGGCGAAGTCCCAAGCTTAAACATAGGGTCCCAAGGGTGATTGCGGACGGCATATTACACCATAAGGTACAAACGAGGCGCAATTAGTCACGGCCTTGGGACATCTCCTTTCGAACGCTTTGATCTGGCCGCCGGATACGCATCCAAGTTTGAAAGTCACTGCTGCGCATAAGCCAAGGAGCGGAGCAACAAATCGCTCTCAGATCGAAGCTGGAGTTGGGTTCAGACTGGGCGCAAGTTGTTGCTTCGACCCTTTGGCCGTCCACTAGCTGACAAAGTCCGAGAGGTAGTCTGTAGATGGCCTTTCCTGTGTTTGGAGCGACTCATCAACCACAGTGTACGCAGACGCGTCCTTTGAATCAACCAGCTCTTGTACCACCGACCAATATACCTTGACGCCGCCTGCAGACTACCCATCGGACGTCGCCAGGTGGCGTAAGGCTATGTTTCTATCGTGCGGCTCCTTCGTGGTCCAGCCTTGCGCAACGGGATACAGTCCAGGTCTCGTCGGCCCGCGGATTGTTCAGGCCAAGACTCTTGCAATGTAACAACCCCTCGAAGCGCTTCATAATGCCTCCGGAGTTGTCCGGCAATACGTGTTTCGTCCAGGCGGCGCATGGAGTTCAGCAGGACAGGCGCTTGGTCGACCGCCGCCCACGGTAAGTAGAAAGTCTTTGAAGCCGTGTGACACTGAGTCGTGGAACGCCAGCTGGCCTTCAGGATTCTTGGGCGGATGATGAAACTCGCAAGCTCAAAGGCTCTCTTCGCAATGCTCGCTTTCTTACTGGAAAGACATGATGCATTCATCCCTCTGATCTTTGGTGTAGTCGTGCTATTGCGTTGATTGAGTGAGCGGTTGATGACGCGCGTCTCAAACGGCAAACTGTCCTCTTGCGGTCGCAGCGCCCGCCAGAAGCCGAGCTCTTCCCGTCAGAACGCGTCGCATTCCGAGACTTTTGCTGCCCGATCTTTTGTGCTCCCTGTCGATCTTGCTGCGCGCCTTGTGAGCACAGCACCAGCTCTCATCGTCGGCCGTTTTTTTTGCGTTGATCGCTCCGACCGGTGAGTGCGGCGTAGTGCAGGGGGTGGATTTCCGGATGCACTGCGAGAGCGTTGGTTGGTTGCGTTGAATGCGACATCCTTGCAGGGCGCTCAGCTGCATGCGGCGACCGTGTCCTCAGGGGCCTGTTGTTGGCCGCGCCACGGCCTTTGGCTGTTTCCTTTCATGTGCTTCACATGCCGACAGCCTTGCGACTGCGCTGCATGGGAAAGGCTGAACGAGAGCCTCCCTTCGCCAGCTGCAGTGCTGCCGGTGAAGAGCCAAGGCGACACATGTTGCAGAGCGCAGACGCGAATGGGAGGTGCTGGTTGGTGGGTGTTCGGGTGGGGGCGCTGTGTGAAGGGGTGGAAAATTGGAAGAGTCAGAGGGCACTAGCGCGCGCACGGGCCAGTAGCCAGACTCTACAAAAGCAGCCCATTTCCCGCCGACGGATTTCGCTCATTTTCGCACTCCCGTTGTTTGACCTGCGCCCCACGTCAACAACAGCCTCCTGTCCACCACCGTCGCAGATCCAAGACGCCCTCTTGTCTGCTCTCCGCATCTCTGTAGGCTCATCCACAAGTGCTCATATCGCACTTTTCCGCTCTCTCGTAAGGTAGCAGGAGGTATCAGGAGCCGCATTTCCCGATTGGGTTAGCGAGGACCGGTTTTGCGACGAGCCTCAAGTCAACTTCGGCTTCGTCCTGCCTTGTCTTCATCAAAAACCAAGACCCAGCTGGCTTTGTCTTTGGTTCCGACATCTTTCTCTGTTCAAATCACTCAGGCAGCGACTGTAGGGGAGACATTCGATTGTTCTTCTCCCACTGACGGTACGACACCTTCCCGCGCGACCGTCGTCAAGATCCTCCACAGGCGCTCATCGTCTTCGCACGCTTCTGCCCTGCGATCTCGAGCCTCGTCGATCTAGTCGATCTCGTCGACCGTCCAAACCCTGCAAAGAAGACATCCTAACGGACCGTGCTTTCGCAGACTGTCGACTTCTGTCTTTAAGCAACAAACAACCTCGCCACCACACACCGCTGTCATGGATAACCAAACCCAGCAGCCGGCGATCATATCCCACCCGGCGAATGCGCAGCAGGCCAAAGCCTTCACTGCACCGACGTCGCTCTCATTCCCAGGAGGAGCCGGCGACTTGACTCCTCCTTCGTCTGAGAAAGACGGACAAGCCCAGAGCAATGGTTGGTTCGCTGTGTGAACGGTCAGTAGCATGGGGGCTAATGCCGCATATCAGGCAACGGGGTGACACCCGCGACTCCCGCTGCGACTCCTGGTGCTGGTCAAGGTGCGAGCGGCATCGTGCCGACGTTGCAGTAAGTAGTACCTTGCACACCTGCTGTTCGATTCAGAAGGTTTATGCATGTCTCAAGAAACATCGTCGCCACCGTCAATCTCGATTGCCGCTTGGATCTTAAGACGATTGCTCTGCATGCTCGCAACGCCGAGTACAATCCAAAGGTATTGTTCTTCACTTGCTGAGAACATTTCTTTGTACTGATTGCTCTGTAGCGTTTTGCCGCTGTGATCATGCGAATACGCGAGCCGAAGACCACCGCACTCATCTTTGCCTCGGGCAAGATGGTCGTCACCGGCGCAAAGTCCGAAGACGACTCCAAGCTCGCGTCCCGAAAGTACGCTCGTATCATTCAGAAGCTCGGCTTCAACGCTCGCTTCACGGACTTTAAGATCCAGAATATCGTCGGCTCCTGCGACATCAAGTTCCCCATCCGCCTCGAGGGCTTGGCTAGCCGTCATCACAACTTCAGCTCGTACGAGCCAGAGCTGTTCCCGGGCCTGATCTACCGCATGATGAAGCCAAAGATCGTCCTCTTGATCTTCGTCAGTGGCAAGATCGTCCTGACGGGCGCCAAGGTGCGCGATGAGATCTACGCCGCTTTCGAGATGATCTACCCAGTGCTATCAGGTAAGCGCGTCGTCACCCAGAGGGAGCGCGGATCTAACCATGACCAGACTTCCGAAAGGCTTAATCGGCTGCGAAGCATCAATCTGTGCACTGGTGACGATCATCCATCAACACCTTGTAGCACCAAGTTCAACCTTCTTGTATCAACATCACCCTTCACGACAACCTCGTCGTCGCTCGTCATCACATGACTTGAGCCCCAGTTCTTCCCTTACTTCTCAAACATCCTTTGCGGCATTGCATGGTGTTCTACGGACTTGTTGCCTCGTGCGTTGGAGGCTTTTTCTTTGGTTCAAAACTTTCCCTCAGTATCCTAGAAGGCTGCACACGCCGGCTTCTACGGCGGCGGTTGGTGCGCTGGTCGATCGGTTGCCGTCGATTAATTTGTTTTCTGCGGGCGTGAGGTATACCCGGCGACGTTGCAGATGGCGAGTGTTGGGAGGAGACTGACAAAATTGAGGAGGATGGCGGAGGTGGTGGCAGGAAAGGGAGCCCTCTGACTGCCTGTGGAGGTCAAGGTTCATGGAAATTGGTTGCATAATGAGAAAAAATGGGATCGAGGCATGGCTTCGGGTGCACTGGGTCGGACGGTGGATCATTGCTTCTTTCCTCATGATGCAACGTGGGAAGGCGATGGTTGCTGTCTTTGCGCTCTGGCTGAACAGCGATATGCTACATAGGTAGTCATAGGAACACTTGCACGATCAAAGACTTCCGCAATACATATGTCTCGTCTTAAGCTGCTCTGACTCTGACACAATCAGCCATACATCACGACACAATCAGCCATACTTCACAACACAATCAGAACGGCCGGCATCAGTTCGTGTCTTCGTGCCTTGGTGCCTCGTTGCAGTCAGCCAAGTCAACAATCAGAACTACCTCACCACTCGCACCAACATCTTACCCACACCATCCCTCACAATTTCTCCGCTCTTCTCCCTCCCTCCTCGCTCTCCAAAACCATCCCCTTCCCCCCGCCCCGGCTCCCATCAAGCGTCCAGCCGCCCTCCGCAAGCCTCTCCGTCGGCCATCCCCACCGTCTACCCCACCCTCCCTCCTCCATCACCTCGCTCTTGTCGAGCAAGATGTCAACAATCTTATCCCCAATCACAGGCGCGAATTTGAAGCCGTGCCCGCTCCCGCCCGTCGCGACGAACAGCCCGTCATAGCGCGGATGATATGTGATCAGGAAGTCGCCGCGCGGCGTGTCGGTGTACCAGCACAGGCGGGTGCGGGCGAAGGGGCGGGCGGCAAGCGAGGGGTGCGTGGATGCGAGGAAGGCGTGCAGGGCCTGCTGGCCTTCCCTTGGAATCGGTTGCTGCGCGGGGCGCTGGTGGGAGGTGCGCGGGACGGAGACCGTGATGATCGGCTCTTCCCCCTCCCTTTCCCCCTCCCCCTCCCCTGTCCCCGCCGCATGGCCAGAGGCGCCAGCAACGCCGCCCCTCTCCGGGTGCGCGATGCGGACGGGATTCGCCCACCCAAACGAATGCCACGCAACCTTGACCATCCCGTCCGCCGACGGCGGAAACACGTACATCCCCGAGCTGAGATCCAGCACCACGGGCGCCTGGGCGAACCGCGCTGCCTCGTCGGCTGAGACGCGCATGTAGCCGATGCATTGCCCCCGTGCGGCCGCGATGCCGCGTAGGTCGAGGAGGGTGGGGCTCCAGGCGCCGGCGGCGAGGATGGTCAGGTCGGCTGTGAGGCTTGTCCCGGAGGCCAGACGGGCGCCTGTGACTTTGGTGGGTGCAGAGGGCGAGGACGAGAAGAGGAGGCGGGCAACGGTGTCGGTGAGGAAAGCGACGCGCTTGGTGGCTGCGACGAGGGCGCGGAGGTAGCGCATCGAGGCCTCGGCGTCGGCCCAGCCGGAGGAGAGGTTGAGGTAGCCGGAGCTGCCGATGGTGCCGCCTGTGTGCAAGGCTGCTTGAATATCGGCTGGTGAGCGGAGAGGCTGGATGTTGGTGCCCTCTCCTCTACTTCTGCCTTCTCCGCCCCCTTCTGCTGAGGCAGCTTCTCTCCTCAGTCCTTCGAGCGCGCGGACATTCTCAAGGCTCTTGACGACGTAGTCCTCCTTCCCCGGCTCGGCGGTCAGGCACAGCCCGACTTCGTGGTAGCGGCCGTCTGCGCCCCATTCGCCGCGCCAGTGCTCCTGTGCTTCTGCCGCGAGGGCTGCGTAGGCGGGGTCGGCGTAGTCGGCGCGGATGATGCGCGAGGAGTCGATCTGGGGGTAGTGGGGTTAGTGGGTGATATAAGCCTCTTCCTTCATAACGTAGGTGGATTCTGTCAATTGAAGGGATTGCTGGGTCGAGGGGCGTAGTGATGATGGGTATTTGACGAGCAAAGTTGTGATGGTAGGAGAGTGGGGATTGTACGCTGGATCCGTCTGGGGCGGGAAACGGGTGCCGGTCAACGAGTGTGATTGCAGTTTTCTTGAAATCTGGGTGCCTGGCGAGGGCGTACGCAGTAGAGAGGCCAAAGGCTCCGGATCCTATTATCAGGATGGAGGAGGGAATGGGTCTCGGTGGGGAAGAGGGGTGAGGAGACTTCGACATGACGGATGCGATGGAGAGGACACTAGAAAGATATTGCACTCGTTGGAACTGAAACAGATGAAAAGCTCTATTCTACAGAGGAAGATAGAAAGGGAAACTACATGGAATCCGCACAATGCGGCTCCCGTCCAGCGATATCGCTGGCGATAGGGTTGTGGTTGCGCAGGCGGGAACGGGCGATGCACGAGCGGCAATTGTCGCTTTGCTCGGCCAAACTGAGCATCCGAAGTCGAGAGATTCGGACGCTTCGAAGCTTGATGCTGTTGACTCGACCCAATCTTGAAAGATCAACAGAGGCGTTTGGATCAGCTCTACTTAATTGCATTGTACATATGAAAGCCGAGCCAGCATTTGAGCTGTGATTGTTCCATCGTTCGCGTCGCTGGCTATCCTCCAACCCAATGCGCAACCCTCCCAAGAACTCACCCTCCTCTCCACAACGACCACCGCAGAAATCCCCCCAAACACCGAAACCGTTACCATACAGACCGCAACCGTACCGTCCGTCGGAATCTGCACCGGCACCAAGCCCATCGGCCGCTCCACCCACCTCAAGTACCCCACCGCGCGTCGTGCTGCCCAGGTCCCGCCGAATCCCCCTGTATCTAGCTTTGGGCACCGCCGTCTTCGGCGGCTTCTACATTTACAGCTTCGTCAACTCTCTAAGAGCCCCCCAAACCAAGCTAGATGTCCCCGCCGACGTCACAGACCGCTATGACGCGCAAGCCAGCTTCTTCGACGCCGAGGTCAACTGGACGGAGTGGTACACGGGCATCAAGAAGCTGCGGAGGAAGTTGATGCAGAAAGCGCACGGGGACGTGTTGGAGGTCAGCGCAGGGACAGGGCGGAACGTCGACTTCTTCCCGCTCGAGAAGTGCAGAAGTGTGACGCTGCTGGATCTCAGCGGGCCGATGCTGGAGATTGCGCGGAAGAAGTGGATGGAGAAACATCCGGCGTACAAGAATGTGAGGTTCTTGCAACAGAGTGCCTTGGAACCTGTCACGTCGCCTGGAGGAGTCGAATTCGATACAGTCATCCAGACATTCGGGCTGTGCTCTACGCCTGAGCCGGAGAAGCTGTTGAGGAATCTCGAGAAGGTTGTCAAGGAGGATGGGCAGATATTGTTGCTCGAACACGGAAGGAGCCACTACAAATGGCTGGATAGGCTGCTGGACAACTCAGCACCGTTGCATGCGGACAAGTGGGGATGCTGGTGGAACAAGGACATTGCTGCTATTATAGGGGCTAGCGAGCTTCAGGTTGTAAAAATCAAGAGGCGCCATCTTGGGACAACGTGGTGGATTGAGCTGAAGCCCCGCAAAGGAGGAGGCAGGGTGGAGGAGGCGGAAGAGGACACGGCTGACGAGCAGCGGCCGAAGCTGGAGCAGCGGAGCGTAGCGGAGCAGCAGGTCGCCAGGAAGTCGGAGAAGAAGTAGTGATGAGAGGTTGGTGGTGGGATGTGTTCAGCAACGATGCGAACCGTCTCAGCCGCCATGTGTCTACTGCCTCCGTGTCTCTCCAGACTGCTCTGCTTGCAAGGACAGCAGTAGAGCGCAGACGGCAAGAGTACATCGGGTAGCACACTCGGGTATATGCCTTAGGCAGCAGCTGAATGCGCCTCGGCATACGATGGTGTCTGACGTTGCGGACATCTGTCCTGGGAGCGTCCAGAGGAGCTCGCAGCGGAAGCAACAAACGAATCGCGTTGGGCGCAAAGCATCCGCCGCTCGTTTGTCGTCGACAGCGAGCCGCGACTGCCGTCCCTGACCTCATGGACCCGGGGACAGTTGTGTCAGGTTGTTGTTCAGCTTCCTGAAATTCCGTAGCTTTATCGGAAGGCGCAGATCTTTTGCTGCTGCCGTTGGAGCCTGGGAGCCTGAAATTTCATCACAGCTGGAGATCACCATGGATCGTCATGGGCCAAGCACGCGACCGTTCCGAGCCCCTGGACGATGCATTAACTCTGCCTCGCACATGCTTCCGCCGAGATCTGCGCGAATCGCAAACTGCACGGCATGCAAATGTGCGCGGAACTGCATCGACCTGGCCCCTTTCCTTCCGCTTTGTCAACGCGGCTGGCCACGCTCTGCTCAGCACTGCGCGGGCCCTTTGGCGAAAGGTCTGGAAGGCGCCTTCTGCCCCTTTGGCTGAAGCTGAAGCCCAAAGGCGGGCCAGCGCCTGCAACGGCGTCGTTGTGTCTGGCGGCGCAAACGCTGGGGTTTGAGGGCGCCGAGCGTTTGTTTCGAACGCCAACCGGATGTTTGCCGGCGTCGTTTAGGGCAGAGCTAAAAGATGGCGCAGAAGCACGGAGCCGACCGGCAGATGGCACCCCTGGCACAGACGGGACTGATGGCGAAGCTGCAGCGCTGTCAGATCTCCGTCTTTGCAGCTGGGAGAGCTGGGTTTTCCTGCCGGAAGTGCGGAAGGGGGAAGCAAGGCGGCTCACGATCAGCACTGCGTCATGCCTGGAAGTTAGTCCGATGCACGCGACGCTGCTGCGAGTTGCCGAGTCAGGAGTCACCCACAGGCGGGATGGGCCAACAGGCAGCAGAGACAGAGCTGTCGTCAGTTTGTACCACTTACCCAAGACTCTCAGTGGTGATGCAGCATAGAGCGGTTTGGCGCAGCAGACGCTTCAAGCGCTTCGCGAGCGAAAGCCAATGTGAGCAGTCTCCCGAGGCAAACCTGTCATCGATTAAAGTTTTTGTGAGCTTTCTCATGAACCCTGACCAAAATGGACGCTTTCACTTCACTACGTGCCCCGCTAGCCTTGTGAGGCTTAGCATATGCCAGGCCCCCAAGCTCGCCTCTCCCCTTCTGGCAATTGCGACACCACGGAACCCGCTCCTTCAGCAAACCCCCCTTCGACTCTCCCTCTATCACCCATCTTTGTGTAGACACGTCTTCTTTTCGCTGTTTCATACGGCTGTATTCACAATCCTCGTCTTTATTCGATATCGCGCGCACCTGTAGTCTACCGACAACGAAGCCGCTGTTGCAGCCATCAGCCGTCTCGCTTTACGTACGCCAGGCGGAAGCGTAGGCGACCTTCCACGGGAAGCCGACTTTTGCAAGCTCGCCGCCCAAGGTTTTCGTCACGTCTCACCCAAGGAACAGCCAGACGGTGACAGCGACGTTAACGCACGCTGCCTTGCGTTAAGCTAACCTTGCAAGACGCGCATCTGCAGCAGCAGAACCGGCCAGTCAAGCAAGGAGGCCGTCTCACCGTAACTGCATCGCCTGCATTCCTCGCAGCCGCCTTCCGGCCAATAGGCGCATCCCCTTGCAAAGCGGCGTGCCTCACACCGCGGTCCGCACAACAAACTTCCAGCTGCGACTCCTGTCAGTCGCGCGACAGAAGCCTATCTCAAGTTTGCCTTGTCGCCATCTCACCCACTCTCACCCGAATAACATCAGAGTTCGATAGCCACAATGCCTTACAACACCAGGAGGAAGTCGCTGTCGCTGCCCATGCTTGGCATCCAGCTGCCAAACAGCTCCCGATCGTCATCCCACCGCTCACCGCCCGCCAGCAACTCTGCCACGCCGCACGAACAAGCACCGCCGACAAAGAAAGTCAAGCGATCTCACAGTCCCTCAATCTCTGCCTCACCTGCGAGCCCTCCGCCCAAGAGAGAAGTGAGGTTTCACGATGAGCAACCGAAGAGCGCTGGAAGAGTGGCAGAACAGACTCCGCCACCGTCGCCAGGCAGAGACTCCGACGTCTACAAGGTCGACACCGATGGTATCAACGACGACATCGTTGTGGGTGTGATTCAGCAACTGGAGAAGACGGGCAACAGGCCTCATCTTCTGAAGGAGCTCGCTGCAGTCCTCGCCAACGGCCTGCCGATCGTCGAAAGGTACGTAGCTCCCCAGGAATGCCCTCATCGGCGACACCTCACTGACTCTTTCACTAGCTCTGCAAACCCATCTGCCATCATCTCGTCGCGTCTGGCGTCCTACCTCAAGCGTCCCTGGACCGCTCTTTCACCCTGCCCGGTCGGCAAGGAGCTGGTCGGCACCCACCCGAAGCGCATCTACTTCTTCCTCACAACCTCGCCTCATCAGTCGATTCCCGACGCTCCTGATGCCGTCTCGGCCGTCGCTATGAACCGCATCATCTCACCTTCACTTTCATCCGCTGCCGACGACGAGGAAGAGCGAGCAGCGCGCACTCGCGAGTCCATGTCGCCTGAGGTTGACCTCTCCTCACCCGAGCTCGGAGACACCGATGCGCACCTCGAAGCTTCACTCGACTCGCTCTCCGGTCGCAGCTCCTCACATCCACCGACTACCACCAACATCGCGCACAACCGTCGCGCTGCCAGTCCTCCGCTCGAACGCGAGGAGCGCGAGTTCACCCAGACAGCTAGCTCACTGCAGCAGCGCAGTCGCAGCCAGAGCCAAGCCACCATGATGGACGCACCGCTTACCGAAGAGCTTCCCTCAGGCGTCGACGTGCAGATGCACGACGCCCTTCCCGGCGCCTCTGACGAGACAGAGGAAAGCGCAAGAATCAAGAACAGCGAAGCCATGATGGCGCTCTTCGGCGAAGGCATCGTCCCGCCAGGCATGAAACTCATCACCCTCAGCAGCCCGTTGCTGAAGCCGCAGCTGACTGTGGAAACGATGATCTCGCTCGAGGAGGACCTCGGCGACTTGTATGACCCCGCTCAGATCCGCATGGGGTACGAGTCTCCAGCCAGAGATGACGAATTCAATCTGTCGGCCTATTACGAGGAGATGGGCTGGCTCAAGGAGATGAGGAGTCCGGAGGCTGTCGATGTTGAGGAGATGGAGTCGCTGTTCTTGGAGAAAGAATGGAGGTTGTGAGACGTGTGCTGGCATGAAGAGGAATTTCCGAAGAGGAGGGAATGGCATGAGGAGATTGTGGACAGAAATCTGGCACTCAACGTGCCATCTGCGGCTGTGGGATATCTGATACCCATCATCTGAAGCGCCGGACGCTGGCATATGGTCTCTCGCTGGCAGTCTCTCTCGGTCTGTATCACGTGCTTTTAAGCATGGCTGGCACCTTCCGCCCATCACCCCTATGGCTGGCGCGGCGGTATCTACCTGGGCTGGCCGCGCTTTACTGGCACTGCTCTACTGGCGCTGAGCGAAGAAGGAGAAAAGCAACCTTTGTGCGAGCTTTGAAGTTGGGGCGATATCCTAGATACTTCTCCCCTCAAGGGGCCAAAATCGTTAGCGAATAGCGAATAGCGGATGATAGAAACGTATATGTTAACTCTACTCCATATGCTTTTGTGGCTCTCAAATTAAGTGGTTGCACATTTGACTTTCCCTATCGCCAATTGCCGTTGGGAAGTATGCTGCGTCTTAGCAGCCTGACGTGCTCTGGCCAGGTCCGCTTCTCGACCACAGACAGCACCTCTGAACCATGATGCAAGTGTCATATGTGCACATATCTACATCCCCCTTAGTATCGTTCCTTTCCGAATCCACCACCACGACCCAGTTTTTTTCCAAATCCAGTCCCAGCAGCTCTACCCACATCCCATCCTCACGCATACCCCCGCCGTGGCGGTTCCTCATTCCCCGCCTCCCTCAGCGATAATCTCTCGGATCCCTCGGCAGCGACGGCGGCGGCCCCTCATAATACCTCCCCTCCCTCTCCCTCTCCCTTGGCGCAGGCGGGTACGGCGGCTCCTCATCCACATACCGACCTCTCCGCGGCGGCGGTCCTTCATCTCTCGGGTCTCGGGGCGCATAGTCTCTTGGATCCCGCTCTCGCGGCGCAGGCGGCGGATACGGCGGCTCTTCGTCCGCATACCTGCCCATCCGCGGCGGCGGGCCTTCATCGCGTGGGTCGCCGGGCGGCGGGTAGTCTCGCGGATCTCTGGGGAGTGGAGGCGGTGGGCCGCTGTCGAAGTACCCGGGTGGGGGAGGGGGGCGGTCGTCGGGATAGCGCGGTTCCCGTGCACGCGGGCCTTCGTCTGCGTAGCGAGGTTCGTCTCGTGGACGGGGGCCTTCGTCGCGTGGGTCGCGCGGTGCGAAGTCCCTTGGGTCTCGGGGCAGCGGCGGGGGCGGGGGCGCTCCGCCGTCGAAGTAGCCGGGTGGGGGAGGGACGAGCGGGGGCGGGGGACGGTCGTCTACGTAGCGTTGGTCTCGTGGTGGAGGGCCCTCATCTGCATACCTGGGCGCGTCTCTGGGGCCGGGCGGCCTATCATCGATGTACCGCTGATCTCGTGGACGTGGGCCTTCGTCCTGATACCGCGGGTCCCGAGCCTGTGGCGGTGGCGGAGGCGGCGCGCCTCTTTCCGGCCGTGTTTCAGGCGGATACAGCACGTACTCGTAGGTCTCGGGGTCCCGCTGCGCGAGCTCGCGCTCCAGTCGCCATAACGGGCTTTCGGGGAGTACGCGCGTGCTGACGTTCTGCTCTCTGAAGCGGGCCCGCCAGTAGATGTTAGGCTGCTCGCTGCCTCTGCCGCCGCCGCCGCCGCCGCTATCAGGCGGGTACTCGACGACGAGTTTCCAGTCGTCCAGCGCTTCTGGATCGTAGCGGCCCTTGTCGTCGATGCCCGGCCCACCGAGCCGCAGCCGTGTGCGGACGGAAGAGTGGATATACTCATGCGTATCCCTTAGCGGGCGGCTCGTCTCGCGGCCATCGGGGTCCACCGCGTAGTACGTGCCCGGAGTCCTGGTTGTGCCGCCGCCAATGGCATAGATCCCTGTGTTAGAGTTCTCTATCTTGCCAAAGGACCAGGGACGCACGGGCTCGCGGGCGTGCTGGCGGTAGTACTGGGCTGTTTTGTCAGCTTCGTCGAGGAGGTAGGAAAGTCGCATGTCGAGGAAGGGCTCGAGCTGCGACATCATCCATGCGAGGGTTATGTTGGAGAGCTCTTGGTCGTCGTGACCGCCGCCGATATTGGAGTGCACGCCGGGGAACCAGACTTGACGGAGGATCTGGGTTGGTGGTTAGTGGTGAGCTGATCCTGGTAGGGGAAGGATGTAGAATATAGAGGTGGAAAGGGAAGGGAAGGGAGAGGACGAACTGTGCGGTTGCCCTGCGGCTTTTCCCATACGGCGGGGCGGAATGCTGTACGCCGCTCATCAAGGGCGAGCGCTTGAAAGGCGTTTTCGATGATGTTGGAGAGCTTGGTGTCGTAGAACTGCATCTCATCGGATTCTTGATCTTGAAGACCGACTCTGGTCAGGAGCCCTACGCGAGGGGCGCCCAGAGCGCCTGAAGACGATCCTTAGCTTTGAAACCGGAAGCTTCAACTCTGCAACACTTACCTACCGTATCCCATACGCCGATCGCCTTGACCGACACATCTAACCGTGTGAGACCGCGCTTCAATGGTGTTAGTCGCGCAATGATATTATGCTGGTCCTCGTTGAGCTCACCCGGTATAGTTCTTCTCGATATCTTGGATCACTGGCGCTTGGCTTGTTTGGAAACGGTGCATTTCTGTTCCTGGGCCGGTAGTCCGGGTTGCGACGATTCAGGACATCTCTATGGATCTCGGGTAAGAAGTTGAGGCCTGCTTTCGTCAGGAGACCAACAACCGCCATCATCCCAGCGATGCTTCTGGATGTGAATGCACCGCGAGAGAAACCGGTCAAGAAGATCTCGTCGCCAGTGGAGTAGTTGTTTGCAAGGAAGGAGTAGCCGTCGCGGACGTTTTCCTCAAGACCCTCCCCTGTAGAGCCTGTGACATAGAATTAGTTCATTCTTCCAAGCGTGGCAGATGTTAAGAGAATTTCTTGAATGCGTGCAGCAGGGAGAGCTTTAGTCCTCTTACCCATGACCACACGGCTGACGACATTGCCTCGACTGGCGACGCCATAATGGTAGTATACAACTTGCGGTATTCCATCGGCGCTGACAGGCTTGATTGCTCTTGACAGCCGTGTGACGTTGCTGGGGATGGCGAGCTCCCCAGTCAGTCTACCGTCGTCCGAGTTCAGCCATGTACCTGCGATAATGTTTCAGCTTCGTGATATGCCATCGGAGTAATTCAAAGCTTACCATCGTTTGCTACGATGAGTCTCTTGAAGGGTGGCTCTCGTGAGCCACTTCCCCGTGCGGGAGACCTAGCCTCTTGAGGCCTTAGGACGACCTCTCTGCCTCCTGCTGGTTCTCGAGTTGTCGATTCTCTAATAACCAAAGTCGAGGTTTTCGTGTTTGTAACTGGATCGTCCTCGCGGATGACTACCGCCATGACAGTGAGGCTGATTGGGTATCTAGGTAGTATCGAGGGCAGTTCGAGCTTGAACTTTCATGGCCATCAGAAAGGATTCATGCTGGCGGCTCCGCATTGTAGGAATTCTAGGAGTATTTGCCCGCCTTTCCAGTCTCTTAGAGGCTGTTGGTGGTTGTCACATGACCCCACCCGGTCGTGTTTTTGTTGTTGCAGTTTAGCGTGACATCATTGCATGGCACTCACTTGAATGACAGAAATTGCCGGACTCCGAAAAACAGATAGGTCTTCAGTCAGCTTAGGGAGGTCATAAATAGCCGTAATCCTTCCTGGTATGCTGCCACATAAACATATGCAAGCTATACCTGGAGATAGGATGGCTAAAAGATCTTTGGAGACGTGGTGAATCTAACAGATTCCGGCGATTTGGGAGTGAGTTGTAAGTCCGGTAGTTTAGGAGTCCGGCAATTTCTATCACTCGCGTGGCACTCAAGGGTACAGCACCAAAACCAGCCTTGCGCAAGGCCCTGTAGAAATGGCGAAACAAGCCGTGCTCTGAGGAGGGTGTATATGCGGCAGATAAACAGCAGGTGAGGAAAGTGTCCGCAAAGCATCAAAGCAGTAAGTATTGGTACAAACAGAGATCCACAATTCAAAGAAGTCTTGACTTGAACTGTCCAGTCGACGCATGATTGCCTCTTTCAAACCATGCAGCAGCGTTCTACTCTACACTGATAGGAAATACATCCTAGTAACAGACGCGTCGGTCGAAGCGTCAAGAATTTTATGGTCGCGGAAGAATCCGGCGGCCCAGCAGCCGTGAGAAGAATGAAAAACTTCGATTCAGCCATGCGATAGTGCTTATAGTGATGACCAGGAGGCAGCACGATCTCGCTGACCTGACCCTATCAAGAGGCTCTCCACCCGTAACTCCATGACCTGCGCTATGCCGACGATCCGCTATGTTGTCCGGCTTGAAAACGTCGTCTGTGACCGGACGCCTCGCGACGGGTGCTGGGAACTTGGCCATTCGCTTTGTCCCGGAACCGACGGATCAGGCAAAGCTATTCAAGGTATTGAACCAAAAAGTCGGATCAGGAAAGCAACTCCTAATCATGTCTTATAAGGGCGTGCTGCGATACGAAACTACAGGATGAGAAGCTTTCAGAGTTGAGCCAGTAGCTGCTGAGGCACCCAAGAAGAGATGATCTACGAATACTGAAGAAGAGTAATGCGGGATGAGCTCGAACTCGGTGTGAGTAAAGATTGCGACTCTGTACTAAACTTGCAACTACTCCTTCCCTCGCGGTCACTTTCTTGACGCAACGCTCTCATGTGCCTTTGACATTACGCCTTGGACTCGAGCAGGATGCGGCCTATGTCACGTCAATACGACATTCAACCTTTTATCACACTCGACCGACCTATTCCGGCCAAGAGCATCCACTCTCAAAGGTCAAGCGCTTGCAGATATGAGGCGGAAGTCTTTAGACATTCGCGGACTTGGAAATACACGCATCACAGCATTGCATTGGACTTCTTTCTGCTAAGCTGTCGGCCCTTACCAGCTGATCACATATCGGATTGCATTTCGAGGCCAGTCGAGGAGACTTACATGTAGATCACGTGGTGATGTAGTGATTACGAGTCGGCACTCATGCCGTGGCTTCCTGAGTATCCGGTCTATCTCGTGTGCAACGTCGAGCATCCTCAGCCAGAAGACGAGGGCGGGGGCGGGGGCGACGACGAAACGGATCATCCATCGCACATGAGCCAGATATTGCGGAGATCGTGGAACCACACGCGTCTCGTTCTTGGCCTGCATTAGCAGGACGGGGCGGGAGTGGGAAGCAGCAACTTGACATGGAGTCGTCTCGGCGGATTTCACTAGCACTGCCACCTTGGTGGTTGAGCTTTTCTCCAGCACTGGAAGTCGTCTTGCTGAGGGTTTGTTAGAAGCCGCTCAAGTGCTACCTCGGAATGTGCTCCAGGAGAGCACGTGGCAAACCGAGATTCAGCTTCTGGGCTAAAATCGCTCTAAAGCTACGACGCTGTCATCTAGCGGCCGTGGCCAAGAGCGACTGCAGTGAAACTCTATCCCAAGGACCATGTCGACGTGTCGATGCCGTGTGACCGAGACATCATTGGCTCGGCCCGCAGTGCATGCCTTGGCTCACCTCAGCACCTGGTACTCGAAGATTGCTTTCTTTGGGCAGGGATTTCCTTGAGAGCGCCCCTAGTGGAGGAGGCCCAAACGGCCTGTCAGATCCTAATCCTTCCTCTTCCCTCAGCTTGACTGAGTTGGTAATACTCAGTACCTGGAACCACGCAAGGCAGGGAAGAGCTTGCACCGCAACCAACATAAATGCTCTCAATATCAAGTCAATATTCCACGAGAGAGTCCGAGTAGCTGCTTTAAGACCTGTTCTCTGGCCCTTTGCACATAAGCGCTGATATAGCCGTGCAATAATGAGTTAATTCCTGAAGGTCAATGTTGATGGAGCGCTGGAAAGCGTTAGAGTTCTGAGTTTGTGGTGGAAGTTCTTCCCTGCCCCGCGTGCTGGACAAAGAAATTGAGCACGTGCTGAGCATGCCGATGGCAGATCAAGCTCCCCTTGGGCTATTACGATGTTTCGGGATACGGAGATCATGGCTCGCTAACGATTAACTCATCGCGCTATCCCTCTAACGTCCGCGCCGTTGCTGCACTCCAAAGACGGGCCATGTGCCGCGCCGGGCTGTGTCGAAAACTTCAATGCCCAGAGAAGGAATGTGAAACGGGAGGTCCAGCCGCAGCGCCGATCGCTCGCCGAGCTGTTTCTTCGTCGCAGTCGAGCGCGCATCCCGCTCATTGTGAGCGTATCCTGCTGGGCCAGTCACAGCCAATCACTGCTGCACGCCCCCAAGTGTGTTGACAGCTTCGAACGCTTTGAAGACGTTGCGGTGAGCGGAGATTGCCAAAACGGACTGACTCAATGCAAGCAAGCAGTGCTCCCGCATTCCGGTGGTCTGGTGCATGGGCTGAGCCACGCACGGTGCGCCGGATGCCAAGTCTGTAGCCCGACGCCAATCAGCCTGGCATGTCGTCAAAGCGTGACGAAAGCTTGGCCATCGACTGGGCTCCGCATGGGGACGGGATGTGAGTTTGATATTCGATCCCCTAACTGCTGTACCTAGGTATTGCGCTGCCGCTACGATGCCCATAAAGCATAGTAAGTACCCTTCTGGGGTTTCCACAGGATTTCCTTGTTCACCGATACCAACCCGCTGGCTCTCCTCGGCGTTTGCGCGTCTGGCGAATTATCTTCCCCTTTGTTTCCACCACACGCGAAGTCCTCCCCAAGCTCCGCCCTCTTCCCCACATTCCGCGCAAGTCACTTCTTGATACCCAATCGTCTACCAAGCGATAAGGCATACTGCTGCCTATCTGTGGTTGACAAGCCTTGGCATATTAATACGCGTCGTCACGGAGGCGAATCACGCGCAACACTGCCACACACAGTCGCGGCGGCAAACAACAGCTGGAGACACCATCGATTGCTTTCAGCACTGAAGAGCATCATCTTAGCAACCGTCGTCATCGCCGGACAGTCAGAAGACTCGCTCTTTCTCTAAAAGCTACCACATCACAAAGCACCTCGTCAACGCTTCACGCCCTCCCACACAATGTGCGTCGCCGAATTGAACGTCTCTCTCTCCCCATGCCGCCACCGCTGGTACCGTCTTCTCCGCCCATGTGCGCCCAACATGAACCTTAGCAACTGCCCCTCCAAGCTCGGTATCGAAGGCTGGGAGACCAAGTGCGACTTCTGCCCCTACTGCATCGGCGCTCCAGACTTGTCGACCTACCGCCTCGTCGGCAACGACCGCAGCCCCAGCATCGGCGGCCTATCTCGCTCGCCTTCTCTCTCAATGTCTCTTAGCAGCACCCGGCGGGACAGCAGAAGGGGCAGTCTGGCGCGCTCGGACAGCTCCACAAGCGTCACGGGCGTGATGCTCGCAGCCGGAGAGAAGAACAGAGCTCTGAACGCACGTCTGGATGCCTATCTTGCTAGCTGTCCCGAGAAGATCATTAAGGCGGAGGGCGAGGACCCGGACGCTCAGCCACCCAGTCCAGTCAGTGACGGCGAGAACGGACAAGTCAGTGTCGCGCAGAAGGATGCGAGCGGCAGTATGTTCGGGAAGAGCTGGAAGAAGGGCAAGCGGTTCAGCAAGGGGTTCTTCAAGGGAGGCTGAGATCGCGGATCACGACAGGGCGTTTCGGGTCAGAAAAGTTTGACCTTTACATCGAAAGGGGACACCAAAACTCTACTCTCAGATTTGCTGTACTGATTTCATGACTTGACCGGCTGGTAGTCTGAGGAGAGTGCTTGCGGCGCTTCGGAGAGTCCGTTCTACCGGCCCGTGGGCATATTATCACAGCCGGAGTTTTGCTCCGCAAAGAGACGGAAGCGGGAGTACTTTGTGGGCTGATGGCTCCATCATATATGGTGGCTTTTGTCGGAGTTTTTGCTTTTGAGAATACCCGGACCATATGTCAGCGCAGAAGGCTGCGAGACTACGCTTGTTTCATATTTTACTGAATCATTCCGCTATACGGACTTCCATAATAATTCATCTGTTCCTTACATGTCGACTTTATAATCGTGTCCGTGAATCAACCCTCGTACTCGTCCTGCCATCCTTCTTGTATGACTATATGACGGAGAGACATTGTTGCCATGCACGGGAGATCTCTTGCTGCGCGAAGCGCTTTTCCTTTTCTTCGCCACCTTCATCCTCTGTTATAACCTCTCGACTCTCCCGGCAACCCTTCAAACCCAAGAGGCTGGTTCACAGACTCTCACCAATGATTCTGGCAACGGCAACTCGTCCAGACGGTCCTGCAGAAGAACAGAAAGTTCTACATTATGGAGCCAACCACCGCTCTTCTATATCAACCAATGTCCGCGACGGACCTGTGTCATGAAGAGAAAATGAATTAATGTCTACACGACAAGCCATACAGGGTTTACATACCGGTCTCCAATCTGTTACTTGCTGTGGAACTCTTGGCTGACCGTTGGGTAGACGGGCATGGCCGCGACCCTTTCGTCGGCGCCTTGGCCGGCTCGCTATGTTGTTCAGCGAGAACGAGTTCAGACTGTTCATTCTCAGCGGCGATACCAGCGATACGCGCCATCAGTCGTCAAGCCCTAGCCTGGACAATTATCAAGCCCTGATCTCCAACGACAACGCTTGCTGTACCTTCCATTACTCACAACATCGGATAAGATGGCTATGGCACTGGACGAACCTACTAGAATGGTTAGAAGGCTACTACCATCACGAACAGGGCTATCTTCACCCATACAGGGCGCTGTCTACGGTCGAAACCTTAAGGTCCCCAAGCCTAACAGAACACCAAAAGAAGCTTTACCGGACCCAGCTCCTATCTCTTGAGCGGAGGACCTTGGCCGCTTTCGCTACCAAGAAGCTCGAGTACAAAGCGGAGCTGTCTGGGCCTGCAGCTCAGGCCCGTGCCTGGTTCTTCACGAAGAAGATGACGGAGAGGGAGAGGGACGCCGAATTCGCCAATATTACTCTCTTCCCGAGGTAAGTCATGACGTGACGGCAGCCCGGATCTTGAAGGCCGCAGAAGTCCAGGCCGCCGAGAGGTAGATGAGAAACACGGCGAAGACACGAGGTCGACAACTGCAATCGTACGGCGCCGTCTCTATTCAGCTAGCTTTTACAGACGGTAGAGAGGCATATCTTCCCCCCACCATACGGACATTCGACGGGCGGTGGGAAATAGGGTAACAATTTATGGCTTACGGGACATCGTCAAGTGTGCCTCTCACTATAGTTTGCTAATTACTCCATAGCGTCGGGATCCTACTGAATTACCGGTAGCGCAAACTCCCTACGGTCGGGCAACTATCCAAGGAATAGCCACCAAAGCTCGAGCCGGACGGCCGACCGCATCGCAACGTGAAAGGATTCGGGGCAGCGTATGGGGTCAGGGTTGCGGCCGAGGAAGACAGAGAAGAGTACGGCGGGCGGCGCGTTGGTGCAGCAGTCGCTGGAACCTTGGATCCGGGTGAAAAAGGACCAGGAGAAGAATATTAAGGATGCGGTCGTGGTAAAAAGACTTTCGCAGTCCGTACGAAGGGAAATAGTACAACCTCGGAGCTGGAGCTGGAGCAGGCCAACGCAGTGAACATGGCCCGGCTGGAGCATTTGGAGACTGAGAACGCCGCTGAGTTCGCCGCTCTATACGACTAGACAGCTAGGCTGTAGCTGCTAAAGGACGCGGTTGATGCAAACCTACCCAGATCAAGGATGCCTGGAAAGTGGCTCGGGATGAGTGTGCGTTGCTCCGACACGCAATATGAAACATTGCCCAGATTACGACGCCTCTAAACGTCAAAGAGAAGGCGGATGCAAGAACTTGAGGACAATTGTCGTATCGTTCTCGGTCCTCACTAAGTCCGTAGTCGCAGCTTATTCGATCCGACACAGCAGCAGTTCCTCGCCGAATAAGCGGAGAACCAACATTTAACGAAGTACAATCAGCGTGGTGCAGGATGAGGGTCGGTCTTGTGTACGAATTCAAGTACCTGGGAGGCGATGATCATTGATCAGACACAACGCCAAATACCTCAGCGGTAGCGGAGACTTCAATCATGAGATCGAAACGCACGAGAAACGAGAGTATGACAGAAATATTGAGGCCACGATAAAACTTGTGAGATGACAAAAACCAGTTACGGGATGACCGTCCGATGTGGATAGCGAAGAAAAAGCATGAAGTTGTAGAGTTACTGGTTCCCAGTGATCGCGTGGTCAAACCGAGAGGTGTAGTCCTGTTACTAAAACACCATCCTCTCTGTAAACTCCTAAGACCAGTTCATCCAGCATCCACTCCCCTCCGCTCAAAACCATGTGCAGTCCGCCCAACATGCCCACCGTGACTCTTCCGGCGCTCAAGTCCATGATCCGCCTCGCCCTCAAAGGGAAGAATTCAGTGGCTTCAGGGCATGACCGTGGGCTAACCAGAGGCAAATTCAATGTGCAGGTGTTTCAGTCTTCCTGAGTGCGGACACAAGTAGCTTTCTGGCAGCGACAACTACACCGATCTGCCAGCAGAGCCAAAGAGCCTACTCCTCCGTCTCCTCACAGACTCCCTCGCAGCAGCTGCACTACTCTCCATGCTCGTCCCAAGCCCCGAGTCCACAAAATCCACGTCCTCATCCTCATCATCCGCCTCAACAGCCGGCGGAATATCCGCAAGCGCTCTGGGCGTCTCCTCTTCCTTCTCGTCCTTGACCCGCGGCGACGAGTACCGCAGCGGTGGCTGGCCCGCATAAGTTGGGAACTGGCGCGAGGTATCCGAGAGATCGTCCGCGGACGCTCCGGCATCGGTGCCGGGTTCGGTCTTGATTTCGCCGTCGGCTGGCTCGCCTTTCTCCCGCTTTGGAAGCCGAGGGGCCGCGGGCTGGTGGAAGAGGTAGAGGTACAGGATGGACCAGCCTAGGAAGGCGAAGGTCATCTCGACGGCCCAGAAGGATGTGGTGAAGACGAGAAAGGAGAGGACGCGGTAGTTGTACATGATGTATCTAAGTACTGCAATCAGCTGGGTTCATTGTGACGGAATGGGATCAAGCCGACTCACCGCAAACCTCGGAAATGCGCCGTGATGACCACCCTGACGCTGTACACCTGCATCTTCACGTCGCTCAATATCTCAAGCCTAGCGGTATCCGGCACGTTCCTCCACCCCTTCCCAAACTCCACGCCCTCCATGATCGGCACAACCAGTGTCTCCGATTCGTACCTCCAACCCAGCAGATACAACGGCAGCTCGAAGAATTTCCTAACGTGCTCCACAACCGGCGAGTAATACGTCATGATAGCCGGCCGTCTCTCCTGCGCCAGCACACGCGTCCCATCGCTTACCGCGCCCGGGTTCGGCGGACTGAGCAGCTGCAGGTCCAGCATGAAGTTGCCCACTTCACGGTTCGTCGGTGTACTCGGCAGATGCAGAACCACTTTGACATCGTACGGCTGGTTGCTCAGCAGGGAGCGCGACAGGGGCGCTATACCGTACGGATGATGCGCCGTGTCGAATTGGAGGTAGACCGGCCGAGAGAAGCCCTGGATTGGGATGTAGGCATAGTAGAAGGCGGAGTAGGCGAATATGGCGAAGCCGGCGAGGGTCAGGCCAGTGAGGACGACGAGGATGGTGCTGGCGTAGGCGCGTAGTGCGGGCTTGGAGACGGCGGCGCGGAGGGGTGCGAGGACCTTGTTCTGGAAGGGGTGAGTTTGGGGTTTAGCTGGGGGTGAGGGGGGCGCCAACTCTTGCGACTACTAAGATTCCTTGATACTCGTACTCCTCCTCCAAGTAGTCGTCCATTGCGGACTTTTGCGCTGTTGTGGTTTCCGGCTCACATGTTGATGGTTAAGATTGTGGAGGGGCGGACGTGACGTCGGTTTTGCGCGAGCCTGTGATTGCCAAGGGCGGAGCGGAGCAATGGGTGCCTTTCAGTCCACAACCTCACCTGCAAGCAAACCTCATATTTTGAGGTAGCAGAATGCCTGGGCGGATCGTGTCAAGTGATGACCTCGAGCCGTCTTTCCAGCAAAGGCACTCAAAACTTCCTGATATTCACTAGGAGCTCGATACCTTTAAGCAATTGTCTCACTGCTAGCACTGCTCGTACTCTAGATTGGTTTTACAGCGCAGAACAGGCTTCTCGCAAAGATTGCTAATTGTCCAAGTCGGTATCTACCAGGATTGAAGGAAGAACAGCGCGCTTCTCATGCGCGCAGCGCCTCCACGACCGTCTCGCGCCGGACTCCAAACCAGTCGACCGTCCAATATCCAGTCATTACATTCGCCAGCGGCAAGGTATCTCATCCAAGCTCATCACACGCGTATCCAAAATCAGAACCAAAACCAAAGGAACAGAAGCGGTAAGCAAAAAATGCAGAATGTCGGCTTAAATCTCAAGATCGTTGTCGTCATCCGCAACCATCTCCTGCTCCTCGCACTCCTTTTCCACCTCTTCGGCCACAAACTGCTCGTAGTCTTCCAAGCTCTTCTGAACATGCACCTTGAACTTGATGACGTCGTTCAGCATGCGTTCAATCTCTGTATGGAGCTCTTCCCGCAGTGATGCCGCTCGGAGGGTCAGTTGCTCATATCTAGGGATTCGTCAGTATTGTCCGTTCGAGTGTAACAGGTATGCAGACTTACTCAAGATTGGTGTTCATTTCCCTCTGCTCCATGAGCTGCACGCTTTCGGTGAGCCCGGAACGCATCTTGCCCATCTCCTTCTCCATGCGTTCGATCTGAGCATCTGATGCCATCTTTTGAGCTGTGGTGATCTACAATGATGTCAGTCTCATCGCAGATGTGTCTGTACGTGTCTTCCATACTTCACGGGTTTTCTCGAACTCTTCTTCCGCAAATCGGACCTTGTGGCCTAGGGCCTCGACATCTGCCAGCTTTTCATCCATGGCGACCTTTACCTGGTCGAGCATATCGTGGCTCTCAATATCAGCTTGAAGCGCCGCATTTCGCCTCTCACTGATATCTCTCCGCAAAGCGAGGATGTTGCTCTTGACGCTACCCCGAATGTCCAGGTTGAGGATGTGGTGAGGCTGGTAGCCGTTGCCAGAGTCAGCCAGTAAGCGGTCAGATTCCGGGCCTTGCGAGCTGCTGCCCATTTGCGACGAGCCGAAGTTTGGTCCCTCGTTAATCGTAAGGACGAGCTCGTAATCTTGTCCCTTGGCGTTCGGCGCGGTGGAAGGGATGATTCCGATTTGATAGCCCAGCGAGTTGTACTTCTCCACTATCCGCTCAAGCTCGTCGAGTTTCCGGTTGGCTTCCAGCTCCTTCTCCGCAACCTTCCTCTTTGAATCCTCGAGCCGCAAGCTGGTCGACTCGACGCCCTTCTGCAGCCGTTCCCGCTCGGTGTTCATGCGGTCGACGTCCTGGATGGTAATGCCTTGCTTGTCGAGCAAGTCCTGTAGACTGGCCTTCTCCTGTTCCGCTTCTTCATACTCTTTCTCGACCTTCCTGATCTCATCTTCAAACAGCTCGATTTTCTTCTGGTACTTATCGACCTTGGCCTCCATCATGCTGTTGTATTCCTTAAACTTGACCTCATCACTCTCCATAATCTTGATCTTCTCACTGAGCTCTTTGATGCGCGGTTCGTTCTTGCCCAGTTCCTCGATATCATCTTTCAGTTTCTTATGCTCCGCCTCAAGCATGGTGACGTGCTCTAGATGGTGTTTGTTCGCCTCATTGAACTTTGCCGCCATCGCCTCGACGTGCGGCTGTATAACCTTTTCCGCGTCGTCTTCATCGTCATCCTCGACTTGCAACCACTCGCGGTACGCGTTGCTTAGGAAGTCGAAGATAATCCTGTCCGCCGAGACGTCGAATCCAACATCCATACAGGCCTGATCGTACGCGCCTTGCGCATATGCCTCCATCAGCTTGGCGAGTTGCATCATCCAGTGAAGCAATGCCAGGAACGTGGACCAGTTGTTCCCGCCTACAGCCGCGATTTGGGACTTCATGATGTTCTTCTCGAACGGGTATCTCAGCTGCTTCAGTAGTGGCGGGACCTCCGCGTCAATATTCTTCTGAAACCGATAGGCTGGATCAATACGATGGTACAGCCACTGAAACATGGAATTGAAATCCTTCTGCGTCGGCGACGTCATCGCCTTCTGCGTAAGCGAGTGCTTCATCTCCATCTCGAAGTTGTTGTGTGTGAGATAATCCAGCAGCTCGGCCGCCATCTGCTGCCGCACCGACGCATTCTCCTTCACCCGCCGCGGATCCTGCGGCACCGTCGCCGGCAGCGGCGCAGTCGCGAAGAACGACTGGTGCGCGCCCCCCGGTATTCCTGATGCGCGGCCAGAGCTCCATACGCTGCTCCTGCGCTGCGTGCTCGCGCTCTCGAGGTGCAGCGCCGATGCGGGCGTCACGGCAGCGCCGGGCGCGTAGCTTTTGCGGCCGCCGGTGCTGAAGGGGTTGTTGGAGACGGAGTTGCGGTTTACGGACGCGAAGCCCATCTCTGCGAGGTTGTTGCCGGAGGACGAGCGCTGGAAGACGGGCTGGGAGGGGCGGCCGGGCGCGAGAGACATGCGGGAGCCGGAGGTTGAGCGCATGTGGTTCGAGGCGAAGGGCGCTTGCATGTTGGACATGGAGTTGGTGCGCTTCATTGCTGAGGAGGGCATGGGGATCGCGGAGGCGTTGTTGCTGAGGCCGCCGAGGGTCTGGGAGGGTTAGTGTCTGAAGCGTTTGGTTGAAGGTGGGATGGGTGTGTTGGTGGGACTTACTTCGCGCGGGCGGCGCACCGAGAAGATGCCCGTTTCTTGGGCCATGATGAATAGTCGTACGCGATTCAGACGTGATAGTTGGTTTGGTTCTATGAGCGTCGTAGAGGTTGCGCGCTCTGAAGACTTCTGGCGGTGATGTTCGCGTGAGGGTTGAAGGTCGCAAAAGTGGGCGCAGGACTTGAGTAAACAAACAAGCGTAATGCTTGGCTAGTCTTCAACAACCAGTAGCGCTAAGCTTGTGGACTAATCCGTTGCAAATTCAAGAGCGCAAACATACCTCAGACCTATCTGATGTTTTGAATTGGATGCCTTAAGGATTACGTTCCTTTCTCGCTGTTCTCATCTTGTGCCTGTGTACATGCCACGCATGCGCATGAAGCTCTCAAGGTCAGGGTCCGCAGCACATGGCGGCGCCAAGCGGGAGGTGCCGCCTGCCTCGGCTCACATCTGCCCAACCTCCAGTCTTCGCGCCGTCATCTGGTTATCGCAAGATTCCGAACAACGGCTTCAGCTTTATATCTCATATTCTCCTTCGTCAAGTAGGCGGTTGGGGATCTTTCGTATCAGCGCGCCTGGATAGGCGGCGATCCTCCCGCGATGGTCCGCGAGGAATTAGTGGAGTCTGCAGTAATGTCCCGAACAACCGCTTCATCCTGCACAGCTATACTAACCATGCTAGGTCTCCTGTATGCTTTAAGGCGTGGAAGAATTTCACTCAACGGCCGCTGATCTCCTCCCAGTTCTCCAAGACCCAAGCGTTGCCAGCGCTGCGCTCGACAAGCGAATACAGTTCCTCCAATCCAAGAACCTCACGCAAGAGGAGATCGATGTATCCTTAGCACGCGCCGGCGAGTCGCCAAGCTCTTCCAATGCAGTAACACCTTCAAGTTATACCCCCTCAACTCCCTCATACCGACAATCACCACCTCCACCCGGATATGGAGCATACCCGCCAGGATATTGGCAACAGCCGCCCCCACCAGAGTACGCGTCCCATTAAGCCCACGACGGGGGCTTGGACGACGAGACTACTATCGTGTCGGTTCAATTCAAGCACGGCTGACACACCATCCAGACTCCCCAAGCGCGACTGGCGGGATTGGTTTATCATGGCTACCGTCATGGGCGGCGTATCCTACGGTCTTTACTTCACCGCCAAAGTACCTCTCCTCCTCCCTATCCCCCATCACAACTCCCTAACCCTCCATAGCGCTACATCATCCCTCTCATAGCCCCACCAACTCCCCCCCAAATCGAACAAGACAAATCCGCCATCGACGCCTCCTTCGAAAAAGCCTTCGCGCTCCTCGACCAACTCGCCACCGACACCGCCGCGCTTAAGGCCTCCGAAACATCCCGCACCGAGCGGCTCGACACCGCGATCTCGGAGATGGAATCCGTCCTCGCGAGCCTGAAGGAGAGCAACAAGCGCCGCGACGACGACGCTAGAAGGACGGAGGACGAGATTAGGGGACTCAGGGCGCTGATTCCGAAGGCCATGGAGGCGCAAAAGGAGAGTCAGGATGCGAGACTTAAGGAGCTGGGCACGGAGCTGAAGAGCTTGAAGACGTTAGTGGGGAATAGGGTTGGTGGTGGTGCGGGGGCCGGGGCGCCGAGTACAGGGGCGCCGGCAAGGCCGTATCAGAGTGTCGGTGCGGGGGTCAATATGTTTGGCGCGCAGGGGACGGCGAGCACGAATATTAATGGCAGTCCTGCGGTGGCCGCTTCACCCACTCCTGCGGCGAGTGGAGCGGCTGGTGGAAGCAACGATGGGCCAGAAGGACAGAGCGGTTCAACTTCGGCATCCACGCCATCGCCAGCAGCGGCTCCGGATAGGGCTCAGAGCTCGAGCCCGTACGGGCGATTGGCAGGTGGCAGAGCGGCGATCCCGGCGTGGCAGATGGCTGCGGCGAAGAAGAGTCAGGCCGATGCAGCGGCGACGGAAAGAAAGGATACTTCTGAGAGTGGGACGGTCACCGAGGCCAGTTCCGGTGCTTAGATTTGAGACCTGTATGATCTCTGGTCGCTTCTTGGATGTATTACTGCGAGTTCATCGCATAGTTTAGGGCAAGAAGCACAGCCTAATCAGCACTGTTCGACTTATCCGACTTGAGAGAATAGTATCATCGTGGAATCGGTACAAGGGCAGCTTGAGGTACCGCTTGTAGGTCATGGGCCATTATCAACCGCAAGGCTTTTCAATATGAACAATCGATATCGAACAAAGGCATATCGGTAAGGCCACTCAGTCAAGTCACGCGCTTCATGTTTGCCCTGTATTGACAGCTTGATGTCGTCCATCTGATAAGAAGTACGTGTGGGACGGCAAATAGAGCTCTACATGACAAAATCGGTCTATGCCTCGCGGTTTCTTGTTGCTCCACGGTTCTATGTTCTTCTTCCATATGCAACCCTTCTATACCAGGTAAAGAAGTTCCGAATAGATCTATTATCATAGCGAGCCACATACGTTCTGTGGGGCCCCTGTTGATCCCCTAAGGTGAATGAGCTTGTCCGCTTGTGAAGCAGACTGCAGGAGCCATTCACGGCTGCCTGTCGACCTTCACGAGATGCAAAGAAGGCTGAGAAATTTTCTGCCCCATCTGTTACTACAAGTATCTAGCCTTTGCTGTTCCATCCTTTGTCTACTTCCCGTACATATTTAGCTCACCTATCACTCCATCGTTCATCCAAACCACCTCCCTTCCTTCACTCTCTGAGTCTTGCGTACAAAAGCATCGGAAGCAATGGCATCCAACAATCCGCACCCTACCTTCTCAACTCAGGCCATTCCGCCCGTCGACCAGTACATCTTCGTCCAAGACGGAACCACCCCACTCCCAGCATCCACCGCTCAAGACCACATGCGCCAAGGACGGTACATCTACGACCGTTTCGGCCATCCCATCGAGCCAACCACATGGGCGCCGAATGCACCTTTTGCACTGCAGGCGGCTACGGACCGGAACCATCCAACCTATAATGCAACTATTCATCCTACTGATGTTGGAGGAGCTTTCGTTACCCAGGTAGCTTGGATCGAGGATGTCGAGCGCCACAACATCCGCGCCCAGACCTTTACGGGCTCGACAAAGTACCAAGGACGCCGGGGCAAGGGAAAGGGAAAGGGAGAGGCGAAGCAGACACCTGAGTACGACAATAGCAGGCAAGGCAGGGTGACCGGTAAGCCTATGAGCGCTGAAACTACTGCTTCATCAGCTAATCCCTCATTAGACTGGCAGCTCCTGTACGAGCAAGCCATCACCAGCACCTCCCCTCTCGACACCTCAGCGGCATATGGCTCTGCGCAACCGCTCCATCAAGCCCAGTACCATGGCTACGGCATCCGTCAACAGCTCGACGCTGAACACGCCGCCATCGGAGAGCCGGGCCCAACATACTATACCGCTCCCCATGCACACCAGTCAGGCCCCGTCGCCACTGCATTCACGGAACATGGGACGCGTCAATACCCGGTAGCTAGGCCTCCGCCGATCTACATCATTCCTCCTTCCGCGGTCTCGACTCGGCCCCAGTCCAGCCACCAGCCGCAGGAGCCAAGCCCACGGCTGCGACTATCTTCCAGCCATCCGTCCATGCGGCGCTGAGCGGCTTTTGCGTCCACGCATGGGGTTATGCGAGCGCCCGGCGTCGATATTGCAAAGAGGCATTCGTGGATCAAGGCGGACGCTAAACTCATTACGAAGATCATGAGCCGCAGATGTAGGAGGCTGGAACAGTGCATCATTGCTTGTTGTTCGTTGTCGTCCATCTCAAAACAAGGTCGAAGAAGTGCATCATCAATCCCTATCAACGCTGAAAGACGGATCCTTGAGCACAAAGCCATACTTCAGTGACTTGGCTCTAGTCTGTAATCGGTATATTAGAGTTATCTGTACAAGGTCCTACAAGACTTTCTTTCCATTTACGTGAATAGTGATGGTTCGAATAGAACAGGACCATCCAAGTTTTTTCAAATACTATCTCAGCCAGATGATCATCCATTTTCCATTGCTGCTTGATGTCGAATGGCGCAGAGGCTAAACTTAGTCGTCCGATGGCTTCTGATCTCTCTCTGGATACAGCATATGTCCGATATATCTCCCATTCGGATCGAAATAGATATGGATAGTCTGAGCCCTGTTCCGTGCTGCTTGTTCCTCCGTGGCCAACATGGCAGTGGCATGTTCCCTTGGGTCGGTGTGGCTAGTATGAGCTGGGTTCCTGTCAGTGGATGTCAGCACTTAGACGTTAGCAGCAGTGTGCCGAAAGCCCAACTTGAGTATGGCTCTTGTGAAATGGGCGAGGTCAGGCTGCTTAGTCGCCTCCTCAACAAGGTCGAGAGTCCTGTTCCGAAATGCGGAATTTTTGATTCTCTGCGTGAGTCTTACGGCATATCTTGGGATTGGAGACATTGGAAATAGCTGAAGACGTGAAAAGGGAGGCTGTATGATGTACGATGATTGTTGTGAAGAGTTGGATGAACTGACTGAGATGCTTCCTTCGCACAAGCCTGCGCTGCGGGTCATCTTATACTCACGAATCCTGTCGCAAAATCAAATACTGGCGAGGCGCCAATAGTTGCCCTACCGTCAGTTTCACACTTCGGAGTACAATCTTAACCATCTCAGACTTCGAAGAGATACCGAGAAGCCGCCAATCAAACTAGTATAGCAGAACGTATTGTGGATTATTGCAACGCAAGCCGCGCCAGATGGTACACTGACATTCCTGTAGGACCTATTTCCGGTCGACAATCTGGCTATGAGTGTCCACTTACGGTGAAACCAGGCGGGAAGGATTGTGGCAGCGCTTAAATCTATGTATATCCAGGAGCCAGCGCCTTCATGAGGCACAGCTGCAACTCTTCATCGAGAGGGACGCTGGTGCCGCGTAAAGGCCGATTGCATAGAAATTGGATGGTGGAATCGTAGGACTTAAATCTTAAATACTCCAGCTGTGCTGACCTTGCTTCTGAAAAACTCTCAGCGCAACTTATCACTTTGTTGCGATGCTGATACCGTGTTCGTCGTTCTCGGAAGGACGGTAATGGATGCACTGGAAATGCGCCTAAGCCATTTACGGTTAGACATTTAGAGTTGCAAGTGTCTGAAACCCTCACTGCCAACAGCTATGATCGTGATCAATGCTCTCCATACTTTGAGACCCTCGGCGAATACGCTATCACCGTACGCACTTCGTGTTACAGAACACAAAGGGACTTGCCGACTGACACTAACTTAAGTGATGTGTCCGTGAAGTTAAGAAGCCCGCCGGAGGTGTTGCAAGCCAAGAGAGCATGAACCTCAATCCAACTCGTCTGTCCTTCCGCTATGGCGTTAGCCATTCTAGCTACTCTCTAGTTGCCAAATACGTGTATTATCGGCCGTGTGTTCAACATTTGGCCCCAGCCTCCACAAGAAGATTTTCAATGGAACCGCACCCCTACTCCTGCACTATCCCAGCGGAGCCCTTACATCGATATCGCGTCGGTGGCTACCATCCTGTCTATCTGGGCGACTTTCTGAAAGATGGTCGCTATAGAATTATTCATAAACTGGGATTTGGAGGTTACTCAACGGTCTGGCTTGCAAAAGATGAAGAGTGCGTCCCTACTGTTCCTCTCCGGGCGACAGCTCACCCATATTTAGATTGCAGCGCTACGTCGCAGTGAAAATTGCGGTCGCTGAAGTTGGATTGGAAAGCCGCGAGCTTCAAGTGCTACGAGTTCTTTCTGCTAACATATCCACGCACTCCGGCTCCCAACATGTGGTGCAGCTCCTGGACGACTTCCAGCATGCGGGCCCGAATGGTACGCATACCTGTCTGGTATTCGAAGTTTTGGGGCCAAACATTCCGACCGTCATTGATGCACGTTTTGCGGATGGCAGACTCCCTGGGAAGATTGCCAGAAGAGTGTGCAAACATGCTCTTTTAGGCTTGGACTTCTTACATCAGCATCAAGTCGGACATGGTGGTGCGTTGTGTTCGACATCTACAGGCAATCTCTCTGTGACACGGATCGCTGACGTGGGCTAGACTTGCATACGGGCAATATTGCCTTCACCCTCCCATCTCTGGATCCAATGCCGGAAGAAGAGGTCTTGAAGCAGCTTCCGACTCCGGAAATTGGAGACGTAACCCGGTTGGACGGAAAGGCCCTAGGGCCTGGCGTTCCGAAGTACCTTGTTTGGCCAGGCTCTTTCCGAATATCCAAGACAACGCTTGAGAATCCTATCAAAATCATCGATTTCGGAGAATCCTTCACAAGGGACACGAGGCCTAAAACTCTTCATACGCCTTTAGCGGTACGCGCACCCGAAGTCATATTTGAGGACGACATTGACTTCCGGGTTGATCTATGGAGTATGGGCTGCATGGTAATATCCACATTGTTCCAGAAAACGTGTCTCGGTTCTTACTTGACTCTAGATATTTGAACTGGTGACGGGGCAGCCTCCGTTTGACAGCCTCATGACAACTAAGGAAATTCTTGTCAGCGAAATGATACAGTTCGTGGGCGAGCTTCCCGAAAGGTGGCAGCGTAAGTGGGCTTTGATGGAAAAAGAAGGTTTGTACACGAATGGCTGTCATCCAAAGTTGCGTCCGGCTATTGCATGCGTAGAAGCTGACGAGCTCAGAATCTACGGACCCAGACGGCCTTACCCTACAGCTATGGCTTGAGGAAGTATATTTCGATGATGAGAAGACTGCAGATTTCACACGTGAAGACATAAGGGAACTAGGGGCGCTGCTTCGAAAGCTGTTGCGTTTCCAACCCACTGCACGCTCTACAACTACACAAGTCCTCAAGGACGACTGGTTTCAAAGCCCTCAGCCTGATTGACTTCCTGTCAGTGACGTTCGTCTTCCAGCAAGACTCCTTCTGCTTCCCATAGGCAACGAATCGCTGAATATGGAGGATACAAACAGCTGTACGAGTCCCGGGTTGGCCTCGATACAATATTAGAGCTTCTTGCGGTCCAGCTTTGCATTAAACTACTCTTGGGTCCGCCGGCGCGCACAGAAGGTGTCGCTCTCGCTCTGCTCAGAAAATTAGGAGCAGACGTAAGATAGCTGTCAGTATAAACTTCTTGTTTAGGGTTAAGCGCTGTGGTGGTCACGCCGAGCGAGAAAAAGGCCTCACCGCGATTGTGGAAAGTCACAGCTGCATCAAGAATAAAGCTCCCTCTATGGTCCATCTAATGCTTCATAGCAACATCTAAATGGCTCACTAAAGGTTTGTCCTTCTGTCGGCCACTCCTTCGATCTGCCACGGCGGCTGATGGAGGATTACTCTATGAAGTTGGCGGTGAACGAGCGCTAAGCTGCTCTCGCGGTGAGGTTTATTTCGCGCCTGGCGTGGTGATGAGCTTCTGGGATGACGTATTGGCGGGATGCAGCTTTCAGCTTTTCGAGATGCCGCGGCACTCGGCTCATGAAATCCGGGGAAAGCTCTACTCCACCACGCTCACCTTGATAAACTAAACATTATCTGTATGATCATTTGCATATAAGTCTGAGAATACTGCATCAAGCTTCAAGCGATAAAGCTCCATACTCTCTGCCGCCATGTCATACACAACGCGCATTGCGCAGGTCACAGGCCACCTCAACTTCCCCAAGGGCTTACTTGCCGGACAAGTAGCCATTATAACAGGCTCGGGTCAAGGCATTGGCGCAGAAGCTGCACGGCTGTTTGCAAATGAGGGCGCCAAGGTTGTTGTATCGGACATTGACGCAGGTAGGTAGCCGGAAGCCCATGAAGGGCATCGATATAGCGGAGCTGCGGCTGACAGGCAACGCGCACGCAATTAGAAAAGGCAAAGAATGTTGCAGACAAAATCAATGAATCTGGTGGCAGTGCCATCTCTGTACCAGGTGACATGCTAGACGACAACTACATCAACGAGCTCGTAAAGAAAGCAGCGGAGTTTGGAAGCGGGAAGATCCATATCATAGTCAACAACGCCGGCTATACCTGGGATGGCGTGATACACAAGGTACTATTCTTGTCTTCCGTGACATACGGCTTACCCCTTCCATATCCGTGACGCTGACGAACTGCGCTCCTAGACCACAGACAAGCAGTGGGATACCATACTGGCTCTTCATAATACCGCCCCCTTCAAGCTCGTCCGCGCCGCAGCCCCCTACTTCCGCGTCAAAGACGGTGAGCCGCGCAACATCATCAACATCTCCTCGACCTCCGGCCTGCACGGCAACGCCGGCCAAGCCAACTACGCCCTCGCCAAAGCCGGCGTCGTCGGCCTCACCAAAACCATTGCGAAAGAGTGGGGTCCACAGTACGGCGTGCGCGCCAACACGATCGCGTTTGGCTTCATCCTGACAAGGCTTACGGCTGCGAAGGAGGAGGGCGCGTTCATCACGACGCCGGAGGGCGAGAAGGTCGCGCTGGGGATCCCGCAGGCGCAGAAGAAGGCGAGGGCAGGGCCGGGAGAGGAACATGCGGACATTCCACTGAGGAGGCCTGGGACAGCGACGGAGGCGGCGAGTGCGATCCTGGCGGTTTGCAGCCCGTTGATGAGTTATGTTACTGGGCAGACGATTAGCGTGACTGGAGGAAGGAATATGTAGTTCTTTCATAGTTGCGAAAGTACTGCTTGAAGACCACGTTCAGAACCATGCAGTGCTCGACGAAACGTAGTGTCTGGTTACTGCTTCACGGCTATAGGAATTTGCATGTTATTCAGCCCATGGTGTTGCTAGAGTAAAGAGGGCTGATAGTGGCGGAGCCAAGAGCTCCTTACCGGGCCAGCTTCCGCGAGTAACTCTCCAGTATGCCCTGAGATCAACTACATGACAACCTCGCACCTAGGAACAGTAGATATCGCCTTGTATATTACTCCGGCTCTTCTCAGCACCGTCTGCGCTTAACCTACGAGTCGCCCAATCAGCACCAAGCCATGAATTGATCGTTCTAGTCCAATCATCCCAACCGCACTCCCGGCTACACGCAGCCCCCCACAACTCTCTCCATATCTTCGATGCCTGACGAGAAGCACAACTACGACCCCCTTGAGATCCCAATACCCAGCTACGAAGAGGCCACCTCTTCGCGTCCCACCTCCTCCGCAGCCCGCTTCGGCCCCTCCGAAATCAGCGACGATGCCGAACGGCAAGGCTTACTCGGATCTTCCGCCGCTCTTCATACACCCCAGACTCGGGGCGGACAGCATGGCTACCAAGCACCTTCCGTCCAGTCCGTAGACTCCGAAGACAGCGACCTCGACATCTTCGAGGACGCGGGTGGCAGCGAACATGAAGAGGCAGAAGGGGCGCGGGTAATGGAAGAGATGGGCATACTCGACCCCGAATACGCAGATGCAGGTGGAGGGGGAGGAGGAAGCCACATGCGCTCCCGCCTCTCGAAGCGAATATCTAGCCTAACGACCACGCTCTCTGCTCTCAACCTTCCCTCCTTCCGCAACCCCTTTCCCTCCGTCTCATTCGACTACTTTACACAAAGGCTGCCTAGGATACCGCGGATATCAGAAGAGTTCAAAATTAAGTGGACTATTGTTGCGCGCCTGGTGGGACTGTTTGTCATCATCAGCGTGGTGTACGCGCTCCTTGTGCTGGAGGTCCTGCCGAACCGCGGCCTGAACCCCTTCTTCCCTCCTGAGCAGGCCCGCATAGTCGCGCAGTCCAGCGCCGACGAGAACCGCATCCGCTCGTACCTCAAGTACATCACCTCCATCGACCACATGGCTGGGACGTCGGGTAACGCGTGGCTGGCTTCGTGGATCGAGAACCATTTCCGCAATTCGGGGATGGATGATGTAGGGGTTCTGCATTACGAGGTGTATTTGAACTATCCGACTGCTGGGGGCAGAAGAGTTGCCATTGTTGAGCCGCCGGAGTTGGCGTGGGAGGCAAAGCTGGAAGAAGAAAATGTGTACGAGAATCCGACGCCGCAGCAGCAGCAGACTATGGTGTTTCATGGGCACTCGAGGGCTGGAAATGTTACAGGCCCGCTGGTATACGCAAACTATGGGTCAAGAGAGGACTTCAAGCGGTTGGAGGATATGGGTATTGATGTGAAAGGCAGTATTGTATTAGTACGCTATTACGGGACACAGGGAGACAGGGCGCTGAAAGTCAAGGCTGCTGAGCTGGCTGGCGCCGTTGGGTGCTTGATCTATTCGGACCCGAAAGAAGATGGGTTTCTCAAGGGTGATGTGTGGCCCAAAGGACGGTGGAGACCAAGTGACGGGGTGCAAAGAGGCGCCGTCAGTCTCATGAGTTGGGTGGTAGGCGACATTCTGACCCCTGGATGGGCGAGTATCAAGGGGGCGAAGAGGGTAAGCAAGGACAATAATCCGGGACTTGTCAACATCCCTAGCCTGCCCCTAGCATGGCGAGATGCGCAGAGGCTACTCCAGGTGCTCAAAGGGCATGGACAGAAAGGACCCCAGGAGTGGGTGGGAGGTGTGCCGGGCGTCGAAGAATGGTGGACTGGCGACAAGACGTCTCCAATCGTGCATTTGAAGAACGAGCAGGATGAGGTAGAGAAGAGTCCCATACAGAATGTGCTAGGCCTGTTCCGTGGCGTCGAAGCCCAGGGCAAGAAGATATACGTCGGCAATCACCGGGATTCGTGGTGCTTCGGAGCAGCAGATCCAGGCAGCGGCACAGCCGTAATGCTCGAAGTCGTCAACATTCTGACCACCCTCCGCGCAAACGGCTGGGCACCGCTCCGCAGTATTTACTTCGCTTCCTGGGACGCCGAAGAATATAACTTGATCGGCAGCACGGAGTACGTCGAGGATCACATCGAAGATCTGCGCAAGAACGGCGTCGCATATCTGAACGTGGACGTTGGCGTAGTTGGTGACGAGTTCCGCGCGGCTGCCTCGCCCCTCTTCAATCACGCCCTCATGCGTGTGCTAGACCGAGTCTCAGATCCGGTGAGGAACGTCACCCTGCGGCAACTGTGGGATGATCGTAAGAGCAAGCTCGAAGGCTTAGGCGCAGGGAGCGATTACGTGGCTTTCCAAGACCTCGCTGGTACATCGAGCATCGACTTCGGCTTCAAAGGACCGGGGTTTCCATACCATAGCTGCTATGAGACATTCGAATGGATGGAGCAGTTCGGCGATCCTGGGTTTCTGTACCACAAGACGCTAGCTCAGGTATGGGCGCTTCTCATCCTTGAGCTGGCTCAGGAGCCACTTCTGCCGTTCGATCTTTCAGCATACGCCACCGCAGTAAGCGGCTACATCGAAGATCTGGAGCACTACGCCGCCGACCGAAGCGCCGTCAACTTCGACATTGGTCCGCTAAGACAGGCAGCAGAATTGTTCGAGCAGAACGCGAAGGCGTTCAAGGACTGGGAGACTTTCTGGTTCAGTCAGGTCCGCACCGGTTTCGAGACCAATGCTATCGGTATAATGCGCGGAGATCACAACGCGCGTATGAGTGATTTTGAGACAAATTTGCTTGACCTGCCGAAGCATGGGAAGGATGATGGAGAGCAGCATGGAGTAAGTTATAACGAGGACCATTAGCCCGTATCAACCCCAGTCGGCTAACCCGATGTCTACAGGTCCCTGGCAGAGAGCAGTTCAAGCATATCGTCTTTGGTCCTCAGGCCTGGTCTGGCTACGACGAGGCGTACTTCCCAGCCGTGCGGGATGCCATTGATTCTGGTGATTGGGGCGGAGCACAGACGCAGCTCGAGAAGGCTGCACGTATATTGAGTGAGGCCAGTGAGAGGCTGGTGCGGTAGCCCTTGCACCTTTTGAGGGTTGTCTGCAAGGTATTCTCCTTATATCTTAGCTTACCAGCGAGGCGTTACTGGCGGGTTGTTGGATGGGAAGATCTGGCATGGCGCGGAGCTGTGATTGTGTCGTTGGGGTTGTATAAAGGAGTTGTACAAAGAGTATGTAGGGATGAGATCTTCCTGCCCTCCCCGGTAGTCTCACAGAGTCGTGGATTCTCCTAAGCCGAGTCGCTGCATCACTTGGCAGCAATGATGGCAGTTATTGATTCTCAGTCGAAAGCCAGCCAGTGCCAGACAATTAATACTTCTCCTCTAATGCAAACAGCTTCGCATGCTGGAAAGAGGAAGGCCATAACATTCCGCGTCAGCAATGACATCGGAGAAGAAGAGCGGCCGGGTTTTGTCTGCATCATGATATTGCCCAGGTGGACGTTGGTGTTGCGGCTCTTCAAGCCGTCGGGACCAGCCGAAGTCACCGCCTCGAACCGTCCTAGCGCGGGGCACGAAACAGTGACATCGTCTGGGCGAAGCCGCGGTTTCGCGTTGCAACCAAAAAAAATCCTCTCTAAAAACAGCATACCAGAACAACATCACAGAGCTTCAAGATGGTCGAGAAAGTCTACATAACCTACAACGATGTGCGCGCCAACAAGCTGGAGTTATGGGAGCCCCACTGACAGGTCATCTACTGTTTTCAGATCCACAAGCTCTGCCAGGAATCGGCACCCCGGATACTGGATGAGTTCAAGCCAAACCTCATGATCGCTATTGGCGGCGGTGGATATGTACCCGCTCGTATCCTAAGGTACCCGCTTTTGCAGCCATGCCAAATCAACACTGGTCGACAATACCACTTACAAAACATGTCTCCAGATCCTTCCTCAAGCGCCCCGGCAGCACCAATATCCCCATCCAAGCCATAGGCCTCTCCCTCTACGAGTCCCTCGGCGGCGACGTGGTCGAAGAACCCGGCACCAAAGTCACGCGCACTCAATGGCTCGACCTCAGCAGCCTCGAGATGGCGAACTTGATCGGCAAGAACGTGCTTATTGTCGACGAAGTTGATGATACCCGTACTACGTTGGACTACTGTGTCAGAGAGCTACAGAAGGATGTCGAGGAGGCGACGAAGCGGCTGGGGAGGGAGGCCGAAAGGACGGTGTTTAGCATATTTGTGTTGCATGTGAGTGGATTCCTCAAAGAGGGGAGGGGATGGAGATTGCTGACAGCTAGTAGAACAAGGACAAGCAGAAGAAGGGCAAGCTGCCAAAGGAGGTGGAGGAGAAATACTATCTCGCGGCGAGGACGACGGGGGATGTGTGGATATGTTATCCCTGGGAAGCGACGTAAGTTTCCCCTAGTTGCAGATGTTGAATTTTGCGGTTCTGCAGGCTCGCACTATGGCTGCCTTCGCCCGTGGTCTACGTCGGCTTCTTAGCCTCTGCACAGCAGTTGACCTCGAGCAGGGACATCGATGAGCACGATCGCCTGGCGCAAACTCAAGGCGTATAACGGAAAACCATCATGCGGCGACGTTTATGCTGGGAATGAGCACTATCGGGATAGACTTACTGGTGCTTTAAACCTTACGATAGAAAGACACAAGAATCGGCATTCAGCAATGAATGCATTCCGCACGTATGTGCTAACAGAGTAAGCTCTACGCATTCTTGTGGGTGACGAAAGCCGCTAGGCTCCCAGATCGCTGGAGTTCCATCTCATTCCCAAATCACCGAAACCCATCAAACTCATCACGGTTCCAAAAACTTCTACTCTGGCCAATCCACCTGTAAATATGGCTTAGACACGCTTATGAGGCAGTATGCTACGAGGGCTGCTTTTATGGGTGACCTTTGTAAGCTGACTGAAGAACCATATGCTACATCGGTGTCGAGTCTGGCGATTTTTGTCATCCGAGTGCTAGTGTATAAGTCCAAAACTCGGTTTCTTTGCAGCATCAAACTGCTAACGGAATAGGATCGCCAGAGATGGGGCCTACTAAGAGAGCCGCACCTCTTTCCGTTCAAGATGTTCCATCTCCACCGCCTAGCCCTCGCTGACTCCATGGCAGTAACACTCGTCAACGAACGTATGTGTGCTCGGGGTCTGTCCGTTCTTAACTTCGCAGCTTCCAGGCAAGAGCGGGAGCGTTGAATCCTGGAATCGGCGGAGTGCATCTCTGAGGTTTGTTGATATCAGAAATCTGCGGCCGTCATACCAGATCGGATGGCGTATCGAGTATTCTCACGGAGACCTGGAAATCCAGAGATGCGCTGGCCTGACACCATGAGTTTGTCGTATTTCGACTCCATCCACGTATAGGATATTGCGCGATACAGAGGGCGTGGCGCGGCGTCAAGGCTGTGGACGGAAATATCACATTCCAGTTTGGAAATGCGTTTTCCGAGAAGAAGCTTACCCAGCCGGAAGCAGTGCGAGTCCGGTAACGGATCATACGTATACTCGTCGCTTCTAGCTGCTGACTTATCCTCTATTATCAAGTCGTCTTCGTCATTCCCTAGGAGCTAAGCACGAGCTCTCCTGCTTCCCAGGGCCATCCGAAATGTTTATTGCCGCTTCTCGGCTGGTGGCCTTTTCAATCAGATTTGCCATCAGACTGGACTCATGATCTTGTCAGCTACAGAACAGCGAGACCGGTTGCATGCGATAGAAAGGACATGATGCTCAGCAGTGCAGCCCTTTAGTGCATTGGTCACCCGAGATACCTTTGACGTGGGAACTACGCTTGCGCGCCATCCACCCTCAACGTAGCAACAGTCTTTTCGAGTGGCCGCCGTTCCGCGAGCGGAGACTCCAAGCAATATGTACAAGTAATCTTTGTCTCAAGAACCCGTTATTGGCATTCCGCCTTCGATCGCTGAGCAGAGTATGCAGCCGACACGGGCCTTTAACAGTCTTGCCGGCCAGATCTGTCAACCATTACCGAAGGAAAGTGGTCTACTCCGCTGGCAACGAATAATCCACTGGAGTTCTGCGGCTCTGCCAGTCCATTTCGACCGAGCCTTGACCTACTGGAGATGGGTTGTTAGCCATAAAGGATGGCACAACAGCTCTTATGTTTGACTTTCGACTTCCTGTGGCCGCACACCGGGCATGGGGACGGCGGGTCATGACTGTATACGTTTGCATCCTTCTGCATCTGCTGAATCCGGCATGGAGCAGGCGGTTTGGCTCGCCCGCAGTAGACGACGTTGTAGCGCCGCATGTGGCCGCAGGGAAGCCAGATGTGGATGAAGACGGAGCATATCACTGTTCAAGGGAGTGGTCGTTGGTATCCAGACGATGTGCGGCAAAATCCAAGCGTAGCCAAGGCCAGTGGTAGTCGCGGTGGGGATGTTGTGAAGAAGCAGGTATTTATCTTTGAAGGTGGGATAGCACTATATCTGTCCTGTTGCTAACATTGCTAGACATGGCTGTTTGTAAGTCTTCTATTGCGATGATATCCAGCGCCCACGTCAGTTGTCTCGTGCGTTATCACTACGATAGGCTGATCGATGCGTCTGTCACAAGCTCGTCACTAAATTCATGCATCACTGTAGCGAGAGGGTAATGCTATGGATTCTTCTACCGCATCACAGGTTGTTTAACGTAGAAGAGATCAGGGAGAATGCCACCAAGGAACAGCAGCTACACGGCCAGCCGTACATGATTGCAGCTACAGTTCACGCAGGAACATGAGAGGATCGTCTACCGAAACCGGAATCACCATCCAGTTCTATGAGGTCCAGGAGAAATCATAGAAACTATCAAAAATGTCCGTGATGAGCTTGCGCTAGTCTCCTAGCTGATCATCAGAGCTTCGCCTTCGCCTCGCAGCTGGCGCAAAGACCCTCCTCCTCCACCTTCTCGCTATACATCTTCATGTAGCAGTCGTCAGTATTCGCCTTCTGTTCACACATAATCTGTACGACTTCCAAGTGGCCGCAACCGATGTACGTATATTCAATTCGATAGCACATGGTGGTTTGCCTTAGTGTTGCGGAGTGTATGTGGTTGATTTCGTTGTTATATTTGATTCTCTGCTGGGTCCAAAGCCTTGAACAGTTGTAATTGCTTGGCTGTTGAGGTTGAGTGCGTTCCGAGATTGCGAATGAGAAAAAAGTATGGACTGGGAATAGCGGCCGCTTTATGCCTCAATCGGAGTCTTCGCTGAAGAGTCACAGTGAGCTCATGAGAAGGCGTGTGGAAGTTAAGTATTGTGTGAATTTGACACGATTTACTCCAAGCCCAGCCCAAAGACAATTAAGCAAGACCAGTCATTGCCACATCTCCGTCATCCGTGTCATACATGAGTCCTTCCAATCCAACGATGCAACGTCATCTACCGTTTTACACCGAAGGCCTACGAAATGCTTCGATTGCCTTCCTCTCGCATGTACCGCACACATTCTCCATGTTTGTCTCTTGCTTGCTGATGCTCTTCTCGCACGTCCCGGTGTCAGCGTTGATCTTACACCTTATGAACATGGTGCTGGAGTGGCCGCAGCCGGTGTAGGTGACTTTGATCTCGCGGCATATGATAGTTTGTATTTGTTTCTGCAACGTGCGTGCGGCCAAGGTGTTGAAATCGAGGAGTGCAGCGAGTGCTTGAGAACCTGATGCTGATGCTTGACAGTCCGTGTTGGTTGACTCTGATACTTGGAAATGTTTCTGAATGCGTTTTCGAAATGAAAGAAGCGGAAGACCTGAAGGCAGCCGTGTTTTGTGTCCAGCGAGCGGTTTCACGGAAGCGTCACGCTCAGCCCACTGTAGGCTCATAGAAGTTGGTCACTATGCACGAGTATGACACAAGCACAAGCAACAGCGTAGTGAAGGTAAGAAGCCATTGGAGTACACCAGTCAGGTGTTAAAAGTGACAAAGGTAAATTGCGTGGATATGCTGTATACCATGTCAGGCGGGAAACAAACCTCACCGCGGCAGCAGTCCAGCGCGCATTTCACAGAGTAATCCACGATGAGCCGCTGTAGCGTGAAAGGCAAGCCTTTAGTGAGCTATTTAGACCTTGTTATGAAGCATTGAATTGACCATAAAGTGAACTTTGTTGTTGACGCAGCTCTGAATCTCTACGTTCGCGGTGAGGCCTTTTCCCCGCCCGGCGTGTATACTACTCCGATGCAATGCAGAACTCCAACCCAATTGCCAAACACCCCGCTATGCTGCCTGGTATATGCCGTGAACGCCCACCAAACAGATAGCAAATGCAATGCAATACAATTCCGCTGAGCCGGCAGCGTGCCTCTGGCAACCAGTGCTGCGAGGCTAGATCCTTCCTGCCATTACTGCTCCGAGCGCCGTGAAGCCAGCTTCGCGCTTCGCCTCTCCCGCCACAAAGGTACTTTACGCCTTCCTCACCCTCTTGCCTCTCCCGCATTCCTTCCTCGATAGCGGCTCCTCAGGCCACACCCACCCCCTAACCCTCTTCGCCTCTCTCTTCTCGCCCAGATTCGGCTTGGGGATCCAGTCATCCTTCTCAAGGACGTTCTGCCTGCTCAGCGCGGCAGGGCCACCAACATCCATTCTCCAGGAGCCCATACCCGGCAGTGGGCTCTCCTTCGCCAGCATGTGGAGATACCACAACGCCAAGCCCGCGGTCATCTGTGACTCACTCGTCTGAGGCTGCATGCCATGCGTCGAAAGGCGGATCGGCGCCGCGAGCTCCAGGTAACCGAAGAGCGGGACACTGCTGTCCGCATTGACAGTGGTAACATCATGAACAGCGCCCGATCCGCTAGGGCCGCCGCAACGCACGCACAGCAGCTCGATTTCCGTGAGGATGAAGCCATACCGGCAGCCATGCTCGCGCATCACGCGGTGCAGATGTGCAAGGCCCTGCAGGTAGTACACTTGTTTGTTGGGCGCCTCAGAGCGCATGCCGGTATTCCACTGGTCGTAGGCTTTGACAAGCCCTACCACGCGGCCGCGGCCGTCGCCAAAGATGGTCTTCTCGTAGTCGGACTGGTAGTTCGAGACGAATTCGGGCTGTTGGCGCGCGTGGGGCTGGGGCTTAATGGCACGCATCGCCATGTGCGTGTTGCCTTGGGCGACTTTGAGAGCGGCGTTCACTTTTACGGCGAGGTGGTCTCGCCAGACGTCGTGGAGGGCGGATTCGGAGTCAGGCTGGAGGTTGGGGCGGGCGGGCTCCGTAAGCGCTGGTGTTGGGACAGGTATGTTCAAGAGGGGGAGAAGACCGGGAATGGAGCTGATAGTGGACATGTTGAAGTCTGTCCAGCTGCGGAGGTTGCGGACGTCCCACCAAAAGTGAGTGTTTACGCCTCGACCAACGGTCGTGACGCGACGGACAAGAGCGGGCGATGGGTTTGATGCGGTGAGATAGCTCATAAGGCTTGTGGTCTCTGGTGGCTGAGTGAATGTCTCGTACTGGAGCTCCGTGGGTAACGACAGCTGAGCAGGCTGCTGGACTTGAGGGATCTGAAGCTGCCAAGGCTGCTCCGGTGGGCAGCACGAGGCTGGTGATGCTGTTGCGTATGTAGTCTGGCACGAGGCAAGTGACGATGCTGTGATATAAGTCGGCATCTTCCGGTAGGTAGGAAATCCATAGCGTCCAATGACACTCTCGTCAACACTGGATGCGGAGCCTGACCGAGAATGCGTGCGGATGGCCGAGGTGGAGTGGGATCGCGCCTGTGCAAGAGACGGACGCTTCGGAACGGATGAAGCAAAATCAATTGGTGAGTTTAGCGCCGAATGGAAGGCGGCATCGTAAGGTGAAGGAGCTGAGACGGGAGAAACTAGCGTGGAGTGATTTGGTGGGCTAGTCGACCGACGAAGCAATGAAGTCCGTTGCGGGTATGGAGTAAAGTGGGCAGAAAATTCTGTACTAGCGGTTGACACCGTCCTGCGGTGACGAACAGGGCCTGATACCGGTTCGGTGGTTTGGTCTTGAGACCTGATCTTCGGCAACAGTAGAGGCCCATGTTGGCGGATAGGCGATCTGGGTGGTGTGGTGATGTTCGTGATTGCGGACTCCGGAGACGTATTCTGCGAGTAAAAGGAGCCATCCGAGACAGAGCCGCTATAGATACCATCCAGATGGTATCCTTGGTTTGCAGTAGGAGGTGTGATGTGTCTTCGGTACATGACATCCATCTTGGCTGAGGTGCTTAGACTAGTCCAGATGAGAATTGGGTGACCTGACAGGCAATCTGTAGACCAAGGGTAGTAGGTAAGGTGGCGATTAGATTATGATTGGAGACCAGCTCCAAGGAATGTCTATGAGAGATGGACAAAAGAAAGGCTGAAGAGAAACACAAAGAAGACTCGTGGTCTCGTAAGACAGACTTGGGATGAATGGTGAATAACCTACAGAACTACGAGCGGCGAGGCACAAGTACTTATTCTACTTCGAAATGAAGAGACGATAGCCAAAGAATTGTGTACTCCCGCGTGAACACAGATTAGCGCGAAAACATCTTGAAACATCCAAACACGGTTACACATGGAGCCTCAATGGCCTTGTAGGACGGTGTCACGGCAGTTCGCATGGTACTCTCGCGTTCCGACTTGAGGTTGAAACATCGGGCTTCATCTCTGGAGACGCTGACGTGACTAGAGTCGTCTTAGCAGCTTTGAAACAGATACTAAATATGACTCTTCGGCGGTCGCCAAAATGGCCGGAACGCTGCGCGACTGGCTGCAGCCCCAATATCGCTCATAGGACAGACGCCGGGTAGCCTCAAAGTTGGGCGATGCGCTGGAGGTCGGCGGCTTGCGAAATGAAACCCGACGCCGAGGCGCCAGAGCAGTTCTGGCAGCGTTAGAGGTATTTTCGTCGACGACGGGGGAAACTCGCGGTTGTCTCGATGTCTCCAGCCGCTTGAGGCTCGACGTGGGCGCGTAGAGAATAACGCGATATTGAAGCCTCATTGGCTCGAGCGGCAAGCGAAGAACCCTAGCTGTATGCAGCTAAGTACAAGATCGATGTACCTCAGGACGAACAGTCATACCTGCAGAGGACGGTGCTGTTTCGAAACTGCATGTGGAGTTCAAAGGCATGCATATATGACTCTTCGTCTCAAGATCGCCATGGTGTTGAGAGCAGAAGTTGGATATATCGCGCATCACACCGCTGCTTCCAGCAACGCCAACAACAAACACGCTCATCTTCAAGATACTCACGATGAACGCGTTAGAGCATGATCCGTGACTCGCTCCTCGCTCCGTCTTCCTGATGCCCTGATCGTGTTGCCCAGGTTGGCTACGCTATGGGTAGCGGACGACTTCGGCGCCTATACCTGTCACATGACACGAATAATCCATCTCTTGAAGTCCGCTTCCAGCCGAAATCGCTTCATCTCGCTGTCTCAATCTAAATCAAGCATCGAAAAGCTTCAGCTAAGTATCACGACGCATGGACTTGTCGGCTTCGTGGACATTTCCATCATTAGGCGCTTGCAGTGTCAACCCCTGATATCAGGATCTCCTCCCGAGGGGGGTCGCTACGATTCTTGTAGCCGCCCACCGGGACAGCAGCTTCCGAACAGATGCTCTCCCTCATTTCGTCTGCTGAAGACGGCCTTTGACCTCCCGCTCCCACCACTCTGCCCAGTCTACAACTTTCCTCTCCCTCCTTGCCTCTTCCGCTGCGAAGACCATTGCGTGGCTCCTCACCACCTCCTCAAGGCTGCACCCAAGGAACACTCGTTGGGCCTCCTCCGCGCCCATGTTTCCGCTCTTCACTGCGTCAACCGCAAGCACAAACTGCCTTGCCAGTCCATCATCTCCGCCTCCATGGCCACCGCCCGCTAGGTGCGGATGATACACCTTGGTCTCGCCTGACGCAAAGTCGTGGACGGAGATGGTTTTGCTATCGTATGTAATCTCACCCTTAGTACCGTAGATGCGACCCCGACGCTCGCAGATTGCTTCGGTGAAAGCGATCATGTGAAAGGTGGCTGTCTTAGCCGTATGACCCTGTAGCGCATGCCCAGAGTCTCCGTTGCTCTGACCGTCGCCGTTAATGCTGGCGGGCAGGGGGTCATCTTCCCAGGTGATTGTCACGCATTGGTCGTCCACGACGTCATTGTCGGATTCCCAGACGCAGCGGCCGAACCACGGTCGGCTCTCTACTTCTTCCACAGTCGCATCCGGGGCGTAGTCTTCGGCGAGGTTGCGGAGAAGCTCGTCCGCTGCTGCTTCTATGCCTGAGGTACGGTACAAGTCTTCTATCTCAGGATTTACTATCTTGACAGGCCAGCCGGTATCCCCTTTGGCCAGATGTCTCTTAAGGTAGATCTTTTTGGCACTGTACATGCAGTCCTTTTCTATAGGACAGCTGAGACAGTTCGTTGCATCACCGGCAGCTGGCGGTTTCCTGGACCTCCTGAAGAATTTGAGTGATCCGGTAGACGTAAGGAAAGAAGGCAGATGAGGTGGTCTCAGACTATTTGTCGGCGAAGAGCAAAGCAACCAAAGCAGGAAATCAATATCGTGACAGCTCTTTGTCAACAGGGATGGGGCGGTTTTCGACTCTTTCCGCCAGTTGCCTCTGATGGAGTCGTCAGCTCCAGCTAATTCTTTGACCACTTCCATACCGAAACATACCTAACATAGCTATGTGAGAAGTGCCACCACCCCACCGGCTCCGTATGTTCCACACTGACAACATCACCCACAACTCTCCGATCCAGCAAGAGCTCCCTCAGCAGCATGTTATGCGGACTGTACCTCAACACGTGAGCTATCCCAAAGATCGTCTCCGCCGCCGCCCTGCCCTGCTTCGGCGCCAAACTCCTATACATCTTGACACAGTCCTCCAACCTCGTCGCCAGCGGCTTCTCACACAACACGTGCAGCCTCAGCGGCGCAAGGCCCTCCACAACATCCACATGCATCTCATCTAGCACGCACACGATCACAGCATCGACACCCGGCTCCACAGTCTCGCCAGCGCTCTCTCGCTTCCGCCGGACTTCCTCATACTTGAGGAACTGGCGCCAGTCCGTGAATTCTTCTTCGGGTTTAGGTGGCCGGTTTAAGGGGCCCCAGATGTACTTCGCGCCGAGCTCTTGCCGCTTGAAGGCGATGGGCTCGGCGACGGCGGCGACGATGCTGCCAGTGGTGCTGGTTGACTGGTGAATTGCGCGGGCATAGGCTGTGCCGCGGGAGCCGGCGCCGATGATTAGGATACGGGGGGCTGAAGGAGCCATTGCTTGTGAATAGGCGCGTATTGGGGAGATATACTGCGTTCTTGGAGACACGCGGCGGATTCTTGACTATCCGGACTGGTCTCACAAGCTTGGATAGAGGCTCAGCGGGCTCATATAGTACTGTATTCAGGCTTGGGAGGAGTATGAAATGCGGCTTTGCTGATGGGCACATCAGGCTGCAACTACGGGACGGGCAGTGCAACGCTGCGAAGCAACATTAGCTCCACAGGTAGATCGCAACTGGCGGCCAAAGCAAGATGCGGCAACAAAGACCGATTACGGAGAGGATACAGGGGAAGTTTGTAACGGCATGCCATGCTTGATGGTTACTACATTGAGCATTGACTTCCGAATCACTTTGAAGATGTGGAACAGACAATCGGCACAGATATGACTTCGGGAGATTGTTGATCTGGGTATGGAGATTCACTCATCTTGAGCGTACTTACACGTTGTATATCTATGGGAGGTCCCTCACTTCGGTCTACTGTTGCTGGCTTGGTACAATTGAGATTCGTCCAGCTCTCGTCTCTCGTAGTTGTTTCGGCCTTATCACGTGATAACTAGGGACCTTTCATCACCTCACTCGCGGCTGCCATTGAACATCTCCAAGATACAAGTCGCAGTTGCTGCGACGGCGGTTTAGATAGTTTTTGAATAAGCTCTCCCTCTGACACGCACAAATCATCTTCTGCCAAGGAATCACCTAACCCTCAGTTTCGCCCCGACTGGCGCCATTTTGACCATCTCCTCGCCTACGTTCTGCTGTCCGTACGGCTGTAATGGCCGCAGGGCGCCTTCGTGTGGCGGTCTGTCACGTCTCGCCTGTCTGGTTGTCCTCCAGACAAACGACGGAAAAAGCAGTGTCTCTCATCTATCAAGCCGCGAAAGTCAACGCCAACCTGGTCGTCTTCCCTGAAACTTTCATTCCAGCATTTCCTATATGGAGCGCACTACTCCCCCCAACCGATAATCATGCCATGTTTCAGCGCATGGCCGCGGAATCTGTCACTGTAGACAGCCAGGAAGTGCATGCAGTGCGGGATGCAGCAAAAGAGAACGGCTTGTTGGTCAGCTTAGGTATCTCGGAAAAGGTCGACTACAGCAGCGGTACCCTGTTTAACTCTAACCTCCTGATCGGGAACGATGGCCGAATACTAGTCCACCATCGGAAACTCATGCCAACCTTCTTTGAGAAACTGACCTGGAGTCCTGGCGACGGTCACGGGTTGCGAGTTGCCAACACCCCGTTTGGCAAGATCGGTGCGCTCATCTGCGGGGAGAACACGAATCCGTTGGCTAGATACGCGTTAATGGCTCAAGGAGAGCAGGTCCATATCTCTACTTGGCCTGCTCTCTGGCCTACGAGAGTGGACAAGAGTCTTAAGTCCACAGACCAACCCGAAACCGAGGGAAGACAATCACCTCTACCTACGACCGGCGCGGGTGCTAACTATGATAACGTAGCCGCGAACAGGGTGAGGGCCGCCGCCCACTGTTTTGAAGCCAAATGCTTTGGTGTTCTCTGCGCTGGGCATTTGAACCAAAAGGCCATGACAGCTTTTGCGGAGATGTCTAATGACCCGGAGTATGTGTACCGCGTGTTGGAACGGTCACCTCGAGCAGCATCAATGGTCCTGGATCCTACGGGTGCACTGATGAAAGGGTTCACTGTCAATGCCGAGTCCGGTGCGATGGAAGAGACGCAGTATTTGCAAAACGAGGAGGGTATTCTGTATGCCGACTTGGATTTGGGGGATTGCATTGAGGGGAAGCAGTATCATGATGTCGTGGGCGGCTACCAGAGATTCGACGTTTTTAATCTCAAAGTCGATCGAAGCCGGAGGACTCCCGCAACATTCACAGAAAATTTCAAGGAGCATGGAAAGTAACCCGAAATAACCCAATATCATGCAGACCTGAGAAACCTTTCCAGCCTTGGTTTTAAAGGACATACGCGTACATACAGTACTGAAACCCTGTTTTGCTCATAACCTCGCCTTCGGAACTTTTCCGCAAGCGCACAAGACGCGCCCGCTCCTGCTTCCCATCCACGAGGATGGATCTCGGAAGCTTTTGCGTTGTTGCCTCAAAGATCAACCCCCTGTGGTGACAGTCTCGCCGAAGTTACATAAACAGAAAGCTTCCTGCGTCCAACAAGGACATTGTGATATTCTGCACCACAAACATCTTCGCAATATCGCCACTGAGTTTGAGATTGCTCATCGTGTTTTTCATTGAGTTTTTCCTTATTCGATGTGCCCACCTCCGGACGTCACACGACGACTGGCCTTCCATCCAAGAGCCTAACCAGCAGATTGGCAGATAGCGAGGCAGCCACGACGCCGGATCCCTGACTGAGCCTTTACAGACGCGATGCCGAATCCGCTTCTCCGAAATCGCTCGCCAGATTCATCTCCGAGCCCACGTCGTTGTTCATATGTTACTACGGCATTCTAGGGTTCGCGGTAACTATTTTGTCAGCCGCATGATAGGAGGAAATGCCTACCTACCTAAGCCTCTCGACATGGCAGGGTTAGCCTCGCATCCCAGCTGAGGAAACGCGCCCAGAAGAGCGATGGCCCTGTCATGATAGCGACCGCCGCATGTCTGTAGCAAAACTCCCTTTGAACAACAAGTCGTGCAAATTTAGCAGTCCTTTATCGCAACTCTCAATTCATTGACACCTGATGAGTAACGCTTGAAAAGCTCCCTGTCCCAACCGCAGACCTCCAGCTCTATCGCGTCCACAGTTCGTTCCCGCTCTATTCGATCCCCATCAGAATCCCCTACTTCCCCTGTCCAACTCCCTTCCCAGTATCACCGGGCTTCCCACCACCAGCCCCCGCATTCGCGTTCCGATCTCCAGCACTCTGTGCCCGTGCCGCGAAACCAGACGATGACATGTCGCCTCCGCGTGTGGCCTGCTTGACTGTCAGCTTGTCCGCCCTGCCATCTAATACCAGCAAGCAAGGGCAGAGAAAGCTGTGGAAGCATACGCAAGGACGCCGGAAGCGGCGGGCGAACTGACTTGAGACGACTGGATCCTGGACGCGTCAGACCGCGTCATGGGGGTCGACTTTCCTCCTCCGGTTAAGCCAGATGAAGTGTTGGACGTTGAGTTGCTGGACGATATCTTGATGTTTGAGGTGTCTGATTTCCGTGGCGTTCGAAGATGGAATAGGTTGCAGTGACGGATCAGAAGATTGTGCAAGAGGAATGCTGTGCTTATATCCACTCGCCGCTTACTCTTTGCTACATGCCCACAAACCCCCCCTTCACAAGCTCATGCCCCATGACCGCTCGCAAACAACGCCCCCACATGCATCCGTCCAGGACCCAAACGCCAGCAAACGCACCCGACTACTCCCCACTTCCTCTATCAAGCTCATAGAACAGCAAATACACCTCCTTCTGCATGCCCAGCACCTCCGCCGTCCTACACTCCCTAATCTTATCATCACTGATGCGCCACCACCGACCATCCTTCTTCTTCTTCGCCTTCCTCCTGAACCGCGCCATATCCGCCATCGAAGCCGACGCAGTCGACGGTCTCGGCTGCGACGACTCCGACGGCCGCGGCGGCTTCAGGCCCCTCTCGTCCCGCGGATGGGATGTCGGTGCCGCTCGACTCCCTGACGAACGCGAGGATTGCGATGACGAGGACGGCGATGGGCTCAGTAACGACGGATCCGGAACCACAGACGGCGGAGCCATGGAGCCGTGCTCCCGCGGCCGCTCCTGGGAATCTTTGGCTGGTATCCGCGGGCTTGGGACGGCTGACGGGTTAGGCGTGCCCATGGCGCTGTAGGCGCCCTCGGTGCCGAACGAGTGCGGGGTTGAGTACGGCACTGGTGTTACCTGCCGCCGGAAGGACTCGTAGTGCCCGCTGTCGTGGCCGCCTTTGTGCGTCACGACGCCGAGGAGGCGGTACTTCTTCTGGTTGAGGATGCCGCCCAGGGGCAAGCTCTCGGGGAAGGCAACCTTGGCCGTGTTCTTGGTGGAGAGGCTGGAGGCGGAGTAGATGGATCTGGAGAGGTGGATGCCGAGGACTTTGGGGAAGGATGAGATGCGCATGTGGCGGGCTATGCGCCGTTTGGGCGCCAGCTTGCTGTCTGGGAGCGAGACATCTTTTGGCGGCTTCTCTGGATTCTCGGCCATGGCTTTCTGTATTTTTGTGATATCGGCTGCGAGAGCTTCTCTGCTCCGCGCGGTGGTGGCGCTTGCGAGCTCCCGCTGCTTGACGGATAGGACGTGCGCGAGGCGGCAGTACTCGCATTTGAAGTCGTCAATGTGTTCGACTTTGAGCATGCCATCGAAGCAGCTATTCAGTGATGTTGAGGATTGTTGAGGGATGTTTAACGTCAAGGTGACGAAGGTTGAGACTGTTGGTTTGGGCTTGAAGTGACATGTCACACACTCGATCTGAGATTGGATCTTTCCTTCGAAGGGGAAGGCGTCCTCCTCTTCGTCCCCGTCCTGGCTATTCTCATCTTGCTCGTCTGCGTCGGCTGCTTCGACCTCCTCGTCTTGCTCAGACCGGTCCACATCACCGCCTTGCGGACTATCCGTTCTGTCCACCGCCGCGCTCTCACCCTCCGATCTTCCCACCACCAATCTCCTAGCTTTCCTCCTCGCCCTCCTTCCAGCTAGATACTCCTCCTCAAGCCTCTCCGTCACGATCTGCAAAAACTCCTGCGCATCCTGCTGCTGTCTCGAGATCCTCGTCCTAAACGCCTGTTCCAGCGTACTCACAAACGCCTGCGCCGAGATCGTTTTCCTATATATCGGCCTCTCGTTCAGCCGATCCAGCACCTCCTTCAGCGCCTGCGTAACAATCCCCTGCCGCAACCCCTCCAGCAACCACGCCTTCCCCCCATCCCGCGCGTCCTGCGCCTCTTGCTCCGTGATGCTGTACACCTCCTCCCCGCCCAACTGTCTCCGATGGACTTCCCGGATGAGGTACTTGCGCAGGTCGGGCAGGCCCGCGAGCGCCTGGAGCACGGCGTTGATGAAGCAGTCGTTTGCGGGGTTCGAGAGGCCGACGACGCTGGATTTCTTGCGCGAGGAGCTCGAGTCGTCGAGGAAGAAGGTCGGGCCGAAGACGTAGACGAGGGTTATGGCTGCGAGGGAGGCCCCCGCGGCGTAGGTCGCTATTGTCAATGGCTTGTCGGGCATGGCTGCTTTTTTGGCCAGCGATGTATGACACGGTAGCGATCAGTGAAGGACCGTGGGGGGGGGGATTGGCTGTTCAGCCCTCTTCGCGTATTGCTGCGGGATCTCGAAGATAGGCGAGGCCACAGGCAGCGGGGGAAATGGGATGCATGAGGGGAATTGTAGAGTTGAGCATGGTGCCTGGAGGTTGGTAGATCCTGGGAGTCCAGGCCGCGCTGCTGGCCCAAACCCTCTCCGTCATCCGCTGCCAAAAAGTCGCCGGCTAGTCGCGGACAAAATACTAGTGACGAGACCAACGCAGGCATGCTGAGAGATGCACGTATCCATCGCAACTCTATTCCATTGAAGCTTTGCGAGCGTCGCACGCATATCCAAAGCTCCCAATGGCATCTCCCCTACGGCCTTCGCTTTTACCTCAGTGCTCCTCCTGCGCCCGCCGCGTCGCCAATCTTGGCCTCGAGCGATGGCAGCCGACCTACCAGCAAACGCGGAGTAAAAAGACTTCCTCCAAGCAGCCCGACCACATCGCCGTGAGGCTGCTGAAGGATGTCAAGTCCTTCGGGCGCGCAGGTGGTTGCCTTCGATCTTGTTTTGAAGCTCTCACGGCTAACGGTCATGATCACTAGGCGCACTCGTCCCCATCACCGCCGGCCAGATGCGCAACATGTGGTTCCCACGCGGGATAGCCGACTACGTTACAGCGCCCCAACTCAAAGAACTGCGGGCGCGGAACGTCGCTGTCGAGCGAGACTTCCTGTTCGGCGTCGAGCTCACCAAGAAGAAGAAGGCCGAAGCCGCGGAAGAGGAAGCCCAGGAGGCGAGCCGGCAATCCGTCAGGGCGGAGGTTGAGTTGCTGTCTGTACGTATACCCACTTCGTATTCCTCCGTCGACACGCCCCCAAAGCACTCCTGGTCGCCGGCTGACACCTGTGATTCGCAGCCTCAACGCTCCACCGAGCTCCTAGCTACACTCCTCCCCCCAACCCTCGACTTCTACCGCACCCCGATCACACCCGACACGTCCTCTCCCTCCCCTGCCACCACCGCACCGTCCGCGCCCACTAGCATCTACGGCTCCATCTCAGCACCCGACATCGCACACGCTATCAAAGCCATCCTTAGCACTAACGAAGAGGCGGCGCGTGTGGTATTGACGGACGGGGACATCAGGTTCATGAGTGGGTCTGCAGGGACAGGGCTGGTCGAGGGAGCGGGAGTGGGGAAAGCAGAGGGAGGGATGACGGTGGACCGCGTGAAGCAGCTTGGAGACTATGAGATCGAGATATTTGTTAAGGGGGCGAGTGAGGGGGTGAGGAGGACTGTAAGGGTCTTGCCGACCGAGCCGGCGAGGTAGTGGGAGCGGTTGCGCCTGTACAATTTAGGACCAAACGGGATATAGAAGGCGTAGGAAGTCGCAGAGGTGCAGAGTCGCCGCTGCGCCATTGTGTTAATACGTGTATGTGGATGCGAGAAGCTGTTGATACCATTCGGAAAAGCAGCTAGGCGACAGAATTAGAATGCGTTGGTGTGCTGAGTTTGCATGATTGACACAAGGCTTTTCAGGTACGCAAGGAGATTCCGCGCATTGAGGGAAGTAATTCGATATCTGCTCATTTTACAAAAGCGGTGCAAGGAATGTTCCCGCAGAAATCACAACCCGCCATACCCTCGCTTTTATGGCCGAAAAAGTGCACGAAAGGACCGATCCAACTGGGAAACGCGAAACGCGAAAAGCTCAAACGAAACCATACCCTGCAATCTACCCAGACCCAATCGCGGCCACGCAATGTTCTTAGTGAGAGAAGTGGCGGATCCACCTCTTCAAAATTCTTACGCTTACAGTCTAGGGCGCAGACGGGTGGAGGATATACGTCCGGTTCTAGAAGGGTGAGCTGGATCCAGAAAACACCTGGCCGGAGCGGGCAAGCAGAGTAGCAGATAACAAGCAGAGGAGCAATCACCAGTAAGGCCTACGGCCGTAGCCGTCCTCATATCCACCACGAGGTGGGCTCCTGGGTCTCCTGCCGCCAGGCGACGGGGGTCGGTCGTACGGGCGGCTATGACCATTCATGTAAGGATCTGGCTCATACGCAGCGCGAGGTGGGGGCGGAGCGCGAGCATCGTAAGCGTCCTCACGATAGCGTGGAGGGGGCCGACCGTACCCATCGTCAACCGGAGGAGGGCCACGACGATCGTAGCGATCACGTGGATCATAATAATCACGTGGTGGCGGTGAGCGGCGACGATAATCATCGCGACGTGGGCTATAGCCAGCACGCGGAGGACCGCGGCGATCATGGTGATAGTCGTCAGGTGGAGCACCATAGCCACCGCGGCGTCCTGGTGGCGGCGAGCGGGATCGAAAGCGGTCGCGCGGGCGCTCAGGTTGAATCTGTGAGATGTCAGGTACTGAACACCAGTCCAGTTTCGTAAAAGCGAGTGAACCTACGTCAGCGATGCAGCGGACGGTCTGACCCTTGAACTCGCGGTTGTCAAGCTTTTCGACAGCATTGGTAAGGTCCGCGCCAGTTTCGTATTCGACAAACCTAGGCAGATATCAGTGGACGCGTCACCTACAATATCGGATACAAAACTAACCCTTTACCGTCGCGATCGCGGCTTACTTCGGAGTAGACTACGTCAAGGCCAGACTGGCGGGCGAAGTCTTTGAGGTCCTAGAGGTCCAGAGTGAGTCCGGTGACATCCAAGAAACTTCCAGAAACTATGCTGTGCATAGATGCAGCCCCAGAAACTCCGTGTATCGTCGCATCCACCTTCTGTGTTGGGCTACGGGGAAGGAGAGGGTAGGAAGGTCTGAAAGCTCCCCAATACATGATCCCGAGGCACCGAGAGGACAAGGACCCGGAAACTCCTAGTGGTCCTACGTGCTTCCCGGTAGCGCGTGAAAACAAACAACATGAGATCATGGTGGAACATGTCAGGCCTAGGCCACCAGTCGCCTTCTCGCGGTGGGTTTGAAGTGGCTCAAGTGCACATGTGGCGCGCTCTCGCCGAACGCGAAGCTCCCCCGTCACATTGATTGATGCCTCGACAGATGGTGGGGACAGAAACTCCAAAGAAAAGATGTCCAACGGTCCAAGAAGAAGGATATGGAATGGGAGCTAACCTGCCAGCTGGTCTCAACAGGAAGGCCAGTAATTTGCATGCGGAAAGCGGTGCGCCGGGGGCGAGGAGCGGTGCGCTCTTGGTGGGCAAAAGGCTCATTGCGGCGGGACCCTCGTGCGAACTGGACAACCAGGCGCTCTCCCATGAAGTCGGAGCCGTCTATTGCGCTTTAGCCACGCGTCAAGGGGATTAGTCAAGGGACGTGAGGACGACGTACGGAAGGCTGTTACACATGAAGGTCAGCACCGTGTCGCGGTTGTGGTTGCTTTCGCAATGAAGGGGTGCGCGACTTACCGGGAACCACATCCCGCGCGTCCATAGCATCCTTGTACTCGATGAAGCCGAAGCCATTCATGAGCTTAATCTCGGTGATTTCGCCAGTGCCATGGGCCGCAAAGTGGTTCTCAACGTCCGCCTTAGTGGCTGCGCCAGGTAAGAGAGTCAGCGAGGCCTAACTCCAAAGGGTGACGCCATCCTGGATCCACGAAGGCCATCCATCTAAAGCGCGCTCTGATGTTGCTGCAGTCCCCATCCAGGATAGTTCAAGGAGTCATACCATTACGTGGAAGGTTGCCCAGGTAGAGCCGGGTGGAGGATACCTCTGTAGCCATCTTGGTGAAAGAACCTGGGGATGTCTTGAGAGCGATGAGGCTGTCGCGAAGCGAGGCTGGTCGCGAAGAAAGGAACACTGGCTTTCTACGTCCTATCCAGAAGTGAGGCTCCTCGGCGAGTCTCAAAGACAGGAGCACAGTAGGAATGCAATCCTGCTGCGCGACGGGAAGGATATGTGGATTGACTCCGGAGAGGACTGGTGTGGTGTGGTGTGGTGAAGAGGAGAAGTGGAGAGGATGAGGCGGAAGAATTCATCGCCTCACGCACAGAACGCGCTAGCCGAGTTCGGTAGCTTGATATGGGGCACTCCGCACAGGTGCACTTTCCGCAGCGTGCTCACGACGTGCGACACGCGATTCAGCGTTACTGTCCTCCCTAATGATGTGCAATAAGCTGTGGGATATGTATCAGCGGCTGGATTCATGAGATGAAGGCAGCGCGGTGTTTTAGCAGGACAACTTGCTCTCATGCTGAAGGTACAGGCAAGAGGTCAAGCATGCTTCCTTGAAGCTCTTTCGCCATCAGTTCGACCGGGCCATAGAGCCGGCGCCTGATCAACTCGGTGGGAGCCGGCAGACTGAAGGACGCACCAGGAACCTTTGCGGTGGTACGGCAACGAGGTGTGACATCAACCACCATGCTGGCAACCGTCCGTTGGGTCACCCCCTGATTTCAAGGCCACAACAAACTGCTCCACAGTGAAGACGAAGATAAGACCCATCCAAATCGGATGATGTGCACAGTCTGGGTTCAGGTATGTACAACGAAGTGGTAAACTCCTTTCACGTCATCACGTACTTGGGCCCCTCACCTCCTTGTGGGGTCGTCCACTTGATGCCCTGGTTCGGCACCTTGATGTCACAAGTTTTGCAGTGAACACAGCTGTCGCAAGTCAGCAGCTGCGATAAGCACGAAGCAAGGCGCTTCTTGTGAATGAGGGGCTTACTTTTGCGCATTGATCTGGAACCTCACACCCAGGTCTTTCGTCTCGTCCTCCACATACTCATACACAGCAGCTGGACAGAACCGGTTCTCAATGCCTTTGTACCGTGGATACTCCTCCTGGGCGTGCTTGTCCCAATCTTCCACCCGAAGGTGCACGGGCTGGTCTTCCTCGTGATTCGTGCCCGTTCGGCTGACGCTAGTTAGGATGTCGAAGCTGATCTTCCCGTCGTTTTTCGGATACTCGATCTTCTTGCACTGATCGGCGGTCTTGGTAGCCAAGTGATCCGGCTTGCCGTGCTTCAGTGTCCATGGAGTTTTGCCGCGGAAGAGAAATGCTTCTAGACCAGAATAGAGAATACCTCCATAGAGGCCTAGGGGAGTGTGAAACGATGGCCTCATATTTCGAACTTGCTTTAGCTCCTTCCAGATCGAAGACTCCCGAAGCGCATCTTCGTAGTCGAAGAGGAAAATGTCTCCCCTGTCCTGGTTCACGGTAAGCGCCTTATACGCAGCCTCTGCTGCTAACATCCCCGACCGCATGGCCGTATGTGTGCCCTTGATCTTCGGGACGTTCAGGAATCCGGCCGTATCGCCAATAAGCGCACCACCGGGGAAGGCGCACTTTGGTATCGACTGGAAGCCGCCTTCATTTAGGGTCCGAGCTGCGTACGATATACATTTTCCGCCTTCGAGGTATTGTTTGTATAACGGATGATGCTTCATCTTCTGAAACTCGCCGTAGGGTGCTAGCCAAGGGTTCGGATAATCCAGTCCCACTACTAAGCCAATGCTGACAAGGTTGTCCCCAAAATGATACATCCAGCCGCCTCCATATGTGTCTGAGGGTAATGGGTAGCCCATCGAGTGGACCACCAGTCCTGGCTGGAACTTTTCCGGCTGGATCTCCCAGACCTCCTTGATGCCCAAGCCGTAGGTCTGGTGCTGGCTTTCTCTCCTAAGATCATACTTCTTCACCACCTGCTTTGTCAGGCTTCCGTGGCAGCCCTCTGCGAGCAGAGTGACGCGAGCATGGAACTCCATACCTCTCTCAAACGAATCCTTCGGCTTGCCACTCCGCGATATGCCCAGGTCGTTGGTTGCCACGCCCTTTACCGCACCCTCGTGTGTGTACAGCACCTCCGAAGCTGCGAAACCCGGGTATACTTCCACACCAACCTCTTCCGCCCGCTCTCCAAGCCACTTGGCGAACTGGTTCAGACTTATGATGTAGTTGCCATGGTTATTCATCTGTGGCGGCGCCGGTATCGGTATAGCCCGGTTCTTCGTCAAAAATCTCATCTTGTCCGTCGTGGCAGGTGTGACGTTCTGGAACCGGTTCGGGTTGTCCTCAGACTTCCAATCAGGAATCAGCTCATCCAATGCTGACGGCTCAACCACATTTCCAGACACAATGTGATCGCCAAGCTCGCCCGCCTTCTCTAGCAGTAGCACACGGAAATCCTCATTGCCCGCTTCGTTGGCAAGCTGCTTGAGCCGTATTGCTGCGCTCAGCCCCGCGGGCCCGCCACCCACGATACAGACGTCCACCTCGTCGATTTCGCGCTCAATGGTGCTGGGGTCGAAGCGGTCATCGTGCTGCGCGAGTCGAGCTCTTGCGGTACTTGACAATGCCCTCCTCTGTCCTGCGATCCGGAATGCGGGCCTATACTCGCTCAGCAGGCGTGCTCGAATGCTGCACGGCGCAGCTCTAGGAAGTGTCCGCAGGCTTCGGGTGGACGAGGTGAGGGTTCGGCGGACGAGTGCCGGTAAGACGAGCTTGGAGGACATGGCGAGTGGTGCGGTGCAGTGTGCGAAGTTGTGTGGAGGAGGTGGCACGAAAAGAGAGTCGCATATTCACGGCCATGACGGTTTGGTGTTGGCCGAGGTTGTGAGCAATGCGGACCGAAGCAAAGCCGGCCACTCGCGTGTCGGACTTTTGTCACCCTGACTTTTGACACCTCTGACAGCTTTGATTCCGTGCTCCGTTCAACAACGGAGATATCTTTCCGTCGTAATGGACTTCATCGACACTCATACCAAAGTATAGGTTCAGTAAAGCAAATAGCTTGTGTGGATCCCACGTCACTCCTTCCAAGGCCTGGGCTCAAAAGTCTGGTGCTATGCCCGGAGTTCCGCCGCCTCACCTCAATTCATTAGTATAGCACGAATTGTTACGGAACTAGACTTCCGAGCCTAGGCCTCGTTTCAAGTACCGGACTAGACTTGTCCGCCATGCGCAATAGTAGCAGGCGCGAGTGTCCTACACTCGTTATAAGCATCTTATACGTCAACAGGGTGTGTTCCTCAGGTGTGCCACGCGGTTCGCCAAGACCCAACGAACAGTGAACTGCCTACCGCACGAGGCTCTCACAGAACTTGTCCATAATTTTCAGGGCATTGAGAAGTGAGCCAAAAGTCAGCACGATCATCGATCCACCCTCTGGAACGGTATAGCCGCCCTGGCCGTGCTGATACGTTCCGACCCGAGACGCCGACTCTGAAACCACTGGAGCCTCAGATCCTCTACATGAGGCTGAGCGACCCAGCATAGCACCTCGACAATATTCATGCGTTCTCAGCGGATGGCTATGTTCTGGTCAGGAGCTTTCCTCCATTTGTTCACAGCCAGGACAGACCCCACTGATGGGTCTTGAGGCTTGAAGTTACATCTCACGTTCCCGCTCAGCGCTTGATATCTCCTTGGCAGCCTTCGCGTTCAATGTCCAGATCCGCACTTAGCCCATGCTTTGAAGTCACATCACAGATGGTTCATCAAGTTTCACGTGCACAGTTCCTAAACTCTAGCTGGCGGCATGAATGTGGAGATGCAGACCTGATGCAGATCACATACAAAGCCCCACTTGCCGCTCACCAGCCATTGACGCTCCAATGGAGTGGCTACTGTCCTAAGGCGATGTGTTGTAGTCCTGAGTATATCCATCCCTCTTCCGTGAATTTTTCCTCTCGGTCTTGCAACATTCAGTTCTTCGTGCTGGCCACCTATTCTCAAGCTTTACCTTTCTTACATACATACATACATACATTCGTTACTCCCTAAGAGCTGTGCTCCCATCTTCATTCTTTGCTCCTTCTATCTACGTTCCTTCAAGAACCGTCTCTTATCAGACTCGAGCACGCATCATCATGAAATCGACATACTCCCTCTTCATCCTTTCCCTGATTGCCCTGGTGGCAGCCACCCCGGTTCCCGTCAAGCGTAGCCGTATGCACCGCTCGTCCACTCTCCCTCGCTTACCAAGCTCACCAGCCCATCCGTAGCAAACCCCAATCCCCCATACCCCTTGAGCCCGGAGGACACCGCCGAAGGCGCAGCAAGCCCCACCATCCCAGCCGCCGGCGGAGTAGCCAACCCCACCATCCCACTCCCAGAGGGCGCAGCGAGCCCGAGCACCCCCGCTGCCGCGGGTACTGGCATCGCGGCCCCAACAGGCACTGGTGTTGCAGCGGCTCCTTCAGCGGGCTGTGTCATTCCGATCGACGCTTTCGAACTGGAAGGGGAGGAGGGGGCGTCACTGGCCTCTGATCTTGCCTACCTGCTACGCGAGAAAGCACTCGATGTCAAGGACGCCGTAGCAGGCTTGCTGACGCGCAGACATGGAGAGCCTGGTGGTGATGGTGGCGATGGCGGCGATGGTGGTGGCAACGGTGGTGACGGTGGTCTAGCGGGCCTTAGGGGCGGAAGAGGAAGAGGCCAGGGTGAGTTACTTATGCATTTTCTTGCTCGAAGAGCCGGTTCTAATGTGTTGCATCCGCTGACATGGCATGCAGCTGCTGAAGCCGCCGGTCCTGGAAACGGCGAGGACGGAGGTGCTGAAGAAGACGGCGCTGGCGCCGGAAGAGGGAGGGGTAGGCCTGGTCAGGGCCGCGGCAGAGGCAGGGGCAACGGCAATGGAGCGGGCAACGACGGGGGCAACGGTCAGGAAGAGGGCCAGATAGGTGGTCAGGAAGGTGATCAGGAAGATGATCGGGGCAACGGTCGGGGCAACGGTCAAGGCAACGGTCAAGGCAACGGGCAGGGCAACGAGCAGGGCAATGGTCGAGGAAATGGCCGAGGCGATGGTCAAGGGAACGGCCAAAATAACGGCGACGAGGGTGGCGAGGGCAATGGCGAGGGCAATGGTCAAGAACGTGGCGGTGGTCGCGAAGGACAGCCGGAAGAGAACGCCGCTTGTCCTGCCACACTCCGACGAGTCCGACGTGCGCGGAGGAGTTTCAGTCACCGGTAGGTGGATTGAAGGGTGTCAAGAGTTTGCCTTCTGGAAGGCATAGTCTGAAGGCGTGAAATCTGGCAAGAAATTCTCGGCTTGCCTGTTGGGTTACGTGTGCTGCTTAGATATATCGGTACGTCAACTTGGGAACTAGCATAGGGCCTTCGTCTCTAGAAGTTCTGTCGTGTGATTTCCCTCTCTATGTTCTCAGGCATGTTAAGAGGGGGGTGGACGACTGTCATCAACTGGGAAGCTGGCAGAGCTCAAGTTGGTTCTCCTACCGCAGAACAACAAAACACAAGTATAACACAAACGAAAGACATTACCACACATGATTACCAGTCAACGACCTAAACGTCCCATTGGTTTCCTGTAGCTGAGAATTGTACTCGCAGTGACTCTTTTCAGTTGTATACAGATCGGTGAGATAGCGGTGCCAGTCACCTCCTACTGGACCGCTGTAACGATCGTAAGCGCTTATCTGCGGACATCCTTTGACATATCGCAGCCCACTCTGAATGCATATTATCTCTTTTATTCCATCAAACCTTCTGTTTTAGCGTGCCATTTCATGCGAATATCATTAATTGTAAATCTTTGTCCTCCCGACGGTCGACCATCGGGGCCTGCTGCTCATTCACAGTATGCTTGGGACAGTTGACTCAGTCTGTCTACTATGAGATATGGTGCCTGAAGCGTAGACGCTAGACCTGCAATGGGGTCAGCTTGCTGCGAGATCTATTGATGTCGAGACAATAAGCGGTATTTCTTCAGCCTTGTGCACGCTTCGTCGACGGGGACTTTCCAGGTTGTGTACGTCGGAATGGAGAGAGAGAACTCTAGAGCTGGAGATGTGTTTCTCAACTCACCAAAGTCGTGCTTCTGCATTTAACCTCACGCCCTCCTCTCGGAAGGCGCGAACATGCTCACTAATAGCGTATTTGTCGAAACCAAACTTCTGCAGGCGCGTCAGTAACAAGCAGCGGAATTCATGGCGCTGTGTTACCCTTAGGTCCGCATCTTCAGAGCAGTGATGCGGACAACACAACACCACTTCGCCAAGCATAGGCAAAGCGCCGCATGTCTTACGGCTCAGAAGCTCCTGTGACCATTCGACGAAGAACATTGGATAGTCATTGTCCACGTGTAACGATCTGAGCGTCGGCGGCAGTGAGTTTACGTAGATCGAAGATACGAAGGCTGGTATGGAGGTTTCGAAATGCTCAATACGGGAGGCTCTAAGCAGCACTCTAAGCGCGTCTACCATCTTTGTCTCAGGACTTCCGTCGCCCGAGATTCGGAGTCTCTCAAGAGTGGTAAGATGAGTGTCGTACAAGGCTTGAAGCATCTCAGGGTTCACAAATACCCCTTGGTCTTCTGGGGAACGCTGTTTAGATCCGTTGACGGGAGTGATTGTGGTCCAGCCAAAATCGTAGATGCCGAAGCTCTTAAGCGGCCTCATCCTCCGAAGCACGTCCGGGGTGAACGACAGGTGCGGTTTCCTGCCATGGTAGACGCCAGCACTATCGTACAGTCTGAACGTGTTGTCGACCTCAAGCTCTGTCAGATGCGGCAGACTGAAAAGTACCTCAAGTGTCTCAGCCGGAGTGTTCGGCAAATAACCGGAGATGTGTAATGACTGAAGGTTGCGCAGACCTTGTACACATATAATAGAATGCTTATCGCTGATAAATGAGAGACGGCGGAGGTGAGGAGAACGGCGTGCGGCAAGCTCGAGGAACGAGGAACATAGAGCGAGACGCTGGTGTGATCTCGGTGAAGTGGTCTGGATTGGGTCCATCGTAAGCTCACAGAGGCCAGTAAGCCGGGTAAGGGCCTGTTCTAATCTTTCCAACTCTTGGTTAATCAGTTCCGGGCTCCGTGGCCGAAGAGGCGGTTGACTGCTGACGCTGTCCAGTACTGGTGAAAGATCAATATTGCGGATACACAGCCGGATAGCCTTGACCCAAGACACTTGGATGGTCTCCGCTGATGCAACCCATTCATATAGGCTGGTCTGCGATCGAAAGATCAATTGGTGGCTGTATAGGAAGGGCAAGGCTTCGCGGTAGAACAGCTTGCACACTCGCAGAGCCTGAGCGTTGCATCTGGGATGAGAAAATACCTCACGGTATACGTTATTGCGGAGCTCCGGTGGAAGGTGGAAGAAGTGCTGCTTTCGGGCGGGGGGCATCTCCTGTGACAATAACATTGCGAGAAGGTTGGGGAGACTTTCAGACAGTATAGTGCGGGGAGAATAAGGGTTCTGTGTAATGAACGGTGTTTGATACGGGAGTTGTATATATCGTTCGGTTCAGAGGCGTACGTAGGCTGGGCTAAACGGAAGAAGAAACTATCATCAACGCGTATTGCCTGGCACAAACGCTAAGAGCTAGGAGCCGATGACAGCCACTGCAGTTGATAGAAAATAGACAACGACAGTCAAAGGACAGAAAAGCGTTAGGACGATAAGAAGACCGCTTCACAACTTAGGCCGCCACGCAGTATCACGTTGCGAAACTGATGCCATTGAAAGGGTATCTTCTCGATGGTGGTGGACTCTTCACTCAGCCAATGCGCATGCCTTGGAACGACCAAGCACTCGCGAGCAGCTCCGACGCCCACCTACACGGTGAGTGCTGAAGTCGGCTGGAACTCGCGTCCATGGCTTCAGAGAATCGCGAGATGGCTTGCAGGTGTGTATTGAGCTAAGGACCGAGCAATCGATATGCAGGCAAGCGGCCATGCCATGCGGTCCACGTTGGCGGTTCTCCAAGCGTACGGAGTAGTGAGAGGCCTTCATCCTAGCTTGCACTCGAACGGCAATTAAAAGGTCTACTATTCGGTCGGCATTCGGTGGTCAAAGCCCCAGGCATCAAACCCAGAGATAGAGGCGTCCGAGTAAGGCCGGAAGGGTGATACAGGAGCGTCTGAAGGCTCGCGCTACACAGTGGATAGGAGAATGGCTGCATCACGCGTGGAGCTCCACGAACCGGACTCGCGCCTTAGCTAGGTAGAGAATCTGGTAGATTAAAATTCGCCGGATTCGTCTGATTTGGCGCAAACCGGTTAGCGAGGTCTCTACACTCTGGTTGAAACTGGCGCCGTCTGCGTGGGGGGAGCTTGAAGTCCATAGCGCATCCGCCCAAGGCGTTCCTACGCTCTCGAGCCGAAGAGCGTTCTGCCGGTGCATGCCGTGGCTCGGGGGAGTTTGACGAGGCGCCATGCGTGCGGTAGACGGCTCGCGATGCGTTTGGCGGCTCGGTGGAAAGACGAGACACAATGGAGATGCGGCAGACCGTGGTGTCATGCGAAGAATGTTAGTGGAACGCTTCTCGAGAAGTCTGGAAGGTGGACGTGGCTTGCAGGAAGATCCACGCTGCCCACGAGCGATGCCGCGTGCCAGAGATCGAACCGGAGATGATCGGCCGCTGTGTGCGACGTCCTCTTCCGCCTTTTGCGTGGCAGAGAGCGACAGAGATGCAGTTGATTTGTTCCTTCGGCCGTTCCATGTGGACACAACGTGGCCTTCACGTTTTCAGATCGATGCATGACCGGGGGCTTGCAGCAATCGTGCGGGATCTCTCCAGCCAGGACGGGAGGGATGATGCAACAACCGCACCCCTAACTCATATCTGAGCTCACGAATGGTGGGATCGTGTGAGCATAATTGGCTCGTTGATGGTAGAGCTCGCTTGATTGCCCTTTGGAGGCGGCCTGAGCGCATCGTAAACGTGTATTGATGATGGTGATACTCGTAGCTGAGCGCCGAAGACGCACTGCAGCGCATGCTTGCCACGCGCCGCAACCTTCCGAGCACGAATGACATGCAAGCAATCTACCGGCTGGGAGAGGGTGGTGCAAGGTTGTGCTTGGACAGCAAATTCATGCTACCCATCGCACGAGAGCATGTAGCCAAAAGCAGCGCCTCTAGGGCAACCGAGCCGTACTTCGTACTCTGCACTTCCACGTGGTGTTGCCTGGGAACCTCCCGCTTCGATCTGTTTCAGCAAGGGGCTAATGCAGAGAACGCAGAACCATCGAGACTACTCGATGCACAACACGCGGCAAAGACGGTCGATCAGCTATCCTTCCCGAATGGGATGCGGGTTACGGCAGAGGTCTTCGAGTTGCAGAGGACGGGGGACTAGTTTTGGATCTACTGTAGAACTGGTATACGGAGAAGATGAGGAATGTACAGAGACAGTCTCATTAGTTAGCTTCTTAATTACGAATTCCTGCTTATGAGGGACCTCAATCTCTTAGGTATTTTCACAACTCTGCCATACGGACGCAACACTCACAAGGGTGGGGGGGTTATCACGAACACGGACGAGGGGTTCGTTTTCGGGGCTAGCACTGGTGCATACGTCCCTGTGAAGTTCACATGCTCGGCATTAGGGGGACGACTATCAAGACGAGTCGGTCATCGTCATCATTCTCGTCTCCATCATGCTCATTATCACCGTCATTAATCCCAGCATAGTCACCAAAGATACACACATTCTGAAGACCTACCATTCTATCACCCTCAACGCGGTGCAGTAGCAACAGCAATCCCATCTCTCGCATGCTCCTGCAGCCAATGGGGCCATCCCCTAATGCCAGCAAACTTCCCCGCGCTCTCCGGAACATAGATCTGACCGGCTCGACCGCTGAGCACCTGCTTCACGACCGGGTCTGCAATGGCAGAGGGCAGCAGCGTAATAGTCTTCGACGCCATGAGCGAATCCTCCCAGCTCTTGATCAACGGCGTCTGCGCCCACATCGGGTGCACGATTGTCGTCTGGATGCAACAGCCGTTCGGACCGTAGCGGTGCTTGAGCTCTTGATTGAGGCCTGTCTCTATTAGCTGTTGAACGTGAAGTGGGAGAGGTGGGAAAGGGGATGGATATACCCTCATGTAGCGCCAGGACACCGGCTTTCGTGCAGCAGTAGTCGACGATGCTGGCGCCGGAGAAGTAACTCGCCATACTCGCGATGCTGACGATGTGGCCTTTTTGCAAATCCATCATGCCGGGCAGGAACTCCTTGATCAGGGTGAAGTGGCTCATCAGATTGACACGGAAGATCTTCTCGAGGTACTCCTCCGAGGTGTCCAGGATGGTGTGTGCATGGGCTATACCAGCGTTGTTGATGAGAATAGTAGGGATACCGACGTCCCTGCGGATTGCGGCCGCCGTCTCTGATACCGCGTCTTTGGAAGTAATATCACACTTGTAAAAGGAGACTCCGGCCCCTGAGCCTAGCTGTCAGCCTCTACTTCGTCAAGTCAAGTCCAGGATGAAGCGGACTCACGACCGTCAAGATCCGCAGGCATGTCCTGCACATCCAAAACCACAACCTTCATCTTCCCCGCCAGCCCCTTAACCATCAGATGCCCAAAGCCACTGCATCCCCCTGTAACAACAGCAATCTCTTTCTGATTGGCGAAGTCCCACTTGGCGCCTTGCTTCCGCCACTGCCAGTGGTTCTGCGCCCAGGCGTTCAGGCGGTCATTGACCTTACCCGCCAGGCCAAGCGCAAAGAGCCATTTGAGGGTTCTCAGCAGCACAGGAAGCCTGCGCGCATTGGTAAGAGAAGGGAACGCTCGAAGTAGTCTGAGGCGAATCTCTGGCGGTCCTCTGGTTAGAGCAAGCAGGAGTGGGCCTGTCAAGATGGGCTCGAAGGCCGCGCGCTTGATGAGGGCGACCAAGGACGCAAGCTTAAGAGATCTCAGCCACGGCTATTCAGATAGTAGATGCCAGGATGGAATCACCTACGGATAGAGCGAGCTGCTGTGTATTCATCTTCACGGCAAGTTTCTCAGCTGTTCATGGCAGCGAGTTTGGACCGAGGGAAGAAAGCTGGCTTACTCCAGCTCTTTATTTATTTGAGGTGGAAACGAGGGGCGGCTTTCCCCGCAAAACATCCATACTTCCCCACAGTCTGACCCTGCGCCATCGCGTTCCAGCCACATGGTCGCAGATCTTTGCTACATTGAGACGCGCAGTTTGCTCCGACGCGGCCCTGAGGATATCTGAGATTACATTAGGCTCGTGATAGTCAGGTTGCCAAACACTTTGAGCTTCGGTATGGCGGATTGCCAAATTACATAGACGAGTAAAAGCTGGGTCAGCTACACAGCGTCAAGCTAACTTGGACTGGCAAGCGACAGCTCACTGAGGTCTCCCCTGCGGTCTTTACAGCGGAACGATTAGAATGGTGTATGCCGCCGAGTTTGTTTGGATCTCGTATGAGTATGTTTGCACCCTGTGGCATCTCATACAGGCCTGCAAAAACCACGAACATTTGGGTTCAATCTTCCAGACTAAAGGTATAAAATGAACATCGCCCAGCAGCATCTAGACCATGGCATCTCGAAGAATTAGAAACACGAAGGAACACGCACTACTATCTTGCGAGATCAGAAAAGCTGCGATTAGCAAGAAGCGGAACATTGCCTCCAACGCTGTCCACTGATTGTGGCGCAAAACTAGCAAGATTCCAAGTACGATGATCGTCTCCTTACGGGGGTCATACTTCTTGCACCCAGACCTGCGAATCACTCCACATCAGCACGAATCCACAGCCAGCAATTGGGTTCAACAACACTCACCTCCATCTTCCCCATATCCGCCTTCTCCTTCTGCGCTTGTAGCCTGCAAGCCTCGATTGCCATGTTCAAATCATCCTGATCCGCCATCGTAATCATATCCTCCTCATCCCTATATTTGATCTTGAAATTCTGCCGTATACCAAACTTCTCCCTAATCTGATCCACAAACTCCCTGAACGGTTTACTCGGCTCGATGAACACATACCGCGTGTCCTCTGCATACACCTTCACCCTGATAGTCTTCAGGTGATGCGGTCTCCGCGCGGAGGCTCGACGCTGGCTCGATGCCCGCTCGTAGGGCAGGCGGGCGTGCGACCGCTTGGGCATCATCTCGAACTCGCCTTCGTCGATCGAGGAGTGCGCGTACTCGTCTTCGTCTTCTTCCTCGATTGAGACGGGGCGTCTGCTGCGCTGCGTGTTCGAGCGGCCGTACGAGGGCCGGAGATGATCTTCGTAAACTTGAGGAGGGCTGCGCTCTTCTTCCTCGCCATCCGAAATCACCCTCCGTAGGGGCGTTTCCCGCACGCCTCTGCCGGCGTCACGACTTCGTGTCGGCCCGGAGGAGTATTCGCGTGCAGGCCGCGGCCGTTCTGATGCTGACCTGACGGTTCCCAGCCGCGGCTTCTCGCCTTGCTCGAACGCTGCGCGTCCCAATTCGAGCGCAGGGGGCTTGGGGGCCGCAAGGCGAAGAGATTGGGGGCGCGGCATGCCGCCCCAGCTTCCAGAACCACCGGAGCCACCAGAAGCGCGTTTACCGGGACTGTCGACTTCTGGAGGTGGTGTGGGTGGGAAGACGTTGCGCCTGATTGGCGGTTCGGATTGCTGTCTTGTGCGACTTGATAAACCCGGCTTGACCAGGTTCGCTGCCGCGTATGAGAGCTTTTCTTCTGGTCGATCGTCCTTGGCCGTTGAGAACGAGGCAGCGTTCAACATCTTCCTTTCAGACCCGGCGAAACCAGTGAAGGCATTGTTTGGGTCCGTCGCGGCAACTAGACGCGCTTTGCCGAGATAGTCCTTCGTTTTCAAGTTCTTGACTTTGGCTTCGTTGGGGCGGTAAACGATGCCGATTGGTATCGAGAAGACGGTGTATCCCTATCAAGGTGAGAAATAGCCCTCTGCACTGGGGAGGGAGCCGGATCTACCTCTGCCTGTTCTTTGAGCGCCTCGTCTATAACATCGTGTTCGGGTTTAGCCTTCTCCTTTGCCGCGTACGACAAGTCTTGCAGACCTGCATCTTTCTGTTGTAGGTAGACGTAGCAGAGGCCACGATTAAAGAGCACCTCACAGGAGTGCAGTTTGAACTTTAGCCCCAGTTGCTCATAGTCGATGTATCTATTGCCACGGAGGTACAGGAGGGTATCGTTGAAGTTCGCCAACGCCTCCTCGAAGTCGCCCAGGAGAAAGTTCGAGACTCCCTGCTGGAAGTATGCCACGGCGAGGTATTGGTCTAACCGAACGGCGCGTTGGAAAGAATCAATCTGTATTGCCATGAGAATGGGTGCTGATTGCCAGTATCCAAATCCGCTCTTACAGCTTTCTCATGCTCGCCCAGCGTCGCATGTATTACACCACAATTGAACAGTATCTTTGACGTGTCGCATATAGGTTCAAAGTTTCGCAGGGCCTCGTCGAACTCGTTGTTATCGTAGTGCCCCAGGGCAGCTACCCACGTCTCGATTTCCTGTATGAGTAGCTGCTTAGCATCGAGCTCATACGCCTAGAAGGTCTGAGAACCAGCGCATACCTGCTTCAGAGACATCGCAGCGACTCTTCAGTCTTACACTCTACTACTCGAGACCCAGTATGCAGGAGTACGAGCGAGCGGGAGCGCAAGCTCCTTCGGATCGTGTGCCAGTACCGACTGTATATATATTCCTGGTGTTGCGTAGTATGTCTAGCAATACCAATCGCTGAGCTGATGTGCTTCCAGCGTGGTTTTACTTCCAACTCTCTCGTTCGGATGGTCCCGCTGCCAGTGCCAGCTGTCAGTTGTATAGCCCGCCTGGGCTTTCGCGTCTCGGCAGAATCCTGGCGAACGACTCGGTGATTGGACTGGGAATCGCGGATATTTCAACTCCAATAGATGACGCAGGCACCAGATATCGATTACGAGTAGAGAGAAGAAGTAGCTATATCAAAAAGGCAAGGGGGTATACAGCGCATTTGAGTTGGACACGTGGGAGGCAGGTGGTTCTCGGCAAGGCGCTAAGAGGAATACCACTCGCCGTGATAGCGGCGACATGAGCGACTTGAGAGACTTGGAAATCGACCAACGCGTTAATCCGGCGCTAAATCTATCAAATAGCTGCTCGGCTCATGAGATATCTCAGGCCCGTCGCATAACGGCGTTGAGGCTGTTGGCGTGTCAGCCAGGTCACAGCCAGGCACTCCCGTCGATTGGCTGGTCTCCCAAAGAGCTTACATGGACAGGGCATCCACGGCGCGTAGCTAGCCGTCTATCGCTCTGGATTGCATTCTGGGTCGCGTTGGAGCCGCATCAAGTACCTGTCAGATGATGACCTCGAGAAACCAGATCTGCTGCTGGGTCATTTCAAGTCGAGGCAATGAGAGAGGCTACTCTTTGCGGTATTACTACGAGCTATACTGACAAGGGTTCCAAAGGCACCATCCGAGGAATCCGTAGCACGTCATTAAGCTGTGTTGATTCGGCTCGAATAGATTCATGCAGGGGGATGTGATAGCTAAATTATATATGACATTGTGCTGCGCCGCAATTGAATGGCAGGGTGCATTTGCCGATGGTGCCCTTTTGTCACTTCCCGAAAGGATTAGTGGTCCATGTCAATGGATTGAGATTAACCAAACGCATGGGATATCGACAGAGCTTTGGCCTGTCCGTCACAGCATTCCCCTGTCCACATGCTCCTTCCGCTCTTCCCAGACCGTCTTGCCAGAGCAGGAGCACACGGTCTTGTCATTATCCCACACCCCAGCACTCCGCGCGATCACTCCAACCAGCGTATCCGGATCATTCTTATCGAACTTGCCATCCTGCTGCCGCGCAACAATTATACTCCTCCCGATCATCTCCCAAATCTGTATTGGCTTATCCAAGAAGACGGTCCCAATACCGCTCTTCCCAACCTCTACTGTGCCGAAAATGCCTCTCGCAGGAGTCCCTTCCTTCTTCGCCTTTGCTGCTTCCCAGATGCCGCCTGTTGACTCTGGGCCCTCTGAGATGTCTCCGCGTTCGCGCACAGTAGCGTAGTATGTCCCCGGCGCTAGTCCTCGGATGCTGAGGTCGATAATTGTCATGCTGGGGGAAACCTGCACCATGCGGATAAGACCGCGGACATGGTCTTTGACGGAGGTGGAATGCGTTTCCAGAATGCAGACCGCAGCGCCTGTCGTCTCGAGTCAATGGAGGCCAAATCAGATGTCGCTCAGCGCAACCTCACTCTCTGAGCGACCGCTTCCTCGAAGAATCGCATCGCGTCCAGTGGCTTGGATAGCTGCTACGATCGCAGAGGGTGCAGCTGTGCCCTCGACAGAAATCAGTTGCTTCTTGAGGTCCGCGTCAACCTTGTTGATGCCTGGACACGTCAGAACCGCGCTTTGAATCGTGCCATGGAGGCTCTGGTACCGGCTATTGTATAGAGCGATGTCGAGACATCCTTGATACAGTCTTCACAGCTGAGCGGCACCGCGAATGTGGTCTGGTAGACATCAGTACCGCTATTGCGAAATGCAGTCCTAGAGCTGGAAAACGAGGATATGAGATAGTGACAATGGATAGATATAGTAGAGCATGATATTACAAGAAGATCGCATATGCTATGCATGCCAAATGAGTAATTCGCAATAGGTGACCCTGAAGAGTATACATCCTGGGCTGGCCTGGAGTAACAAACCCGCTTACCTGAAAAGGCGGTATCATGGCGATATATAGCAGAAGTACAAATCTATAACGCACACCCGGATATAAGTCGTGAGGGAGCAGAATCGGCGCATCTTATGGTGACAACGAGGGGCTCTCAAACCCACCACCGAGCTTTGAAATCCGCCGCGAGGGCCGCCGCAGATCCCCGGGCCTTGGCGCGATTTTCCATGTCGAAGCTCTAGCAAGCACACTGCACCACAGCGCAAACCGCATCGATCACAACTCCAAATACCGTCTCGCCCATCTGTCCTTACCAAATACTTACAAACCCCGCAAGCTTCTAACCGCACTGATCCAATCCCTCTGCCAGCCCGCAAGGGGCGCTTCACCATGTCCCAAACCATAGGCCGAGTACTATTCACCCACATCTCCCCCCTTCTCTACTCGCCCACCTAACACTCCTTCCCCAGACCCGCCTCGCCTACTCTCGCTCCTGGCATCGCATCGACGTCTCCGCCGACCCCCGGCCGCTGGGCCGCATCGCATCCCAAATCGCCATCGCGCTGATGGGCAAGCACAAGCCGATCTTCGACCCGTCGACCGACTGCGGTGACTACGTCGTGGCGGTGGGATGTGCGGACTTGCACACCACGGGGAAGAAGAGGGAGCAGAAGCTTTACAGAACGCATACGAGCAGGCCGGGTAGTTTGAAGGAAATCAGCATGGCGCGCATGTTTGAGAAGTGGGGGGGTGGGGAGGTGCTTAGGAGGGCGGTTAGTGGGATGTTGCCGAAGAATCGGTTGAGGAAAGTGAGGTTGGAGAGGTTGAAGGGTGAGTCTTCTGTGTGATTTGCGCGGACTGTGGGAATGAGGAACGGGAAAGGGCCGGATGAGAAGGAGGAAAGAGCATGGGGCGGGTGGATGTCATGCTGACGCGATGTGTGCACAGTGTTCGAAGGCCAGGCGCATCCGTATAAGCAGAATGTCGTCAAGCTCATGGGTCGGCGGAGTATAGGAGCGCTGCCGGAGGTTAAAGCGCAGCTTGACGAGGCCAAGGCTGCTGCGCAGCCGTAAGCGCTGGGTCTCGAGGCAGGCAAAGCTGTGTTCCCATCACATCCTGTGCCACTTGAGATTGTCGGCCCAGAGATGGCTGCACGGTCTGTCAACACGCTTTTAATAAACTGTAGGGGCTACTGCGTAAGCTATCTGTACACACAGGGGGAACATAGAGACGGTGAGGGTAAGATGGGAGGTGGTTGTGGCTTCTGCCAGTTTACTCTCTGACACTTGTTTGTATTTACAGATGCATTGGGCGGGGTTCATGGAGCAGGCCGATATCATCTTGATAGCATTCTGTAGAATACTGGACACTCAAAGCATGTACAAAAACGCCGAATAATCGCCCAGTGATATCTCGCGTGAATAATCTAAGACAAGAAAACGATCTCGTGGCCAGGGCTGATTTGCATAACTTCCTTTACATCTTGGCCTTGGGCTTGCGGGTAACGGTGCACTGGATCAGACCGTTCGGGTTGGACTGGGGCGCATACACCTCCGCGTCCTTGCCGGTGTTCTTGAGACCCTTGTGCCAGCTCAAGTCTGTCACGTGTCAGTTGCTGCTTCCTGAATCCCGGTGTGTAGAAGACCTACCAATTTCAAAGTAATGCTTATTCGGCAGAGAATACTCAACCGCCTCTACCAATGGTGCAGCGGCCAGTATCTGGTCACAAATCTTGTACATGGTATTCTGCACACTAGCGCTGTTGTCCTTGGCGAATGTAGCGAGGGTAATATCCCTCGCAGATTGCCACGCCTCATCAAACTTCGGGACAACAGACTTGACCTCCTGCAGACTCGAGAAGGTCTTCCAGTGCCAGCCAGACTCGACCTCGGTGCTGAGGATGCGGTCCCAGGTTTCGGGAAGCGCGGTGTACTCGTCGCGGTGGAAGCCGTAGAAGGCTGAGCCGGTACTTTTGAGGACGAGGAGACCCTTTATGCCGGAGCGAATGGAGATGCCTTTGCCTTCTCTGGCAACTGCCTCGACCACGCGGGTCTCCTCGCCGTCACGGAAGAAGGAGTGTGGGTGCGGCTTGCCGTCGACGGTCATCCTGGTCCATCGGTGCACAATGATGTTGACGTGTGCGGCGTGGATGTGCTTGTAGGTTTCGACGAAATGGTTGCCGACTATGGAGGCGAAGAGCTCGGGAGGAGTGACCGGATTCTGCTTTGCTAGGATGTAGCATGTCTGCTTCTGGGTGTCTGTGGCTACGACGACGGAGTTGTCTGCTTCTGTGTAGCTGTTGTGCGTTAGTCGATGCTAGAGCTCTTGCGTTGAAGCTACTCACGAGGTCTCAATGTCGCCCTCTAGCAGTATGCGGACTGTCATCTCAACGACGGACTGGATACCGCTCTTCTCGTCCTTGTGGACCTTGTAGAGCCGGATGTTGTCCTTGCCATAGCGAGCATAGCTGAGCTGAGACATGTTTCCTGTGATGATCTGTTCGCGAGATGTTCAAGGTACTGGTGGACAAGTCTAAACAATGGCCTTTCCAAACTGCTAGGCTGCTGCTTAGGTAGTTATTCGATAGGAAGTAAGGCTGGTTGCTGCTGTAGGGATAAGCTGGACCTCGAGGACTTCGAGCAGTAATATATCAAGTGCAATTGCTTATCATGATCGGCATGCGGGCGGAGGTCACCGCGCAGCCCTGCAGGACTTTTCTTTCCTCAGCTCATGCGAGCAATCTGCGCGGAATGGAGATGCCGTGCTACCAGCGAGATCCACCTGAGCTGCCCAGGTGGTTCTTTGTCTTTGTCGTGTGAGGGCAGCAAACAACGGCGCCCTCCGGTGAGGAATACGCCGCCGGCTTTCCGCTCAGGCCAAGCTTCCCGCCGAGATGCGCGCCCTCCAGGGCTGTTGCGAGGTAGGACTCGACGTCCACGGGTCGCTCGCTGCAAAAGCCGCGAAAGCTCCCGAGGTCGCTGGCATGAGTGGCAGATGTAAGATTACTCAAGTCTCCGTTGGTAAAAGCCATTCCAATTGCTTCCAGTGATAAGGCGCGCCGCTGGAGCGCCACCGACGCTTCGTATACGGCAGCCACAATTGGCGGGGAGCACCTGGAAGTGCTGGGCTGATCGATCGAGCGAGTCGAATAACTCAGTGACATTGACAGTCAAGGACATGTACCTGAAAAGCTCCCGAGTACTCGTGGCCAGCACCTCATGCTCGTCAAATGCTGATGAAGTCGGATCTACATACTCCACCACGGGGGGAGATTTGTGGTGTTTCATGCGGCCACTCAGCGGTCAAGACTGACTGTCTGGGGCAACCGCATCCTCCTTCCCGCATCCCCACACTCATTTCGTGCAGAACAGCCCACCCGCCTTGAGATCAGCATTCTGAAAGGGCTACCACAATCGCTGCTACGCCCAAGGGGATCCACGTCAACCTTTACCCAAATCACGCCCTTGTACCGCGTACGCATTCGTGACAGTCGGAGGCTCCAGAACGCTACCTAGGTAGCAGCGCTCATCCTAGTGCTTGTTGCACGCTTTGGACATTCACTGGCGACCTGGCATGGAACTGGAGAGCATATGGATGTGGCAATGAGCGAGTCGCAAGAGACCGACGGAACATCAAGAGAGACATGCGGTTAGGATACAGCTGGTTGATGGACATCCATGACACCCACCCCACGAGCCATTCCTCCCCTCCGCTCCATGTCAAGCCAGGCCGAAACGCCTTCTGCAGACCAGAATGCGCTACTTCCGATATCAAGAGTGGGCAAAGACGGGCGGTCACTGGCGACCACCGCCTTCAGCCGTGGACAGTCCTACGCGACGACGGTGGGACCACCTCCCGGTAGCTTCAGCTCCGAGCTGAGGTCTACCACCTCCCGAAGCGAAACACCACGACCGGACTTTACGGCGCATACGAGTTTCGGGGAGGATGATACACGGACGACGTCAGAGCAGAGGCAGGCCGAGCTGCGGGATCAGATTGAGAAGGAGACGAAGATCAAGATTGGCTCGGAGAACTTGCTCGAAGCGCTTGCCGCGAAGGGTGCGAAGCAATCAAAAGCACAGAAGGCCATTGTTGAGGCCGAGCTCAACTCGTCGAACCGCAAGCTTGCACAGCTCAAGCTGGACTTTCAGGCAGAGGTGCAGCGTGCCAAGGAGCCTCCCAGCAACGCAGGCAGCAGAATATCGTATCTTTTCCGCAATGCACCTTCGAGATCAACTACCCATCAGCCAGCGTCGGATGACGAGTCTGAGTCCGAACCCGAAACTGAATCCCCCACCTTTGTCCTCGCAGAAATCCTGCAGGCTCTGGAGGCCGAGGGGATGCAGCACGACTACTATGTCGAGCAAGCAAACTCTCTGGTTGAGCTTTTCAAGCGGCATCCTACGCTGAAATTTGACCTCGTCTGGTCCATTTTCGGTTTACGGATGCAGACGATGTTGCTTAGTGACAATCGCGAGGTCGTCGCCGCAGGGTACAGGGTGATCAGATACGCCATCACGGATAGGAAATCGCTTCAAACAATTCGTGCGCTACACACCGACTATCTGGTTATCTTGTCACTCGTCAAGGAAGGTAAGGCAAGCGTGGAGCGAGAGCAGGCCCTCAAGTTCGTGCGAGCCTTTCTCGATGTCAAAGACGGAGTAAAAGAGATATGTCAGGCCGTGATCAGAATCGTCATAGCTGTTGCCGAGCACAGCGACGACAGACTGAGGAACATCTGTATCCTTACTCTGACGGAGATCCTCGCACGCGATCCTGCTCGGGTAGTCGCAGCCGGTGGCATTGGCACACTTACCGATGCTCTAGGGGAAGGACACTACCACGCTGCTGAGAGTCTGACAGGCGCATTTCTCTATCTTCTTGACGTCCCTCAGCGGCGAAAACTTCTGAGGTCAGGACATGAGTTGGAAGTCCCGTTTGCTGCTTTCATTGACATTCCAACGAGTCACTCCCACGAAGAAAAGCTGAAAACAAATGCCAAGGTCATTGCATCTCTGCTTCGGGGCTGGCCTGGCCTCATTGCGCTCTCAATGAACAATTTTCTACCCATCAGGTCCCTTGTGTCCTCTCTTTACACTAGCATACCGTATGTGCGCAGTATCGTGATGGAGCTCATCTTTGATTTGCTCAGGATCAAGCCGCCCTCATGGTCCTCTTCGTTTCTGGCCGGGAGAAGGCTGACAACATATGGTCGTGTCACCAACATGAAATCGGAAACACCTGCGCAGCCCACATCCGAGTCGCCTGATGAAAAGGACAAAAGGAGCCTTGTGGACCACTATGCGGCAATTCTTCTAGCTGTGCTCCTTCACTCGGGCCTCTTGGAAGCTCTTCTGCACGCCGAGGAGGATCCTCTTACGGAGCCACTCAAGAGAAAGACAACCTTACTGCTCGGTGAGATACTCAAGATGGCAAGTGAGCTTCTACCAACGTCGTGGAGCTCCGATCTGCAAGTTCTTCCAGGACTTCTAAAATCTGCTTCTAGCTTCCATGTGGAAGATCGCTTCGTCGCCACAGGGACCATCTACCAGGTCGACAGCATCAACCGTACCCTGTACCGATCGGCAACAAATCCATCGCACGCGAGGAAACCGGAGACGCAAAGCGAGTTAGACGACAACACGCGGCAGGCAGATCAGCCCAAGACACAAGCGAACGTACAGATGGGCGAGGCGGCGTTCAGACAGCAACTGGTCGACACAGGTACTTTACGCTCCTCCAACTTCACCAAATGGGACTGGACCCTCATACAGCAAACACTCGACGGGCCCATGTTTGACCCGAAGCGCCTTGACGACGCAATAAACGCGACCGACTTTGCCAAGCGAATGTTTGGCTTCTATCGCCCTTTCAAGCACAGATTTTCGGAAATCAAGAACACTAGACCAAATCAGCGCTACGTGCGAGCTGGCTGCGCCCTGGTCCGCGGCTTTCTGGCCAATCCGCAAGGCGTGCGGTACCTCGCTGAAAACAAGATGATAAGGCAGCTGGCTGAGTGCCTGTCACACTTTGACAGAATGAGTGGATTGACTTCTGAATCGCCTCTTTTTACAGTGGAACGAATGTCCGACACATTGACTGGTGGCTACTTTGCCATTCTTGGCGCGATGACTGCGGATCCGAAGGGGCTGCTGATACTGGAGCGATGGAAGGTCATCAATATGTTCTACCATATCATCGAGCTGCCGAGCCGAGACGACCTAATCAAAGCCCTCCTCAGCAACATGGATTACACCCTGGATGGACACCTACGCATCATTGTCTCCAAGGCAATGACCTCCTGCTCGAAGGACATCCGCATCTTCTCCACAAGACTCCTGCGCAAATACGCGAAGAAACCGATGCAAGCCTCGGAGTCCGCACCCATCGGCAGTGGGGTCGCAGAGTGGGCAATCCGCCTCCTCGTGACCCAGCTTTACGATCCCGAGATCGAGGTCTGCGAAGTCGCCATCAAGATCCTCGAAGAAGCGTGCAACCAGCGACACTCGCTCGAGTATGTCGTCAAATGCCGACCGGCACTGGATCATCTCGGCGAAATCGGCGCCCCGTTGCTCCTGCGGTTCCTCTCGACTTCTGTCGGATATCACTACCTGGACGGGCTGGACTACATCACCAAAGAGATGGACGACTGGTTCCTAGGGCGAAACGACAGCTACGTCTCGCTAGTCGAAGCATCACTAGCACGTGCACTGGCAGATGTACCCGACAAGCCCCACACCCAGCAGCTCTCCTTCGACGAGACGCCTGACATCACTGACTACGGCGTCGTGCCGCCGCACTTCTACCGCGAGCTAACCCGCACAGAAGAGGGGTGTAAGCTGCTCGAGCAGAAAGGGCATTTCGACGAGTTTGCTAGCACGATCCGTGAGTTCGGCATGGAGGACGAGGACGCGGAGACCATCATTAAGGTCAAGGGCTGCCTGTGGGCAGTCGGCAACGTGGGATCCATGGAGCTCGGCGCGCCGTTTCTCGAGAAGACGGACGTGGTCAAGTGGATCGTGGATATTGCGGAGAAGTCCGAGGTCATGACCATGCGAGGCACGGCTGTCTTTGTTCTAGGGCTCATTTCGAGAAGCTTGCATGGCCAGGAGATACTGATTGAGTATGGCTGGGATGCGAATTATAATGAGATGGGTGAATCGGTGGGATACTGTGTGCCGCTTGATCTTAGGAAGCTCTTTGCGGTAGGCTATATCTGCAGCTCTCTAGGCTCCTCCATATCACTGATCAGTTCCAGATGAAGCCCTGGACTGCCTCGACTGCCAGACCTGACACAGTCAACCCGGCAACGGCACCCAAGCCTAAGATCACGGACCGAGACCCGCTCAACGCACGCATCCTCAAGCTGGTGACTGATCTGGGCAACACGGTGCTCGCCAAGCGGGCTGTTGCTGACCTCCAGAAGTACGTCTCCCTTCCAACTGCTATCACATCACGTGCTCAACTATACACAGCATCAAAGCAAGAAAAGCACCCGGTTTCCAAAAGCCGTCCCTCTTCCACAAAGTCATGGCCATCCTCGAATCCCACCATTTCCGCCTCCCGGTCTGCCGCTTCGTCATCGATTTGTTCGACAAGAGTGTCTTGAGACAGATCGTTCTCGAGATAGAGAACGACAGTGATGAAGAGGGAGCGGAGGACGACGATGAGGACGAGGACTCAGACGAAGAGGAATCGCCGATCTTGGAAAGTAAAGCACTGACTCGTCCGGACCCTGAGTGATCGATGGCAGCTGTGGATCTGTGGATCTGTGGATCCGTGGTTGAGTTAGGGAAGGTGATCCACGTTTAAGTTAAGGAAGTTGGCGCAATACGGAGACCCCGGGACCCTTAGGCCGCTAGCGGGCGGATGCAGCATCATTGTCTTGAAGAGGCATGTCCGGGTTTGAGATTCGTCCTCGTCTGTTCTTTGCATGGTTACCGGCGTTGAGGGTGGGGCATACATGGGAGACTCTCTGTATTCTGGGTCGCTGGCGTCGGTTTATGTGTTACTGGATCTTGTTGCATTCTTGGTTCTCGCTTAATACGGAGTCTAGGAGTGACTCGTTTCATGCATTCTAGTTCGGAGTATTATGTCTCAGGGGCTGGAACCCGAATCTGGAGGCCTGTCGACATGCTGGCAGGCTCCACCGACGGGAAGGATTCGGCGAGGTTTGGGGCTGCAAAGCATACGGGACCGAGCCGAGCGCGGTTGTTCCCGGGTTGGGCCGTATCGAGCAAAAGCACTCTAGATAAGTGTGCGGGCTGTTAGGGCATGAGGCTCCATAAAAGTCTTTCTGGAAACGGCTCCGATTGAAGCAGCAAATATTCACGGTGTATGCCCTCCTCGCAACTCGCTTGAGATCACATAATCTAGTTGTTTTGGTTTTCCAAGCTTACCATGGCTTGGAAAGCGGTGGGCAAGTCGCGGACAGCGCGCACAAAGTCGGTTAATGGAGTGGTTGATTACTCGTGGCCTTCTTCTAATCCTCGACTCGTGAGGCAGCTAGTCAGCCCCCGACAAATGTGCACGGGAAACGCGTGGAGGTGAGGTCAAAGCTGTCAGTGGTCGGATCTCCAACTTGCAAGGCGAGTCCGAATTGGAAGCTGCCGCCCTAGCCGCATGATCTGGGTGCGTTGAGCGGCAATCTCTATTTCTGCCTGCGCTTGGTGAGCTGAAGTCGAAGCGTCATGGAGCGATCTACAGGGACTCAAACGGTGGGGCATAGCGTCATACTGCAGAGCGAGGTGCTTGACCTTGTCGACTTTATTTTGACTTCTAACAGCGAGGGTGCGCATGCTTCGGTTAAGTTTTCCAAGGTGGTGAACTGTAAGAGTACGTGTACACATCTAGATAGAGGCAAGGTAGCAGGGACTCCGCAGACCGGTATCTGGTACACCCGCTTGAGGCCCCTTGAGACTCCCAAGGTTCTCAGTTGTCTCGGAAGCAATGGAATTATCTAGCTTGTGGATGCGTTTGCAGACTCTATCCTTGTCAGGCGAGGCGCGTTGCAGATTCTCAAGGCGCCGCCCCAAAACATCCCACGAGCAACGGGCGGCCTCTAGGTTCTTGTCGGAGGGACTCCGAAGTAAGAACCTGACCTGCGCTGGGAACGACCGGTCCCAAGCTCGTTGGAATGGTTTGAAGCCGTTGAGAATGGCCATTTCCCGCCTCAAGAGCCGGTGGATTACAGTGGTTCTCGGTACCGGTTCGCGGCGACAGCGGATCTCCCGCATGCTGGGCTACAAAGACATGGGTGCATATTCGCTTGCGGCACTGACAGCGACAAGGCCGTCGGGGCATGCAGAGACGAAGCTTTATTCAACAGGGTACGATGACGCCTTCAATGTTCAGCACGCGAACATGGCGGACTGGTCTCCTTTCTGTCGCTCGGGGTGTTTTCCAAAGTCTCAGGGACTCTGGATGGAGTCGAGACCGTGTAGTACAATTACCTACTCAGTGGGTGCTCGGTACATTTGCAGTTAGTAATGGGTACATCTGACACTCCCGGCCACGAGACCGTGGGCCTGGTAGTGCTGGTAGCGGTGGTAGCGTCTGGCTGCCAGGCCTGTCTCGGGTAGGCAGGCTGTTGGTCCTTGTTGCTTTAAACGCTCGGGCTGGAGATGGGGTAGCGAACTTCTGATCGAGAGCAGCTACACAACAGCCTCGACATCGATGGTCCTGCAACCTGCTAAGTGATAGGCCGCAGCCCCCAGACATCAGTCGCCGATCCTCGACTGTTGCAGCAATGTCATCTGGAAGCGTCCGCAGCGTTGTCCCTCTTATGCTCGATACACCCATTAAGCCTATCAGGCCCCCCGGCTGCGTTCTTGTCCTTCATCCAAGCAGCTGGAACACTGGAGCCACTGCACGAGTCCTGTCGTCGTCGACTTCGCCTTTCTGGGGCTACCCGCAGTACTGCCTACTCGTACACGCAACGCACCCTTCGTATCCTCCGAGGCTCCAGCTCTCTCATCAGCACGCTCGCAGAAGCCGACGCTAGACAGCCAGACCTTCTCACAGCAAACAGAAGGCAGCCTCGACCACTCGACCACCCGCACGCTCGCACACTCGCACACTTGCATCTCATACATACTCAGGACTGGCCACCGGCTCCGCGGGCGCTGTGGCGTTCCGTGCACTGACGGCTGCGCATCACTCCGATCCCCTGGAGATATTTCCGTTCCCTGTGACGTTTTCTACTTGAAGCTGCTGCACGCACGGCGAAGCTTTCCAGCCTTACGGGTCCTGCCCCACGACACACGGCCTCGTACCCTCCTCGGACACGCTGTGCGACTCCGCTGCTCGTCGAAACCAGTCCCCCGCAAAGAGGTGGTTTGATGGTCCCGTAGACCCCCGGCATCACACGTCTTCTGCTGGATGAGCTTGCTACAACCGACGGGGCCCTCTTTCACGGACAGTGAAGAGAAGTCCCCTAGCGCGCTTGCCGGCGCACCAGCCTTCATGCTAGGGGATGCAGCTTCGCCAGCTCCTCTCAGGCATGCCGGATTGACCGCTCACGAGGACGCGAGAGCGCTGGTACGCCTCGTACAATGCTCGGAATGCTCGCGGCCGCTTCGGGCGCCGGTGACACTGCCCTGCGGGCACTCGATATGCCGCCAGTGTCTTCCGGAGTCTTATGTTCGAGAAAACATATCCTATCCGGCCACGCCAAACCGACAACAAGGCGTGCGGTGCCCGTTGTCAGAATGCGGCGCTGAGCATCCGCTGGAGGAGTGCAACATTGACGTGACCTTGACCAAGGTCATGGACTCTGTCACAAACGAGATAGCGAGGCAATGTCTGGATGTGGAGGAGACTCCTACCTTGCTGGAGGAGATACTACCGCCCATCGACGAGGTGCTGATGGAGGATGAGAAAGAGCCGGAACCGGCACGGTCAGCGATCCTACATGGCGGACGGCTGCTCGCGACCTTTACCTTTGCGGGCTCCGGCGAGCTGCGGTATAGCGCGGACGTATTCTACAAGTCGCTATCGCGGAACGGCGATGACTATCGCCAACTCGACAACAACATCCTCGATCGCCTGCGGGACGCAACCCACAAAGAGCTGGACTGCCATGTCTGCTACAACATGATGCTGGATCCGGTCACCACCTCGTGCGGGCACACCTTCTGCCGCATATGCCTTGCACGAGTTCTCGACCATTCGAGCCACTGCCCGGTGTGCAGGCGCACCTTGCCCATCCCACCCTCTCTCAACCGGCAACCCAGCAACGCGCGCCTCGTCGCTCTTCTCAACGGCCTCTGTCCGGAGCTTGTTGCCGCTCGCGCAGAAGCCGTCGCCCTGGAAGAACGCGGCACAGTCGGCGAGCTCGACTGTCCACTTTTCGTCTGCACCCTTAGCTTTCCGGCGATGCCGACCTTCTTGCACATCTTCGAGCCTCGCTACCGTCTCATGATCCGGCGCGCCCTCGAAGGCAACGGTCAATTCGGCATGCTGGTGTACAACCGCGCCCAGACTCCACAAGGCGACCTTGGCGTCTCGCGATTTATGGAGTATGGCACAATGCTACAGATCCTTAACGTCCAAATGCTGCCGGATGGTCGGAGTCTGATCGAGACGCGCGGCGTCAGCCGGTTCAAAGTGAAGGCCTATGGTCAAGTGGACGGGTACACCGTCGGCCGGGTCGAGCGCGTAGAGGACATCAGCCTAGCCGAGGAAGAGCGTATGGAGTCTGAAGAGATAGGCGCGTCGGATGTTGGACCGCTGTTTGGAACGCCCCCGCCGAGTCCGCAGGCACCAGACACCCTCGAAGCGCATATGCTGCGTGTCGACCGTCTCTCTACGCGTCAATTGCTGATGATCGGCGTGACCTTCGTCGAGAAGATGAGAGCACATAGTGCGCCGTGGTTGTCACGTGGCATACTCGACGCGTTTGGCGGCCCTCCGGATGATCCGGCGCTCTTTCCATACTGGTTCGCATCGATCCTACCTATCGCCGAGGAAGAAAAGTACCTCCTTCTCAAAACAACGAGCGTGCGGCAGAGGTTGAAGATCGTGGTCGGCTGGATACGGAGGATCGAGGGACAGCGATGGTGGGTCTTCCCGCTCTACTTAGCCGGTACCGTGTTCATGGCGCCGATTTTCCTTGGCATCCGGTTGACGGGCCTCTTCTTGGAATACATGCTGATGAGTGCATTGTGGCTAATAGGCATAATGGGAGCGCGTGTATAGTTCTCTAATCTGGCTTCTGCCTCCTATATGGCGCCGCGGCCTGCTGTTCGTGCTTGTCCTGCTCCTCGCTTTGTGGCTTGCGTCTGATCCGCCGACCACGCCGACGGTGGTAACTTCGCCGCCGTAACGACTGTCGCCACCTTGTTTCAACCACGTCCCACACCTGTTGTCTCTCACGAAGCTCGGTCGTCTTCCGAACATCTCCAAAACCGTCTTCTACACCCAACACTGTCTCATTTCAAGGCAACAAGAAACATCTCGTACGAAAAATATAGAAACGCACTGTCGCTAGCAGGTGGAGTTCTTGCACCATCACTCGGCGTTAGATTCCTTTCTCGACATGGCATTTTGCGTCGCATCTGAGGAGTTGTTGTTAATACCGTAAGACTTGGAAAGTCCGGGAAGCTCTGTGGGATAGAGAGATCTCGTTGCTCGCTGCCTCTAACTTCTTCTTGCACTGAAATTGGACATCGGGAAGGCTGCGGCTCCCACGGGCTTTCCGTTTCGAGGGGTTTCTTGATGCTGTGTTCCTTTATGTTTGCCTAAATGGAGTGTGGGGAGGCAAATTTTTCTTTGTATCTAGAGTTGCATGTGCGTGGCATAATCTGCTTGGGGCGCATCAAGATGAGCGGATACGTCCTAGAGTAGAGGGTGACATAGAGTAGGGAAGATGAATGCACGTTGCCCGTATCAATAAAGTACTATGGGAATGCATCATAGATAGTCACGTGCATTGAAATCTGAGGTATTGAGCCGTTCCAAACGGCCATACAATCTTCCCTTCAAACCCACTTAATGCTTGTTGGAACATGTTTTGATAAGCAGCTTGTAGTTATATGATCATTCTTTCCTACTGTCGGTGAATCGAAGCAGTTTCAGAGAGGGTAGCACTCAATCAAATCTATCCCGCCATTCCGTCCCATCACGACCAGCCTCACGCCCCCTTCGCATTCTCTCACAAGCGACAACGATGCTGCCACAATTGAAATGCGACAATCTACAGTTAGCTTGTCTCCCAGAACACGCAAGTAAGCTGTGAGAACTCGGCGCTTCTGCTTCGCTGCGCCTGTCAGCGATGGAAGACGTCGGGTTTTTGCCGACTGCCGGTCTCGCTTGGACGACCTGAGGTGCAAGACCGCCTAGTACTGGAGTTTTTCTGGTCGTTTAGATGTGGTACGAATTACAAGTTCTCACAGCCCTCAAGCGGTAGAGGAACGTGGACGCCAAATCAGCTAGTGGCTGAGGCCAATACTGAATGCCTGCATTAATATAGAAGAGGGAAGTCAGCTGACGCGTAGAAGGGGCAGCGAGACAACATGTCTCTATTCTGGAGTTGAAAGGGCGAGGGACAAGTGAGTGAGAGGACGTTACCGTTTCTTTGACCTACCAGCGAACGGGGATTTGTTCTCCACAATTTGCAAATATTTACATTCGATCAGTCACTTATGGAGCGTATCACAGTGATATGGATAGTTTCAAATACATGTTGACCTTCTGGGCGTCCAGATTACTTTTCCTATAGCTACGAGATACAGAGCTAGGTAGGCAATGACAGGCGGCGGAGCCATACGTTGCACCTTTACGCTCCTGCTGCGGCACAGGCCGTAACAAGCACATGCTAATTCACTGCGGCAGGCTAGCCTCTGCTGAAACAAGACATATATATGTAGGAATCTTGATGATATAGATCATGTGACTCTGACAAGTTGAACCTGGTAACTACTGCCCAAGTCGCGTACCACCTGTTTAGATTTCATTGCAATGAATTATTACCGCACCTTTACGTTGATTACTCGGCTTTTAAGCTCATACTTCACCACCCGTCAATGGCCGTTTACCTACAGGCGAGCCTCGTCCCGCTACGGTGATGAACGGAGCGCCTCACGACGAATCCGGACACGCATCCTACCATGGATGGACTGTCGTGGGTGTTACTGCGGATAGGCAGGCACCATTACGGTGGGAACCTGAGGGCATGAGTGTTACGAGTTGCTGGAACACCGGAAGCATCACCCAACATCGGATGAGGGATCGTAGTACTGAGGATGAGGATGCCTGAGCATATCGTTCCAAGATGGGTATCCGATGACGCCGAAGGAGTGATATGCCGATGGTCAGCACGCAGGATCTTCTTCCGATAAGTTCTCAGCCGCAGCATGCTGGCATCCGTCACATGGCCATCGGTTCGGCACGGTGCGCGTCTCAGGTCGCACACAGGGCTGATGTTGTACCTCCAGACGTGGCCAGCTGTGCAGTTCAAAGTGTTCTTTGCATGATCGGAAAAGAGGCCCCTGCGAGCAACACAAAGTATTGTGCAGAGGCTGAGGCCTGTTTCCTGGGTCGCTGACTTCCGGCGTTGGTAGAGTAGAGTATGCACGCGTTCGGTTAGCTGAATGATGTGCTGCAGCAAAATCGTATCGGTCCGAAGCCCCTTGCTTAAGTTGCACCTTTCTGCTTGCTGTACATGAAGGGTGCTTCCGGCTTCTTGAGCTGCTGTTTGTCTGGGGAAGCGCACAGAATGCAGCAACTGCTCAACTCCGAGTGGCGGCTGTCAGTTGCAGGCCAACTCACCGCATCCAGACAAGTTGACTACATATTTCCACTCACGAACTTAAGATTTTGGGCAGGAAGACGTTGCGAACAGCAAGAATCGATGGCATGTCGAGAAACAGCGGACTGAGAAAGCGGAAGCCGGCGGGTATGTCGACCACAGACTCTGTAACTTAAACCCCCTTATAAACGCGGTCTAAGCTGTTGGGAGCCGTCCAGTGACACCCACCAGCCGGTACTAGTGGCACCGTGGCTGCGAACCTTGATCGTTGTGGCCTTAACGGTTTACAGTTAACGTAACCCTGGTGTGATGTTCCTTGGTTGAGGGATGATGTTCGTTGGCTTGCTGATCGTAGACGTAGTAAGCCAAGATTTTAGTAGTGCGTGTCTTGAAAAGTGACTCATACGATGGCGCTGTCTTACTTGGTGGTTGCTGGCACGCATGGTGTTGCCGAGTATTATACAGTTCCAAGGAGCGGACTCATGAGGACGGGTGCGAACTGGAGTCGCACAACTGGCGCAACCTCCGGAGATCAGCTGACTTAGCAAGACACACACAACACGTGCGTTTGGCGGCTGTTCGTTGTCCGCCCTTGTTTGCGGAGAACAGAATCCGGCTAAATCTGAGCTTCCCAGCGCTGAGTCTTGTGATGATAGGGGCACGGGCTTCGCCCTGACAATCGAAGTGTATCTGCCACAGGCTGGTGAATGAGGGCTGAGACTACCAGACACCGGCTGAAAGGGCACGCGTGCGGTGGTGCAACACAGTGAACTGTTAAAGATGCCCGAAACCGAAGTATCCTTGAAGACAGCGCTCCACCACCATTGAGTTCGAGACGCGCACTTAAGACTCAAGTAGCGGTGTAGACGAGCTTGAGAAATAGACGAGTTACGTCCCGTGAACGAGGCGTGCGGTACTTCAGGCAGACTCACCAAGTGGAGATCGGCCATGCTGAGGATGGCATTCGAAACCCTGTTCCAGAGAGGTCTCTCGGTGTGACGCCTGAATGAGTTGTAGAGTTACAAGAGGACCGTGAAAATTGACTATCTAGAACTTGCAATGTTTATAGAATTGAATCAACAACAACTTTAGCACTAGCGCCTAAGAAACTTAAGGGAGCTTATGAGGTTGATGGTATCGCTACTCGTAGAGAGTAAAGACATTCTCCTTTCTCAGCCGCGTGGAGGCTTGCTCGACTGCGGTCCTCAAGGTAAGCACGGCAGACGATCGTCGTCGCTTACCGACCTCATCGACTGAATCCAGCTGGCGGCTTATGTAAGATAGACTTGATAAGACCGGGGGGCGAAAATGGAACTTAGGTCGCCAGATGGCCCATATCGTCCGCGCGCGTCTAAACACCATCACCCCCATCGCGCACGACACGATCGGGCAAAGCAATTGGAGGGTCCGACTTCCTAATTCGAGGCTCAATCGAAGTACTTGCATGAACGCCTTGTGGGCGGGGCGTGCTGCTGCTCTGATAGCTTGACGGCCTGGCGATGCAAAGGGCAATCGTTGGTTGCCTCGCTCCGAAGGGCCGGGTGGGAGGATTGATAACGGCTGGGTGCGGAGAGTAAGATGGAAAGTCATCTTAGGCCTTGAAGGGTCAATGGCACGGATAGGAACCGACTTCGCCCGGGGCATTCGCGAAGGGGCTTGAGAAGTAAAACAGGTTGAGGCCGAGGGACGGCTGATTTTTCCAGCATCCGATGGTCATGGTTTGAATTCAGCCCGCGGATGGAGCAACGGAGCCCGCTTGCGGGCGTTCTAGAAATTAAGTGTACAAATTTTGAGCGGCGGTGATACGCCAGCTCTGGTATCAAAAGAATGAACAACTCAAAAGTAGAAACCCCTGGTCATGACGTGGTCGTCAAGAAACTCCGCTCCAATGCAACAAAACGCCAAACAGTGGTCCATCTGGGTGACACTGACAATTCGCGCTATACATCTACACGCCTGTAGACAAGACATCCGCCCACCATCTAGGAGACAAACGGTGTCCAGTGGAACCACTACATGTTTAGGAAACAGATCGTTTCAGGCTTTGAAAATATGTCCAACGTACTGGAATCCTAGGGGCAACCTTAAAGCGGAAGCCCAATAAAACCCGTCTTTCTACGCAGAACGCCAATGTATCTTTTTAGTGTCAAACACCAGAAAACCGTGCCCTCGTCTACTCGTAAGTCCTGAAAAGCCCAAAATCAGGGGTAATAGATTTACGAAGGAATCCGTGATAAAAACATCCAGTCCGGGTGTAGTCCAGGGCAAGGTTCCTCAATATACTCGGACCGGAGCTAGGAAAGACGGTTGATGGTACATCTGCTTTGCAAAATTCGCAGCGTGGATTAGGAATGGGTTAAGCCAGTTATTCGAACTTGCAGAAACGTAGGATGACTGCACAGGGGACAGTACTTTTTGCGGAACGCTACTGATGTGAGTGAATGAAGACGTTGACGAAGCAGGCGACACCGGTCCGCTTGCCGTGAACACGGAACAGACGTCGGAACAGCAGCTCGGAAGGGACGATGCCAAGGGTGAGAAGTAGCCAGTAAGCTCCTGCTGAGGTGGTGATAGAGGCTGAACGGGAATCATCGAGGCTGGAAGCTGGGCACCGTAACTGTACTCCGATGCGAAGCCAGCACGGAAAGCGGCGTCCCTTTCGTAGTCCACTGGTGAGAATGGTGGAGATGGTAAGGGTGCCGGGATGTGAACAGGCGTAGGGGTTCGTGCAGGCTTCGTGGTGAACCTTGGACATTGCCTGATCAAGGTTTTCAATTCTGGAATGGAGATCCTTTGAGCGGGGTTGCATTCGAAAATGCGCCGCAGAATGACGTCCAATTCTGGAGACAGCGGAAGAATAGACCTAAGAAACCTAGGGTCCTTCAGAAATGCCTTGAACGTCGAGTCCTCAACGGAAGCGCGCTTCCATGGATTACGGCCACAAGTTAGATTCACCAAGATGACACCAAGAGACCAGACGTCATTTGGCGCCGTGGCGTAGCACTGGTATCCCTTAGGTGACGATTGCTGGCATTCTACGCAGATTATTAGTAGCTGTTTTGATAGTCAGGAGAATACACTCATACCTGGCGACATGTAGAATGTGGAACCGCAGCCGAAGTCGGATGTGATCGGATCTGAAGTGGCTAATCCAAAATCCGCGAGCTTGGCGGTCAATCCATGGTCTGTCACTAGGATGTTCTCAGGCTTAAGATCCCTGTGGTAAATCCCTATGGAATGGCAATACTCGACGGCATCCAATATCTGGAGAAACACACTTTTGGCCAATGCATCATTACCAGTGTAGTTTCCACGCTCTGTAATGTTGGCGAACAGGTCACCTTCCGGGCAGTACTCAAGAACAACGAATGTACATTCGGGACAATCGATGATCTGGATCATAGAGACCACGTTCGGATGAGCACTAGCCTGATGGTGCAGTTGTATCTCCCGCTGCTGGAACTTCCTCTGCCTGGGCTCTAGGCCGATCTTGTTGAGGGCCTTCACGGCATAGGTGATGTCCGTCTGTAAATCCACGGCAGTGTAGACCACTCCATAGGCACCTATTCCGAGTATGCTAGTGAATCGCAGGCGCCCAGCCAGTACTTTCCCGAGCCGGTCTTCTGGGGCGCTGAGTCCAGTAAGCTGTGGAGAAGCTGGTGGAGTTGGCAGCATAATGTATTGTAGGCGAGCGGTTGAATCGTCCTCGGCGGTCCAGTGAAGGGCTCCGAAGACAATGCAGTGACCAGGATGTTCCCCGTCGGACGGTGGAGATAGACCAAGTAGGATGCTTAACAGACTTGACGCAACGAGAAGCAGCAACAAGAACGTATGAAAGCAATGGTCAGGAACGTAGACGTATCATCGACGGCGTGGAGAGGGTGGAGTCACGGTTGACGGGGTATGGGGTGAGGTCGAGAGGGCGAACAGACTTCTAAGGGAGTAAGAGTATGGAGAAGGATAGACAGTGAATTGATATGATGTAGCAGCCAGGCTGGGTGGTCAGAGGTGGTGGTGGTGGTAAGTTATGCTAAGAGCTCCACGCACCGCGACAGGGCAACGAAACAGCCTTTCTACAAATAGGAAAGATCAGGCTAACGGGGCACTATGACGAAGAGAGGCATGCGTCCTCGCGGTCTCGCTTTGACACGGGAGCCAGTCCCTGTCGCACTGCACCAACCAGAGGGCTGGGCTCTGGTGAAGCCCAGGCTTGTCCCCAAGACTCCAACGCTCGGGTTTGGCGTTAGCGGCGCGGCCAAAATTGCTCTCCAGGTCATGCCACGGTTGCCGTCCGTGCCTAGCGGTCGCCTCCAAAAATTCCAGCTCGTCCGTGCAGCCGTCCCATCCATGGATGGCCTGAAGCAGAGTGGGCCAGGATCGAGCGGCATCGAACATGCATCTTCCCGCACCACCAGCCTTCCTGTCCGCAGGCTAACGCAGGCTCCGAGCGAATCAACAGCATGGCGCTTGGCCACATTCGCGGCCGACTGCAGCTGCCTCGTACCAGCAGTCGTACCGGTGCCCTCCGGCGTTGCTCGCGCGCAGTGCAGCAGCAGATCAGACGCATGCGTCGTCTCACTGTGTCCGTGCGGCCTAAAAGAGGTTGGTGCGTCTCAGCGTCAGAGCCAAAGCACTTCGCCTCAGCGCTCAGAGGTGGGTTTTCGGCAATACCACGACACACAACTCGTCGACATGCACGGGCCTCCCACAGTCTTCGCAAGCCCGTACGCGGCAGCTTGAGGCGGAGGCGAAAAGTCTTGTAACCACATGGCTGGAGAAAAGAAAACGCTAAGGCATATCGGGCAAGGAGCACCAGCGTTGCACCAAGCCGCGTGAGAAGATTACAGTCATTTTTGACTGCTCTTCAACACCGCTCTCAGCCACTTGCTTGACTCTAGCGTAGAATAGGATACAACAGCGAGTGGCGGACTCGATAGTACGTGTGATGCACGGCGCGCATGTTGTCGTTCCAGCCCATGGCGGCGTTCTAGCTTTTGTTAGCAACACATTAGGAGCGATGTAGAAGAGAGTATCCAGATTGTGGTATGGTTTGATCGTCTAGGTTTGTGGCTCATTGTGATGGGATGCTCCATGCTCCACTACTCCGTCCCATGCCGCTGACAGCTGGCATCGATTTGATTGGCTACGTCGGTAATAACGGCGACTGGATCGTCCTCGAGTGCTACGCAACAGGTCTCGGAGGCCTTGCAGCTTGCCCTTGACCCTCGAGCAGACACGCTAATCTTTGGCTCCACAAGGGTGGCATATCGGCGCCGCCAATCGTCCGACCGGCGAGCTCGAGGTTCCAAGTCCCTAAGCGCCTCAATGATCCCAGCCGCCGTTGAGGAGTGGCCGGCTAAAGAAGCTTACTAGTTTGTACGAGCAAGCGCGCATCGAAGCCCGTGTAATCGTGGTCTTGGCCCTTGGTGCTCGATATTGCTCTGCAGCCTCCTGCTTGATCATCACCAGGACATGCATGAGGCTGGCAGGGACCGGAAACGCGTTGAGCCCCGAAATTATGACGAAGACGCAGAGATTCGGTGCAGGTTCTTGACGCTCTCTGTAACTCCCCCCATTGTGATAACTGGTCGTGCTGTCAAACATCTAATCTTGACTATTGTGCCGGGGCACTGTCATCTTCGATTCCTCGACCGGGTATCGTTTATCCGACAAGGTACAAGGCCTAAGGAAGACGCATCTGTGAAACGTCTCGCTCAACGCCTGCGATCGCTGGGGGTCTTGAGACTTGGATGGATTGCTACCTAGTCTACAGATGACACATGGCTGGCTGCGGTTGCTTGGTAAAGCTGTCACACAGCCCTTGTTCTGGAAGATGGTGAGGCTTGCAAAACCCGCCCTGCTGCGCGGGAACCCTCGATTGGCGGGCACCATGCCAAGCTATTGTGCGTTTTGTGAGGCGTAATTGGCCAACCTAGACGCTGGCTTCGTAAGCGTGCAGCTTTACCGTGCTCTGAAGTACGTGTCTGTTCTTGTTGCTTCGCGAGAGGGCGATGCAAACGAGGAGCTTCGGAGATTGTTACTCATCCATTCCGCTCTTGGTCTAGTGTAGTAATGTGGGCAAATTATAATTCGTTTTGCAATCTGATGGGATATCCACGGTCCCTCCTTTGCAAGGTTGATCAGGATAATCTTATGATCAATGTTAGAAAAGAAAAAATGGGAAACTCATCTGCTGTGCCATCTTGCACTGTTTCTCTCTACCCCATAGAGTCATCCCGTACAGTCAATTGCATTTACTGTCTTTTTGCAGGGTTGAAGGCTCGATCTACAACGCATTCAAGTCATTCGATACTGAGGTTAGATCGTGTGCGTGAAGCACCTGCATCGACTTGTAAGGCTCTTCCCGCTCCTTCCATCACTTTCCCGCTCATATCGCTTGGAAGTCCCAACTTTGAAGACGCAGATCGCCGGCATGCGCATGGCTTCGTTTGCCGTCGTCCGGCTTGTAGAAGCATCGAGATGCAAGAGTCTCAGTAACTTGGGATGTTGGCGAACTCTGCACTCAAACATTACGGCCTTGCCGACTTTAGACACTGGTCGCTGTTAACGTTATGTTAATCCCTCAAATCTGTAACTTGACGCACAGCTCTGCAGCCAGCGTTAGTGTGGCATTTATGCTCATGTTGCGCTGGCGAGACGCAGCAGCAGACGGTTGTCAAACGCACGCCGCATTGCTACACGTGGGCCTCGCCGTTGCTCGTGCAGTCCGAGTATCGAACTGCCGCTTTCCTGGTCGATAGTTGGAGCTCTCATCATGAGATTCCCCAACGATCAAAGATTACGATGAGGCCCTCTGAAGATCTGCCGCGTCTCTCTTCCTGCCGAACCCGGCGCAGCGAAACTCCCACGGGGCCTGATTGTCAAGGCAGCTTTTCGCGCCGCTATCATCGACAGTCCCGGGCCACTGAGTGTGGACGGATCTTGTCCCTTCAGGTTGGTTCCATGTCCTCTTTTGCGGGAGACGACCCATGGTTCAGCCTGACGCACGCGCGGATTGCTCATGCTGGTGGGGCGTTCAACCACGGGTCCGTCAGCCCCTCGTCTGCTGCAGGTGGCATCATCGTCTCATCCTCAAGCTCAGCGCTAAGGGCTTGGCCGTAGCCGCCATCTCTGTCTGCATCGCGATTGGTTTGGTCCCAGATTCCTGCAGTCGGAGAGCACACCGCTCGCACATGAAGACAAGCGCGACTGACGAATCGGCACTATTCGCATCCGCATTGTCTAGTATGCATGGCGTATGTCAGCTGGTGCTCGTACGCTACCAGTGGAGCGGAAGCCATCGCTGATGGTGTCTCATAGAGCGAGGTTCGGGATGAGGATCGAGAAGAAACTTCTTTCCAGCTCGGCGATGCCAGACAAGACTTGGTTGTGGGCATACACAAGCGCCAGCGGGAGCATCTGCGTGACCGTGAAGCTTTAAAGTTCTCCGTGGAGTGCCGTGCAGTGCCGTGTACGCATGGCATGTCCTGCACATCATTTCGGAGTATTCGTGTGTTGAATTCTGCTGGGGTTGACTGCTCGTTCCTTGCAACACAGAGCGAGTCAGTCGATTGCATTTAAACGCGCAATAACTAACCTCGTATCGGAACACTACTATGGCAGAGCGTTGAGCAGTAAGCTAGATTGATAATGTTTAAGGCGCAGCATGCGCTTGCAAGCGATGTTCCAAATAAAGAAGAAATAGCATTGGGCATGGCTTCTGCCTCAAACGTGCTCTCAGCAGTTACAGGGGACAGACCAGGTAGCAGTAAGCTGTATGTCAAAGCATACGCGCAGTGAGTATTCGTGCCCTTGATGCATGGACGCAGGCGCATGCCATCTCTCCGGCTTACGCTTCAATCCTCAACTACGGTGCTTCCGCGAGAAGGTTAAAGTTGAGCATCTATGGTAGTGGCTTGGGCAGTGCCCCCGCCATGAGTACAGCGCAGCCTGTGGCTTTGTGCTTCTGCGTTCACAGGTCGTAATGACGAGGGTTGTTTCCCGTCTCAGTTGAGAGCGAAGAGCTCGAGATCGGGACCGCCGCACTATCGTTGGGTAGAAATCAGGCTACAAGCTTACCTGTATCATCTTCCGGGTCCTCGACGTACCATGGGTTGTTACCTGGAAGAGAGAACAGTGGTTTCCGGTGGATGACCCGAGGGCCTAAGAAAGAGGCCTATGAGTTACCCCCTTTAAATGCAGACATTACGCGTCTTAGTCGGGTAGTCCATGAGCAATGTGCGAAGTCGACACGGCGGCGTTATCCACCGAAGATGTCTCCGCCGCGGCGCCGCCGCGAGGGCCAAGGTGAAGACCGCCACCTCAAACCTATGGAAGTTCAAACCTCGCTTCTGTGGTTGCATCCTGGGCTTCGGGTATCCGAAGGAGACGTCCGAGTACTGGTTGCTTGGCGATGTTCCACGCTATATGCTGCGGACTAGTCAAAGGTCTTGACATTGACATCGACATTATGTTGCAAGACTAGCTGTACGGTGCTTGAGAGATTTCTAGACAAGGGGGCAATATAATAGGCGGAGCCCTGCATAATTACTATAATAATCGAGGAGGCAGAGTGCCCGCTTGATGTCAAGAGGAAACCACGGTAATGATCCACTCCTTACTGGGCATACGAAGGAGGGTACTGGAGATTCATACGGCACCCTGGCGGAGAAGTCATAGTGAAGCACGCCCACGCCCCGGCATTCGAAGACAAATGTGCGATGGCTCAATATGCGAAGGTCCTTAATCGAGGTGAGGAGGAGCGATGTGATTATCTTTATGTACTATGATTCCCGCAGGAACTGTCGAAGACGCGCGGTAGTCACGGAAATAAATATGTGCGGAAAACATGTACGAAAAGAAAGAGAGACGGTTGATCCCTTTGAGAAAATAGGAAATGGCCGTCTGAAAATATGTAGACTCACGAAGTTATCATACCAATATTGTGGATGTGACGATTAGAGTGAGTCTAAGCGGTAAGCACATCGCTTTCTCGATTCCTTATGATTGTAGGCGGCTACAACACTCTCTCCGCCGTGTTACTTCGAAGAAGTGAGGATCTCGACGAGATACAAAGTCTGGGTTCGTAGGGCTGAGCCCGGGCCGGCCCTTTTCCGGCTCGACCTCAGCTCTCAAGCCGTAAGGGTCTACGTGGAGCTCCCATATTAACTAATCCCTACGCTCGTTCTCTTGATTCCCTTCTTACGCTCATTCAATCCCCATTCAGCGACAATGACGTCAAAAGACAAGTACTCCGTCCTCCTACCAACCTACAACGAGCGCCGCAACCTCCCGATAATAACCTGGCTGCTCGCTAAAACCTTCACCGAACAGTGCGTCTCAGCCTATTAAACAACCCTCTATGAAGAACAAACGCTAACAGTCCCTCCAGCAACCTCGACTGGGAGCTCATAATCGTCGACGACGGCTCCCCCGACGGCACCCAAGAAGTCGCGCGCCAGCTCCAACGCGCCTACAGCCCCTCACGCATCCTCCTTAAGCCGCGCGCCGGCAAGCTCGGGCTCGGGACAGCCTACGTTCACGGCCTACAATTTGCGAGCGGCAACTTCGTCATCATCATGGATGCGGATTTCAGCCACCATCCCAAGTTTATCGTGGAGATGATACGGCTGCAGAAATCCAAGAACTATGATATTGTGACCGGGACGCGGTATGCGGGCGACGGCGGAGTGTATGGGTGGGATCTGAAGAGGAAGCTTGTTAGCAGGGGAGCGAATCTGTTTGCGGATACGCTGCTCAGGCCGGGTGTTAGTGATTTGACGGGGAGCTTCAGGCTGTATAAGAAGGAGGTCCTTACGAAGGTTATTGGGAGCACGGAGAGTAAGGGATATACGTTTCAGATGGAGATGATGGTTAGGGCAAAGGCGATGGGGTACAGTGTTGCGGAGGTGCCGATTTCGTTCGTGGATAGGGTGTATGGAGAGAGTAAGTTGGGCGGGGATGAGATCGTGGAGTATGCCAAGGGCGTGCTCAATCTCTGGCTGAAGGTATGAGCGGAAGGCGTATGGTTCCGTGGGTGCTGTAAGAGTGGACTGTGCATGGCTATGGCGTTCAGGCTGCATATTAGCGGGATGGTATTAGGCTGGCGTTCAGAAAATGGAATGGCTGAATTATCAGTTGTCCGGCTCGGTTGTAGTGCCCCAGCGAAGCTTCTCTCCATCTTGTGATCCTTTAATGGCCTTTCCTAATTTCTTGCTGTTTATCGTGGCAGTATCCATCATGCACTCAAACGCAGTTGTCGTAGAGACACCATCTTCATAACAGCGGTGGATTGCTTTACCGTACCAGACGGCTTGATTACAGCTTTGTTAACTGTCAGCGCCTGCTCCAACCATCTTCCCGATACCTGTCCTCTCCCAGCTCGCCCCACAGAGCGGTCACTCGTTGCTTCTGTCGGCTTTCAAGAAGGTCTATCAGCGGACGCGTTTGCCTTGCCAACCTGATCGTTCTAGGAAGGATACAGCTGTCATTTGTGCCACTGATACTCTCGATGAACATCGTCTCCGTAACGATGATGAAGTACTGGATTTCTTACGCGTTGCCCGAACCGGCGGCTCCAAGTGATTACGAGGGGCTGGGTTCGGTGCTTGTACTAAGGCGGCTGTAATTTAATCGGTTGTAGCTGTGTCGAAGAGCTGCTTCTGTGCGTATTCGACTCCTGGCATATGGCAGAACAACGCCTCACGCTCTTGACTGGCGATCGGAGCAATCGTGGCAGGGCGTACGTCGGCAAGGGATGGCCCTGGTTGAACTTTACAGCACCACTATGATTGCTTCCTGCAGATAAATCGATTATGATGGTGCTTTTGCAGAATTTACTCTGGTCGCACAGCGTTCGCTCAACGCCAAACTGGCGTAGAGCGCAGTGAGCCGTAGTGTGAAGTTACCAGGAGTGGAGATATCTCACATGAGAGGATACGTGTACCCTAAACACAGTCTTTGGTGAGCCTGCTGAAGATGAGAGTAATAGTGCGTGTGTGCATCAGGCGCAGCGGCGGTCAAAAACCACGCATGTATAGTTATATTCAGCAATTCGCCAGTCGTGGACTATACATGTACGGCGGGACACGCCGCATATTATTATTGTCATGTGAACTCTTCCAACCAGGGAATGCCCCTCATAAGCTGAACATCGAGAAACAGGAATCACTGCCAACGCAATCGAAGCGACGGCATTGTATTCACAAATGCCCTCAATGCTGGTTGAAAAATCAGAAGCGGACTCATTCGACCGGGTCTCTGCCTCGGCTGATGGCCATTATCTTCAGGTAATGCTTTTCCGTCTCAAGGTCAAAAGGAAATGGTTGGGTAATTGGAGTGATCGACATGCCTTGCTCCTCGAGGAACTTGAGACGCTGGGCCGTCGCAGGCCTCGAGTGGTTAATGCTGTAGATTTTGATGCGGTGGCAGGAGGATGTGACGTGTAGGTCCCAATTCCTGAATGTGTTAGCGTGCACGACGCAAGACAATCTCGTTCACCGTAGAGCGACGGGTACGTGAGGGGAGGGTCTCACCAAGCGCTCCTGACAAATGTGGGCTGCGTGTTAAGTGCGTTGTCCCAGCACCGTACGCAAAATTCGAGCCATCCTTCGGCGTCGACTGGCAGGTCAATCTCCCATAACCTCCATGCATGGAAGTATTTGTCGCTCATCTTATCATGCGGGCATTCATACCTGAACAATCAGCCAACATGAACGATAAGAAGATGCCCGATGCTTCCGAGTGGGATGGCAAAAGCCTCAAAGAGCGCATGGAGAAATTCGTACCAGATGCTGCCGCCGTCGCCGCTGACTTCCACCCTTACCGGCCAATGACCGCCGCCGGAATATGCCCATCCCTTGAGCTTGATCGAGCCGTCGTGGACGATCTGCATCTGGAAAGGTTATCAGCTTCGACCGTTATCAAGGCCGAGCCTTGCGTTTATCGAGATGCTGCCTTACCATATCCACTGGCTGCATGATAGCGGAACTGACAGGCATGTCCTGAATCGAGAAACCACCGGAGTAAGTCGCGTTCTGCTTGCCGACCTGCGGCGTGTAGTATAAGTACTCTTTGCTAAAACGGTTATCAGCCTCGTCACGAATCAAGGTCGAGCCTTGCTCTTATCGGGACGCTGGATTACCTCTGTACCGGCGCCAAACTGGGGTTCTCGATTGCGTTGATCTTGTAGAGCCACTTCACGCTACGGGCACCGATGTATCCTTGAAAAATTGTTAATGACATACCCTTCGGGTTGCATAGAAGGCGAATAACGAGGCGGGCAAATCTTGGAGACTCACCAAAGACAACGACGCGGACCGGGTAGCCGTGTATGCGTGGCAGCGGCTCGCCATTCATTTCCCACGCTAGAATTGCTTCGTGCACCTTGACTTTTCGCCAGGGTATGGAGACAGCGTAGTTATAAACCTTGCCTTTCTTGAAGTACGTGTCTGCGCCGAAGAATTCCAGATGTCCGGCTCCTTCTTTCAAGCCACCGCAGTACTTGATGACTTTCTTCAACGATACGCCTGTCCACCTCGCGGTTCCGATTGCGCCCTCTCCCCATGGTGCATTGATTAACTCGTCGCCGTCACCCGGGTATTCATGAATCTGCTCAATGCGCCGCGTGCCAGAGCACTGCAAGCTGACGATGTTCGACACTCGTGGAAACTTGGATTCATCCTTGAGATCGGCGAGTGTGAGGCGTCTAGGCTCTTTGACGAGACCTTCTATGTCAACGAACCAGTCATCTGCGTTGATTTCCGGAATGCCGCCGTGATTGCGCACGAAAAAGAGCGGGTTGGGAGTTATGGCGTGCTCAATGACGCGATCTTTCGGCGGCTCCCCGTTGTAAGGGAAATCGAGTACGTGAATCATGTCTGGCGACTTCTCTTTCTGCACGTACTCCCATGAGATCTTTGGGAGATCTCTGAGCGTCGGACCGAGCGCAGCGTGGTATTGCTTCCATCTGACACCCTCGAGGATGGGATTTGTCTTCGGTAGAGGCTCGAGCTGGTATTCGGGGGGCTGTTGACGGTTACAATGCATTCTGAATTGAGAGGAAGCTCCGCAGAAGGACAAGCTCAGATCAAAGGGTCACCTACCTTGGCAAAATCATACTTCGCTAATATCTCTTGAGCTTCCTTCTGCTTTTCCGGGTATTTCTCCCACTCAATGTAGCCCTTCCATCCAAGTCTTTCCTCCGGGAAGCAAGGCACTTTATCGTCAGTCCCCTCTTTCCCCCCTCCTCTCAGTGGAATATGAGACGAGTCTCCGTCCATTTGTGGTCCAATTGGGAAGACACAGCTCCGTACGACTGGGACTACCGGAGAAAGTTGATTCTGTGGTCATGGAGAGAAGACTGACCAGAAGAAGCAGAAGAGCAGTGCCGAGGCATCCTCACCCAGCTCCACAAAGCACATGGGTCCAGCGGAGTGTACTTAGGTAGGGCTGTCGTCATGAAAGGATGGGTGCAGCGAGCGTCATGCGGTGAACATTGGAGCTTTGTTAGCTCCGTTATCTCCATCTCGCTTCGAGCCATCCAATTGCTTGTCAGGTCAAGCTTCGTCAAGCACTGACGAAGCAAGCTTGACAGTCTTGACAGGCCCTCTTCCGTTCCAGGTACCGGAAGCGTGTTGTCCATGGGGTATTAGCGTCGTAGAGGACTATTGCAATGCCCCCGGGGTAGCGGCGATGTTCAACTCCGAATCCCGAACCATGCCCGCGCAGCTGTGCAGGAAATCTTGCAGCCATGCGCAACAGACACATCATTTAGCAGTATTTGGTACTACGGCTCGGAACTGATAGTATCTCTCCGAAGTTGCGGTTGCTCGGCGATTTACTCGAGTAAGTCCTACCTGGATAGAGGATTTGACAAACGATTCCGAGCTGTGGAGGTTCTCGAGGTCAGCTGTTCAGGGGAGCCCCGTCACGTGACAAAACGAGTAGGCTTTGTGGGATCCGTCATGCGTGCCTCGACTATATATGATCGATATCCGCGTTCTTGGTGATACATAAGGACACCTTCCGGGTTAGATCAGTCCACATCAGGCACAGGTAAGCCATTGTAAAGCTTCATCCTCCTTCCTAGTCCCTCCATCGCCTTCATGGCATTTTCTTCACGCAGCTTTCTCGCCTCGTCGTCTGAAACGAGCACGAAGTCATATGTCATTAGTTTGCCACCCTCTTCTACGCCGTACTTCTTTGCTTGCTCCGCGTCTACTGTCCCGAGCTCGACTACAAGTGTCTCCTTGACACCGAACACGGCGTCTGAGGTCTCGTAAGGATCATTCCGGAGGTACAAGGCGCTTGTAGCAAGTCAGCATACAGCCCCAGTTCCAGTGGCTTGGTGAACCTACGTAATCAGATGGTCGTAGCCCGGCTTCTCAAACATGAAATGCATGTGGCTCGGCCGGTACGGATGTCTCTTCAACAGCTTCAACAGCTTTCCAACAGGCCCATCATGCGGAATCGGATATGGCACTGGCACAATCGCCTTGAACCAGAAGATGCCGTCCGAGTCACTCTCCATGACCGCACGACCGTCCGGTCCTTCCCTGTCCGCGTATTGCACATCGTAGAAGCCTTTCGAATCCGTCTCCCAGATGTCTATTTTGACCTCTTCGATCGGCTTACCGCTCGTATCTTTGACAGTGCAGAGGACGAGGCAAGGTTCGCCATCTGGATCATGCGAGATGGAACCGCCGTTGGGCTCTGGCTGGGCTTCGTGCGTGTGAAAGGGACCTAGGACGGTGCCTTCAGTTGATGCGGGTGGTTTGGGATGATCGATGCTGTCTACGAGGAGGGAGAGGCCGATGATATCAGAGAGCAGGATGAATTCCTTGGGCCGGCCCGTCAGCACCAGATTTTAAGGGCAATTCTATGTATACTATACTCACTTGCCGCACATCACTAGAGATCTGGCCAACTCCTTTAAGGAAGCTCAACCCAGTCATCCATTCGTTCGTGCTCAATCTAGTTTCCCGCGCAAAGTCGTGGACGTGCGACACCAGCCGTTCCATAATATATTTCAGCCTGGGATCTGGACACCGCGAATTGATCAAGTGCACATTTTCGGTGATGTTGTCGATAGTCAGGTCCTTCACCGAAGGGACATCAACGAGTGAGGGATCCATCTTGAGGGTAACAAGGTTGTAGAATCGTATATGAGGCTGCAGAGCTTCGGAGACGCGCAAGAGTAACTCAATTGCTTAAGAAATGGATTGCAAACACGCACGGCGCGCGTTGTAGCACTATATGGTACTTGATACTATTGTTTCTGCTTAGTCTCTGCTTACCCATCGAATTACTGGACGCTTACGAACGTGTAGATGCTGCGAAAGGTTGCCTCAGGGTAACGCGGGGCACATCAGTGCCAGGGTCACGGCAGAGTGAGCGGCGGGCATTGCCGGGAAATGTGTTCATCCGAAAAGCTCGTTTCAACTGCAGGCCTGCAGCTTCGGCAAAGTGGTACTGAGGACATGACAATCTATGGTCTGAACTGCGCTGTTTATGTACATGTACATCAGGATAGTGGTCAGAGCTTTCTATGCGCTTGCCGGCCTAATCACGTTGCGGAATAGTTCCGCCAACGCCGCTTACAATGCAAAGACAGACGACAGGTGAGCACCATTGAGCTGGCCTCTTGGACTGAAAAATCAACCAGGACTAGAGCCCGAGAATACACAATCATCTCCAACTCAGAACAGTCCTTGCACGGCCACTGCAACAGAAATCTGGCCTCTCTTCAGAGCTCCTGTGTGGCTCTTGTCCTCCTGTTCATACTCCGAGCCAGCCCAGCCTTGTGGTCAGCAGAACCACCGATCCTTATTACAACTGTGCCTTCTTTGCAGGCTTGATGTTCTTCACCGCGTGCTCGATAGCGCATGTATAGCCAAATGTACCAAGCCCGACGAGCACAGCCTCCGCCTTGTCGCTCAGATAGCTGTGATGCCGGAAGGCCTCCCGCTTGTGCACATTGCTGATGTGAATTTCGATAAAGGGTATCTCTACACCGAGCAGCGCGTCCCGTATCGCAACGCTCGTGTGGGTGAAAGCTCCGGGGTTGATCACGATGACATCAACTTTCCCGCGAGCTTCATGTATCCGGTCGATGATTTTGCCTTCCCAGTTGCTCTGGATTGTCTCGAGCGAAGCGTTCAACGACTCGGCCTGCTTCTTCGCCTGTTCTTCCACTTGCTCTAGCGTCGTCGAGCCATAAACGTCAGGCTCTCGGGTTCCGAGGAGGTTGAGGTTTGGGCCATTTATGAGGAGGATACTCTTCGCCATAGTGATACTGAAGTTGTTAACTGAGGCGGTTGAAGGCTGCGTGGTTTTGAAATCTTGACTGAGGCGGTTGACGGCGGCGTAATCTTAGATGCCAGCGTATGAGGGAGTTTACGGTAGACTTTTGCTTAGCATCCTTGACAAGGGTAGTTCAACGACGTCCATCATACTTCCACAGCCGTCTCAATCCGCTGGAGGAAGAGTCTTTTCCCGGGGGTTGACGCCCGCGAATCCGCAGTCCGGGAGCCGGGGGGGCCATCTCCGTGGTGTTGGGTCCGCGAATGCGCACACTGTGCATCCCACCATGTCGGAAAGTTAATTGGGAGCGCTGATGTCAAGAGAACTACGGATGTTGATGCATGGGAATGGATACTTGGGTACGAAGTGACGGACACGTGAAGCGGTAAAAGTTCGGAGCCGACCATGCTCGGCTTAACGCGGTAATCCATGCCGGACATCAGTTCTGATAAGTAACTACAGTCCAGCGGGACTGGTTCAAAAATGTAGTGATCATGCCGCAATTGAGTCGTGAGGAGCTGGATGATATCTATGCGTTCGCCATCAATCTGGGGACATCTGCGGGCAAGATTCTGTTGGATGCCGCCAAATCAAGATACGGAGATGATAGACCAGAAGAGCGTGCTCACATTGAGAAAGAGAACGCAGTAGACTTGGTGACGCAGACGGACGAAGGTAAGAAAAGGGTGTCATTCTTCAAGCGCAAGAGTTATTAGACAGGGAACTCATTCTCCGACTGAGCTGGATTCCTCTATTGCGTAGCAAAGAGCTGCGGGGACCATCTGCTTCAAGTCAAGATGTCTCTTTAGTGGGCAACCCGGCCTAGATCGGGGTCTCAGTCCTTGTTTCGTTCGATATAATTGTTTTTGCTGTACGTACTGAAACCCTACGGACAGATGTCGAAGCATACGTCAAGAGCCAGATTGCTCAAAAATACCCTTCGCATAAGTCAGTACTCTTCCTCTCGAGTCCAGCATCAGTCCATTCTTGGCTATCAAAGCTGTCTCTAGACCGTGCTGACCACCTTTAAAAGATTTGTTGGGGAGGAGACCTATTCCAAAGGAGCTTCCCGGGACTACCTGATCAACGAGGAGCCTACGTGGTGCGTTGACCCGCTAGATGGTAGGTTTCTGAGCAATCTGCTCCTGATTGTACAGTGCTACAAAGCAGCACAAGACCCTCCACAGGCGTGGCCGTCTTAATCGCTCTCTTCAAGTCCTCTGGCCGCTCCAGTGTGCTACCTCCTTGTTCCGTCGATCGATGATATATCCATACTGCAGCAGTTGACTGTACCGATGCCTTACACATGCTGACCAACGGCGCGTTCAGGTACGGTCAACTACATCCACCTGTTCCCAATGTTCTGTGTATCTATCGGGTTCATCGCAAACGGCAAAGCCACGATAGGGGTCATCTATGCCCCTTTCCTGGACCAGCTCTTCTCCGCTTGTGTTGGCCGTGGCTCGTGGCTCAACGAGACGCAACCTCTACCGCTTGTTCGCAATCCTGTTCCACCTTTACCAGTCACAGCTCCCAGCGGGTGCATCTTCTCGTGCGAATGGGGTAAAGATCGAAGAGATCGTCCAGACGGTAACATGCATCGTAAAGTTGAGAGCTTTGTGAACATGGCAGCTGAGATAGGAGGGCGTGGCGGCAAGGGCGGTATGGTGCATGGTGTCAGAAGCCTAGGGAGTGCAACAATGGACCTTGCCTACACAGCGATGGGCGCCTTTGATATCTGGTGGGAAGGGGGTTGTTGGGAATGGTAAGTCGGTTTCATTCGCACAGCCCCGCAAAGTCTCACGAAACTTCCTTAACTCCAAGCACATGCGCCAGCGTTTCCTGGACAGTCTCATCGAACGCATCAGTCACTGTTCTGTTTCCTGTTGCACCATCCCGAGCGATACAGTGCTCGTGCTTTACTCTGGTGGCTTCCGGATAAACGATCACGCATCTCATGCTTGCCTTATCGCCTGATATACAAACAGGAGTCCAGTGGCTGACTTCCGCTCCCAGGGACGTCGCCGCTGGCATCTGCATATTGCAAGAAGCTGGGGGGCTAGTCACAGGCGCCAATCCCCCGGAAAACCCGGCCACGGCTCCCATAGAGGAGGCGAGGCTGGGGAGTCGGCTGTATCTTGCCATTCGGTAAGCAATCTCGCTTTGCATCACACGGATCACACAGATAGCGGCAACCCTAAGCGTGTCTCGTCATCTCGTACCCATCTGAACGGACCACTAGCACTGACGCCTTGAGTTTGTAGCCCCGCAGGTCCATCCCCTACTGAATCCGGCCGCCAAGGACAGGAGCGGACGGTGCGAGAGGTCTGGCGCAGAGTCCGTGATTTGGACTACTCACGGCCAGGCGCTTAGACTCTTGGAGATCATTAGACATCGGCATGCACAAACTTGTTTACATAGAAGCGTATTCGCCTATCGATCCCTGAGCCCCACAAAGTGTGGACCTGAGCTTGCAGATGACAACCTAAAACACCCCAAAAGCACCCTCGCCGCCTCCCACCTTCAAAGATCTACACACCTTCGGTCTCAGAGTCCCACTCCCCGCAGTTAATGCATGACTTCAACCAGCAGGCCGTCAACCACAACGCCTGCATGCTGCGCGTTCTCTAGCGCATCTCAGGTTGAACTATTGCCTTGGTCAGACGAAGATCGATGCACAGCCATGGCTCTACGCTAACTCTTACAGCTTGTGCTCCGATAGCTTGGCTGCTATGGCCGCCTGAACGCTTTTCACCGGAAGCTGGTGAATGTCCTTTCCCGTCCAGTATTTATCCTAGGTCATGTGAGCGCGATGAGCACGACGTCTCCGTCTTGGAACATCTCATCGAAAGATTCCGTACCTGTTCAAGGCCTTGCCAGATCATGGCTTCCGTTCCCAGGATGACCTGCCAGCCCGCTTTCTCCGAAAGCTTCCCAATCTGCGTATACGGCGATGGATGATAGCACATCTCCAGTATCGCGCCCTTGTGCGGTTTCCCCAGCATACACTCTACGATAGCTCTAGTTTGCTTCTCGTGGTCCGTTCTCGGTGGGACATCCGGTACACAGGCGACGATGGATCCAGGACCTTCCAGCTTTTCCGCCTGCTCAACAGTCGATACGTAGATGAGACCGTCACCAAATCCACGCGCCGTGCATTCTGAAATCACGGCCTCGACCTCTGCCTTCTCGCGATTAACCAGATATATCGGGTCGGCCTTGAACCACTTGCGCATGGCATAGACGGCACTCCGGGCGGCACCTCCACCTCCAATGACCATACCGGGCCGGTTGTGGAATACGTTGTCCGGATCGCTAACGTTCTCGTAGAAGGCCAGCTTGATGCCCATGACATCTGTGTTGGTCCCGACATATATCCTCTTCCCGTCTCGTTCCCGGAGGAAAAGGGTATTACAAGCGCCGACCTCTCGCCCTTCTTCGGTGAGCTCATCGCAGTGCTTCACTATTGCTACTTTATGCGGCATTGTGACAGCCGCGCCTGACAACTATCAGCCTTGGTCGTTCAACAGCATACTCTGGATTGAAATTACCGTAGAACTTTGGATCTTTGATGAGTTCCAGGAAATGGTCCATATTGGTAGAATCCAACAGCAATTGTGACCATTTCAACCCAATACCATCATACACGGTCTGATGTAGTAATGGGGACATGGAGTGGGCAATGGGATGTCCAAATAGATAGCCAACCCGATCTAGGTGGTCTGACGGCGGTGTATAGTCGGCCATTGTAAGGTGCAAAGTATGCAAGAAAAGTGAATATACAAGAAGAAGCGGCCTTGAAATCAAAGCAAAGATGAAGGAACCTGGGCAGCTGTAGATAGCAAGGCGCGACTATACTGAATACAAGTATATACGTCCAATATCACCCTGCCCGCACCCGGCAGCAGAGTAAGAGCTTACGCAACAGGTGGAAGTGGAGCTCAATGTGATCACACACGCAATGAGCTCAACAACTCCTCGGCTTGACTGTTCCGAATGTCACTGTCTCTAGTTCATCTCATCAATGGTGCCGCACTCTCCAAACTCGAAGGTCTGCACGTCAAGGTGTTGGAGATGCGACTGCCGTCCCTCATCGCTCTAGCGAACGCCTAAATCTTTTTCCACCACCAGCTGAATGCCGAATGCTGCTTACGCGCCTGGGCACTGGGCGCGAAGACGAGCTGCGGAGAACCGCAGTACGGCAGCTCTGCGGCAACGCCAGGCCCCACAGACAAGTGGCAGGCATATCCGAGGCTAGTGGTGGATCGCCCGCTGACCTTACCGAACACAGCTGGGAGGCGGCGAAAGCGATGCAGCTTGCGGCGTCCAGATGCGGCCTGGAAGAAGGGTTTTCCTTCTGGCCCTGGTCTGTCACCACTCCCATGGGCCATACTCCGTCTATCATCTTAACCCCGGATTGTGGGGGATTGGAACGCTTTGACAGGGCAAGGTGAGATAAAAGGATGGATCCCCATCCTGTGTCTCCTTCTTCAGTTCACCAAGAAACAATCTTGAGGCATCTCCTCACATCTACAGTTCTTCTTACTTGTCACCTGTTCAGCAGGCTTGAGGGGATCGAAGACACCTCGTCCACACTTACTCTACCCACATAATCTAGCGAATACCGGGGCTCTTACCTCCACAATGGGTTTCCTCACTCTAGTCGAGGATAGGCCGACGCCAAAGGCAAGCTTATCATGTGACTTTGGAGAGTATTCATGCTAACATTACATCAAAGGCGGTCTACAACTGGCGCGTCTATGCCTGCGCCGCTATTGCATCCTTTGCAGCATGCACTATCGGCTACGACTCTGCGTTCATCGGCACCACGTTAGCTCTGCCATCATTCGTTGATGAATTCAAATTTGCGGAGATGGACCCAGCATACCTCGCCCTCCAAAAAGCCAACATCGTCTCGGTCTACCAAGCTGGCGCTTTCTTCGGTGCCTTGGGCGCTTTCGTCACTTCTTACTTCTACGGCCGCAAGAAGAGCTTGTTTATATTCTCTGTCATCTTTATGATCGGCGCCGGCATGATGTTGGGCGCCAACGGCCAGCGTGGTCTTGGTCTTATCATTGGCGGTCGTGTCCTTGCTGGTGTTGGTGTCGGAGGCTGCTCCAACATGGTCCCGGTCTACATCTCAGAACTCGCACCTCCCGCAGTACGTGGGCGACTTGTCGGCATCTACGAACTCGGCTGGCAAATCGGCGGTCTAGTTGGCTTTTGGATTAACTACGGCCTCGTCGAGACAATGGAACCAAGCCATACGCAATGGATCATTCCATTTGCTGTTCAGCTCATCCCCGCTGGTATCCTGCTTCTTGGCGGTCTCTGGATCAAGGAGTCGCCCAGATGGCTCATGACCCGAGGCAGGCGCACGGAGGCGGTAAAGAACCTCTGCTGGATCCGAATGCTGCCAGCTGATGACCTTTACATTATTGAGGAGATGTCCTACATCGATGCTGCCATCGAGGCTCAGACCGCTGGCGTTGGCATGGGCTTCTTCGCTCCCTTCAAGGCCGTTGCTAGGAGCCGAAAGATTCAGTGGCGATTCTTCCTCGGTGGCATGCTCTTCTTGTGGCAGAACGGTTCGGGCATCAACGCCATCAACTACTACTCTCCGACCGTCTTCCGAAGCATCGGCATCACGGGCACGAACACCGGCTTCCTTACCACCGGTATCTTCGGTGTGGTCAAGACCGTCATCACGATCATCTGGCTGTTGTTTTTGGTTGATCAAGTTGGCCGCAGGCTCATGTTGCTGATTGGCGCTACTGGTGGCTCTCTCTGCATGTGGTTCATTGGAGCCTACATCAAGATCTCGAAAGCTGGTCAGAGCACTACAACCGCAAACACGAAGCTCTCTTCGGGCGGTATCGCAGCTATGTTCTTCTTCTACCTCTGGACTGCATTCTACACTCCTTCATGGAACGGCACTCCATGGGTTGTCAACTCCGAGATGTTCGACATGGGCACCAGGTGAGCAACGTTGCAGTCTAATATATGCGAAAGAACATCATGCTAATATTGCAATTTCAGGTCTCTCGGTCAAGCATCCGCAGCAGCGAACAACTGGTTCTGGAACTTCATCGTCTCGCGCTTCACACCCCAAATGTTCCTCGCCATGGGCTACGGCGTCTACTTCTTCTTCGCCAGCCTCATGATCGGCTCCGTCATCTTCATCTACTTCCTGCTCCCCGAGACTAAGTCAGTGCCTCTCGAGGCCATGGACCGTCTCTTCGAGATCAAGCCCGTGGGCAGGGCCAACAAGCAGGTCCTCGCCGAGGTCCGCGCAAAGGAGGAGGAGTTCCGCCACACCGACGAGGCGGTCAGGAGCATGTCTGTCGTCAGTGTCAAGGAGAAGAACATGCGCATCGAGAACCTCGAAGTCTAGTCATGAGATCTGCAATGTATTGTTTACGTCACCTGTGTGAATATTAGGTTGGTTGGGTAGGAGCTGCTTCGGTCGGGAGCGGGGCGCATCGTCACCGCATTCTGAGGTGTAGATCGGCTACGATCTTGATGATACCATAGCCTAGAGCTGCTGAATCTGTTCAAAACTACCTCATGATCAACTCTTCTTTCGTCATCTGTGATCTTCCAAATTTCCCATCTCCGGTGCAAGTGAGTTTTATCCTCGGAAGAGAGGATGAACAATCCCTCATTTCGTCACATCTCCGATGTGTGCTGATGACACTGCACATGCGGATCCGTTCTACGACACCTCCGCCGTCACAGTCGCCACCATCAGCAAAATCAATGGTTTCACAGGAAAGACACCGTGGCGAACTTCACCTACTCGGACGCTGCGATAATGGAATTCCTGAGGAGTTGCTCCCCCGAGCTCTCAGAATCTTACCACTCGGCTCTGTTTACCCTTCGGAATCCTCTCTATGCCGAAACAAATACCTCCTGAAATTGTAGCAGAGAGATGTTTACTCACAATGAATGAAATTCAAGCGTGCACTGAATTTCCCTCCTTCCTAGCATGGAGTTATCAGCCGCGGCAAGTTCTTGTACAAGGCGGAGGCAGGTGCGACCGTAGAAACCCTAGCCAGTTCTGTTGTCTCATCGGGCAGAGGGCCTGTATTTCAGCGACAGCAGTTTATCACCATGGCTACCATAGGCGGCAGTCGGTCTCGACGAAAAGTAGTTGTGTGCGGAATTAATATATAGCGCTGATTACTCGTCGCAATGCTCCATGCAAGTTTCCATCAAACACGTTGATCAACCCCGAGTGGTACATCAACAGCCTCCCCCGTTTCCAAAGCCCTCTTAACAGCATCGCACACCACAACCGCCCTGAGCCCATCCGACCCGGAACAGCTCGGTGCCTCCACTCCCCTCACTACTCTCACCAAATGCTCCACCTGCAACTCAAACGGCATCCTCATCTCCTCCACGCTAACCACCTCCTCCTTCATCCCACTCGTCCAGCTCTTCTCCCCCTGTCCATAGCTCCATATCCTCATATCTGGTACACTAAGACACGCCTCAGTTCCAAAGATGCGGTAAATGTCCTGCCCCATCTTCGGAATGGTCGGATTCTCCCCCGTACCCGCCTCGAAGTTGTAAGGCGAGGGCACTGCATCGCTGAGCACGAACGTGCCGACGGCCCCGGACGCGAAACGTAGGAGTATGGCCGCGCCCTCTTCGGCTTCGTGCCCGCGCTGCGAGGGCGTCGCTTCGGCGGATACCCGCACGATGGGGCCAAGCAGGTGGTGCAGGATGTCAATCTCGTGGATCAGGTTTATTAGGATCGGGCCGCCGGAGGAGGTGCGGCGCCATTCGGTGGGGGCGTCGAAGTAAGGGGGTGGCTTGTAGAGGGTCCAGAGACCGGAGACGGCAACGATGCGGCCGAGGGAGTGGGAGGAGAGGAGGCGTTTTGTGGTAACTATGTAGCGGTTGAAGCGGCGGTGGTGCCCAACTAGTAGGTGGAGGTTAAGGGAGGCGGCGTGGTTGACCTGGGAGAGGTTAGGGGGTGGGTGAGAATATCGAGAGCGTCTACGTGCGGCTCGCTGAGGGGGCGTGTACTAGATCCTGTCCACTAGGTACGTCGACTGATATCGGTTTTTCGCAAAGGACGTGGACGTCGCCGTCGAGAAGCTCTTTTGAGACTGATACATGAGTGTGGTTGGGCGTACAGACTATTGCAGCATCTGGTTTGGAAGATGAAGCCAGCATCTCCTGTACGGAGGCATAACGGAGAACTTCTAATTGCTTTGCTATCGCTTCAGCAGCAGGACTAGGATCAACAATACATGACAGTATAGCATCTGGTTCATTCAGAACGGCTTGAGCGTGCCTTGGACCGATGAGACCAGTGCCGATGATTGCTATCTTGACTGGAGATGACCCCATAATAAAGGAACTTAAGGATGTAGGTTGATTAACGATAATTGCAGGAATTGAGAAACACTATCTCCATAGATAGAACAGCAGGCAATAGTGGTTTGCTTCAGGACAGATTACTACGGGAGAGAGCTAAGGTTACCCCGAATTCTAGAGAAGAGAGACAGGACCGACAAAACCTGGGGAAACCCAGCTCAGCGGGCAGAGACTACTGGAGCTCATCGAGCCGTTCATGGGCTATCGCATTACCGGTCCACTGTTCTGTCTCTGGTCAGTTAGCACAACTACGGATGCAAGCTCTAAGGTCTTCCTGAATGGTGGAGACATAGAAGGAAGGGGGAAAAAGCATAGCCGCAGGGGTATGCTCTGCCGCGGCTTCTATCGGTTCATCACCGTCCGAGGCTGTGCATTGAGCCCCAAGGCCCAGACGAATCTGGCACTCTACGCAACCACGCAGACAGCGGAGATCAACGCCGCTTGATGCTCGGGGTTGCAGCATGGTGTAGCCATCATGCCGCTGGGAATGCCGGAGGGTATTATGATTAAAGCTCCATGCGTCGCATTGAGAATGTAAACCCGTTATACCAACTCGCGCTCACCAACCCTCTACTTCGCCTTCCACAGTTGTATAGATCTTTACCTCTTCTTAATCTCAATCTCAATCTCAATCCCAATCTCAGCCTCAGACTAGAATTGCAAATTCCACACCTTCCCATAAGAACGTTGCCAGAAGTGCATACCCGCAGATTTGCTACCTCATCCACCACCAAGATGCCTTGCAGACCTGCAATAGCCTCCATGTCCCTAGGCCGGGCATGTATCCATAAGCTGCCAAACAAGCTGGATCAAGCTCAAAAACACGGGTTCGAAGGCATCGAGGTGTTTTACGAAGATCTCGACTATTTTGCGCAGGACATGGAAGGCGGAGCCACACCGGAGAACCTGATTGAGGCAGCCCATCAAATAAAAAAGCTGTGCGACGATCGGTCACTCACCGTAATCGCCTTGCAGCCATTCTGGCAGTACGAAGGTCTAAAAGACCGGAAAGAGCACGCGGCGAAGATCGAGAAGATGAAGCTGTGGTTTAAGCTCGCGAAGGCGCTGGGGACCACCGTCATCCAAATACCATCGAGTTTTCTAAAAGAGGAGGAGATCACGTCCGATGTCGATGCGATAGTGCAAGATATGATTGAGGTGGCAGAGATGGGACTGAAGGAGGATCCCGTCATCAACCTCGCTTATGAAAGTCTGGCATGGGCAACATACGTCGACACGTGGGACCAATGCTGGGAGGTCATTGAGAAAGTCAACCGACCGAACTTTGGCGCCTGTCTCGACACATTCAACATCGCTGGACGAGTGTATGCGGACCCGGCATCGCCTGATGGCAAGACGCCGAACGCGGAGGCCGACATCAAGGCATCTATCGAGCGGTTAATCAAGACGGTCGATGCGAAGAAGGTGTTCTTCGTTCAAGTAGTTGATGCAGAAAGACTTGAGGAGCCACTAGTAGAGGGCCACGAGTACTACGCAGCAGATCAGCCCGCGAGGATGAGCTGGTCAAGAAATTGCAGGTTGTTCTACGGCGAGGAGGATATGGGAGGCTATCTACCGATCAAAGAGATTACAAAGGCATTCCTACATGACCTCAAGTTCGACGGCTGGGTAAGCATGGAGCTCTTCAGCAGGCACATGGCATACGAGGACCCTGGGACACCCGCGTGGCTAGCAGAGCGAGGAGGGAACGCTTGGAAGAAGATAGTAAAGGATCTGAATCTTGAGACTGGGTGAGCAAACCGCATGTGTACATTATCGGCAATATTCTAAGTCTTGACAGAAGCTCCGTCCAGAACTCCGCACACACACACGCCGAAGTAGATTATGAGCCACAGCCACGACTTTAGAATGGAGAGTGTTGGGCTGTATATATACTGTCGCTCATCAGCACGGCGTTTATCTCAGGCCATGTGACATGGGATCGGCGTTCTTTTCTTCCTCGCATCAAGCTGAGATGTCTTTGATATCCTAGAACACCATTATGTCCGAACAGCATCATACCGCCGCTGTGTTTGCAGTGCTATCCCCTACGGGATTAAATACTGAATACGGCCAGGTCGTGAATATTTCAAGGATCCACTGACGTGGGGGCCATGTCCGTTTCCCACCATGCAACTCTTCCCCAATCAGGAGCAACCCTCGCGCGTAAATGCTGTTCCAACTCTACCAAACCTTACATGATGCAAGCTACTCGGCTTATGGTAGCCGATGCTGGCAGCATGACTGTTCATCATAGGGTAGTCTCAAGCTGCAGGAGCAGCTGCTCTGCGACAGGAGAATGTCCACGCCCGGATCACACACGCATTGATACGCAGCCTCTAGCCCTTGGAGCAATTCTGTTTGATTTAGAATAATCCATCCGAACTGACTGATCACCCTCTCATCCAGACCAGTCAAGTCCAACTAAGGACCACGGCAGCAGTCAAACCACTCATCGACTTTTACCTGTCCCACTTCCACCTCCACCTCCGCCTCATTTACCATGGCCACAGACGGCACCAACGGCTCAGCTAGCCACACCAACGGCGTCAACCCCGAACGCAAACACCTCTACCTCGCTGGCATAGGCGTAACCCACTCGATAGCCTACCTAATGCACAACCACATCTGCCAGACGCTCAACCTCCCCTGGACCTTCACCAACGCCGAATGTCCAACCGTAGAATCCGTGCTCTCCCTCTTCCACGCCCCTTCCTTCGCCGGCGGCGTCGTCACTATGCCCTACAAGCAAGCCATCATGCCCTACCTCGACGAGCTGGATGACCTGGCACTGACACTAGGGGCCTGCAACAACGCCTACAAGACCGCGGAGGGCAAGCTCAGGGGCACGAACACGGACTGGCGAGGCGTCAAGGGGTGTTTAATGGGGGCCAGCGAGGAAGGGAGAGGAAAGCCGGCCCTGATCATCGGCGCGGGCGGAGCGAGTCGCGCGGCGGTGTTTGCGCTGGCGAACCAACTGGATTGCGGCACGATTTACATCATCAACCGCGATGTTGGCGAGGTGGAGGCGCTGTTGCGCGACGCACAGGCGTATGCGAGGGATGGCCAACGGGGCCCGAATCTGGTGCATTTGCGGTCGGTTGAGCAGGCGAGGGAGCAGCAGAGTCCGTACTATATTGTTGGCACGGTGCCGGATTTTGAGCCCAAGACGGAGCAGGAGCTGGAGGCTAGGGCGATGTTGGAGGAGTTTTTGGCACGGGAGGACAGAAAGGGGGTGTTGCTTGACATGTGCTTCAAGCCTAGGAATACGCGGATATTGAAGCTGGGGAAGAGGTATGGGTGGAAGACGGTAGAGGGCACCGGTGTCATTGGACATCAGATTCAGGAGCAGTATAGGTTATGGGCGGGCGAGGAGGTGAGCCAGAGGGTGCCGATGGAGGAAGCCTGGGCAGTATTGCAGAAGGCGGCTGAGGAGAGTCCTGCTATCAATCTCTGATAATCAAACACTTTAGAATCTGAGGAACTCTTGAACTTTAGCGCTGGCTCGGTGTTGGTCTAGAGTGGCTCAATAGGGTTTGAGTAAGCGTCTGGCTCAATCTACTGTCGTGCATAGTGGGTAGCTTTGCAGTCAATAGAATTCCATCGAGGGTGACTGTGCAAGTTGATACACAGGCCAAAGTATGCCTTGTGGCCTCACTTCTGGCTTCTTGAGGGGTAAGTTTGCCCGCCGCCGGCGAAAAGGCCGGAGTTAAGATCAGCCTGCATGAGGAGGTCCCAAAGCTTGTGGATGCTCCCATGGCAATTCATAAAACAAAGAAGGCAGCTTGATGAACATTCAACCGGCCATCCTACGACGTCCTCCAGTAGTCAGAAGTGCCACGTACAGGTGGAGTATGTTCGCATTACGTGCACGGGAGAACCTTGAAGCTTCGTGATAACAGGTCAAGCACTGGCACTCCGCCAGAGGGAGAACCCGATTGCCCTACCTTACCCTCGGTACACTGTATTACACTTGTTGTCCTTCAGACAGAACGCAGGACAGACCATAGCTCAGAATGGTCGACCTCCACAGCCTACCTGAGGGCTCCCATCCCTCCAAAGCAGTCCGCAACAACGGCTCTAACGACCTCGCCATAGAACGTTTCAAGCTCCGCGAGCTCGCAGAAGGATGGCCTATGTACCGGTGCGCCATTGCCAACCCCTTCTTCCCCAATTCACTCAAAAGCCCTGGCTAACACCACCACCACCCCAGCGACGCCTGCGAATGGGAAAACCTCCTCTCCATCTTCCACCCCGACGCCTACATCTATACGACCTGGACCGGCCGCACACACCACGCCGACTTCATCGCGGCCTCAAAAGCCGGCATGGACAAAGGTGCCTTCATCATGCACCGCTGCCACGGCGCCTCGACAGATATCAACATGGAGGCCACACGCGCAGTGACGAAGATGAAGGCGACCATCACGCAGCGGTTCGTCATTGAGGGCTGCGAGGTCGATGCCGAGAGCGACTGCCGCTTTTGCTTTTTCTGGGAACGGTGGGAGGGCGAATGGAGGGCAAGATTTGTGCGGTGAGCCCACCCGGCCTCCCCAGCTGCCGGTCCCAATTGCCGAGAGGGTGGGAGAGTGGTCCACTGACGGTAATTGAACCATGCAGGCACTGGTACGAGAAGGACAAGCTCATCCCGATAAATCCGAATAAGGTGCCCAAGCTTGACGAGGAGAAGCTTGCTGGTTACCCAACTGGCTACAGGTATCTGGCGTACTGCCAGGAGGCGACCATGGGTGTGAAGGTCATGCTGGATATGCCCGGCCACCGGCGAGAAAATGACAACGTGAATGGGAAGAAGCACGACCTGCTATACTGGCAATGTAAGCAGTGGGTCGAGGGCGAAGAGGTGGATATATAGCGCTATTTATCGACCGAGAACGGGAGAGCTAGTGAGGCTGTTGACATAAGTTGGACGGTAATGCAAGCCAAGCTCTAGAACTGTACAGCTCTTCGGCAACGAACTGGACACACTTTGAAGACAGTGACGAATGTCTGAAAAAGACTCTTTCACATCTAGAGTCGCCTATTATATATGACCAAGAACGCTTTTGCGCCGTATCATTATAGAGCGCGATACTGGTAGGAAAAGATTGCACCGTTTGAAGAAGGAAAATCGCGTCTGTATAATATAGCTACACAATGTTACAGATGTTAGCCGGATTTGACGGCCAACAGGCGCTCGGTGTCCAAGATAAACGATCCAAAGCATCTAAGATAGGACTGTGCAGCTCCGAACCTGATGAAATCTTGTACTCGTGCGTTCTCCGGCCGCGAAATTCCCGTATCGAAGAGTGTCAAGGGCTTCTGTTCGCTCACTTCCAACTACAACTCCAGAGAGCAGATCACCAGGTGCCCCACTCTTGCGTTTCCAGATGATAACTGTCCGAAGGGACACCAATCCCCGAGGTCTTCTGTTGATCAAGGTCGTACGGTACGCGACTTGAAGTGAGTGTGATCACGAGGTGCGTGGATGGTGAGCCTCCTGCAGAACCTGCCCTCCTGGCCGATGTGTCTAAAATCTGAGGTGGCTTCCTGAGTGTTACTGGCTGGATGCAGCATTTTTGCAAGGACAAAGTGCTCGTATCCTGAAGAACACTTTTCGACGTGCTCTTCTTGCTTAAGCCTGACGCGCTTGATGTCGATGGCATGTACAGCTCTAGAGACCAGATGAGGAAGGACCGCGGAAGCTAGCAAGAGAGCTATGGACGAAAGCCACATGGCGAGTGACCAAGTTTGTCGCGCCACTCTGTGCAGCGGTTGGCTTCGCGGTGTGTATCCTTGGCTCCTCCTCACACATGTCACCGGCGAATGTTCATCAGAAGCGGGTCAACGGCGGTACGCAAGACTGACGAGGATAGCGGATACAATATTGGCAAGCCCTTCAGCCCTCCTCAAAAGGAACATCTTGATCCATGGCAGACGATCCAACGGCACTTTGCTGTGCATACACGCTGAGCAAAGGGTCGAACTGCCCGTAGTCTGAAGTCAAAAAGTCGTTCAGGTCTATATTTGGCGCGAATCCCAGATTTTGCATGAACTGCGGCTGATTGTCCTGGCGGTCGGCGCCATCGAGTGAGGCCAGCTCGTCGAAGAGTGCGTCCAAGTCGACAGATCCGGCGGAGGCGAAGCGTTCCAATGGGGCTCCTCCGTATCTGCCAGACTGGTCGTTCTGTACATCCAAAGCTGCTTGAGATATCTTAGGAGTGAAGTAATTGAGGTTGGTCAGGGGTTGCCAGGGAGTTGTGGGTACCATTATGTCTGCATGGCTCTGTTCTCTAGGTAGGATTGGGCTGAAGTTCTGCGTTGAGCCAATGTTGAGAGATGTCGGAGTCGGTAGGATGTTGCTTAGTGGGGCTGGCGTATATTCCTTGGAAACCACTGCTGTGACAGGATGTGGATTGCCATGTCTAGCCTCGATCTCACCTATACCTCTCCCCGCTCGCATTCTATCCCATATCCCACATATCACGTTATCGAATGCCGCCAAGTGGTCTCGCTCTCCGTTCAGCATCGAACTGCCGGGCGATACGGTGCGTACCAAGCTCAGGAGCGTATGGAAAATCGGAGGCATTCCTGCAATGCCAAAGGCTTCGGCGTAGCGTTTCAGTCGGTGAGACAGCTGCCCATCGTTGTTGCTGTGAGCAACTTCGAACGCCTGGGCGGCACATTCAAAGGCAATCTGCAGGATCAGTGCCGGTGGGGTCGTTGCGCCTTTCATGGAGCCGCGCTCCTCGCTCGTTTCTGCGATAACCTCTTGATAAATGCTGCTTAGTGAATGTGTTTGCGAGCTGTGTTCCTGATGCCTCCCTCCATCACGCTTCCCAGCAGGAAACACGGTGCTCTGTGACTGTCTAGAAAAGATATCGTAGCCATTACTTGGGACTTGAAACGATTTTCTGCCTGGACTGGAGAACGTGTCATATTCAAGGTCGACAGATTGAAGTACGTCAGCTCGTTCAGGGAAAGTTGCTTCATGCACAGCCAGCATCAGCCGAACCATTCGGTTGAATGTGCTAAGGGCATGCACGGGACTTCTCAGCTTCATGTCCTGGCCGATCCCGAAGCCTTGACAGCCGACCCACGGTTGCCACTCCTCCAAGCCTTCTTCAGGGAGCAAGCCAGTATCGTGAGCTTGCTTCCGACGTATGAGGGGTGGTCGACCAAGTCGAGCGGAGATCAAACTGTCGATGACGAAGCAACCAAGGAAAACATGCTTGTGTTTTGCGGCAGGAGAGGCAGCAGTAGCGGTTTCGTTTTTATCGAGACCAAGAAGTATAGCGATACGAGCAGCCTGACCTACAAGAAGCCAAGCAATGTCATCGTTGGTTGATCCCATGTTGACAAGCGATAGCAGTAAAAGTGCTTTGACGTGGCTAATCTGGAAAGAGCCTTCCTCAGTTGGAATCAAACTTCGAGCGATGTCATAGATATCTGAGGCCTTGAAAACCAAGCAAGTCAGTAATGTCGAGGGAAAGGTACACTTCAGTACTTCTCAAGGGTCTCCATGGGTATAACACGCCTTATCCGGCGCTTGAAAAGGGGGAGAGAAGTGATTGAAGCATGATGAGGCTCACATTCATGTCCGACATAGCTTCTCCGGAGTTCAACGAGACATCCTGGAACGACGCGAGCGCTAGAATACTCCATAACTCTGCGTGAGCCCCGGAATCGACGGAAACAGCTGTTATGTCAAGACCTTCTTCTGGGTACGAGTAAGAGGTCTTCATGACGTCGTGCTTCTCGGCAATTGGGAACCAACAATGAGTGTATCCAAAGTAGACGTCAAAAAGCCGCCAGAGGGTGGCAGGCAGTTTCAATGCTGCTCGGTTGGTACCAGTTGCAGTTCCTTCTGACGGCACGTTTCTGGTGTCGATACCGTTGAGTCCCGATGAGATGTCTGTCGTTCTAACCGGATCAGACATGGAAGCGATTCCAGTATATGGACCTGTTGATTGAGCACCAAGAAATCCGGAAATGTAAGACGAGCTAGGGTATCGCAACCTCCCAAAAACCTCGTGCGTCCCATGTGATGTCCCGGTCTTATTCGCAAAGGGATTCTGCTGGTTAGTAAAGATTGCAGAGGTCGATGACGTGTTGAGTAATCCCGCACCTTGGCGCGACTCAGCTCCAGTGGTAGTTTGGTCGAGTTCCGAAGCGTATTGACTACGGCTCGGATGAGCACTTCCCACTGTGTTTCTCCTCTCGCGATCCTGTAGATCGTTCGGGTCTTTGATCGGAACTCCTGCCGAGGACGGAGTCAACATCGTTGCATCCTGTTCGCCGTTGGCGCCATCTTCATCTTCATCCGCAGAGAATTTCCCACTACTACTCTGTTGCGCTCCAGGTTCCTTGACCTCATCGCCTGACAACAACCGCTCGATCTCTTTGCAGACGGTGCTTTTTCGCCATTTTCTGTGCAGCTTGTATGATCCGTCCGTATCTTTTCCAACCAAGACAGCTTGACCAGCGCTGCCACTATCGCTAAGCACAGCAGCTAGTGCCTGTTCGCTGCCACTGAGGTTGATAAACGCCCACGCCAAGGCTAGCTCGAGCGTCCTGATATAGCCTGGCTGTATTCCACGTTTTTTCGGGTTTACCGTATACGAGCAGTCGCGGTTCGATGAGGCGCAGGTGAAGCACACTGGCTGGATGCCGTCACATTTCTCGCGAGCGTTACGGCACTGGTCACAAGCTCGAGAGACCCGTTGTCGTTTCGTCGGTGCCGGAGCAGTGTTTACGCTGTCCGTGTTCGCGCTGTGCGCTTTGCGCTTGGCTTTTGCAATCTCCGCCATTGGCGACCACGCTTCATACGCTGACGTATTACGGTGTACGCCCTCGCCCTTCCCACACAAGGAGGTTCAACCGCTACGACTCCGGTGTAGAAGCGCGTCGACTCATTCTTCGTGGCCGGTCCTATGCAGTTGCGAGCCGGAACAGACAAATGGGTGGTCCCTCGGTCTTAATTTAGCTCTACAACGGTCGCCCAAGCCCTCAAGCCTGGTGTTTTCGAACACTCTCAAGCTCTGAGAGGCGCAACGGTCAGCTCCTCGTTCCTTCAGAGCCAACGGGAACTCTAGATAGTCGGGTGGTGCATGTGGAGATAGGGCCGGGTCGGCTTACTGAGTCTGCTATGCGTGCCTGTCGGTCGTCGTAGCCGGGTACCAATGCTCTTGCTCGTCGAGTCGTCCAAGGACTGCAGCTGTTCGTCTAGAAAGCTAGCCCACAAACCCTCACCTTACGACGCAATGGGCTGTGGCGCACGCGGAAGGGGCCCGTCGGCGGGTGGAGATGGATTTGCGGAGTTTGCGGGGAATGGCCCGCACAGCTCTGGAGGCCTCGGGGGTTCTGGTGGGCTGGAAAAGAGTTCACACGGGCAACCGCCCAGGTGCGCCGATCACTATCAACACACCCAGACATGCGAACACCACCAGACCGGCCTAGGCGGGTACCTCGAGTAGCTGGCCAGCGCCCTTTCCGTCCGTGTAGATGCGAATCCTCCTTCATTCAACGTCAAGACGTTGAGACGTTGGCTGGCCTACACCGTGCAAGTCGCGTAATTGACCGCGATTCAACGCTGCGTCCGCCATGGCCGCGGCTGTATCCGGGACGAAGAGGTCCTTTGCTTTCATGACAGGAGATGGATCCGCAGCCTCTCTCACTCCAGTGAGAGACTACCGTCCTTCGGCTTCACCTTCAAGAACTCCGTTGCGACTGGAGAGGGGACGGTCTACAGGATGGGAAGACAATGGTGAGCGCTCTCTTTCGTTGGGTTGCAAACCGACAAGCAATCCTCGATACGCCGCTCCGTCGCGTATACAAACAGACACTGACTGCGTTGTAGGATCCCGAGCCAGTAGTAGCCCACCCACGCCATTACCGACGCAGGCAGCAGAGACATTGCCTCGGTCGTTCGACCAGGATGCCTCAATCGTGCTTGTCGGTGTTCGTGGAACAGGCAAATCTACTCTCGCTGTCATCGCATCTGCAGCCTTCCAGAGACGCGTCGTGGACACCGACTATGCCTTCCAGGAGACGACCGGCCACTCGAGCGCGGCATACAGGAAGATGTTTGGCGTTGCAGAACACAACAGGCAGCAGCAAGAAGTTTTCCGCTCTGTGCTTTCAAAGCATAGCAAGAATTGCGTGATTGTCTGCAACACTGGATCGATGGAGCGCAGCGGACAAGCTCTTCTAAAAGAGTACGCGAAAACACACCCTATCATACATGTTGTGAGGGACTCAAAGGGCATACGTGATTACCTAAAAGTCCCAGAACAAAGTAGGGTTACGGATCTCTTGAAAGTCAGTGGAGCTATTTTCAGAGGTTGTTCGAACTTTGAGTTTTATAACCTCTCTGAAGTCAATCAGAGCGCCAAGGCGGTGCCGGTAGAAGCAGGCGGTGACCCGTCCGCCCGCGATCTGGCGTCTGGCCAGAGGTCACCCACACCTTTCCTCACTTTGAAGAGAGCAGAAAAACACTTTCTCAAGTTCATTACCCTGGTGACTGCGAAAGCCAAAATGCCTTCTTTGGAGTCGGCATTTCCCCTGTCTCAGGTGCCGACCGAAGCGCGGCAGTATACTTATGCTGTGTGCGCGCCAGTCTCAGTTCTCTCGACTGAGGACCTTGATGTTGAGGATGTGGAAGTTGGTGCCGATGCGTTTGAACTAGTCGTGGACGACCTTTTAAACATGAGCAATGGTGCCTCGAAACCGATGTCAGCCAGGCTTGATCACATTAGCATGGCTTTCTCTCGTGTGAGGAGGAACACGATTGTACCTGTCATCTATCACACTAGCATAACAGACGCCGCCATCGAGTCCGTACGCTCCGCATACCTCGATTTCGTCCGCCAGGGCCTACGGCTAGCCCCAGAGTTTGCGACCGTCGATCTTTCCTTGAGCGACGATGTCATCTCCCAAATCGTCAGCGTAAGAGGGCCCACTCGAATAATCGGTCACCTGTCTCTTTACGGCGAGGATGCTCCCGGGTGGGACGATGCGTTCTGGTCAACATCCTATGAACGAGCCGCCAGACTAGGGTGCGATCTGGTCCGGCTGTTGAGACCTGCCAGGACGATGGAGGACAATGTTGCGGTTCAACGCTTTCGCGAGAAGATGGCCCTGGGTCGTTTTCGATTGCCCTTGATTGCGTACAACACCGGCTATCGTGGCCGACATTCCGCCTTCCTGAACCCTACCTTAACGCGGGTCACACATACTAAATTGCAAAAGAGGTTGCAAAAGGTTCAAGAGCCTGACAAAGATATCCACGGATACTACCGGGAAAGACACCCATGTATCACTGCGAAGGAGGCCACCGAAGCCCTTTACGCCGCTTTCGTATTCGATCCAATGCGTCTGTATATCGTAGGGGCAGCGTCAGGCTACAGCTTATCTCCGGCTATGCACAACGCTTCCTACAAGGCTTGTGGGATGCCGCACCACTACGAGACTCATCAAGCTCCGACGCTCAGCAACCTAAGGGCTCTAGTACACGATCCGCATTTTGGAGGAGCAGCTATCGCCTTGCCGTTCAAAATCGAGGTGATAGCGATCACACATTCGCTCAGCCGTCACGCTAGGGCCATTGGCGCTGTCAACACGCTTATACCAGTGCGACACCTCTCACCTGACGGAAGCATCCCAGATGATATCAGCTTAATTCGCGAACGCAATCAAGCCGGGCCTGTCAAGGCACTCTATGGCGAGAACACAGATTGGATTGGAATAAGAGCTTGTGTACGCCGAGGACTATCGCCTGCAAACGCCGTTCAACCCAAGACGACCGGTTTAATTGTTGGCGCGGGCGGAATGGCTAGGTCGGCAGTATACGCACTGTTACAACTTGGCGTCAAACACATCTTCGTCTTCAATCGGTCCACGGCCAATGCTGAGAAGCTCATTACACACTTCTCTCGGCTTGTTTCGAGCAACGACAGCACTCCCAACGGGTTGCATGCCTCAACTACCACATTCGCCGGCGCAGAGTTCCACCTGATCAAGTCTCGGGATGAGCAATGGCCAGAAGCCTTCCGCCAGCCCACCATCATCGTATCCTGCATACCCAGCCATAGCGTGGGAGACAACCCAGCTCCCAACTTCACCCTTCCTCCGCAGTGGCTCAAGAGCCCTACGGGAGGCGTTGTGCTCGAGGTAAGCACTTCTGCTCTCTTCTGTTCTACGACGTTTACTCACTAATTTGATATGCAGGTGGCATACAAAACCCTGACGACACCTTTACTCGACCAACTTAAAGCCGAGGCGCACAGAGGCTACGTTGCCATGGATGGCCTGGATCTACTACCAGAGCAAGGATATGCGCAATTCGAGCTGTTCACGGGCCGAAGAGCGCCGCGTCGGCTGATGAGGACGGAGGTTTACCGCAGCTGGAAGGACGAGGAAGGCCAGACGGACCATGCGACCCTTCAGACAAGGTTGGAGAACGCGACGGAGCAGGAACCTTAAGAATCCAGTCGTTGTCACGAAAGGTTGGCATATATCGGAAGGAGGTGTTCGGAGTTGAGTTTGTCCCATCTGGTAGGCTTCTGGAGCATGGTGATCGGAGTTCAATGACCTCGATGGCATCAAGAGTTCGAGCAGCACTCAAGGCGTTTGTCACGTGGTTTCAGGTTTGGGATCAATTCGAAACGTCACTCACGATTCTGATGAGGTGACATATCAACGGAGCAAACAAAATTCACAACGCTCCTCGGTTCCAAGGTTATTCTGCAATACATCTACATGTAACTGCTCCCAGCCACACATGAAGCAGGGTCGTGTACTCGTGTATCACTTGCACGTGATCGACGTAGCCGGAGGCTCAAATCACCCGAAATCTTTGAACCTCACGGAATCAACGGCCAGTAGTTTGCCCTCTATTCGAACCTCCCCACACATAGAACCGAATTTCGAATACGTGATCATGCGGATCATTCTGCTGTCATCAAGGGAAATGGTCCTAATGTTCAGCACTGCGGCAAGGGTTTACGAGGATGACATGAGCATCCAATGCCCCAGCCTTTGTCCGGCTGGACTACCCAGATATTCGCAGGAAGAGTTGCAGACCGATTACCGGCTCTCGATCTCAGCTTCCATCCCGTCCTCTGGCACGTGAGGGCCCTTCGATCGCTCGTCTCTCGGTTTGCCGAAGGGTGAACTCTAAGATGAGCATGGATATGCCACGCTTCGCCCCGCTGATAAACGCCTTGGCATGGGACGACCTGATAAGAGCAGACTCCCTCTTTTCCGTCCTCTGTATCATTTCGTCTTATCGTATGGGTATGCTACCTGCAGGATCCTGTTACCGTTTCGTGGATAGGGTGATGCCCTCTGCATGCACCCCGCCTTGAGACGATAAGGCCAACCCCAATCGTGTGAAAGATGGAAGCAAAAACGTGGTGTTAGTAAAGCTCCGGAGTTCATATCCACCAACAGGATCATATTATCAACCGCCCTGCGGCATGACTTACTGGGACTCCCTGCTTGGATCCTTCTGTACCTGTCCGAGGTAAGTCAGCATCTAAGGTCACTACCAGATTCATCCTAGCGGTATGACCTGGCGAAGGATGTTTTCCATTCTGTCAGAAGTCCTGAGTTTTGCAGCTATTCAGCTGGGTGTCTCTTCGTACTTTCTTCTTCAAAGTCTCCGGTTATCTTCGAAACATCCCCGCCAAGCCATTCCACGCGGCAATCGACTGTCGAATATGCGGCTCGCATTTCGTGACTGCGGTTACAGCGGTGCCAAGTGCTTTCCGCCCCCATCACATTCTCCCAGTGCCCCACTGCTGGTGGTTGTTGTTCTCCAAGCTTCTCTTTAGCGCAGCTCTCTTATCGCAGTCAAGCGGGAAGAACAATATGACTACAGTTTTTCAAAACTTTGGTCCATTCTATCTACGTTGGATGCGTGCCACGAGTCAGGCCATATAGCGGCATGACGGATATATATTATATGGTGTCTGCTCTCGAGTTCGTATCAACCCCACTACAGCTGTCCTTGCGCACGCCAATATGCATCGCTTCCTTCTCGCACTCTTAGGTGTCGTAAGCCTCGTAGCAGGTACGGCGCTTCCTCCGCTGGGATATGAGAGGCGATTGCTCCGCGATGCGTGGAACAAACGTCAACAAACAGACAATTCCTCCGGCTCATGCTTTTCGGGCGCCGCACCACCTGCGGTAGCGCCCAAAGAAAACGTCTGGGCGCCCATGGATGCGGCAGACAATCATGCCGTATGGACCTTACTACATGACCCGTCGTCTGGGCTCAACCTCACCCTTCCCATAAATGCCACGCTCTCAGATAACTATGTCTTCTGGCTAGATACGACCCCAATGAACAAGTCAGCTGTCCTGCCCTATATCGATGGCGATGGACCAGCCCCATCAAGATACGCACGTGCCATCATCTTTCGAGGCGGCCAAGAGGTCCCAGACTCGCAGGAGTACTTTATCGGTCCTCTGCCAGTGTCTGCCGAGACGACCGTTCAACCGCTTGACTACATCTACAATGGCGGAGATGGTGGTAGAGTTCCGTACAATGCCCGGTACTTTGACGCCAAACGCTCCGCTGCCACCGAGCCTCTGATTGCGGAGGCGATGTCTGGTATCGCGGACATTACCGCTGCCCTTTTCCAAGGCGGCGCCTATTATGGGCCTCGTGATAACCGGACCACTCTCAGTATTACTTCCGGCACGCCTCTTTCGTTTGACGGGACTCAAGCCTTCAGGAACATCATGTTCAGATTCCCTGGTCCAGCAACGTACATGACCCCGCTCGACTTCTTTCTGTTGATCGACTGCACAGGAACAGATGCCTCCAGGTATTTCGTGAAAGGTTTTGTCACCAATGAACGGTTCTTCCCTACCGTGGCAGATTTGAGAGCTGCTTTTGAAGCCGGCGAGCTTGCCCAGGAGTATAACCAAACGCTCGATGGATCCTGGGCCCTCGTGGACCGCAAGCCGGAGCTTGGAGTGCGTGACCTTGAGGAGCGCTTCGCACCCGGCATCATCGAGCTTGGTGGGAAGCGCTACAGGCTTGACGCAACGCAGAAGTACTTCGAATACATGGGCTGGAGTGCTTACATGAGCTTCAGTCGCACCCTTGGAATCATGTTCTTCGATATCAAGTTCAAGGGAGAGCGGATCATCTACGAACTATCTATGCAAGAAGCGTTGGCGCAATATGGTGGCAATCAGCCGAAGGCCGCCAATACAGTTTACCACGGTGGTTACAGCCCCTCTTGTACAGCCGTGTTATATGCTGACGCTCAACACATAGACACCTACTACTCGCTCGGTACTGATATGGGGACACTACTGGAAGGCTTCGACTGCCCATTCGGTAAGGTCCAGCTTCTGACCCGCGACTTAACCTTCTATCTTGGAAACCCAACTGATAATGGGCTTCGTAGGATCCACGCTATGGAACGTGACATATCATGTAGCGCTCAACAACTGGCTGCGATCGAGAGTGTGCATACTGACACAGGGATAGGAGGAGAACAGTACCATCGTAAATCAAGACGCTTTATGCATCTTCGAGACGGATTCCGGTTACCCCCTCTCACGACACCGAGCCGGAGGCGGACCCAGCGACTACGGATTCCAGTCGCTTGGAGTAGTCAAAGGTACTGCGCTAGTTGTACGTGCGGTCGCCACTGTTGGCAATTACGGTTTGTCGTTCCTACACCATCCGTGTCAACACAGAACTAACAATCACGTGTTCAGATTACATGTTTGGTAAGATATCCAAGGCGGAAACCTTGATAAGCACTGAACTCAGTGTGTTCAGATTATCTCTTCCATGTTGATGGCTCGCTTGAAGTTGTTGTCCGGGCCAGCGGCTATCTACAAAGCTCATTCTACTACCCGTGCGTGCCATCAATGTTCTTTCGACACGTTTGAGACTATGTGCTGACGTGAGCAGTGACCAAGGAAAATGGGGACCGCGCATACAACAAGCTACCCAGGGATCCCTGCATGACCACATCCTAACCTTCAAAGCCGACTTCGACATCCTCGACACAGCAAACAGTCTCCAAGTCAGCGAGCTAATAGCGGCCAACCAATCCCAACCCTGGTTCCCCGAGCTAGGCGAGTTCGAACAGATGGAGCTAAACATAAGCTACATGCAAACCGAGCAGCAATTCAACTGGGCCCCAAACAACCAAGCAATGTACTGCGTCGTCAACCGCAACAAGACCAACGCCTGGGGCGAGGAGCGCGGCTACCGCATCGTGCCCGGCCGCTCCGACGTCCACCTCTCCGTCGCCAACTCTCCGTGGTCGCTTAAAAACGCAGCGTTTGCTAAGAGCCACTTGGCTGTGACGCGGCAACACGATACCGAGCCGTTCGCGAACTCGGTCCAGAACGTCAATCTGCCGTGGAAGCCGCAGCAGGACTTCGCCAAATTCTTCGATGGCGAGTCGGTTGAGCAGGAGGATCTGGTCCTCTTCTTCAATCTGGGGATGCATCACTTTACGCGCGCTGAGGATGTGCCGGTTACGCTGTATACGGAGGCGTATTCGTCGATTGTCTTTGCGCCGCAGAACTTCTTTGACAGGGCGCAGGATGGTGATTTGCTGAATAGGAGATGGGTCGTTCCTACTGCGGAGGACACGCTGGAGTTCGAGACATACGGCGTGGAGCTGCCGAGCTGTCCGATTGAGATTAGTGAGCCTGTGTATGGGATCAGTCCTGTGGTCACCCAGGAAGATGCCATCTAGGCGCACGGGATGAGGTGAATTGGTTTCGGGGCTCAACTGCTGCAATGTTCCAGCACCACGGTAAGGCGTCTCCGAGCGTGAGAGGCTCAGTACCCATGCTCGGCAGTCCATCGAGATCAATCAATTTAGATGGTTTGATTCGAGGCCGGATACAGACGATACAACTTCAAATGAAGTACTCTGAATATATGCTATACATCCGTTTCCCCGCTTTGCGCACCGCGCTTGTCATCCGCGAATAGTGGATTTGCCTAGCATGTACGTTTCTAACAATCAGCGCGGAGCGCTCACGTTCCATCCTTCCCTTTTGGTCCCTCACAATCACGTCTCTAGACCCCCTTCATTTCTGCAACACTCTATCTATGATACACCTCCTCCGCATTCTCATTAATGAGCCTCATCCCCTCGGCCCTGTAGGTATCCGGCTCCGCATAGCTCGTCTCATTGACACTCCACACAAAGTCCTGCGGGTCCGCGTTGTCATACCTGGGCCACGGCTCCACCTCCGCAAATGCCCTCCCCCCAGCCCTAAAGCTATTCGGATCCTGGTCAACCACGAAGCTCGCCCAACTCGACGTCATCAGCCTAGCGAGCTCCGTGTACTCCTCGGTCTTGTTCGTGAACGGGTTCAGCGCATACCCGACACCCTGCAGATTATAAAACACGAACGCCACCTCCTGGAAGTGCGTCGCGCCGATGATGGCGGGGATCCCGGCTACGATCACATTGAAGCGGTAGCAGTAGGCGGGGACGCCCGCGCCGGCCCAGGTCTGGCAGGTTTGGCGGCGGGGGGCGATGAAGGTCGCGTCACCGTAGTAGGCGGCGGAGCGTCGGAATTGCGCGCCGAATGGCGGGCCGGGCCGGAAGTCCGCGGGAAGAGGTGGTGTGCCGGGGATGCCAAGCGCGGGGATGTCGGGGTAGGCCTCGAGGATTGCCTGGCCGAACCATTCGGGGAGGCGGCGGAAGAAGCGGCCGGTCGCTGGAGCTTTGTTAGTTTCGGTGATTTTTGGCGGAGGAAGAAGAATGGGCGGGGGTGAGGAAAAGTGGGTAGGGGAAAAGGAGGAAAGGAAGGGTACACTCACGGTTCACGACGTTTTGGTAGAAGATCTCGGTCGTGTTGATGCCCTGCGGGCTGAATGCGGTTCCCTCGTCCGAGTTGGCGCCGGAGATGATGGGCACGTGGACGAAGGCGCCGTCTTCGAGCTGCGTGGAGATGAGGCGCTGGAAGAAGTCGCCGTCGATGGCTGGCACGAACGTTCCTCTGAATTCTGTTTGGTTGATCACGGCATTGAGCTGGGCGTACGGAACGTCCCTGAGGCACTGGAGAGTGTCCGCTGCACCGGAGCAGCCGGCTTGATTGACGACGGAGTTGTAGAGGGGCTGGAAGTATTCCGTATCATTGACGCTACCGTAGTAGACGGGCGAGCCGCTCTGCATGATTGCACCGCGGAAGAGCTTGTCGTCGCGGCCGTTGTACGCGGTCAGCTGGTAGCCGACCGATGAAGCGCCAGCGCTCTCGCCGAAAATGGTCACTTTATCGGGGTCGCCTTTACTTGTTGTCAGTACTATAAACGATGGGTGGAAGGTGATTGCAAGATACCTCCAAAGGCTCCGATATTCTCCCTCACCCATTGCATAGCCAAGCGCTGATCTCTTAGTCCGAGATTCGTCTGTCCGCTCTCCTGAACCTCTTCGGAATTCAGAAAGCCCCAGGCACTGAGTCGGTAGTTGATCGACACGCCGATGAATGGCTTGCCGATGTCGACACCGTTCTGCACCATGAAGGTGAGGTTGTAGCGCCGGTCGACACCGCTGCCCATGAAATAGCCTCCGCCGTGGATCCAGAAGGCTACAGGCAGGTTCCTTCTCTTGATGCCAGCCGGCCGGACAACGTTGAGATACAAGCAGTCCTCCGATACTTCGTAGCCGATCTGATCACCGCCGTAGCCTACACAGGTGGGCGTGTATGCAGTGGCATTCCTTGCGCCCCTCCATCTAGTATTCAACGACTGGGGTGTCCGAAATCTCAAATCTTCGATGGGCGGTTGGGCGTAAGGTATACCGAGGAAGAAGTCCTGGTCGTACTCCGCCGAGTACACGCCCGAGTACGTGCCATTCCTCACTCTTACGTAGGGCTGTCTATTGCCTTTTCCCCCTTGGTGATGCGGTGTCCCAGCAGCCACAGCATAGGCAAAGGCCAAGACGGCAAGAAGTGAGGACCGCATTCTGAACTGAGACGCAAGAAGAAAGAAGCAGCTCAGCATTGGAGCACGCAGTTACAGGAAATGCACGGGGTACTTATGCCAGCCATGAAATCTGGCGCCGAGGCTCTCCGACGGCCTCTATGCGAAAGAAATGACATCGTGGGGACAGCCAGCGGAAAACCTGTCCCCGAGGTACCATCAGTCCTGCAGGAATAGCGACAGCTCTGCGGGGAAGTTGTCGTTGGCGTGCAGACGATGCATTGATCTGGGTTAAGTGCCTGGCATATTACCGTTCCTCCCGCAGAATGTCCGCAACATCTCCGCAACCTGGTTGGTGATCCCCAGATTTTCCTTGTCGATCTCAACTGCCGGTGTCGCTAGGATGTCATTGTGGAGACGGAACCAGGGGGAAACCCCGGACTTCAGCCGCCTTATCCTTGATGCGGCATCGGACGGTCTAGCGTCTCTCGTGGTGTCGAGGTGCAACTGCAGCGGCATTTCTTCCATGATCTAGCTTACCAAGCCCGCGCTGCCGTGGCCAGTAAAGCCTCCCGGACGGAACCACGAATCATTCTCAAACCATCAATCCTTCTGTCATGTCTGCACGAATCTCAACCCTGAGTGCGCTTACAACGTATTTGGGCTGCGGGAGGACGTTAAACACGACGAACATTCCGGGTTCCGGCAAGCCCTGGAGTCTGGAGAACCTGTTCCGTCATGGGCAGGTCGACCGGGGGCTTCTTCACGGCCGGATTTGGGCGCTTGGCAGGTTTCTGCCACGCCCTCCGACATCATGGCAGCTGCCGCTGCTGGCTGTGCGTCTTGTGAGGTGCTTAAGCAGGGCATCATAGGTGTATCACGTGGGGACGTGAGTCGTGTGGCGAACAACATCAGTGTCAGTATCGTGTACTGTAAAAGGAACGCGATAAGAGTCCAGTATCAGCCGAATCACAGATGACGGGGAGGTTGAAGATATCTCAAGGAGTGACCAAGAGCTGTGCACTTGCGAGTTCTATACCTTGCCTAGTCAGTGGCTTTCTGAGGTAGCTTGTCCCTCAGGTCCGGTGTTTCTCGACCACCTGGACCCTTCCGCGCCTAAACGTCAACTGGTTCATCACCATTGTCGATGCCAGCTGTCAGCCGAAATACCAGAGTGAATTCGGTCAGGTGAGTGGGTTAATTAAGTTGAGAGATTTTGTTGTTGAAGCCGTCCTCACTAGTATCAGAGAGCATGCCGTAGTGACATAGGGCGCTATGCGCCGGAGAGACGTGTGGGCTGTGTGGCGTGATTTGCTCTTGGACGACGTTGCGACTCGTCGGGCGTTGATCGGGAAGTCTGTTTACTGCCTAAGAGTCTGTACGGACCTGCACCAAGACTCCACCGACCGTGGATTTGACCGAGGGCTGGCCCTTCAGCACTGTGGGCGGGATAAGGGTGATATGACTTTCAAGCGTATTGGCTTTATAGAGTGCTATCCGGTTGACGACTGGCTTCAATACGCGAAAGAGATGGGGATTTCCATTGTTTAGATCCGACAGGGAAGGTGAGACTCATGTATCACTGACGATCTCTATATACCTTGTTGCAAGCCTTCGATCACCTAGATATGTTCAACTCGCCACTCACTTTTAAAATCAGTATGGTGCTTGGTTGAAGTGTATGTTTAGTACCGTTAATTCTTCCAACCCCTTTCCTTCTTATCTAGCACCATCTGGACACCGTCGACACACCGTGCGCACGACTTTACGGCCCCCTCCCAGTCGTGTTCTCATAACCAATCCAGATTATGCTCTTGAGACGATCTTTACGTGCAAGTGCGTAGATGATCTGGGAACTCAGAAGCCGTTTCTATTCCGCCTCCAGTAGTCATGATAACACGCGTCTCGCTCCATCATCTGACCGGCTGGACGTTTCCGAGCCAGAAACAGCCTGCACATTCAAACCGACGACCAGCGCACTTACAAAGAACGTGGATATCGCCGCTCGCGCATCAATCGCACGCAGTACAAGCAGCTCTATGCCTAATTACTCTCTTCCCCGTGCCACCCGCCACTAGGCTCTAGTGCATACATGTTCATCCATACACAAGAGTCTCCAAAGTCACATTGCGTAAGCTATCACCGCCGTTTTCTCCATCGCGCAGTATCAGGGCTTTTATCAGAATGCCTAGCGTCACCTGCTGAGCCCGACAAGCACGCTGCACATGATAAGAGCTGCCACCATCACCTTGCGGTGCTTTAATCGCCCTGGCGTGGTTAACCTCCATTAGCACTATCATGGCTCCCGTCCTCACTCTGCGCTGAGTGCCGACACTATGTTGGCGACTTAACACGTTACTACCCATCAGATACATACTTTTGCCGGCTCTCCAAACCTGCAAATCACTGTTATGCTATCATTTCGCACTTCGCTCTTTGTGTTCTTCCTTGTCTTGGGGGGCTTGGAATGGCACAAACACACGTAGAGGTGCTACGGGCAACGTGAGCGCTCCCGTCCCTAGATCGCCGCAATGGTTTTTGAATTATAACTCAGAGTGTTGTAGCGACTTGACACGCACCACCCACACGGCGTAATCAACCTTTTGGTGTTTTTGTCTATCAGCCGAACCTAGCTACGCCGAGAAGCGGCTCACATCACATTTGCATCTCGTCTCAACCCTATCCCAAGATCAAGCCTATCTAACAGCTCAACCGCGTCCTTGCGTTCATCCACCTTTTCGTAGATGCCAAGCCAGATCCCTGGGGGGCCGGAAGCTACCCTGTAGCCAAGCAAAGCCTATCGTAGCATCCATCACACTTCCAGAACTCAAGTAGTGCCTCACGTCTTTTCCCCCTTACGGCCTCCATGGCTGCTGTGCCTGGCCCTGAGGCTGCCCAAACTGTCCCTGTCCCGGTGCCTGTCCCTGACCCCTCGGCTGCTGCTGCTGCTGCTGCTGCACACTCGACGACGTCAAGTGATACTCATCCGGCAGAACCCCAGATGATTGTTGTGCTGCGTATCCCGGCCGCTGAGACACATACCCCTGCTGCTGCTGCGTTTGCGGCTGTGCGCTCCCATACTCCTGGTACACCCCCTGCCCTACCGCGGGTCTCTGTGCATAGTCCTGGAACCCAATCTGCGGCTGGAACGGCGACGAAGACGGCGGTTCCGGGATCGTCGGGACGCCCGGCACCGCAGGCTGCAGATGCTCAGGCCCGGCCTTCCTCTTCCCACGCGTGCTTTCTCGTCTCAGGAGGCCGCGCACTTCATCGAGGTCTTGCCGCTCCGTGCTGGTGCGCTCGCCGAGCGTGCTGTTCTCGTCTCGCGAGCCCCAGTCGTCGCGCGCGACATCGATGGCTGGTGGGCGCTGTGTTAGTTTCTCGACGGCGGAGGCTTCGCGGGCGGTGCTGAGGTAGTCCAGACCCGTGGACTTGGCCTCTGGGTCCTTGGCCTTCTTCTTTTTCTCTGCGTCGTCTTCGGCTTTCTCGGAGGGGAAGAGCCGTTTCGCTTCCTTGTCGTCTGCGAACTTCTTGCGCTGCGCTTCTGCGACTTCCTCGGCGATGGCGACTGAGTAGGTTGGTTTGCCCTCGCTGCCGAGCGCGGCGTCGCCGGCGCCAGGACCGTAGATCGGAACCTTGCGCAGTGCGAGGACGAGCGCGCACATGAATTTCGAGCGGCGTGCCGCGCGGACCGTCTCGTTGGCCCAGTTGCTCTTGTGCCTGATCTCGACGCGCAGCTCGAGCTTGTTCATCTCCGCGATGCCGATGACCTCGACGTCAATATCGGGTTGGAAGTCGCGGCAGTTCTCCTTGTCGAGGACGAAGTTCTGCATCTCGTTCCTGAGCGCCTTGATGTCCTCGAAGGTGGTGTCGAAGTTCACGGCCACGGTGATCTGCTCGCGCATTGCTTTGCTGCGGCTGACGTTCTCGATCCAGAGGCCGTTGAGGACGATGTTGGGGATTTGCACCATGCGGCCTGTGGCGACGCGCCGGAAAACGGTGAAGAGGAGGCTGATGTGCTCCACGGTCATTTGGTCATCCTTGACGTCGATGCGGTCGCCGATGTCGTACTGTTCGTATTACTGTCAGCGATGAAGCTCTGGATTGGGGTTGATTAGACACATACCGGATGCTTGACGAAGAGGAAGATACATGAACCGAGAACTTCCTGGCAAGTGACTGCGAAGACGAATGAAAGCGAGAGAAGCGCGGTGCCAGCTGTCGCAAGCGTCGTGACGAAGTTTTTGTTCAGGAATGCAACTGTATCGGGTCAGTCTCCATCCGGCGGAGATCCGGCGAAGGAGCACCTACTAAAGATAAACACTGTCACGATGAAGACCACAGTTGCCAGTAGCCCGTCGAGCACATTGATCGCTTGATCCACCTGTACAACAGTCAATCACCTGGACAATCCGTACCCCGGCGGGATCACTCACATCGTGCATGCTGGTAGCGATACTCCTCCTCTCGCGGCCAATCTCAGTGACAGTAAGCACCATCTCGTCCAAAGAGATGTCGCCGTTTCCATCGCGGTCGAGAGCTGCGAAGCACTCCTCAGCCTCAGCCTGGCGGCCAGCGCCAAGCACCTCTGCGATGTCCTCCGCATATAATGCGTTCTTGCCCTCGACCACGAAAGACATCCAGAGACGCTTGGCAAGAGCCTCACATGAGCGGTTCTTCTCGAGAGCTTCCACGACAATGGAGTGCGCGCTGTTCGGGTCAAAGACCTTCTTGCCCGTAATCTCCTGGGCAATACCGCCAAACGCGGAAGTGATCTTGTCGCCGAACCTGCCGACATCCTGGATGAGCCTCATAGGCGTAGCTGAACCGGATCGATTGTGGGCACTGCCCTTCTTGCTGCTGCCCAAGGAGATATCAAGCGCATCGTTGATTATATAATCCTCTTCAGCAAACTCACTGCAGTATGCAGGGAACAGCGACCGAGATGCATCGTAGAGCAATCCAAGCAGGAAGACATTGCGCTTGCTGTCCTTGATCTTGGCGTTGAACTGTTTGCGGTGATAGTTAATTGAGATTAGTTGTATGAGGAACTTCTGAGCAAGAAAGACGCAGGCCGAGGCCAAGGCGGCGCTCAAGAGTAGATTTATGACGCTTTGCCAGTTCCTGTCACGCTTGACCAGCTATGGTTGTTTCTGTCAGCCTGATGCACGCGAGGGAAGGAGAGAGTCCGCTCTTACTCCATTGAAGGATGCCAATGACGCAGCGGCCCAACCGACCAAAGACAGTGGAATCTGTAGTGCGTTGATGACCAGAGCATACTTGCGCGTGCCCGAGCTCACAACGCCGGCAAAAAACTCGAAGGCGGAGGGCAAAAAATGGGCAACGATCTTAGCGCACCACACACTGAGCCAGACTGCTATCGTCAGCACCCCCAGCCTACATCTACACGTGCCACGACAGACTTACCAACTTCGATCCACGTAAAGAACCTCCACATCGGCGTTTGGTCAATCTTCGCGTTCTTCGCTACCGTCGCGCCAATGATGATCGGGATAGCAATGGCGAGGGCCAGTGGCAGCACATAGATAAAGTAGCGCGTGACGATGCTGAAGTTCAATATCTTGCTGTAGATCTTGCCCATGCGGGTGATTGTGTCCTCCTCGCCGTCATAGCCGGTATGACCGGTGGGCTCGCCCTTGTGCTTCTGCCTCCTGCCTGCTATACCGCGGTGGAAGAGGCCGCCCTTCTCCATGGGCGTCTCGGCGGCGAAGGCGCCCTGCTCGCCTGCGGGGTTCATGGGGGATGTGCTGCCGACGCGGCGGGCGCCGGTTGAGGCGTGGGACATGACGGGTTGGAGCGGTATATCGATCGTGACGTCGTTGGGAGCCATGTCGGAGTTGTCTAGAGGTTTGAAGCCTTGTCTCGAGAAGCGTTTCTGGGTAGGAGTCCTGGGCGACTTGGGCGTGTGCATTTGAGAGTCGTTCGTGCCGGGGCTTGTGAAAGTGCGTTCAGTATGTGTGAGTGGGTGCTGCGTAAGTGGATATCGTGGCAGACTTTGAGGGGCGCTCAGAAGAATGCGTCAGGAGTCGAATTGCGTTTGATGGTGCTGAAAGAGGTCACGTTGAGCGCCTTGGAATGTGCTTGTAGCACGTCGAAGGCTGGCAGATTGCGTGTTAACGACAGTAAAACGAAGAGGCAGTCAATTGAACGAGGGCCTGCCGTCTGTTCGAGTGTGTACGGCGAAGGTAAGGTACAAAGAAATCAAAGATAGTGGAGTATTGGGGAGATGGGCGTCGAAAAGTCTTCGGTTTTTGTGTCGTCTCCGTGTCCATGCAGGTACGAAGGCTATGGGCGCCCCATCGCTCCAGGGATGTTCCCGTGAAACATGTGAAACCCCCCGTTCAAAGCTTTCCACGGGCCAATCTCAGCCTCGAAACCCCCGCAACTCGCATTTTTGACGCGTTTTGACGCCGCCACCACTTCGGCTGCCCCTTCCGAAGAGAGAAACACGAGACGATGGTTTCCCAACACCACAAAATCATCAGAATTTCACACTGTCACAGAATTGCATGGACACTTTGTGGCTACGCGTTTAGGCAGTCGTAAAGCTGTGATAGCTTTGATTATCTGAAGTCTTGAGCTATTATCGTACAGCATGTAGAACGCATTATGCCCGTCGTGGTGCAGTGAGTGGCTGAGAAGCAGAAAGGAAAAGCCGCCATTGCCCGCAGGTCAGAATCGTACAGCAAATGTGCAGAGCGCTTCTGAATGTGACAATCCCGAAGACTCGAAGCTGTGCGCGCGTGAAAGCCGTCAGTCCATCAACATCCAGCCATCTCAGATCAGCATAACTCTGCGACAGGTACGGCTGATGGCTGGTGATTAGTGAGTGACATGCGAAGAATCGCCTACAGCTGCATGGCAAAGGCGATGACAAGCAACGCGAAGGCGAATGGACTGTTGGAATGGCGAGAAGCGGTGTTGACGTTACTGACAACCGCACCCGAGTAATTGAAGCCGACGCCAGGGCTGATGGCTGTCCCGGAGCAGGGCGTGTGCGTGGCTCTACCGATGTCGAAGCACAGCGACACGGACGCAGAAGTAGTGTGCGGGACGGTGCCGGAAGTCGTCGACGAAAGGTTGGACCAGGAAGTGCTGCTCTGGTGTGATGTGATGCTCGACGGCAATGAGGTTGACGAAGTCGCCGTTGGGTTGAAAATCACCGACCCGTTAGATGAGATACTGAGCGTCTGTGTGATCGTCCTTACGGATGTTGTGGTGCTGTTGGTGGTCCCCACGGCTGTGGTTGTAGCGTTGATGCTCGAGGAAATCGCCGTTGGTGCTACTACGACGCTGGAAGCCATCTCAAACGTCTGGGTGATCGTCGTATCTCCCACCGTCTGAGTGACTGTCCTTCGGATTGTAGTCGTTACATCTGTGAGACTTGACGTAGAGGTCGTTGCATCCGTAAGACTTGACGTGGAGGTTGTGGTAGAGTGAGATGACAGCGTCACGTACACAATTGAGGAGACCGTGATGGTGGTGCAGGGCTCATCAACAGTGGCAGTGACTGTGGTGTCGTGTTGAGCCTTCGGGTCGTCGGGAATTGCACTGGCCGCAGTGTCTTCGTTGTTACGAGGAAGGCGGGTCACCGTTACCGTCACTTCTTGAATTGTGATCTTCAAGGCTTCCGTATCAGGTGGGAACGTGGGGATCGCTGTTACAAAGAAGCTAACGTCACTGCCCAAGGGCGTGGGGGTCCAGGTGGCAGTGGTCGTGAGGGCTGGGCCTTCGTTGGGATGGTCCCCCGTTACCCTCGCCAACTCAAAGCAGCCGCTGCCCCAGTTTTCGGCGCTGAGTGCCAGAGGAGCGTTCGAAGGGCAGCACAAAGATGAAGCCCACACGCGTACCCAGGGGCTGCAGTCGGTGGCCGAAGCAGGGAGCCAGCTCACGGTTGGCTCAATGCAGGTGGCACTTAGCACAAATTAGTGAGGAAGCGCGGAATAAGGCGAATAATATGACCCACCCGTTCGGGCAGCAACCCTTGCCATCAGCCCAGCAGGTGGAGCCCTGGTGAACGCGTCAGAAACGATGTCGATCTCTAAAACGAGAACATGTCTTCCCTTACCGGAGGGCAGCATCCGTTACCGCAGCAGCTCTCGAATCTACCACAGAAAGACTTTCCACGTTGGTGCGTAACATCCATCGCGTTCTCGAAAGGACGAAAGAAGATTGGACGACCTGGAATCGGCGTGGTGTACGGGACGGCCAGGTCGGCGACGACACCGAGACCTCCATGGAGAGACGGCAAGCCGGAAAGAACCAGAAGGCCTATGGCCACGATGACGGAAGTGACAGAATTGCGCATCTTGTCGAGTAAGAGAATGCTGTCTGAAGTCACAAGTGTGTAAAATGGCGATGCTACGCGTAACTATTACTGCAAAGTGCGATATCCGGCTGTTCTGTTCAAACGAGTGACTACAAGGGAACAACAATGGATGCTATTCCAGTGAATGTATCGATGCACAAGGGTAAGATGGAGGAAAAGACTGTCAAAGTGGGAGTCGAAGAAGGTGTTGTTGTGAGAAAGTGGGAGATTGGCCTGAGGTGTTTATCTACCGACGTGCGTTTGTCGTCGTCACGCGACCCGACATCTCTCTTCACCGCATGCAGGTGACGTTATGCCTCATTCTACTTCGTGAATCCACCAGTCCGGTTCGACCATACGATACAAACGGAAGTGAAAGTTCAGAGTCCGCGTTGTTGATTACTAGCCTGGTACCCAAACTGCCAAACTGCTTCCCCGAGCGGACACATCCCCAACCCATTAAAGTTGACAGACGTGAAGTTTTGTGCACCTACTCAGTCAGCTCGTGCTCATCGATGAAGTAGAACGGCCCTTACAATCTTAGCGCAAGCTTGTATGTATCAGAGCTTGCTAGAAGGAGGCGTGTGACCATGAAGGTTGACGTGTACTCATCCTCATATTGATGCCACTCAGCTACTCTTTGTACATGTCCTCAAGGTACACGATCATCCTCCGCTGCAAATCAAGCAACTCGGTCTCAGTAACCTTCGGTCCTGCTGCGAACCCCGGTCGCTGAGGAGCGATGCTCATATCGTCATCTAACTCCTTGATGAGCTCTAGTGGTACGCCGAAGAAAGGGATTCCAAGACGCTTTAACTCGATAGCCTGTGCGTTGTTCATCTCCTTCATAGCCCGGTACACCTTTACATCGTACGCTTGAAGCTCCGCTTCGTTCTCATGGGCTGTCGGCGCTTTCGCTTGGGTAACAGGGATCGCTCCCACTGATTTCCTGTGCAAGGTGTTAGCTGTGGCAGCAGACACCAAGGGCGAGACCGCATACAAGATACTGTCTAGCTGCTGGTTCCCCTGCACTCTAGAAGCTTGCCTCTTTTGCAGCTCGACTCGGCCCCTGTACCTTTATAGAGTTAGCAAAGGAGCTGATAGGAGGTTGGATTTCATTGCCACACATACCACTCCTGCTCATGTTTTAGTTGCTCGGCCATCATCTGCAGCATACGATCAGCTCCCCGAAAGCTCAGCCACTGTTCGTACGCTTACATGTTGTATAACGCGCTTGAAGCTCGGGTTCTGCGCTGAGATCTTGTTGACACAGCGCAAGCCCTGTCGCCATTCGGTGATGCTGGCCGGGTCTATGAGTGGAGTGGGTGGTCCTACTGTAGCAGCGGTGGGGAGTGGTATACTGCTTTTGTGCTGTGGCTGTGGCCGCAGCCGGGGATCTTTTGGCAGTAATGTTTCTTGTGTTACGTTCTCTAGCGATGGACCGCCCTTGGAAAGTTCGTGGCCATGGAGAGATATGGCCAATCCAGGCAGTAAATAAGGCTGGTCGGGTTGGTACTGCTCAGAGAGGTCTCCAGTGGGTGCGTCTGGGTATGAATGAGCCTGCGCTGCTGCGGGAGGTGCGAAAGATGCGAGCGTCCTGAGCACTGCTGCGAGATCCGGGACTTGATTTTGCTCCATCTTGACTTTGACAGTATACGAGATTCTGACGAGGTCACTCTATCTAATGGGAAGGAGGCTGGAATTTTGCTAAATCATCGTAGGTTTCATGGAGCTACCGTCGCCGCACTCAGCTGTCAGAAGATGCCTCGAGCAGCGAGCCCAATCTCTGCAGACCTAGGTACGAGTTTCATCCTTGATAGGAAGTGAAGTTGATCGTCGTCGTCGATGCTTCCCCTGTCCTCCTCAGAGACGCCCTCCGAAAATCCACCGACACCGCCAAGCCCGCCGTAAATGTCGAGCATCAGCATCATGCTCGACCGCAGACAATTTCCAGCCAACCCAGAAATTCTCAGCCAAGCTCCCACACTCTCCCACCTCCCTTTCTCACAATGCCGCGCTCCGCAGCAGACGCAACCCGCTTCACAGCCACAGGCCCCTACGCCTACGGCAAGCCCACCTCGCGCGCCTCGACCATCGCCCTAAACTCCGCACCCGCACCGCTAAACGAGACGCCGCAGCAAAAGGTCCTCAGACTACGCGATGCAGCGCGGAAAGCACGGGGAGGTCAGACGAGCACGTTTGATCGGGTCGTGACGGTAGGCAGGTCGGTGGCGGACAGGGTGCACAGGTTTACGGCGATGACGCTTATTGGGTTTACCGGTGGGTTCTTCCGATCTCGGGACAAGGAGGCATGACGAACCTCAGGACGGAGAAGGTGGAGCGTTTGGGAATGGCAATGGGTTGGCTAACGGGCAACGGCACACAGGCGTAGCAAGCGTCGTGGCACTATTCTCCCTCGGCGACATGATCATCTACAACCGGCGCAAACGAAAGGAGTGGTTCAACGACATGAGAGAAAAGGAGGCGCGGGAACTGGCTGCTGCACAAGAGGCCGCGGCGCTGGGCGCAGCAGATGAGGATCAGATCTTGCTGATCAATCGGGTACGCGCGGCGCAAGAGGCGGATGCGGCAAAAAAGAGCAGACCTGGCTTGTTTAAGAGGATCACGGGTGTCTTTTACGGGGGACTGAGTCAGGAGGAGCAGCAGGGTGGGAAGCTAAATACGTCGATAGTGGAGCAGGCGCGGGATGCGGTTAGTAACGCCGGTGAAGAGGTCAAAGAGGAGGGACTTGGGATAATGAGGGCTGTGGAAGATAAGAGAAGGGAGGGAGAGAAAGCAATAGAGGCGCATGCACCGCAGGTCCGCGTCAATGGCGGGCCGCTGGATCAGCTCGGAGCGGAGGCCTCAGTCAAGTCGGAGGAAGCCAAGAAGAGCTGGACAAGTTGGATGACTCGACGGTGAGGCTGATTGTTTCTGCTCGTAAATCGACATTCCTGGAACCGCTCAGACGCCGGCCATCGCCGTCGTATGCATACTCCACTCTCCTGTCGAGTGCGGAAAGCGGGACAACTCCAGGCCTCGCGTATTGGCGTATTCATATCAGGCCCAACAGTGGCGATCTCAGACTTCTTTGTATCATTTATCCCATCTCTCAGATTGTACAGTCCTGTAGCATAGGGGAGCATTGGGAGGCGTTTGGAGCTGCATCAGGCAAATCTGTAATGAAGTATAGTATTTCAGGGTATCAAAAGAAGCATGCCACCATTGCAAAGTGACCCTTTTAAGTGCTACTGATCCCCACTCGCAACGGGGATATAGCTCCGCCTCTCTCTGAGTTTCTGCAGGAATGAATTAATACCAACTCCCCTGAACTGGCCCAAGATTCGAGCTCACCTCAGCCCACTGCTCCACCCACGGCCTCACCGCAGCATACACTAGGAGTCCCACCGTTGCGAATATGAAGATAAACACCACAGCCTCGTCCTTCGCCGAGTCACGCTCTGCGGTCTTCCGTCAGCATTGCCGTGTTCAGTTCCTGCTTCCCCAGGACACATACGAAAGCATGTCGTAAAGACCTCCTCCTCCTTCGCGTTCTTGCACTTGGGCAGATTATAGTCTAGGCAGAACTGCCGGTTGCAGTCGCTGCATGTCCTGCCGCCTGGTTTGCGTTCGAGTAGGGCATGGGGTGGGGCGGCCGTGGTGGGAGGAGCGCCGTCAAGGGCAATGATGGTGCTGTTGCCGGCGCAGGTGCATTTGCAGAAAGTCGTCGGTGCTAAGGGTAGATGTTAGCAGTGGAGTGGGTTGCGGAGAGGGAGAGCGTACAGGCGGCGAGGGCGGTGGTGATTATGTTTAGTAGGAAGAGAAGAAGGAGAAGCAATCGGGTCCTTCTCTCCATCTTGGATCACCGCATCTTCTGGCGGAGATGCAGGTCAACTTGACGGTTCGTGGCCGCAGCGCATTGACCGTTGCTTGGCTGTGGGGACAAGGCGGGCGCTAGAGAATTGGGTACAGCCTCATCTTGAACCTCTGATCTTTGCGCCATCCACGCTCACTCGTGTAAAATACCAGTCTAGCGCCTGGCACTTGTGAGGTAAACTATAGACTCTGCTGGCCTCAGGATGCTATCAAATCTCGACTGAGCCTGCGCGAAAATTTCCTCTATCCGCATAGAAAGTCCGGTCATGCCCGGCGCACAAGCGCTTACAGCGTTACGAGCACCTACTCAGCCGCCCATCACCGGCAGTAGACCCGCCCAAGACGCCTCGGAACGGGTCCGCCTACATATTGCACCTCTAAACCCGGCTCTCCTCAAGGCGATTGTTCCTCCGTCGCTCCTTCCATCAGCAACAGACATCTCCTACCACACCATCCAGACATTTCCTGAAAAAAGCTACGGCTACGTCGAACTTCCCACCATGGAAGCGCAGAAGCTGAAGAAGAAGCTTAACGGCTCTATCCTCAAAGGCTCGAAGATCAGGATCGAGGATGCTCGCCCGGAGAAGCGGAAAGCTGGGGATCCAGCCGATGTGAACGGTGTGGCTGAAGAGCAGACCGAGAAGCCGGCCAAGCGTCGGAAGAAGCAGAAGAAGGAGGAGGGAGTCATTCCGGGGTTTGAGCTGCCGGAGGGGAGGAAAGTCAAGCGTGGCTGGACCGAACCAGCGGAGAAGGCTAAGGGGAAAAGGAGCAAGGACAAGGATAAGGCTAAGAAGCAGAAGACGGAGGTGTCGAAGTACTCAAAGGAGCCGGAGATGTTGTTCAAGACGGTAGTGCCGCCGAATAAGGCTGAGGTGAAGCCACAAAAGAAGGAGAAGGACAAGGAGAGGGAGAAGAAGTCGAGGCCGGGAAAGAAGCCTGTGACGGTCCATGAACTGTCTAAGACCATGAAGTATGCGACATTCCTCAAGGACAGCCAGGTTTCAATGGATGCGAAGGTGGTCTCGGAGTACGTTGAGGGCAAGGGCTGGACGGATGCTCAAGGGAATTTGATTGAGCCTGAAAGTGAGCGACACTCGAAGAGAAAGCGGCGCACAGCCACACATAGTGAGGCAGAGGCGCCGGCCGCAAACTCGAAGTCTTCAAAAAGCTCAACAAAGCCAGCGGCAGCTGAGACGGAGAGAAGTGAGCCTGAAGAGAGTGCAGCAGCGGAAGGCGATGCAGACGAGGGGGTGTCTGTCAATGAGCCTATCGAAGGATCTTCCAAAGCGAAGACTAAGCATATCCAGAGGGCTGCGGAGGTTGACATTCCCCGAGAACCAGCAGGCCATGACGACGATAATGATTCGGACGTCAGCTCCGTGGTCTCCTCAAGTTCGTCAGATGTCAGCAGCAGCAGTTCTGAGTCGGATTTATCACCCTCCTTCGCGTCTGATAACAAGGAGACAGACGAGGCAGCCGAGACTCCTGTCCCTGCCACCCCGACCACAAAGCCTAATGATGGTTCACCGCCAAAAGAGGTCCACCCACTGGAAGCCCTCTTCAAGCGTCCCAAAACACCCGGCAGTGGGGGCGCACCGAAGCCTGCACCAATCAACACCTCCTTCAGCTTCTTTGACGCGGATGCTGCGGACGAGGATGAGGATTCAGCCGCTGTAAACCAACCTATGACGCCCTTTACACGCCAGGATCTCGATTACCGGGGGCTCAGAAGTGCAGCACCAACGCCCGATACAGCCGGTATCGGGCTCAGATTCAAGGTACCTTGGAAAGACGATGATGAGGACGAAGGCGAGGATCATGATAATGAGGAAGGCATGGCAGATATAGAAGTTGATGCCAACAGTACGCCTCTTGGCAACAAGAGGGCCGCGCTGAATACAGCGGATGAAGAGGAGAAGCCTGAAAGCGATTTTGCCAAGTGGTTCTGGGAGCACAGGGGCGAGACGAACAGGGCGTGGAAAAGGCGTAGAAGGGAAGTGCTGAAGGCGAAACGGCAGAGGGAGAACAGGAAGCTGGGAAGAAGAATTGTGTGAAGTGGCAAGTAAGGAGCGCATTTACAACGCGACATCGTGGTAGTCGCATCGCTATCCAGTTTTGATGTTGTGTGTTTGGTCTTACGCAGTTTCCTGTCAGGACGACTAGACCAATCTGTGCAGGGGTGACCTTCCTGAGCAAGTATCCAAAGTGAAACTTCTACCACTCTGCCTTCCAATACTAGCTGCGTTCCTAACTTCTGCGGGAGCGTGTCGGTCGTCATCCCCAATTTTCAGGTATGTTTCCTCACAGTCCTGCTCAGCGATTACGTTTCCCACGGTCCACGCCCTGTGCTGAGCTACCCCACTGGTCCGCATCCTGAGCGTGGTTGCTTCTCAAGGCAACTGATTGATGGCAGGTGCCCGTGAGGCCTTTTGTTGGACCTGACCAACAGTTACGCTCCTTCCGTGGTTATGAGGAAGGAGCTGAGCTCTGGCAGTCCTCTGCAGATAAAATCTCCTCGCCCCCCCCCGTTCTCGTCCTCTTCCATTCCTCATCACTCTTATCAACTTCTCAAATTCTACGTTCCTGTGATGGCGTTCGTTACACCCTTCTCTCTCTCTTATCTCATCTATAATTCCATCACGACCTTTGTCTCTTTTTACTTTTGCCTGTCTCACGGCCTGGTCGCTGTCTCGTCATCACTCTGAGCTCCCCTTCGAAGCGGCACAACATACCTGTCTCGGGTTCTCCGGAAGATACTGTCCCAAGACGCCCTCGGGTCTTACTTCGAATTCATCACACGTACGGATGTGGACCTGAGTCACGATCACTCCAACTTGGTCAGACAGTACTCCAATCACGCCGCGGAATATTGAGAGACACCCAGAAGGTATGGTTCCGCTTCCAACACCAGTCGTCACACTCCAGGGCATCATCCAACTCTCGCTGAGCAGTAGCTTACATGTTCGAGACAGACACGACCCTCGCCTTGAAGATGGACAGCTCCAAGATACACGGTCAAACTCAAGTGATCTTCCGGTCTCTCGAGGTAAGCTCTGATTGCCTCCAGCTTTTGAGATCCAATCACTAACAACGCCAGAAGTTCGTCTCAATCACCAACCTGGAGCGTCACCTACAGCCAACGCCGCATCGATCTTCGCAACAGTTGTTCACATTGCCCTGCTGCGCTCACTGGTCATAACATCCTCCTTCAGCATAGTACCAAGCATCTACGGTGGATCGTAGCTGGACCTCCGGGTAAGCCCTCATCCTCTTTGCATGTACGAGCTGTTCCTGACATGATCCAGGTATGACCATCATTGATCTGGCATAGTCCTCCGGTTCGGAAGCAAACGACTCTCAAACAGCCAGGCTCGCAGTGATCGCCTGACCTACCGTTGTTTGCCATCGATCTTGCATACTATTGAACAAATCAGACACCGACCTACACTCTATTCTGTCTACCGAGAGCACTCGATGCACAGGGTAAGGATCACGCTTAACATAGTGCACATGGCCAACAGCTGACACCGACTCCTCCTAGAACCAAGCTGCCTACCGCCTGCATAGACATAGAAGTCTAACCGAAGGATAGCACACTTTCTACTACACTTAGGTACGAGCTGCTTTGGTAAGCCTTCAATTTCTGATTACTCGAAATCTGCAACTGACAGTGCTACAGAGCCGCGCGTCTATCTTCGTTTCCTATCTGCTTGCGACACGCTCACCAATCCCAACCTCATGGCTATCTCTTGCGACAGTGCCAGCTTTCTCTCCCTCGGATTCCTTCCTCCCGACTTTCCTCTTTGACATGGATGAATCTGCACAACTACCCTGGAGTTTATCAGCGCGGGACCAGCATGGTGACGGATCTCCTCCTGACAACGGAGATCCAGCAGTGATTGGCGTCCTGACCGAAGACGGCATAACATCAACGATAGCAGATTGCCAACCCCGCTGGATTACCATGGCCGGACGCCGCGGTTACTTGCGTTTGACTGGCAACCCATCGGAATATGCCGGTATCGCGCTGCAGGACGTCCTCAGATCTTCCGTCACGAATTATGGCGATCATGGTTTTAAGCCGATGGACCAGCTGGATCTCTTTTTCAACCCGCTGGACTACTCCCGCCCGGCTGTGCGGTTGCGAAGATGGGCGACCCTTTGGCCAGCATGTTCACCATTACTATCGTACGCAATCCTGGCGGAGAGGCAATCCCTAGACACTGCTCCTTGCTCCAGCTCCCAGTCATTTTGCTCGGAATCTTCGATCCCGACCCATTACACATCCCCGACGATATACACACCAGAGCCGAGGTCTCGTATACAGAATCGACCTCCCCGAAAGATTGCGCGATCAGCTGGACAAGCGCGCAGGCGTGTATTAGCTACGACTCCAAGGCGTTGGCCGGCCGCAACTACCCATGCATGGTGGGCGACTTCAGCTGGACCGAGAAAGGTTACGATGAGAGCAACGCCGACTTAGCCTCCACAGATACCTTACGCACAGTATGGCCCCTACTTCTGTGGCCACATGCAATACCCTCTCGCCGAGGCGGTGTCCGCGATGGATGAGGTCATCCGTAGCGCACTACCGGGACCATGGCTTTAGCGGTATGGACAAGACGGCTGCTATGATGGACCCACTTGGCTACTTTCGCAATGGAACCGAGGCCGAGAGGATAGGCGGTACTATGGCAGGCATGTTTACCCTCCCGATCGCGGTCAACCGTGGTGGTGAGGCTATCTCAAGCATCGGTTACGATTCCAAGGTGCTGAGGAACCGCAACTACCCGTGCAGTGGAAGCCAAGCTTGCCGCACTCAGGATGGGAACCACCTCGTCCCTCGCGGTATTACCACGGCTGCGGATGGCAGCTCGGCTTCTCAAGAAGAGAGAATTGCGAAGCTAGAAGCCGAACTCGCCGCTTTGAAGAAAGGTGAATCGCTCGATACCGACAACGAGACCATCTGGGTAACTGGCAACGACTATCAGTGCGGCTTAGAACCCTAGGAGGCGTGGGAGGAACATGATGTGGCAGCATGGCTAGAGGAGCAGCTCAAAAACATCTCGGCTGGGACGGAAAAGACTACGACCAGAGCAAAGACAACCTATTGTCAACAGTTACTCAACAGCTAATCGGTACGAGTCAGCTGCTCCACAAGGATGGTGCTTCCATACTTTCCATCAACGAGTGATAGTCTTTCTCGCCCTCCTTGTCGTTGTGGTACAGCCTCTTCCGGTCGACGATCGCGCGAGCCTCGATGTCTTCTTCTCGTCCCGGTTCCTGCCTTGCGATGCCGATCTCGTCCAACCACCTGTCGTCAATATTACTAGCACGCTGTCTAATACCCGGACAATGGCGGCATCAGAAAGATGACGAAAGAGAAAACATGATCGAGGTCGTCCTGGCCACGACCTTCTGGAAAGATGAGGACTTTGTGGACTACTGCGACCACGGATGCCGGCGACCAAGAGTGCAACACTGGCTAGGGGCTTTCTCGTTCTCTTTTTCTTTTCAGATTCCCTCTCGCGCATTACCGCGACTCTGGATGTAAGCGGATGGACCAGCTAAATATCCTCATTAACACTCATGTACGACCCGACCGATCCGCTAAACAGCCTACCTCAAATCACCAACAAGGGCGCTTACATCTAAATTCTGTCCCCGCCGCCCTTGCGCGTAATCTTGGTCACAAATCCGGCCCACGACGATATTGTCACGCTCGCCAGCCCACCCTAAAGGCATGATGCTTCTGCCTACTCTGCGCTGTTGTCAAACGTTGGTGTCCTTGTTACACTTCCTTCTTATCATCACCCCGTTTATCGTCCAATCTATTCCTGTTGACCTCCCTACTGCTCTGGATCTATTCTCGGTCTCTTATGTAGATCCTAATAACGGTAATCCGGTTGCGTTTGACCTTTGGGTCCAACTTACTCGAAGCGAAAGGATAGCCACGCTGGAAGCTGAGATCGCCACCCTAAAGAACCCAAGGAATACGACTGGAACCGTGGTTAGTCCTTATGGTTCCGTGGCTAGGCGATTCGCCTCAACGGAAACGTCCTAGCCAGGCAGGACGAATCTCGATTCTCCATCGATTTCATATGGATATGCTCCGCATCCGCCTCCAAGTGTTGCATCACCATCAATATCAACATCACCATCATCACCGTCATCATGCTTCTCACTCCGACCAGCTTCCACACCTCTAACTATAGTCCGATGAGGCCGCACCTCTACACCTGCTGGAGGACCCAGTCACCATCACCACCACAACAAAGCTCGCCACCAGCAGCTTTTGTTACGAAGCCGCGAAAGCCCTAGATCAAGAAGGAAGACATCATGGCTGGCGCGATGCTCTACTTATCCAGCATCAAAGCACAAAGATGTCTAGCGTTATGGAGCCGCCTGGTCGCGGAGAACAACATACAAGCAGTCGACCATCCGGTGTTCGTGGTAGAGAAGAACGGCACCAAAGCCGACATCATGATCGCCACGTCCTATACTGGACTTGGGCTCGCGGCATCAATGACTCCTCGCACGAGGCTGGTGGCGTTTACCGTGCGATGCTGCCTTCCTCCCCTGAAAGTCGGCCATGGCGTTCACCATCAATGAAGAGATACAGAAAGCGTACAGTGCTCTCGAGACGATGGTCAACTTCAACCAGTTCAACATGCTATTTGATACGAGCACTTCGAGGGCCTTGAAACCCAAGAACTTGAGCCCTTGCACTTTGACCATTTGCATAAATGGACACACCTCATGGTCCTTTCACCATTATTGTCTGCTCCATAGGAGGCGCCGCTCAGTACGATCCTCCCTCTCAATCTCACCCTGTCCAGGTCGGTGATTGTCTCACAGGGGCTGGGATCAAACTGGATCCAACGGAGCAAACTTGTCGTTCCCTACAGAATTCGGTATCTGTCACGGTAAGACGGAAGCAGATCCAAACCAAGATCATGAGGACTGGCTTGTTGGCTTGGTATTCTGCTTCCTCACAGACGCCTCACAAACAAGTTGAGTTCACCACTGTCGTCGACGCGCCCGGACCACACTAAGTGCATCTCCGTCCAACTCACGAAGTCAAAGGTCCAGACGCGGAAGATTTAGAACTGGCCGCTGGGACGGAAAGACTATGACCAGAGCAGAGACGAGACAATCGAGTTTGTTTTGGCCACGGATCTCTAGGAAGATGAAGATCTCATGGAATACTGCGATCGTCGTGAGGACACAAACTGCGATACACACAAAGTATGGAATGGTAAGAGGATCAATGACTACAACTTCAAGAGGGTAGAAGACGCCTTCCACTCGAACCAGAAGGATAAGGGCCAGAACGAGTGTGACGGATGCTCAGACGATTCGCAGACAATGTCACCACGGTCTGCTCGGACTGCTCCTGCCCTCCGGCCCTCTTTAAATGGAATGGAGTTTGGCGCTCCATTCTCGCCAGCCTCCTCGTGGCCCTCATGGTCAGTGTCCTCTCCGACACCTTCAGGGCTTGGCTCAACTACGAGACCAACGTGTGGCTCGACAAGTGGGGCGCACCGAGCCCCTGGCCCGACGTTCTTTCAGCGGCCCCCTCCTCCCGCCTCCCCGTTTCCGTCCGCCCTGTTATTGGTGGCACATCTGCTTCTGAACGACTGCGGAATACGATCCATGCGGCTGACGCGCTCGAGGAGCTTGAAGACGAGCTTGAGACAGACCAAGCAGGGACGGGACCGCAATTTCAAGATTCGAGCGGCTGATATCATGACGGATGAACTCAAGGATGGCGCCAGCGAGAAAGTCAACGCCATCGTCGTCTCTTTCTCCGAAATCTCCGACGAGCAGAGCGTCCAGTACGAATTGACGAAGACCGCCACAGTATGAATGTCAAAGGCTCCGAAGGCAGTTAGATGTATGCCGACTCAACACGTAGTTCTGTCCACCTCGAAACTAGCACGGGTCCGAACGGACTCCAGAACGAGATTGTTGAACCTGTGCGCTGGTGGCCGGCCAGAAGAACTGTATCTGGACGCGTGGAGGCTGATGGAGTTGAAGGCGAACTTCGACAATCTCGCTTAAAGGCTGGACCACACCGTGACGGAGGGCACGCTCAGAAATCATCCTGTGAACTAGACGGAAAAGCCTGTCATATAGAACTATAAGCTTGTGTCCGAGCTGGCGGTTGGCACGACCCTTGGACGATTGCAAATTCCTCGCAGTGATTCGGAATCGCGTTCCTAGGGAAGAGAAGGCGGGAATTTCTGAGGCAATGTAGACTTCATTCTTAGGTTGTCGGCGTTGAGTTGACATGTGGTTTACGTCTTGTATCGGTATTCATTACACAGATTTCAAGTACATGTCTGGATGAAGGCTGACGAAGGCAAGAAAAGAAGAGGTCGGTGAGGAGAGGATTGTTCAAGGAGGGTAAAGACCTCGCTGTTTGTACCTAATGCTGCTAGCAACCTATGTAGACACTCTGCCAGCAATTCATCAATACTTCGGATTGCCTTGCAATCACGTGCTTGTTATGGTGTTGGGTGCGAAGGAGAAGGGGCCGCGCGCCAAGGAGCATGACGTCGCCCAACGTGGGGCATCTCAAGCCGCTCAAAACAGCAGGAGGGGCATCTGTCTCATCAAACCCTCACCCAGAAAATCACCGCGTAACGTTACAGCATCAAGCAGAACATCTTCGCATCACCAATTCGTTCGCAGGTATGTCGATCTTCCGGGCTTCCATCCACTCAAAGGCAATAAATCAAATGCCTTACTAACGTATACCCATTCATCAGTTCCCAAAGCAACAGCACCACCGTAAGATTTCCCAACAACCGTCTCACCACTCCGTCCACACATCCACCACGTCCCGTATTTCTGCACACTCGCTCACACATGCTAAACAGAAACCCAAACCCACAATGTCCGCCCCCAACGCCGGCCGCCAGTCTCCCGACCCAGAGGGCCAGGGCAAGCAGCAGACCGATCCGCAAGCCAACCCAAACGAGCAGGGCGCCGCTCCCTCCAAGGACCATGCTCAGGAGGCCTCCGACGAGGCAAAGAACTCTCTGCCCAGCAACCCGGAGCACCCGCTAGAGAAGGCGGCGGAGGAGAAGACGAGCAAGACTACGGACCCGACCAAGTGAGGAGAGCGGTTGATGAGTATGAAGTGGTGAGCAAGGTTCTTTGCTGTAGCGGCTTGGATGAAAGTTGATGGGGATAGGATGCTCGGGGGTACATATGCAGCGGATTAGTGATGGAGCGATAAGCCTGGACATACATGCAGCATTATGATAGATGAAATGAGGGTTCTTCTATGAGCAACGATATCTAAACGTTTCGATTATGAGTTTCTTTGTATGACTTCACAGCGTCGGTATGAACAACAGCCGTTCAAAGTTTGGTTGATATCTCCCAGCGATACTTGATGGGTTTGTCTGCAAGGCTCAAGCTTGAACCTACAACCTCGTTCCGCATATCTAGAAGGGTTGACTTCGTTTGCTGAGCTTAGCCATGCGTGTATTCCGTACAATAGCAAGACATGGATGAATCCGTGCCTTCAACGAGCTCCTGCGAGCTTTGAATCAAAACCTTAGCGGCCAAACTCCGGGAGTCGAGATGGACGCACGGACCGACTTCGCGACTTCTCGACTTCACTTGCGCGCGAAGCCTTTGAAACTGCCATTGCCAAATCTGACGCCCATCTTCCTCGACACAACGCTCTTCGACTCAGCTAGCAATCATGGCAGCTCCGCGACCGATGTATCATCAAGACTACATAGCGCGCATTCGCTATTCCAACGCTCTGCCTCCTCCGCCAATCCCTCCGAAGCTCCTCGACATTCCTAACACCGGTCTCTCAAGTGGACAGTACACATCCGCGGGATTCGCGTCGCGCTTAGCTCGCGAGCAACCGCTGAACATAGAAGCCGATGCGGAGCTCGGCATGCCCATAGACCTTGTGGGCATGCCAGGAGTCTTCGAGGGAGATGAAAGCGGTAGGTTCACCTCCTCTCCTGTCCCGGAAAATGCCAGGCGAGCTCAGAGCTGACCCTATCTAGTCATCCACGGCGCGATCGACCCGCCCCCAGCCCACCCCAACGACCGCCCTCTCCTACGCCCCCTCTCCATGCTCGGCAAATCCTCCGCGCTCAACACGGGCGTCAGTTTCCTGCGTCGAACCGAATACATCACCTCCGCCGCCGTAAGCGGCAGCCCCAACACGAAAGGTCTCCTATCGCAACGCCCCAAGCCCGCCAAGCGACCGCGAACCGAAGGCCCAGCCGACAGCGCCGACCCGATGCAGATGCTCAGGGGTATCATGAAGGGCTTCGACCTGGCCTACCCCCGCGACGCCTGGCAAGCACCCGACTCCACAGACGGGCTCCGTGGCGCGGAAATCAGCCCCGAGGAGCGCGCGGCGTGGAACCATCCCCGGCATCCCAGCAAGTCCGACGTCCAGCTCCTCGATGCCTATCCTGTCCTGCCTGACCCGGACGCGCTGCCGCTGTCCGGCGGGTACATGGTATGCAAGTTCATCTCGAACCCTGGGATGAACAACGACGCGTATGACGGCCGGTTGGACGTTGCCGTGTTACGGGCTGCGGATCCGGGCGAGATGGCCATTCCCAGTGACCCTACGGCCGCGGCGGCGCAGCAGGCGTTCTACAACTACCACTTCTTCCTCCCGGACCAGACGACGCCGGTGCGCAACATCAAGCGCAAGTTCAGCGTCGTGGACCCCGAGAACGAGGACGACGCGCTGTACGGCGGCCGCGAGGATGCGGATGAGGAGGCAGCGCAGGGTAGCTTCAAGTACAGATACGTCCGCACGTACGAGACATATCAACAGACGATACACGAGGACGACGAGCACGGGGACACCGTCGTAATGGCCCTGCATGATCCGGAGCTGGACGTGGGAGTTGTACCAGGCACGACGCAGCGGCTGCAGAAGGCGGCGTACTACTACCCCGTTGTGCAGAAGACGTTTGTGCGGCCGAGGAGGAAGCCGAAGCATGCGATGATGATGCAGGAGGAGGAAGAGGGCAAGGTCGACCTGCTGGAGGTGAGGGTGAGGGATCCGGATGAAGAGGAGAGGGTGGATATGGTGGAGAAGAGGACGAGGATCTATGGGGGACCTGTGGAGAAGAGGGTTGAGGCGTAGCATCGCCTTGCATACTGAGAGATTTGGGTAGAGAAGATGGGGTTGCTTACGGCGCATTCGGGATTGCAGACTGGGAGTTTAGTGCTGGGTGGCATCGCCATATAGATCGCCCTGCGGCTAAAGGCAGGGGAGCGTTTGTGGAATTAGTGAGCGGCATCTTGATTGATGTTTCTCAGTCCAGCATCGGCATAGCCTCGCTCTCTTGTGGCTCTGGTGCCATTCGAGACGGTGCAACTGGTCTCCATGGCAGGTTACTCTTCAAAGGAAAGACTTATCCAGTTTTTTGTCTAGACTGCTTTGTCAACCAGTCCTCTGGCCTCCGAAACGTGTTCTTTTACAAATATTGGGAAAAGACGTAACAATTCCCAAGGTCTCCAACGCCCCTTTCGCCCATACAGTCGTAAAATAACCAGTCAAAGCCCGCTGGATCCCTTCACAGCCCAAGCGAGGTGCTCGCAAGCCCAACGCGCCCAAACACCATATTCCATAATCGCAAGTCTGCCCTAGAAGTCACTTGACATAACTGTCACGTTCGCCCTTTTTTGATTGGGTTTCATTCCCTCTTTTCACCCACCGCCACCCCAACAGCGACAGGAGCGGCAGCGGCAGCACCACCCTCAGTCCCCTCAGCTCCCGTTCCCCTCCTGCTCGCGTCACCACTCGCACCACTACTCTGTGCACCTCCCGACGCTCTCGCCTCTCCACCCACACTCCCCCTCCGCCGAACCTCGGCCTCCAACTCCCTGATCCTGCGCCTCAGCGCCTCATTCTCCCTCTTCGCCTCCTCGAGCTCCTGCCGCTGCAGCGCCACCTCCTCATACCTCGGCGTCGCAAGCACATTGCTCGAGTACGAAGGCGTGCGGATCGGCAGGGTCATGCTCTGCTGCGCACCCGCTCCAGCATAGCCCGACCCGCCAGACACGGACCCCGCGCGGCTGGCGGACGAGGAGCTCCGCTGCCGGCGTGAGGTTGGGTGCGTCGCGCCTGGGTGGTCGGAGGTGTCGAGGTAGGAATGTGCGGACGGGGCCGCGGAGGCGGAGGAGGCGGTCGAGGCGACGGAGGCGGAGTGGGCGCGCAGGGAGGAGAGTTCGCGCGTTAGGCGGTTGACCTGTCACCATGCCATCATCAACCATGCCCATCCTCGAAAGCAAGGCATACATATTTGAGTTGGGAAGGAAGCGGAGGGGGGAAGAACATACAACAGCCTCCTGTTCCTTCTCAAGCTCCAGATGCAACTCCGCCGCCGTCAGCGGGCGCGGATGTCTCATGGGCACGCCCGCTGCATCTACGCTCGTGTGAGCGGTCGTGGGGCCTCCGATCGTGCCGCTGACGCTTGGACTGAGTGGTGGGAAGGGATGGTGGGTGAATTGAGCGGAAGTAGGGATGGTGCCCCCTGGTGTAGCTAGCGGAAGCGGCGGCGGGCTCATTGGGAAGATTTGCGAAGCTCGACGGGAGGTTGGCTGAGAGGAATGGCGGGAGGAGGGGGGTGGTCGAGAGGGTGTGGAGGTAGGCAGAGCGGTGGTTGCTGATGCATTGCGGGGAGATGCAGGGACGGAATTGAGGTCGGGCGCCATGTTTTACGAAAGCTTTGAAGGACGTTGGTGCTGGTATACGTCTGAGGTAGTTGTAGCTCGGGAGCTTTGCGGAGGGAGGAGCTTCGACTGAGACAACGCGATTGGTCGTGTCAACGGAGCAAGTACGTTTCAGAAGCCGGTTTCAACTGTAGACAACAGTATTGCAAGTTCATCGCCTCGTGAAAACAACCGTTGGCTGATACACAAGCTCTCTGTATGGGTATAGCTGGGTGGTGAGCGACTGACCGCTCATGATAAACCGTATCCGCAGATGTCATTTGTTCTTGGCACCCCTGATTCACGTGAGGCACGAATTCATGTGCCTTAACCGGCTCTCTATTTAACTCTCTCTCCAGCAGCGAGCCGCTTCAGTGGCTCTAACTTCCACGATGAGACCTTTTGTCTATGGTTCGACTCAGCCATCCACGCCTTCGACACCACCAACCCATGGGAAAGCCATCTCGATGTCAGCAGACTGGACCTCATAGGGAGCCTCGCTCGATGTTTAGACATAGCAGAATGGCATCCCATCCAGACCGAATAGATCCATATCAGGGCCTGTGGCGTTGCAAGCACGATGTGTCGCGTAAGAAGAGAGACCAGTACAAAGGTCAGTAAGTCCTCGCAAGGTTCCTAAGGTACCAGTCCACCAATCTCCGACCAATCTTGGCCTCGGAGACGTGGATAAGGTCCTAGAATAGAAGTCAGCATCAATTTTCAGATATCGCCGGTCATATAGGTCGTAGCTCGAGAAGAGGTATGTCACTCACCCCCTCCATAGCATAGTCCAAGTCGCTGCTGTTCACCACATCGCCGTCCAGTAGGCCACCCTCGCTCCACCTGATCTGCCTGCTCCTCTGCTTGTTAACAAGCAACCAGTGCCTCAGCTTCTCCGGCTCCACATCCAGGAACCCGGCCAGCTTCTTCAGGTCCATTGTCGTGTACAGCTTGAGGTAGCTCCTGACCGTCGGCGAGTGCATGTTGTTCTTGACCTCATCCATAAAGATAGCAAGATGGTGTTCCAGAGGATCGACATTGACGGCCGGGTTGTCGAAGTCTGGTGGCGTGGGTGAGATGAACTTCGGGCACGCCTGGCGGAACAGCTCCTCGAAAAGGGGCAGCGCTTCCGGCCCACCGCGCTGTAAGCGGTTGAACTGCTCGCCGTATTTCTCCCTCAGGGCGGTGTGGATGGTGTCGTCCAGTCGTGTAGGGTTGAAGGCTACGCATATGGCAATGAGCGCGTACATCTGGTCGTTCTTCTTCGTGATCGAGTCATATTGTGAGTTCTTCTGGAAATTCTTCGTGCGGGAGACGTAGACGAGGATATGGCTGAACATGCGGATGGCGTCGGCGTACCGGCGCATCATCATGTATGAAAAGCCGACATAGTAGTAGGTTGTGAAGTGAGCGGCCATGACGCGGGCAAACATGGCCTTCTTGTTCAGCTCGATGTCGTCCAGAGTCTTGAGCGCCAGGCTGAAATCGCCTAGGAGACAGTGTACTCGTAGGAGCCCGATGATGGAAAAGTAACCCAGCATCTTGTATAACGGCCGGTTGCCGTACTCGCCAGCATACTGACTCGGGTCCTCTCCACGCTTCATAGCTGCCAGCTGCTCGCTAATCTGTGATCGCTGGATCAGGGAGTAAAGGACGTTTAGGACGCTGTAGCAGCCCCATGTGTTCGGGTTCTCCCGTAGAATCTGGATCTCCTCCTCGTTCTCGGCTTTGTATGCGACTCGCTGGCGGTAGCTGCAGAAGCTGTTGAACTGATATATGAACTCGTCAATCACGTCCCAAGCCCAGTAATACTACAACACACGTCAGTCCTGTCGCCCTAATCTTCTAGATATCTCCATCCTACCGAGGGCACCTCTATGTCTACCGGCCCATCCGAGTTCAATATGTAGTGGAAAAGACTGCAGTAGTTGTCGTAGCTCGCAAACTTCGTCTCCAACGTCGCTTGGAACTCGAGTGGTGTTGCGGCAGCCGCTAATTGTGCGTGTATGTCCTGCTGGCTTTGTGCTCCCAGTGATGTTGTTCGTTCCAGATCATTCATGCCATCCCCGTACTGCACTTGCTCGCGATAGTCCTCCGCTAGCGCTTCTTCCTCCACATCCGAGTCGTCTGCGGGTGCTCTTGTCGGAGCCTCGCCGTGTTGATACGGCGGGACTGGCTGTCGCAAACTCATGATTGCCGACTTTCCTCTGTCGCTGTCCTATGAATGTGGGGATAGGGTAAGATAGCCCTTGCGCTGACGATGGGGTTGTGTCTGAGGTTGACGGTTGATTATTTCCAGTGGATTTCGCTTGGTGTGGAATTTCATATTTGCCTTAGGCTGCAATCGATAAGAGCGGGCGCATCATGGCTTCATGAATGGGTGGCTTCAAGGGCTCCCCGCAACAGTCTTAATTCCTATGTAGTCTTCAAGTAGATAGTCTTCCGCTTTTCACGAGGACGGTTTCTAGTACATCTGCTGTCCTCTTTGCTCGTTCTAAGTCATGGCTCCCATACACAGAGTCGCAGTTATCCAGCTCCATCCTAAGCCTCTTAATCCTGAGTTCAACTTCAATAAAGCAGCGACCTTCATCCGGTCGGCAGCAAAGCAAGGTGCCGAGCTCGCAGTGCTACCAGAGTATCATTTAACAAATTGGCTACCTAAGGACAGCAAGTTCATCAAAGCCTGCGCCCAATGGGAAGTATACCTCCGCAAATACCAACATCTGGCGAAGGAGTGTAGCATCTGCATTGTACCGGGGACCATTGTAGAATACCATCCGGGGAGCAAGGAGGATGAGGGCAAGCTGATCAACGTGGCGTACTTCATTGATAAGAATGGCGAGATCATCGGCAAATACGTGAAGAAGAACCTCTGGTAGGTGATGTATACTATATTATTCCTTAAGAGTGCAAAAGTCATCGCGTGTCTGCAACATCTCCAAGGTGAATAGAATGGTTGAAATCATTTGCCCAGAACCTGAAAGTATAAAGCCGTCCATATGACACTGACGTCGCACCAGGCACCCCGAGCGCGAGCACCTCACCTCCTCCACCCACGACGCCCACGAAGTCTTCGACACGCCTCTCGGAAAAGTCGGCATGCTAATCTGCTGGGACCTCGCCTTTCCCGAAGCCTTCCGGGAGCTCATCTCACAAGGCGCCAAAATCATCATCATCCCCACTTTCTGTACGGCCCCCCGCCCCCTCAAGCTCCGCTCCTCCTTCGACAACTCCACGATGGACTAGGAATCCATGGTCGCAGTACTGTTTGCTGATACGTCGCTCCCACAGGGACCCTCACCGACTGCAACCCCCGCGGCCTCGCCCACAACCCGTCCGCGGAGGCCCTCTTCCTCGACAGCACCCTCACGTCCCGGTGCTACGAAAACACGTGCGCGATCGTTTTCGCCAACGCCGGCGGGCCGCCTGGCAAAGGCTACGCGGGCCTCTCGCAGGTCACGGTTCCTTTTATCGGGCCGTTGACGCGGCTGGGGAGCGCGGCGGAGGGCATGAGCGTCGTGGATTTGGATCTGGGGATTCTGGAGGATGCGGAGGAGAATTATGGCGTCAGGAAGGATCTGTCGAGGGATGATTGGCACTATATGTATAGACATGGAAGGGCGAAGGGGATGGGGAGTAAGCTGTGAGTGAAGATGGTAGGACGAAGTGGGGCGTTGGTGGTATCCTGAATGACCTTGATACCTGGAAGGGTATGAGACATGTTTTTATGGTTCGGAGAGCACGTGCAGCAATGAAATGTGAAGCATGATTGAAGGTCATCTAGAAACTGAGTACAGCAGGCCGTAGGGGGGTATCTATGCATAGCAAAAAAGCAAATGAAGCAAGACCGAATAAAGCAGAAAAAGCAACCTCGCCGTTCGCATTTCTACCCGATGCAGAGCAATCCGTACCCCATGGGTTCTATGAGAAGGAGACCATGGTCTGGTAGGAGCATTTGGAGGAGCAAATCCGGACACCCGTGAACGGATCAGGACCGCCGTGTGGAAAGAACACCAGCCGCATGGACATGGTCGTAGTGTACAGATGATACAACCGAGAAAAGGCACATGAAAAGGCCGAAACGCTCCCGTTGTGCAGGCGAGCCGCAAAGCTAGGATGTCGTATCAAGGACATGAGTAGGTCGCTTAGGGGTAGGTCGAGCAAGGCTCTGAATAGAGGCGCATCCCAACAGCGGAGACGGCCGGCGAAGATAGATCAGGCCCCAATACGTGGCGTAGCCCAGGGAGACTCCATACCAGTGCTTGACAACTCGACACCATTAATTGTCTCGTCTTGGTCATCCCCAGATTCAGAGTCGGAAGACTCTTCGGAGCCATCCATGTTCAGCACACCGAATCGGTTTGCCGTGTGCGCAGCAGCTGGTTTTTGAGCTTGGGGCATTTGTCTTCCAGAATGCTGCGGTACATTGGCTGTTGGCACCTTCCACGGCGGAAGCGATCGCGGCTGGGGTATGCTCTGCGGTAAAGGAGCGGCACATTCATCTGGGTACCACTCAATGCGCAGTCCCTTGTAGTCCCTTCGGCTCATCATGCAGGTGCGCGCAAACAGACAGTTGTGTACGCTGTTTGTGGAGACGTAGGCATCGCCGTCACGAAACTTCACTTCGACAATGACGAGGTGGTGGACATGCTCCATGTCTTCTCGGATGCGGGTCTCGGAAAGACCTTTTGATTGTGCATTGCGGATTACGAGGTTGCGCGTAGCGCCAATAGAGATTTTGTTGGCGACGTGGGGAGGCATGTGGAATTGGCGGTCGTTCCACTGGACTTCGAGCTGTATAACCTGTTAGAATTCCCAACACACACCCAGCTTTCCAATTGTGGAGCCCTACCCGCTTGCCGTGGAGATAGAAGTCATTGCGCTTGGCATGCTTCAGGAACTCTTGTGCACCTTCCACGAATGAGACGATAGCTGTTCGATCACCTCTAAGGAAGATGTCGAGCAACCGCCCTCCACGTACGATGCCGACAAGATCCTTGTGTGCTGTGGACTCATGGAGATTCGTGAACAAGATAGTACGCTGGTCATTGCGTGGAAACGGTGCTTGCTTCGCATAACTTTCTGGGTCCAGCGAACCAAGATCGACATGGTGCTCCGGCGGCATGTCGTCTGCGGATGGCGCCATCCCGAAGCTGTTGGACCTTGCGAAACTGGCCTGAGGCTTCGAAAGAAAACCGTTGCCGTTGTGCATGCTCTCTGAGGTCTCCGAGGTTGGTACATAATCGTGCGGCTCGGAGATAGTGACCGGTACCGGCTTGGGCCGTTGGAAGGTCCCCTCCCAGCCATAGTGGGCGGACTCAGCGTTGCTCTCTAGGTCGTTGCCCTCGCCAGAGATGAGGCAGTTCAAAGTCTCATGGGAGAGGCCACCGCGGAGCAGGGCTGTCCGAAGAATGTCTGGGAGCAGACTTAGTGAGCCGGCTGTGAATGGAAGATCTTCTGTCTATCGCAGGCGGGTGCGGATCGTCTCGGGGAAGGGCATGGACAGCATCACATACTGTATTCCCTTTCAGAGCGGGTCTGTGCAAGGAAACGTCAGCGTTTCTCCCACAATGATTGCTGCAAGGGACGTACCAGGTAATCATACTCAGCCTTGGTGATAAGTACGGTCGACGGCAGAACGTTGCTAGGCGTGTTGAACTGGTCATCGTCGATATCCTGAGCAAGACGCGGTCAGTCTGTGTCCTGTTACGCGAGCTGGACGCGTGTGACGCAACGTTGGTATGAGGAACACTAACAAATTCGGCGCTTAGGTCTGTTAGCCTATGCTCAATTTGTACAGAGATATACTTATACGGGGGACAAACACGTACCGGCGAAGCAACGCCCTGAAATAAGCCTTCCCTATGGTCACCGTATTGCTCGCCATTACGTCTGTCATCGGCAGCACAACGACTGTGGAAGATGCTGTTAGAGGGAGAATATTCGTAGGAGGTTATCGGTGAACACAAAGAGAGAGCAGTGCCCTGGTGGGCGGTGATTGGCCTAGAGTGGTCATAGCTCCGATAGCATTTGCGGGAAGGCGCATCCCCGGATTACTCATACAGTACCGCAAAAGTAGATACGTCCGCCGCACTCCAACAACCTTAAGGAAGCATCAGAGTGTTCATGGACCAGAATGCACCTGCCCCATCGCAGCAGGCGCCGCAGCAACTAACGAAACAGATTAACATTGGAGCCGGCGATGGTTCCATCTTCTCACAGCTGACGGCGAACCCCTTCTTTACCGCGGTAGCTCTTTCCCCAGCTCTGACTTTCTAAGCTGCGCTGACCGAGTACTATCTAGGGCTTCGGTCTAGCAGGACTCGCTGCTGTCGCCCGAATAGGCCAGCAAGGATTACGACGGGGCGCTTCACTTCTACGCCGGCGGCTGCTTGTAGACCTCGAGATCACTCGTCACGATGAATCGTACCAATGGCTCCTGCACTGGATGTCCGCGTATCAAAGGGCACAACTGGCGAGTGCGGAAGGAAGCGTGGGAGTAGCTAGGTCCGTCTACTACATGCGCCTCACTCTCACGAAGCAGACTGACCACTAATCCAGCAATGTTCAACAGCGCGGTGCATTCTCATCCATAATCCGCCGAATCACGCCTCGCCTGCACCACCTTCAGATCCAAACTGCGAAGGTGAAGCGAGCAGATGGCGCGCCTCACACGCACTTCGCAATCGTGCCTGGTCCAGGAAAGCATCTTATGCGCTACGGCAATGCATTCATCATGGTGGACCGACAGAGGGAGAAAACGTTTGATCTGCAGACCGGGATACCGTTCGAGACGGTGACCTTGACAACGCTCTACGCATATCGTCACGTGTTCGAGCAGCTTTTCAAAGAAGCTCATCAGCTGGCAGCACAGATGCACGAGGGCAAAACAGTCATATTCACGTCGCGTGGAACTGACTGGGAAACTTTTGGGCAGCCCAAAAGGAAACGGCCCTTGGAATCCGTGGTGTTAGAAAAAGGTGTCAAAGAACGGATAGTTGAGGACATCCAAGCCTTTCTGGGAGCTAGGACGTGGTATCTCGACCGTGGCATCCCATACAGACGGGGGTACCTACTGTACGGACCACCGGGCACCGGCAAGAGTTCGTTCATACAAGCACTTGCTGGCGAGCTTGACTTCAACATTGCTATTCTCAATGTGAGCGAGCGCGGGTTAACCGATGACCGACTAAACTACCTACTTCAGAAGGTGCCGCCGCGGACGATTGTCTTGCTCGAGGATGCTGACGCAGCCTGGGTCAACCGCTCACAAGCGGATGAGCATGGCTATGCGGGCGCTACAGTCACCTTTTCCGGATTGTTGAATGCATTAGACGGAGTAGCAAGCGCGGAAGAGCGCATCATATTCCTGACGACCAACCACGTCGAGCGGCTTGATGCAGCACTCGTGAGGCCTGGCCGCATCGATATGACAGTCCGGCTTGGAGAGGCCACTGAGTCTCAGATAGAGGCACTGTGGGATCGCTTTTATGCTGATGTCGATGTGGATGGTGAGGGTAGGAGGAGATTCATGCACAGGGTCCAAGAGCTGGGCCTTGTAGGATCCATCAGCCCTGCAGCGCTGCAGGGTCTGTTCCTGTATAACAAGGGGGATATGGACGGGGCAATCGCTCAAGCTGAGCTGCTGTCTGCCGGCCATGGTCATGTTGACCTACGCGGGTCTTAAGCTGTTCGGCATGTACTATGTAATCGTCACTCTATCTGAGCGTTAGACCGCTTTATCTGCATATCGGCGTCTGCTCACCGAGTCGATTGGCGTTGGACTGGATATAGAACCGGTCGTCGGCAGCGGCGGTGAGAGCAGTACAAACAGCGATTTCCGTGTATAGATCCAAGACACGGGTAGCTGCTCGAATCTGATGCGTCGACGGGACACAATATCTCTCCCCGGAACGGAATCCGCTGCCAAGCGACTGATGCTGCAAGCGCAGTGATTTCCATGGTCCCGAGGTCGGCTTCATGCACGCTGCAACGCGAGAATCCCATGTGCGAAAACGTGATGCCGGCGCCCTACATACGGGATCATACGGGTATGGCGGATCTAGCCGCATCTGATATGATATTTGATGAAGCAAGGCATAAACCACTTCGTGCACGTCACCGATGATGGACTATCGGTTGGGCGCATTGCCATTGCATGAAGGCACAGCGCAGAGAGCGCACGACTACACAGACGCTGACAATTCCACCTCGTCGCCGTTACCGCCAAGTGTTTCTGCCTCCCGGACCTCGCCTCTCCCGGTGTCACCTGCAGCCTACGAGCTAGATGAACTCCTACTCCCCAAAAGAAGAACCCCCGAGCCGGGTCGTGCTGCCGACTTCGGGCTCTCTGATGTGCACAGCAGCAGGCAAACTAATCCCTCAAGTCCTCAGACATCAGTCTCCTCGCTGCCAGGACAATCCGTCGCAGCAGCTGATGCTGATCCCAACATGTCCCGCGCCCCGCTCTTCCTTCGTTCGTCGCCGGCGCAAGGCACTGGTTCCTATGGAGCTCTTCCAGTACACCACTTGAGCTCCAGTGCCTCACCCTCAGAGTCAGAAGATAACACAGACTTCGACGGGTCTGGAGACCTGCGTGGACTCAAGATCAGGCGATTGCGGGGCCATGGTGAGCCGACTCGGGAATACTCTTTGATCAGGGTGTTGGGAGATCGCGCAAGGGCTAGGAAGAGCAGCCAGACCTCTGGACAGTCGGGGACGCGGAAACGGAAGCTCTCTGCGGCTGCAGAATCCAGCAATGCTGTTCGGAAACGGAACCAAACTGCCGCCGAGGCTGTCGAAGGCCAACAGGAATCCGGGTTGGAAATACGGTTCACCACGAACGCTGGCATGCCTGCCGCAGTGGGTATGGATGCGACGCTCGAAGACCTGCACATATCAAGCGGGAGTGCAACCGAGAGCTCTGACTCCGGCAGCGAGGATGATGCATTATCAGATGATCATATGATGCCGGACAAGCATCCCTCACATGACCCTCCGGATAACTCACCATACCCTCAAGTGCGCGCAAGTGTACGACCGACCGATGATACCTCATTGTCTATCAACACTCCTCGCATGTGGACGCTGTCAATGCTTTTTTCCATTTTAGGTTCTTCCACCAACTTGTTTTTCTCGTTAAGATACCCAAGTGTTAGCATTACCCCAGTCATCGCGTTGTTACTTGTTCATCCCCTCGGCCTCCTCTGGGACCAGCTACTCACTCGCGATGACGATCCTGATGAGCTATTTGTCGACGGATCACTCCTATCACATATTCTCGATGCAAATCCTTCCATGGAATACCGTAATCCTGAGGCCATTCTTACCTCACCGAACGGCTATCATACAGGATCCTTCCCGAAACCTGCCCAAGTCTCCACGAGCTGGAGGCGCCGATTCCGGCTCTGGCTAGCCCAAGGCCATTGGAACGAGAAGGAGCATTGCTGCGTCTATATTGCCAGTAATGTGTCGTTCGGGTTCGCTTTCGCCACTGATGTAAGCTTGCACTCTCTCAGTCGTCTCTGCGAATCTCATACTGACTCTTACAGGTCATTGTAGAGCAGACCAAATTCTATCACCAGGAGACTAGTGTCATCTATCAAATCCTCTTAACTCTGTCGACCCAGATCCTTGGATATGCGATTGCTGGCATCACGCGCAGATTCCTCGTCCGACCCAGTGGCATGATATGGCCCGGCACCCTAATCTCTACATCGATGTTCACCACCTTGCATAATGACGAGAATCATCCGGCCAACGGCTGGCATATATCACGCTCGAAGTTCTTCCTCTACGTCTTCTGTGGCTCCTTCGCGTTCTACTTCATACCTGGTCTTCTGATGCCAGCGCTGAGCTACTTTAACGTCATCACCTGGTTCGCGCCGAAGAACGTGATCATTGCCAACCTTGTGCGTGAGAGAGCATCCTTGTTCGATATCATATAGTAACGTTCCCACAGTTCGGTACTTCATCAGGTCTCGGCCTGTTCCCGGTGACCTTCGACTGGTCGCAGATCGCGTACATTGGCTCGCCCCTCGTAGTGCCGTTCTGGGCTGCTATGAACATCGTCAGTGGTTTGGTCGTCATTATGTTCATCGTAGCTCCCATTCTGTGTGAGTGCCAGGGCCGAAGAAGTTTGCTGGAGCCACCACTGACACTCAAGCCAGACTACTCTAATGTGCTATATTCCTCATACATGCCAATTCTCTCTTCGGCCGTCTTCGACAACACCGGCAAGCCTTACGACGTGAGCAAGATTCTGACGCCGGACTTTCTCTTCGACGAGGAGGCCTACCACAAGTACAGCCGAGTGTTCATGCCAATGACCTACGTCCTCAGCTATGCACTTCAATTTGCTGCCTTGGCAGCTTTGATCACGCATACAGCTTGTTGGCACGGCAGGGATATTATCAAACAGTGGCGAAGATCTTTGGACGAGATACGCAGCGAGGACAAGGCCATGTACAGGCGACTCTCCTCTGGCGACGGTAGCGAGGGAATGCCAGACCTGCGGCGCATGAGCTCGGTCTCTTCGACGTCGGGCCCCGGTCTCGACAACCTGATGAGTGCCGAAGACGTCCACAACCGCCTGATGCGAAGATACGAGGACGTGCCTATCAGCTGGTACCTACTCACTGGTGTGAGCATGACAGCTGTGGGGATGTTTGTCGTTGAGTAGTCAGTCTCTCCCTTCTGTCTGTTTCGTGGACCGCCGACTCACACCCACAGCTACCCGATTCACCTCCCGTGGTACGGCTTACTGCTCTCCCTCGGCATATGCACCCTCCTCTTCATCCCAATCGGTATCGTCATGGCCATCACGAACCAACAAAGCAGCCTCTACCTAATCTGCCAGCTAATCTGCGGCGTCGTCTTCCCCGGGCGCCCCGTCGCCAACATGGTCTTCGTAACCTATGGCTACGTATGCTTACCCCTCCCCCTCCCCCTCCGCCCTTCTCCCCACTAATCTTCCATCCCACAGATCACCTCCACCCAAGGCCTCAAATTCTCCTCCGACCTCAAGTTGGGCCACTACATGAAGATCCCCCCGCGCATCCTCTTCAAGCTGCAACTCCTCGCCACGACCGTCTCCTCGCTGACCCAAATCGGCGTGCTCAACTGGATGCTAACCCACATCCGCGGCATCTGCACCCCCGCCGCCATAAACGGCTTCACGTGCCCCATCGCGCGCGTCCACTTCAACGGCAGCATCCTCTGGGGCGTCGTCGGCCCCGCGCGCTTCTTCGGGCCTGGCGCCTTGTACCGACCCTTAGTATGGGCCTTCCTGGTCGGCGCCATCGCGCCTGTGGGCGTGTGGATGCTGGGCCGACGGCACAGAAAGAGCTTTTGGAGAAATGTAAATCTGCCTGTTTTGTTTGGGAGCTTGAGTTGGATCCCGCCGGCCACGGGGCTGAATTTCAGCGTCTGGGCGCTTGTGTGCTGGTTCTTTAATTGCTTTGTGCAGAGGCGGTATCGCGCGTGGTGGGGGAAGTACACGATGACGACGAGCGCCGGGTTGGATTCGAGTGTCGCGGTTGGGGTCGTGGTGGTGTTTTTCGCGTTTGGGTATACGGGGCTTATGGATCGGTTCAGGTGGTGGGGAACGGAGGTTTATAAACAGGTACGTAGCTCTGGGTGCGTGGGGGTGTGTGTGGGGAGTACTTTCTGACTGGTTAACTGTAGGGCTGTGACTGGCATGCTTGCTCGTATAAGACGGTGCCCGAGGGCGAGATCTTTGGACCGAAGACTTGGTAGTGTTGCATTTTTTTGCGGATAGATAGATAGATTGTGGTTCCTAGCAAAGAGTTCCTCCCAGTTCCGGTATTGTCAATGTGTCGTTGGTGGTTGAGCCTACGTAAAAGCCGAACTGTGCATATGAATGTCAGTCCAATGACATGCTTGATGAACCAGTCTGTGAGTTGGAAGTCGACTGCTAGGACGTACACAATGAAGCTCTTAGATAAGTCCAAGCCCACTGTCTTAACATGCCAAAAACTGTTATAAAGTTTCACATGCTTGGAATTTCAGATTGTGGTGGTTGCTCAACCTAGCCGAACGCGATAGAGCGGGAACTCTAATACAGCCCCAGCATTGGTATATCTTTCGTACATATATCGAGAACTCATATCCTCGCTTTTACATACGGCCATAGATCAAAGAAAACTGGGTATCCCGTCCGCTCTGCCACTTTATAAGCTTTGAATCGGTAGATTAGTAGTTAGGTGGGTGACCACTAGCGAATACCTGCTGCTGTATGTTTTTGACTTTTGCTCATCGATGGGCTTTTGCTTCAATAGCTGCTGAGTCTAGGTATACTATGCGTACTCAGAAAGCTGCTCATTTCGCAATGAATGCACTCGCAATCTCCATTCTTACGGCACGCCCGCCAACGTAAAATAGAGCGTGAAAGTTAGACAAATATCTTTAGACACCTTTCTGTCGGTCTCGCCGAAATAAGTCTGCAAACAGTAGATGCAACCTCTATGAAACTCCAGGAACAATCAACCATGCACTGCCAAAGATCGACCTACGTCTCAGCACTACCAGGAGTCCTCATCATGACAGTGGAAAAATGGCTCTCATCGTTCCTGATCACGTTTAATCTCCTCAGCTCTTTGAAACCTAGTCGTCTGTACAAACCGACTGCTGCTGGAGAAGAGTCCAGATACGCTGGCAATCCAGCTTCTTCCGCTTTGCTAACACCCCATTGCACAAGGTCCGAGGCTATACCTTTTCCCTTGAAGTCTGGATCAACAGCTAAGGATGCAAGATCTTTTTTGTGTTAGGCAGAATTCATGCTCCGGTCATTGGGTGGCCAAAGCCAAGTGAAGATGAATACAAAACTTACACCATACCCTGTGCTCCTCTTTTCCCAGAATCTCTTTCTTCGCTTTCTCAATAACCTCAACCGCGTGCTTGAAGGCGTCCATATCCATGCCTTTGGGGCTGTATTCATCATCTGTTGCAAAGGGACGCTGCTGTATTTGACTCTCTACAGCGCTTTCCACTTGCTTTTGCTCTGTGATGTTCTCCTGTGGCGGTGGAGCCATCCATCCAGCATAACCAACAACTTTCGCAGGAGCCTCGGTTGAATCAATCGTGGCAAGCACATAATGCCAATCCGGTGATTGCAAGCGCTTTCGAATAAGGTTCATTCGGTACTCAAGGACCTCCTTGCTCTCTAACAGAGCTTCTGACCGATTTGGGAAAATGGCATGTTCTAGAGCGTCGTTCTCAAATGCGCGGCGCCCACAATCGACCATTTCGGGGACGGAGGCGATGGTGGCTGGGATCAATTGGATGTCCATGATGGAAGGGAATGTATTGCGTGGAAAAGAGTTATATTGCGAGGCTGGAGGACTTGCACCCTATTTAGACGACTAACTGTGAGAGATATACTGGCGTATGATGAGGATGTGTTGGTAGAGAGGAACGAGTGAGATTCGCGCTGAACCAAAGGGTCGAAAGGACACGTTGCTGCCTATGGAATCCTGGCGGCTACCGTTTATGATCGCGGCCTAGGTACTAAACACCCTGTCTTCGCTTGGTCATGAAGTTCTCTTTGCAGGGTCACTCCGAGGTGGGGCTCCAAAAGTCATGCTCGGTCTTTTCACTGATTTTCGGCGCAGAGACCCAGCATAACTTTTGGGTAAGATACTAGGTACCAATCAACGTATCTCCGAACCCATCTTTCGGATCATACGCATCGACTCATATATAGCATACATGTATCTTGGACCAGTTGATTAGTAAGTAAATGCAGGGAAGTGTTACGATTGCCTGTTGTAGGAGAATGTTGCGTTGACTTCGTGAGCTGGGCGAGTCAGGTGACAAGAACACCCAAACCCAGGGCGACGCTCACTCTTGTTCTACTACAATTCCCACTAACTCGTCTCCATTTAATCTGTACTTGTTAGTGAGCGAGAGTGAGCTGATACAAAAACTGGCGCCAATCAAAGCTCAAACAACGGGTGAGATGCAGCAGTCTTCCTTCTTGCCTGCCCTCGGATTGTCTCCTCGATTGGCTGCTCTCCTGCGAACAAGGCTGAAGGCTATGCAAGTTATCAAATGCGCTATCGAGGCACAGCCACAAAGCTTGGAGACAGCCTTCAGTACCGCGCTATAAGTTCTTCAGCTGCTGTCCTTGTTCTTCGCATCTAAGCTTCCCTCGATGTCCACACGATACTCCTTGAAGTCCATGCTTCCATAGGGTTGGACCCTCAGCGTGTCTGCCCGAGCGAGAAAGCAGGACTTGAGCTCTGCGCTTTGTTCACGAATTGATTCTCATGGTACAGGAACGTAAAGGGCGCTCCTGTTGTAGTTGTCCAATCAGCGAGACCATGGGAGATCCCTCATCAGGGCGCCGAAGAGATAGACGAAACGCCGAGCCTTATGGAGTCCAACGGAGATCAAACCCTCTCAGTCCTCCCGCTTCCGGATGAACTGGCAGAGTCTGACTCAAGACACGGGAGTAGGGACTGCCCGAATTGTGCTCTAGTGATAGAGCGCCTGGAGAATGAGCCGCTTAACAAGGAGATTCCGGTTGAATTTTGGGGACCCGATGAGGCACTATACCGGCTAATACCAACGATAAATTATCCGAGGGATGTGTGCGAAAAATGCAAGGGTTTTCTGTCGGGAAAGTCGTCCCTGCATCTTGGCCATAACCTAGAAAGGTTTCATCAGTCTCCATCAGCCTTCCCGTTGAAGCAGGGCCTTGGCTGTGCACTCTGTGTACTGTTCTTATGAGAGCGATGTCGACGGCGACGAGAGAACCTGCCTCTGTTGTCTGCCGCACCCGTTTTTGCTGTTTCACCTCCTTACTTTGTCCTAGTATATTCAGAAGACGAACAGCAGGTCAAAAGAGCTTATGAGGAGAGCGGGGAGCGCTACAGGAAACGGATTCGCATTGTCCCTAAGTCAAAACTCCATTGGCCTCTTATTAGATCCTGGTTAAAAGACTGCGAAGGTCAACACGGCAGTGAATGCCATCAAACTCTGCTTCAGCGTGGTCATTCCGAGGCCAAGAGTCTGACATTGATCGACGTACATGAGCAGAGACTTGTCGAACGTGATTACAGTTGCAGATACGTAACTCTCAGTTATGTTTGGGGAGGAGTCTCTCAGCTTCGACTCACAAAAGCTAACAAAGATCTCCTGTCTGGGATCGGATCGCTGCGCTTACTCGAGAGACAACTTCCGCAGGTGGTCAAAGATGCAATGAAGGCGGTTGCTGAGATGGAAGAATCGTACCTTTGGGTGGATTCCTTGTGCATCCCGCAAGATGATGAAGTGCGGAAGCACCATCTACTCCAGGAGATGGCCTGGATCTACAATAGAGCATTGATTACCTTTGTGGCTCTCCATGGCGACAACGCTGAATCAGGCTTGCCAGGTGTACGCCCCAACACCAGACGTTATGACAGCCTTGGTTCTGATTGTGGACTTGAAATCACTACCCGAGGATCGCTCTCCGACAGCTTAGAGACTTCAGCTTACAATAGCCGAGCATGGACATTCCAGGAGAGGCTGCTGTCAAGAAGGTGCCTTTACTTTACTGGTTCTCAGGCCTCTTTTTGTTGCAACCGCTTCACCTGGCATGAGGACAGATTTGAATCTCACAAATCTCGGCGCTCCAATGGCGACGGGCGGCATCTTCAGACATTCCTGTCCACCCGCGCAAGATCCGAGAGCTGGGCTTCTTCACTCAAGTGTTATGCCAGAGTGGTCGAAGCATACGCATCGAAGCGCCTGACCTTTCCCTGGGATGTCTTGAACGCGTTCGCAGGCGTAGCTAGGGTGTTTGAAGAACATTGCGGCTGGACTATGCTCTGCGGGCTACCGGAAGCATTTCTGAAACATACCTTGTTGTGGGAACAGAAAACCACAACAACACGAAGACTCTTTACGGCCACTGAAGCGGCGAATCCAGTTGAACTCTTCCCGTCATGGTCGTGGGCAGCTTGGACCGGTGGCATCAAGTACGATACCTGGGCTTTCTCCAATCTTCGCCTGCTACACAGTCCCTTCTACGTTTCCGAATCTTCCACTCTTCGCCTTGTTGAGCTTTCGCCGGTTTATGAATCGAGGACATGGGCGAAGTTGTCCGAATTGGACCATAGCATCGACCCTCAGTCAGCCAAAGGGATACCACAGGAACACCATCTACCAGCGAATGCCCCTTCCAAGGCCAACGTGCTCTATTTTTCAGCAGCTGTCGTATCAACATCAGTGTTCTCATTCCAAGATAAAGTACGCCCTTCAATTGACCCTCACGTATTGATAATGGACGCTCAAGGACGCTGCTGTGGGGTAATTCCAGGAGTCGCCTCAACGTTCCCACATCAACACGGTCCTGCTGAACTGGATATTGTGTTTCTTGCAGCTTGCAAACTGTCTGACAATGATCTCTTGTCGCTGGCAGGCGTTGGCCACCCCGCCTTCTATAAGAACGGGTTCCCTAAAGGTGAATGGGCTGCGCTTACGGTGCTTTTTGTTAGGTGGGAAGATGGTTACGCCTACCGGGTAGCTCTCGGCTATGTTCATAAGGATGCGTGGCAGGAAGCTGGACCGCGCCAGAAGCAAATACGACTTGCTTAGTGTTTCGCAGATGTAGTTTTGGGGTCTCTTTTATCCAACGAAGGTAGCAGACAAGCGCTCTCTACGCGATTTGAGCTGAGCCGAGAAATCATCCACGACCTCCCGAGCCATGGCACGGAATAGACACGCTCTACTCGCTCGGACCATTATCGCAACTGTAACCTAAGTCACAGCTTCCACAGCCAACAGTTCATCTGCGAGGTAGGAGCCACATTGAGCAAAGCAGAAGTGAATGGCCAGCAACCGAATTCTTATTGACCTATTCATACTTCATGACCCGTGCATCACCCACAATGGCATCTAAAAGCCCCAGCAGGCCACGATCCATCTACCTCGTCTTCTTCACCTCTCCCGCCATACCATCCCTCTCAATCAAATGCGCCCCAACCTGCACCGTCTCCCTCCACCCCCTCTGCCTTGCCCAAAACGCACCCTCAACGCTATATCCCCTAAGCGTCGACTGCCTCGCCTCTTCTTCCAACGTGCCACGGTCAATATGCTCCGCCGCCTGCTCCATCGTCGGCAGCTGCCTAATCTCGCTCAAGCTCTCATCAAAGTACTGTCGCCTAAGCAAGTACCTCTCTCTGCGCTCCTTCTGCCTACCCGGACTATCCAGCTTGGAGATCACGACCCGCACGACCTGTCGCACCGCCAAGAACGCGTGCTCGGCGAAGAAGACTGTAAGCAGGAGCGCCCAGCCTTGAATGCTCTTGGGCGTGCCGTTAGGCCCAATCCCATCGTTGGCGAAGAGGTAGCAGAGGGCGGCGGTCGTGAGAGAACCGACCCAGGTCAGGAAGGTGAGGGCGTCGAGCCAGGGGCCGATGGTGTCGGCGCGCCAGGGTATGGGCCGCTGCATCTGGACGCAGATTTTGACGGCGTCGGCGCGGAGTTCGATCCAGTCGTTGATCAGGAAGGAGAGACCTGTCAGAGGCCAGACTACGCTGAAGAGGGATAGGTAGCCGAACTATGATATTTGTCAGTACTAGGGAGCCAGAAGGCAGTCATCAAGCTTACCTGAACAACCATCTCGCGCAGGTCGGCGGTCACGTCGTAGACATCTAGCTCAGCCTCGCTGCGTACACGCTCGAGGAAGGCGACCTCCTCCGGTGGGTCATTTTCTGCGACGTTGATGCTGGCTGTGCCGTTCTTTGCGGCACGCTCGCTCTGAATCTCTTTGACCTTGGCGAAACCCCGACGCTTGAGGTAGGGCACAATAACCTCCATCCCGAGATTGACAACTTGTGCCGTTACGGTGAAGTAGATGACCTGCTTCCGAAGTCGGGCTGGGTTGATGCTGAACCCGGATGTGGGTACCTGCATCTGCTTCTCATTCTCCGCGAATGGCCGAACGGTAAGGCTGAAGACGTCCAGGTACGGGACGATCAGACTGCCGAAGGGTACGTAGACAAATGCGGTCAGGAAAATGGGAAGATAGGAGGTGATGAAATTGAGGATGAGGATCTTCCGCGTCAATGCAGTTTCGTACGCTCCATTGGTCTCGTGGTTCTCGTAACGATTCAGCTGAGTGGCGAAGTTGGTCAAGATGCCGGTCAGGATGGGCATGACCGTGGTCAGAATGCCGGTTGGAAGGAAGACGAGGACGCTCTTGAGCGGTCCGTTGTAAATTTCGGAGATAAAAATCTCAATACCGAAGCATGTAGCAATGAGACTTCCGAGGATGAGGGCGGCCGCAAGCGCGAAGGGTACCTGGAGAAGTTGTCGCTGCAGGCGCTTGGTTGATGGAAAGACCTCGACAGTCTCGCCGGTCACTGGATCTGTGACCCGCTTCTCATGCTTGAAGTCCCTCCGCTTCACATCGATGCGAGATACACCACGAACGCCCCAGCGGACGCCCAGATCAACCTCCTGATGCTTCCAATACTCGGTGAAGATAGTGCACCAGAGCCCGTTGACGACGGCGTAGACCCACGAGAAGTGGCCAAGTAGTGTCCACGCGGCCACGCCGAATGCCGCGGGAAACACGAGGAAGGTGAAGTACGACTGCGTAAAGGCAAAGTAGAAGGCAATCTTTCCGGCGTTAGCAAGAGTGCTCGCAGAACGGACCATTGCAAGCATACCTTCTCTCCGAGCCGGTTGCGGATCTCATCCAGATCTTCAATATTCAAGGTATAGTTCGTGCTCCATTTCTTGATCCAGTCCTTATTGTAGGCATGATCATGCAAGGGAAAGACTGACTCGATGTTCTTCCATTCGCCCTCCTTTGGTGTGATGCCTGCCCCTCCTTCAGTGACAGGATTGGTGATGAGTTGGTAGATAATGCGCAGCCGTTCCGCTTCGTAGAGCGGTTCCACCTGGAGAGCTTGCCGTATTTCTTTGGGAGGTGCTGTGGTCCGCACACCATGGAGCCAGTCTTTGACTCTTGGAGGGGGTCAGCTGACGAATTTCGAAGACTTCACGGTTGTTCCCAAGCTTACCTGGACCTATAGACTTCACCGTACAGGTGCCTCTCCGAAGCTACCCTGGTAAAAACTAAGACGGAGTGGTTGCCGCCATTTCTAACTTCAGTGGCCAGACCAACGGAGCTCAGTGCCTGGATGAGCTTCTCGAAGGTGACTATGGCGGTTTGCTTGTCTGGGTAGTACCTAGTTAGCAAGGCAGCTATGAAACACATGATGGTGTGGACTCACCCAGGTCAGTAAACCTGTAGACAACCACATAGTCGACCTCCATATTCGTCTGCAACGCCTTGCTCTTCGGCCCTGTGGTAGCCATGGCTGGAGGGAGGGGCCTGGATCAGGCTAAACACAGCTCTGAAGTGCAATGTAGGTTCTGGAAGAAGAGAGACAGTATTTCCTGAAGCTGCCCGCTTTGGCAGCAGCAATCAGGGCAGGACGTGCGTGCAATGACGTGTGGGGCATCTGCACCCCACCGGCCGGGCTCAACACCACGCCAAGCCTCACGACAACGTCTACACATTACTCGTATCATTATCCTTTACTATCCAGTCTTAGAGTTCCACGATGAGTGTATAAACCCTTTCCGAGGCCAATTGGCCCACACAACAATGTTCTCCTCCCTCCACGCCCCAGCATCGCCCTTCGACCCACCCTCCACCATCTCCGTCATCCTCTCCTCCCCCCTACGCTTCCTCCTCCGGCTGACCCACCGCATTCTAACCTCCCTCCGCTCCTCGCCCACTCCATCCGCCCACCCAATCCGTATCGTCTGCATCTCCGACACCCACACGCTCACGCAGCCCATCCCAGACGGCGATATTCTAATCCACGCCGGCGATCTCACCAACGCCGGCACAGTCGCCGAGCTCCAATCCCAGATCAACTGGCTCCGATCGCTGCCGCACGCGCACAAGATCGCTATAGCGGGCAATCACGATACGTATCTCGATCCGCGCTCCCGAGGGACACTGGCGCCGGGCGATCGGGAGGGCGAGCTGGAATGGGGAGACGTGACATACCTCCAGTATTCGAGCACGATACTGCGCGTCGCTATTGGCGGTGGCGGAGTCAGGATGCTGAATGTCTACGGAGCACCCCCGATTCCTGCGTGCGGTGGGCCGGAGTTCGCGTTTCAGTATCCGTGTGGGCGGGACGCGTGGTCGGATACTGTACCGGCGGATATAGACATTCTGGTCACGCATACGCCGCCGAAGTATCATCTTGATCTGCCGGCTAGTTTGGGCTGTGAGTGGTTGCTTAGGGAGGTACGGCGAGTTCAGCCGGCATTGCATGTATTTGGGCATGTGCATGCTGGTGCAGGGAGGGAGGTTGTTTGGTGGGATGAGGAGCAATCTGCTTTTGAGAGGGGTTGTGCGGCGTTTGGACACGGATGGTTATGGGATCTAGTATCTGTCAAGGGATACATAGAGCTTCTCAGGGTGGTCATCTTCGGCATAAGCGGTATTGTGTGGCATCGGGTTTGGGGTGGTGAGGTAAGAGGATGCGTGCTGGTCAACGCAGCATTGACAGTAAACAACACTGGCAAATTAGGGAACGAGGTGCAAGTGGTGGAAATATGATGGATGTCCTGAGATGAGGCTGCGCTCAAAGCTAGAGAAGGGTGAGAAAGCGACAAAGCCAGAAGTACGCGCCCAACGACACCATTACCGTCACGTTCCCTCGATCGGCCTGATCGTCCCAAAGGTGTCATCGTTTCGTACAGCCGCCTGAAGAGTCCGCATGACTGATGGCGATGGCCTCTGTTGCACTACCATATCCGTGCTGTTGCCCTTACGTTGGCAACGGCAGCGACGGATCCTGACTCCTATTGAATGATACTGTTTGCCACAACCACTTTCTGCATTCCGCTACGTCCAGCTTGAGTCTCATGTAGGTGATATCGTCTTCTGGGTTCGGTACCTCGAGCGCTCTTAAATCTCGCTTGCGACGCGCTCCGTCGAGCGTCAGCTTCCAAAAGACCTCGTCCTCCTCCGGCTCAGAGACTTCCAACTCTCTTACTTTCAGTTTGCATTGTATTACATCAAGGTCTATCTGAAGCTGCTCTTTGAGCTTTTCCTGTTCGGTGCAATTCCGCCTCAGAATGGCGAAGAGCTCAGGTGGGCTAGTCAGCGGGGACGGAGCGCCCGCCGTCTCCCTTGCAACGTCCCCTTCTCTGCGCTTGCCAGTGGGTGTGGAATCCACCGGATAATCGGCTTGACGCTTGCCCCCGCTCCTCGTTTGGCGCGTGGCCAGTGAAACAGGTGCAGGTTCGACTTCGCGCGGTGTCCGTACGGCAGGCACTTCCGGCGGTTGAGGCGGTTCAAGCGGATGCGGTGTCTGCGTAAGAGGCGGGTCAATCGAACGCTGCGGTTGTACCATTCGCGGTTTCGTCCAGTAAAATCGACGTGCAACGTCTGGCACCTGCCTGGTCGTGGCCGGTATAAGGCCCGTTTTGGCACGGCCATGGACCTCAAGTAAGTGACGCTTGACGTTGCTGCCTCCCTTATCGGTCGGATACATGTAACGGTGGCCGTTGCTTCCTTCGGTATGACATTGCTTACAGAGCCACCAGCGGGTGTCTTCCGTATTTTCTTCAATAGCGCCGCCGAAATGCCACCACCAGGCAGTGATCATGTGCGTAGACCATGCTTTCGGTTTGTGAAACCCAGCAAGGTCTACATGGGTGAAATCTATCCATGATTGGCTCGTACCGTCAAGTAGCTGAGGAGCGCCTGGCTGGACAATCGGACCGCGAGCGTTGGATTGTGAAAACCCAGAAGGGGCGGAAGGCCCGGCTACAGCAATAGTGTCTTGTGGCTGGTCGTCATCCGACTCCTCATCCGCGGAGGAGAACATGGTATCCAGGTGAGGAGGCGCTTTCGAAGGCGCTCCTTTGCGAGGGGTCTGAGGCGATCCCTTAGGCGACATTGAGCGGAAAATAAGTCTTCAAAAATGCAAAGAATCGATGCTTTTATGCTAGACCATGAGTTCGATAATGAGCAGCCGCTTTGAAACGGATAAGAGGAATCCACGGTTCGGCAGCGGGGGCTGCTCATTAAGGCATAGTGCCGGTCCGACTGTATCGCCGTTACCATGTAACGATGACGTTCGATCCGGAAAAGCCACGACGAATTGGCCCCGATCGATTGAAAGCCATGGCCATGTGTGCCATTGCGACTTGGAGAGTAAAGAGCCTACTTGGTTTTTCAGCCAATGGATACCCAACCTTAGGATCAATCTCAGTATGTGCAGATAACATGGATTTCAATGTTGTTGGAATACTTCAGTGGCTGCAACTCCTCGCTTTCTAGATTCTTTCCACCATCCCGGATAGCTACAGGCATTCTAGCTTTCCGGCAATGGGCAATCGGCCCAGGAAGTTCGGTACGAGCAGACGGTTTGCTCGAAACGGTTTCGTTGAGAGATGCCGAACGATGACTGACGCCGCTGTAAGCGCAGCTGTGTTAGCGTGAGTGTGTCCAACTGGACAGCATATGCGAATGACGCTTCATTGTATCGCTGGTATTGAGCATGCATAGTCGAGCTGTTGTCAGTCGAGTTCTGTCCAGATATCGAAATCCCGAGGGGGCTCAGGGTCAGAAGGGCCCCTCAAATAAAGTAGGAGGAGCAGATCAGACGCTCTCCGGGTACGAGCAAGCGACCGCAACCTCATTGGAGTAGCCGAGCCCAGGAAGCTCGTTGTTTACCTTTGACGAGCGAGTGAAGAACTGCATCGCACAGCAGTCATGACAGGGATGCAGAACAGCTGGTCTTAGCAACATGCCCACCCACGTGACATGAAATGCCGGACTCGGGAAACTACAAACTGATAGAACACTGCGTTAACGGTTCGTTGAAGGCTTCCTTGTCGAATATGATCATAGAGCTAGGTTTGGTAGCCTAGGCGCAGGGCAGCTTATAGAGCCTTAAGCGTGTTCAAGTTATAGAGAGAGGTGGAACGGTCGGAAGGCTCTTCAAAAACCTGGTGAATTGAAGGCTTTTCGGTGGCTTTGGAGTCCAACAGTTTCTGTCATCCGTATGATGCCCCACCACCTGTACTAAGCACTGAACACGCAGTATCGTGGGCTTGCTATCGTTTCTTACTCGCAGCGCCCCTGCAAACTGAAACCAGAAGAGCACAGAGGTCTACACCTTCACCGAGTGCCCCGCAAACCATGTTTGCAGCTTGCAGAGTCTATGTTTTTCTCAAAGGGAATCATACCGAGCTATCCAAAAGACACTGTGATGTTTCAACGAGCGTCTGGTCACGGTGGGAGAAATACTGATTGCTCGCGGTTCGGAGCCACTCAAGCGGAACCTTGATGCATGGGGCCACGCCGGAGGAGATACAGAAGTAATCTGAAGTGAGTCCGTACGAGTAGCGGACAAGCTTACCCACACAACACGATGTCGACCTCAAGGTTCTCCCGCTTCTTCCTTACGTACGAGTGAAAATGTCCTGCAACCAAGCAACAACGGAGCAAAACAATTCCCCATCCCTGTGCTGGAAATACCGGGAGAGGATTTGTAAGCTGCTGGAGAGGTTGCTTGGAAGTTTTTTTTTGGCTGTGGGGAGCTGCAGCGGCGCAACCTCACGGCAAGGCCATGTCTACAGTTCCGTTAGAGAGCTTTGGTCATATTCAAGGGTCACTACTGGTTTGCCATACGCGCACACATCTACTCTTTCCCGTGATATCAAGGTGTGATTACTTGTAGAGGTGAATCTCCGAGCTCTGTCTTCCCCGCAATCTGGCAGCTTGGTCCGCCGCTCCCGAAGCCGCCGAGCGCCGGTTGAATTACCTTAAATATCCCCGCCGCTTACATACTCAGCTTTGCTTACTCACTTCTACAACCAACGTCAAGCCATCGTACGTCCACCCAATGCTCACTGTTGCACTTGCACTTGAGGCCTCGGCGCACTCAAGCTGAGATAACATGGCGCCGCTCTCTAAGTTGCGCTCTGCTAACCGTTACGCGTCTCAGAGCAGCTCCATCCCACCACATCCTTCCCACCTGTCTCGCGCATCACCTGCATCGGCTGCGCTTACAAGTCCTCCGATAGAGCCGCCCTGAAAGCGCTGACCAGTTCGATATCCTGTGGAACAAGCCTGTCCACTACTATCTCACTATCAATTGATGCCGCCTAGCGGTCAGCCCCAACAGCCAATATATACTTATGCACCATACATCATGCAGCAACCCCAAGTAAGCCCAATGCGCCCGCTGCTTTTGCTTACTAAAGCCATGCTGACTATTAAGGACACTAAACAAGGCATGGAGATAGAAATGAGTACGTATACACCAGGTTCCGCTTACCAGCCCCGTGTGCAGCGCGTTAACTATTCTATAATAGGCCTTAGAGAACACCTTCTCGCCGCCGGCGCCGGCCAACAACCTGGCCAACCTGTTCCAACAACCATACCACCACAAGCTCACATTCCGCTCGACCCGCAAGGCCCGCTCGACCCCGCGATCCAGATGCACTACGCGACTCAACATCCACATTCCCCTCTTGACCACACCTCTCTGTCCCCTCCCGCGGACTTCTCACCAGATGGTCATGGCAGTCAGAAAGGCCGCCGTGAACTTAGCAGCTCGAAGCGCGCTGCTCAGAACCGCGCCGCTCAGCGCGCCTTCCGCCAACGCAAGGAGGAGTATATCCAGAAGCTGAAGGACCAGGTCAAGGACTACGACGCCATTGCTGCAGATTACAAGACCCTGAGGGAGGAAAACTACGCGCTGAGGGATTATGTGATCAGTCTGCAGGGAAGGCTGCTTGAGCTTCAGGGAGAGGTTCCTCCGGCGCCGGGGGGCATAGATCTGAGCAGGCCGCCACCACTACCGACACACGGGCTCCCGCTTGTGCATCCGGGTCTTGATGCGCCAGCGGAGCAGCTCAGGCAGGAGGCCGAGCGAAGAGGACCGGAAGGTGGAGCGGCTGGAACTGCGATGAGCAACCATGCTGCAGCGCAACTACAGCAAGCGGCTGCGCTCGCGGCTGCACGGAGCGCGCAGCAGTTGAGCAATGCACACAAACATCCACACGAAGATGGACCGTACACGCAGGCGGGGTATTCGGAGGCGAAGAAGCAGAAGACGGGGGATGAAGATCAGCCGTCCGGAGGTATACCTTCTTACAGCGCCATATTCCCTGCGCCTCCGGAAACTCGTTAAGGACCGGGCTGATTGTTTGCCTTAGCGGGAGAGTCGTCTGAGTAGCGTGCCAAGAGCAAAGGCGAAGTTAGTACCATGTTTGCTTTTGAGCTGTAGAACAGTCCGTTGCGTATCCGGTGTGCTGGGTTTTGCTGGCCGCCACTGCGAGGCGAATTTGGTGGATGTCCGTGCTCTCATAAGTAGAGTCGGCGACCGCTTCCTAACGGTCACTTTTCGCTGTTGCTATGTCGAATGCTATTGCATAGACTTGGCCGATAGAAGGTGTTCATCAAACGAGGCAACTCAAACTTCGGGTGATGAAGTATTGCGGAACTACCGTTGCAAGTGTTAATCGTTCTCAGTGAGTTCCGCTGTCCCTCTATCCTAGTTCTCCTTCAGTCTCTTGCATCTCACAGTTACGCTCATCCTGTCAAGCGAAGACCATGCCGCGTATCGTACAGTATCGAATCCACCTCCCCTTGAGTCGCCTGGAAGAAGCATGCCAAGTATCCTCAAAGTATAGTCACTCAAACACACCAAAATCTCCCTCACACGAATCTTCTCCATATCAAACCCTCCATCACGTGACCTTTCATCGTTCAAGCACCTCCGACCCCCTTCCCCATCCTCACCTTCCGATCATACTCCCCCCTGTTTTCCTCTTCCTTGAGCACACCATAAGCCTGTGTCACGACATGGAACCTTTCCAACGCTCCCTCTCTATCCTCTGCGTTCTTGTCAGGATGATGCTGCATGCAAGCCTTCCGATACGCTTGCTTGATCTGTTCCGCAGTGGCGTTGCGGTGAATGCCGAGAACAGCGTAGGGGTCTTTGCGGATCGCGAGGAAATGCGTCGTTAGCGCTTTTCCGGACAGCGGGAACTTCAAGGTGGGAGGCCGGGGTGGGAGGCGGTGAACTATGGGAGCCGCGGGTACTTGCGGCCGGGACGCTAGTTCTCTTGCTGGGGCTGGTGTTGTCGCGGTTGCTGGTCCTGCAGTTGCTGACGCTCCTGTGCTGGGTTGGGCTGTCTGAACGCGAACGGCGCGGACTGTCTTGCAGTCAGCGCAGGGACAGTCAGGCGCTGGAGGGAAGGGACGCCGACGGTCGTGGGGACGCTGCTGAAGTTGCTGCTGCTGATGCTGGGGTCTGGGCTGGGTGTTAAACTGCTGCAGGCTGAGACTTGCTTGACCGAATCGGATTCCGAACTGGGTCACACGTCTGGTCTGCTGCGGTGTAAGGTCAGTCTCGTGTTCTTCCCGGATGTTTTGAGGGAAAGCGCCACAGGCTAGGCTAACATGATGGACAAATATCTCAGAAAAAGGGGCATGTTTCCCTGAAAGCATGAAGCTCTAGTCCTTGAACACGAATGTAAAGGGGCAAGGTATATTAGAGCTTGTTCGTTCCACGTTTCTGTGTACTTACATTCTTCTCTATGCGGAAGCCCTGTCCTGGTCGCGGAAAGGAAGGAGCAGCAGCGGTAACAGCGGTAGGCTGCCCCGGCTTACTCGCAGAAGCCTTGCTTTGTTCCGGCCCGCTCTCCTGTTTGATCGACGCTCGCGACGCAGTAGGAGGACCCGCCACTGCTCTAGGGGCCCCTAGAATCGGATTTGGTCGCGCCTGCTCTCGAGGCTGGCTGTTCACCGGTATCCATGGTTCCACAGCAGGCGGTCCGTTCGTCCTCGTCCTGGCCGGAGGCTCAAACATTCCAGCTACTGAGGCGGAGGCGGAGACTGTGCTGTTGGCGAGACTAGCAGCTGGTTGGTTATCCACTGCGGTACGTTGCTGCTGCGCATCGTTGGATGGAGCTGGCTGACCGTTGTTGGTGACGTTGAGATTAGAGGCCAGTCTGTTCACATACGGAATGCCGTGCTGTTGGGCCTGAGCTTGTGAGCGTGTGGTTTGCGGAGTCTGTGCCTGCTGCGTGCGGGCCAGTTGTGCCTGTACCTGCTGATGCCTCTGTAGAAAGTATTGCAGCATCGCCTCGAAATCTCGAATACGTGGCAGTGGGACCATGTCTATCGCCCACGCAGGCTGATACATGGTCCAATCCAAGCTGCTTCCATCGGGAAGATAGCGTTTCAGGGACACTGCATGGCCCGATCGATCCAGAAGCGCAGAAGCAGTGTTGTTGTGCGTACCGGCGTAGATGTGCATCAACCGGAGAACAAGCGGATTGTTCAATGAAAAATTTCGATCAAGCTGAAGCCGGACATGCCGGAATATGGATGTGGCCAAATCAGGAGCTCTCCATGGGCATTCCTCTAACTGATGCAAAGGGACGAAGCCACAGATTGGGCAACGAGCTAGCTGTTGGGGGTTCTGCGGACCGTGCTGTGCTTGCGGCTGCGGCGCTGCTGCTATCCGAATGGGAGGCTGTCATAGCAAGTCAGTAACTTCTCCAAGCTTAAAACGTAGGACAACTGGTTATTTTTGTCTTAGTGTTGACGGGGATGCTCAGCTTAAAGACATCTTGCTGACTTTGTTGGTGAGCAAACCAGGTTGAACGTACCCTTACATATGGAGCGCCCGGCCCTGGTAGACCCACTGGACGTCTCGTATCGAAGATCCTTGCCGTCGGTTGTTGCTGTCCTGTGGCGGCAACAGGCCGTCTCGAAGTATTGCCACCTTCCTGCATTGGCGCAGAGCCGAATGAGCCGGCTGGAGCCGCTGGCGTAACAGGAGGCGTTGCCGATAAGTCGATGATGGTCGCAGACCGCGGTGGGTCGCCTAGCGGACGTGCTGGATTGAATCCCGACGGAGCGGACATAGTGCACAAACGTCAAAACACAGTAGAAAGAGATCCAACTTTATAGGGAAGGCCCTTGCGCGGATGCTGCTACTGCTGAAGTGAAGAAAGGGAAGCTTGAAGAGAATGGAGAGCTAAGGCCCGAGCAAGTGAAGAGGTGGAGTCTGCTGGGCTGAAGAGAATAAAGCGCGGAATACAGACGGGTGTGTGTGTGTCTTCACTTTGCTCAGCTTTATGCGTTCACGGACTTCCATCTCTTTCTACGGCCGGCGGGGGCTCTGAAGGGACCTAATATCCAATAAGGATAGTATATTAATCATTTAGCCCAGTGGTATCCTCACCCCGCAGGTAATAGCGATGGGTATGGCGTTGGTCTGCTTTACGTCACGAAGTTTAAAGGCGTTGGTTCGATTCTCACTTCCTACTTTCTGAGTCTAATTGCTTTCTACGAACTAACATCCAGGCCCAGAAAAAAACCCCAACACGGTGGGGGCTTTCTCAGAAATGAGTTTTTGCCATCCCGTTTTCCATAGATCACTTCACTTTTGCCAAAGGTAATAGATGATGCCATTAAGGTTTTAATATCACATTGCACCCGGCTCTTGAATTGTATCATGTAAAACAGATGCCTCACCCTCAGACTGTCTCATCCATCATATCGTTTCGCAGTGAGGCCTTACTCTTCCATATTCAAACCGAGCCACACACAAGACTTATCACTGGTTACCCCAACCCGAAATTGCAAGATGCGTGTACTGGTGAAGGGAGATGAAATCACTCAGGAAAAGTCTACAGATGGATGGATATAGCTTGTTTCACTTTCAATGGAGCAAGCTACATCAACCAGGGCATCTTCAACCACGGAACACTCAAGCTTAAAACGCACAGAACACGGATTCGACACCGTCAAGTGCCAGAGACAGAGATCAATCCTGTCAGGTTTTGATTCATCTGCCTTGTGGGTATGGGGTACAACACAACAGTCTGTTGAATATCAACATGAACCAACTGACACAGATAGACTCTACACGCTCAGCCAACAACAAAGTACCCGAGCAAAGTGTTCAGCACCATGCAAGGCTTCTGCATCCCATGGCGCTACCTCTCGGGCCCGGCCACCCAAACGCCCCACCCTCCCGACTCCGATATTGACGATTCTGGTCTTGAAGGCGAGGACGAAGACGAGGACGGCTTCATAGAAGTCGACACCCCCGCCAAAATCCCAGCCGTACGCTTCTCCATCCGCCTTGCCCTCTCCATCAGACTGCAGTTCTAACCCCCACAGGACTCCCACTGCGACCCTCTCCTGTACTCGCCTCCCAGCCGCAAAGAACTCGCCTACCACACCGCGCGCAACCTCGCCAGCGACGCAAAAGAGCTCGCCCAAACAACACTCGAAGCGGCAGCGGCCACCGGCATCCCCCAGTGCGCCGCCCCCCTCGCCGCAACAGCCGCCACGACCAGTCTCGCTTACCTCCAGCACCACCTCCCCACCTGGGGTCAACTGACCAGCACGCTCCGAGCACGAGCAACACAGTGCTGGCAGCATCGATATCTCTGGCGCCAGCAACAGTTTCCTGTCTCTTCTGGTGACTACCCGCGCCGTCCGCCGCCGTCAGGGAGCTCGGACATCCCGATGTTCCCGGAGCGCGTGGACGAGCTGCCGAGGAGTGCGTGGTATGCGCAGCGCGAGGAAGGGGCGGAGCGGGGGTTCGGGCCGGCGCTTATGCGGGCGGTTGGGGAGGGTGAGGCCATGAATGACTTGGAGAATGACTGCCAAGAGATGTTGAAGGATCGAGATGATGAGGAGAGGAGCGGAGGAGGTGGGGCGCTGGCGTGCGCTAACACGCCAGCGGGCGGTGAAGAGGAGACTGAGGAACGGGTGCTGGCTGAGATGCTGCGCGGTTATGCAGGCGATGCCAGAGCGGCACATAGGTCCGGAGCAAGTAAGTAACGGATGGGAAAGAGCGATTGCTTCAAGAAGGGTAGATTGTGTGACTGTGGAATCGATCTGAATAGCCGAGATACTGGAGAGCGGTAGCAAGAAGTTGAACTGCTCAAGCAGCGAGGTTTCTTATCGATTAGTCCTACTGGAGGGTCTGTATTCGAACGATCCATTCAGGAATGGTCAGTTGCGAACGCGGTTGGCTCTAAGCGCGGTGCTTGGGAGTTGGCTTGAAAGGAGCAAGAGATCTCACTGCTATGCAAGGAGAGGTAGAGCAAACTATCCACTGGGGATGAAATCATGGAAAGGCTTAGAAGAACAGCAGAATGCTCGATGTCCGGCCAACGACATAGCTAGTCTGTGATAACGCTGAATTCGATAGAGTTCTATCTAAAAAGAAAACCTGAATGCTAAGAGCTGAGCAACCATGCTGATGAGAAAACTAATTCTTCCCTCTCGTCTTACTCCGTGTCGCCTTGACTGGCGTAGTGTCTTCAACCTCCACCATGTCCCCGCTTGACCCAGATTCGCTTCCGTCCCCGCCTGTATCACTAGCAGACGAACCGCCATTCCTAGCCTCTGCTGCCTTCCCCACCCCTTCATCGCCGGAACCCAACCTACCCTCCGGACTCCCCCCCGCACCCTCCCTCTGAACCTGCTCCATAATCTTCCTCCCCTCACTCTCCTGCCCATTCCACCCGCCACACCCTGCACACTTCCACTTCCCCAAATCCGCCAAGCTCCTCGTGCCGGGCGGCGCCTGTCCGTTCACGAGCCGGCAGTGCGAGCATATCAGCGCGATTCGGTTCTTCGGGTGCGTCTCGTCTTCGCCGAGAATGACGTCGAGGATGCGGTCGTACCATTTCGAGTGGCCGGTGTCGTAGGCGGAGGGGTGGCGGGAGGGAGCTGGGCGAGTGGAGAAGGCGTTGGGGGCGAATTCTTCGCCTGGGGCTTGGGATGGCGGTGGGGGTAGTTGTGGTATCAGCTCCGGTGGATAACCCGGCACTGGGTGTAGTGCTGATGGTGGACTTTGTGGAGCAGCCGGTGCTGGGGACATTCTTGGGCCTCGAGGAATGTTTGCTGTGGGTGGCGGAGGGATGTTCGTTCGGCCTGGTTGTGGGGTGCCCTTCTGGCTGCGGGGTGACTTGCCCTTGGGTTGCGGAGACGGTGCGTCCACTGGGGTTGGACGCTGGGAGCCATACTTTTCGAGGAGCTGCTGGGTAGTGTTGTACTTCGTTGCCGCCTTTAACTTCTCAATCGTTGCGTCTCGCTCCTTGTAGAGGCCGTCGAGATAGGCCTGGGTGTTTGAGATCCGGTAGTTGTAGAAGGTTGTGAATGCTGTTCGAACGCCGTATATTCTATGAATCTGTTAGCTGCTGTACCCTACAGATTCTAATGCTGTCAGCTTACAGGACTGGTCCGCCAGCAATCGCGGTATACTCGACCGGGCTCCAGTTCTTCCAGCCAGTGACCAGAGTCAGGATCAAGGCGACGATCATGTAGGCAAAGCTGGTGTACAGGGTCCACATAGCCCTGACACGCCTCGAGCTCTGCCGCAGACGGTCATTTTTGGCGCTTGCTTTGGATATTTTGGCCGCCAGCGTAGAGAGGGTCTTTTCGAATGATGCGGCGGAGGAATCGCCGCCCTACGTAGGGATTAGTAAAGTTGAGCACAGCGGCAGGGAAATCCAGTCGAGCATACCTTCCAGGGCCACAGAGACACCATTGTGTTAGCTGTCAGGATCCCTCATCGTGGACAATAAGCGTTGTTATGCCGGCGCGTGACGTCGGTAAGGCAGCGACGAAGCCGAGTTACAGTTGTGCCGAATATATACCGGTTCAAACAGCTAAACAGCTAGCTGAGCTGTTTCTCCATCAGCAATGTCAAACCACACAGCCATGGCGTTAGCAGCATACAGACACCTCCTGCGATCCACGCGCATAGCCTTCCAAGGTACGAAAACCTCCCCAGACCCGCGCATTGGCCTAAGTCTAACGAACCATACCCAGGCGACTCATTCCGCCTCATGTCCGCCCGCCATGCCGCCCGCGACGGCTTCGAGCAAAACCGCTCTCTCCCGCCGAGTAGCACAGATGCCTCAAATGCCGTCACACATGCCGAAGAAGTAGCCAAGATATTACGGGAGAACGTTGTTCAGGGGCAGGCGATACAAGAATCAGGAGACGAGCAATACTACAGTACAGAGGGCCTTGTATACTACAAGCTAGCGGACCTGGATTGCTGACCATGGTGCAGAGTTGCGGATACACGAGCACACGGAGAGGGGCGACAATGAGTCGATCAAGAAAGCCGGGAAGACGGCGGGGAGGAGAGCCACCAATCTAGCTGGGAAATGCGCTTCGTTATGATATCTGAGTACGGCTTGCTCGCGCGCGTGTGAACTGCCATGCTAAAACTCCCATATGCCCTCCGATATCTGAACGCCCGACAATGCACACAGTCGAATCGTCTCCCAAAGATCAGGCCACCAGCCATACTAATTCCCAGCCAGACTAGCATAGTGTACATCGTCCACTCCTGGCGGAGGCGCCAATGCGCTCAGACTGTCGAGGTCGTCTTGCGCGGCGGCAGCTGCTGGTAACGCGCCTCCTTGTGCACCGCCGATGTTTCCACCCGATGCGGCTGCTATCGCCTTGACCGTTTCCCTTCCCTCCCTGGCGTGAGCCATCCTCTCCTCTCGCTCCAATGTGTCCAATGGCTTCGGCCGTCCCCATTGTACGCGAAGCGGCACTCCCTTGACCACAGCCTTGCCCTGACACGCCTCTGCTGCTGCCTCTGCCCCTTGTCGTGTTGCGTAGTTCATGAACGCCGAGTGAGCCCGGTGGGAGCAAACCACCGATCTGAGCGGGCCGAATTTGGAGAAGTATGTGCGCAGTTCGTGCTCCGGAAGATCGTCCTCAACACCCGTGACGAACAGCGACGTGATGTTCGGGTCCGTCGGCGGCAGTATATCCTGCGGCTGCGGCGGCAGCTGTGCAACGCTCGGAAAAGCGCGCCCCCCTCTCGCACCACCGCGTCCACCCCTCGCAGGTCCTCTCGCCCCGCCCACACCCACCGGCCTCGAATCTCTCGTCCTGATCGGCCCCGGCGTATGGCTCGCCTCCGCGCCCTCCGGCGCACCCAGCAGCTTCTGCCCGCCCTCCTCTTCAGCAGCCGCATCCAGCCTCCTCTGCCTCTTGTAGTACGGCTCACTATTCGCCAGCCTCCTGAGCAGCTCCCTGGCCTTCTCATCCGTCTTCTCATACGCCTCTACGGCCCCTCGTCCCTCTTCAATCTCCTTCTCATGCTCCTGGGCATAGTACTCCCTATTGACCGCGCTCTCCGGGCCCGGGGCCACCATCTTGAGCGCGGCGTCCCTGACCGGCAGCGGCAGGCCGAAGGAGAGGTCCAGCATGCAGCACTGGCAGCAGTTCTTGAGGCGCGCGCAGGTCAGGCAGATGTTGGTGCGCTTTTGGCGGGCGGTGCGGTCGGCTTTGAAGCGGAAGATTGTGAAGGGTCGCGTGCAGATCTTGCACTCGGCGCCGTGGTCTTCTTTTAGCATCTGTACGTAGGGACTGTCGGGGAGGCAGCGCTCGCAGACGGAGGGGAAGTCGGTGGTTTCCCAGCCGGAGCGGTTGAGGTCGTGCTTGATTTGGGGGGGCATGGTGGGGAGGTGGTAGTGAGAATGGGTTATGCGCCTGTCGTGGGGGATAGAGGCGGAAGACAGAGAGAGGTGTGGGTTATTAATGTCGGATTACCTAGCAGCGCTGATAATGGTGGATGTGGTTCGGCAACAAATCATCACGTGCACTCGGCGAAAATGCGACAAGGTGTGGCTGCTTGAAAGCGGTGGCTCTCAACGAAGTTTAGCTCCAGGGACGGCGCCACGCAACCCTGGGAAATGCGCCGACCGCCGTTCAGAATTCGGGGCATGTCGAGATCTGGAGACCGAAAATTGACAAGCTTCTGTTTATAACCCCAAACAACCTCTCCCATAGATACTCAGCTCTTCCACCCATTCTCCGCCCACATCGAAGGCAGCGGATTTCAACAATGGCGCCAATTGCCCTCGAAAACGAAGATCTCGCCCGCGATGCCGCCTTCAACAAGGCCATGCACGGCAAGTCCGCAGGCGAGCGCGGCGGCATGGCCTCGATGTTCAAGAAAGACTCAGCCGCGCAGAAGGCAGCCGTAGACGAGTACTTCAAGCACTGGGACAACAAGGGCGCCGCCGAAGAGACTGAAGCAACGCGCGAGGTCAGTCTACCAGAACCCCCTCCTATACCGCAACACACTAACACCGTCCAGGCACGAAGAGCAGAATACGCCACGCTGACCCGCCACTACTACAACCTCGCCACCGACCTCTACGAGTACGGCTGGGGCCAGTCCTTCCACTTCTGCCGCTTCCACTACGGCGAGCCGTTCAGGCAGGCCATTGCGCGCCATGAGCACTACCTCGCGCACGTCATGGGCATCAAGGAGGGCATGCGGGTGCTGGATGTTGGCTGTGGTGTCGGCGGGCCTGCGCGCGAGATTGTCAAGTTCACCGGCTGCAATACCATTGGCCTCAACAACAACGACTATCAGATTGAGCGGGCGACGCGGTATGCCGAGAAGGAGGGTTTGGCGCACAAGTTGAGCTTCACCAAGGGAGACTTTATGGTATGTCACATGCTTCATTTCTGGTACGCCACATCCCATCTACGAAGCCGCTCCTAACCCCAACAACAGCAAATGAAATTCCCCGAATCCTCCTTCGACGCCGTCTACGCCATCGAAGCCACCGTGCACGCCCCCTCCCTCGAGGGGATCTACAGCCAAATCTTCCGCGTCCTCAAGCCAGGCGGCGTCTTCGGCGTCTACGAATGGCTCATGACCGACGCCTACGACAACTCCAACCCGCAGCACCGCGAGATCCGGCTGGGCATCGAGCAAGGCGACGGCATCTCCAACATGGAGAAGATCGACGTGGCCCTCAAGGCCATGCAGGCCGCGGGCTTCGAGCTCGAGATCAACGAGGACTTGGCCGATCGCCCGGATCCGTTCCCCTGGTACTGGCCGCTCGCGGGCGATTTCAAGTATATGCAGAGCATTTGGGATACGCCTTCGATTCTGCGCATGACCAAGTTTGGGAGGGGCGCGGTGCATAGGTTTGTGGGTGCGCTGGAGATGGTTGGGTTGGCGCCCAAGGGCACGCAGAAGACGGCGGATAGTCTGGCGTTGAGCGCGGATTGTCTTGTTGCGGGTGGGAAGGAGAAGCTGTTTACGCCTATGTACTTGATGGTGGGAAGGAAGCCGATGGCTTGAGGCAGGCATGTGTGGTGATGTTTCAATGGCGCGTAAATAATTCGTCTGTCCGTTGTGGTTGCATCTACAATTCCTGCTAATTTCGTTTTTGACGGCTCATGGCACGCAGAGAAAGCATCATTGTGGAGTCTAAACATAATACTAGGAAGCCTCAAGGGTTTGTCTCATAAGACGAACGATTCTTGCCTCTCTGAGGGTGAACGAAAATGATCGAGAGGTCTGAGGGGAAGAGGTCGGCCATGACTGACCACCCCATGGGGGTAAAATGCGGTATCTTACGGACCGTGGCCGTCCACAGCAAGCGGCCTGAACGGACAACACTCAGGTGAAAGCAGGCTCCTGTGGAGGCGATACCCCTCGATCGACGATACGAGTCCCACGGAGTCCATCAAGAAAAGGTGTTTTGTCGGAGCAGGACTGACTCGGAAGAGACAAGAAAAAGGAACGGGCAGATGCAGCAAGTTGGGTGAGAAGCCTGGATTCTCCGATGGAAAGACATTCCTTTCCTAAATGAGTTCGAGAAAGCAACGACATGCGAGGGAACGTTGTGCAAGGAAATGACAGGTAACTCGCAGCTACGGGATACGAGCACGAGCGAAGAGGCGGAACGATGCGAGAGCTATCACCTACCGGAAGTAGACATGTGTTCGCGGCAGAATGCGTCTGACGGCCCCCGGATCACGTCTTGTGGTATGCCCCTGACAGGTTGAACTTCTTTCAGAGACCGAGATAAGCGGATTCGGAATGGGAGACGTGCTTCACGGCCGCCAGAAGTTATGATCGATTTTCATGTGCGGTCAGCAACCTGAAAAGCGGACGACCGATGAGTTGGGGAGATAACCAGGTAACTGAAGACAGGAGATAACAGCTGGATCTTCCACGTGGGGCAATGACTGCGGTTCGCGTGTGGTACAAGAGGCCCTGGCGGCGTACTGCGGAAAGCATTGGGAGGTAGATGAGCTCGCCACAATACGCATAACATGCTTTGGGTGAGTGCAGGCTGATGAAAGCGTAAGGGCAAGCGAATAGATTATGATCCGCTGGAACAAGTTCGTAGGCCGTCTGCCTCATACGATAAGCACGGTTCCGGTTGAGAGCGAAGGGTAAGAAGAACCGGCGAACGGTGCTTTTTCGAGGACAGCTGCGTGAGAGAAAGCTGGATGGTTGTTGGAGACTAATTGGACGCTTCAAATGCATGGACGATGTACTGATCAGGCTGGCAAGGCGGCGAAGTAGGAGCTTCTAGGTTCGGAAGAAGCATGACGCGAGTAATCTGGAGAAATTTCCGCACCCGTCTGCATGATCTGCGGTTCCAGAGGTTGTTGCTGTACTGTACCTGCTGCTTTATCGTGCCGCAGCTGGTTGGTGGTTCGCATACTTGCTGCCCAGTCGCAAAGTGTTCCTATGGCGCAAGACCTATAGAGGTCCCTAGACCGGAAGAACCGAGGATGTTTTGGAACTGTTTTATCTGCCCTAGGAACTGCAAAAGAGTCGCCAGAACCCCTGGGTTTATTAAGAAGAAAAGAGAGCAGACTATCCCAGAGCGGCTGATGGTAGATACAGGATGTGTAACCTCGCTTGCTGCGCGTGTAACGACGCTCTTCAAGTGTCATGACGTCCAACTAGGTTTTCGGTGCCTGAAGCTTGTCTTTCTGCGACCTGCAGGATACGTGCTTGATTGCTTACCTTCCTTCAAGTCTCATACAGCCCCTTGGCCGTCGGTGCTGCAAGGTAGCACAGGCAACCCAAAACGTGCAAGAAGGCGACAGCGGCTACACGCAATGCAGCGACCAAACTCTGTACGACTAAACACCAGGAACAGGTCACGCAATCTTTGGTCTCAGGCTTGTCAGGTAGACGCTCAAGGGAGGATCCGTAGTAAGCCGCACAAACACAATCACGAGGTCTCGATGACCGTTGCGGCTACATTCAGAGAGGGCGACCCCAGCGCTGAAGCAGAACACAAAGAGCAAGGTATTACTTGCGCTTTATGGCCCCCAGACCAAAATCTCAACTCCTCGGATAGAAGCGATGGCGTTCGGTAATGATAGAAGCGCTGCTGTCGAGGCTCGCTCCGAAATCTTCACCGGGCAGGCGGCAGGTGGAGACACGGTTAAGCGGAGAAAGCTGAATCCGGACATGACGGTGATCGCTTCGACGGAAAGAGATTCAGATCCCAGCTGGATGCCCTGGGTTACGTACTTCGCCTGCAGACCTTGGTTGCCGCTGTTACTTATTTGGCAGTGCGCCCACGCTCAGAGAGTGGGAGATTTGGGGAGCGCCGGCTGGTATGCGGGCCTCAGCATTCAGCTTGCGCCCAGTTGCCGGTTCTCTGGCGTGACGCTCCCGCGCGTCCTCATCCATCAGTGGCTTGGTGTTGGTCAGAGCGATGGCATCGAGGCAGCTTTGGAGGAGATGAACTGCCGCACGGCGCGGGGCCGTTGCCAAGGCGGTGGACATCAACTTGGAGCGAGTAGTGACTTCATCGCAGCTGTCCGGGGCCTTCCCCTTGTTCCTCGACCACGGCCCGGCCCCAAAGGCACAGGGGGGATCTGGAGGCGTTATGCAAGGTACGGCTGACCAACATGTGATACTGCATGAAAGATCTCGAGGTTGCGAGACGCCGAGTTGCTTAAATAGATCCTCAAGTGCTTATCTCGTAAAACCCCAATGTTTGCGCCACAGTGTCGCCGCGGAACTACCATCGATCCAGTTCTGATTCGCAGAGTGTGGTGGCGGCACCGGGCGCCATCAGAGTCGGTCTTTGCTTCGGACATAGAGGGGCTGGGGATTCTCCGCAGCGAAACGGCGACTCGGCGAGAAGTCTTATGAGCATTGATCATAACACAGCCATATGCAACACGTTGATTAGATATAGCGACCTCTGTCACTCCTGACCCACACTTAAGCCAGAGAAATCGATTAGCTTGGGTTTGAGGTGTATGAGTCGCAAGACTCTCTACTTAGATATCACTGTTGCCTGTCCTGGGCTCCTGTCGACCTCACATAACTTCTTTCAACCGTGCATCCACTTTCCCACGGCATGCCGCATTCTGACCCGGGTTCGACAGACAACATGGAAAGTCAACAGCTCCTTGCCCTGACTATATGCGGATACAAGAAGTCCGACATATCGGAGGAGGACTATCGTCATTACATGACCAAAGTCCATGCACCACTCGTGGCGGGCCTGATGGAGAAGTATGGATTTGTATCATGGAACATGGTAAGCTCTTCCTTAGCTGATGGGAATGCTGTATATGGTCCCGCTTCAACGGCATATGACGACACTGAGACATGAGGACAGACGCACAATACCAGCGCAACTCGGCCAGAGATGGCGAAGCTGTACGACCCGCAATTTGCCAACGTTGCAGATTACGATGCCATTGTACAGATCGTGTTCAAGGACGTGGATGACTTCGTTAGGATGAAGGTAATATCTCAAGACCGTCTAAAAACATTGATCCTCCGCTGACTTACGGAAGGCGGATCCACACTTCATGAAGAGTGTCACACCGGATCATGAGAAATTCGCAGATACCAAGCGGTCAAAGTACGTGACTCACCTTCGCGAAGAGTAAGCCGGCTTACCAACTGCTTCTAGGATGACGATTGGCCTTCATACGGTTCTCTTGAGAGACGGCAAGGTCGTGAGCTGATCAAGCCCATATGATATCTGGGTTGAGTTTATAGAATATTGCATTGTTGTCGCACCTGGCTCCCTCTTGACAATAAGTGAAAAAATAGCGTTTCGTGCGCAATATATCATAGGCTTCTTCAGGATCAGATAGAAAGATCACAAGTCCCCAGACTATTTCTCGGGAGCCCGCGACAGTCCCATGGATATAAACGTCCGCCTGCGCATCAGCCCAAGTGCATCATGATCATGATGTGCCTCGGAACTCTGGATGCGAACTGCTGCTTTGAAGTACTTCCGTGCACAAGTAACCCAGTATGTGGATGCGCCCTCTGCCTAGTGGTGCTGCAGCTGTTTCCAGGAATAGGAATGCACAAATGCCACCAGCTTGCAACGTGGGCGTGCTCGTACTTACCGGAATGACCGTACTGGGCTGTTTACTCCTCTTCCGCGGATTGCGTGTTGTCACAATCATCCGGTTGGACGTGAATGGTTAACACGGCAGACTAAACCCGAAGGGTGGGATGTAAGGAGTAAGCTGAGATGCTGCATCTCGGAGAAACTGTTGATACCCGATCCGGGCCAACCTCTTGTGCACCAGACCGCAAACCATCCTCAATCAGCATCTCAAATTGCCCTTGAATTTTATCCTAGCCCGAGTGGAGCGCCTTCTATGCACGCTTCCAGCCATCGACGACGGTGGCTCTGGGCGGAGCCGTCGAACGGGCCCTCTTGCAACAGCCGGCAGGAGCTGTGGTATGACAAGTTGACAGCAGCCCATCTCCACCAGTACCAGAAGATGCTTACCAAACGCGGCTGAGATGAATCTGGTTGACGTTGTGCATGGACCGACGGTGCCAGAGGAACGTGGCGTGGTTCTACCGTCCTTCTCAGCAGAGTAACAGGTGCCGCAATTGCCCAGTGGTCGTGACATCCATTGCTCTTCGAGGTGCAATGGGCCCACCCTAACGGGGGCTAACTTCAAAGCCAGATCTTTATCCATCCGAAACCCAGACTCTGTGTCCGTTTTGGAACCCCTCGGCCAATCATGGAACATGAGGACAGGGTTGGAGTCGAATGGCGCTTCAACCTTCGGACTCCGAAAGGGCGTCAGGGAAGTGACAGCCGCTGCCCTTGGCGTTAGCGCTGACCGGGAGTCGCCATGATTTCGTCTGTGATCTGCAGATAGCTAGGTTACCAAGCCTCTCCTGGTGGAAGCCGGCGGGGTGGCAGATCGACGGATGATGGACCTGCGACCATGTTTGGTCCATGAACGCATGCGGACGAGACATACATGTCCCAAAGTGCCCGTATCAATAGAGTGGAACGTACCGGTAATCGGGGCCAGCGTTTGAGATCTCTTCCAAACCGGTGCGATCAGACCCGTTTGCTCATTGCGCTGTATATATCCCTCTGCCTTGGTACTAAGAGACTTCACTATCACTGCTCCAATTGCAACGTCCACGGCCTGCCATCCATACCCTCGTTAGCGCAAGCCTGCCGCCTATGTTGAAGGTACTTCTGGGGAATCTAATAATACACCTCCTCCGCCTTCCTTGACAGTCAAGCATCCTCTCCTTAGCCACTGCGACCACTTTTTCCCAACTCTACCGACCATGGCATCAACAAAGATCTATCTTTTTGGAGACCAGACACACAGCTTCGATGCCGGTCTACGTCGATTATACCAGCAGAAGGAGAATGGACCCCTTACAGCGTTCTTCGAGAAGGTCCATTTCGCCCTTCGGCGAGAGATAGGACAGCTTCCTGTCGCAGAGAGGCAATGGTTTCCCGCCTTCACGAGCGTAGTCGACCTGCTCGCTAGGCATCGTGAGTTGGGGAACAATCCTGCACTGGAGGGCGCATTAACTTGCATCCATCATTTAGCGTGCTTCATCAGGTATGTCTGGGTAAGGTTCTTCTGTAGGTCACTCCTAACCGATGATGTTTAGTCACTTTGGTGAAGGCTCCCGAATATATCCAGCGCCTGTGGACAGCATTGCAGCCGGTGCCTGCATAGGTCTCCTTGCGGCAGCAGCAATCAGCTCAGCTCAAACCGTCATCGATCTTCTACCACCAGCCGTTGAAGCGGTGCTGGTTGCTTTCTATACCGGTCTACGTACGATGGAGACACGAGATTACATCGAGCGCGCTCCATCCACTGCGAACTGGTGTATGGTTGTTGCCGCACCGGACGAGCACATGGTATCTGCAGCCATTGAAGACTACGCCTGTGCAAAAGTAAGGGACATATGGCTTGTAATGGTAGGTATTCGCTAACATGTGCCAGTGCCTATCACGTTCGTCCCGGCCCTACATCAGCGCTGTGAGCACGTCAAGTCTGGCAATCAGCGGCCCACCAAGAGTGCTTGAAACGATGCTTCAGTCTTCACCGTTCAACGCTTGGCGACCACTCAAACTCGCCATTCACGCTCCCTACCACGCTTCGCATCTTTATCAAGAGGCAGATTTAGACGCTATCCTCAGTATGAGGCATCAGGCAGTGCTCAACTCATACACACCGAAGATTCCCGTAATATCAAGTGTGACCGGCGATCGTCTTTCCGCCTCAAACTACGGTGCTCTCTTGAGGTGCGCACTGAGGGAGATTCTACTAGAACCGCTGCGGTGGAACAAGATCATCGAAGGTTGCAAGAACATCGCCGAATCGATTAACTCCGACCTGTGGCAAATCTTCCCAGTTGCAAGTTCGGTACCGAATGGCTTGGTTTCGGCGTTGCAGCAGGGTGGAAAAGTTGAGGTCGAAGTGGATGACTGCATTTCGTCTGGATCCAAGCGGCCATCATCTCGGGGATCGCCCACTGGTCGGCCAGAACAGTCAAAGATTGCGATTATTGGCTACTCAGGACGCTTTCCTGATGCGATAAGTCCCGAGCACTTCTGGGATCTCATGTATCAGGGCCTGGACGTCCACCGTGAAGTGCCAAAGGACAGGTGGAACGTCGAGACGCACGTAGACCCCACAGGCAAGAGGAAAAACACGAGCAAGGTGCCATATGGATGCTGGATCCGTGAGCCGGGACTTTTCGATTCGCGATTTTTCAGCCTTTCCCCTCGCGAGGCGGACCAGAGCGACCCAGCACAGCGATTAGCGATTACAACAGCCTACGAAGCCCTTGAAATGGCCGGTATCGTGCCCAATAGAACGCCTTCGACGCAGCGTAACCGAGTCGGAATGTTCTATGGTACTACCAGCGACGACTGGCGTGAGATCAACAACGGCCAGAACATTGATACATATTTCATTCCTGGAGGAAACAGGGCTTTCGTACCCGGTCGGATCAACTACCACTTTAAATTTAGCGGCCCCAGCATTAGTGTGGACACGGCCTGTTCGTCCAGTTTCGCAGCTATCCATACCGCATGCAATGCTCTCTGGAGGGGAGAATGCGACACTGCGGTCGCTGGCGGTACCAATATTCTGACGAATCCGGACAACCACGCGGGCCTTGATCGCGGACACTTCCTTTCAACCACCGGTAACTGCAAGCCGTTTGACGATGGTGCAGATGGATATTGTAGGGCGGACGCCGTTGGTACGGTCGTCCTCAAAAGGCTGGAGGACGCAGAAGCAGACAACGATCCGATTCAGGGCGTTATACTCGGAGCCCTAACGAACCACTCTGCGGAAGCAGTCTCAATCACGCGGCCGCACGCTGGGGCCCAGGCTTACATTTTCGACAAAGTCTTGAACGCCTCAGGAATCGACCCAACCGAGGTTGGCTACATCGAGATGCACGGAACGGGCACTCAGGCTGGTGATGCCGTCGAAATGAGCTCTGTTCTAAGCGTCTTTGCCCCCGATACACGCAAACGCTCCTCGGATCAGCCGCTGTACCTAGGATCTGCCAAAGCTAACGTTGGCCATGCGGAGTCCGCCTCTGGGGTTACTTCACTCATTAAGGTCCTACTTATGATGCAGAAGAACATTGTTCCTCCGCACGTAGGCATCAAAACCAAGATCAACCATGGGTTTCCCAAGGATCTCGAACAGCGCAATGTTCGTATCGCTATGAGGCCTACGCCATGGACGAGAAACGATGGCAAGAAGAGGCGTGTGTTCTTGAACAACTTTTCGGCTGCTGGTGGCAACACCGCGCTATTGCTTGAGGACGCGCCGATCGCTGCGGCCAAAGAGGGAGCAGATCCTCGTTCTACTCACGTTTTTGCCGTGACTGCGCGGTCGAAGAATTCGCTCGTGAACAACATCAAAGCTATGTCGACCTATGTAGGTGGCTGCAAGGAGGACGAATTGCCAAAGCTAGCATACACGACGACTGCTCGCAGGTTGCACCACAACTTCAGGGTCATGGTCAGCGGAAACGACTTTTCGTCAGTCAAGGCTGCGCTGGACGCCGCTGCTGCTCGGGACGACTTCCGACCAGTGCCCGCAGCTGCCCCGAAAGTAGCTTTCGCCTTCACCGGCAACGGATCCCAGTACATCGCCATGGGAAAGCAACTCTTCGACAATTTCGCTCAGTTTCGTCAGGACATCCAGCGGTTCGACAGCATCGGACTGGCCCAGGGCTTTCCTACGATACAGCCCCTCATTGATGGCAGCTGCTCGAATATCGACGAACTTGGACCGATCGTGACGCAGCTGGGTGCTACTTGCATGCAGATGGCACTGGCAAGACTCTGGGAATCCTGGGGAGTGAAGCCAAGCGTGGTAGTCGGCCACAGTCTTGGAGAATACGCAGCCTTGAACGTCGCTGGAGTACTCTCTGCAAGCGATGCCATTTACCTAGTGGGCAAGAGGGCGCAGTTGCTGCAAGAGCGTTGTACCGTGGGAAGCCATGTTATGCTTGCCGTCAAGGCGTCCGCTTCCTCCATCAGCTCTTTCTTGGATGGTAAAGAGGCCGAAGTCGCCTGTATCAATGCTCCTGAAGAGACTGTCGTTAGCGGCCCAAGCGATGTCATCGATAACGTTGCGGACAAAATCGCATCTGCAGGCTTCAAGTCGACAAAACTGAAGGTGCCATACGCTTTCCACTCAGCGCAAGTTGAGCCGATTCTGGAGAGTTTCCAAGACATCGCGGACTCGGTTACCTTCCACGGACCCAGCGTTCCAATCATCTCCCCATTGCTTGGCGAAGTCTTTACTGATGCGAACTGTTTCTCCGGCAAGTATCTCGCCCGTCATTGCCGTGAGCCGGTGGACTTCCTCCGTGGTATCGAGGCTGCAAAGAGCGCTAAGATTCTCAACGACAGCATGATGTGGCTCGAGATTGGTTCCCACCCGATTTGCGTGGGTATGATCAAAGCAATATTTGGCCCCAAGGTCACGGCACTAGCTTCTCTGCGTCGCAATGAGGACAGCTGGAAGATTCTATCAGGGACCTTGTCAGCCCTTTACCTTGCTGGTGCCGAGATCGACTGGAATGAATATCACCGAAATTTCACCGCATGTCATAAGGTCCTCAGACTGCCTGCTTATGCTTGGGACTACAAGAACCACTGGCTTGAGTACAAGAACGATTTCTGCTTGACAAAGGGCGATGCACCAATCGCTGCTGTCGCTCCCCCCGCTCCCGAGCCGACCTTCTCTACAACCGCTTTGCAGACATTGATTGAGGAGCATGCAGAAGACGACAAGGCGACTGTCCTGTTCGAATCACGGCTGTCGGATCCTGGCCTTGTTGCAGTTGTGCAGGGCCACAAGGTCAATGGCAATCGTCTCTGTCCTTCTTCGCTATATGCGGACATTGGTCTCACGCTAGGAGACTACTTGCTCGAGAAATATCGGCCTAACGAGAAGACGAGGACAGCTATGGACATTGCAAAGATGAGCATCGACAAACCCCTTATCGCCAAGGATCCCGACAATCAACGCTACCGCGTGTCCGCTACCGCAGATTGGACAACCTACACCATTGCATTCAACATCTTCAGCGTTACTCCGGAGGGGAAGAAGACCGTCAATCACGCCAATTGCCTCGTCAGATTTGGAGACCCGAAGGTCTGGCTAGCTGAGTGGAAGCGCTCTGAGTACCTAATCAAGCCGCGCATCCAGTCACTTCTCAAAAGCGTGGATGATGGACAGGCGTCCAGACTTAAGCGAGCGATGGCCTACAAGCTTTTCGCAACATTCGTGGAGTACGACCAGAAGTACCGCGGTATGGAGGAGGCCGTGCTTGATAGCGCTAATTTCGAAGCCACTGCACGTGTCAAGTTTCAGGACACCGAAAAGGATGGCAACTACTACCTTAGCCCCTACCGAGTGGATAGTCTTGGCCACCTTTCTGGGTTCACCATGAACGCCAATGAGACCATTGATACCAATGTGCAGGTTTATCTCAATCATGGATGGGAATCAATGCGCTGCTCTGGAAGTTTTTCATCCGAGAAGACCTACCGGACGTATGTCAAGATGCAGCCCACTGAAGGGACTATATACGCTGGAGACGTTTACATTTTTGATGAAGATGTGATCGTCGCGGTTTTCCAAGGTGTCAAGGTCAGTCTTGAGTGATTTGCCATTCCACCTGATCCGATGCTGACTTGTAGCAGTTCCAAGGCGTGCCACGCAAGCTTATCAACACGGTGTTGCCCCCTCCCAATGCTTCTAAAGCCACCCCAACGCCGGCAGCAAACCCTCCCAGAACCGTGACACCGACTGTACCTGCCAGACAGCAGAAGGTACAGGAGCCACCAGCCAAAAAGGCTAAGGCTACCACCATTGCAATCTCTCCACCGAAGCCCGCTGCCTCTAGCGTGATGGCGCGCGCACTTACCATCATCTCTGAAGAAGTCGGCGTGTCGCTGTCCGAGCTGACAAATGACGCTGTGTTTGCTGACCTTGGTGTTGACTCCCTTCTGTCACTGACCATTTCCGGCCGCTTCCGTGAAGAGCTTGACCTTGATGTCGAGTCGTCTATCTTCACCGACTGCGAAACCGTCGAGGCACTCGGCAAGGCCATCGCGCCCAGCAATCCTGAACCGCAGGCTCCTCTCGATTCGGTGGTTCTGAGCCCAAGCCGATTCAGCTCCGGCATTACCACGCCGGCAGACTCCGATTCAGATTACGCGCTTGACGATGCCTCCAGCAACACATCTATCGACGAAATGGAAGATGAACAGCCCAGCAAGAGCGACGGTACAATGGCACAGATGCGCCGGATACTCTCGGAAGAAATCGGAGTTACCGAAGACGAACTGACCGGCTCGGTCGAGCTATCTGACTTGGGCATGGACTCGCTCATGGCACTCACTGTTCTTGGTAGACTGCGCGAGGAGCTGAACCTTGATCTTCCCTCGGATCTGTTTGCCGAACACGGCAGCCTGGATGCCATCCAAGCAAGTCTAGGTATCACTCCACAGCCAACTGCCCGGCCCGCACCGCAACAAGCAGCCGCACGTATGGAACGAAAAGTTCCTACCGAGCCGATGCCGGCTGCAACCTCAATCTTGCTGCAAGGTAGCGCCAAAACATCCACCAAGAAGCTGTTCCTGTTCCCTGACGGCTCCGGTTCCTCAACATCTTATATGAACCTTCCGAAGATTGGCTCCGATGTCGCTCTTTACGGGCTGAACTGCCCATTCATGAAGACTCCAGAGAAGCTCAAGGGCAGCCTCTCAGAGCTAACAGCACCTTACCTCGCCGAGGTGCGCCGGCGTCAGCCGAAAGGCCCTTACTACCTAGGCGGCTGGTCGGCAGGCGGTGTCTGCGCCTACGATGCCGCTCAGCAGCTCATCGCTGAAGGCGAAGAAGTGGCTCGCCTCATCCTGCTGGACTCACCGTTCCCGATCGGCCTCGAGAAGCTGCCACCGCGGCTGTACAAGTTCTTCGACTCGCAAGGCATGTTCGGCACAGGCAACAAGGCTCCTCCCAGCTGGTTGCTACCGCACTTCCTTGCTTTCATCGAGTCGCTAGACGCCTACAGAGCTGTGCCATTCACCAAGGGCACGGCGCCTAAGACTCACCTCATCTGGGCAAGAGATGGTGTTTGCAAGAACCCCACCGACCCCAGACCCCCTCCCCAAGACGATGACCCGAAGGAGATGAAGTGGTTGTTGAACAACCGAACAGACTTTGGTCCCAATGGATGGGACACCCTGGTTGGCGGAAGCAGTAATATGGTAATCGAGAGCATGAGCGATGCCAACCATTTTTCAATGATGGAGGGTAGCAAGGCCGGCGAACTGAGTACTTTTATCGCAAGGAGCATGACTTAGAACTTGGGATGCATGGTAATTTTTCTGTTCAATACCATTTCCGGGAGTCTTGTATTTTCATGGATCATCGGGGCGGGCGAGGCGTAAAGCGGTCCTGTTATTTCAATAATATGCCGGATATTCTTGGCGTTCTAGCGGATAGACCGTTGGATTTTACGTACCCACGCCATGGTAGATTTAGTTATAGCTGCTTCAAATGGACATGAATGCTATCTCAGCTTGAGTCGCTTGGTTGTGGCCTTTGCTGTTGGGTGCTCATCCTGCTCCGTTTGAGAGTTCTGAGCCTCCGCGATCGTACGGAACACCCGCCCGTTTAGCTCCTCCGGGATTGAGTGTCTCAAGGATATAAGTAGATCCTTTTCGAAGTCAGCCGTCCTAACGGTGACCTTCGGTCTGTGCCGCTTGGATTTGACATTGCAAAGCCTCGGTAGGCCTCATGAACAAATCTACGGTGTAACTCTTGTCCCTCTGGCATCAATCCCGAGTCCGACTGCTCACGCGGCCGGACGGATGGCGCACTCTGCTATTCTGATGATGACCGCCTTGCCCAGGTCATCATCCCACTTCAAAACCACGATGCAGCCTTGATCGGTCCTGTTTCCGCGACGTCGCGCCATTCGATTGACCCGCCCTGCAAGCCAAGCGAACCCTGAAGCCCCGCTGTCCACACTGGCGGAGATGGCGAGTGCGCAAAAGGGTGCGGACCAGCCCGCTCAACTCACCACCACGGATATCCAGAGCGCGATAGCTCATCCGGGAACTATTCAGATCAATGTTCAGGGCGCATTCATTGTTGATGACGAGTCGAAGACTCCCAATGGCTTCTTGCACGATTGCGAGGATTACAAGCATGACCACAATGACATTCGGCTGCCCAACCACACGGCGGTTGTGAGCCACGTTGCTGTTGATGTAGGCTACTCAAACCGTATCTATTCAACGGGGCCATCGAGCTGACCACAGACATGATCTCCTAGATTGGCGGCTCCCTCGCAAAACTCGTCTACTTCTCACGCGAGCCCGGCGAATCCCCAGATCTCGGCGGCCGCCTCAACTTCCTCAAGTTCGAGACCGACAAGATCGAAGCATGCATCGAGTTCCTACGACAGCTTAAGCTCGAGCACCAAGCTCAGAATGGCTCGAAGCCGACGTCACGCGACCTGTGCGTCATGGCAACTGGGGGCGGCGCATTCAAGTACTACGACAAGATCAAGGAAGCGCTAGGCGTCAAGGTGCAGGCGGAGGATGAGATGGAGTGCTTGATTATCGGTGGGCCACAATCGCCATGTTAGAGTGACGGGTGGCATTGGGAACAATACTGACTCGATTGATCTGCCAGGTCTCGATTTTTTCATAACAGAAATCCCCTCTGAGGTCTTTACCTACAGCGAAACAGACCCGATGCACTTCGTCGAAGCTCGCGCAGACATCTATCCCTACCTCCTCGTGAACATCGGCTCCGGCGTGTCCATGATCAAGGTCTCCGGCCCGCGCGAGTACCAGCGTGTTGGCGGAACCTCTCTCGGCGGCGGCACGCTCTGGGGCCTGCTATCCCTCCTCACCGGGGCGCGGAACTTCGACGAGATGCTCAAAATGGCCGACCAGGGCGACAATACTGCTGTCGACATGCTGGTTGGTGACATCTACGGGACGGGACGCGATTACGATAAGATTGGGCTCAAGAGCACAACCATCGCGAGCAGTTTCGGGAAGGTATACAAGATGAAGCGGCAGGCTGAGCGGGAGGCCGAGGACCACGGGGGACTGGCCAACGGGGATGATGGATTTAGTCGTAGTGCTTCGCCGGAGTTGGATGGCGTCGATGGCCCACACGAAGTGGCTGTAGATGGGATATCGTTCAAGCCGGAGGATGTTAGCCGGAGTTTGCTTTACGCCGTGAGGTAAGTTACTTCTTTCTGGGGACATTCACCCAGTGTCAAACGCTGACGGGGTTTCGTACAAACAGCAACAACATCGGTCAAATCGCCTACTTGCATGCAGAAAAGCACAATCTGGAGCACATTTACTTCGGCGGCTCTTTCATTGGCGGTCACCGGCAGACCATGAACACTCTCTCCTATGCCATCCGCTTTTGGTCCAAGGGCCAGAAGAAAGCTTACTTCCTAAGACACGAAGGTTATTTGGGGGCGGTGGGTGCTTTTCTGAAACGACAGCCGCCGAACTGGGGACGGAGAAACAGCTTGGATGGGCTGTATACGCTTAACAGGGCAAGCTCGAGGGGACAATAACTTGAGATGATTTGACTGCAAGCCGGAAAGTATTTTAAGCACGTTAGCAAGCGATCTCTTCTTAGCGCATGTTATGTGTGTACTATGAGTAGGAGACTGAAACGGAAGTAAAGAAACTGGTCCTTGTTATTTGCACATCTATCGGTTCGCAAGCGGCGAAACCCCAATTATCATCATTGCAAGTAGTTGTCTAGTAGTCTTCTAGGAGCGAGTTTCACATCAATCATGGACATAGGTTGCTGAAGCAGTGTAGTTTTTGCAAGTTTTTGGTTGTCTATCGTACAAAATATCTAGTCTACATCTAGTGCACCGTACAAAAACATAAACGTATCCACCGAAGACCTTCTAGTTCGGGGTATCGTGAGAGCCATGAACGCCGCTGATGCACAAATGCTGAATCCTCCCATAAAAAACGCCATCAAAATGCTCAACGCTAATGTCGCGGCATACAGTCATGCAATACGTAAAACAGACGCTAACACAAGCTCATTGACAGCTTACTGATCGACATACAGTTGGCCCGCGAAAGAGAACGTGGGCCGCGCAGCTGGCAGCACCTTTGTGCACTCGGTGAGGCTGTTGATGTTGTTGACGCCGAGCAAGCTCAGGCGGATGTAGGAAGAGGCATAGTCCTGTACAGCGAAGTCAGCAGATTGCTCCATGGATGTATACCGTGCTTGATGATAGGCCAAGACATACCTCATTCCAATGGCTCTGACCGCCCGGGCCGGCGAATTGGTTCCACTCATCCGCAACCCTGCTGTCGTTCGCGAGAGCCATATCACTCTTGAGCCTGAACACCTTGTCCGGCGTACCGCTGATCGTCTGGCTGTAGAACAGCGTATCCCAGACACCAGGAGTGCCATCCTGCGGCTGGCCGGCCTTCTTCGGGTCCACAAAGAACTGCTGGCTCGTGGTGTGCGCGCCCACCAATGCAGCAAGCATGTGCGGCGTAATCGTCTTATCCTCGAACAGCTTGATGAGGGTGCTAGCATCCGAGTTGACATCAGGCATCAGCCCATCTGGCGCCGCGATTCCAGCAGGCGCGTCCTTGCGTCCAATGAATGTCCGCGTGCGGGGACCTAGCGGGCAGGTCACCACGGCATGGTTGGCGGCGAACTGGATCAGATCTGCCATGCCGACGCCGAAGGGGCCGAAGATCTTCTGCAACGCCCACGCCTTCGCGACGATGCCTTCCAACCCTTTGTTGTCGGGCCGCTTGATCTCGGACCCTGAGAGCACGATACTGCCGTCCGCACCTCCACCGCCGCGGGTCTTGGACCAGGCAGCCGCGTCATGGAAACCGAGACGGATGGCCTGGCGCGCGAGGCTGTTGCAGCGGCCGCTGGGGCCGCGGAACGCGAGGGTGAGGTCGAACGAGATGTGTGCCCATATGCAGCAAGGGTCGGCTTTGCAGGCTTTGGTGCCGGGCAGGCCAGGGATCCTGTAGGTTGCGGCGCTCTGGCCGGTCTCTTTGCCCGTGAGGATGTTGGCGATGGTTTGGCCGACGGGCGTGGTGATGCCGTTCTTGAGGTCGCCGATGAGCTCGCCGGCGCCGGTGGCGGAGCCGTCGCCGTCACCGTCGTCGGCGGGGGCTACTTGTGGAAGGCGCTTGTTGAGGTCTTTTTGGAGGTTTGCTAGGCCGGGCCATGCGGTGACGAGGGAAGAGAGAGTGGCGGCGGTGAGGGCAATGTTGAAGAGGAAGTTTGTGGGCTTCATCTTTGCTGAGGGATGATGACTGTGAGATGGATGCTTTTAGAGGATGAGAGTGAGTAAATGTAGGATAGAGACTGTTGGGGGAGGAATGAGTATTGCAATGAACGCTTCAATGAATTGCTTGATGATCTGTTCGTAGAGAAGAGAAGGGGACTTGATATATGAAAGCAAGGATGACCAAGGGAAATACTCTACGATCTACTCGTATGCAGCCTTACAGCAGCCACAGAATGAAATACGAGGCATCACATCAATCTGGAAGATAGCCAAGTCCCCAAGTACGACATTTCCATGGTAAGGGCAGCTGCGGTGAACAGCCGAGCAGATCTGGATTGACAGTTGTTAACCAAATTAGTCTAGATGGTCGGACCGCATAGGGCTGTCCCTCGAGTAGCTTCTTGGCCTTCTCGTATTTAACAAATCCGGTGATGCTCATTGGGTTCTCTCTTCTCGTGACGTGCATTTGTAATGGTGTTGATGGGCCCGGTGCCTGGAGGCGGATTGAATTTTCTCTGGCTTCCTCGGTCGAGCTGCGACTTGGCGGTACGGATCGACAAAGGCGCCCGCTCCGGGTGCTCGAGCTCACCACAGGCCCAGCTGGGGGACCCGAAAAGAGGACGTCAGGGCGCCTGAAGAGGTTTAGGGGTTGAATGTCAGTGTCATCCGCGGCTGAGAGCGGCATGGCGGGCACGGACTGATCTGCGAAGATTTGCACAGCCATCGGCCTGGATCTTGAAGTCGACAACTTTCCGGGGCCGCGGGATCGCTGCAAGGGTCGAGCGGACTTCCGCCAAGCCGTTGCGGCTGTCAAGTTTTCCACAAGTGCCTCTTGGACGTCGACTATTGCCTTGACGCCATATGAGGAAGTGTTCGACTCGCATCGCTAGTTCACTGCTTGGCCTTCTCTGACATGCTGTAGTGGCTTGGTGTCGGATAGTACCGGTAGGAGGGACCTCCTTAGCTTGCTCCATTACCCCTCTGGACTTCTCTAAAGCTCTCAGGCACCTAGAGCATCGTGAAGGCGTAGATCTTGTGGATGTGCTAGTTACTGCTTAGGCCGCACACACATGCACAACGCCGCTGAACGGTGTCTAGCTGTCAGCGGTATTCTGTTGGCAGGAGTCAGTTGTACTCGAGTACCAGCCTAGCGTATTACGTAGCCAATATCCGCCGGTGATTACTTCACATCTTGACAGATATTCTATCGTGGCCGTAGCAAGCGTTCTATCAAAAATAAATCTTCGTCCCTTAGGTGCGATTGTTTGTTCGCCTGACCTACAAAGATTTGATTAGGAAGGTTATCCAAATTCACTACAAATGCTAAGAGCTCATTCTAGTTGCTGAATACATTGAGTGCGCCGGAAAAGGTGAAGCTCACCGACGGTAATCTTAACAAATATCTACGTCCTTGGCAGGGCCTTCGAGCGGTACATTCAATAAGCCAGAACGAGAGTCAGGTTAGGGGCTTGGGCGAGAACCTCAAATCAACTCGAATATCACGCTCTCAACGCCTCGCTCCATAAACTCACCATCCATGATTCCATGCACATATGCTGGGCCGACGAGCTCGTACTGCTCCCCTCCGGCCTTCCGAAGCACGCATGGTATCTTCAAGCCAAGTATTATGCAGACCTCATCACCAGGCTGAAGAGTTTTCGGACCGCGTCCAAGATAGCCCTCGTCCGTGATGAACAGTTGCTCCTCAGCCAGCTCGGTGGTCGATCGGTAACTCCCTGAATACTCCTCGTCAGAATGCTCATCCAATAGCAGCTGCGACAAGCGGAGCAAAGCCTCGTGGTCACGCTTGCCTGCCTCTGATGTTCTAATGGATTCGCCTCTGCGCGTCGAAACATGGTCCACAACAAGGGTCTTCCATATCGCATCCCTCTGCTGTTCGGCCGTCTCGTACGTAGTCGCCTCATGACTGCAACGATCCTTTAGTTCGGACAACCAGCCTCCATGTTCCGGGTGCCCTAGCTCCCCATGATCGCCGGCCTTGGTGCTGCGAATTGTATCCACTCGGACTCCACTGAGCGCAAGGATTGGCTGCGTCTCAATGCCACGAAGCTCAAAGCTACTGCGAGTGTTCCCGGAGGCATTGAAGTTGCGGGCTCTAATGGTTATCGTTGGAAACCGCACCCCAACCGACCAGTCTGGCACCCATGATGGAAGCGTGAGCTGGGATCGCCCTCGTCGCATCGTGCATAGCAGTGTTTGAAGATCACCTTCTTCAACCATAGCTTTGCCAGTCTTGATGTAGAGTCCTTCAGTGGATAGCGAGTAATCCGCCTTGATGTCTAATCCGTCCGAATTCTTGACCAGCCCCAAGAGCGCAAACACCTTGTCCCTGGGATCGGTGGCTAGCGATAAACCGAAACACGACGTGTCGTAGAGTAGCCCTTGTAGAGAGATCACGTCTTTACTCTGGAATCTTCGCCTACCGTGTTGCACTGTGAAAAACCGTGTCATGTTCCTCTGGATGTTGGAACTGTGAATACTTGTCCGCCGTTGATCGTATGAGACGAGAAGAGATAAGCCTATAGCCAGCTCTTCTAATGTTGTAATGAAAGGGCCACACTGGATCCGGACGTCCCTGGCAACGGCTACCTCTTGCAAAATCCACACACGTGACCAGTAGCCTCTCTCAAACAAGTCAAACAAAGGTCTGAACAACCCTAGGAACTTCTCGAGATAGAGTTCAAGAGTTGGGACATCTGCACGGGTTGCCACTTGGATATCACAACCTGCGTCGCGAAGCTCTTTCAGTTCCTTGATCGTCTCACCGGTGCCGGCTGCCGCCATGCCCAACCATGACACCACATAGACCGCGTCATGGTAGATAGTCCGCATGCATTGGACCTGAGCGCTCTTTTCTGCGTCGTCCTTTTGATTGATGCAGATAGCGTCGATCCAAAGGGGTCTATTCGTATGCTGGCCATCATCTCGGAACTGGCGGAGAGCAGTCTCCAGATTCTGTGTAGCCAGGAAAGAACATCCGTCGACCAGGATGGGCACAATATTATGAGGATCGCCCCAGCTGTATGACAGGGCCACGTACTCAGGCTCATCGCCAAGAGAGACATGGTGAAGCGTGCAATTGACTGGATTGACGCCATCGGTTGTCTGACCTTGATCAAACGGCAGTATCTTGACAAGGCGAATTTCTCGCTTCCCGGGATCGAGGGGTAAATATTCCAACGACAACTTTATGGGATCAAATGGGTGATGATAATCGATTGTTTGTTCCTCCTTTTGAGCATCGTGAGACAGCCGGATGGCAGTATCCCTTCGTATGGCTGCTGCCGTCAAACTTCTCAGCGGTCCAAGGGGTGAGCGCGACACCGCGAAGTAAGACGCCCTTCCAATCATCTGAATTGTTTGTTATCAAGTAGAGGATGCCTTTCGGTCGTCGTCGTAGGCAGACAGGCTCTTGCGGCTGTGCATTTCGGCGGCTACAGTGCCCGTTGTTACGCTCACCTTGAAACTCCCGCTGAAAGGGTGCCATCCATGATAGATAAGGCTTTCCTAGTCCTTACTAAGTTAGCACGAAGCTGGACGCATTGCTGGTCCAATGCACTACGTAGGTAGAGTAGTACGGGGAAGATTTGCAGGTTGATCACGTGGGATGCACACGTGATCGATCTACGAACTTTGGCGCCTTGGTCGGCATTGTAACTAGTAGCACCTATTGCTCATATACACCTAACTATATCTGGATTGCTGTAAAAGCACGATGAAGAATGAAGACCTTGAAGCTGGTTATACTTCTAAACTAAAATACACGCTTGAACAGAAACGCTCCCACTTCGATGGTGGACTGGTATCGTGAGAACATAACGCCGCTGCAGCGAGATCCTGCCGCCCCGTGGCCCCTATACACCAACTCCATAAGCTGCAACTTGAGCCAACAGTGGCCCTTTCTCTAGGAGGAGTATGCTGCCTCGGCCAGATAGATAACGCCGAAGACGATGAAGGCAAATGCTCCGCCGAGTGTGACTGTCAGCAGCAGTTAGCAGGGAGGTTACAGTCTAAACGGTACGGGACGTGTTGGACTCACCTTTTTTCATGCTCACCCGTCCCGCAACAGCTCGACCGCCAATTACTGCAGCGGCAGTGCAAACTGCATGTCCGCAGATCGCGCCCCCAGTGACCCACCAGTAATCCTGTCCAGCCGCCATCGCGATGGTCGCGATCTGACTCCTATCACCCCACTCGCCAAGGAACGTCATGACGAACGTCTGCACCCAAGCTGGGCTAAGTAGTAGAGAAAGCAGATTATTCAAGCCACTCAGCGCGTTCTTGAAGGACGAGCCGCTCGGTGATGGTGAGCGAGAAGTCGAAGACGAGGGACTTCTCGCCGGGGCCGGTAGCCTTGAGTTCGAACGTTCTCGGCGACCACGACCCGCCTCGAGGGCGTAGGGCGAGATGGACGACCTTCTGCGGCTGCTGCGACGAGCCAAGTGTTCCTTCTCTTCTAGCTCCATCTCTACCTCCTTCATCTCCTCGCCTACGCCTTCGTCTGCGGACATGGCGTAGCCTTCTCTCATAAGCTTGGCTCCAAACACTAAGAACAGGATTGCAGCCAGGAAGTGTACAAATCGTTCAGGTAGTAGAGTAGGTACGGCGTGACCGAGGATCGCGGAGAGGACGGTCATGGCGATGAGTGCGGAGAAGGCGGCGGAGAAGACGACAAGGCGGGGATGGCGCATTGCCATGAGCGCAGCAACCAGGAAGGTCTTGTCGCCAACCTCGGAGAATAGGATCATGGTGAGGGCGAGAACGAAGGAGTGGAAGGGTTGGATGACGCCGCCTGTGTCCTCCTCGGGCAGTGAAGGCGGGGATGTACCGGAGATTGATTTTGGTGGTTCAGTCTTAAGGGCGTCGTCTTTCGGAAGACTTGGAGGTACAGGCATTGGGATATCGTGGGGTGTGTCTGGAAGGTCGGCTGGTTTCTGCATGGGAATTAGTCAATTGGGCTCCAATGAGCAAAATCTGATGACTGCTCAACGGTGGAATCGATGGTTCCAGCATACCTCCATTCCTTGTGCTCCCTTCTTCTTTTCCGAGCCCTCCGCTGTTTTCGTGTCTCCTTTCTCACTGTCCGTTATCCTTCCCTGCTCACTGTGCGGCAGTGGCGGCGCCTCCTTCGGCGGATCAGGTACCTTCTCCACCTTGCCTCCCGTCTCTTTCTCTTGGGCCAAGCGATGCCTGTCCTTTTCCGACACACCACCCTCAGTCCCTGTGGGGCCCTTTTTAGCTTCCTTCAAATCGCGATCGTCCATTACGTTGAAATCTTGAACTTTCGAAGATTTGCCATCCTTGGGGGCCGCAGAGGCCGTCGCGGACACTGACAGGTCTTCCACTACTGCAGGCACTTTCTTCGGTCTGTCGCGCGAGTAGTCGACGAAAGGCCCACTCTTGGGTTTGCCATCCAGTCCGTCAACTGGCGCATCTTTTGTGCCTCGGTCCGGTCTCACGGTTGGCGATAGAGCTGCCCTCGACGATATGGCAGTATAATCTCGTGTGAGCACCTCTCGAGGCACCTGCTGGACGGGTGTAGCATCCTCTCTTTTCTCTAATCGGGCGGCGCAGGCGAGTGCGGGTATAAGGAGCAAGAGTAGAGGCGACGGTCTTCTTCGTAACCTCATCGTGAGGGGGAGTCTGTTGACGGGACTCGTAAAAGGCTGGGCTGTTGCTTGCGCTGACGTAGATTATCCGCTTTGTTTGCGAGGCTGAATTCGCTTATGGTTGAGTCGAAGGGTGTATGTGTTGAAGCAACAGATTACAAAGTGTAGTATGATTACGAGTTGAAGAGACAAGTGTCGAAGCAAAGGTAGAAAGGAGAAGGTATTCAGTGCGGTGAATTTTAGAGAAGTACGGGGTAGTCAGCCCCTACATGCACCAAATTGCGGCGGAGCAGGGGCGACGGGAAGTTCAACGTTGAAGTGCAAGGGGGTCAGCCACGGCGAGTCGGCGATTTGACAGCTTGAACTACAGATGTCACGTTCACTGTCACTGTCTGTTATCAGTAACAGATCATAGCCTCGAGGCTCCGAAACCTGTTCTAAAATACACGTCTTTCAATTGCCGCTAATTTTCTACTCCAGTCTCTATCCGCATCTGTGCCCTGCGTGCCTGATAGACGTCATCATGATCATCTGCTGTCCGGTCACGTGCATGCGTCGCACCGGATTAAAGCCGAACCCTAACCCTGATCTTACAACAAAGCAACACCTGACCGTCAAACACCCAGCTTGTGCCGCTTTTTGGATACCGCCATGGCCGACAAGAGTGTAACTCGCGGATCGCGGGTAACGCAGCAGCCCGTCCGAAGGAGTACGAGAAGCCAAAGTCGAGAGTTGGGAGGCGGACCTGAAGCGCAACAGCTGCCCGCGCGGTCGACACGTCGAACGACGCGTCAAGCCAGCGTTGACAGCGTCGAGAACACTACCAATCGCAACGAACGTCCAGCGCGAAGATCGCGAAAGAATATAAAATCCACAGCTGTAGGAGGTGCGCAATCTCAGTTCGCCTCGTCATATTTTGCTTTGTCTTCCTCCTACAAAACTTGACATAGAATTTCGTTGACCTGCTCATTCGCGCGCGACAATTTGTTCAAGCACTGCTATGCGCCAATTTCTCCCGTGATGTTTGGGTCATTGCGACTTTTGAACAGTGCCTGAGCTCTGCTGCTCTTTCGTTTGCGACGCGTTGTCCTGCCGTGACCATAGAGAAAGATGCTAAAGTACGATCCTAGATCTCACTACGGTTGAAGAAAGTCCTGCCCCGTCTCTCCTCAACCGAAGGTTAGTGCAAGATGAGGGAGAAGATTTGTCGCCGAATACACCACCGGCACAGCATGTCGAAAGCACCACTGTTCGTTCGCCTCGCCGACTGTCCGCTTTGTCAGGCACCACAGCACGCTCTTCTCTGTCCGCCGCCGATGCGGCCGAACTTGATCCTGAGATAATGCTAGAGAACCTGTCTCCCTTATATTCCGCAGCGGAAAACATCCTAGAAATTGTCGCGCCGGTAAAGGCTTCGAAAGGCGATCTGCGGAGTATTATCAAACAAATTAGAGCATCCACGTCAAGAACCGCGAAGAGGTTTGCGATCAAGCAAAAGGCGATTGAGCCTTACATAGAAGCGTTCGATAGCCGAAACATGATACGCCGCGACGTAGTCCTGAAGGCATTTTTCCATCCTACGACGGTTCAGGATCTCGATTCGCACCCATGGAGACCCGACTTAATCCTCTACAAGGCCAACCTGGCCATCATGGCGAAGCAGCTCCTCAGCCTCGATCGAGACGACACGGGCAGCTGGGATTCTGTACGTGAGCTCGACAATAGCTTTCCTCTCCAATTCTTGTCGACTTTCCCGGCGTCTGATACAGACACCGCAATTGGATTTGTTGGCGGAAGCCGCCTGTTGAAGGAGACATTCACGTTTGCGCTCGAGCTACGGACTCAACTAGCTATAATCTTGCTCTCGGAGAAATACGAAGCGTTGTCCCGCAGCCCACACAATGCTGTTGCCCAACTTTTCGGCGCTGCTGCAGCTGGCGAAGATTCGGCGCCTGTCGATATCGTTGAGGGAAGTCAGATTCGTGGTTGGGGTATTGAAGCCTTATGTGAGTCGAAAGACCACATTCCTCGGAACTTCACTAGGCAGGTGACCCAGCGAGTCAACGAGATCAAAAGCTACTTCACAGGAGACGAGGAGTATACTGTTGATTATGAGGGCCTCAGCGAGCGGTTTCCTTGGCGGGAGTTCGTGGCGCAAGCCCTGGAGTGGATAAGAATGCGGAACATGGAAATCGAGGAGCAGCTGGAGCACGCCGGTGGTGTGGAAAGACTCAGCTTCCTGCTCGATCAAGAGCTACAGTCTGGCCAGAAGCCAAGAACGTCTCTTGGCGGAGCATCAACTGCAACGGCGGTGTCTACTTCCGGGCAGTCTCCACGGAGGTCACGGAACTCCGGAGTGTCGCCGGACGGTCAATTTGAAGAAGCTGGTGACCTAGAAGTAGCTGAAGCTAGCAGGTATTATCTTCATATTCCTGAGATCGTCGCTACAGTATTGACTGAAACCGTAGCAGACCCCCGGACTATACCACAAGTGGTATTTCCGCTCTCAAAAAACGAGCGGCTCGTCTGACAGGCCAGTTTAGCCAGCCTCCGTCAGCCTCGAAGGAGCCCCGTTTCGAGGAAGATCTAGTCCCAGCCGACCCTGTGGATGACGATTGGCAGGCTGCGCCTGTTGATGACTACGACGATATCAATGCGGATGCTCCCCCGCCCCCACAGCAGCCCCCCAAAAGCTCATACTCCGCCCAGGTCAGGGAACTGCAGGGGGAAGAAAACCGCAGGGATGACGCACCTGGCTCAGCACAGAAACCTCGAGCGTTTACAGATCGTCAGCCCAATGCGCGAAGAGTCTCCTTCGATGACGGCTTTGACGCTACGCAACGCACCCAAAGTTCTGCTCAAGCAGGGACGCCGCCACGCAGTAGTATGAAGCGGGCTCGTGTCGACGAATCGGCGGATTCCGACTATCGAGAGACCGGCGCTGATGCAAGCGATGACGAAGATTTCGAGACTGACAAGCGCAACATCAGCTCACCACAACGACGCCGTCAAGCACAACCCAGGCAGCGCCGCCCCGTTAGCGAGGAGTCTCGTGTATCTCCCAACAAACGTCAACTTACGGGTGGCCGTTACCTCTCGCAAAGCCAAGTTACCATCCTCAACTCCGATGCCGATGAAGAGGCACAACATGAGGCCCCCCAAGCAAGTCAACTTCACCGTATGAGGAAGCAGATGGTGAAACGCAAGATGATGCACCGGACGAAACAGCAGCGAGAGCGCGCCTTCTGGACAGTAGAAGAAGAGGAAGAGCTGCTCGACTATCTGAAGGAGTACCGAGGTCAGGCTCCCTCGTGGGCTGATATCAAAGCATTGGATCAGGAGAGAGCCAAAGAAGAAGACAGACCAGAAGTATTTGCACTGCGAACCCAAGTTGATCTCAAGGACAAGGCGAGAAACATGTTGATACTCTACATAAAGTTGGTTACTACCTGCACTCATTCTAGGTCCAGTTCACTTACATGGGTTACAGGTCAGGCTCCGGTGCGATACCGCAATGCCTTGCAAGCGTCAGGCTGGGCAGGTCTAAAAAGGACGAGTTAGAAAGAGCCGGCTTCGACGTAAGCGAGATCCCATAGCTGCTCGTACTGGCTTGGAGTTGCGCCGATGTTTGAGGAGGACCCTGCGGAGGCGTCCGGCTCTCACGGCTTGGATACCCGAAGGTTTCTGGGATCGGATAACTGGACTTTCGTTATTTCTCTTGTTCCTTTACGCAATCAGAGCGATCATCCTTTCATTGCTAGCAGCAGCTGCTTGTACTGTCACCAGTAACATTGCTGTGACGTTGCTCATGCCCTTCGCGTGTAAAAGGATGGACTGCAGAAGGATGGATAATAATTTCCATGTGCATGTGCATGTGCATGTGCTCTTGCACCAGTGGCTTGGAAGCCTTCAATTTGCGAGGCTTTCATTGCCTGCCAGGTTGACAACACAGATGGCTTCATATCATGGTGGGTTGGCGATTGCTGCTGCTCGACTACTTAATATCATCCGGTAATTCTAAGCCCATCAGCAACACCGGGCTGGAAGTAAACGTGCCACCCGCGCAAACGGGCTGTCTCAGGCTCGACTGACGAAACGAAGAAGCCCTCCGGAAAAGCTCCCGAGCGGCAAAAGTGATAATCTCGACGAGGCTGAGTGTGCACCGTGACGCAATGCGGATTTCTGAGTTTCCGTGCCTGGCAAAATGGCGTGAGCAGGGAGCGGGAGCGATCAGGGCAGTCGGCGACCTCATTCGTTGCAGGAGAACGATCTGGACCTGCACGTGACCCGTGGCGGACGACTCGGAACTGCAACAACCGGCAGACCCTGAAATGGTGTGGTTCTTGGCGAAATACTCGTCCAAATTCGCGGTCAACATGTACTCACATATCTGCACACCGCACCCTCCCTTCTCCTCACAACCGGTGGTCAACGATCGCGAAGCTCAGGGCGACAACAACGCCCACCAGTATTCGAGATGTAGGTGCCTCACGCAGCTCTCCAATCGAGTTATCAGTCTAATCGGAAGGTACCTCAGGAACTCAACCAATTTCTTCGATGTGCCAGCGCAGCCCGACACCTACTGGGGCCAATTCGACGAGATATCCAAGTACAATGTCTCTCTCAACTACTTCGAGCGTCTCTGGGCTGCTTGGTACACCTACATGAACAACGATGTCCTCGCCACCGGCATCATGTCCTTCGTGATGCACGAAGTTGTGTACTTTGGCCGCGCTCTGCCCTGGATCATCATCGACTGCATACCGTACTTCAACAAGTACAAAATCCAGAATGTACGAGTTGGTTGCTTAGGTACTCATTCGAGAAGCATTGGCTGACTCACTATCCAGCACAAAATCCCAAGCGCAAAAGAACAATGGCAATGCGCCATGCTAGTCTTGCTAAGTCACTTTACCGTCGAGCTGCCTCAGATATGGTACGCAAAATCCAAGATCCTCTGAGGCTTTCTCCGCTAACATCCCCAGGCTCTTCCACCCCATGGCGCAGTTCTTCGGCCTGCAGACCAGCGTGCCCTTCCCCCCACTCTACAAGATGGCCTACCAAATCGCCATCTTCTTCGTTATGGAAGATACGTGGCACTACTGGACGCACCGCGCGATGCACTGGGGCCCACTCTACAAGAACATCCACAAGATCCACCACCAATACTCCGCGCCCTTCGGTCTGGCCGCCGAGTACGCCTCACCGATCGAAGTCATGATCCTGGGCCTCGGCACAGTCAGCTCGCCCATCCTCTGGTGCGCACTGACCAAGGACCTGCACATCCTGACCATGTATGTCTGGATCATCTTCCGCCTTTTCCAGGCCATCGATGCCCACAGTGGCTATGAGTTCCCGTGGAGTCTGCACCATTTCTTGCCATTCTGGGCGGGTGCCGACCACCATGACACCCACCACGAGCGCTTCATCGGCAACTACTCGAGCAGCTTCAGGTGGTGGGACTACCTCCTCGACACCGAGTCGGGTCCGGAGGCTTCGAAGCGGAGGAGGGAGCGCAAGCTCGCGAAGGCGAAGAAGGCTCAGTAGAACCGAGCGGGTGATGGTAGTCAATCTGAAGCGTGCGTGGTGATTTTGCAAGCACGGATGCCCAAGGGGGCGATGGAGTAGTTCAAGAAGTTACGAAACAGTCTTCGAGGGATGGGAGTTTTGGATGCCGTTCAGCAAGGGGCTGTACTTCGAAGTAGACTCATTACTAGAATCGAGTTTGTGTCTTTCTCGTCGCTCTCTCGAGGCTGGACCTTTGTATATAGTTTGATAAGCTAGGTCCTGCATTTCTATCTCTATATCTTGAAGTACAGACCATCGATTGTTCACACTGTCACACGTCTCAGCGATGATCGGAGAATTCTGTTGACCGTCAGCGAGACTTCATTCATGTTCCTGGATTTTGGTGTTCACCATCTCCGCTCCGCTGGGTTTTGTGAATCCAAGCAATAGAGTGTGTTTCTCAACCACAACGCATCTCACCAATGCCAGTGAAGATCACGCGCACTTCACCGCAACCCGCTCAACTCAACCGTCCCTCTCCATCTCTCCCTCCCCGAATCACAGGAGGGCGCCTGGCACACAGCCCCAACATCCGCCTTTACATCCCTCACACGGGATCCAAACAACTCCAAAGCCCCCCTTTCGCTGCTTGGTTCTATCGCTCCGCGGGCCCCCCGCTCTCTCCACCTCCCCTAATTCCCCGTCGCCTCTCCCCCTCCCCCACCCCCTCCCCTTCCCTCCGCCCCATCCCTCACCTCCCCCCACACCTCCCCCTCACGATCACAAACCCCCGCCATCACAACATCCAACTCACTCAGCCCCTCGGGCTTATGCGTCGTCCACAGCACCTCGACCCTATTATACGTATTCGACCATGTGGGGTGGTGCCGCCGCTTCTGCGCCTCCGTGGCCACCGCGCCCATGAAACCCCACGCTGCGTTGAAGCTGCGGAACTGGAATGTGCGCGCTAGCCCTGTGCGTGCGCGTGTGAGGCGCCAGGGGCCGTGGGGGGCGAGCAACGGGGTGAGGAGGAGGGTTAGGTGGACGGGGTTGGAGGGCGCGGAGAAGAGCGGGGTGAGGGGGGGTGCGGAGGGTGCGGGTTGCGGCTGCGTGGACGAGGAGGGCGGCGGTGGAGGGGTGGACGGTGGGATGGGTTGGGAGCGAGGTTTTGCGGCCACGATGCGAGGGTTGGCGCTGAGGGACTTGGAGGTCACGCGTCGGGGTGGCGCGGTATAGCCGATTGTGCTGGAGGGAGTCAGTGGGTGTGGTGAGCGGATGGGGAGATGGGCATCTATTTCACCGGATGGGCGCGGGGAGGCGCATGGTGGACAGACTGGGCGCGAGTTTCGCTGGTGCGCTGTTGCTATCCTGCTACTTCTTGATGTCTCATTACTGAGGTGTGGAGCTGGAGAGCGGGTGAGACTATCGAGTATCAGATGAAGCTGTAGAGCTTAGCGATTTGATTGGTCGAAGCTAGATCCCTGCCCGTCACAGGCCTTATTGTGATATCGCACGTAATTCCAGTTTACTAAGCGAGTAAAGCAGACGGGATCCAACATGTTCTATCATAGAGTTTCATCGTGCCAGGTCTTCAGCATTCGAGTGCGGTACCCTCAAACCATATTTTCATGAAGTAATTAGAGAGCTCCGTGCTTCCTCCAGCACTGCGTTCCACACACACCCTAACATGCGGGCATCCCCTCAATAGCCCCAGCGAATTCAACCTCAGAATGTCTCCCCAATCTCCTCAGCTTTGTAGCCTTCAGCTATTCTATCCCGATCTGATGGCTCCAGTCGCGCCGCCAGATCCCTCTTAAGGTCATCGGTACTCATCGTTAGGAACTTTCGTTCCCGCAGGGGGTTAGCGGCTATTGTGAACACCTCGAGACTTTTTACAAGTGCCAACCGCTCATCCAGCTTCACAAAGTCGTTGCCGGTGAAGTCGACGTTTCTCAGCGATGGTAGAGTGGTGAAGCCGGCGGGAAGGTCGGACAGCTTGTTGTCCTGCGCCAGTAATGAGATGAGGCTGGTCCATGTGGAAATGTTCGGTAATGTTTTGATCCTGTTGGTGTTGATGTTGAGAGTCCGCAGGCTGGGCAAAGACAAAGAACCATTCCCACTGAGGGACTCGAGAGCGTTGTTGGATACGTCCAGCAGCTGCAGGCGCTGTGATGTACAGCTTGCACTGAACAAGGTACCGCTCAACTTGTTCTTAGCGACCAACAGCTCGATCAGAGGGAGGGTTTCAATCATGGCCATAGGTAGTGCTGATAGTGAGTTCTCTGTTAGGTTGAGTATACGCAGGTTGATGAGCTCAAGTAGGCCGTCAGGTAAACTTGACAGTCTGTTTCCTTGAAGCTCGAGAACTTCGAGCCTCTTCAGTCGGCAGACTGCATTCGGAAGCTCGCCCTCCAGGTTATTGTCTGCTATCTTTAGCTCCTTCAGGCTTGCTACCTGGCCGATAATGTTTAGAGCGTCGACACCAAGTCGATTGCGTGACTGCCAGAAATTAGCACCTATGTCGAGGCTACGCTGTCCCAGATAGCTTCATACCAGGTTTAAGGAGGTCAGGTATTGCAACCTCCGGAGTCCTAACGGTACTTCGCGCAGGAGGTTGCCATGCAAATCAAGAAACTCCACCCCTCCGAACTGAGGTTTCTTCACATCGTCATCATCATTGGCCATAGAAGCCAGCTCCGGATCTGTATCGGGAAATACTTCTGTAACGCTCTCGAGCTCGTTTTCGGCCGCGATGAAACGGGTGAGGTCAACCACCTCGCTCCAAGTGATTTTACTGGAATCGTTGGGGTCGTAATCGTACATGTTCAAGACCTCCATGGGTATCTCCTTCAGTCCCATTGCAGCTATGTTGAGGCGTCCGTCAGCTCGCGCGGCATCGACTCGTCTGCGGAGCAAACCACTGCCCGTCTTCGGTGCCAGGTTGAAAGGGTCCGAGGAGAGGTCAAACCCGGTCTCGTAGGCAGTCAAGGAATCTACAACGCCGTCCTGTTTTTTCGGCGTCGTTTTACGTGCCGCCGCTCTAGCTTTCGCGATTTGTTCGCGCAAGGCTGCCGAGGAGCTTGCGATCTTCTTTGCAGTCTCCGGTGATGGGTCGCCTGTAGAAGTGTCTGCTGTCTCTTTCGATGCGGCTTGGACAACCGCCGCAGGCCTTGAGTTCGGCTTGGCAAACAGGTTGCTCACTGCTGGCCGACTTTTCGGTGTTCTCGAGATCATGGTCTTGCTGCCAGTAGATGGTGGTCGTCCCGTGCCCCTCCCGCTCGGTGTGGCAGAGGGCGCGTGCTCAAACGCTCTGGCGGTCGATGGCTTCAGTCCGAAGCTCATCCGTCCCGTCGTCTGAGGGACACGTGGTAACGCTGCACTCACGCTTCTCTGACTGGGAGTTGGAGCCGGAGGGCCTGGCGTCAAAGGAGCTCCGGGCGCTCGTCGAGAAGGCGTGGTAGGGCGCAAGTACGGGGTGCCTGCGAACGCTCCATCACTTGTCCCTGGGCGTCTTGCGTTGCTCATCGCTGAAGCTGGACGTGAGGGTGGACCCATAGGGCTTTGTGGTGTAAAGAAACTCGACTTTCGTCTGCCGCCTGCTGGCGAAGGGGGAATGTGCGAGAGGCTCTCGATTGTTCTATCCGAGAGGGAGGGCCTCGACTTCCGCGGCTTTGGTGTCGACTCATCCTGGGCTGCTTCATCATAGACCTGTATCGGCTCTGCTTCTCTGAAGCCCTGGCGTGACGAAGCACGGAAGCCATCGAGCGCCCCCAGTTGATCCTCGTGCCCCACACGAGGTTCCGATACTGACGGTCTTCGTTGCGCTTGTGGGGCTGGACGGGGAGGAGGCCTTCCAACTGGCTTCTTGAATGTCCCCCCGCTGCTTTCTGTACCGACTCCTTTAGCGGCCCCTGAAACTCTCCTGCTGGAAGCCGATGGAAGGGCGGTACGTGGTTGGCTCACAGTAGATGGCGTCGGCTTAGGAAAGGTTGGAACTGAAGGCTTGCTCCTAGTTTTCTCAATTGACCCGGCTGGTCGAATGTGTGAGTATGGTGGGGCGTTGTTTGCGTGTGTTGTCTGCAGGACGGGCAGTCTCGACGGTCGAGCGATGCCGGATGGCCGTGGGATGGCCGAGGGCTTTTGAGGAATTGAGGTCTCCATCGGTTACAACTTTACTTGAAGCAATGTTTTCGGTTGTGAGTCATGGTTGTATTGAGGTTAGTGTCAGTGTTCATCTGTCTGTCAAGCGTGCAGCGTGTCAAGCGGGTCTTCCACATGTCAGCGATCCAGCTGGGACGTGGGCATCTCGATAATCGCCGTGGATACCTTATCGGCGCTGAAGCTTGGTTGGAGCTTGGGCCAGCCGGTTTTCCCCGCCGCCGTTGGAGTTCGACCCGCTTGACCCGCTTGACCAGCCATCGACTTACACAATACTGTACCAACCAAGGCACTACACTGCTCAGGCACCTCATTGTCGCGCATCTTCCAATCGCCAGAATTGAAGTCGCATAATCCGCGCCCACCCATCGCAGCAAAGTACGACCTCCCTCGCCGCTCGCTCCGTCCGCCGTACCCTCCTCGCCCATACAATACACCCGATTAGGCAACCGACATCACCCGTTTGCGCGCAGCACTCAATTGGTCGCAGGTTCGACGTGCGAACAGAAACCTGAGGCGCAATACCACAAAGATCTAACGAATTCCGACCACCTCATCGTTAGATCTAGATCTTCCAATCAGGCCTCAGCTACTCTAGCAAGAGAGGGCATACAAGCGACACGCAGCTTGCATATCACGACTTTTCGCAATGGACTCAGACACAACACCGGCGCAAGACTCACAACCCCCCGCGGAGACCCTCCCAGACGGAAGATCTACCTCACCGAAGCTTCAAGGAGCCATGTCAGAGCATGTCTCCTCAATGGATGCTCCATCGACCGTCCAGACTGCAGCGGGATCTCGCAAGGCCCGTACCAGATATAGCTCTCCGCCTCCTGCTTCGTCCTCACTGACACCACCTCCGTCATCTCAAGTTGTTCAGCCGGCACGCCCGACCGTCCGCACGCCCAGCCCACCCGCGACACTGCTCTCCTCCCCACCACTTACCTCCAGGAACGCTTTGTCGGGTGACACGCCTGCACCCTCAGTAGATCTTCTTACAACCGATCGAATCCATAATGCCCCCATCGAAGAGCTCCGGATCGTCGCTGACGAGCTGCTTGTTGCACTGCGCGAGGCGCGCACAGCCGCCGCCCACTTCAAGCTCCAATACAACATGCTCAGCATTGACAGCACCGAGGTGTCGAACCGCATGGGCGTCGAGCTCGAACTCGTCCAGCGCGAGGTCGACGTTCTCCAGCAGGCCGAAGAGCGTCGTCGTGGCTCAATCATGGCATCCGCCCATCGGGGCTTCGAGCAAGCCGTGAGTCAAGCCAACGCCGAGACGCTGAACGAGCTCAGCCGCCACTGCCAGTCACTCCAAAACGACAACGAAGAGCTTCGCGCGACGCTCGACCAGTCTCAGAAGGTCGCGGAGCGGAGAGAAGGCGAGATCGCCAAGCTAGTCGAGGAAAACGAGCGGTTGCGCGGCCGCATCAAGAAGAACCGGGAGCACGTGAACGGCCTCATCGAGCACATGCAGCACAAGAGCCCGCCGCAATCGACCTTCACCACGCCTCATCAGACTCCGCGCCGTGGCGGGAATTTCTGTAGTGGCGATCCAGGCAGCTCCGGCAACCGCCGCCAACAACCGTTCGAGGCCTTGCTCCTCGCCGACAAGATGCTGAGCCAAGAGGCCGCAACGGCACCTAGCACGCCCTCCAGGCCGCCAATGAAGCAGCGCCTCGGTCACGCCCAGGCTCTCCATCCGTCTCCGTCTGTGCTCTCGACCCCCAGTCGAGTCCGTCCGTTCAACGCTAATCGCGTGCCACCGCGCACACCGCCCGCTTTCTCCGCCGTGCAGGCTCCCAGCACTGCGCCTCCAGCTCTTCACCCACCCAGGCTCATCCGCCGCGACAGCAGCGACTCGACCATCACGGCGTCCAGCGCAGAAGGCGAAGGCGCCGGCGCCCACGTCGACCGCGAAGAGGTCACGGAGTCCCAGGCCACCAGATCGGCCACCGACCTGCTCCGGAGATCCATGAACTCGAGGCCCTCGTCTTTCGAGAAGGCCGCTCAAGCGTCGGCGTCGGCTGGCGCGCTGCAGAGCAAGCTCTTTGGACATGTGCGCAAGCCGGGCGTTTCGCGGCCGGGCGAGCATGCCAAGCGTGGGCGTAGCCCTGGTGAGCTGGTCTCGGAGATGTCGCCGACGAAGAAGGGGAGGTCTGGTGGAGGTATGGGCGTGGGACTGGGGATCGGTGGGTTGGGTAGCCCGGAGGCTTGAGTTGGTGAGGATGGGGTGGACTTGATGCTTTAATGACACGATGAAATGGTTCGGTATTTTTGGATCCGTGGGAATCGTTTTTTTTTTGCAATATCGAGATGTTTTCTATGGTGTTACTAACTGGATTTTTCGAACCAGGTTTTGAGCGCTTTTGATGTTGGGAGGGAATCTCTGAAGCTTCTGGGCAGTAGGGGCCGGCTCCAACAGAGCCCACTTCGTGTCCTCCATGGTCGACTTTTGTGTATCTGTTGGAGCGCGCGCAAGTGCGCTGAAGTGCGCTCGGATCCAGTGGGTAGCTGTGATGAATGCCAGCATGTGCACTGCTGAGGAAGGATACAAACACTCAGCGCAGCAGGGTTGGCACTGGGCGTACGAGCGACGACTGTCTTTGTTCGTAGTGTGTGCAGAGGAAAGTTGATGAAAGGTGGCTCTGCAAAATTCCCCGTGTTGGCGCACTGATGACATGTGATAAAACCGCAAGCTGTTTCCTCATGAGCATGGTGTCAATCGCGTGGTGGTTCTTCACAGTCGTAGAAGCTCAGCAAGCCTGCTCGGCGCCGACATGAAGGCGTCTTTCGGAACGCGCAAGGCGGCTGACAGCAGGGTCGTCGTGTCGCGCTCTGTGCTCGCATCGCGCGTGGAGAATAGTGTGATGTTGAACAGACACTGCAACGGCTCATATGCGGCAAAGCGACTCAATTCATCACCGTGAAAGCACTTTGGAGACACGGTGGATTCACGGCAAAGAACGACAGACTGGCTGAACACCAACAGATCGTGCACTAACCTTAGGAATATCAGACCCATACGCCATCGCCATGCCCCCCTCTAAAACAAGCTAAGCAGAGCCAGCCAGTCCAACCACTGCCGAGCTTTTTCAGCTCGGTGAACACGCTAAACGCCCCAGACTCCCTATCCTATACCGTCCCAATCTCCCCAGCAGCCAACGAGCGAACTTCCATCTTTTGGAGGAAAACTACAAAACCCCCAACCCGCCTCACCAAAAGCTGCACCACCCGATATAATGCTGGCACAGATTCTCCAAATTCGTCGCCTCCCTGATAAGCCTATCAACCTGGGGCTCGATGCCCAACTCCTCATTCGGCTTGAAGTCCCTCCCCGTCAGCTTCTCCTTGACCCTCGACAGCACCTGCAGCGCACGCGCATTCTGCACCTCCTTCGCCTCGGGATCATTGGCCTGGTAGGCCGTGGAGCGGTTGCGCGGCCGCTGGAACGAGTTGTCCGGGCGGTCGGGGTCCGTTGACGGCATGCCGATGATGGAGGCGCGGCGTTCGGAGGGGAAGGAGGGTTCGGGAGGGGATTCGCGGTTGCCGAGGCGCCAGGTCAAGAGTGGGTCGTGTATGAACTGGGGGAATGGTCAGTGGATTTACATGTTGGTGGAGTTGAGGGGTAAACTTACGGCTTCGAGCACCGCCATCACGGATTCCTTGTTGTCGCGCAGAACGCGCATGACGTGCTCGCATGTGGTACGGTAGCTTCCTTCAATGTTGCTGACCTCCATCGCATACGTCAACATCCGCGTTAGGCGGAAAGGCACCCGCTCGGGGTACTTCTCGCGATGCATGGCCACTTCGAAGCAGTCGCCGAAATCGATATGGATGATCTTTCCGGTGATCTTGTCCAGCATGAGGTTGGACGGGTGTCGGTCTCCGAGACCAAGGATGTAGCCGACCATGGACATCACCGCCAACGACCTGGTGTAGTTGGTTCGTCGGTCAAGCCAGGCTTCCGAGCTCTTGCTCTTGAGCCACAGTACGCGGTAGAGATCTTGTCCGGTTGTGTTGTCCAGCGCATAGCCGAAGACTTCGACCTTCTGCATGAGGGTCAGGCTGTCGTAATCTGGCGCCATCTGCAGCATGATACGATGCTCGATATTCAGGAGAATCTTGCGGCTCTCACGATATTCTCGGATGAGTACGTGCAGTGTGTCACTGTTCGGTACCCAACCAAGGAGACCTGATTGCGTTGACAGCGGTATTGCTGGGTACTGCTGGATGTTGAGATGACGCTTCCGGCTCTCCGTGTCATTCGCAAGAAGAGTATTGATGAGCCCGAAGAGTTGCATGACGCGCTCGTCCTGGCGGATATCCTCGTGGCCCTTGACAACATACATATAGCTGACACCATCACTGCCCTTAAGCACTAGTTTTCTGGGCCGCTGCTTAGACTGAATGACAGTTGCCACCGGGTCAAACGAGGCGATCCGGATGACTGGTTTGCCGCTCTTGTAGGTTCCGGGCACGGCTAGCTCGAGGTCGTGAATACTCTTCAACTTAGGCGAGACATACTGCATTTCCAGCGTCATAAGAGAAGGAAGCTGGCGAGCAATCTTGCGGAAGACTTGATAGTAGAGGTCCCACGCCTGGTTGAGATCACCTACTTCACCGGAATTCTTGAAAGTCTGACACCAGTCCCGGGCCTCTTGAAGCTCTCTGCCAAAAGACTGAATGAAGGAAATCTCGCGCAGAGTCTCCGGTCCGTTGTCGAGCATCGCGTGCAGAGGTGCAAGCGTCGCGAGCATGCCTTCGATGTTGTGATCACCAAAGTACAAACGAGACGCTTCTTCCAACGCCTCATGCCATTGCTCGTGCCATAAGACTGCTATCCGGATCAGTTCATGGCTTACGACGTCGGCCTGCTCCACAAGTTTTGGCGAATGTTGACGCATAGCCTCCATGAGCTGCGAAGCGGAGCGCGAACGGCGCGATAGATCTGACTTCATCGAGACGGTCAACGGGAATACCAGGGCCTGCGGATGCGCTCGACCAACTTCGCAAAGAAGGTTGTGGATAGACTGCCGTACTCTGGCGTTCGGTTGGTTGATACGAGCAAGCAGCTGCGGTATCACCTCTAGCCAAGTGTCGATGCTCACGGTGCCAATACCCTCAGTAACGGCGTTGTTGACCTCGTGGTGACCTCCATGAGCAAACCATAGGGTAAGCAGCCGCAATGTATCCTGGAGGGAGCTGGTCGAAGATAGGGCAATGGACTTGAAGAAGCCGTGGACAGCTGGGACAATATGGTCATGGACCATTGCTGGAGGAAGATCCGCTGATCCTCGTTCACCTTGAGCGGTGATCGAGTTGACCACTTCAAAGTTCGCAAGGGCCCAGGCATGCCATGCCTTGTACCAATTCTGGTTATATCGCGTTGCAGCCGCGTAAGACGCCAGAATCTCGTGCACGTGCTCGTTCTGCCAGTCACCACCCTGCAAGAACGTCTGCCAATCGCCTTGCTTAAGGTAACATTTCGCCAGGAGCCTGTGGTACTCTGCCAGGTCCTTTGGTGATGTCATCTGGTTGGAGAGTCCATTGAGCATGTGCGGACCGTTCGTGCCGTTGATGCCATTCGTTCCGTTAATGCCGTTTACGCCGTGTACCCCGTTAACGCCATTCGTTATGGCTGCGCCGTTCATGCTTGCTTCCCGTGCTCGAATCTGGAGGTCATCGGCTACCTTCGCAGTGAAATCTTTGAGCACAGCCAGAGCGTCCTGCTGGTGTCCAGAAGACCACATGAACTTGAAGACGGCGTATGATATCTGAGGCGGAATCTCCGTTGCATTTGACTTGATGTATGGGATGATGTCTTCATTCGTGCCAAGAAGGGCGTGTAAGGATTTCTCCGCCAGGCCACCTCGCTGGTTCTTGCGGCAGAGATTTGTGAACTTGATCCACATCTCCATGTTGTCTCTCGGCGAGATGACGAGTGCGCGGACCTTGAGCATCCGTTGCCATACCTCAGGGTTTGGCTGGCACCCTCGCAGGCGCTTCATCCAGGTCTGTCGCATACTTGCTTGCTTTTCCGGGTTGTTCTGGTTCTGCTTGTACGAGATAATCTCCTCAAGCTCCGCAAGCATCTGCACTCTCAGGATTGGTAGGTAAGCTCGGGTGTATGACTCGCCCAAGACCGCGCTCAATTCATTGTCGAGACCTTCTCGTGCCTTCTCGATGTGCAAGTGAGCGTCATCGAACTGGTTGCGGTGCAGAGATAGGATAGCGCCGAAGAAGGATCTGTCCGGCGAGTCTGGCTTCATGACCGAAAGGTAGTTGTCCATAAGCTCCCACTGGCCTAGGCCCCAGGCGGCGGCTGCAGCAAGCGGCGCGATCACTTTGCGGTACTCCGTGGACGCATGTATCCATTTGTCCTGCGCGAGAGATGAAAGGACATCCCACTCGCCAAGAGCATGCAGACACCTCATCTTGCCAATCGTGATTTCAAAGGAGTCAGGCTCGTCTTTCTCGCGCCGCTGGTACGCTTGCAGCGCTTCTTCCCAGCGGTACAGCTTTTCGAACCAAGTCTCCTTCAGCTCGACATCCTGGTAGCTCTGTGCCTTGCGCAAGATGCCAAAAGCCGCATCGGTTTGTTGAAGCTGGTTGTTGATGCTGATCAAAGCTTCGACAGCGCTTGCATTCTGTTCAGCGTTGAACTCCAGCTCCTTGTAGTGGAGAGCTTTTGCAAACGCATGGCATTTGGCAGCATACATGCCCAACATCCGAACGTCGATTGGGAGCGCCTTATCGTCGTGCTCCATGAACTCGGCCAGGTTCAGCAAGATTTGCAGAATTTCCGGAGGTATGTTAGGCGATGTGAGTGCTGTTTCAATGGCGCGAACAAGCTCTTCCTGATACTGATCGTATAGCTCTGTCCAGCACGAGACAAAAGCGGAATTAAAGAGACTCTTTGCGATAGGACTGTAGATGCTCGCCAGTGGTGTGCAAGCACGGAGCGCTTGCTGCGGAGACTCTCTTAGAAGCTCCACGCTAAATCGTCGCATCCATTCGATCCAGTCCTCGCGTGTTGATTTCTGCGACGCTTCCCATGCGTTCTTTAAGTGTTGCTGGTTGCAAGCAAGCTTCTTGCTGGAGACGTCTGCTAACGGTTGATCTTGACCATCATCGCCGTATCGCTCATCCGGGCTTAGATCCTGAGGAAGAGGCTCGCCCTTCTGAAGCTTGCTTACTATGAGTCTGTAGTTGGCGTGAGGGATCTTGTGCGTCTCCAGTATCTTGTTAACCGTCGGGATAAAGTGGATGTAATCTGGACCGAGCTGGAAAATCAATGCGCAAAGCGTCTCAAGAGCAGTCTGCTTGAGTGCCACGTCGCTGCCAGCGAGAACTCGAGTCAAGGGGTGAACAATTCTTGCTGCAAATTCCGAGATGTTCACCTGCTTCGAGAGACGTCCCAAGGTTTCAATAGCTTGCTTTCGAATGCTCGAAGGCTGGCCTGGCTTTTCAAACATCCGGACAATGACGGGGATTATTAGATGCATGTACTCTTCCGCGCTGGATCCAAACACAAGGAAAGCGTGTAACACCCTTTCAGACGGCAAACGCCTGCTAGAAGTGTCTTGGTCCAGGACACCTAGCATCAAGGGCAGGACACTAGCCAGATAGACCTTGAACTCTCCCTCGAGTGACATTGCAATAGCCTCGATCAGAGAAAGAATGGTCGCTTGGAGCTGAGTGCCTGTGCTCCAGAAGTCTTGGATTGTTTCGAGAATCATCGGGAGAAATGGTCGAATGTGCTGTCGTACAATCTTGACAAGCTGACTGAGTTGGTTGAAGTACCCTTCGACACGGCCCGACGGAGCGCCCTGGATGACTGACACAAATCCTGGCACCACCTGGCCAAGAAATGGTACGCACTTCATGCCCATTGTAGCGTAGATGTTCATGACTGCGTCGACCACCGAAGAGTGGTACTGAACTAGGGACGTATCTTTCAGCAGGCCCATGAGGGTGTTGATCACAACAGTCGGATAGTACTCGTCGTTTGATGGAGTTATCCCGCTCATGATGAGTGACACGTCTGTGATTGCTTGCGCTTCTGCAACGAGATTACTCTCAGGGGACTTCTCAACAATTTTCTGCGCCATGTTAGCCTCTGACCCTCATAGCTTCCACCCCAACTTGGTGTACCTGATGTTCATCCGGATCCAGTGCGCCCAAGATACCCATTAACCGCACCGTTTCTCGTCGCAAGGGTGTCGCTTGCTCTGTCTTGACAATATTAATCAACAAAGTCAAGAGTTCCGGATGGTCTTTGTAAGGTTCGATCACGTATCCAGCGTTCGTAGCCAGGTGACCCAAAGTTCGTAACGCGGCCATGCGCTTGCTGTCCGAGCTCAAGTCCTGAAGGTTCTCGATGATGATGCTCATAAGGTCAGGGATGTACCGCCTCATGTCCTCCCCACCCACAGCTGCCAGATCGCCAATTGCTGTTAGAGTAGTAGAAGCCACGTCTGGATTGAGATCTCGAGCTTTCGGTAGTAAAACAGTGACAATTGGGTCAACGTATGTTTTTAGAAGCTTAGACGATGCTCTGACCAGATGGCCGATGAGTTTTGCACTCTCTTCCTTGTTACGCGGGCTATTGGAATATTCCACTTCCGTCAAGAGTTGAATAAGTACTTTCCGCAAAGATGGGAAGACGTATGCGGGATTCACTGAAGTAAGGCGGCCGATGATGGCCATAGCTGCCTCGCGGACAGCAAAGACCTCATCATTGAGAGCTAGGAAAAGTGTTCGGACATTCTCGGCTTTACCAAGGTGACGATCAAACCGAGCGTCCAAGGAGAGTAGGACGGTCAGGCGTATCTCAGGATCTACATTCTTCAGCCGTGATTTTTTCAGGAAGGTAAGGAGAACATACCAACGTCAGCAACCCCGACAGTCAAAAGCCTCTCGATAACGTCGCCAACGACTTGTATCGCATGCTGACTTGTCTGATGTACGATAGGGTCGCGTACGAACAGCTGGCAACAGGTAAGTGCAGCAGCCTTCCGTATCTCGGGGTTATCGGCCTCCACGTATCGAATGGCGACATCCCGAACGAACTCGTTTAGAACGTGGCCTTCGGAGTTCATTAGTCTGTGATAAGTATATAGCCATAAGTTCATACCAGAAAAGTCGAAGCTTCCTAGAGTCTGAAGCGCTAGAGCTACCTCCGCTTCTCTCGGAGCAATCTGCTGCGGGTCTTTGTGATCTCGTGTCCAGATCTGCGGAGGGGAGCTACTCAAATAGGGACTTCCAAGTGGCATGAAAGGACGGCCACATAAAACTTGACTTAGCATATTCAAGAGACGTTCCTGAATTACTGGCTTCGAAGGCGGGACGTAGTGAGCCATGTCAACAAGCGCTTGCGTCAGTGAGTCGCTCAGAGGACAAGCAAAGATCGGGTCGAGGAGGCTATGGACGTGCTTGCTCAACGCTTGCCCCACGGCGATTGATACCATGCTAAGGCACTCAAAGACAGGCGCTTCGTTCGAGGTCTTGACTCGTCTGAGATGCTGTCAGCGTCCAGACAAGGAGGTGATCAAATCGGCTGAATGGAGACTGACGTCTTCGCAAGCAGTCCCTCTCGAATGAGATGCACGAGACCTTCTAGATACTCGCCAATCTCACTGCCAATCGCGTTTGCAATCTTACCGATTGCAATGTATGCTGGCCCTCTGTCTTTGTCTCGTTTCACGAGACCTTGTAGATGCATAATGTACATGTGGATGTAACTGCTTGCGAAAGATTGAGGCGCATATGCTGCAATGACAGGCATAAGGTTGACAACCTCTCGTCGGATCAAACCGTCCCGATGATCTTTGTAGCGTAACGCGATGTCGCATGACTCTTTGTAGCGAGGTCCATTCATAAACATGCCGCCTTTCTGCAGCAGCTCCCTCAGCGCTAGAAGTGATCCATGGATAGTGTCGACGGTATTTTGCTGGAACCCTCGCAGAACCTCTTCCCATACGCGTGATAGCCACTGCAGTCTTGCCTGCGACTCGCGAGCGGCGATAATCTCGAAGCATGCGCTCATAGTCTCAGCTGCCGATTCCCGGATCAAGACTTTTGGGTCCCGAAGGGCCACCCAGATTACTTCCAGGATCTGCGGAACCCACGAATACATCAGAGTCGGCGAGTTCCGCGCAAGCTCTCTGAGGTTGAGGACGGCGGCAAAACGGCGCTGTTCCTGGCGATCCATCTGCAGCCATTCCAATGCGCTCTTAACCTCCGCTTCGACCAGCTCTGCTGTAAGTGTGCCGCCGGGTTTTGCGAGTCTCCCGAGGGCTCGGGAAGCGAAGATCATGGCGGTCGTGTCGTTGCCGCGAGATACTGCGCGCAGATAACTCGCGAACCGTGTCGTCTTTTGACCCGCATCATCGCCTTTGAAGTCGATGAGCTGGTTGAGCGCGTGTATGCCGCCGACCCGTTCGTTTGTGTCGCTGCCCTGTACCACAAGGGCCGATACGCGTTGAGTGACATCGTTGTAGTAGCCGGCGAACTGGCCTGGTGGAAGCTCTGTGTTTGACGTTAGTCCCACCACAAATGTATGGTGATAAGTTGGCTGTTGACGGACCTCTGTGAGCGGCTTCTACGTTCTGTCGGAGACTGTAGGCAGCTTTCAGCCTTGTTTCGTCGTGCCTGATCTGTCATCAATATGCTTGCTTGTATTCGAAGGCCTAGGTAAAGCCCACCGCGACTTCAAGTCCTGGAATATGCGGTCCAACGCATCGCGCGGCGCCTGAGCCATTTCGTCAGGGTTGAACGGCGCCCATCTGGATTCCTGTCGTTAGGTTCGGCTTCCCATGAAGCCAGCAAGCGGTTTAGAAGAAGAGAACGTCAAACGAAGCTGTTGTGGACTCAGAGCTCCTATCTCGGTCTCAGAGTCCTGCAACAGCGGGCGAGGTCCCGCGTCATGTGCTGCATGTCGATCCGGAGCGCTCGGTCACCAAACTCCGTTAGCCCACCGTTCTGCTCAGCCCTATTAGACTTGGCAGGCCTGCCCATCAGTTCATTAACCTGAGGCTGCACTAGGTCCTTTGTACAGGTGTCCATATCACTATCGAAGAATGGGACATGAGACACCTGGCTGATTTAGACAATTTTGTCGTGAACTATCTACAGCGGCATCACCGTCGTTGAGATCCGCCATTTCCCTTTGATGCCTCCTACCATGTCATCTAGCATAATTCGGTCTACGTTTCGCCAACCAACCCGATCACTGAAAAGCAAGCTGCCAAAAGTCCAACACCGTATCCTCACCGTCTTCGGCTCCCTGTAACGCTCCATCCCACAGCGATATCAAATTTCAAACAGAAACGCCGGATGAGGTTGCATGCGCGCTGAAGAGCGAGGCAGAGCAACGACGGTGTGAACTGTGTGCTGAATAAAGGGGTGAATTGGACGGTGGCTTCATAAGCCGGCACGACTTTGTGGGCGGAGCGCTTGCATGGGAGCGCTGCGGCATGGTGGCAGTGGTCGTAATCCTCAGTTTTGTGCAACGTTTCATTCGCTGTGCGGAACGCTGCCGTTCGTCTGTAGTGCTTGTACAGCTTGCTCAGCGACGACGTCCGCTTGATGCACAGCCGCTTGAACAACTTGTAGTTCTTCGGCAGTCAAGTTCTTAGTGAGGTTGTCGTAGAGCCGCGGTTGTTCCTGCTGAAGTCCTGCTCATCTGGTTAGCTTGGTGGAAGCACAGAGGCAGAATAGCACTTACGTAGCAGTGAGTCCTTGAAAAGGCCATACGGCTCCAACCTGTCTAGAGGGGTCTCTAGAAGGCTCTCCTCCTCAAGCTCATCATCGTCGTCGTCCGAGATTGTGGTGAACTTCTGTGCCTGATTCATCGATCAGTAATGGTTTTTGCTAACGCACGCCGTGACTTACCTCTTCGTTGAGGAACTCTAAGTAAGCCGCGCTCTCATCTTTGACGTCTCCGACTTCGTCGCCGTCCTCATTGGTCCAACCCGGGTCGCCTTCCCATTCTTCCTCTTCGTCCTCATCATCGTAATCACCTGTGATGCTGAAGTCTTCCTCCTTCTTGGCTTCCTCTCGATCTACAACAGTTAGCAGGAGGATAGCTCGATAGGTCACGGTGCATGCGCTTACTCTTCATCGCTGCTGGCAGCGTCTGGAACAACCGTACGATACCTTGCAGGAGGCGTGGCCAGCCTTGTTGTACACTGACCGGGACGTCTTGCGCTTGAAGGACGAGAAGGGAGGTGATTGCGGCAATCGACAGCTTTTTGTCATGAACTCTAGTAAAACTGTCGATATTGGAGAACCACATGCTGAAGAACTTGTTGGTCCAGCCGTTGCTCTCGAGGACATGGAGCGCGAGTATCGGGTTGTAGTAGATACAATTGATCACCATCTCCATCAAATGGATCCGGTATGACTTGACCTTCAGCTCGTCACTTGTCAGAACACCCATGGCAAGCTGGATGAACTCCGGAATGTATCGGTCGACGTATCCTCGCAGACTCAGCATAACGATCTCGGCGAGTTTGCATCCGCATATCCTGTCGACACCGCCGACTTTCTCGTCCTTGAAGATGACTCGGATCATGTCGACAACGGCCTCCAGGTACATGTTATTCTGTATCAACATGTCCGTTCCGTAGCACACGAAGTTCTCGAGCGCTGGAAGCATGTCCTCCAGATAGAGCTCAGCGCCGCCCTTGAATGTCCGGTGGATCAGCTCGAAAGCCTGCCACATCGTGGGCGAGATGCGCTTGGCAGCAAATGTGCAGCTGTCAATGATCTCGAACACTTCGTTGTAAAGGTCAAATAGTTTGTTGTCTAGAGTGATTTGGATAACGGGCATCAAGACGGTCTCCAGGTGCAGCAGCACGTCCGGAGTGCTTTCCAGAGTAAGGATTAGAGTCCCTATCGTCTGGAGCACACCAAGCGCGGTGATGCTCTTATCGTCTAGGTAGTCACCATACGGCTCCTCTTCGTCTTTTTCTCGTGCACGCTCAACCAGTTCACGCACGATTCGGAGGTAGGTATCGCGTAGCTGCTCGCTTAACGCCACGGCAAAAGGCGTGAGCTCCTGAGAGAAGACTTCAACAAAGTCTTCCATTATGTTCGCCAAGGCGTCTACGTCGACCTCGTTTGCCAGTTTAAGCAGCTGCTGCATAATCTGGGGGATGTTCTGTTGCATTTCAACCCGCACCAGCTCGTGTCGGATAAGAGGTTGAAGTGCCAGTGCAGCTTCGACCCGGACGGGTAGCGCAGAATCCGTGAGTGACTGAAGGATGTTTTGATAGACAATCCGCAGGTTGTTGGGGTCTTTGAAGTCGAGCTGTTCGAATTTTTCCAGGGTATCGCAGGCGCGGGCTCGAAGGTAGCCATGGGGACTGCGGAACTCCGGGAAGACGTGCCGCACGAAGAAGTACTCTACAGAGTCTGCAATAGGACTCTTCTTCCCAAGTATAACTCCGGACAGAGTACCGATCATGCGCAGCGCGCCCTCTTTCTCCCTAGGGTTCTTCTGATCATCGGGCGCAGCCTCATATCTGTTGACGATTCCGTTGACAAAGTTGAGTATCATGAAGGTCTGTTTCCGCCGCGACTTCGTGAGGGTAACCAAGAAGTTCGTAGCTGCGACATCAGGTGCAGATACCTCTTCGTACAAGTTTAGCTTGCGGTGAAGGTACTCTTGTGGATCAGTTTCGAAAAGTTCGATGTCCTCATCTGACTGGCAGAGGACCGGAAACAGGAGATGTTCCACTAGAGTCTCCATGTGCGGTTGCAAGAGGTTCCACATTGACTTGGGCTTGATGCATTCATCCAAGAACGCCAGTGTATATGAAAGGCAGGCTTTGCTTAGCCATGTTTGTTTCGCGACCCATTTCTCGATCTGCTGAAGGTAGCCCTTGAGGATTTCTGGCGCGAAGTTGGTGATGAAAGATTTGGCAAATTCGGAATAGTCTGGGTCGTTGTTCTTTCCAAGGGTGCCGGGGTTTCCATACCTAATGATTTGATCAGTAGGCCGATATGTAGCAGAGTACACCTTTCCGTACCTCACGAATATCCGGTTCAGATCCGCATAGGCCCATTTCTTGGCTTTCCACCAGTGGTTGGTCTCCCGCTCGTCGAGATCCTCAGGCAGCGCACTCGGGGGCGGCTCCTTCGCTATAACGTGTATGAACAACGAAGCCCAGCCAACCATAGCTTGCTGCTCGCGAAGTGGCACTGGAAGTTCGAACTGCCATACGCTGTCAGTAGACTGTCGCCAACACACTCTTCCATCCAGGGATGCTGACGTAAATTGCATGCTTGAATGTTTTCATGACCGTCCTCAGTATCTCCCCTGCCTCTATGCTTGTCTCATTCAACAGGCCGTTGCCGATGCCAAGTAACCGGGGGAAGGTAGCCGCAACGATGCCGTCAAACTCTGGTTTGTTCTGGCCAGCCTTGAACCGGTATATTCGACATATTGTAAGCAGGCACTGTACGCCAGCAAAAACCGAGTTTGCGTCGGAGGAGCTAAGCAGTTGTACTGTAAGGTCGAGGAAATCTGGCCACTTCTGAGGGAAATCGCTCGCTAGAATCTTTTGCAGCGTAGGTATGAGCTGGGCTCGGACTGGGGGCGACGCTGTCACAAGGACAGGTACGATCCGACTGCGAACTACTGCTCTCTCCTCCTCTGGTATCGGTTTCGCTTGTGCTTGTGGGATGTCCTCTGCTGACAACCATCCCTTCGAAATCCGGTTCTTGAGGTAGACGACGGCTAGGGAGACGAGACGTTAGTAGGGTCTCTTCCAGCGTGGTGGCGTCGTCCGCGTACTAGACAGCCGTATTCCGCCATCCTGTTCCGCCTCCAGTATGTTCAGCAGGGCGTTGGAGAAGCCAGGTTGATCTTCTGCCTGTGAGAGAGTTAGCCACGACAGCTACGTTAACCCTCACGCCGAGACGCTTCTCATACGTGTTTGAGATCAATCTCAGCTTGCCGTCGAGCATTTGCATCAGAGCTAAGCGTGGCTTGAATGCAGCTTCTCAAGGCGGTGGCATCCATGGTGATAGTCGAGTCGAATCGAGGCGCGAATGTGCGCTGAGACGCGTTGGGTGCGTGCTGCAGCTGGATAATACGTCGGTACGATGTCTGGCCTCTAGGTGAAATTTTTGCAAGCAAAAGAAATAGCAAGCGGCGTGAATGAGCGCTCTGTTTTGTAAATGTTGGTGGTGGGGGAATAAAAGTGCCCAGTTAAACATCTTTGTCGGCAGGTCGGGGCAAGGGTCTTCCTCCATACGGCAGCCGAAAAGTGCCCAGAGCGCAGTATGCCACACCTCGGGATGCAGATATTTATCCTTACATGTATCCTGTCTATTGACGTCCCCCTATACCTAAGGTTCAGGTGAGCATTGACAGCTGTCGAGCTTCCGTCAACACGGCTTCTCAGCTGTCATGCGCTCGCTGGTGTTTGGTTCGAAAATGTGTCTCCTTTTGAACTATTAACGTCGTGGCCAATATCCAATTCAAAGACTATTTAAATATACAATTAGATGGTGGGCGTAGTGCTTGCTATATGAATCATTAATGCAAATACTCCACCATCAGTTTCAAAAAGTCTTGAGCGGGTGCTTAAATTTGTTCCCGGTAGAGGCTTGATTGAGGTCCACCAAATATTGGCTACGACGTGCTATTCTGTTCTACATATACAGGCTCGCTGTCGCCGTGATATCTCGTTTAATCATCTCCTGGCACGTCTGCATCTTAGTGAAGAGAGTGGGATCACCAATGATCCTCGCCGCGTTCTTCACCTCTCTACAGGTTTCGTCCAAGCGCGTAATGATCCTTACGATCGTTCCTTCCATCACATCCGTCAAGTCCGTAATGCGGTTGAAGGACATGCCCTTTGCCCATTCATAGACGACTTCGACCATGCCGAAGCGTGGCCGGCTGACGAAGTCATTCGAATCGTCTGCTGAGAGGATGACTTGATACTGAGTCTGTATGTGGTTGACCTTCTCGGAAATCTCGATAATCTTGGCTTTGCCCTTCTCAAGTGCCGGTGTCAACGTCGGGATGACGTCTGTTTTTTCCTGAAAGACGAAAGCTGACAAGAGGGCTACGATCTCTTCCGGCTCGTACTCTGCTAGCACGTTCTCCAGCACAAGCTCCGTAAGGACAAGTTCGTCTGCGGAGTGGATCTGTGTACAAGTCAGTCTGGCGGCATGCACATCAACGTCTGCGGAGTTGTCTTACCTCGCAGGCGACTTTCCCTTTTAGCTCTACCCGCGAGTTGTCATCGATAAACTCCAGGTCCTTCAAAACAGATATGCGCTGCTCATAGTCTGGCAAGAGCCGTAGATTCTGGTCGGACATGAGCTGCCTCAGTTGTGCTATGTTTTCTTTAATCAACCACTCATCGTGTTGCATCGCGAACTGCCAGCGTTAGTTCGACATCCCATCGGGCGCAAGAAGTGAGGTCGCCTACGTGCTGAGTGAACTTCGGACACTGGATGCACACTCTGTTCTGGGCAGCCTCCGCTACTCTCCTCCGCTCATCGAGGATGTTCCGGAACGAAAGGTCTTTAATCTTGGTCCAATCCAGCTCCTCCCATTCAGGGTTCGTCCACGATGTGCAAAGAGGAATCAATTCCTCTTGCGCCAGTTTCTGCTGTTCCGGGTCCTTGCTCAAAGCTGCATCTACAAGGTTCGTCTGTGTGAACCCATCAATCAGTATACCTGTTCTATAGCGCATATTCAGTGACTCGGAAAGTGGTCAAACCTTAGTCGTTGTCTTTGTGACACACTCCAGATCACCGAGAGGAACAGTGGCTATTGTGAATTTCATTTCGGCAAGCTTCGTCGGTAACCGGCTGAAGAATCTCACGAAATCGCCCAAGTATGGCAGGAGATCGCTAGGTTGTCGCTTCGTTGTTGGAATTAGTTCCGCAACAGATACTGTCGGCTCCCACCCCTTGGTAACGCCTTCTCGGAGCAGCACGCCTACCGTTCGGATGCCGTCCTACTCAGTCAGCGCATGCCCGTATATGGCCTTTGATTTCACTCACCTTATTCTTGAAGATCACCAACCTTCTAGGGGCAAACATGCGGCGGCCTACTGGAGAGTTGAGGACTGTTAGGTGTAGATCACTGGTAAGCCTTCGGAAGTCCATACAAACTTCGTGGCATCTCTCAAGGTCAACGTCGCAGATGTTGCAAGGCTCCCTCTTGATCTTCGCGAGATCGGCCTTGGAAAGCTTCACAGCCTTCTCATGTTGTGGTAGCAGAGCCTGCGTTGCGTTTTCACTGAAGCTCCGCTTGATCATCTCCTCTATCTTCAAGGCCTCTACACGCAGTAAGTTGAGGATCATGTTGTAGGTCAACCTGAACTGAGAGCGCAGTTTGGTAGGATCTCCAAGAATCATCTGCCTCAACGTGCCTGCCGGCGGAGCTTCTTCAGCACCCGGCGCGACGATGATGACGCTACCAACAGGATCGAGACCTCTCCGGCCCGCCCGCCCTGCCATCTGAGTATACTCGCCCGGAAGTAGATCGCGGAACTGGCGTCCGTCATGCTTACGGTAACCAGAGAAGACTACGGTTCTTGTTGGCAGATTCAGACCCATAGCGAATGTCTCCGTGGCGAAAAGGACTTTAACCAATGTCCTTGCGAACAGAATCTCGACCACTTCCTTGACAATCGGGAGCATGCCGCCATGATGGACGGCTATTCCCCGACTGAGCAGCTCTCTCAGCCGTCGAATCTGAGGGAGGTCCCGGTCCTCTGGCTTCAACCGGGCCACCGACTTTTCGATGACCATGTGAATGGCGCTCTTTTCAGCGGCTGTGCAATAGTCGAGGTTGGAGAGCGCCTCAGCATTCTCCTCACAACGCCGCTTGGAGAAGACGAAGATGCACGCAGGCAGGAGCTCCTCCTTGCGGAGGTGCTGGATAACTTGCACCCACACGTTTCGATCTTGAGCCGCTGTTGTTCGACCGCCGCCTCTGCCTGTTCGAGCAATGTTACCATGCCCGCGCTGAGCAGGCTGGCCTCTGCCACGCTGTTGCGCACCGCCTCGTTGAGTCCCGCCGCGTTGAGCACCACCTCGCTGTTGACCACCACGCTGTGGGTTGCCTTGAGCCCGAACATGGTCCTTCTGTGCGCTAGCTCGAGCGGCGGCCGCAGCCTCTTCCTTGGCCTTCACGGCTTCAATCTTGTCTCTGCCGGTCAACGCATCGTTGGCATCCTTCCAGCCTTTCTCAATGAATTGCTTATCGGCGTTAACTATCTTGTACATAGCTTTGTTGGCCCAGAGGTAGTGTTCCAAAGGTACTGGACGTTTCGGGGTTGAGATGACGTATATGTTCTTCTTCTTGGTTCTTCCCACCCACGAAGCGAATTCGTACGTGTTCGGTACCGTTGCGGAAAGTAATATCAATGTGACATGCTCCGGTAGCATGATAATCACCTCTTCCCAGACCACACCACGCTCGAGATCGTTCACGTAGTGCACTTCATCAAAGATGACAAACTCGACATCCCGGATCAAGTCTGCCCCACGATATAGCATGCTCCGCAGGATCTCGGTAGTCATGATCAAGCAGCTCGCCTCTGGCCGAATCTGTACATCGCCGGTCAGGATACCTACATCATCAAACACGTTGCGGAAGTCACGGAACTTCTGGTTGCTGAGCGCCTTGATAGGAGATGTGTAGATAGCCTTCGTCATATGCTTTGCAGCTAGAGCAATCGCGTATTCCGCAACGACTGTTTTGCCAGCAGAGGTATGAGCTGCGACAAAGACAGAATCTCCGTTCTCCAAATGATAGACCGCTTCTTTCTGAAATGTATCGAGTTCAAATGGCCACTCTCTCGCCATGTCCGGCACAAGCTCCCTGAAGTTTGGTATGTCGCGGTTGACGTCAACCATATGGGCCCATTCTCTTCCACTACGTTTCGTGGATGACATGGTAAGCTGTCCTCGAGGGGCCAATGCTGGAAACTCAACGGGTAATAGGGAATCGATGCCCTCATCCGCGTCACCTTCGCCCTCAGCGTCTGAGGTCTCTCGTTCACCATTGACTTCTGGCTTGGAAGCACCGTTCGCTACCGAAACGGGTTCAGGCTGCTCTTCGAGCGTCTGTTCGACCTCATCCGCACTCTGATCATCCACTGCTGGCTTTTTCTGCCCGTTCAAACCTCTCGAGAATCCGGGAGGAATCTCAAGCAGGCCGCCTTCAACCCCGAAGTTGATGATCCGGTCAAGCCGCCTTTCCTTTCGCCGCTCATTCTCCTGCCGCTGCAGCGCCTGGTCCTCGAGTGCTGCGATTGCTTCTACATCATCAAGGCCGCCAGGTGCGAAGGGGAGGAAGCCAGCGGCTCCACGGACAAACTCCGCTCGGTTGGCCGGCTTCCGCAGAAGGGAAGTCGAGTTCTTTGCTGTAGCGCTACTGGCCGGTACTGTGATCTCCTTGTAACCTGTTACACGGCCCTCAAGTCCTTCTCTTGTGAAGCGGATAATTGTTCGTGTTTGAGTGGGAGCAATGTCAAAAAGGTCGGTATAGCCGGTCGGGGTGTCCCATCTGTGCTGCAGCTCATTCAACCAATGCGTGTTGAACGAAGCAGACGGAGTAAGAAACTCCTGTTCGAAGTCACGCTTGATCTCATCTTTCGTTCTTCGGGTGCGTTTGCGTGGTCTCTGCTCGTCTAATATTGAATCTGCCCACCCCGAGTCTCCTGTCTCGCTGGAGTCGGCAGCCAAATGCACGCTTTCGAGCGTGGCAGCTAAACTGGCCATAGCTGATTGCGCAGGATTGTACTGTTCTCAAGAAAGCCCCCCAGCTAAGACTTGCACCCTGAATATTGGGTCAAGACATTTTGTCACCTGCAGCTAACGACAATGACGTCCGGTATCGATAACCTTAATGTAGCCTTGCAAGGGTCATAGGGTGATCGGAGCGCAGCAAGGCCGGGGGGTTTGGGGTGGAGCCCCCCCTCCCATGAGAAGGCGAGCGCACGTCGAAAAGTCTCTCATCACGAGCGCAGCGAGCCTAGGGGGTTTGGGGGTTCCCCCATAAAGGAGAGCGGGTGACTCGCCTTCGGCGAGAGAAGGCGAAGCAACCCCTCAATACTTTCTAAGAGCTAAAAGTCATGCACTCATCTCTTTTCGTGATCCGTTGTCTTGATGTTTGCTGTGGATTTTACCATGTCAAATCCACCTGGACATCCTATGCAATACTCCTACCGGGGTATCAATGCCGTCGCTAAACGCCACACATGCAAGCAAAGCCTTCCAAATGCTACCAATTCAAATCTGCCATCGCCTCCAAGTCATCACCATAGTCATCCGCATGTGACCCCAGCATAGCGGAGGATGGCTTTGTAGCTGGTCCAGATCCGAACAGACTGTCCTGCTGCCTCTCATCTTGCATTGCATCTTCCGCCAGGAGTGCATCTAGCTCGTCCTCCTCGGGCGCTCCCCCTTGTTGGCTTGTCGAACCTTCCGGCTGGACACCGACTGGCGGCTCCTGTCCAATGCTTTCCGCTAATTCCAGGGGATGCTCTGTCCGCGTGTCTTCTGCTTCAACATTCCGGCCTACCGCACTTCCTTCGCCAATATGATCTTGCGGCGCCGCCGGTTCGACGGCTGTGTCGTCCTCTACAGAGGGCTTTGGCCTGTTCTCGTATATCCACTCCTTCCTCATCATCTGCATGCGCTTCGTGTGGCCTAGCTTTTCGATTATCGCCAATCCATCGGCAAACTTCGCTCTCGGGTACAAGTCGTCCAGCCAAAGCTGATAGGTATTCAAGAGGCGAGCCATATCTGAGAACTAGGGATGTCAGGTAGCTTTATTGTTGCCGGAGTGGATTCGTACATACCTCATGGCCCTTGCCTTTGAATTTGAGGCGCTCTTTTGATATTCTTCGCAGCTTGGGTATGCCGGCAGCGGATAAGAGACTGCAAAACGTCAGCTCAAACATAGCAGACCCCATGGGCTCAGTTCGTATACCTCCTTAACTTACCGGGCGTCGTCAAGCTTTGCAATTGGCTGCCTCTTCTTGGCTACCTTGATCTCCTCATCAATGCCCAAAGCAGCAGCATTGCTGGTCGCCGGGCGAGAGTTTGTTGACTCTTGCCGCGAGCTGCCTTTTTTGGTGCCGTCCAGGTCTTTGAAAACATCGTCCATGCCAGCATCATAGTTGAACAAGTCATCCAACTCGTCACCGTGCGCAGGCGGGGGAGACACTCGAGATGGCATTCTGATCCTCTTTTGGTTAAAAGCTGACGGTGAGTTTTGGAGTAAAATCGTGAGGATCTCGAGTGCGTTGTTTGCCGGCTGTAGAGAGCGTGAAGCTGTGCGTGGGGCGAGACGCGACGCGTCGATACAGACCGGGATGTCATCATGGTAATTATGTCGCTCCCTCTGGTTAGCCCTGTATCGTAACGGTGTGGCGCGCCCGTGCTCAGGGGCCGCTAGCGAAGCCTTGTGCTCACTTTGCGACTTCATAAGAGCGGCGATGTGAACGATATCAACGACAACGATTACCAGTGCCAGCGCATTAGTGTCCTTACCAGCGGCAAACACAGGAGGCCCACAGCAATCCAGGTTCTTGAGTAGATTCTAGAGTATATCCAAAGAAGGAGCCGTATGTAGTTTAGCGCCTACTCTGGACGTCTCAAGTGGATCACAGCCGCAACAAAAGTACTGGTGTCTTTCTTCCAAGACTGTGGACGAGGCGACTGTCGGAGGAAGCACTTGCGCCGGGAGGAACTAAACCTTCTGCCAAGGCGATGGCGATGCCAGAGGTTGCATCAGTGGAGTCGATCGAACAACAACTGCTTGAGCTTCTACAGCGTGCTCGCCAAGTCAAGAAGGTTTCGACCATCGATCCACCACTACCTGTCGCTGAGCTATCAAAAGATCATGGCCGGCTGCTTGAAGTGACCGGTATACATGCGCAAAACGCAGCCACCGAAACGGCAGCGAGGAATCTGTTGCATAGACTTGTGGTATGTTCTTATTCCGGTCGGTCCAGCCGCATCTTCTTATGTTTTCAAGGCATCAACCTCGATCGACCAGCCTTCTTTTATTGAGGTGTGGAACCTATTAGATATTCTCCAAGAATGCGGTGATCGCGGTACGTCTCCAACCAATCATGGACCTCACAGCCAGCAGACTGACCACATCAAGATGAATGCGACCCGGCGCTCGTCTTCTGGCTTATAGAAGAACTACTGGACAGCCAGACCATGGACGGATGCAGAAAAGTCTTTGATTTCCTTGAGTCTCGACGAGAGCGCTTAGTTGCAGTAAGTCATTGTATCAGTCAACAAACGCCGCACGAGGTCTCACATATGTCGCATCTCTCAGAGGAACTTCTTCCCTACTAAAAACTTGGTCGCACTACGTTCATGCAATGAGTTGCTCCGTCGGCTATCTAGGGCCGAGGATGCTGTATTCTGTGGACGAGTCTTCATCTTTCTGTTCCAGTGCTTTCCGCTGGGTGACAAGAGTTCGGTCAATCTACGCGGCGAGTTTCACGTGGAGAATGTCACGACGTTTGAGAGGTCCGAAGGAGACCACAGCGGACCTCGGGAGGCTATGGATGTAGATGATAACCCTAAGAGCTCCAACACCATCGCAGAGACAGGCCAGACTCCGGTAGACGAAGCAGGAAAGACTAGCACACGAAGCACCGGCATCAAAGAAGAACAAAAGACGCTAGACACAGATACACTGTACCCCATCTTCTGGCAACTGCAACAAGCGTTCTCCAACCCCCCGAGCCTCTTCTCACAGCAAAACTTGGATGAGTTCAAAGCGGGCCTCCAGGCCACACTCTCCACATTCAGGGCAGTTCCTAAAGTTATCCAAAGCCAGGGCGTAGATGTCAAACGCGGCGTGAAGCGCAAACACGGAGAAGGATACGAGAATCTCGCAAGCAACTACAATCCCAAGTACCTTACCAGCCGCGACCTCTTTAAACTTGAGGTGCGGCATTCTTTCTTCCGGTCGCTGTTGCCGTTCCAACGTTAACAAATAGTACAGCTGAGCGATCTTGCCTTCCAAAGGCACATACTGGTCCAGGCTCTGATTTTGATTGACTTCCTCTTGTCTCTGACAGAGAAATCGAAGACGAAGCTTGCTCAACTAAACACGCAGAAGGCCTTGCAGTATAGCTTTACTTTAAGCGAACAGGACGTGAGTACTGTCCGGCATGGGGCAGATTTTCTGTGGATGGAAAGCTGACTAGTGAGCCAGGCTGAATGGGCGCTGAACTCGAGAACTGCGATTGCAAACTATTTGCGGGAGGGGCCTGAAGGCAACTTCTACTACCGAATGGTCGACACGGTATTATCTCGTGACAAGAACTGGGTGCGATGGAAGATGGAAAACTGCCCGCCGATCGCACGTGAGCGGACCCCAGCACAGGTCCTCCTTGAAGCAAAGTCAGGCGCACGTCGAGCGTGCGCAACGAGAAGGCTTAAAAACACAGACGGTGCGATCAACTTGAGTTTCTTGTCCGAGGATGGATCCACGGAGGGTGTCAATCACTTCGACGAGTCACGAAGGTTCGTCGTGTCAGGCACCAACTTAAAACGACAATCGACTAACTTTGACTGCAGAAATGCAGTACCAAGCGCTGAGTTCTTCGTCAAAGAAATTCAGATGTACGAACTTGACCTGGAAATGGCAGCGACGGAAGATGAGAAGCAGAAACTGCAAGATGATATCTTGGGAACGACCTGGAGAGCTCTGAGGGTTGCCGCCAGAGACAAGCTCAGCTTGTTTGATAAGGTCGATGACGGCAAGAACCTTCAAAGGCTGCTCCAGTCCGACGCGTCTGAAGGGCCTGTCAGAGATGACAGCCTAGCGGGAGGCGCTTCAGAGGGCAGGAATGACGGTTCTGTAGCAGAGCACGCTGAGCAGGAAATGCAGGAGGGTCACTCAGCCGACGATGGCAATCAAGCGGCATCAGAGACAGCAGCGAAGTAATAGCATAACTAGCGGGAAGCTCCATGAGGCATTGCTATAGGTTGTGTTGATTCAATGCAGACTGCAGTTGCCGTCTTAAGCTTCAACCATGATTTTTGCAGTTCTATCCATACCAGATGCGTAATGTCATGTTAGCTTAACCAATGCGGCTCGTGAAGAGGTCTTTCTTACACATGGCTCTCGATGCTGCATAAGTACTTGCTCGAGTGAAGGTCTCTCAACGCCACATGTTCGCCGTGCTCTCCTCCAGTGCTGCACGTTCGACTGTCTTCGTTGTTGTGGCGCACACTCGCTTCGGACTCCCCATGCCGCTCTGACCGGACACCAACGTGTTCGCCGCGCCTTGAACAGAGTCCACGCACTATGCGCCCCGTGGAAGGCGCGCTTCTTGGGGTGATATCGGTGGATACCACGTTCAGTGAAGTCTTTCCATGCGTCCAAGGCGAGCGAGATGAAAGGCAGGTCGCCTTCTCGCGTGGAGCGACGGCTCCCGGAGCCATCGGCTTCATCCTGGCGAGCATCAAACACCAGCCCGCCGCCTTGGATCTAAGTACGGCGAAACCATGAACACTGAGAACGCCGCTTGAAGGGAACGAGATCCTTCATTTCCGACGACACGTTGCTGCCGTTAGGTACGAAACGTCCTCTCGATGCAAGCATCCAGCGGCAGGGCCTGGAGCAATGTCGGACTAAGAGAAGGGACTCTGGTTTTCACATGCCTTTTCGTTGTGTCATCGCGTCTTCGCTGCTCTTCATCAGATTGTTTCTCTCTGCGCGTGAGGGTCTTCTTTTTAGAGGCCTTCGCATCCGTTCCTACAATCAATGTTCGTAGCCAATCTTTCTGGTCTGCCACGGCAGCTTTCTCTTGAACTCCCCCCTGGTCGCTGATCATTACAGGCTACCCCTTCGACCGGGATCTAGGCAGGGGCACAAGACCTACCGCCGCTTGCACAGATTGCGGGACACATCAGGAAGACCGTTGCTGCTGGATAACGATGAGGGAGGACACCACTCCAAGGGCAGCGAGCAACGGTGCGCCCTTGTAGGTCACGGCGTCCCAGGGTTCTCCTCGCTATTCGTGCCGAGATCTCCGCAGCTTGCCAAATTCTTACCGCACCGCCATTCCGACCCGCCTGGGCTATCCTGTCCCATGAGCGTTTCACCGGAGCGGCCCGAGAAACGCTGTGAACACAGAGCGTTGAGCTAATCATCAGGACTGGTTGCATGTCACCTGTCAAGCATGGCTCGTTTCCGCTTGCCGGTTCCGAGAAACGATCTCGCACAGGAACAGTGTGTCAGCCACTAAAAGCACCCTAGACTGCAAAGCGGCCGCTTGGCCGTGACCAGGCCGACATTCAAGGAGGCACCCCACACGCGTCAATAGAATACATTTGTGCGGGTTGGCGAATCTGCAGCGGTTCTATTTAATACCAGAATGAAGCCGCGATTGCGGCTAAGCCATGCGCTACTCCGGTGGTCACGACACTCCAATAGAAAGGACAGACATGCGGGCCTCATCTCCCGAAACTACAAGGAGGCGAAGGGCGGCTTGACGTTCAATCGTCAACCAACGTTGAGAATGTCTAGGGTGAAGCCACGCCTAGCCTTACGTCAAGCCTGCAGTCTCAGTGGCTAAACCTAATTCTTAAAAGTCCCCCACCAGTCTTGTCCCGCGCTGTTGAAAGCCGGCTCCCTTCATGAGCTAATGTGCTGCGGTAGGGGAACGAGATGTCATACGGGCTCTGACGAATGGTCTAGATCCTTGCCTATCTCGATTTCTGCCCGGATCGCTCTTCACTCAGCAAGACCGGGATATTACAGTGCTCTTCAAGCATAGGCACACTCCATTGCTTGGTCCGTTCGTCGGCTGTGCACTGCCGGACGTTAGTCCGTCTCAGCGACCGGTTTGGAGGCCCAGGCACTGCAAGCTCAGTAACGCTGGTTCATACTGACAGACACCCCTAGTGTCTGGCGAAGCAGGTATGTCCGCTGTTCTTCTCATTCTTTGTGGACGCTGTAGCCTATGGTAGTGGGTTCATGTCCCTGGAAAGCCAACATGGTACAGCTAGCCGTTTCAGATGGGAGAAATCTGATAACCACGGCAGCAAAACCGTTGTTCGAGGTTTCAAGAATCCTTCGCAGGACGCTTTGTTGTTCTTCTGTTCGTGTCGCTGAGGATCGTTGCGGGCGGGTGTTGATCTGTTTTTTAGTGACTTCACCGGGCAACATGCGCCGATAGTCAGCATCTTTCCCTTCTTCACCTTCTGCATTGAGCATCATCCGCGCCCACTACCGAGGCTTACTCGTCCATAGTCGTTACCCATACGGTTCACGTGTTTACTACTGGCACTCTGGAGAACGATCGAACCTCTAGCTGGGGACCCCGCTTTTCTCGTGCGAAGATCAACGCATCCTCGTCCGCTCTGGTTCTTGAACTGGCAGCTTGACAGTTGCAGCACGGTCTTCATCACTCAGCACTCCGCAGTCTAGCTCCAAATTCTCCGGTTCTCTCTCTGTCGTAAACACGGAATCAGAATCGTCCCGGAGTACACTCCCTGGTTCAACTTGTACCGAGTATGTGGCCGAGGCTTTACCGTGTCTTCAAGTCGTCGTCTGTTCGATTTCAGGCTGCAAGTTGAATGCCTGGTAGCCTGACACATCAACCATGACCGACCGCTATCCCTTCCTGCCACTTTCTCCACCTAAGTCGCCGCACTGTTCTATGCCTACTAATGTATCGACCGTGGGGAGTGCGCAATCGCAACGCCAGCAGTACAGTGTGATTGAAGCGCCGGCTACAAGCTTCGATGGATATATGGCGTCGACGCATCTTGGAATCTTTGATCTGCCCTTGGAGTTTCGAGGGCGTCCTGCAACCCTAGCACATGCCAGTTCTCCACAAACCCCGAGGACCTCTGACTTTCGAACCCATACTGGGAACATAATGGAGAACTGCCTCTACGATCCGCCGACGACCCGCAGGGAGCGCGACACGCTTGTCAAGTCCGCAGAGATTGGGTCGAGTGAGCTCCCCCTAGCGACAGCTGGCGGTTCTGTATTAGGAAGCCCGGTGTCTGGTACTAAGCCTTTGTTCCGTAACGGGGAGAAACCGGATACGTCAGAAGATCTTGACGATTTGACCAGCGAAGAAGACGAGATAGAGGAAGGAGAGCGCGAAACGGAATTGACTGCTGCTGAGCTAAGGGCGCAGAAGCGGAAGATGAAAAGATTCAGGTGAGTGTGAAACCATCTTGTGTTGCGATTAGGAGGCAAGTTCTGATCACAGTCGCACAGGCTGACCCATAGCCAGACGCGTTTCCTTATGAGTGAGTTCGTGCGTCAGGCGCATCCGGACGCGGCACATCGAGAGCGCCTTGCACGAGAGATACCAGGGCTGAGCCCGCGACAAGTGCAAGTATGGTTCCAGAACAGGTAAGTAAGGCACCACGCCCCCAAGATTCGCAACTGTTCTTTTGCGGCATTCTAAGAGCGTTACAGGAGAGCTAAACTTAAGCGACTGACCATTGATGATCGAGAACGGATAATGAGGTCGCGAGAGCTGCCCAAAGATTTCGATACAACACAGGCGTTACACTCGCCATTCAGCACAGCTAGCGGAGGCATGTTTGTAGCCTCACCTGAGCCGTACGCTCCCATGTTCTCCTGGCGCAATCCTGCGGGGTGCCCCAGCCCTAGCGCCGCTGGACGGATGCTCGAACGTACGCATCAGTCGTCTACTAGCATAGGTCCAGCGCTCGGTAGTCTTACTTTCCAACCCGAGCTGGGAGGTGATGCACCATATCTCCACATGGATCAGCAGATTCCGGCCGGCTGGGTGGACTCTCCTCAGTCTATCTCCCACTCAGGGCTCGCATACGGCAGTACTGGGGAGTCGAACAGCGTCCATGCTGCGCCCATATCAGATTACAGTTCAAGGAACGAGCGGCCGGTGGCGCACAGAACGTTGTCCAACCCGTCATTACCATATGGGCTAGGCCATTCCTGTAAGATGTTCTCCAATGGCTTGCGATCAGGGCTGACGAGATATAGATACCTCAGTTCCGGGCTTCCAAGCCGGCTTATCAACCCGCGGACGCTCACTATCTGGGGCTATGCCTAAGAGGATAGAACTGGGCGAGCCCTATCAAACACCTCAGGATCATACCTTTGAGGCTGTTCCGCAAACAGCAACCTTCCCAAGCTACCAGTACTCCCCTCTAACAGTGCAAGACAGCTCGCACGCATACCACATGAGCGCGCCGCACCACACAACATTCTTTCAAGAGTCCTACATCCGTCACGGTGGCAGCAGTACAAGTCACCTATTACACTCTCGAGAGTTTTCCGGTCATATGAACGAAGACGAGAAGAGCTCCGGGATGAGTTTCTCATTGTGAACCTACCAGTCGTCCGCCACGCTTCAGCGCTGCCCGGCCGGTGCTCTATCATCATTAGTGCTGCCAGCTTTCAGCTTAGAGATATGCGCGGAGTCTGGTTCATGGTGGTAGACTTCGGACTCCTCTATGGATTCGATGCGCAGCGTGCGCGGGCTGGTTGTTCTTTGCATGACCAACCGAAGACTTGGGGTTGGCTTTGAAGGCGTCGCCTCGGCTCGAGTGAGCAAGCGTACGGCTTTTTGCACGTGGAAATCATGTCCGACTGTCTGACGAGGAAAGCGTAAGGCCGCCGCCCATTCCATGGAATACTCGACCGTGGCGACCACCTGTGCCTGCGGCGCATTGTACAGAAGGGCCTCACATCATGTGAGGTGTACTTTTTGGACCGGTACTCTCAGCTATCGTCTGTCAACTGGACAAAGAAGCACCAATACGCGAATGTGTGCAGCTGCCAAACGCCATGTCTCCATCTGGTCAGGCACCCCAATCGCATTCAGGAATTATTTGAACAGTTCAAGGATAGCCAATCGGCAGTGGGAACGAGTGAGGCTGTCACCTTTCGCACTGCTTCGCCAACCTCTTATTCGCGGTCCACATGAACGCCGCTTGCAGATGAGTCAAGGTTGAGTGACTGGGTCTCGGTGGTTTACAAGCAAGGTGGCTGTGCCTGCTGCTGTCATATTCGCTGTGCAACGGCGCAGCTGGGAATGGTCTTGGGCACCGAGCTTCCCTTTATACCTTAACTATCCTGTAAATCGCTGGCAAGGAAACATTCTTTGTCGCACCCAACACGGGTTACTGGCGATCTGACCGAGTTGACGGCTGCCTCGTGCTCATGTTCTTCTGTTTGCTGCAACATGACACCAGCTCTTTATTTAGACTGAGACAGCGGCAGACAGGGTGCAGGGTAGCGACTACGGGGTTGGGCAATTTTCCAGAACGCTGCCATAAACGTCCGTAGATATTGAATCATGAAACAGGCGCCGAGAAAACCACAGTGTGATGCTGTTCGGGAGGTGCCTAACTGTTTGCCACCAAAGATGTGACTGATTGCTATGTACCAAGGTTGAGCCCGGCAGCAGACGGAACTGAGGCTGCAAGGCTGCAAGGCCACAGGCCGCCGCAGCTACGGGTTTGCCGAGAACCTTTTTTCTCCAGGACTCCTCATCCTTTCTTCGTTCACGGAGCCAATCCACCTCATCATCAACCACCCTTTCACCGGATCGTGCTCATAACACGTCCGCTTCACAAGGATTCCTTAGAGAGTTCTTCTGAAAACACCCTTCAGACAGCATCTTTTCACTCCTTTCGTGAAAAGTGCGCTCGCGCAGCCTCAGGCCTTGGGCATCGACCTGTCCTTCGCTTCTCTTCGACCTTCACTCCTTCGAATCCTTGTATCTCCACTCAACTGCGACTACTTAATACCTGTGGCGACTCGGATTTGATATTCGACACCCTCACCTCCCGATAGCCGACACTTCTTCCGTTCGCACGAACTACAACCGAATCCTACACCGCGCACCCAGCCTACGCTCTAATGACCAGCTCTGTGTCATCCACCAACAATCCCGCCAACGCCGCGCATACTGCCAACGCCGCTTCATCGTCCGGTTCAGGTACGACGTCGCCTCTGGCCGCCCTGCCGGCACAGCCCAGCGCTCGCTCATACGCGAACGCGACCAAGAAGCCTTTTTCGCCGCCTGCGATTGCGTCCAGTACTCCTCCGGTGGCCGTGGGGAACCCAGCGCAAGCTCAACATGGAAAGGTGGAGTCCGCTTCGCCCGTGAACGGCAGAAATTCTATCCAGCCAGCGGTTCCCAACATGGCTGCGCCAGCCATTGCGAACGGCGCGCCAGCTCAAAGCGATCATAGCAGGAAGCCATCATCGCTCACAATCAGCGCATCGGGCACGAGTGGCTATATGCCTAACGGAGGACCTGTCGGTCCAAGCAGCAGGCCCAACATCAACTTCGGCTTCATGAACGCTGGAGGCTCACCCGCGGTCGCCCACAGCGTTCCGCATCATCCTCAAAGCTCATCCCTCGCCACTCCGATGAGCAACCCACGGATTACCTCTCCAGCGACATCCCCTTCACCTATCCCACAGCCACAAGCGAGTGGAGGGCGGCCGCCATCCGGGCTACACAACTCTGGAAATGGATTGAGCTTTGGCAGCATGAGTGGCGATAGCAGTGATCACAGCGTATGTGCCCTGTCCTTTAATACAAGCGTATTTTTGCATGCTAACTTGATTCAGGTTCGGCCAACAATGCCTCAAGGCCCTAGCTCACAGCCCCAACACCTGCGCCGCGAATCTTCCCAGTCGACACAGAGCGACTTGAGCACGCCTGGTATGAACATGAACCGCGGCGGTCCGCCGAACGGTGGGCGTGCACGGGGAGGCTACGGCGCAGGCTTCGTGCCTCCTACAGCGCACTCTCCTGCCTCGGGCTTCCGCCAAATGTCCAACCCACGACCTGGCGGGCCGAATGTACCGCCCCAGTTCCAGAACCAGACCCCGATGGGCCACCCGAACTCGCCCTACCGAGCTACACGGAGCCCTGCCCTGCCTCCGGCCGCTCTACACCAGCAAGCTCACCTTGCGAATGCGCCCATGTACGGCGGATACCCACAGCACTTGCAAGCACAACAACCAGTAAAGCAACCATCTTCTTCTCGCCATCACTCAAAACCCGATTCGACTTCTCAACATTCCAATTCCATTCAGTCTCATTCAGGCAGCTTTCTTTTGCGACACCATGATGTCGACCCCACTCAACCTCTTCTCTTTCCAGATCTTTCGCCAGAAAATGGCGCTTTTGAGCGATTTCTAACAATTCTGAAAACTCAGGGCCCCTATGGCATGCCACAAGGGTACGATCCTGGCTATGCCGCGTACTTCAATATGCAGGCTGGAGTGCATCCCAACATGTATTACCAGGGTGCACCGCCCAGTCCTCGTCCGTTTGCCCACACCCCTCACGGTGCTCAACAGCAGTACATGCAAGGTCAGTATGGCGGTGCACCTAACGCACAGGGCATGTCTCGCACGTCCTCCCAGGTCTCCGAACGACCTAGCTCAACCCTCGGTCAGCCGCAGACGCCGGCGATGTCAGCAGTCAGCCATGTCTCTCCAACGCCCAACCCGACCGCTGCCAGTCCTGCACCAAATGCCAACTTCACTCTCCCGAACAAGTCCAAGACGAAGGTTAGAATTCAGCGCCCCGACGGCCAGGATGTAACCTTCGACAAGACAGCGCCCTCTTCCGCACCTGCTCCGTCGAGATCCCCTGTCGTCGTCTCTTCAACCCCAACCCCGCCTCCACGTGCACCAAGCTCAACCGAGCCTTTGCATGCTCGCTCTGAGAGCAAATCTCAAATGACCGACGCTGAGAAGAAAGCAGCTTTCCAAGAACAAGTCAGGAAGCAACTGGAAGCCGAGAAAGCGGAAGAAAAGCGCAAGGCAGACGAAGAAGAGCAGAAGATTGCCAAAGAGAAGGCAGACGCAGAAGCGCAGGCCGCTAAAGAGAAGGAGGAAGCTGATGCTAAAGCAGCTAAAGAGAAAGCAGACGCGGAGAAGGCCGAGGCTGAGGCTGAGAAGGCCAGACAAGACGCTGAGAAAGCTCAACAAGACGCCGACAAAGCCAAATCTGACGAAGAAGAGAAGGCACGTCTTCAGCGAGAAGAAGACGAGCGGCTTGAGCGTGAGATCGCCGAGATGGAGGAGCTCGAGCGACAGGAGGAAGAGCGCGAGCGGGCTTATCAGGAGAAAAAGAAGAAGGAAGCGGAAGAGAAGGCTCGCAAAGAGGCCGAAGCAGCTGCCAACGCTGACGAGGAGATGCGGCGTGCAGAGCGCGAAGCTGAAGAGGCCGAAGAAGCTCGGCAGAAGGCCAAGCCCGCCGAGATTGAAAGTGAAGCGGACAAGGCCGAGAAAGAGAGTCTCTTCGCCTCCTTAAAGAAGCCTACTGTTGGCCCTGGAGCAACTGTGCCATCGGAAAGTGGAGCCTCCACACCAGCATCGGACGTGTCCATGCCCCCTCCTCCACAGCCGGCACAACCCAAGCCGTTCGGTGCAGGAAAGATGAAGCCGGCTGCACTCAAGCTTGAGACCAACAAGCAGATTGAACCAGCCCAGCCGACCGCCGGCATGCAAGCTCTAAGGTCTGCCCGCTTCCTCCAGGTCAGGAACGAGGAGATCAACTATCCCGAGAGCATCAAGTCCCCGAACCCGGCTTTGAATCAAGGGAGCAAGAGCAAAGGCCGACAGTACGACAAGGACTTCTTGCTTCAGTTCCAGGAAGTCTTTAAGGAGAAACCTGCCGTTGATTGGGATCAAAAGATCAAGGACCTTGTCGGGGACGGCTCGGAATCTGCACGAACACCGTCAACAAGGGGTACAATGAGCACTAGGCAGGTTTCTCGGCCGGCCATGCCTCCGTCTGGCTTGGCGCAAGGTCCTATGGGCAGTTTCCAAGGTGGTCGGACTATCCCTCCTGGCACCACGTCGGAACAGCGGTTCGCTATTGCCTCCAATCAGTCGCGCCCTGCACCTATGACCAATCCTCTCGCCTCGTTCGCCAACCGCCCAGCTGGTTTCCCGATGGGTGGTCCTCCAATGGCGCGTACTGCATCATTCCAGAGCATGGGTCAGGCTGGGCCTCCCTCTCAACGACAGGGCAGCCAGCGTGGTAGCAGCCGACGTAACAAGCCCGATTCTTCGAAGAACAAGCGTGAGGAGGAGCAGGCCGCTAAGACCATGCCCCTGACAGCGGGTATGGACTTGAAGCCACTGGAGGTTTCGAAGGTGGGCTGGAAGCCAACCAGCATCGGCAGCGGTCCTACAGGACCAGCCCTACCTGGTGGTCACCTCACTCCAGATCTCGTTCAGCGAAAGGTCAAGGCTGCATTGAACAAGATGACACCGGAGAACTTTGATAAGATCGCCGGACAAATCCTCGAGATTGCTGCCCAATCCAAGGACGAGACCGACGGCCGTACCTTACGACAGATTATCCAGCTCACCTTCGAGAAAGCCTGCGACGAAGCTCACTGGGCGTCCATGTACGCCAAGTTCTGCCAACGCATGCTTACCAGTATGAGTGGGGACATTAAGGATGAGACCGTTATCGACAAGAACGGCAGACCCGTTGTTGGAGGTGCTCTCTTCCGTAAATATCTCCTCAACCGATGTCAAGAGGAGTTCGAGCGCGGTTGGGAAGTCAATCTACCCGACAAGCCCGAGGGACAAACCGAAGAAGCCGCTATGCTCTCCGACGAGTACTACATCGCTGCAGCTGCCAAACGGCGAGGCCTTGGATTGATCCAGTTCATTGGTGAACTGTACAAGCTTGGCATGTTGACTCTGCGTATCATGCACGAGTGTGTCTTGAAGCTCCTGAATTTCGAGGGTATGCCCGACGAGTCGGCAGTCGAGAGCTTGGTCAAGCTGCTTAGGACAGTCGGAGCCACCATGGAGAATGCAGAAAACGGGCCGAAGATGATTTCGATGTACTTCGACCGGATCGAGAAGATTATGGCTATCCCAGGTCTACCGAGCCGGCTGCACTTCATGCTTCTGGACATTGTCGATCTGCGGAAGCGTGGATGGCGGTCCAAGGATGACAACAAGGGCCCGAAGACCATCCAAGAGATCCACGAGGAGGCCCAGGCTGCTCAACAGGCGGCCGAGCTCGAGCGGCAACGTACGAGCCAGCGCGGCGGCGGCGGCGGAGGGCGGCTTCCCATGGGTCGTGGCGACGCCAGGTCGTTCTCTGGCGGTGGCATGATGCCGCCCCCAGACTATCCTCGCAACCAGATCGCCATGGACGACTTGCGAAAACTGTCTAAGGGCGCTTCTGGACGCAATGTCAGCCAAGGAGCCGGCGGGCTCGGTCCGTCGTTCATGGGCCCAAGGAGCAGCAGTGGCCGGAAGGGGCTCGGCCCTAGCATGATGCAACGGGGAGAGGAGTCAGGTGGCTCTTCCAGGACTGGCACACCTCCAGTCAAGGAGAAGGAATCAACATCACACACAAATGCTTTCAGGTAAGATTTACCCATTTCTGCCTGTCAATGCATGCATATGTTAATGCAACTACAGTGCGCTTGCAAGCCTAGACCCATCAGGTGAAGGTGCTGACGACGTCGCTTCTCCCCCATCGGCCGCCTCATCGCCGCCAGTCGCGAAATCCATCCCAGCAGACATCGGGTCACGCGCAAGGTCGCCTGCTGGTGATGCCGAGAAGGCGAATGAGGGCGCCGATGTCGCCAAAGTCGAGGAGTCGTGAACTATGATACCACCGTCGCGCGTTTCCTTCCTTTTGCGTCGCTTTCCGCTGTTGTATAGATCTGGCTTGCTTACGCATTTGTACTGCATTGGGGTATCTGACTTCATCAAACTGTCTTAAAAGCATCGTTTTTCTGGGGGTTTGCTGTGGGCTTTCCTACTGCTTGTGCACTACCATACACGGGAGGCGTTGTGTGCTTGGGGCTTTTCTCCCTTGTCTTTCCCTACACCGCCTACTTTCAGCCGAAGCTCGCCTTTGCCTGGCTGCAACGGCAACGGCAATCCGACAGACACTTCCAACCGATCTATTTCCTAGTCTGGGGTGTGTTAATAGCTCTGCAGTGGCACTTCTTTGTTCGTCCTGTGCGTTTAGTGCTCTTTGGGTTCGGTCAGTGGTGGAGAACCAGATCATTGGGTTCTAGCCCTGGTTGTGGTCTGTGGTTCATAGAACTTGGCCGCTGCGTACAAGGTCCTTTAATCAGAACATTTCAACTTCAATGAGTTTGCCGCGGTGATCTGATGCCTTTTTTGTGACTTAAACATGCCCTCCTGGATTTCATCCAAAGTTTTGTAGCTGAGGCCATGCACGACTTGAGTGCGAAGTTCATCTCGTCGTACTACCAACCTAATCAGCTATAAACCCGCCTGAAGGCGGTAGCCCCAAGGTCATACGCAGCTGCTTGTCGTGCTAAGCTGCGCCGGAGAGAAGGCGTCCACGGACATTACCTGTGTCATCTGCAGAGAACAGTTATCCAACGGGGATACACCTCTTTTATACAAGCAGAACAGTCTTCTCAGCAGCAGCCTATCCCAAATCTCCTGTTCCAAACCATCAGCATGCCGTAACTTGATCACGTGATCGGCCTGGACCTGTGTCGCCAATTGTCTTCTGCACAACTCAACTTAGTACGCGCTGAAAACTTGGAATCTGTGCAGCAATAGTGAGGCACCATGACGCGGTTTGAACCTTAACCGTCATTACTGGCTGCGTGCTAAGGAGGCATCTGCGGCCTCTCCCATGCGACAAGTGGCTTGACCCCAGCACCTTTGATCCAGGCCCAGCATCTGAATGGCTGACACCAGTTCCATAAGGCTAGGAACCTTGTAGCGGATCCGGGCGGATGAAACGCACCACCATGGAAGACGGATGTTGGCAGGCACGGCGGGTTGGAGGGGTAGCGGTGGGGTAGTTAGACCTTAAGACGTCATCTCAGCTGGAAGAGTTCACATATATCAAGTAACCTTTGGACACAATATTCCCATCGAGTTCAAGACGTACTCCGTTGATCAATCCACGCCTTCCTCTTATTCAACCAGCAATCACCACAAGTCAGCCCCGAAGCCACCATGTCCGATCAAGGTATTCCCATGCCCCTTCCCACACCCGCTCCACCCAAGCCCCCTCCACCGGCCCTCCCACACAAGAACCATCCCCCGCTAACCTCCCCATTCCAACAGGCGGTCCCCTCGGCGGCGTCGGAAAGACCCTAGGCGGAGTCACCAAAGGCGTAGGCGACACGGTTGGCGGAGTTACAAAGGGAGTAAGCGATACGGCCGGCAATGCCGGGAAGGGAGTGACCGACACTGTCAAGGGTAAGATCCACAGAGGGGACGGCAGCCTTTGGAGACTGGGGCTGACGAGTACCCCCTTCTAGGTGCTGGGCAGACTGTTTCGGACACGGCCGGCGGGACGTCGGATAAACCTGGTGGGGATAGCATTGGTGGGAAGAAGCAGACGGGGCAGAACCCGCTCGGGTTGTAGATGGGAGCAGGAGGGGGGATGGTTGGGCGGCTTGCGAGACTGAAGACTTTGGATAGACTAAGGGCCATCTGAAAAGTTCGTCGCCGCACTGCGTCAGTGCATGGAGCAAGCGTAGTTCACAGATTAAAGATATCTTCAGTGATTAATGCCCGAAAGGGCCACACTGCTAAAACGTCTTATGCTTTCTATCGCAGGTAACCGGTCTGGGTGCTCTACAATTGACAAGATCATGAGTCCAGTTCGGTCGGTAATCTGATGGAAAAAGCCACCAGCCAAGATGCGGCAGCATACATTTCGGATGGCCCTTGGGCGTAGCTGATACAATCATCTCGCAAGTATAGCCCTTCATATGACAGCTTCAACTATCTGGACTCCGTATGTCAAAAATGATACGGCTATTTAGGTGCCTCCAGCAAGCCCCAATGAAGCCAAGGGCGCTGTCAGTCCGATCAAAGACCAGGCAGGATCTACTCATTCGTCCACTGAGGCTTCTTCTTTTCCGCAAACGCGGCCATACCTGAACGATTGTGTCAGCGTTCAATTCAAGCTCTCAAAAGATCTGCCACACCTACCAATCTTCTGGTCCTTGCTGCCAAACAGCCCATGGAACACCCTCCGCTCATACTCCACGCCCTCCCTAATCCCCAGATCCTGGCTCTTATTAACCACCTCCTTGGCCGCCTTCACCACAATCCTGCTATACCCCGCAATCTTCTCCGCCGTGCCCACCGCCCCATCCACACACTCCTGCGGACTCTCAAACACCTTGGCCGCAAGCCCCCACTCCCCCGCCTGCCTCCCACTGAAATTGTTCCCCGTCAAGATCAGCTCCATCGCCCGCGCCTTCCCAATCGCGCGCGTCAGCCGCTGCGACCCGCCCGCACCGGGGATCGTCCCGAGCTTGATCTCGGGTTGTCCGAAGTTGGCGCTGGCGGAGCAGTACATGATGTCGGCCATCATGGCGAGCTCGCAGCCGCCGCCCAGCGCGTGCCCGTTCACGGCGGCGATGATGGGCTTTTTGATCAAGGACACGAGGTCGGACCACATCTCGATGAAGTCGGTGCCGTAGGCTGTGGAGAAGGTCTTGTCTTTCATCTCTTTGATGTCCGCGCCGGCTGGGGGGTGTTAGCCGGCTGTCTTGATGAGTGGAAGTGGAGGGCTTGGATGGCCAACCTAACCTGCAAATGCTTTTTCGGAGCCGGTGAGGACTATGGCACCGATTTCCTTGTCGGCGTCGAGCTTGCGGAGGGCGTCATTGAGCTCGACGAAGAGGGGTGTGCAGAGAGCATTGAGTGCTTTCGGGCGGTTTAGCTGGACTGTAAAGTGGACGGTGTTAGCATATGTTGTTGCTCCATAGCCACACACTGGCAGTCTGTCTTTATTGTGAATTAAAGCCAAGGAAACTTATTTGTCCCCCTACTGCCCGCTACCTGTGGGCTAATAGATATATGCCCGACAAGAGAGGTATTCCTAGGGGAGCTTGCGAAGCTATAGGTACCATTGGCAGTAAGGAGAGAGTATACACGGCGGAAAAGAGCAACAAGAGATTTTCCATACTTAGGCCTACACCTGGCTTGGGTGTTGAAACTAGAAGATGCTCATACGAAGGTAGCTGCGTAGAATACGGCCGGACGATGCGCGGAAAGGACGAGGAGACGAATTGTGAGGCAATCCGCCTCGAGCACCTAAAAGCAGACATCTCTACACACGTGAGTTTGGATAGAGCAGAACAAAATTGTCGCAGCCGTAAGAATCACAGAACCAACGGCACAGTTCTGAGCGTAAACATTTAATGATAGCTCCGCGACTTGCCGCTTTGCCTCGGCCTTGAGATCCAGAGCTCTTCGGGGAGATTTCTCCGCGCTCAAGCGCTAAGCGCTCCGACCGCGCGGCTATCGGGAGAAGCCGAGAATCCTGTTGGGTGCGCTCTGCCTGCAGGGCTGCGAGGCTGAGCACCTCCCGTTAAAAAAAGGTAACAGATCTCGCCTGCTTCACCAACGTTGTTCCTTCCTTCTCCGCACTTATACCTGGGCCGCAAAGCCATATCGAAACCTACTGAACTCTCGAAAATCCCATCGTCGCCTCTCCACAGCGCTCACCATGGATGCGCCCGAGCCAGACACCCCTTTCGCCGCCGTGAGCGCGCAGACCTCGCGGATTGGACGAGTAAGGCTCCTACCACAGAGACCAGAAGCGTATACCGCGTACTAACGCTATACTTTGCCAGATGTACCAAGCCTACCTCGACAAGTCCACCCCCTTCACCACCTACCGCTGGGCCGGCACCGGCGTACTCTTCCTCTTCTTCATGCTGCGGATATTCCTCGCGCAAGGCTGGTACATCGGTCAGTCTTCCCAGGCTCTCCACCCCGCCTGCAGCAGTCTACTGACACGGACACAGTCGCCTACTCCCTAGGCATCTACCTCCTCAACCTCTTCCTCGCCTTCATATCCCCCAAATTCGACCCCTCGCTCGAGGCCGACGAGGGCATGGAAGACGGCACCAGCGGGCTGCCCACAAACGAGGAGGAGGAGTTTCGCCCGTTTGTGCGACGGCTGCCGGAGTTCAAGTTCTGGTATTCGGCCACCAAGGCTGTCGCGGTGGGCTTTGTGTGCAGCTGGTTCGAGATCTTTAATCTGCCGGTGTTTTGGCCTGTGCTGGTGGTGTATTGGTTGATCCTGTTTTGTTTGACGAGTAAGTGGCCCGTGGCCGTGAGTGGAGTGGTGGGACATGGCTAACTTCGGGCAGTGAGGAGGCAGATTCAGCACATGATCAAGTACCGATACGTCCCGTTTACGGTTGGAAAGAAGAGGTTTGCTGGTGGCAGCAAATGAACACTCGAGCACGGTATAGGGCTATTGTTGTCGGGGCCTTACTTTTTGTGATTTCGCTATTGGGGAGGAGGGTAATATCTTGGGAGTACACCACTAGGACTTCAAACGCGTAGAGGTTAGGGTTCAGGGTCCAGGTTCTTGAGCTTCTCCAGCATAGGGAAGCGGTAGATGGCGTTTCAGGGGACACGGCATTTGTGCGGAGGTGCTGTAGCTGTATATCTACGTTTGTGTTCGTGCTCAAATGCTCTGTGGGCAGACCGTTTTCCCACAAATCAACTATCTCAAGCTTGCATGGACTTGGCTGAACGTGCCCCTTGGCTGTGAGTCTTGTAAAGTTCATAATTTGTACCGCCAACTACTAACCTTTGGAGCGATCCACACCCTCGCATGGCGAAATACAGATACTACTCTGCATTGGTACCCTCTAGCGCAATGTGGTCGTGGTAAGAGCGAAGTCAGGGCTCGCATGTACTATTACGTACGCACTCGCCATAGGAGAATATAGGTTTTGGAAATCCGCCTTGGCCACGCTTACACATTGAGACCACAAGAAGAGACAGGCAAAAAAGCCGATACTTCATAAAAACCGAAGTGCAAGTACCGTCGAATCTGTACACTACCGAAGAGTCCGCTCAGCCTCCAGCTCCCGTTCCGCCTGCTGGTAATATTTCGCTGTATCCACACCATGCTACACACCGTCAGCTTCGTCACCACTCTCCACCACAATCCTCCTGCCACCTACCTGGTTATGGTTAGCAAAGTTGAACCACGGCAGCACATGCAACCAAATGCCCGAATATCTCGAGTTCCTCGACGCCACGCCCTGCAAATACTCCGACATCCCCGAGTGCCCGTACAGCGGCTCGCCCTTCTTGACCTTGGAGACCATCTCCTTCATGTCCATCTCGATCTCGCGCCTGTTCTCGCTGACGCCGTAGAAGCGCACTAGCAGCCCCGGGGGTCAGTATACTCGTCCGAAGCAACAGTGCATGTCGGGGCTTAGGGGACGACCGTACGGATTGAGCGCTGGTAGAACAGCAGAAATCCAGCCGTCGCGCCGACGGCGCCCGTCAGCCGCATCACGGGCGCGAAACCACCCCGACCGACGTAGGAGGGTGAGACGCGCTCCCAGAAGAGCAGCAGGGCCGGGCCGGCTGCTGCCATGGCTGTGCCGGCGACATAGTCGGATGTGCGGGCATAGCGGATGACTCGTTTGAAGTGGCTGCGAGCGTCAGTAGCTGGGGCGAAGCTTGTGTCGGGGATTGGAGTGATCGTACGGGTCACTGTCGATGAGCTGGTGGAGGAGTTAGCAGGCCATTGCGCAATTGGGAGGGGGTGAGGCGTACGGGATAGTTCGTGTTGAGTTTCTTGGCCGGCACAAAGGGCTTCGACCGTACTTCTTCTTCGGCCATTGTGGGCGTGCCTTGCGGGAGGGCTCAAGTGCTTTGGTGGGAGCTGCGGAGAGGTCGAATGAGGTTCGGCGAGGTTGGCCTGGCGGCCAATGAGCGAGGAGCTGGAACGCCATCTCGAAACTTTCGAGGCGCGTCAACTGGGGGAGCTTCGCGAGCTTAACTATATAAAATATTGACCACACTTTCAACCAACTACGAATCACCCTACAGACGATAATCAGCAACTTAACACCTTCCTCTGTTTAGCAAAGGCTTTGGGCGCTTCCGTAGCAAGGATGTGCCCTTCCTGAATATCACGGCGCAGCGACAAAGCGCGCCAGAAAGACGACACCATGTCGCAAACCGAATTGCCCACCATTCAAGGTCGTCCCACCGTCGCCGACCTTAGCGGAGAGAACCACTATGCGCAGATTGCGCGGAAACACTGGTTGAGCAGCACGAGGAAGGGCACAAAGGTCCTGCAAAACGTTGTCAAGGCAGAGCTTTGGGATCACCTGGAGCAGGAGGACTTCGCCTTTGGATCGCTGCTTGTTCTCGAGAACTTGCAGCTGCTGGAAAAGTATTTGTGGCCAGGATATACGGAGGATGCCTCGAATTACCATGTCTTGCTGCTGGCGCTGCTGGTCAATGTCAAGCGGAGAGAGAATCTGCCTTCTTGGGGTACGTATTGGTCATATTAGAGCCATTGAGGAGGGTTGGGGGGCTCAAAAGCCTTGTCTGGCAATCTCTGCCCTCCCCCTAGAGAAAGATAGCAAGCCCAAGTGCTCCAGCGGTCTCACGCAAGGATGGGCCGAGTCACGCTGGTGTGCCCATCGCCTTGGCCGACCACCAGCTCTATCTCAATATTGATCGCGAAACGATGGTGGCCATACGCTGACAGCAGCAGATCACTTCACGACCAATCCATCCGAGTTCTCGTCCTTCTTCCGCCGCATCTTGTCCATGACACTCGATAGCTCGCTTTCTACCAAGCTACGTACCCACCTGATCACGTTCATTGTTGGAGCCTTTCAATCGCTAGATAGTGGCATAATCAGGAAGGAATGCGCTCCGCTGGTCTCCATCGCCTTGTGGGCAAACCTGCATAGTGATGCTATTCGCGAGCACAAACTTGAAAAGAGCGTGGCTTTGAGAAAGGCGTGGAGGGCTTCAGTCAAGCGCTACGATGTGGCAGACGATGCGACTAAGGCTAGACTCCGCTTCGAGCGCTCTTGGCTATATACGCTGTTGCTGGACTTTCTCAACAAGATTTACGACAGCTCGTCATCTGAGGAGAACACGCGGTATTGCGAGCGGTTTTTGGAGTTACTCGCGGACTTGCAGAGCCAGTTGCCGACACGGAGATATGTGAACGCACTCTTACAAGACCTGCACTTAATACCCGCAATTCAGCTTTCTCCGGTGTATAGCGATGAGGACAATGGCCTATTTAGGGATCTGTTCAACCTTTTCCGCCACTACAGCTATTTTCTGATAGACGATCAAACGGGCCAACCGCAGAACCGTATGCAGTATGAGGAGGCACACCACGCAACACTTGCAAGGCTGCAGAGGACCGCGATCACATACTTTAAAGATAAGCTTACTATCCTGGCTTTGTCAAACTTCAGTTCGCTTGGTCTCAGGGCTGATCTTGAGGGGCATTTGGAGAGTCTGTCACTCGAGGACCTGGTTCAACTTTGCAGCATCCTGCGACTACGGACCGAGTATCCCACATCGTCCTTGGTCGTTCGAGATCGAGCTTTCTTTATCGAAGTGCTGGCGTCAGAACACGAAAAACGCCCAACATTCCAGGACACGGTACGGGAAATGACCATTCCCCCTACGGAGAGGACGCTATACGAAGCTGCCTTCCTGCGGAACGAATCCTACGATGGGTCGCGGCCGCTTGCTATACCTAAGCTGAATCTCCAATACCTTACCATAGGCGACTTTCTCTGGCGATCCTTCATCCTTCATCGGTGTGAATCCTTCTACGAGATCCGGAAGAACATGGAAGATGTCATCAAACGACTGCAGCCGCGTGTTGGAGGCGGTGTTACTCGGTTTGATGGCTTTTCTAAGATGGCTTTGCCCATTGGCAAGCCCGCAATCATAGATGTCGCCCCAGCAAAGGTCGGAGAAGTTGCGCCCGCCTCTGTGCGTGCCGAAGTTACGCTCGACGTAAGCCGACTTAGCCATGCTGTTCGCCTGGAATGGGAGTCTTTGCGCCAAGATGATGTGGTCTTCCTCCTGGCCGTCCATCCATCAGAACGTGGCATGATTAGTAACGGTGGTAGCAATGCCACGCCGGCAGAGCAGATGGGCCTGCGGTATCTGCGGACCGCTGAAGTTATCCAAGTACAAGACCATGCCGGGCGGCCACTGCGCGATCAACAAGACGGTGCGGAGCGTAGGCCTCGGCAGCGTAGGTTACTGTTGCGGCTCGACAATGCGGCTTATAAAATGGACCTTGATCGGCAAGCCAAGCAGAAGGTTGACATATATGAGGGCATCAACCTCATCGTCAGACGGCGGGGCCGAGAAAACAACTTCAAGCCAGTGCTCGAATCAATTAAGCGCCTCACGCTATCCGATGTGCCTGCACCCTCTTGGCTTCAGGAAGTCTTCCTTGGCTACGGTGACCCTGCTAGTGCTACGTACAGGCGGCTTGCAAACCGCCTGCGATCGATCGACTTTCGAGACACATTTTTAAGCTGGGAGCATCTCGTTGAGAGTTTACCCGGTAAGACTATTGAGCCAAGTGACGAGATGCAGTCAAGCTTCGGACCGCCGTACGTCCTCCAATTTCCAGAGGACACGGCCCAGGAAGAACCATCAAGGCCGTCTAAGAAGCGCAGGAGGGACCAGGACGAGATCCCGAAGACGACCCATGAAATCGTTCATGTCTCCACGTATAAGCCTCCCAACACAGGTCCATACCCACAAGATGCTCCTAAGCTGAATACTGTGCGGTTCACACCGGCACAGGTCGAAGCTATCACATCAGGCACGCAGCCAGGCCTTACTGTCATTGTCGGTCCGCCAGGAACTGGAAAGACGGACGTTGCAACCCAGATCATCAACAACATCTACCACAACTTCCCTTCGCAGCGGACGTTATTAGTCGCACACAGTAACCAGGCGCTGAACCAACTATTTCAGAAGATAGTAGCACTGGATATCGACGAACGCCACTTACTGCGTCTAGGCCACGGCGAGGAAGAGTTGGAGACCGAGGCTAGCTACAGTAAGCATGGACGCGTGGAGTCCTTCTTAGAGAACGGAGCGCGCTACTTAGCGGAGGTCGACAGGCTAGCCGCTAACTTCGGTGCACCTGGTGCACATGGGAGTTCGTGCGAAACCGCTGACTACTTCAATTCTGTGTATGTCAAGCCTGCGTGGACGAAATATTGGGATAAGGTTCGAATGGGCGACTCCACTCGGGACCAGATCATCGAGGAGTTTCCTTTCCATCATGTAAGTCACAAGTCATCAGATCTCGACTGAGTGTTTATTATCCGCCACCCGGTGCAGAGTGCTGATGTGGCGCTCAAACAGTACTTCTCCGACGCGCCACAACCCCTATTTCCACCGGACGCAAGTCGCGAGGATCTCCTGGAGATCGCTCAAGGATGCTACCGCCACGTGGAAAAGATCTTCTCCGAGCTTTCTGACATACGTCCTTTCGAAATCCTGAGAAGCGCCCGAGACAAGGCGAACTACCTGCTCATCAAAGAAGCCCGCATTATCGCCATGACCTCAACGCACGCGGCCATGCGGCGACAAGAGATCGCGAACATGGGCTTCCACTACGACAACGTGATCATGGAGGAAGCGGCCCAGATCACTGAAATCGAAAACTTCATCCCCTTGGCGCTCCAGAAGCCCAAGGATGGCGAGCTGCCGCTGCAGCGGATAGTGCTCGTAGGCGACCATCTCCAAAACTCGCCCATTGTGCAGAACCTCGCATTCCGGCAGTACGCCAACCTAGAACAATCCCTTTTCCTCCGCCTCGTGCGTCTCGGCGTCCCAACCATCCTGCTGGACCAGCAAGGCCGTGCCAGACCCTCCCTAGCGGAGCTCTACAAATGGCGCTACCCTCGCCTCGGCAACCTGCCCATTGTCTTAACAGCGCCAGAGTTCCTGACCGCAAACGCAGGCTTCCGCTACGACTACCAGTTCATCAACGTGCCGGACTACAAGGGCAAGGGCGAGATGGAGCCGACGCCGCATTTCATCCAGAACCTCGGTGAGGCCGAATACGCCGTCGCGCTGTTCATGTATATGCGGCTGCTTGGGTATCCGGCGGCGAAGATCTCGATACTGACGACGTATGCGGGGCAGAGGGCCCTGGTGAGGGATGTGCTGAGCCATCGGTGTAAGGGGAATAGGCTGTTTGGGTTGCCGAGGGTTGTTACGACTGTGGATAAATATCAGGGCGAGCAGAATGATTGTAAGTCAATACAAACTTCATGGTTGTGACGACGTTGCTAAGACTGGGGCTATAGACATCATCCTCTCCCTCGTCCGCACAACCCGCGTCGGCTACCTCCGCGATATCCGCCGCCTCACCGTGGCACTCTCCCGCGCGCGGCTCGGCCTGTACATCCTGGGCCGCCGTGCCGTCTTCGAGTCCTGCTACGAGTTGAAAGAGGCGTTTGACCGGCTGCTGCAGCGCCCGGATAAGCTGGCTCTGGTGACGGGGGAGACGCATCCGACCACGAGGGCGGTGGACGAGGAGGTTGAGGCAACGGAGATGGAGGGGGTCGAGCATTTGGGGCAGTATGTGTTTGAGATGACGCAGGCGAAGGTTAGGGCTATTAGGGAGGGGGGTGGCGTACTGCCGCCGGTGGAGGAGGAGGGAATGGAGGTTGATGATGAGGAGGGGGAGGAGGTTGTGGAAGCTGAGGAGATTGAGGAGGATGAGGAAGTGATCGAGTGATGCCGTGGCACTGATCAACGCATCCTTTCCATGGCTCTGGGCCGGTGTACAACATGGCTTGGGTAACAACATTTATGCATAGCTCAGGCGCTTCTCATACTAATAGGCTGTATGCCGCAATGCACGGCACAGTCGGAGCAACGCTATAACAAGTGGATTCCCAAGATCGTACAATTTTCAACCTCTCTCTTGGAAGAAGCGAACCACTTGCTCGGCAGGCTCGGCAACACGGAATGTCTATACAGCACGAGCTACCTCTCGCCAGGGCACACAGTTCCTGAGTGCTTTTTTTTTCGCACATTAGTAGCCCCTGTCAAGGGGATAGTGCGCGTGGTTGTAGCCTTCATTCCTTCTTCGCAATCTGCGGACTTAGCTCCTCGACGATGTTATTGGGGTCTTTCCATGCTAGCGTTACATATCTACGATGGTGTCAGCATGAACAGCGCCCTCAGTCTGAGATTTGAGCGCGTACTTGGTATGACTGCCTCTTGCAAACATCTCGTCCTTGTTGTTGAAGAACTTGATGGAAGTGAAGGCGAGCGTTTTGCCGACTATGTTCTGGCGTCAGTACCAATGAGTCGATAAAACTTTGAGGCAGGAGTTGCTGCTGGAAAGCGTACACTTATCGCAGGTAACTTCGGCTTTGATGGTATCTCCAATCTTGCCGCCAGAGGAGAGGTATGTGACTGAAGGCGTTCGGTCAGCTGCGCTCTTTGGCTAACATGTGCGAGTAAGCATACCATTGAGGTCCGTGGAGACGCCTGTTGCGAAGAGGCCCTTCGATGCTACCGCTAGGGAGCCGCCCAGATCGACTGCGGCCAGTCAGGGTTACCTTCTGGGGTATCGCAAGGAAGCAAACCTGCCCATGCTTGCAATGGTTCCGCCATGCAGGATGCTGAGTCTGTTCTACAGAGCTCACACTCTTCAGCCATTTGTCGTTCATGGGTAAAATATGGAAGCTAACCGTATGCTCCTGCTTGATGTCCAGCTCAAACTTGACTTTTCCGGGGACAGCCGATGTGATTCTGAGCTGTGGAATGATAAGCCTCTTTTTCCTGTCGGTGGGACGTTTGCTTACTTACACCGTCCAGCAGCCTAAAGACATCCCCATCGGTAAGGAAATTAACCATATACTTGATCAGATGTGAGGTATATCACCTCGGTTCCAGCCCAGAGTTGGCTCTAAAGGATTCCCAAACCTGTGGAGAGGCTCAGTGCACTGCAATTGCATTCTGGATAGTCACTGCTTACCGACCGCACAAACTTGAGAGCGGGCATATCTATGTCTGATCTTTGAACTCAATTTCTACGCTCGAGCTGAGGTAGAGGTTTAGCTAAGCGGAGATTTTCGACCACTGGTGCGCGGGAAGCGTTCCGCCAGCGCATGGGGTGGAAGCCAAGCACTTGCAACAACTAAAGTACTCGAGTACCACATCTCAACCTCAGGCAGACCTCGGGGTTCAGCAAGACTCCGACTGAAGAACGGGCAAACGTAATATAATCTATCAAGGGTACTCTCGCTCCGAGGTATTGCTTGTCATTTTCTCCGCCTTCATGCCATACGAGTGTTGTACAGCAGCCGCCATCTCCAAGGCATTATTTGCGGATGTCCAATATCCGGAACCGTTCTTGTGGACGACGATGCTGCATTATCCGGTGATCTTACCCACAGCTGTTGCCCTCTATAGAAATACGGACATTGAGAAACTTCTCGGCATGCAAGCGGTCACCGGATTCCAGCTGCACCTTCACGGCCTAGGGGACAGAGCAGCCTCGCAGCTTCGCCATCTCGTAGTGTCAGGATATCGACGATGCCCTTCACATGTTACCGAGATGATTGAAGTTGTCAGAAGCACTTCAGAAACACGAGTGTCTGTATCACGGAGGAGTCATGTAGAAGAGATACGTGTTGAGGATGTTGACTGTCTCTACTTGAGAACTATCTCCACCGAATCAGATGGTCATCCCCATATCCCAAACCCGCGTTGCAAGCGCGCCATGTCATGCAAGATATCCTAGCACCTTAACCGTGCCTTCTCCATCATTCAAGTCTTCCCTCCCAATGCAATCGACCTAAACGGTAATCGTCCCAGTCAACCTCGCATCTCTGGAGCTGGCCCCAACCTGGACCCCAAAGTTACCCCTCGGCACGACCCACTCCTGGAGCGCGACGTCCCAGAAGCTGAGATCGCGTCGCCTAAGCTCAAACGTTGCCTTCCTGCTCTGGCCCGGGCGAAGGTTCAGCTTCACGAAGCCACGGAGCTGGCGCGGCGGGGTCTCCGGTGCGGACGACGGTAGGCTGATGTACAGCTGCGCGACCTCGGCGCCCTGAACGCGGCCCGTGTTGGTCACGGTTGCGGTAACGGTGGCCACGATGTCGAAGAGGTCCTGGCGACCGCCGGGGCCGCGTCGGCCGGTCGCGGGGCCGGCGGCGATGCCGGAGCTGTTGCGGTTGCCGTAGCCGTTGCCGCCACGGGCGGAGCGCGAGGAGATGTCGAGGCCTTTGAAGCCGAAGGTCGTGTATGCTGTGAGGTGTGGGTTAGCTGGGATGTTCATGCAGGAATGGAGTGGTGGAGAAGTTGGGACTTACACATTCCGAAACCGAACTCGTAGCGCGGCGCGATGTTGAGGGCATCGAAGCGGCGGTAGTCGATGTACAGGCCCTCAGTGAAGGGGTCGTTGGGCGCATCCACGATGGTCGGGTAGTCGGACTCGGACTTGGCGATGGTGTAGGGCAGCTTGCCGCTAGGGTTGACATCGCCGTACAGAACATCGACGAGCGCATTGCCGCTCTCCTGGCCCGGAAGACCGGCCCAGACGATGGCAACGACATTCTGCTGTGCGAGGATGCTCTCAAGAATGATCGGCCCGACGCTGTGGATGACGACGATGGTGGGCTTTCCAACAGCAGCGATGGCAGCGACGAGTTCATTGCCAGAGTGCCACGGGTCGAGATTGATACGGTCGCCGGCATTGCCTTCGACGGTGATGTAGCCCTCTCCGCTGTCAGCATTGATGAAGACCATGGCGGTTGAAGCAGCGGCGGCGGCACTGGCGCCAGCAGCTTGGTCGTTGGTGGTGCTGGTAGCGAGCGTCGTGCCATCAGCGGCTGCTCGCCTGGAGATCGCACTGACAGGGTCAACGAGGTACGGGAAGTCAGCAGTGCCGGAGCCCCAGCCCATAGCCAGAGTGCCGGTGTTGCAGCCGCGGTCGGGGCAGGCGTTCGGGCCAGCTGGGTTGACAATAGCGTCTTCTCCGATGATCGCCAAGCTGCTGGGCTTCTTGAGAGGGAGGGCGTTGTTGTCGTTCTTGAGGAGGACGATGCCATCACGAGCGACGGTCCTGGCAATGTTCTTGTGGTTTCCTTGAACATCTGGGCCGCCTGCGGTAAGGTTCCACGAGTTGATGGTCGTTGCAGGGTAGCCGCGGTCCTGGTCTAGGGCGTACCACTGTGCAAGGATTCTCCGAACCATATCGTTGACACGAGCCTCTGGTACCTCGCCGGCCCGGACTGCGGCTGTCAGGTTTGGTCCCCAATAGATGCTGCCTGGAGGTTGGTTGAAATCAGTACCCGGCATAGTCATGTCGAGACCGCCGTTGGCGCTCTGGACGGTGGAGTGCTGTGCATTCCAGTCGCTCAAGACGTAGCCACGGTATCCAAGCTCGTTCTTCAGGAGCCTGTTGTTGACGTCGTCACTGTCACATGCCCAAGTCCCGTTGACCTTGTTGTAAGAGCACATAACGGATGCCACATCAGCCTTGATTGCATCGACGAAAGGCCACATGTAAAGCTCGTGCAACTCCCGGTCCTTGATATCTGAGCTGATCGTTTCGCGGCGGAGTTCTTGCTCATTGCCGATCCAGTGCTTGGCGCAGGCCTGGACACCAACGCTCTGGATGCCGTCGATAGTTTCTTTCATGGCGATGCCGGACAGATACGGGTCCGCTGCGAAACCTTCCCAGTTCCTGCCTCCACGGGCGATCTTTCCAAGAGGACCAGCGACCGGCGCCAGCAGCACGTGAATGCCCAGGCCCCGAGCCTCTTCACCCATGGCCTTTCCACGTTCGCGGATCAGGTTGATGTCCCATGTTGATCCAGCCTGAATGCCAGCTGGGAAGGCGGTGACTCCCTTTGCGAATCGGATGCCGAGAGGACCATCCTGCAGGCAGAGGGACGGATAGCCGATGGATGGAACAGGGCTGGTGTTGCCAACGCATGGGCCCTTGGTCCATCCAACACCGGTGACAATGCCGACTTTCTGCTCAAGAGACAGCCCTGAGAGAGCTCGACCAGCTCGCTCGTTCGCCCGCTCCCATGAATCACGGGCTTCGGTGAACCCCGCTGCGAGAAGAGGAAGAAGAAGCGCTCCCAACATTGTTGCGGCTGGAAGGAATGTTTGAGAAAGGAATGTCTGAGGAAGGAAGGATGAAAGTGGAGTGGCTCAGGAAGGGGCGTCTTCTTATAAAGTCATCACGCGGGGTATCACGCGGGCTCCTAGTGAAGTGCCACCTTGTGAATTGCTTCTTAGTGATATATTGCATCGTGAAGCACTCTATGAGGTACCTGAACGCCCATGTGACGGTGCTAGACTAGTGAACATGGACGATCAGCTTCACAACCATGTTCACGACCCTGCAATGCATTCATCTCGGAGATAGGATGGGGCTCGAGCAGCTCATGACCGCCATTAACGCGTGCGAAGTCGCTCCTTGGAGGGCAGCGATCTGTATGGACGGAGATTTGGGTGTCACCAACTACAACGGATTGAGCTGAGTCCGATGCTAGACTCACGATAGCCCGTGGGGCAGTCAGTTGCAGGAGCACCTAACATCTCCGATACCTAGGTAGCATCCCCAGGTTTTGGTGGTTGTTGGCACTGGGGATCCGGAGAACGGATTAAGCTGCCTGACATGGTCTCGTGCCGGGCGTAAGGGACGTGCGCGTGGTGTTGGATGCTGCTAGCCGCGAGACCGGCCAACCCTTGCATCACGCTTTAGAGATGACTGCGACCGGACTCGACTTGGGTACGAAAACTCGGAGTTGGCACGAAAACCATCGCTAGGCACAGTAGAGCAGCAGACTGATGGGGCATGACCTATTTCAGAGGGGTGCAGGCTCGGCGACTCCTCAGCGCACGCTGCAGGACGGAAACAATGAGAAGCATGTGCACACCTGACCAACTCGTCGTCCTGTGAAGTGTTCGAATGAAGAGACGTGGAACACCGAGTACGAGTACGGGCAGCTGTAGAACAAGGATGGAAGCTCTGTACCTACCTGCCTGTTGTGACCATCGTGAAACCCCATCTAACCTGCAGTGGAAGGTAACGTGAAGCTTGGGATGTCGGTGCCCACCTCTGGAACCACGTTTTGCCATTCCGGGGCTCCCAGGAGACAGGAACTGGCCGCGATCGACCGGGAGAAGCGCCGCGGGCGAACTTCTAGAAAACACTAACATCCACCTCCAATCTTAGGCTCAGATGAAGTAGCTTAGTTGCTGCCGAATCTTTTCCGCAATCCTGTAAGAGAGGAGGCGGTGGCGGCGACTAGGTAGGTACCTAGGTACTTCGCCCGAGTCTTGCTCACTTCAGCCCTCTGCGCTTGGGTTATCCTCGGCCGCTTTCTAACGGTACTGTATACACTACCTTGATGTATGATGGTGTAAACGTGCATGCCCCACCGTGGGGTTGAGCTCTTGGAGGGGGATCATCGGGGCCTGTGGGGTTGTGATGCACTCGTGCTGCGGTGCAGTAACTACGCCGGATTCTGACAACATGAGCCTCGGACCTAAAGACAGGCGTCAGGCAATCGTCCGTGTGCCACGGACCGCCCCCTCGGACTTTGGAGTTTGGCCGTTACTCACCGCCTGCATCGTCCCTCCATCACAGGGATCCCCTCCGCATGATCTTCCAGAAGACATTCCGCTGGCAAGGAGGGCGGACGCCAAGCCTTCCCGCCGCAGCCTCCCGCTTTACCTAAGCCAACCTTCTATCAACTTTGGAACACTCTGCTGCGCACGCCATGTTATCGCAACCGCCGACGATGATACCGAGGTAGCATATCGCGAACATGAACGCCTCATCAGATACGATGACGGCCAACCCCCAGGCGCTTGAGGTGCTCCAAGGCTTTCCTGGGACCAAGCTGGAGCAACTATACCGGCAACCATCCACAGCGTTAGCTGTCTTCCGGCGCATGCTGCCACATCTGGGTGAGCGGGTAGCATTCGATGTTCTCGCAGGAGCCGTACTAACCTATTCGTCTAGCGAAAACGATTGTCATGGCGATGCTCTACATGCCAAACCCTTTCCTAGCCTCCGACCTCGATGCCTGGATCCGCCCAGACGCCGTCGCGTATGCCCGCACCACGATCCTGCAAGAGCACAGCTAATGTGCTTGCAGCGAGAAAGAGCAGGCGCTGCTTGTTTTGACGAGCTTGCACATCATGTCGACCTCGCTGCAAGCCCAGGGGCCCCGCGCATACATCCTCGGGAAGGCCTTTGCAAAATCCCTGCGACAGGCCCTGACTGGCAGCGGAGAGCACAAGTCGTTCGGCGTGCCTTGCAGGCCCCCTGGGAACGACGTTGTTGATGTCAAGACCCTCGATGACCATGCCAGGAGACAGTGGGAAGACATACTTTATTACATGGTTGGCAGCACCACCGTTGGGGTGGAAGGGCAATCGCATATCAGCGACGCCACAAAGTCGCTGCTCGAACTCGGCAATTTTGTCGATAAAAGAGGCCGCATCACACAAACTGGCTTTACCTTTCTCTTGCAGGAGGTGAATGCGCAGGTATGGAGCCTTCTGATCGTTTATCTGAATCGAGCTCCAGAATTGGTAAGCGCTAGTTCGTCTTCTCCTGATGTAAGTGATGTGTTACTAGGAAAGATGTTAGGCATGACTGGGAGCACTCCAACGTTTCCTGACAAAGCGGCTGTGGCATGTCGCCACGGAGTCATTTGAGGGGAGCATTATTAAGACGGCTATGAGTTTTTCTTGATCTGAAGTCTTCGTCTTCAACTCTAAGCCATCATTCCATTAAGAACTAATGGTTTGCGTCAATCAGCACAGCCCGACCCCTCTTCTGCAAGCATCGCGCTTCCAGCACCCGCAACCCACACAACCGCTAACAGTCTCCACTAGCTCAAGATGGACAGCGTAGACATCCTCTCCTTCATCTTCATGCTCGGCAGCCTCGAGCTGGGCCAAGGCTACTCAACCGCGAACCTCTCCTCGACCCAGAAGCAAATGCTCGACGACCTCGGCGACTTCGGCATAATCTACCGACCCTCCCTCAAGACCCCCATCTTCTACCCAACCCGTCTCGCCACGACCCTAACCTCCGACGCCTCCGCCCTGCACAGCAGCGCCGCGGCGCCGACCCCCACCTTCGACACCGGCCTCGCCGGCGGCTCCGGCGCCGCGAGCAAGGGCTACATCATCGTGGAGACCAACTACCGCCTCTACGCCTATACGGAAAGCATGCTGCAGATCAGCGTGCTGGCCCTCTTCACGCGGCTGACGATGCTCTTCCCGAACATGGTCACGGGCCGTCTAACCAAAACCTCGGTCCAGCGCGCCATCGCGCAGGGCATCACGGCCGACCAGATAATCTCGTATCTGGCCGCGCACGCGCATCCGCAGATGCTGAAGAGCACGCCCGTCCTGCCGCCCACGGTCGTCGATCAGATCCGGCTGTGGCAGATTGAGGGCGATAGGATGACGACGACGAGCGGGTACATGATGATTGAGTTTGCGACCGAGGCCGAGTATCGCGATACGGTCGAGTATGCCGAGACGGTCGGGCTGCTGGTTTGGAAGAGTGATGCGAAGAGGTGCTTTTTTGTTAATCGGATCGAGCAGATTAGGAGCTTTATGTCTAACAGGAGGGCGGCGCGGGCGTAAGCGCTTGTGATGGGCTTGAAAAATTCGGGGACTGGGTTAGGCACTGGAGGCTGTATGGAGCTCCAGCCGAGCGCTCTTCGGCGGGCTGGTCTGGTCTGCGAGGGGCCATAGGCGTTCGGGATCGAATGGGAAATGGCAAGGCGGGCATGACAGGGCGCTGGGATGGCATTGATTGGATTCCATTGAGTACCCGGGTGTGTTTCTTAGCCTCCTTTTCATCTGTAAACAACAAGTGGAGCGGAGATGAACAGTTGATTTGAGACACAGCACACGGATCCATCTGCTACCTGAATATGCGGTGAGACCCTTCTTAATACAGCCAGGTCGAGTAGGCGCTACAGTCGAATTTTCACGGCATCCTAGGACATCGCCCGTGGTCCATTCACCACCTCATGCGCCCAACAATGCCGCCCCCCTCAGATCTACCCCCGCTATATCACACCACAGTGCCTCCACCAACGCTCTCCGAACACGCCGATCTATCTCCCATTGCTCTTCTCGAACCCCAACGACTGCCCGCTCGACTTCCGGTTCTTCCCCATCAGCCGCTCCATGAACGACATCTTCCGCGGCGGCCCCATATCTCCCGGCTTCTTGTTCTCCGTCATCAGCGACGCGGTCGGCGATGGCGTGACGTCTTTATCCTCTGCTTTCGGTTTGGCCGACGAGAGGCTCGACCACAGTATCGACGGCATGTTGTGGATGCGGCCGTAGGTGCGCGCGAAGAGCTGCGTGGCTGTTAAGAAATGGTCGCAAATATCCAGGGGGGCCAAAAGCGGGAAAGCACACGGCATAACAACAGCGACAAACCGATGATCGGCGAAAGGCGGCGCTGGGAAAGACTCACGCACAAACTACTCCTCGCCTCGTCCGTGATGCAGACCTCGTACAGCTGCTCGAACACCTTCCGCGCGCGTCGCTCTTCAGCGCCAGGTGCGGCCTTCTTCGGGACCGTGACGTCGGTGATCGGATCGTACGTGTACTCAGGCGCAGGCTCGGTGCAGTCGCGCGAGGCGTCCAGGAGCTGGTCGTGCAGCGTCGTGAAGCGGCCGGCCCAGTAGCCGTTTGGTTGGGCTTGGGTGACCTGTGGGGCGAAGACATGTCAGCAGGACGGTGCTAAGACCACTCAGAGCCTTGAGGGAATTTCGGGTGCCTGTGGGAAAGAGGGTGGTCGTACCTGCCGCCTCAACAGTAAAGACGCTTTGGACGGCGTGCTGCGTTCGCTGGTCGGACTGAGCTCTGATGACCTGCGCACCCCCCGAGAGTTGTTAACGAGCTTAGCGCTGAGATGGTCGATAGCAGCAAAGGTACCCGGCGTGCGAGGCAGCGGAGGACTCAGCGGTTGGAGTAGCTGGTGTTGCGTTATTGAGTGGCCCGAAGACAGTCTCGGGAGGCTCGGACGTGGGCGGTCGCCCTTCCATCGCTGTACCGTTACTGGTGTCTGCTGCTCCTTGAGTGTGTTCGGGTGCGCTCTGGGTGTTGCCGCATTCTGTTCGTTGGTGACGGCGAGGTGCTCGTACCAGGTTTCTTTGATGGGCGTGACTGGTCTTTCAAGTCGTGACCAGCTTGAGCCGAGCGAGGATGAGTGGCTGCTGTAGGTGCTGGAAGAAGCAGTGACGCTGCTGTGTGCGGGCGACTCCCATGGCTTTGGTAGCGGCCGGCAGATGTCCACGTTCTCCTTCTCTTTTCTTGATGATCTTCTATGACTAGTCTCGCCCATCTCGCTTTCCAACGTCCCAGCCTTCCATGGGTTTCTTCGTGCCGCAAACTCAAACTCTTCCTTGAATACGGCTTTCCTCGGCAGATTGGAGGTGCTTCCTCCGTGCGCGACATGCAGGTTTGGTTGTGTAGTGGAGCGTTGGAGGTGAGTTGGAACACCGAGCTGCGCGAAGGCCTTTCCTGCCCCGACATATCTGGCGCTTCTGCGACGTTCGCTGGTGGCACCGACAGGAGTAGGGATCCGGCTCGGACGGATTGTGACGGATGATTGCGAGGAGGGTAGACTGCTCTCACCAGGGCCGCGGGGTACTCCGAGCGTGGGTACGTTGCTCATCGTATGACTTCGCGGGAGCTGCGTTTGCTTCGGCTTCTCGGCGCATCGTAACGGTGCATGAGAATCTTCAAACGGAGAGGGCGGCGGTGTTTTGAAGTTAGGAAGCGGAATCAGAGACGAACGGCGGCTGTTTCTCTGATGCTGCTGCTGCTGCAAAGAAGATGAGGACTCTGAGGTCAGCAGCGCTGTAGTGGAGGAGGCTTCGGACTGGAGAGCAATTGTAGACTGGCGTCGACGATTAAATGGGTTTAGCGGACTTGCGAGAGAGGTGATGGAGCTGAAGCGGCGGACTTTGTGCGATGCTGCGTCATGCTCATGTTTTTCTGGAGCATGCAAACGACCGGGCATGTTGCTTGATGCTGGGATCCTGTTCTCCTTGTCGTCTTCCTGGGTGTGAGCCGCCTCCCACTTGGCGCGAATTGCGTGGAAAGCAGAGTGCTCACGATTGCTAGGCATCTTCCACGAAACGTTGGTAGTGCATTGTGCGCGAAAGCGTAAAGAGGAGTGAAGTTGATGTTCGCGGGCGGTTTGGTGGTGATTGAGCAGAAGAGGAAGTCACGACGACGACGACAACGACAATAACATGTGAACGATGTCACTCAGAGTCTCTTCCACATAACGCGTGAGCTGACAAAAGAATCTTAAATGTAGAAGACCACAGAGCCGTGATGCATATTGAGCTGATTATGCATCGTGACTCGGAAATCTCTTGGACGCCGTTTCGTTTCATGGGCTTCAGGTCCTGTTTACTCTCTGAGCGGTCGTCGCCGCTCCTAACCGATGGCTCACGATATATATTCCGCACATATGTTCCTTCATCCATCTGCAGCCTTCACCAGCGGTCCAGCTGCATGAGCGTGAAGGACTGTCCGTGTCACATTGCCGCTGATCTAGCTCCTTGAGGACTTTAAGGAGTATCCACGCGTGTAGACCGTACACTCGGCTCCACTACAAGCCCGATTGCACGTCTTCCGTGTTGCCAATGCTAGTTTGAAGAAGATGTCAATCTATTCCATTTCTTGTAGAATTCGTAATATGCCATGAATCAACCAAGCCCTTCCATGCAAGCACCTTCATCTCCCGACTATACTGACAAGCGTCACAAGGGACCGTTAGACTCCGCCACGTTCATATTCCACGTCACCGCTTTCATTTGCTATATTGTTCTGTTGGTAGAGGCTATGAACGCCGTCCGGTAGCAAACATCGAATTCGCCTGGGATGCCCGATAGTCACTATGTACACTGTCTTCAACATAGGGTAATCTCACTTAGCAAGGTTCAACTGTCTTCTCTAGAGAAGCAAGTCTCTGCCTTACTGAAACCATCTACTCCGCTGATCAGGTGAATGCAACGTCTCGACGATCTGAATCAGTTCATTCTGCATCAATCTAACCCGATACCCGTATTTGACATATCCATTATAGAGCTTCACCGCCTGTTAAGGATGGCGACAAAGAACGCAGTCGTAAAGTACCAATATTTTGGGTATCCGCTCACACTACATTACAAACGCCAGGTACGCCAAACGCTCTACCGTATGAGGCTCGGTCACTCAGTACCAGCCCAGAAAACGCCTCATTCGGAATCGCTATCAATGACAAAGCCCGCTCTCACATTCCTCCTCACCACCGGCTTCTGGATCGGTACATCTTCAGAATCTTCAGAATCAGCATCCGGTACAACGACATCCACATTTGCGGATTTGGCCGCCAGCGGCTCCCTTGACAGCCCGGCAGGGGAATCGCGTCGACCAGCCCGCGTCGGCGCAGGCTGCTGGGACGAGACTGGCGTGTCAGTCATCTCAGCGTCTTCATCGCTGTCTGATTCAATTCGTGTTGCGGGCTCTGGGGAGGAAGCCGCGCTGGGCGCTGCGGATGCGCTTCTCCCACCTGTTTCATCACTGTCTTCGGGGTCCGAGAACAGGCTCTTGTGCTGCTTCTTCTTCCTACTCCCCTTCTCCACCTCCCTCCTCGCCTTCCTCTTCCTCTTCCCCAAGACCTCCTCACCCGTCTTTCCCGAAGAAAGCGCCTTAAGGATACTCCTTCCAGCATTCCTCCTCCTCTCCTCTTCCTTAGCAAAGAACTCCTTATCCCGTTCCTCATCCGTCTCGTCATCAGACTCGTGCACCATAAGCTCACTCTTAATCTTCCTCCTCTTCTCCTCGTCCGCTTTCCGCCTCGCCTCAGCCCGTCGCTCCTTCTCCGCCTCATCTGGCTCCTCGTCACCCTTATGCCGTAGTCGGCGCCGTTTGCTCTTCAACGCCTCCAGCGCCTCTGACCGTCTGTTCGTCGGACCACCAGCGGGGAACAGGATCTCCTCCTCCCCGGCCGACGCGCCATCGCCGTCGCTGTCGTCATCGTACGCAGCACGTCGTCGCGCAGCAGCCGCTTTGCTGCGTAGGAAGTCTTCAGCAGATTTGCCGTCCTCGTAGACGGGGGGGTCGAATTCGAATCTGCGGATCAGGTCGAGGTTCTCTGTCAGCGTCGCGGCGGTAAGGTCCGAGGGAATGATCCAGGAGGCGGCGGGGTCGTCGTCGAGGCCGAGCCGCTCGAAACCGAGGAGGGTGAGGAGGAGGCGCAGTTTGTTGTCTTTGAAGAGGGCGGTGCGGCGGGCTTCAGTATCGGGTTTGAGGAGGATGGAGGGGGGGTTGGGGGCTGCGGCCTGCTCGGTAGGAGACTCGGGCGCGTTAGGAGGTTCGAGGGCTGAGGATGTGGCTTTTCGCGCTTCGGCTTCTGCTTCCCAGGCCTGACGCTCGTCTACTGCTGAGGTAAGGATGTTCTTGATCCAGGCGAGCGCGTCGCTCTTGTTTTGGTTGACGAGAACGGAGACGGCGACGCCGATTTGGTCTTTCCTCTCCATGCCCGGCTTAACTTCTAGCTCGGCAGGTGCTCGCGGCGTCCTTGTTTGTAGCTCCCTCTCGTACCCATGCTCGAGGTAGAACATCGTGTTAGGGATCTTGCTGAAGAGCATCTCGACCATCAGCTCCGGTCTTTCCTGCACCTTCTTGGTGACTTTTCTGAACAGCTGCCGCACGAGCTCCTGCCAGTCCTGGAAGATTGACATCTCTGTGCTCAACCCCTCGGGCCCCTTGATCATCTTGTTGAAGAGGTGTAGGATATCCACTCGGTAGAGGATCATCGCGAGGTCTTGCTTGAAGGCGACACGGTAGAAGAAACGGTGTGCGCGCTTGAGCTGATCATTGCTTAAATCACGATAGTACTTCGTGAACGCTACGAAGGTGTTCACGCAAGCCTGTGTCGAGAACTTGGAGGAGAACCGGGCGAAGTCAAACTTGCGCTCTGTGGACGTCCTCTGCACGTCCGCTACTTCTTCTGCCTCTTCCGCATGCTCTTCATCAGCATTTGCCTCTCCGTTAGCTTGCGCATCAGCGTTCTTCTTCCTGCGTGCGCGTCGTCGAGAACGGACTTGTAGGTCGACGTTCTGCTTTGAGTACCTCTCCAGCATGCGCAGGAACACGTGAGACAGTTCGGTGCACGCGTCGAGGTAGCCAAACCCTTGATCTTTGTAGTTCCGCAGGATATACAGGATGCGATCATGCGTCGTTTCTTCGTAGAAGATGCGGTTCTGGATGTTCTCTGCAATGTCTTGATCATCTTCAACACTGGACTCGGACATTTCTTGCACGGAGAGCAGGATTTGCGTGAAGCACTTCATGCCGGCGTTGAGGTCTTGCCACGACTTGTCGTCTTGGCTGCTTTGCATGAAGCGGTTGAGGAGGACAAAGGTTTCCTGGTCCATCACACCAGCAATTAGGGCAAAACTCTCGTCGTCGGAATTCGCTGGTGTTGAGGCTTGTCTGGAGGCGGCGTTCTTCTGGATTTGACGTCTTCGAGCGCACTCTGCTTGGAGAAACCAGGAGATGAGATAGAAATATTGCATCGAGTGTACCCCTTCTACACGATGGGCTTCTCGCTCGATAGCTCTCCGGAGATGGGTGAATAGCGGGTTGAACGATGAGTCTAGAAATTCCTCGACGAAGGACCGAAGCTGCTTGCGGGCCGGTGCGTCCAGGTGGACTTTTATATCAAAGTCTTTCCGCTCGTCCTCTTCTACATTGCGGTTTCTCAACCTGGGTTTGTTCCATTTCTTCGACCCATCCATTTGCTCCATGATTTTCTGATCTTTACCCAGAAATGTCTGACCTGAGACGGTTGATACTCTCTCGTCCGCTCGCTTAACCCAGATCATGGTGCCGAACCGATTGTGCCTTGTCGGTGCATGCCGCGCGTAGCCTGACAGCATGGCCTTCTCCTTTTGCATCAGCTCCCGCAGGTCTTGAGTGTTTGCCTTTGTCCGCGCTTCTTCCTCCATGAACAATCTTTCTACATCCACGCCCTTCAACAGGTGGAACAGGATTTCGAGGAGGATGACGTCTTGCTCTACGAACTCGTCGCCCATGCTGGATGCTACAGTCAGGAGTAGCTGGAAGACGTTTTGTGCGTGAAACGTGCTGATTGTTGCAGAACGAGAGATCTCCGCTTCATCTCCATCGTAGGCGGCGTTGGCAGGAACCGATATCATGGCAACGTTGCGAATAAAGTAGAGGGCGATTCGAATGACACCGTCGTCGCGCGGTTCCCGTTCTTTTCTTGGTACGGCCATGGCGGGGAGCGCCAGGCGGACTGCTCTCTCGAGGACATTCGCCCTGTCGTGGTGGAGGATGTCTCTCTTGTATCCCGCCTGTGCTAAGTGGAGGTATGGTAAATGGCGATGGTGGTGTACCCTCATCTGCGTCTCTTCGACCTCCACCGGCCAAGTTAATAGTCCGAGAAGCTCCACTACGCCTGTCAGCAATTGCGCACTTCTCTACAGACAGAGCACGTACGGCATGCCAGAAGCACCTTGTACTTTAGCGGATCCTCCATTGAGTTTTCCGGCCATTTAGCCATGATCTCTAGAAGATCCCCCTTCGCGAAGTTCGCTTCTGCCAGACATCGTTGGACGTCGAATCTGTTCTGCTTCTGATCGAATCCCTTAATCCATCTCCTAACATCCTTCAAGCATGCAAGCGCATCATCTCCCAACACGTATGTGCCATCTTCGTCCGCGCTGGTGCCTCCGATCTGCGAATTGGTTAGCGTTCGTTCGATTGTGAGTTCAATGGTTGGCTTACAGCAGAGACGATACTGTACACGAATGCGCGGACCTCTGGGTCTACTGTGGGCGTGACCCACTCGTCGAGGCTCATCGTGGCTCAATGCGATTGTAGTTGTATAGATTGAAGTTGAGGTTGCCCAGCTGAACGCGACATTGGCGGAAGACGCGACGGCGCGACGCGCCATTCTGCCGGCCATGTGAAAGGCGGTCAACCCTTGAATCTGAACCTCGGCAGCAGCGGCATCTTGTTCGGCTTAAGACGGCGGAAGTATACCAGCACAACCAGCAACTGAAACCTTCAATCCTGTACGCTGCTTTCAACCTGCGGGAAATTTTCTCAAGCAGCAGTCATGTCTTTCTCCGCCGCCTCGAAGCAGGTCTGGCGGCGCGCAGGCGCAGTGCAGCGCCGTCAATTCAGCTCTACGCCGGTTGTAGCAGCAGCGGAGGTAAAGAAGCTTGGAGTGATCGGGGCAGGTCAAATGGTTGGTTGTCGAGAGTGCATGCGTTGATTTACAGATAATTGACTAAGTCCAGGGTCTAGGCATTGCTTTGGTAGCGGCGCAGAGGGCTCAAGTCCCAGTCACGCTCATAGATACCTCGCAAGCATCAATAGACAAGGGCCTCAAATTCGCCGGTGCGACCATTGCAACGGCATGATGTGATAAACTGGCTAATGAATTGCTACAGACAAGCTGCTAGAGAAGGATGTATCAAAACAGCGGCTGTCTAGGGAAGATGCCACTGCGGCCCGCGAGCGGCTCAAGCCCAGCACGCAAATGGACGACCTCTCGGATGTGGACTTCGTAATAGAGGCCGTACCGGTATGCATTCCATCGCTGCGTTGATGCATCCCTTCATTCGGCTAAATCGATGTCCACGCAGGAAATACTAGACCTCAAGACCAAAATCTTCTCCCAGCTCGCACGGATCTGCCCTTCCCACGCCATCCTCGCAACGAACACATCCTCCATATCAATCACTCGCATAGCGGCTTCAACCACGAAAGACCCCACAGACCTTTCGGCCGCCTCGCGCGTCATCAGCACCCACTTCATGAACCCGGTGCCTGTACAAAAGGGCGTAGAAATCATTACCGGGCTACAGACATCTGAAGAGACCGTGGACACTGCAATCGAGTTTTGCAAGCGCATGGGCAAAATCCCGTCGCGGAGTGCCGACTCACCAGGCTTCCTTGCAAATCGGATCCTGATGCCCTATATCAACGAGGCGATCATCTGTCTCGAGACAGGGGTAGGAGCGAAAGAGGACATTGACAACATCATGAAGAACGGGACGAATGTGCCCATGGGCCCGCTGCAGCTTGCAGACTTTATCGGTATCGATACGTGTTTGGCGATTATGAATGTGCTGTATGGAGAGACGGGGGATAGCAAGTACCGGCCGGCGGTGTTACTACGGAAAATGGTGGATGCTGGCTGGCTAGGCAAAAAGAGTGGGAAGGGGTTCTACGATTATTAGAACCAACGCGGTTCTGCGCCTTGATGCTGTCTACTCGGAAACGAACTCTTGCTGCAGCGGTACCACTGGGGAGCCCGGGCTTTGGTTGAAAGCGCCAGAGACGCCTGGTCATTCCAGTCGCCGACTGTAGAATACCTTATGGTGAGCCCTAAAACTTTGAATCCGCAGAATGTGGAAGTAAACCCAGGCGTGGAAGATCTGCTTTTACCAATGGAGTGGGCTGTCTACTGAAGCCGATGTATTAACATGGCCCAATCCGGTACATGGAAATCTATCGTAGCACCACTGCTCGTCTTCACGGTTGTATACACAAGACTTGGTGACCCACCCCTAATTACCATGTCAATTTTTGCTGCAAGCGATCCCTTTTGCTAACGCTCTTTGGGTCTTTCAAACTCCACAACTTCCTTAAGGAGGCTGAAAATCGGAGCCTCTTAGGCTACAACAGAAGCCCCTCAAATCGTTTCCTGTGACAGCGATGTTCGCTATTCTACTTGCATTCTCTGCAAGTTGGAAGCTGAAGTCTTTCCATGCTACGCACTACTGTCCTCCGTCTCTCCCTCAGCATCATGTGCCGAATCATCAGCCTCCTTCTCAAAGGTGTCAAAATTCGGTGCTCAGCTAGCCTTACCCAGGCTCCGTCACCGCGCTACTCGCACAGCAGCTGTCGAGTTTGATAAACTGGTCTATCCCAACTTTGGTATAGGGTGTCCTGCCGTGGCTGCAGTAGGTGATTACAGCTCAGCCTAAGGGAGACAGCACAAGCAACCAGCGCTCCTTTCCTCACGCCTTGCTGACCGCACGGCTGTGTTTCATCTTAATCTTGTCTCCAAAAACCAGGTCTGGCTGTGATTGTCACAGGCAGCTTGCTCGCGGCAGCGGCAGCCGTCAAGGCACGGACAAGGAGGCCATCACGTCAAAGGCCTAGTGTCGCGGTTGTTTCAACGGCTTCGTTGTTAGGCGTCCCGCCGACTTGGTATGCGAAATTGACATGACATGTTCTCCCGCCTCCACAGTGATCTTCTCAGGCTCGGTATTACTTCGGAGATTTACCATACGACTGAGCACCTATACGAGAGACATGAGCTCTGCAAAACGGAAATAAAAACAACTGACCCTAGTCCGTGACCTGCTGTCGCCGAAACTCCTATCCGTTTCCTCTCGCCTTGACGCTTTTCGAGACCTCACGCTCGCTACCATTGCCCCTCCCGATTCGCGCTGTATAGCCCGCAGACCTCCGCACCTCCGCATAGCCGCCCAGCCTCCCTTCATGACCGTTGTTGACCTAGCTTGCTTGCCTGCCGAAACAACAACCACACCCAGGAGTAAAACCGCTTCGGGAGCCACGGATGAGAGGCGGTTGGACACCAAGAGACGCGTCAAAGGGCGAAACACTGCGTTTGCACCGCCGCAAAGAGTTTGCGGAGCAGTCGTCCAGGGGCCTCAAGCGTGATGACTGCCAGCCAGCATGAGCGAGAACCCCAATGCGTGGGAAATGGCGACGGGAGTTGTCTCGGAAGGAAGCTCCATATCGACACTGCTTTGGCGCAGACCCACGTCGCAACGACCGACCTCGACCGCATCTCTCCCGCGTCCTCCCATCCGAGATCTCCAGCCACTTCAGTATCCTCAAAGGCTTCCTCCGCCGCGCCTATACGACCAATCCATCCAGACCATATGCTCGGGGGAGGATTCGGCGGCACAAACTGGGATACCGCCCCAGAGTCTTCTGGCCGGCACAAACCTATACCAATGCCGCTGCCCTACCTGCCATTGCGTAAGCAATCTACGCAACGTCTACGGCAGAAACACTCGCCATTAAATGAAGGCCGTTTTCCAAAGGCAGAGCAATCATCACCGAAGCTGCCTCTGGCCGGCGGTTTAGTGTCGGAGAGAGCTGCAATAGCCCTCAACGATTCGGAGGGCGTTACAAATAGCGCACTTCCAAAACCTGCGTTGCCTGCGCATGAGAACGCGGACTCACCGACTAGGTTTCCCCCAAGGAAGTCATCACTCCATAGAGAGCGGGGTGCAAGTCTCTCTTCACACGACAGCTCCGCAGAACAGCAGCCGTCATTACCATTGAGGGCGGCCATATCTATACCAGATCTTAGCAGCACGAGATCGAAGAAGGAACATGGCGAGCCTACTCCGAACCATCCCGACCGAGCCACTTGTCCAGGGGATACCTCGCGCTCACCGCTAGAGTGGCATCCTCTGCCTCCACTAGAGGCACCTCCTGATGAAGTACGCGCAAGTATACGATCCGCAGAGACGTACGGGTCCTCCGGCTTCATAGATGCCAGTGAAACCGAGCGCAGCAGTGTCGTGACGAGTCACAGCTTCAACGAAGACCTTTGCGGCGGCTTCACTCATTACGAGGGATCGGATAGCGAAGGCATGAGCGTCGAAGACGCCATTGGCATGTATGCCGACGGCTTTGGTGACGACGATAATGATCAGCCTGTCGACAAGGTCCGCGCACCAAGCGACGAAGGTTACTTTTCCCAAATTCACCTTTCGAGCGGAGCCGACGCGGAGACTCCCCTTGCGGAGCCACGCGGGCGCTCAACGAGCCGTATGGAAAGCGGGTGCTTCAAAGCTGATACCCTTCCGAAAGAAGATGCACGCCAGGTGATACCGCAATGCGTCCGAAACTCTACGGAGACAATCTCAAAGCATCGTACATCGACTACCCCCAATCTTGTAAAAACCGCTGGGCCGGTGCCTAGAGACCGCTACGGATTCAAGAAGATCACCACGTACATTACGGAAGAGCATTACGACGCATGGAACGGGCCATACACAGATTACCTAGGAAGACGGCGGAAGAAATGGGAGCAGCTCATGAAGCAACACCATCTGCCGACTGAGAACCCCACAAAGTTCCCACCAAAATCGGACAAAATCAAGCGCTACATCCGCAAAGGCATACCGCCGGAGTGGCGCGGTGCTGCGTGGTTCTGGTATGCCGGAGGTCCTGCTCGACTGGCTAGAAATGAGGGCTTGTACTGGGAGCTCATCGAACAGGTCACCCAAGGCAAGCTCAAAGACCAGGATGGAGAGCATATCGAACGTGACCTCCACCGATCTTTCCCAGACAACATTCGGTTCAAACCAGATCCCGTCTCCGCCCGCGACTCCGCAGTAACCGGAGTCGATTCGCATCATTCGTCGTTCGAGCCAGAAACAGCAATACTCCGCTCGCTCCGCCGTGTCCTGCAGGCATTCGCCATCCATAATCCCCACATCGGCTATTGTCAGTCTCTGAACTTCCTTGCCGGCCTGCTACTCATCTTCCTCGACGAAGACGAGGAGAAAGCCTTTATCATGCTCAACATCATCACGAACGAGCATCTTCCCGGCTCGCACGCACGTGTGCTCGAAGCTAACGTAGACATCGGCGTGCTCATGAGCTGCATACAGGAGTCTATGCCCGCCATCTGGGCCAAGATCGATGACGTTGCAGAGACCGCCGCAACAACCAGCTATCGGGGCCATATCTCAGTCTCTAAAGCGCGCCTGCCCACGGTCTCGCTAGCCACGACGGCCTGGTTCATGTCTTGCTTCGTCGGCAACCTACCCATCGAGACTGTCCTCCGCGTCTGGGACTCGTTCTTCTACGAGGGCTCCAAGACACTCTTCCGCATCGCGCTCGCGGTCTTTAAGATGGGCGAATTGGACATACGCGCTGTGAACGACCATATGGAGATCTTCCAGGTCGTTCAAAATATTCCGCGACGGCTGATCGATGCGAATGCGCTCATGGAGACGTGCTTTAAGCGGAGAAACGGATTTGGGCATCTGAGCCAGGAGATTATTGATATGAGGAGAGCGGATAGGAGAAGAGCGCATAAGGAGGATGTTGCGAGGCTGAATGGCGCCACGACGATGCCTATGTCGGTAGAGAAGCCGAGTGGGACGAGGAGGGCCGCGTCGAGAGCGAGATTCAAGAGGGGGATATCCAGGCGGAGGCCGACGGAGGCCTAAGTGAAGGCCTTGTGAGTTGTGGAGGTCGTCAATCCAATTGAGTGACCGAGCTGCGTGGGGATGTGTCGTATCGCTATGTCGAGATTCTGTATACGAACGATGCGACGCAACGTGGAGCTCGAGGACAGACATCTATACCCATTGGGCAGGCGCCAGCGCCTTGATCTACGTGTCTAAGTTGTCATGCATTCATAGCCGAAGGCTCGTTTGTAACGCCTGCACAGGTCGAGGTGCTAGCAACCCGCAGCTCCACCTCACACACCAACCTCAAACCTCCCCTCCACCTTACTCCAAAACTCCTCAACAAACCCCCTCTGCCCCTCCCCCGCCCTAACAGCAAGATATCTCCTCTCCTCAACCCTCGGCTCCCAATTCCCCGGATTCGCATCCACCATCACGCCCCCCGCCTCCCTCAACACAACCCACCCAGCACACACATCCCACGCCCAGCACCCGGCCTCCCAATACGCATCGATACTCCCACTCGCCACCGCGCACAGGTTCAGCGCCGCGGACCCGAACGACCGCAGCCCGTGCACCATGCCTCCGCCCTCTTCCCTCGTCGCGCACAGCCGCCGAAAAGTGTCGGATTTGACGGCGAGGTCGTTGCCGTGGCGGTCGCTGCCCCACTCCACGGCTACGAGGGCGTTGGCTAGCGACAAGGGCGTGGGGTTGCGGAGTGGTAATCGCGTCCTACCCTCCCCGTCCGTATCGTGGAGATAGGCGCCCTCGCCCTTCACAGCACTATACAGCTGCCGCGTAAACGGGTTATACACCACCCCCACCACCGGCACTTTCTCTACCGCCAGTCCCAGAGAGATACTGACGTACGGGTACCCGTGCACGAAGTTTGTGGTCCCGTCGATCGGGTCCACGATGAAGGTTGGGGAGGCTGTGAGGGTGTCGCCGGGAGCGTAGGTCTCTTCGCCCATAAAGGCAAAGGTGGGATAGCTCGCACGGAGGGAGGTACTGATCATGGTCTCGACGGCGCGGTCGGTCTCGGTGACGAGGTCGGCGGTGTTCTTTTTGGAGCCTGATGTGCCAGTCGTAGGGTGGGCGGTGGTTATCATGGTGCCAGCGCGGTGGGCAAGGGTGATGAGGTGGTCGCGGATTTGGGGGAGGTCGAGGTCGGCCATTGCGAGGGGTGGTGGTAAGAATTTAGCTGTGCTGGAGGTTAACGGCTAGGGACGTGATGGTTGAGCTAAGGTTGCTCGAGGGTTGATACACAAAAGTTGAAGTCTGCCCAGTATCTCAATTGCATGTGGGGCTTATCGATACGCGTCTCTCTTATCGCCGCAAACCCCGAACCGACGAACCTTCCGCCCAGCCTCGGCGCCCAAATAATCTCACCGTCGCATCTCACCCTCAAACCCCACCACCATGCCCTGATTCCAACCCAACCAGTCCTTACCTTACCGCCCTCAGAATGAGCTTCCCCCACTCCCTCACTCCCCCCTCTCACTTCACCCACCTCCCCTGGTGCGCATCCCTCCTCTCCGACGCCTCCTGGACGATCGTGCCAACCTCCTCACGCACCCCCAAACCCTCAACCGAAGACTCCTTCTTCGCGGAAACCCTCCAGTCCCCCCGAACCATCCGCGGGTGTCTCCCTCAGCACACCGCTCCAGACCCCACCTCCGACCCCCCCATCCGCGAAGTACGCATCCTGCTCGACCTCGGCGACGGGCTCAACGGGTACCCACACACCGCGCACGGCGGGCTCGTGGCTACGCTGCTGGATGAAGCTGTCGGCTTGCTGCTGGCTATTAATATGCGGTTTAGACCCAAGGAGGCGAGGAGCAAGGAGACGGAGACGGGAATCAACTTCTTTACCGCGTATCTGAATATTAGCTACAAGGCGCCGCTGATGACGCCGGGAGTGGTGCTGGCGAGGGCGGGGGTGGAGAAGGTAGAGGGGCGGAAGAGGTGGTTTTGGGCTAGGCTGGAGGATGGGAGGGGGTTGGTGTTTGCGAGTGCGGAGGCGTTGTTTGTGGAGGCGAGGCCGAAGTTGTGAGGGGGCAATGGAGTGGGTGTGCGGCTGATGTGGGCCGCTGGCTTTGCAGACAAAGGCATGCACTGGATCGGCGTTTACTGCGGGTTCTGTTTAGACGGTATAGAGTTGCAAATGTATGTGTGGACACCGGTAATATTACACCAAACCAATCGTTGAGTAACAGGTTGACGGCGAACAGTAATATCTCAATTCTGGATAATCAAGATGAAAGCCTGAGCGAGTGACAGGTTCAGCAACTGCACACCTTCCAAAAGCCTGGTCGACATGTGCACGAACTTAGCCATTCTACCAACGCTGATGAATGCAACCCATGTACGCCGTCTCGTGCAGAGACCATCCCTGACAGCAGCCACTGCACTTGACAACCCGCTTTCAATCATCACGACTCCACCTGCTTTCGGAGGTAGTATCTCGATGGCCAGCTCCGGGCGTTGCCACCAGGTGTGCGAAGAAGGGGCATCGCTTTCTATTAGCGTGGTAACGTTCGACCCTAACCCAGTCAGCGCAAACCCCTCCACTGTAATCTGCAGTTTGCAAGCGGGCACAACTCACTCCTGCTGGACTTCTCGACTCGCGAGTGCCATGGCCCTGCTTTGGCTGGGGATATTTTCAAGGGCGACCGCCAGTCTTTCCATCGACTGTCGTCTGCGCTTGGTGCTGTGCTCGTTCAGGAGGTACGAGCATCCTGTAGCGACTGCTCATCTGTCAGCTCCTACGGCTTTGCCTGTGTGGAATGTGCATAGGCGACTTACATAATATGGCAGAAAGGCGCGTCCCGATTGAGGGAGCTGGGGCCTGCTTCTGGAGAAGGGATTGGGAATGGATTTGCGGCGAGAGCGACCACTGCCGCATTGGCGAGGGAATTTTTCTGAGTAGGATTCGCGACGGAGTGGCCATTACTGCACTTCACGGTGATTCCGAAAGTTGGTTGAGGTGGATGGGATGCTCTAAAGATTGGAGAGTCTGAACACGAACTGATACTTCTGAGAACCTGCAAGTTCAGAAAGTGCAGCTCCGAGACCTACGTACTGATGAGAAAATGTAGAATTTCGCTACCACGGTTAACCCATCCCTTGTGGAAAGCGCGCCCTGATGCCAGCATGTCAACGCCCGTAAATGCAAACCCCGTATGCGCCTTCTCCAAGTAGCCGATGCTGCCCGCCCATGGTCATGCTACTTCCTCCCAGCGAATTTCTTGGTCCAGTCCCTCGCGGTCTTCTCAAACTCCTGGCGGTTGCTCTTGTACTGATCCGCTATGGCCGTCTCGACAGCATCGTCCGGGTTTGGCTCGATCAGGAGGTTCCGCGCCATGTTGATGACCGCCATAAGCTTGTTGGGAGGCTTCCACTCGTCGCTGCGCAGCATGCCCAGGCACATAGAGCCTTTGTCATCGTTGCTGACGTTGGGGTGGTAAATCTTGGTCTGGAAGTTCAGGACTGGCGGTTTGAAAGGGTAGTCTTTGGGAAGCGTGAGGAGGAGCTTGAAGTGACCGCCCTGTGGACGCGGTTAGCTGTGCTTTTACTGTAGGTGTGAGGGTTGCGGAAGCTGTACTGCGTAGACTGATTGCTCTGGGCCATCCAACAACACCTCCCACACGTGAACGTCGGATTCATCGACAAGCTGCACCTTCGTTCCAGCTGGTGGATTGCTGGTGACTTCCGTGAGCTCCTGACATCATTGTCAGCATGGCGAAAACGGTTGGCGTGGTGGGGACGGCGGGTGGACCTTGACAATTCGCTTGCTGGCTGACATCTTGCAACACTACCGACAAGCGACTCAGTGTGGGTGTAGGTAGGGGATGGAGGTGCACGGAGGAAGGTTTTGGTACGAGAGAAGGTAGGTTCCTATGCAAGGAATTCCAGAGTAAAGGTGAACTCAACGCAGTGACGACTTTCGTTTCAGTATTCTGTTCCAATGACAAGCTGCCGCCTGGGGCAACACAACGCTTTATGCGGCCTTACTGCGGACTTCATCTGCAGTCGAAACTTGAACAGTTCCTAAGTTTTGCATTTGTCCTGTGTCTTCACGCTCACGAGCAAGGTTACGGGGACTTGCGGTCAGCGAAGCGAAACTCCAGACGTTGCTACACGATGACAACCTCAGTAGGCCGAAGGTACAGCTGGACAACTTGTCCAAGAGCATCTTGGGCTCTCCTATGCATCTTCTACCTCTGCCTAACATGGTTTCCGAGGGTATCAGAGCGAGAAACCCTTATCGCCTGGGGTTTCGTTTGTGGGCTTCGCGGATCTGGTACCGAAATTTTCCATCCAAAGTTTTGAATCTATGACAGTACACAACGTATATAATGTACACTCCTACATACAGTTTACTAAATGTTCGACTCTTCCGGAATTCTGGTTGATCTCGAAGAAAGCTTAGTTACTTAAACTTAAACATCTTGATCTTTCGGTATCCAACTCTGCAAAATCCTATTTGCCTCAAGGTCCTCTCTTACCATAGCAAGGCGTTCCGATAGCAGAGATGTCAAAGTTTACCCTGGAGAAGCTTCCCTTGGCGGCGCGACAGACCATTCTTAGCCTGCTTGTCCCTGATTGGGAAAAGGGGCTTTTCGTCAAGCAACCTTGGGCTCCCGGTCCTGGAGAGTGGCCCACAGATCCGTTTTTCGTGTTGCAGGAGGTCTTACCCAGACTCTTCAAGTCTTCGACAAAGGAAGTCCTTGGTAGGACATCTTTGGACATTTGCCTTCCCGACAATCTGAACGCTCCGTCCAGCGGCCTGGCTACTTTCTGCGACCTCCTTGATACCATGGACACAGGATTTACCATAGCGATTGCACATGTGCGTATCGGCGTTACTCTGCAAGACTTCATACGTTTCGATCAGATGATCGAGCCTCTGCTTCGCAAGATAGCAGCTGGCTCGCCGCTCAGACGATTGGAGGACCTCGATATGAGAATCCAACGAGAGGGAGTTTTTCGGATGGTAGATTACACGTATCGTCCTGTTATCACCATAACAGGCTTCAAAAGACTAGACTTACGGCTTGTTGTCACGTGGAAAGATTTCAGGTACCGGCCTAAGACATGGGCAGTATACGTCGAAATGATTTCAAAGGTCTTAGCGGCAGTCAACACGCGCTGGAGAAAGCAACACAACAGGCTCCCTAGGGTCGACTTCACAGAGCGACTGCCCACCGAGCTTCGTTGCATGATCTTGGACCACTTAAGACCCAAAATCATGAATTTCACGGTCCCGGGCATTGCGGAAGAGGCGTACCTGATGCGGTCCTCTGTCTTCCTGGCCAATATCAACCGGCGTCTGGCGGCTGACTTCGCTGGTCGGTTGGCCAATACAGAATACCGCGTGGGCGAAGACCTCGATGCTCCACATCCGTATTGGCCGCGCAGTATCTCCGAGATTGGTACTCTATTAACGCGCCAACTGGCCGTCGTAAGGCTCGCTAACCCGCAGAATATAACCTTCGCGGCTCACTTCAAACCAGACTTTTGCAAGTGCGGACCCGCGTACGAGGCGTTCGTGGACCTATTCCTCACTGTGCTGGTCGACAAACTGGACCTATCCAACCACGTACTTGTCCACGAGATGAAGGCCAGATTCATCAAAGTCGACACCTCTGCGTTCTTCTACCCAGGTGATTGGAGCGAAGGCGAGACGCACATCTTTTCTATCTCCGGCTTCGACAGAAACATTGCGCTCAGGTGCCTGGTCCTGTATGGTGCACCGACCAGAGCAGGGAATTCGATGTGCCGCGCACCACGCGGGCTGACTACCCAGCAACGCAGGATCGAGATGACTACAACAGCGGTCCGGAATGGTCTAAACAGCTTCAAGGATGTTCTCTATAAGAAGCAGACCCTGGGCGGCCCCATGGTGTTGCACATATGATTGGAGAACCACGATGGCTCTCTAGGATGGCACGTGCTCAGCAACAGCAAGCGCGTACTCGATCTCACGCCAGCCTGAAAGTTGGGTGGTAAGATCGTTCGCGCTCTGATAGCAGAGCACCGAATGACAAGTGGCTCGAGGCGTGCACTGTATCGGAGACAGTATCTGGAAGCAAAGTTCTATGGTTGTTATGCTTTCATGCTTCGCATGGACTATACGTCCTATGGCCGTGTAGCTTAATGGACTAATGTGTTCTATCCACCTCCAGAACCGTCTTCCCCAGGGCGCGTGCACGTCTACTGTTCCTGTGAGACCAAATGTTGTTGGTAGAACTCATAAACAAATCTGTTATTTGTAGAGTTCATCGCAGTGATCGGGATATCGAGTGCACCACATCGCTTCACAGATTGAAGGTTCCATCCAGCACAAAACACCGCCGAGCCGCTCAGAAATGGAGCATCTAGCGTCCATTAATTCGGCATTGTAGTAGCCCTTCAACCCAATCCCCCACTTCGCCCTTGCCGCAGTGAGGCTGACAGCACGGGCTCCTCCTTCTGGCTGCCAGCCAAGTCCAAGATCTCCCCGCCATTGAGCTTTCACGCACTCTTCTAGGGTCGAGCAGCGGTTCTCCTCACGGCGTGGGAGGGTTCTATGTTTATGTAGGCAGCATGTCAATCTCATGGTATCTGTTAGGTGACTATGGGAAATGTCAACATGATACCGGCTGCCTGGCACGTATCCTTCTGTAGTCTGGAGTACCGACTCGTCCGTTTGCTTCACCAGCATACTAGTTCGTATTCTAGGCGTGGCATCCCTCTGCGCCTTCGAACTCAGTCCTTCCTCATGCTTCAACCACTGCTCTTCCATAGCAACAGTCAGGTTCCTCTGGCTGCTCATTCTTCCGGTAGTAATCATTGATATGCAGCGTTCCATCTCGGCGAAAATGAAGTGCTTAGTCGAGACAGAGGGAGCCGGAGAACAGTTCATCGCCTTATCGCGCGTGGTCAGGTGACATTAGATTGCATAGCCTGCCTGGTTGCCCGGCCGCGACGCCAGGCTGCAAGAGCCGCGACGAGTCAGAACAAAAGCGCGCTCGTCCCCCCCGCGAAACACTTCCTCTCCACACGCTTTCCATCACCCAGTTCAGAGCCGCCGAATACAGCGTTGCAACCTCACGCCCCGCCGTGCAGGCTGCAGCAAAGCCTTTAGGGCGACTTTCTCAGAAGAAGCTGCCCGTTTCTTCTGATGAGAAGTTCTAAAGCCTTCCGGAGCTCCTCCATGCAACTCGCGTCGTCGACCTAACTCCCCCCACGCTCACTTGCGTCGTCAACCTCAGTCGCTCGTTACGATCTTCGCCTTCGATCAAGATGTTCAAACGCTCGTTCTTGTCCAAGGACCGTGTGGGCAAGTCAAGCACAAGCAAGCTGTCGAAGAGGTCGTATCGCGACAATGTCAAGAAGGAGATGCTCGAGAGCAAGTTGGACAGTCCGCAGGTGGGGGGGTATGATGAGCCGTTCCTTCGTTAGCGCGAGGCGATTGGACATCAGGCTGACAGTAACAATCATAGTGTTTCGCCCAACCTCACCAGCGCCATCATCACAACTGTGATCGGTAAAGACCAACGACTGTTCGCGGCACACGAAGACGTACTGGTGCACTCGCCGTTCTTCGCAGCGGCGATTCGCGACCAGTTCTTCGAGGCCAACGCTCGCCGCATCTACCTCCCTGACGAAGAAGCCGAAGTCTTCTCCTGCATCCTCGAGTACCTCTACAAAGGCGACTACTACCCGCGTCTGCTGCACGACAAGCGGCGCAATGCCTTTGCCCTCGAGGATGCGGGCCCTGAAGGCAGCCCTAAAACCGGTGGCCGCGGATCCACCGGCTCAGTCGCACCGACAATCTACCACTTCGGCGTGGGCGACTACATTCTCCGTGACACGGCCGTGTACTGCGCGGCGGAGCGGTACGGCCTCGAGGAGCTCAAGAAGCTGGCTCTGCGCAAGCAGGGCCTGCAGAGCGGAATCGACGTCGCCACCATCCTGCGCAGCGCACGGTACGCCTACGAGAACACGCCGGACAGCGACAGCCGGCTCCGCGCGCATTACCTCGCTCTCATTATCCGCAGCCGGCGGACCTTCAAGCGCAGCGGCACCATGCAGATGGAGATGGAGATGGGTGGCAAATTGTTCTTTGACCTGTTCGTGGCCATGTGCAACCATGTGGATGACATTGTGGACATGACGCAAGTGACCCCTTCTCCTACGTGTGGCTGATATTTGACATTGCCTCTTTCGCGTGAGTCGCTCGCTGCGCGTGGGCTGACTGATGTTGCGCGAACAGTAACAGTCGATCTCCCAAGACCATCTAAGAGTGGTTCGCACAGCCACCACGAACAGCGTTGAAACCACCAGCAACGCAAAGCTCGGATCTCGTTATAAGACTGGAGAAATCTTTCCCTTCCCAACTCAACTAAACCGCACTTGCAAACCAGATTGACCAAGACCGCCTGCAAGCGACCCGAAGAGAAAATCGAGCCTAGACTGCCCAACTTTCTTCCTTGTAACTTAAGGACGGCCAATGTCTTTCTGGTCTGCATAGTGTTGCACGTAGGCAACCCTTCCCCTCTCTTGGAGTATCCCTGCGGTGTGATGTGGACTGGTAATCGGGCGTTTTTGCTTTGCCTTCCCTCACAGCTCTTCTACTTCGTCCTGCTCTTTCTATTCCCGACACCTTCCGCTTGAGGCGAGAGGTTGATGGGATGGGAAGGGCGGGACACGGAAACGTCTGCGACGTCTTCGCATGGTAGCTTCTTTCCTTTGTCAGGATGATGCGGCACTCTCCAGTCTGTTCTATGGTGCTCGCTTATGTGTCCGGAGCCTGAGCTGGAAGTACGCCCAAGCTAGATCTTGGACTGTGAAGGCGAGGGTGATGGACACCGCTTGGAGGATGTGGCGGTACGTAGGTAGTTTGAGTAGGTAACGCGAGATTCGGCCGCCATAAACATGATGTGCTGGTGATGTTGTGACGTGAAGCTGCGTGTAATCCTATACATCCCATACATGACATCCGTTGTGAAGCACTGAACGTATTATGCACTGCCTGATACAGACGCCGTACAGACAGAAGTTCAATGCAACAGGAACACCGGTATATAAAAGACAGGAACTCGCCCAAAGGAGCTGAGCGCGCCGGCTGCAGTCCGCCTCCCCGTCCCTATAACCCATTCGAAGACATGCTCGCCTTAGATGATGACCGTATCCATCCCTATATCCAACCTGGAATGAACCCAATTAATACCGCTCAAGATAGCCGCCCAATGCTTAACCTCCATTTCGAGACAGAATCCAAACATCCCGACCCAAACCGTAGGTAAACAAAAAGCAAAGAAACAGCAAGACAGCAAACTCAATCCACCCACGGTCTAACATAAACCCCGCCACCCCATCCCCTGGTCGTCAAACCCCCACACCCAGAAAACACCGACACAGCCGCCGCGTCCCCACTCACTGCACCCTCTTCCTCTTCCGATCATCCACAACCCCCTCATCCTCGTCCGCCCGCTCAACCGTTTCCGCGGGATTAAGCAAACTATGCACATTACTCGCCATGCTGCTCCTCCTCGTCGGGGGACCCGACGCATCGATTCCTCTAAACGGGTATCTGGGCCCCGGAAGACTCCACCCGCTCTCCGCGCTCAGGTTGCCGGACCCCGTGTCGCTGACCAGCGGCGGCGGCGTCGGCTGACGTGAGCCGTGGCCCTGCTGCTGCTGCTGCTGCTGCTGGGGGTGGGCGCGAGGGTTCCGGTTGATTTCGTAGGCGGCGAGCGCGTCGCGCAGGGACTGGTCGCCCGGGACGGCTAGGCTGGGCGCGCGGTGCGGCGACGAGGGCCACTGTGTGGAGTTCTGGCCGGACGCGTAGGGAGAGTGGGCGGGTCCGGGTCCGGGTCCGGGTCCGGGAGGTGGAGGTTGGGGCGCAGGCCAGCCGTGCGCGCGGATGTCGGCCGAGGTGTGGCGGCGGGCTAGGCTGGCGGGTGGAGAACAAACGGTTGCGAGCGGGTGCTGGATTACTGGTGGGGGTGGCGGCGGTGGTTGAGCGTAGTTTGGCGCGCGGATCGAGGAGGGCGAGTTGGTGCTGCCGATGGAGCCGTAGCGGCGGGGGGAGACGGCGAGGTGGGCTGGGACGGGGGCGCGGAAGGAGCCGGGGTGGGAGGAGCCGGCTAGGGAGGGCCGGCGGCGTTCGTCGTGGGCCATTTGTCGAGGGGATAGAGGCTCGGTTACGTGCTGTTGGAAGTAGGATGGTCGGGCTGCGGGTGGTGGCTCTTGGGGTTCGTCGAAGGCGCGGAGCATCTCTGTTTGCCGCGCGATTTCCCGTTGCATAAGGGCGACTGCACGGGTCAGTCTCCGTCTGGCAGATAGATCGAAGGGGATGAACATACCGTCTTTGTGTAGTTGGTTCTCAGGGTCCGGCACCATGGCCATAATGTAGTTGGCGATCTCGTGACTCCACTATAGGGGTCAGCATTCGTGTTTCTTAGACTAGGTAATACTGGGTTGGATACCTGATGGCATCTTAGGAGGCCGTCCGTCAGCATCTGGCACTTTGAGGTCACGTACGCATGGGCGTCCTCCGAGCGCGCTACTCGGTTGTGCATATCGTACAGGTTGTGCTCCAACATACTCAATCGAGCTTCCACCGGATCTGGCATCGGCTCGACTGGAGTCCCAGGCATTGGTGGTGCGGCAACCTTTGGTCCGGCTGGGAAGGAATCCCGGTGAATCAGGGCGTGTCTTGACGCCCGCCGTTTAATCTCTCTCAAACCCACGAGGTCGCCTCGCTTGAAATTGCCGTTGCCATGCTTGAACTCCCACAGGGGAGAGTCCGGTGCTCCAGTGTGAAACACGTCGCTCACTGTACATAATGTTAACATACTACCCGGTACTCCTAGCTCGATGTTGCTGTACCTTTATGGAAGCCATACATATTTAGCTGCCGTACAAAAGACGAAATATTTGTATGTTTGAAATAAGACCTGGGTGGCTTGTTAAGTGGGGAACCTTGGAAGGGTAGTGGACTTTCATCTTACGCTAAAACTTTTGAGAACTCGCTCGAAGGAGACATCACAAAGCTTTCGTTTGTACTCGACCACGAGATAAGATGCTGTATACTCTGGTCTTCCAACATGCTGTTCGCTGCGTTAGTGGGGCTGGTTTACGATGTATCTATGTTTACGCACTTGTATAATTTATGGATAAAGGCGGTCTGGACGACCTTTGGCTGTTGCGCTGCGGCTGCCGCACCAATAGCTGGACCACCGTTGCCGTTCGTTACCGGTTCCGATTCGCAGCCTGGTATGTGCGCGCCTCCGTTACGATCAGCGCCAGGACTGCTAAGCAGAGGCGGCCCCATTACTGTGCTTCCAGACGGCGTGACATCCATCGGATCTCGTGGTGGTGTTAGGGATGACCCCGTGGAGGATGATGGCAAAATGGGTATAGACTTGTAGAGGCCAGTACCATGTGCATCGGTAGAGAAAGGGCTCCGCCCTGGATCGGCCATGGACGCCATAGTTCGGGTGCAACAGAATAACAGCGTCCTAATGCAGTGAAGTTCCGGCTGAGGTTTGTGGAGATCCCTCTGCCCCTCACATTCACTCAGTATTGTCCGCCCTGCTTCGAGCGTCGCAAATCCACACAGTGCCAGACCAAGGCCAGTGTTTCTTGGCAGCTCTTGTACAGTCCAGAACTTCTCCCAACTATGTCGTTCGCAATCAAGTATTACGCATTCTCAGGTCTCGCTCCGATCTGCCCCTCCCCAAGCACAACGTCCAGTCTATAACTCCTCAAGTATGAGAGCCGCCGGCCGAAGCGGATTGAACGAGAAACAAATCGACAACGAGCGGTTGTGGAGAAGCTCGTGGGTGGTGTACGGTGCGGCTTTCGGTGCGGGACGTCTCAGCGACTTTGATATGAAACGTGTATGCCGGAGCCAGGACAGCACTCAGGAGCGTAGCGGTAGTTCGTTCGGAAGTTGGAAGCAATCGTCCGAGCAGTGCTCAGGCGGCGGAGAATACGGGGTCTTGCTGTGGGCGGGAGGAAGTTTGGATCGGTTGAGCTAAGCTCGGCTACGGGCGAGTGGTATTTCTCAGGAACAGTAGGTAGCGACTGTTGACAGGAGACTGCTGAATGTAGGAAACAGACAGACCAATGGCGGGCAATGATTGCAGTAGTTCAGTAGAGCGAGCGGGCGAGCAGGAGGATCGGGATATGATTGAGGTTGCATGTACGGTTGATGCAACCGGATCTGGCCGAAGTCTCCCCTAACCATCGTTTCAAAAACTGGAGTCTCGAAACGGCCTAGGCTTTCCGAGGGCCCCAAGGGTCATATAAAAAGTCGGTTGCCGCATTGAAAGCTAACGTTACTCGTGACCCTAGAGCTGAATGAGGCTCAAGCAAGTCTCACGATTCAAAGACACTTGAGCCGACCGATGCATTAGAGAACTAAACTGCTAAGCATACTTCGCTTTCTACCGCATATAACTGGTCCAGCTGCTCTGCAATTGACAAGATCATGAGTGCTGTTCAACGTCGAATCCGATAAAAGAAAGCCACCAGCCGAAAAGCGGCAATGCTTTTCTCAGACAGCCCCGGCCAACCGGAAAGAAACTGCGGGCCTGTGCACGACGGCTTCCTTCGCTAGCCTGAGCGTGCACGCGTGTTTACAACTTCAACCTTACGCGTTTGTGAGCTGCGCGCGTCGTCGGTACTCTTCCAACGCGCCCTATATCAAGAGGCATCCGCAACAGAGGCCAGCTTTGTCATCTTCGAGTACCACAACGTCTTGCGCGTTTCAGGATCCTCTCGACCTTTAACCATGCGTGATGATCTGCAAGTCGTCGATTCCTTCAAGCGGTTGGCCTCCAGACGAAGCCGAGCAGAAGCGTAAGTGGTAAAGGAAGAGACACCAGTTTCGTTTCTAATTTCATTCATTGTCTTCAAAACGGAAATGTCCTAGCTGCACGTTCTTGCATGCCCACCTAGGCACGCCGAGCGCGGAAAAAATGCCTCAGCGCGACAGCTGTTCAGCGCTCATTCACCGTCCACTTCACAAGAACGACAGAACAACGAGCCTTTAGTTGGCTGTTCAGACCATATGATTAAGCATTACATTGATCGCAAAGAGAGCACTGCCGAAAACCACTCGCTGACGTGTGCTGCGCAGACTTGAGGGGATCGTTGCTGAGTTGGATTCATACGAACAGGCCGCCTTGCGGAACGCTTTGAATGCGAAAGAGTTTCGGTATGACATCGTAGGGTCACTGCCACCTGAGGTAGTGAGCATCATCTTCAAACATGTAGAGGTCGTGGACTTCTTTCGGTGCCATCAAGTGAGTTGTTTTCTGGATCACCAGTTCATACAACGCTGATGTTTATGGTCTCAGGTATCAAGGCGATGGAGGTCGCTGTTAGCCTCCAAAGAGGTCCTTCGGCAGAACCTGGGCTTCATGCACTGGTACTCTGATGCGGAGTTAGCTCAGGCCAGGAAGCTCTACCCCCGCGATTGCGGTGGTTATGAGTTCCTTCAGGGCATGGCGAAGCGGATGCACCGCTTCAAGCACGGCAACCCTTGCGACCACTATCAATTGCATGCAACGCCGATGTTATTTTTTCAGGAACAGAGAAAGTCCAGTAGCGTCATGTGTGGAGAAAGAATCGCCTGGATGGTGTTTTCGGACAATGGATCTCAAGCCATTACAGTACTAAACCTGCGAACTCGGGAGTGCGTCGACTTCGTTGGGCAGGCCCGAGAACATATATCTTGCATTTCACTAGCAGAGGACGTTGTGTCATATGTGACCTTCTCAGGGTACGCCAGCCATTGAGTCTCGTTCAATCAGAGTCCACATCTAACAATAATCACCCAGAGTCTGTTATGTCGTCGATCTTGAGACTCGGGAGAAACGCTACTTCAGATTGCCGTCATCGGAGCTGATCTCCATCACAAGCCGACACAGAACCGTAGCAGTCCTTCGAAAGGGTGCGGTATCAGTGTGGAACTATGATGAGGGCTCGTGCCATACGTTTCCGGTTATGGAAGAGCCATGCCTGGAGAATTCAGGAGCTTCTGAGTTACAGCAGTAAGTCGAACCAAATCTACTGCATCACTTTGGGTCGCCTCAAGTAACAATAGTGAGATCTGAATCACCATGATGGTTTGCTCACATCCGGCGTCTTTAAGGTTCGTTCTTAGGCCCCAGGACCTCCTTGTCCACCCGATCAAGCGTACTGTAGACGTGTTCTGCTGCGGCAGTGATGTAACCGGCCAAGGGTACATCAGATCCGCAAGGTATAGCTTTTCTGGCGAGAAAATCTCTGCCGTGACAGCTCCACTGCCGACAATCCTCACTACGCACCCGCACTTACGATCTCCCGTGTGGGAAATCCAAGCGATCGTTCCTCTGGACTGCAAGGGACGCTTCACAATTCATTTCGGGTGCAAGGAGACCCACTACTTTGAGCACGGACACTGGCACTCCATGGTCTTTGACGACGTGTCCTGTAACTTCTCACGAAAAAGCCTTGAAATTGTGGTTATGAGTTTCAAATACTGGAAGGATGTCCTATATCCGCTGGATATGGCCAACGATGGATTCTACATGACTCCGGTGGTCGTCGATCCTTTGACATCAAACATACGCTTTGCCAACGGGTAAGTCGTACCAGTGCCACTCTTTCGATTTTCATTGACCCAAGTCACAATCCAGTGAACTACCCTGTATATACGACGTTCGATACGACCCCAAGCCTCGTAACACGATCACTCTGAGGTGTCAGGACAGGGAAGAGGGTCATCTGCCGCCGGACGATTCTGAACTTCTCTATGTCAACGATAGGTTCATCGTTCTGTTTCGATCTATGGAGATACACGTGTGGTGCTTTGAGGAACGCGACGTCCCCGCGGCATGAGGTTGACGTTCGATCCGCTCAGAGAATGATGACCTGTTAGTAGCATTTAAAGTAGCTCAATGGCTTACGGAGATCACACCTGCGGCGTGCTGGTGTCCTTCGAGGATGTGCTGGAGGGCTTTGTGCTTCGTCGGCGGTATTGGCTTGGGTCTTCACCAGGTGGCTCGCTATCGGTTGCTGCTGGCTACACCGTTCAAGTGTACTCGCGCGCTCAAGACATATTCCTGTATGAGCTAGTGATAGCTTGGTGCATGAGTCAACGGTAGCTTGAAGCACTACTCAGAGAGCAAGCAGATGTTGAACCACCAACATCTCATACTGCAGTCCAAACCATTGCGAGATACACATCACGGGTAGGGGAAGTCACAGAAAGTCGCAGCAAGAACATACGTGAAAGTATCAGTCACCTGCTAAGAGTTTGATGGATATTCAATCTATTCTCAACGCTGGAGCCAGCGGAGATACATGCGCAACAAAGGCGCCAGCGGCAAAGAGACCGCGAAGGGCAGATCAATCTAACCGCATCATGCCGCAAAGACGTTCTGTGAGACAATCTCATTAAATGAAGCACGATTCCTTGAGAGACCACAATGACACCACCGCCATTCCGTAACCCAGAGCCCCCAGTCCCCAACACCGATACCATGCTGCTCGTAGAGAATTAGTGAAAGAGATGAAAGCAGGCGCCATCATTGACGAAGCCCACGAATTTAATTGCCGGCACTAGGCAGTCTCGACATGTCGCCGCCACGTTCGAGCCACTCAGGTTCGACGAGATCATTGCGCTTTTCCCACAGATGCTTGTACGCGGTACGGATCGTGCCGTCGCTGACTTGATTCGTCATTTGGATTTCCTTGGCGGACTTCCCCTGACCCATCAAGTGCGACACGAAGTACACGCAAGCGCTGCCGGTGGAGAGAGGCGAACGGCCATCGAGTACGCCGGTCTCGCGGACCTTCTCGCAGAACTTCTGGACAATCATCGAAGTGTTCTTGTCTAGACTGAGCTGATTGCAGACACGGGCGGCGACCTCGGCCGGCGTCGTGGTCGTGGTACGCGTATACTCTTCGTTGGGCATGACAGCGCCTGAAACAGCAAGGTCAATAAGTAAGGAACAGAAAAAACGGATGATGGTAGCATCATCCATGACTTACCTCCTTGAACCGTCCGCTTTTGCTTCGTGGTCTGCGTCGCGAAAAACCGCTCGAGGATCTTGAAGGTACGGCCGATTTCCTTCTTGGACACCTTCGTGACGGCATAGATGTCTTTGAAGGTTCGCCCGACGCTCATCTTCCGCGCCGCGATGAAGATACAGCTGGCGATGATGGCGTCTTGCGACTTGCCCTTGAGGATCTTGGCGTCCTGGCTCTGCTTGAACAGATGCATGGCCATGTCGGCAACGGTGCTCGGTAAATCCGCGTTGTCGCACAGCGAGCTGATCGATTTGTAGGCGGCTTGGAGGCTCTTGTTGCCCTTGTCGTGAATCACTTTGTTCTGGGCTCGATGCAGATCGCGGCTGCGAGAGCCGCCATCGCCGAATGCAATGCTCGTCTGCAGCTGAGAGCCGTTGAGCAGCGGGTTCGCCGCCTCTCCGACACGAGAGGGATCGTCGTTGCCCTGGTCATCGTTCGCGAACGTACGCCACTCGGAACGCATGTCGACGACGTGCGACATGAGGACTAGACCGCAAGACCCGCAGACCACGTCGCCGGACGCAGGCTCATCAACGTGGTTGGGAGGGAATTCCTTGCACTCCGGGCAGATCAAGTGCCGGTTCAAGTTCTCCTGCCATTCTTCCTCCTGGGCTGCAGACTCAGGCGGGGATTCGATGACCTCGCCCGGGGAAAGGACACGGCCTGTATGGTCGGTCGCCATGATCTTAAGAGTTGTGCGAAACCGTCTGGAGGCTCTGCGCCTGAGTGCTTTATGGCTAACTGCGAGTTGATGTCTTCTAGCAAAGCAGCGGATGAAGAGCGGAGAGTGCAGTTTGACGGGTTGGAAGATGATGTGGCGACGGAGCAGCAAGCGGAAGTTGCTGGCTGAGTCGGCCCTGCTTAGCAATCACGAAAGAACAGCGAAGTGATTGGAATTGGTCGGAATAGCGCTTTCGGTGGAACGAGTGTTTGCGAAAGGGAGTGAGTGAGCGAGAGGCTGCTCGTCCGACCGGTGACCAGTGAAGGCGTCCGCAGGAGTTCGATGAGTCGAGCTCGCGCAGAGATGGCCGCTGAAGCGCGTTGAGGGTGTCGCTACAAGAAAATGCCCAGCAGTTTTCTTTGTGTGAGAGGACAGACTCGACGGCGTTCGTGACGAGTGCAAAACGGGTGGGTGCAGAGTGGGGGGTGGGGTGAGGAGAGGTGAGGTGAGGAAGAGGCTGGCAGGAATGCGATGAGGTCGAAGTGGCTCTAGAGACGCTAAGCCTAATTGGGCCACTAGCGCGGAGCCGCCCAAACTCACTTCGAGGCTCTCCTCCAACAGCTTGGTAGGAGGAGCTTCATCGCCTACCATACCAGCGACACCACGATGCTTGCGCAAACAATCAGAGCCTCGGTAATAGGTTCCCCCTCACTGCTCAACTGACTATCTGACAATTGCTCGCAGCGCTCATCCCTCGCCCGCGCTGCCCGACAGCATGCCGTCATTTCCCGTCGAACCCTCATCGCACCCACAGCTGTCCGCCAAGGTACGTCGTCCGACAGTCCTTGCAAGGTCTCTGGCTGACCCAAGTCCTCGATGGCAGCCGATCTGGTCCAGGACATGTACCTGCGAGAGCTGAAGAACTACAAGCCACAACAAATCAAACCCTCCGATGCCGAAGGTCACGTCCAGAAATTCTCCGTTCCGAAGCCCCCACCGTCGCCGGAAGAGAGCGACATTGCGAACGACCTGAAGTCGTACGAGAACCAGACTGTCGAGGTGGAGGGTCAGTCAGCTGAGGGTACTGCTGCTCCGGAGGAAGACTGGTTCGAGGATGAAGAGGAAGAGGCTGTTGTTCCCCCAGGGGCAACCCATTAGATACTGGGTGTCGTAGCTGTATACAAACTTAGTACCTGTAGTCGGGCAGCAAACTTGTACAAACCTCTCTGACGCACTGCTAGCTAAAGTTACTTTTCTGTACGATCCTGCACGAGTGCTTCGACTACCTTGATAAGTTACCAGTCTGTCAGCTGACTGCGTGTCACAAACGTGCTTCCTAATTCAGCCCCCATGGTCCGTCAACTTGACCTGATCCGGCTCAGACATGGAACACCGGAAGCAGGGCTTCACATGTGGCCAGAGCATGGTCTCTAATATACAAGGAGCACGGTCACTCGGTATTCCGAAGTAGCTGCAGTGTCTAATTATTGTCCAGTAGTGCGTTGAAATAGTGGCATGGGACAGAAGACCAGCCTTGTCGCATGGCGTTGGTCTACTAGCCACCTCAATGTCAGTATCAGCATCAGCTTCGAGGCTTCCTCAGCGATCGACGCACACCAATCAACTCGAGTAGTGAAGCTACCTACTCGATTCACGCCGAAGAACAGCTCGAAGTCTGAGCAAACTGGAGCTTCAATTTTAGCTTCAATTTCGTCCATGACACCTACCCTCCATATGCATCCGTAACAGAATCAAAGAGAGCTGTACACCACACTACAGTATCTAGTTCTACAGTGCCAGCCCCGATTAGCTTCAAAGTGCGATTGCAGATGCGTGAACGGAATCCCCCTAAACAAACGCACGGCAACATGCATTAAACAGCCCCATAGAGTCTTTACCCGCCTGGGCATTCCCTCTGACACTCGCCCTGGCGTTCTTTCAAGTTCGTCGACTAAGGCTCTTTTCAGTGGTGTATGGTCACAGGTCCAGCTCGGTCGCACGCCCATGTCGAGATGCGTTATCATGGACGAGCTCTTCCAGCTGTCTCCAAACGTTTTCTGTGATCCAGCCGGTTCCCTGTCGACAGAACGCCATCAAGCCTCCAAAGGTGGAGCCGAGATAGCCTGAGACGAGTCTTGCATATGCAGTGGAACTCCCCGCGACTGGGCCTCTAAGTTGAGCAGCGCAAGCCTGTCTTATCTGCCTCTCTCTGCCTTCCCTGCGCTCAGGATCAGCAGCAGATGAGGCAAGAGAGGCAAGAGAAACAAGCAGACTCGGAGCGTTGTCTGCCGGTCGATCGTGTGTTTCATTAGTGGGAGTGCCGCTGGCTGCAGACGCCACTGTATTAATGGGGCTCTTCGGTGGTTAAATTTGGATAGTCCGAGTGATGGATCAGTGGGACCCCCTACTAGTGCCGCACGAGCGAACCAGCGCCATCAATCTCAACATCTAAGACAGTCGCCGCGACGGGGAGAGACTGCACGGCCACTTTCTCAGACACGCTCTACTCGTACATCTTTCTAATATCTTCCATCAACTAGACACATTCGTTACCTCTACATCGCGAGTCCGCTTAACCCACTGTCACTGGCCGCTGCATCTCCGTCAGCCGTACGTCAACGCTGCGTTTCGGAACCCCGTCGATATCTTGCAAGCATCCGTGGCCTCCACGGCGCTATCACCCATCGCTGAGCAGACCAACTGCGAGGACCCTTCACCTGCAGTTGATTGCGTACTCTGCCGATCCTCTTGAAGATAAACTATCCCCTAACATGGCCCCACAGAGGTAGTCGTCACATCGGCCGTTTCTAGGCCAGCACCCTCCTTCAAGCCTCAAATGACTATCAGCATGTCCTTCGAGACGACAACCGCGAGCAAGTCTGAAGCGCGTGCCGCCAAGGACCAAGCAAGAGACAGGAGTTTCTCGGCCGCCGTGCAACCCTACGACAACCAGCCTTCACAGCCCACCGCCGGACACATACCCCGATCCGCCAGCTACACATACTTCCCTCAGGTCAAGGAGCCGCTTGTGGACGAGGTTCCGATCGTTCGTATCAAGGGTTCGATCAGCGAAGATGAATTGGCAGCGTCGCACAACATCTACGCCGATAGGGATTCATACAGCTCGTCAGGGTCAGGGGGAAGCACACCAGAAAACGAGGCAGTCACTCCGCTGGAGTTGAGTACCAGCAAGAGGTCGTTGGACATGAGCAAGTCTCAGCAGAGCTCAAAGATCACCATCTCGAAATTTCTCCTATCAAACGGTGAGCCCAGAGATTCGGCTTACGCATCCGCAAACGAGCTTGATGGCGCTGTGCAACCTGGCTTCGTAATCTCAAAGCCAAGATCGTCCTCTAGGACGCGCAACGTTTTCCGTCGCAAGTCGTGGATTCCACGGTCCCAGTCGACCTCCCGCTCCACATCTCGGTCAAACTCGCCGAGCAAAGCAGAGGCGGAACCCAGGCAAACCGACGATGGCGCGACAAACTCCTCTTGGATGTTCAGCGCCGGCCGTCGTAAGTCTATGACAGGCCGTAGCCGAGACGCAGACCATGCGATAGCTGAGCCTAACCCTACGGCCGCCGTCTCCAGAAACGGCACTGTCGCATCGAAGAGGCCTAGCAGACCCTTAAGCGCCCTGCTTAGAAGCTCTGTGGCTGGCAGCGATGCGAAATCATCAATTCCATCAGCTCCGGTGCCTGCTCTGCCAAAGTCGTTCTCGACAGATCGGTTGCCAATACTGCCGAGATCACACGCTTCATCGGAGCGCATACCTCCGGTTCCTAGAACGATATCGTCGGAAAAGATCAAGACCCTGGTGCCAGAAGTCTCAAGGAAGAAGGACGAGTTGTGGAGTGTCTTTCGCACTCTTGAGAGTGATCTTCACAAGTTCGTATTGACGCAGCTGCTGTATCCGCCTGAATCCGCGACTGACTTCATGCTAGATTCCATTCCAAATCAACCTCCCTCAAGGCCAATGTTGTTCGGGTATCACTCCTTCCGTTCCTGAAAACCTACGCTTCACATCCCTCCATACAGAAGCTCCGCGCCGAGGATCTAGACCGGCGAACTGTCATCTTAAACAAATGGTGGACCGGCTTGCTTGAAATGCTGCATGGAAGGAACAACCAATCCATTTCCGGGACTGACAGGCCTGCCATACTCGATGGCATCACAGGCATTATGGAAAGGCCGGAGTGGCGGCTCTTCCCCTCCCCATTCTGCGCCTTGGCCGACAGGAAGCCTTCACCTGCAATGCTCCGATCAACTTCGACGACATCCCTCGCATCCAACGCCTCCGACTTCCTCATTGAGTCCGTTCATCACAATGTGCGAAACACATTCGTTCAGAACTTGCTGGCACAGATGGCTTTTGTCATAGACAAGATGTCTTTGCGCAACGCTCCCGCAAGCACCGTCTCCTTCTGCGGCAAGACATGTGCGTACGCGTTCATGTTTTGCCCAGGCGTCGCCGATGTTCTGATTAAGTTGTGGAACCCTTCAACCAACCTCATGAAGCGAGTGGTCGAAGAAAACGGGCCGTTAAGTAAGAATACCCCACGTCCAGATGATAAGCGCATGATGGAGGCTTTCCCGCCAACCCTGCATCCTCTGCGCTTCGTCTCGGTAGCAAAAATATTTCGCGAACTTCGTAAACCTTGCTCTATGCCACTTGGGGCAGCGCATCTTCAGTGGCATGGACCATGGACCAACCGATGGTCAGGACGTGACAGCGATTTGTTCTACGTGTTCGTCAAACATTACCATATACTTGTCGCAGAGTTCCTACCGCCCGACACTACCAAAGCGGAGAGACTTTGCGTGCCAGGTATGGTGTTTGTCCACGCACAAATACTCACTAACCTTGACGCGACTATCCATCGGAACGCTTCTCAAAGCCAAGCGGAAGAGCCTGCTCATGGATCACCAACCATCACGTTTGACGACGTACTCACTGATCCCGACGCATCTGCCACGGCGCTGCCCCTGGCGCCTTCTAACGCTGTACGGCTTATGGCTGAGAACCGATTGATAATGTTAATACGAGATTTTCTCTCGGAGCGAAGCTCCATGTATCCGACCGCTCGGCATATATTCGCGGAAGCATTCAACGACGTACTAAAAGCATGCGCCAAGAAGGTATCGATATACGATCATAACGCATGCTACACACTCATCGACTTTTTGGAAGAGGCCGTTGTCATTCTAGTACGATACGAACACATTACAGCATCTAGCAACGACATGCTCGACTGGCCGTTCTGGCTCTCGGTGTATAGACGGATGATTGAAAGCCAGAACACCACAACCGAGATTCGGCTCTATGCGTTCTTGTACAGCACGTGGAATAGTATTTCTAATAGCCAGCAGCGGAAAGCGGACATGTGTTTCGAATTGCTCCTGGATCCGAAGATCTTCGAGAGCAGGTTCAACCACTGGTGTCCGATGGTACGGGCGTACTTCATGCGGCTTCTCTGCTGGCGGCTCGCAAGATTCGATGGGGACGCTGATGCTGACGCTGCAGAGACGTAAGTTTGAGCCATACTGGAGTGCCCTCGGTGCTGACTCGACTTGCAGAACCATCCTTGTACGACTGAACGACAGACTGCGCTCTATCTGGTCGCACTTCCTCTACGTTCGCGAAAATGCCGACTCACGACATGAGTTGCTTCCATCGACCGCGCCTTGTAATCCTGCACCTGGACGGCGTCTCCTTATCATCCGTACGGATGCCCCGCTCATTAACGTCAGCGGCCAGTTCTTCTCCTTTGATGGTGCCGTGTCGCCTTCGACTACTCGATCGTCAACCTTCATGAGTCAAACGATATCTGACTCAGCGCTTCGTCCTTCGACTGGTCAGTCAGACGCTTCGGACTCGTCGGACATGGTCGAAGACACGGGCAAGCGGAGATGGGGCATCTTCAAGAGTCTTATGCCGGGCTCATCGAAGACACGGTCGAAGTCTCGAAGCCCTGATCCGCCATCTGGGAAGGTCGTTCGCACCCAGTCCGTGGTGTCGCAGGCTACTGGGACTGCGCCCGCGACATCCTCTGCTGCAGCTTCGGCGAGTCAGCCGGATACGCCTCAAGCATCTACTCACCGCACCTTCTGCTTCAAGTTCTCCCTCGAATGGGTTGACAAACGATTCCAGGCACCAGGAAACGCCCGACTCTTCCCACCTCGGCTCCCCCTGCCGGCGCAGAAGTTCTTGCAAGCGCAGCAGGGCACGCCACCAAACACCACACCAGTCAAGCCGCAGGGAGACGCCGTCAACTCGAGCAAGTATGCCGGGCGCGCGCTCGCGGAGTGGGCGCTGGTCGTCAATGAGTGCCAGAACTTCTTCGAGCGCCGCAAGAACGAGGGCGTGCCAGCGAACAGATTGGTCGAGACACCTACGTTGGGCGTTGAGGCGTTCCGGCGGCCTGGGTAAATGGTCGGACAACCTATAACCGCTTTCACTTGCTGTGCTCTTGGCCACTCATTCATGCACATATGGTGCTTCTCTTCGCGCTCTGTATATTATCTTCCCACGCAGCATGTACTGGGCTGTCGCTTTTGTATATGTACGTGCTCAGCCTCGTATGCGCTTGCTGCCGCACGAGGCTTTTGGCGGTCAGCCAATTTTCCGTCCGTCATGGCTTGGTTTTTCGCTCTCGCTCAGGCTGGATGGGAGCCGATACATGAAAATCTGGATAATGGGTCCTTGGCGTTCTTTGGGTGTGCATGGTTCTAGAAGTATCCTTACCTGTCATGGGCTGCTGGTGGGCTTGTACACACGGGAACTGAGTTGAGGGTGGGTGGGAAATATGGGCTCAACTGCAGATGGGCAACGGCCTTGAATTGCAGCTGGAATCTTGCTATGTGGAATATAATCGGGTTGCCATGTCTCGCTGCCTCGTACACGCTCTAGTAATGGGATCATTTCAATGCTTTTGCATTTATCAAACCCAGACCGGCTAGCGACTTCCTGCAGCGTTGACGACACTATCGACACTTGTCAATCCGGGTCCAAGACGCCAACTCGTCAGGAACTTAGCGATGCAACTGAAGAATGCCCTTTACAGATTGCTGTAATACTGATTGAGAACACGTGGTTTATGCTTGCGGCGCAAACCCCATCCAAAGCTCGACGGCAGCGGTTGACTCCACAAAACCTCCAAGGTTGTTCCCATCTGCCGTCTCCGCCAAAACACCCACAACGTTGAGAACGGCCCCATGAATTACCAACGTCCTCAGGTGCATCCGAACGCGGGTCTCCGAAGTCGTCTCCGCAATCCTGACTAGTACTCTCCATGTAGTTGAGGTGATGTTGATGGCCCCAACTTACGCGCTCCACCAATCATTCTCCACTGTTCTAAGCGCTTGTTGCAACGTCGAGACGGCTGAGCATGTATCTCAGGTGAGCTTATGCTACGCCGCTCTTGCGTATATCTTTAGCTCTACACTGGCCGCCACTGCTTACCTCGTCAAGACGCAGCAGTCAGGCTGCGCCACCGCACGCAATACACCGACTTACTTTGTCCTACAACGTTGATCTGTCTATCCACGAGTGGAATCTTGTCACCATGATGTACCATACATCGGAAAGGCTTAGCCGCTGACGGGAGATGGAGCGCCTATCGTTCAAGCATGCCCAGTTACTCACCACCATATCGCCGTTGCCTAACGTTTATTGCTTGCGTCGTGCTTCTACCACCCACAAGTATTCTCCGGCCCGGTGCATACGGCGTTCACGCCCGGAGCCTCCGTAATCCGCTTATCGAAGGAAATGCTAAGCTTACCTAGGGGAACCACGCGAGGAGAATCCTCGGTGAGCTTCTTTTGGGACTTCACGGGTCCATCTGGCGGTGCTATTGGTGCGCAAATTCCGTACCTTCAGTAAACGACCCTGCAGTGCTACCGGTAAGATGCAAACCATGCATGCTGTAGCTCGTCACGATACCAAACACTTCTGCACGAACCACCGATTTCTCAATCCCTTCTCGTCAGTCTTGCAGTGGAGAAATCGCTTTTCTAGTGCTTGTGCTCCATTGCTTGTCATCTTTGTCTTAAAACGATCTACTCTGTATCAGCCTGGCGATCTGGTGATTGGCCCCCACCCCGAAGAAGCTTCACTCGTACTCCTCTCTCGCATTCTGTCTAAGCACGACGTCGAGATCTTGAAGGCCCAGGCTCCTTCTCAACTCCCAACTCCCCCAACTCGTGCTGCAGTGCCACTCCGCAGCCTTCCGGCCCCATGGCGCCGCAAGTGGCTTGCGGACTACTTGACGTGCATTAGTTTGCTGGCCGTTACCATGGATTGGACGGGGCAGATCCGAGCGATTCACGGGCTGCCAGTGATAGTGCTGCGGTATCTACTCCCTCACCGTATCGAGCCTCAGCATGCTCACGACAGCATTTGTACCCTTCTAAGCTGCATGGACATCTTGGATCCGCCGGCAGGGCTATGTCCTAATGCGTCGTCTGGGCGCACAGTAATAGTGACTGTCAGCTCAACGGCCTAATCTGTCAGTGGCAAATTCCAGGATTCTTGCGCAGGTGTATCTCAGGCTCATCTGATGTCCAGGATGTCCTGAGTATCCCCAAGCAGGTACGACCAATTGTGTCCCAATTGGGTAGAGTCGTCCATTTTAGTTCTTGTAGCGAGGCGGCATATCCGAGGAAACCCATCCTTTGTAAACTTGGGCGGAGTATAAGATAAGACTCCTGCTCCTTCTGGATCTAGCAACGTTTCTCTCATTGTTCTTTATCACTATCAAGGCCTGTCGATTCTCACCCGCCTCACACTATCGTTACTACTCTCAGTCTAGTCATAATGTATTTTCCTAAGGTAGTCGTTCTGCTCTCAACGGCAGCAACTATCCAAGCCATATCATTCGAGGGCCTTACCAACGATGTGGTACACTACGCTCGAGAGATCAAACTGCCAGGCATGATCGCAGTCAAACGAGCACTCCGCAATCCGTTCGAGGGGCGCCAGGATGGATGTCCCGAGGTCTGGGGTAGCATAGCGGAGGAGTTGAAGCAGAGATTCTTGGCCAACGGCGAATGCACCGACGCCGCTCGTGCTGCCATCCGGGCGGCTTTCCATGACTGCTTTCCCGGACAAGGTTGCGATGGGTCGCTGTTCCTAGCACAGGAGTTCACACGAGAGCGCGAGAACGGCGGCCTGGCGCCGATTTCTGAAGACCTTGGGAAACTGGCACAAGCAAAGGGCGTAAGCGTCGCGGATATGTTTCAGTTCGCTGGTGGTGAGTTTTACATGATTACCATTCTTCCTTCCTGGCTGTTCGCTTTTTCCTATGCTTACCGTCTCCAGCCTACGCGATAGCCACCTGTCCCATGGGCCCCAGAATCCCTGCCTACGTCGGCCGCACCGACTCCTGGACGCCCGCTCCAGAAGGCGAGCTGCCCAACCCCTTCATGACAGGTGACGCCGTGCTGGCTTCATTCCAAGCAAAGGGCTTCAGCGCGCGCGACCTCGCCGCCCTGATCGGCGCCCACACAGCCGCGAAGCAATCCCGCGTGGACCCCTCCCAAGCCGGCGCAGCGTTGGACCAGACGCCGGGTGTCTGGGATGTGAGCTACTACCAGCAGCTGCTCGATAACTCGGCGCCGTTCCGCATCCCGGCGGACCTCGGTGTCGCGCACCAGCCGGAGACGGGCGAGCACTTCAACAGCTTCATCGGAAACCAGTTCGGGTGGAACGAGGCTTTCACATCGGCGTAAGTTTTAGCTATTAACGAGTCTGTGGATGCCACTTGCTGACATTGTCCCTCGTAGCATGGAGAAGATGTCGCTTCTTGGCGTCCCGGGCGGTGCGGCGAGTTTGGTCGACTGCTCGAGGTTCCTGCCTGGTGGTTCGGTACAGCGGGACAGGAGGGCAGCTCCCATTAATGGTCGCATCCTGTAAGAGCCATCCCTTTCCGGCAGGATTTATTGGGGGATATGGGACCGGGGTTGGCGGTGGGAGTTGATGTTTGGATGGGACCGTCGTTGGAGACGATCTATCACGTGACTGCTGCATTACATAATGAAGAGACGGCACACTGTAATGAGAACCTCCATGCTTATCATAACTTTCTCCTTCACACAATCGGGGGTTGTTCATATCCATTTCTATCTGACGGAGACAAATGAGTTTGTGATTAGTCATGTGCGGTACGTTCTTGGCTATGTCTCGACCAACAACCCTCTCTTCCATCAGTCCCAAAGCGCCCACTTATTCTCCGCTCTGCACCCATGGAAATACTGCGGAGAGTTTAATAGACCACTTCAAAGAATGTCTAGGAGAGCAGAAGTGCGGCTTACGTCGTAACATTGTGATGCTGCGAGGTCGATGATGCACACATGTGCACTGATTCTGTAATTTACACACGATCATGAAACACTCGATGCTATACGATTTACTGCTTACAAGACAAGAGATTACCGGGATCAACACGGCCTGTACAGCTTACTGCTGGAGACAAAGTCGTAGTTATCTCATGCAGCTCTCGACGAGTACACAGGTCGAATGCGTGGTTTACTCTTGAGCCTTCCAGCTGGAGAAAGAGTCGAAGCACAGAAGCAACGGTCGAGCAGTTGCTCTCGTCACTGAAAAAATTCCAATCTTCGAACTGCAGGATCAAGGCCATGAGAGGTACTTCCTAGTTTGCGGCTCAAGCGCCATGGTTTCCAGGCAAGAACTACTCAGCCTCCCTGTTCGATGTTGCTTGCGGGCACCGTCACGGCTTAGACATTGGCTCTTTCTGAGAACAGTGTGCAATTCATCTCGTCATTGCCCAAACATTAATGGCCATTCTAGCCTCTGTGTGATCATGAATCCCATGTGCCACACACAGGGAAGGCCTCTCGCAGTACGCTGCTTAGAAATTCGTGATGCAAGAACAACCACGGAGTATTTCTTTACGCCAATGGAGTCGAGTTTGAACTCGTTCCTGATTCAAGAGATGACCTAGAAAGTCGCACTTCCCTTGATTGAGGTATACCCCTCATTGCACTCCGACTACATCCACGGTTCAGATAGGAAGGTGGAGTCAACAAAGTGGACACAGTCAAGATGATAAGGTCCTCCTGCCCCAGACCCTCTTGCCAACACTTCCCAGTCCACAATCCACCATAAAGAGGCCGTTCCTCCCGTCCAAAATCCTTCCAGCATCGTTCTTCGTTCTCAGCATCCATACATCGTTTTTCGACGGCCTTCCTCGTTTCATCACTCATCACTCATCACTCCTTACTACTCACTCCGAGCTCCATAGCAGTCGTTTCGGATTTACCCATCAAGCTGTCAAGTCAGCCCATTCGCTTTTGTCCCTCACCACCTTCACCGACAAACCCAAGTCAGAATACCGAAGTCAGATACACTATCAAAGCCAATGTCAGTATACATGCTCCATCTCTTCAGTGGATTACGCTTACGCATACCAAACCCAGCCTCAAGACCGAGTATCCCACCATGCATTTCAGGGTCGCTGTTACGCTGCTTAATCTCGCCCTCTTCGCAGCCGCGACACCCTTTCGTTCGAGGTCGGTCACGGTGATCAACACATGCCCGTACAACATCTTCCTGTGGTCCGTGGGCGACCGTCAAGGTGCACGAGTCACCCTCGTCCCCGGCGCGGCTTGGAGCGAGGCCTACTACAAGAAGGCGGATGGGAGCGGTCCATCCATCAAGCTATCGACCAACCCGCACGACGAAGGCGACCTGCAGAACGACATCTACCAGGTCGAGTACACCGTACACGATGACGGCCGCATCCAGTACGACATGTCGGCCGTCAACTGCTACTCGCACAACCCCTGGGGATGTCCGTTCGTCCACGAAGGCACAAAGCTGGAAATCGACAACCCGACGTGCAAGGGCTTCGAGTGTCGGCCGGGGGATGTTCACTGCCGTCAATCCTACCTCGCCCCTAAGCACGATCATGCGAATAGGGGGTGCCCCTCGGGAGGTGCGCTGACCTTTACCGCGTGCTCTGGCTAGTCCACTCGAGGCTTGGTACAGTGGCCCACGACAGCCTTACAGGTCGACTCTTGAGCCTGCCAAGGACCCTGCACTATTCAATGGACGCTGCTCCAGATGAACATGTTCCAGAGGCACACTTTCCGGAGTACCTTCCGGACGGCCATGAGGACGCAGATCCAACTGGAGTCTGGACGAGGCAAAGCCGTACGTGTTGTACTGCGAAGATCACCTGCCGTGCCGCGACCAGTGAACATAGCTGCGTAGGCTAGTATGTCGACTGTATGGGACACGGACCCGAAGTGGCGATGAACACCACTGGCTGAAATCACGCGAGCGGGTCAATTGGCAGTGGACTGATGAAGAGGTCACAATGCTGGAGGTCTTCACCGAATGGTGCTGGAGTGGCTTCCAAGACGGACTGTCCAGAAGCGCAACGACAACCGACGTACGCGTAAATCTACGCGCGATGGTACTTCACTCGTTTTGTGGAGCCGCAGTGTTCCAGGTTCATGATGACGTTGACCAGCACGCATGGTTGTTGCAGTGAATCGCCGGTGTTTGTGCAGCAATGCCGACGTGTGCCTTCGGTGGTCGGTGGTGGGAATCAATAGTATGCATCCTACCTTCAGGATGATCGGATCGAGACTGACATCCTTGCAGACTGGGTCAATCTACATCACAACTTCCACGGTCATGGCCCGATGGCCCCTTTGGAATTACTTGTGCGAGTCCGGTCCTCAGTCTAGTAAGGAATCCTCTTGCGCGATGGTATGAGCAGGGGCGGTACAGCATATGGACGGAGGGGCAGAACAGGATTACCTTGAGTCATGTGTATAGCACTGTGTTCCATCGTGGAGAAGACCTAACTTTCATGTCCTCGTTTTACACACTATCCGCCGATTGGCAGCCACGTTACATTGTCGCTTGTTCGGTCCCGTAAACAACGATTCAATGTATCCTAAGTGAAACCGCATTAAGCCGTGACAACCATTGAGAGTTGCATATGCGTGACTGCGCTGAGTGATGTTTGTTTCAAAGATTAACGATCTACTGTGCGGAAACGCTTGTTGTGAAGATGGAGAGCACCAGCGACACATTGCCGATTGGAAAGGCAAAGGAAGTCGCAGCTCCTCGCAGGCCCGCTAAACCCTTCGGCCACATGGTCCCAATCGCCTACCTCTCGAATTCGCCGGACCTTGTACTGGCTTCTACGGTGGACTCTCGAAGTCGATGTAAAGATAGTGATCACGGAGTGCTCGATATTGGGTTACAAACCAAGATGACCTGTAGTGGTAATGCCACTGTCTCTTTTGAATACATGCGCCCTGACCCTCGCACTGCCCTCGTAACATACAGAAAAGTTCAGGCTGCAGTCACTCCGAAGAGCAACCGCTTTACCCGCGGCAACGTCGCCCTCGGCTGCCGGTGTATAATATGTACGGTCGCTATGCCTCGCCCAAGGATGATCCCAAACCGAATCACCCTTCCCCAGCTGCAGAATCGCGGGTGGAGCCCCTTCATTTTGGTGTCGTGATCACGCCTTCGTACTCTCTCGACGCGATGTAATCGAGCGTTCTCTGGAAGTGCTTCCGCGGGTTCTCGAGCGAGGACGTCGCTTCATTGGTCTGCAGGTTCGAGTGAATGAGTTCTATCAGGCCGTTGAGGTATTTCGTCGTCACCTGTAAAGGATCGTGTCAGTTGTCACGCTCCCAAGTCTGAGCGAGCGGCTCATGTGGAGCGTGAGACGTACCGCTTCGTTCTCCTGATCGAAGTAGTAGACGTATCTGTTCAAGATCTCTACGAACAGCTCGACGGAGACTGCTGTGTCCATGCACGCGTCTGCTACTCGAAGCGCGCGCTGTAAGCACTCTAGGACGCGTTTACCGTCGCGGTAGAGCTGCTCCCTCGCATTAGCGACTGCGTCTGAACACAAGCAGCGCGGATATGAACTTACCGTCTTTGTATCTTCCTCCCCCTTCGCCCGTATCTCCGTCGCCCACCACAGATGACTCGCCAGATACACCGCCCTGCACTGGTCCGGCTTCTTGAGCAGCTTGCTGCCATGTAGCGCGCACTTCGTGATGAGCGTATCGTAGTTCTCCTTGCTGAAGTTCCGCGTGGTGTGGAGCCCGCTGGCGATGATGCATACGGCCTGGAACTGCGCCCTCGAATCGCTGATCGCTTCCTCGTAAATAGTAAAAGCTTGTGCGAAGAACTCGTAGCTGACTTCCTCGAAACCGTTTTGGTCGGCGACTTGGCCGCAGGCGACGAAGAGGCGGAGAGATAGGTCGGCGGCGCCGTTTACGCGGGTGTAGAGCGTGGAGAGCGTGCTGTGCATGAATTTGTAGAGGGCAGATGATTGGGTGGACCAGTTGTCGTCGAGGTGTTCTCGAGTTTTGTAGCGACGCGCGAGCTTGATGGAGGTTGTGATCAGGGCGGGTGTGGTGTATTTGACGCGCTCATTGCCTTCTGAGAAGGCTTTTCGTGCCGTTTGAAGCAGCTGAAGCGGGTGTTAGCCTGTATCATGATGTCACATTGGCAAAAGGCTTACTTTGAACTGTGTATCGTTTGACGGACTCTGGATGAGATGCACTATCCGTGCTAGCCATCCTTGCTCGTCTATCGTTTCGTCCGTCTCCATGCCCTTCCTTTGAAGTGGGCCACCTTGGTATCCTGCAGACTGTTGTGTACCTTCTTTGATGATGACTTTGAGTATCTCCAGCACGCCTTCGAGATTCTCAACTGTGTCAATCTTGGTCTGGTTTCGAAGCAAGCTCTGGGCAACCTCGCCCGCCACGGATCGTCTAGTAGAATACGGCTGCGATTGGAATAGGGGAATGAAGTTTGGTAACGCTAGTGCGGTGAACAAGGATAAGTATGCTTTGACAGGGGCGAGTAGGAGATTTAGAATGCTCGATTGCGTAGCTGGGGCGTGGAGGTCAGCACTGTTGGCGTACTGCGCGACCTTTTCGTTCGCGAAGGCTAGGACTTGATCGACGTAGTCCAGCCGTTCAGGGTATATGTTGCTACTGACATCAGCTTGATTCCTCTCTGACCGTAGGGATTAACTAACAGGGCGAGGTTTGCTAGGGACACCAGCAGAGCTATTGTGTCTTGTATTGGTAACCGCTGTAGCTTGACCAGACTGGCAACTTGTTCGTGGAAGATCTCGAAGAGCTTTACGTTGTCTGGAATGCCGCGACTCCTCTTGCTCTCGCCATTTGTGGGTGCAGACTCCTCTGGTGGCTCGACCGCGGTGGTAGATGTTGCTGTCGACGCAGCGTCGCTCTCAGCAGGACGCGCTTCTGGCGCATCCCCATTCTCTTGTGCCGGTTTGTCCGCGGGCTTGCTTTCTTTGGACATCCGCAGCTTCTCTAAGAGCTTGGTCGTCGCGTCATCCTCTGCCTTTCTCCGCTCCTCTGGTGACTCCGACTCCGACTCTCTTGCGGCGTAAGCGGACAACCTATCCATCAGCCCTATCACGATTGCCTTGATGTTGACGTGTGGATTCAAGCGAGCAGTCGCGGAGAGAAACTGGTCCAGAGTATGCAGGTGGTATTCATCAGGGAAGACTTGTGTTATCACTGTCGCCATGTGTTAGCGCAAACAGAGTGTAAAGGCGCACTCCCGTATTCACCTTCTAGTAGATACTCTTGCGCTAGGACGTCCCGGCATTGAACGACCTGTTCGAGAAGAGGCTGTAATATCTTCTTGTAGTTGTCCAGGTCCACCAACTGGCTTAGCCGCACGAGGTTGCTCCCCACCAGCAACTGGAGCTCCTGTCGTTCTCTCGTCCTCTGCTCCCGCTCCCTCGAGTGTCCCTGATGCTGCAGCCGTACCCAGAGCTTGTTCATCTCCACGAAGTTTGTCAGAATGAAGCTGATCGAGTCCTGGAGGTTCCCTTCCGGTCCATCACCGCTTCCGGTAGGCAGATGGTCTCTCGCCTGTCCTGAAAGGTAATACCGCAGGAACAGCCCTCGCACTGGATGCTGTACTCCTCGACTCATCTCCATCATGTCCTTCATTATCTCCTTGACCGGCGCATCCTCGATAGCCATGTAGACCGTTCCGACCGTGATCATAAGGTAAAGACGGGGGATGATGTTGCCGGCATACTGGACGAGTTCGTAAAGGTCGGCGAGATGGTTGACAGGGTGGTTATCTCGTAGGTAAACTGAGAGATGGCGCAGCGCATCGAATACAGCCATGTACAGTTCATAGTATTGCTTCGGCCCTAAGCTGCTCGTGCGGAGTTCTGATACTAGGGTGGAACTGAGAATCCATCAGCGTGAGCAGCGTGCCTTTACGCAAGTCTGTAAGCATGTGTTATAGGCTTGACACGTACCTGCATTTGAGCGCATCCATCAGCTTTCCGGGTGTCTCAAGGCATCGCCGCATTAGCACCGTCTGCTGCCGTACAACAGCCAGAGCATCTTCGAGCAACCGGCCTTGATCTTCCACTACCGGCGGCGACGCCATTGCTACCTTGAGGTTACGGTGATACGGTTGTTGGCTTGTAGTGTGTGGGCGGTCGTTCTGTATGTTTAGGTGACCTCCGCCAAGCTGACGTTGGTCGACTCTACAGGGCTGATCTCAAGAGACTCGTAATCTTATCAACAACACCACACTCCGCGCGTTCATTGAGGCTGCACTTTCAAAAGATCTCAGCACTGTCATGTGGTACTGGAGATCTTGCCGTAAGCATTGTCACGGTCTGCATTTGATTGAGTATAGTGAAGCTGGAGCGAAGGGATAAGGATCTTTTTGCCATCACTGGATCATTAAATTACCTAACCGCTATGCACTGTGCCGAGAACTCCAATCTAATGCTTCTGCCGGTTATACCGTCCCTCCCAATAAGACAAACCCAAACCGTCTATCCATTAAGCCATCTAAGATGCGTGGCACCATTAGACTCATATTGTACCGCCGAAACCCGGGTGACTATGCGAAGCACCTGAGGTTCAGACGCTAGTCTGATCAAAATATCGTCAAGAAGAGAAGACTCGTGAAAACTGTCGTATGCCACACGTGCGTGTCCAATGCCTCAGGATTGTGTGATGTTCCAGCTCACAACAGCAACTTCCGTGGCGGCTGCTCCTCGGGCAAGGACTGCAGTGGAGGAAGAACTTTCAATAGCGCTCGGGGCGGCATCCCACCAAGTGCGGATTGGATACCGCGTGTGCCACATGCCGTCGTCATAGTATGATGTTGTGGGCTGCGGCGCTGTAGAAATCACTGTGACTGTTGACGCCGGCAGAGTGACCACGCTGATTGAAGAAGTTGTCGTGGTAGTCGTTGTTGTCGTAATGTCGATGGCTGAAGATGAGAGGGTGGGAGTTGGAGAGGGAGCCAGGACCGTAGACGAAGACGTCAGCGCGGAGGCGGGAAGACTTGTAGGTGACGAGCTCGAAGGTGGAGGTGGTGCGGACAGTGAACTGCTTGTTGCGCTCGACGTGGATCTTGTTGAATACGTTCGGGTCTCTGTACTGGGGACCGCCGGCAACGTTGCGGGCTCGGTGGAAGTCGAAGGGAGCGAGGTGGGCTGAGGCGCGGCCTCCGTGGTCACGACTACTGTCGTGGGAGCAGGTACCGGAATGACGGTTCTTATGATGGTGTTGACGACAGTCGTAGCAGCAGCTGCTGAGGTCTCCGTTGAACTGCTGCCGTCGACGTTGACAACGGAATAGTCTTTGGCCTGCCTCGGTGCATTGGAACGCTGCTGCAGGCGCTGATCAAGCGGGAGAGCTTCTGAGATGACCGCGAACACAGAGAGAGCTACGAGAGCATGTGACTTTGGGATGTGCATGGCTTTTGAGTATTGATGTTGGCGCTGTGTGATTGTGCTAGTGAGAGTAAATGAAGATGCGATGAGTTTGAGTACGGCGAGGTGTGATTTCAGATCTGATATGGTAGACTTGGAAGAGGCTATATCAGTCTCTAAGAACCTACAGGCTAAGCGCACGCGACTAGAATATATGGGACCCATCTTGAGGGCGAGGCCGGCGGCGCGCATGGTGATGGCTGGCGAAGGCGTGGAGGAGGCTGGTGTTTCCCAGCCATCTTGAGAGAGACGCGGGTGTTTGGCGCTAGCAAGTCGGCAATCTGAAGCTAAGCCCTACGATCAATCTCACGTGACCCGACGCTTGGCGGACCTTCCTTGGCACTGCTGGCGGGGAAGCCGTAACCGATACAGCGCGGGAGGAGCTGCCGCGGCGCGCATCACCATCACCATCAACACAACGAGCCCTCAAAGTAACTTTCGCGACTTTACGCCCATAACATGCAAACGAGACTCGCTACGAAATCGTTCGAGTGAGCGCCATCTACCTTCCAAAACCCCCTCCTCCAACCTCAGTGAACATCATTGGTCTAAGATACACGTATAACACCAAAGTCGGCGCTCTTAGCGACCGCTACATGGACGAGCGCACAGGAACACAAGACGATGGCACCCGTGCATCCAGCGACACCATACTCTCCGGACTCACCTCCCTCGAGAATGACAGCGATACCGACGAGTTTGGACGATTGCTTATACAAAGAGCCAAGGACGAGCAGCGCATTCGCGACGCGCTTCGGCGGGGTGGACAGCCGTTCAGAAAAGCGAGACCTCGCCCCCGCATAGGCCTGACGTTGGAGAACTTGGAGCGCCAGGAGGACTTGGAGCGGTCGATAGGTCGCGACGATCTGGCTGCTCAGAGAGAATTCAGCAGTCCAATCAGCGTCAGCAGCAGCGAGATATCAGACCCTCCGGTGCGCCCACCGCAGGGATGGGGGAGAAAAGGCAGGCAGAGGAATACCTGGATGCGCCGTATACTGCAAGTGGACGTACAAGATGAGAGACGAGAGCCGAGTGCAGAAACAGACGCGCTATATCCTCAACGGACGGCAGATGCAAGAGACGGTGGCCTAGGCAGCAATGGGTGGTCGGCTGCAGCTGCAGCAGATATACCCGTATCCTCTACCGGGAGCAACAGAGCTCTCGAGGGAAGGCACGCTGAGGCCTCGCCATCTGCGGGGAAGCGGATGAACACCTCGCTTGATCGGATCCGGGAGTGGGAGCTTAGCGAGGATCTCACTATGGGTTCATTACTAGCTTCGACACCGATTATTCCAAAGAACAGGCTCCTGGATGAAATCCTTCAGCGCGAAATCGAAAGTATTAAGGAAGAAGCCATCGCTCGAAGCCAGGCAATTGAAATCACTGAGGTCCAGGAAGATGAACCACCAGAACACCATCCATCGCCATCATCCACGAGAGTTCCTCGGCTTGTCCAGCGTGACGATCTTGAAGCTCAGCCAGCACGGAAAGACATTGCGTTGCCGAAGCGCAGAGAAAGAGGGCAGAGTAAGCCAAGGTCACCGCTGGCGATGGGAGATGAGAACCAGGCGCCGAATTCTCCAATCCTAGTTTACAAGAAAAGCACGGAAACAGTCGGGATCATCAACCCGGATATTCAGGCCAAGGCGCAAGCAACCCCGCAGAGACCGGGTCACAAAAGACTCGACTCTCAGGATCTGCTCAGGAGACTAGCTCGGGCGACGAGTGCTAGTCCGAGTCCGAAGAGGGGTTTCGAAGCTGCTGCTAGCGATCGGGCTTCTGTCAGATCTCAACCAGGCACGCTTTCGAACAGCGTGCAAGAGCTTCCGAACATTGAGGAACAGAAAGCCCCATCCGAAGGCGACGAAGAGCGCCCGAATGACGAGTTGAGGACCGACCCTATTCCAGAAGAAAACGCGATCCCAGACGATAACATATCGCCAGAAGCGGACCTAGCTAGTGAAGGCGATGTAAGAGATCCGCCTAGAATAGATCCGCCAAGTACAGATCCGCCACTACTCTCCGAGCCCAACTCCACAAGGATCAATACAGAATCGGTTCCCTCTCCCCAAAAACCAGCGGACGTACAAACACCCAAAGTGACTGGCGCCTGGGTCAACACGCCTGCGCCTGAAACGAGCAAAGCTCGCTTCTTCCCGCACTCTTCATCAAGCAGCAGCAGATCAGTATCCCCGATAAAGTCTAAGACCGCGGAATCACTACTAGAGACGGAGCGGAAGGCACCGATAGAAGAACCTCCAAAGCCGCAGAAGCAAGCGCTACCGTCGTCTGCGCTAGAAGCAGTCATTGACAGAGCAAAGTCCAATCACCAAAGCCAAGGCAAGGAGGACACGCTCGGAGATTCCACGATCGATTCGCTGGAGGACCTGATTCACTCGTCACCCGACGACACAACGAATCTGCAGCTCGACGAAGACACCTTAATGGGGCTGCAACTCCCAGCTGGCGCGCCCAAGACGGCGGCCGAGCGGGACCGGTATCAAGAAATTCAAATCCTGCAGACCATGAACACTCGTCTCAAATCAGCAAGGACCAGCATACGAGATGCGGGCCGCGGTATCAAGCGGGTCGAGCACCAGGTTGATGTGGCTGAGCACCATGCTGATGTGGTGGAGGTCAACAACGTTCCAGCTGTCACGGGGCAATGCAAGCGCTGCGGATGCTCTGCTGTTTCTGCGCGGAGCTCATCATTCTCGGGCGTTTGGCCGGCACGCAAGAGCTTGTTCTATGATAAAGATAGGAACGGCCGCATGAAGTTTACCGGACTGGGACTTGCTTCATTGATATTGCTCACTTGGTTACTGTCGGAAAGTGTACTGTGGTATGTATGCCCGCAGCTGTTATATCGGCATCCACATCTGACCTCGCTGCAGTAGCATGTATTGTCAACCGCGCTACGCCCGCACTATGGTCGGTTACGGCGTCAATCCAGACGCCCCGCGATTACCCTTCGTCACGACCACGATTCTGTTTCGGCCGCTCGCTTGGCTGTGGAGGCCAATCCTTGGCGTACTTCAGTGGTTTTTTGAAAGCATTTACCAGGCGTTGTGTGAGGCGGTGGTGGAGGAGGAAAACGTCAGTAGTTTTCAAACCATGGCGGAAACAGTGGCGAGCTACACGACGCAGGTCGTCCAGGCCACGATGGAAGCGGACTACAGCATTATGGACGACGAGTTTGTTTAGACGGTTTGGTTACCGTGAAATAGCGAGGCGTTCAGGTATCGGATTGGATATCTTGTCGGGTTGGATTGATATCCGTTTTATGGACTTTGGAGCACACAAGCTTTGGGGCAGCGCTGGCAATGTGCCGTTGTGCATACCATCATTGTTACGACGGCTGTTGAGTATTGCAATAACCAAGAAAGTCATTTCAGCTTCGAAACGGTGGATGTATCCTCTTCATTTCATGTTGTAGTTCGGTTTGATAGACGCTTACAGGACGCTGCGGCAATATACGGTTAGTGGTTAGAAAGAGTATGCCGCGATAGTATTCCAGCAAGCGCAAAAACATCGTGACGTGGGTACAGTATTTTTCACGTGGTCCAACGATCATGTCCGCATGAAAACGTCTGCTTCGTCCATAGTCTGTCAGTCCTGCTGGCGACCCAAACCTTGCACCATCGATTTTGGATTTTATTCGCGCCCGTTGTCGATAACTGCGCCCGTACAACATGTGATCATCTCCAAATGGCCTGTTGATCAACGAAGACTTTTGTCACCATCTATCTCTTCTTTCTTAATGATTACAGCATTACTTTCTCATCTAGCGACCGCTTTCACGACGACATGCGTGACACACTGCCCACAGTTGAGTCTTCAGGACCGATTTCTGTCGCGGCGAAGAGCAAATCAAGCGGCTTGCTGGCTCTCTTGTTCCTTCTTGGCGACGTTCAGAACCCATTCAATCGTCTCCTTCTCGGCGGTCAAATTCGGGCAATGGTCCGCCTTAATGCTCGTGACATCAACCTTTCGACCGCTCGCTTTCTCAATCATAGCAATCATCTCTCTCTGAAGATCAGGAGGACCGGCTAAGTCCTCCTCGCACGACAAGTACGATGCTGGAATGTCCTTGTATCCAGCGAATGTTAATTCGTTGCCGAAACTCTGCGCCGAATGCTTTGCAAAGTCCCTGACGATAGCCTCGCCCTCCTTAGGAGGCAACTTCTGACAAATCGTTCCAGCGGTCGCTGCCGGATCCTCCATTAGCATCCAGCCATTTTCCTAAGGATTTTTGTCAGACATAGACGAGGTACAGTTGGCGATTATTAAGATACTTACATCAATGGAGACGAGAGGCCTTTTCTCGTTGGGAAACCTGCTCAGGAGAGACACAGCTGAATCTCCAATAGCAGGGACAAGGCAGGATATGTAAGCGAGCTGAACGATCCCTCCGGGTTTGCCTTGCGCCTTCCTCTCCTCTTTCCCCAGTCCTTTTGTGCTTTGGGACATCGGAATACCAGCATACGAGTGGCCCATTAGAATCACGTCTTTGCCTTGGTCTGCGAGTTTCTCGACCTCCTGTGCGATCACCGCCGCATCGTCGTACATGGAAGGTGCCGGGCCATCTCTGCCTTGCCGGCTGCTTAGCCCGACGGTGGGCGGATGGATGCCTTTGATCTCATAGCCTGCCTTGGAGACGGCATCGAAGAGCGGTTGGTAGACCGGCAACAGAACGTACGAGCCGGGAATGAAGATGATCGAAGGTTTTGACATGGTCACAATCACGTTAAGTAATTCTTTGGATGAGACAGCTCAGATTCACTCAGACGTGCCGCTAATTATTTGGAAATTAGAGTTTCCAAAGCTGACGGAGGGGTGCTGGTGTTTCATCAAGAACACGGACAAACCAGTGGGATAAGATGCAGAACATCCCGCCTTGAGAGTCAAGGCCAGGAGCTTGAAGTGCCATGAAGTGCTTACCAATAATCCTCGGATCGGTACCGGACCGGCATTTCAGTTTGGGACAGCTCCGCCGGATGTTCCGTCTTTCTATGGCGTGGTTCATTGATGCTTCCCGAAATGATTCAGTTTGGTTCGCAAGATCCATTACTGAGACTGCACGTGTCGAATGTAGTGCCTCAATTGTGATTCTTCAAAAGCCTCATGGTCCCGACATCTTACGGAAGAGTAGCGAGCCAAGGCTGTTCAACGCCTACAAGTCATGAATGACAAGGTTGCAGAGGTGCTGCCGGTTGCAGCAGCCAAGTTCCGAGCGATAACCCCATTGGGCGACCGCTTGACTTCTTTCTCAAGCTGGGTGGTCATTTGCGGTGCACTCGTCCTCCTGATTCTCTGGCTGTCCGATAGCACAGATGTACCTTTCATTGAACATCTACCGTCCATTCCCGGCCCTCCGATGGTGGGAAACCTCGTCCAGCTGGGCACTGAACAGCCACGACGTTTGGCAGAGTTGTCAAAGAAGTATGGACCCGTTTTCCAAATTAGGTTGGGAAATAAGGTAAGTCCTCTCATATAGTGAATAAAGGCGTGGCGATTGACCTGGTTCCAGCGATTCGTTGTTGCAAACAGCTTCGAGTCTATCAAGCAACTCTGGATCAACAACCAGTCTAGTCTGATATCTCGGCCTACGTTGCACACATTTCATAACGTTCTTTCATCTTCGCAAGGCTTCACCATCGGCACCTCGCCATGGGACGAGTCCTGTAAGCGACGACGGAAAGCCGCCGCCACTGCATTGAATCGACCAGCCGTTGTCTCCTACATGCCTTTTGTCGACTTGGAATCCCATGTCAGTATCAAGGAGCTTGTGCAGCAACTGGGTAACAGTGACGCACAAGTGGACCTTGACCCTTATCCGTTGTTTCAACGACTCGCCCTGAACCTCAGCTTGACTCTTGGGTATGGATTTCGCATCGACGGCTCCGTTAACAACGAGCTCTTGCGCGAGATCATCAACGTGGAACGCGGAATCAGCACCCTCCGGAGCACAAGCAACAACTGGCAGGACTTTGTACCTTTGTTGAGAATTTTTCCCAGAAGAACGAACGAAGCATCCGATCTTCGGCACCGGCGAGATGTTTACCTCGAATACCTGTTGCAGAAACTCAAGGACAGGATAGCAATGGGAACTCATGTATCTTGCATCACAGGCAACATTCTGCAAGATCCCGAGTGCAAGCTCACCCATGGTAAGGAATTCTTCGCAACAAAATACCTATCCTCTCAAACATCTGTTGACCATCTGATGTAGCGGAAATAAAATCAATTTGCGTGACTATGATCGCAGGGGGTCTCAACACGATGCCTGCTTGTATCTTACTCGGTATTGGCATTCTTTCAGGCCCTCAGGGTGCTTCGCTTCAGAAAAGACTCCTCAACGACATTCACAAGATATACCCAGACGGAAATGCCTGGGAAAAGTGCTTGGAGGACGAGAAGTGCGAGTACATGAAAGCCTTTTGCGAAGAGGTGCTCCGCTTCTAGACCGTCATCCTATGTCTCTGCCACGCGTAAGCGTCAAAGACGTCGTGTGGCAAGGTGCGACCATTCCTGCTGGCACTACATTCCTTATGGTAAGTGGTGATCGATATACTACTAGAGTTTCCGTGATGTGCTGACGGGCGTTTGTATTAATAAGAACGCCTGGGCGGCAGACTTTGATCCTGGCCATTTCAAGTCTCCCCAAGAATTCAGCCCAGAGCGATTCCTGGACATCCCAGAAGGATTAGGGACGCAATACTTTGCCTTTGGAGCGGGCTCGCGCATGTGTACCGGCTCGCACTTGGCGTACAGGGAGATGTACATCACGTTCGTACGCATGCTCATTGCATTCGAAGTGTTGCCTGCCGCGGATACATCGCAAAGACCAATCTTGACGGGTCCTCTCGAGTGCAACGCCAACCCATCGGGATTGTCCACTGAGCCAAAGGCCTTCAAGATCGGCTTTCGCGTGCGCGACAAAGCTTGTCTTAAGAAGTGGTTCGAGCAAACCGACACCACCACAAAACATATCGAAAGATAGTTTATTAATCCATGTAAGACCATTCCGATGTTGTTTGTACACCCCACGTTCTCAGTCGGAGCTGATTTGCTCGGACCAGATCAGTCCGGATGTCTAAACATCAGGGTGGCCAGTCGCCCGTCGGCCCACGCCCAGAGGCTCTAGACGGGCGGGCGGGCGGGCGGCTAATTCGAAGTGCTCCCGGCGGGTGGGCAGCTAAGGCATATCCGGCGGGCGGGCGCGCCTAGCTTATTAATAGAGTTTTAGCCCTTTTAAGCCTATTTTAAAGATAGATCTACCTAAATCTTATCTTATCTTATTTTATCTTAAGATCTAACATGAGAAATCTATGATTCTCTTAGGCGACTCGCCCACTAGACCGCCGGCTATATCTGGGCGGGCGGGTAGTATCTTGCCTTTTGGGCGGGCGGGTGAGGGCGGACCGCCCGGCGGACGACTGGCCACCTTGCTAGACATCCTCTCTCGAAGTAGATAGGCTCCACCCTTCCAGGATTAAGCTTGGCTACCTGGGGCAATTACAGTTCAGCACGGAAGGCGTCTTAGGCGTCTAGACCTGCAAGCAATTCATTCGGCCTCGCGGCATCAAAATTTGATTCCTCTACGTTGGGTGGCTAGGGCGGGACAATCACAATTCTCCATGATTCTCGGTCAATGCCTTCGGACGATGTGCCAGCACTCTCCCTTCATTTGCAATGACGAAAAAGACCAGCTCTAGCTTGAAGTTCTGTCCTTCAGGTATCTAACCATGACGGTTTGGGTGCTGGTAGGATTGTTCCAGAACACTCACCAAATCCTACCAGCTCCGAATTGTCGCCACCACACCATCCTCGAATGGTAACACGATCTCCATCCTCCAAGAAAGTACGCTTAATCGTGGAGGATACGTCATAGCTCCGTTTGCCCCCATTGGAAGCCTCGAGCAAGGAGGCCAGAGTCCCAGGTTCTGTGCCACTGATTGTCCCTGACCCGATTAGATCACCCACTTCTAGAGGGCAACCTCCTATTGTGTGGTGAGCGATCATCTGTGCGAAGGAATACACGAGATTGCGGGACAAAGTTGCCGTGTCACCATTGGTTGCTTGAGTGAGCTCTTGTCAGCATCGGAATCCCAATAAAGGGCGGGCACCCGCTCAAATTACTTGTCATCTCGACTTCCAGATCGATGTCATAGACATTCTCCCCCCGCGCTTCCTGCAGATATGGATGCAGCTTCGTATCATTTAATACTCCGGGAGCATGAAACGGTTCCAGAGCGTCTTTCAGCACAACCCAAGGGCTGATGGTCGTTGCAAAAGTTTTGGCATTGAAAGAGCCCAAGGGGACCGCCTCCCAGGCTTGTGTGTCCCGAGCCGACCAGTCGTTCAGCAGGACACAGCCAAAGATGTGTCTTTCGGCTTCATTTACATTGATGGGCTTGCCGAGCTTGTTGCCCTTGCACAGCAGCGCCCCCAACTCGAGCTCAATGTCAAGCCGGCGACAAGGCCCGAAGCTTGACTCGGTTGTAGACGGGGTGTCCAAGAATTGTCCCAGAGGTCGGCATACATCCGTGCCGGAAAGCACGACCGATGAAGCTCGTGAGTTATAGGCCACCGGCAGATGGAGATAGTTGGGTTGCAAGGCCTTTGCAGGACCCCTGAATATGCAGCCACAGTTGTACGCGTGGTTTTTGCCGGCGAAGAAATCGGTGTACCCTCCAATCTTCATGGGCAGGTGCATTGTGACTTGATCTCTCCGAAAGAGACTCGCGCGTCGGGTTTCGATATTGCCTCTCAGGACACCAGGGAATGGTCTTTCCTTTGCAAAGATATTTTGCAAGTACTTGCGCACCTTGGCGTGAACATCCTGGCCAAGTGCGGCGAAATCGTTCAGCGTAGGCTGTGAGAAGGTTGCGATATGGGCAGAAGCGAAGTCTTCCACGAAACCTTGGTGGCGCGCAAACTCATGTAGGTCCAGGACATGGTCTCCGATAGCGACTGCCGCATGCTTCTCGGCTGAAGGTGAAGTTGTAATGATTCTAAATGGTATGTTTGCTAGCGAAAAGTGCGACCCCTTGGGTATATCCAGCCAACTGCCATGAGTCGCCATGATTCTTTGTTGAATGCTATCTCTGAACGTCCATGTTGCCACGTATTGGCTTTTAAGACATGATGCCGAGCTTGTATCCATACTGTTTGATGAGACTGTTAGTTGGCATTACTGTGTTCAATAACCTTTCAGCTCAGAAAAACGCCATTGACCGTTGGGAGAGATACTGCGACGGGTTTTCCGGCGGATGTTCTCTGCGACAACACAATGATCAAGCTCAGCAAATGGTCTGTGTGGACTCTTGCAGTACGTTCAGCAGAATAGCAAAAAGGCAGATCTACCTTCTGCTGAGTTTGTGCCACAGCACAGGAGCATCGCTGTTTAAGGCTCTTGATCAGTAGTCAGGATGCCCCTCACAAATTTCGAGACACCGAAGAGATATTCGTACCAGACTGGTTTCCTTGCCAATCTAGAGTAGATGATGTTTAATTTGGTATTATTGATGCACAGCAAGGCTAACTCTCCTGGGCCAGAACGGAGGCTATCCCAGGAGCCTTGCCAATCGGACAGAACTCACCTCAAAAATGTCCGTACGGTCTTTACGCTGAGAAGATCTCAGGCACTTCATTTACGGCGCCACGGTGGGAGAATCAACAGACATGGGTGTATCGCATCATTCCATCAGCATCTCACGCTGCGTTCGAGGCCGTGCCTTGTGACAACAGTCTGGAAGCAAAGTTCAATTACATTCCTGATCAGCTCCGATGGGATCCTTTTGATGTCAACACGGATGTTGACTGGATCCGAGGCTTGAACATGGTCGCCGGGGCGGGTGATCCTGCTCTTAAGAACGGCGTCGCTTACTATATCTACGGCGCCACCCGGTCAATGGCTGAGAAGACTGCATTCTACAATTCCGACGGCGACATGCTCATTGTGCCGCAGCTGGGCGCGCTTGATATCTGGACGGAAATGGGTCGGCTACTCGTTCGACCCAACGAAATCTGTGTCTTACCTCGTGGTATCAGATACCGAGTCGATCTCGTGGACAACCAGCCGATCAGGGGGTTCGTACTGGAGATCTACAATGGACACTTCCAGCTTCCCGAACTTGGACCCATAGGTTCGAACTGCTTAGCAAACGCCCGAGATTTCCAGATACCTGTCGCGGTATACACCTATGATACCAAGTCGACCTGGACGGTATACACCAAATTCCGAGGCCGACTCTTCTGTACCAGCCAAACTCATACGCCGTTTGATGTTGTCGCTTGGGAAGGGAGATATTACCCATATAAGTACGATCTGGGTCGCTTCAACACCATCGAGACCATCTCGTATGATCACCCGGACCCGTCACTGAATACTGTTCTCACCGCGACGTCCAACGCCCATCCCGGGACCGCCATCGCCGACTTTGTCATTTTCCCGCCTCGTTGGCTCGTGGCTGAAGATACCTTTCGGCCTCCGTCTTACCACCGCAACTGCATGAGCGAGTTCATGGGCCTGATCCAAGGTTCTTATATCGCCAAGGGAGGCGGTAAAGGCGGCTTTCAGGCAGCTGGGGCCAGCCTGCACAATTGCATGAGCAGCCATGGCCCAGACTCTGCAGCGTTTGACAAAGCCTCCAACGAGGAGCTTGTACCTGTCAAGGCGAGCGTGGGGAGCATGGCGTTCATGTTCGAGAGCTGTTATATGGTTGGCATCACAGACTGGGGGTTGACAAAGTGTTCTAAATTGCAGCCAAAGTACTGCGAGGAAAGTTGGGGAGGACTTCGAGATTATTTCCAGCCGCCCAGGGCGGCAGCGAATGGCGAGAATGGAGTGCATTAGGCGCTGCGTACTGCAGCATCCCAGAGAGGGCGATGATGCTCAGTGTTGCTGGCTTGCACAAAATCGAAGAATAACAGGATCATGTGTCTGCGATAAGGCATATATGACAGGTCGTACGTTGTTACATACCCCCTTCTGTCTGTTTGAAACGTCAAGCAACCAAACGAGGACGCTCCATTGCTGGGCAGACATCGAATTACACTACCCTGTGCGATATAGCGATGTCATCGTACGAGATATTTATGGTGTAGGTGAGATGTGATGTGGCGCAGGCGAGAACAGAAATTACTTGGGCCTAGTTAGGCCCGGCAGGGGCCAATGAGGGATGCTTGTACAGAGGCCTGAAAAGTCGATCAGTGTGCCACTCTAGGCGACTGTGGGAGTGATAGTACTAAGCACCGAGCTTACGTAATAGGTAGGCCGAGCCCGAGGCGCATTTTGTGACGTTTAGGTACTTCTTAACTAGCTTCACAACCTCCCTGGAAACTCAACTCTCCCTCCACACTATTCTGTTCCAGCCTTATGTGTACATGCCGCTCCGCTCCTTCCCATTCAAGTAACAATGTTGGCATGATCTTCCGTCGTTTGCTGACCCAATCTCTCGAAGCCCATAATTACCAGGCCACACCCTCACGTTGACCTACGACTCGAAGTTATTATACCCACGCGATGCAAGAAGCTGGGAGACCAAAACGCCCAAGAGCACTTCAGGCGTGTGACGTGTGCCGCGCCAGAAAGAACCGCTGTAGCGAAGACCGACCATGCACTTATTGCGTTGGTGAGCTGTGTGTGCGGTATCTGGACCAATTCCATGTGGCTTACCCAAGATCGCACAGAGCATGACTTGGAGTGTACATATTCGCGCGGTTACCGTGATAAAAGACAAAGACCACAGCAAGTGCACCCTGATTCAGATTATGTTGCCCGGCTGACCTCACTGTAAAATGCCAATTTCACAGTTTGAACAACATGTTACAAGCATCAATTCTCCACGCTTCACTCAAGGGCCCATATCGGGCACCATCGACTTCTTGCCGAACAATGTCAATCAGACGGCGACCCTCGACGAGCGTCCTGTTCAACAGTCACGCTCTATTGCTGTTGGTCAAACCCAGCAGCAAGGCGCGGCATCTGTTCCATCGACCATGGACGAGAACAGCTGCACCCCATCTACAATCACACGTCGAAACACTGCGTCTGACGTGATGGATACCAACCTGCACACAAGCAACCTAGAATTCTATGGGTCGGCCTCATCGGTCGCATTTCTCCGCCATGTGGAAACGTTATCGAATTGTCGGACCACGGGTCCTTTAGCTGGACCACCGGAACGATCGTTGGCTTCACTTTTGCACAACACTGATTTCCAACCCGACATGTCGCACAGCATGCCTGTGGCACCACGAGAGGCGGACCTGAACCCTGACCGCTTTCATTTCCGCGTAGCAAGGCGATTCCTCGATGCTTACTTCTCCAATATCCACCACATCCAGCCTTTGTTCGAAGAAGAGGTGTTTCTCGCTCGCTGCGAAGATCTGTGGTTCAACAGACCAGGCAAACAGCCTTTGTCCTTTGTCGCTCTTTACTATGCCACTTTGAGTTTGGGCAGCCTCGTCATGACGTTCGAAAACCCCGAAATATATGGAGCAGATCGATTCACGTGGAGTCGCAAGCTGTTCAACGACGCACTTGCTGTCGTGATACGACTTGGCACAGCAACAGATGCAGAAATGGTCCAGTGTTTTTACATGATGGTAAGCTAGTATCCCAGCTGAGAAACCGCACCGGCTCTAAGCACTAACGACACTAATTGCCTGAAGAGCAAAATATGCCAGCACGAGCTCAATCCTCACGGTATGCCGAGCTTGACCTTGCTCCTTGTGTTGTCCTCTCTCACACCTCTCTTTAGTCGCATACCTATATTCCGGCCAAGCGGCAAGAACCTCGTTGGCAATCGGGATCAACCGGAGCCCCATCAGTCTAGATGCAGCTGACCCGCGGGCTTCAACGGCAGCATCAAAAACGTGGTGGTAGGATATCCCGAGTCTTTGCTCTTTCATGACCACGTTGCTAAAGCTGAGTAGGGCTGTTTACTGCCTTGACATGTATGGTGAGAGTCAATTTCAAAGTAAAGCACAGCACTGAGAAACGCATAGACAGACCAGCTTTGCTCTGGGAAGACCCGATAGCCTCGGTCCTGATCAATACCACACACAATATCTTCCCACGGCAACTTCAGGAGCATCAATTTCGAGTCCTCACGTTCTGCAGATTGTTCCATGCATGGTTGGCCTGTCGCGGATTATGCGAAAAGTGGCGCTCGATTTGTACACCCAGCCGTGCGAAATGGAACAACAGCTCCACCGAGCGAAAGCACTCGACGCTCAGTTGGAGCATTGGCTCGAACAAGTTCCCTCACATCTTCGGTCTGAGCACCAGAGTGGCTCGGATCTTTGCTTGAAACCGCGGCGCCTCGCCAGCTACACCAAGAAGCAGTCAGTCGTGTTACGACTTCGTAAGCATTGGGAACAACTCCACTTCGAACCCAGTTGATTCTGACCACGCTCCAGGCTACCTCAACCTTCGCATGGTAATTCATGCCGTGTTCATGATTGATGCGAAAACAGCCAGGTCAGAGGAGGCCGCGTTCCTTCGAGAATGCCAGTGCCGGTGTATTCAATCTGCAGAAGGTGCAATCGATTTGATGTATTCAACATTTTGCACAGACGACTACTTCCAGACCTGGTATGTGTCCTGTGCCATCGAGCACTCCAATGACGAAAAGCAAATTCCTTACAACGTTCAACTGACCCTTGGTAAACTTTTTTTAGGTGGTACAACTCGACGTATACCTTGTTTGCCGTCAGCATACTGCTCGCCGTGGTCTTTCGTCAGCTTGCGAGAACTCAGCAAGCACTCAAGAATCTTTTCGCCCACATTGACCGTGCGATTGTGGTACTTGAAGCTATGGATGACTGTTTAGTCGCCAGAAATGCGGCAGCCATCATCAAGCGAACACTCGCTCGAGCCAGAAAAGTACCCCAGCCGGCCTTGGTTGCACAACAGTCCTCATCGTCCCAGGATGCGGACCTCAATGGCGCGCTACGTCCTCCCGTCAACGCGGAGCACCAAACAGAATCTGACAATGTTGACATACTGTTACAGTCTCATGCGATGGACGGTGATGATCTTGGTGAGAATGTGGGCGACCTTGATTGGCTTAGCACCTATCCTTTTGATGACACCCAGCAGGCTTTATTCTGGACAGAGTGGGCTCATGAGATCGACACTCTTGGAACATAGTATATAGCATCATTTGGTACATGTTCTCGACTATCATCTAGAAGACATGGTCTAATCTACCTAGTGGACAGTTTTTGTCCTTCTGAATCCACCGTCCACCGTTTAGCCCACAGTTCAATGCTGCCTGATCCCTTACCTAGCAGAATCCCCAGAGGCCAGGGACAGCACAATCGAGGAAGGATACTCGGGCCCGGTGTGGACGACATGCTTGCCACGGTTGAGATTTCTGGGGACACGATCCAATGCAGGGAACTCTGGCAGCGTCACCTCATGACCCTTTATCTCTAGCCGGATGGACTCCCCAGGTCCGAAAATGAAGCCAGAGGGCCACAGTGGGATGTCGAGACAAACAATCTGACCCGGCGGGATCTTGTCCTCGCTGTCGTGAGGATGCCACGCTACAGCGGGAGCAAGCATCGCGGTCTGCTCCTTGGTGAGGGTCGGGTCAGCGCTCAGTTGCCGGTGAGAAGCTCGAAGTCTGCCATTGGGGCCCAAGTATTTGAAAATGTTCAGGTTTGGGACATCTTCGGCGGTGGTCCCTGCCGGGAGGGCCTCGAGAGGAATGTTCACCTGCACCAATGGCTGGCCGTCTGCATCGAGTTTTCGACAAATGACGTAGACGTCTAGATCATCGGTTTCAGCGCAGGACATGCACAATTTGACTTGGGAATAGCCAATCAGTTCGGTATAGGTGTTGAATTTGTGGACGAAGTGCGCGCCGTCGTCATCCCAGGAGTCGGATTGGTAGCTGATCGAAGAAGGCTCGCCGGGAGCACCGCCTTCGTTCATCGTTGCGGTCTTGCCATCCAAGAAGAATATTCGATGCTCGACGTAGCTGGGTGGGTATACGGACTCAGGCCTGTTCACAATACAGTCGCGGTTAAACCCGAGTAAGCTGTGCCGCACTTTAGGCGTCGACTCCCAGTCATTGGCCTTTTCGTAAAGGTATCGATCGAAGAATTTTTGCAGGTCATCGTTTGCCCATTTCTGGTACATATCATACCACTCCTGAGTGTGATGGATCCGTAGCCTATTCACTCAAGTCAGAAATGTTTGTTCAAGACTCATGAAGCTCGGACACAACGGACCACTTGTCTTTTGATGACGAGAACAGGAACCCCCTGATCGTGCCCTCGGTGTGCAGCATCGTCGAGAAGCTCGCCAAAGCGTAAACCGGAACGTCGATTTGAGCGAACTTCGCACTTTTATCGTCCCAGTACTGGTTCCAAAGTGGATATTGACGGGTCATAGCACCTGTATCTTCCTGCCGGTTCTTGCCTGTATAGGTTGAGAGGTTTTAGCAATTTGTACATGCTGCCAAAGGATATGAGTGTGTCACACCACAGTAGCCGCTACCGCGATAGTCAATAAAAGCATAGTTCGGGATGCCACCTCTGCCAAGCAGTTCACGATAATAGTCTGCAATGCCCTCCCAGGGAGCAATGGCCTTCAAATGAGGTGGTCGTTCCGCAGCAATAAACCTGCAAGACGAATTAGTTCTTGTCGGTCTGATAAGCCAGAAAATCAGTCTGCCGCTTGCACATACCACTGGGCGGCAGCAAGGTATGAGTTACCGGCAAAAGCAACGGCTCCGTTGCACCACTGCTGGGAAGCGATGCATTCGACGGCATCGTATCCGTCCCGGCCATCCTAGATCGCAGTACGTTGTTCAGCTTGATAAATCGTGCCAGGATATGTTCAGTTCTGGGCATGCTCACTTGCGTCCCTAGCATGAACATGTCTCCGTCAGAATCGAAGACGCCACGAGAATCCACGTTGACAGTCGCATAACCTCGAGGACACCATTCCGCCGGATCTAAAGCCTCGAATTTTTCGAGGTCACTGGTCCAATCTCTTGGTATTCCAGCCCGCCAGGGGACCCTATCAAGGCTCTGAAAGCCTGGAGGAAAGACTCAGCGTGTCAAGGGGCAGAAACGGTTGAGAGACGCACCATTGCCTTGCTTTCCATAAGGACTCCATGCCAATATGGCCGGGACAGGCTGATTGTCCGACGGCACAGGTCGAAAAACATCCGCCCAGATCGTAGCACCGTCTCGCAAAGGGATACGAAAATCTCTCTCAAAGATCAAGTCTTCATCCAATGCACGTCGTCCTTCTGCTTTCTGCCATCCTTTGGCGAGTACTTCTTTGGATGGACCAAATTGGTACCAACGCTTGCTGAAGTCACGATTTGCTTCTTTAAAGAGTACCTCGATGCCGCCGACATTAGTAGTCATGCTGTCACTGGTGAGACTTCTGGAGGTCCCTTTACCGGATATCACACACCGACAAGACTTCAGTTAATCTACAATTGGTCTAAATACTAGTACGTGAGACCTTCCACGAGCGACCACGGGCTTTTCCGGCCTGGCCTGGTCTGGCGCGGGCGTGGTCGGACCTGGAGACTCCCGACGATTTTTAAGCAAGCAGCCGCCGGGTTCCTTAGTGCCGCCGGAAGACCCGGCGGCCGCCTATTCCGGACAGATTAGTCTGGGCCCATTTTTGTCCCCACGGGGCTCTAAGCAACGAGCATCCAGAAGCGATAATTATTAGAGTTATTAATAGAATACTATCTTCTTCTCTCTAGAATTCTCATTGAGTATAACTTTGTACTAGATCTGTCACGGTCCAGGCCACGGTGAGGTGGCCTGGACGGCAAGAGCCAACTAAACGATAGGTATATAGTCGGTCGCATTAAGACAACGCGACTATCACTCAATTAATTATATATTTATAACTATTTAGAGATATATAGATCTAATCGTGATATATAGTAGCTAAAAAGTATACTATAGGATTCGACTATTTAATCGACTCTACTAGCTATTACTATATAGCGCTAAAAAGACTTCCGCACTATATTTAGTAAGCCGACTAAAGCGTTGCATTAACTCTACTAAACTAGCGCCTCTCACGATTGTACTAACCTAGTAGCACTCTCTATAGTTACACTAATAAGATACTAACTAGGTTCAATTCATTTCGATACTTACTAGCTACTATATAGTTCGCTATACTACTATCGCGACCTTAATTAACTAATAGTCTTAGGTCTTTCTCGATCTAACCTTATTTACTAGGCCCTATTTAAAAAGTAACTACGGTCTAACTTACTAATTAGAAATCAAGCTAGAGGCTAGATCCTTTCTTACTAGTAATACACTAAATCCATCTACCTTGCTACTAACTAACCTATACTCTCTCTCTTCTCTTTCTCTTTCTCTCTTCTCTTACTCCCTCTTAACTCCTACTTTTACTTCTATCTCCTTTAATACTTAAGGTATTACCTTATTATTATCTTAAGTTAACGGAACTCTATTATTCTAGTAAGCCTTTAAGCTAGCTACCTTAATAGAGATTCTCCTAGATCTACTTATAGCTACTATTAGGACTATATACTACATCCGAGCCTTTACGGAAGAGATTCTAAGCTATAAGTCTATTATTATAAAAGAAAAGGTTAATAAGCTCTAAGGCTTTATTATCAATTACTTTCCCTTCCCCCTAATATTCGATAAGGCTATCTAAGAATAGGCTAGAGGACTAAGCTACCTAATTAACTAGATAATTAGTATTAATAGTAAATACTTTATTAATCTTACCCTCTATTAGTTCTAAAGAGACACTTAATTTATTAAAGAGTTCTCTTTCTACCTAGGCTAGGAGTAAGATAACAAACTAACTTCTAGAGGAATACTAGAAAGACACTACCTAGTTAAAACTAATAGAACTCCTATAGCCTTAACTCTAGCCGTTCTAGCTACACTAGCGCCCCTAGGTTTCTAGCTAGATTATAGATTAGAAACCTCGCAACCTATTATTCTATCTAATACTACTATACTAGTAATAATAAACTTATCTCTACTCTCTACTATTTTATTATTAAGAGCCTTCGAAGAACCGTTCGCATCTAGAAAAGACTTTAAGCGTAAGTATTAGCTAATTAATAAGGACGCCTTCTAAGCCCTAAGAGAACCCCTTCCTCTATTAAAGTTATTACTAGAGGACCGATTAGTTTAGGACAACGCCCTAACTATTACTTAAGCCTTATATAAGGGCCTATAAAGGACTGAGAGTTAGAATCAACCTATATACTAATATATAGCACCTTTAATAATATAAGAGACGATAGTTCCACCTTATTATTCCTCTCCTACTAAGTCTATTCTAAGAGAAGAAGGACCTAACTACAACGTCCCTCTAGTAAAGAATCTACTATTAGCTTTTACCTCTTAGTAGACCTAGGCTATATAGCTACTCTTATAGTAAGTAATTAACTCTACCTAAGAGTCTATTAACTAGAAATAGCTAGAGAGGAATCGACGTATAAGGGAGACTAAAGTAGGGCTTAGTACCCTAGCCGAACCACTAATAGCTCCAACTCCTTTAGACTAGCTCTTTAAAAGGCTAAGACGTACTTAGAAAGAACTATACTATTAACCCTACCTAACACCTAATATAGAAAAAGCGGAAGAAGACTACTAACCTTAATAATATTTCTTCTCTAAAGATATCGGCTTCTTTAATCTAGACCTAGATACTAAGAAGTTTTCTAGAGGAGATTTTATTAATAAGAATAGAAAGATCTACTATTAAAGTATCCACCCCTTTATTAATATAGTAAAGAACGCTCGCATCTTCTATTTAGCTAAAGTAATTTATATAAACCTCTATAAGTGCTTACGTGGCTCCACCTAATAATAATATATTAACTAACTCTCCCTAATATAGTATAAGTACCTAACTAACGGTAATAGAATTAAATACTAGATTAAATACTTAACTAATAAGTATAAGAAGCACTCTACCGCGGCTTAGAACGCTTTAGAGAATAAACGCTATATACTCTAAAATATCCAGAATAGCCGCCCGATTACCGAATTCGTCCTATTAATAATTCATAATTTAAGGAATAGAGGTATTAAGACTATTAAAGAATAACTAGTTTAAGTCTAAAACTATATTAACCTAGTACTTAGGCTTACCCTCTAATAGCCCGGACCGTTAACTACTATAGAAGACTTAATCGATTAGCTTAAATAAAAAAAGAAGACCTAGAAAGATATCTACTAATAGTAGTCTTAGTATAATAAGGAAAGGAACTTAAGTAAGAATAAACTAAATAGATATAAGGGGAACGATTAAGGCTAGGGTAAGAGTTTTAGTTAACACTCTAACCCTTCCACTTAATATAATTACTCCTAAAAATCTAACCCCCTATAGTAATAACTACTAAGCGTAAGTAAGAGGTACGTGACAATAATAAAGCGCCTATATATTACTTTAAGAAATAAGCTAAGGTAAAGCGGCTAAGCAACCTAATCCTCTAGCTATTCTAATAAGCTATAAGGTAATCACTAGTCGAATAAGCTAAGGAACGATTTAAATAAGAACACTAGTAGGAACTATAGGAAGTCTATAGGGACCTACTATATTAATACGAATCTAGCCGAGAACGTGAAGTATTCCTCTAATTAGGAAAAAACCTTAGTCTAAAATATAAAGGACTAGAATAATAACTCTCTCTCCGACGTAATTACTAGGAAAAATAGATTTAAGTTAGAAGGAGCCTTTATAGATTTTATTGAATTCTACTAACTACCGCTAGTAGTTACATTAAAGCTAATACTAATCCTACCCGCGCTAATAACGTCTAAGATACCTCTTATCTATAAATATCTCACCTATAGTTCTATCTTTAACTCCGGGAATAAGCTGCACTAGTATATTTATCTAGTCTATAAAAAGTAAAACTACTAACCCTCTATTTAGCTACTAGAGATACTAATATTCTAGGTCTAGATAGACTTACCGCTACTAGTTATTAAATTAATAGCCCCTCTATTTACTACTAAACCCGGCTAAAGCTTCTAGTAGTATAAATATATAATAATTAAAGGCCGCCTTACGCTAGAAGCGGCGGACAAAGACTACTATATTAATATATGCTACCTACTTGCAGCTATAGATAGAAGGCATCTAAAGGATATTACCCTAACCGCCCTAATTGCTAAACTAGAGAATTCTACTAGAATTTAAGGAGTTAGAGGCGATATAATATCTTACTATAAAATTATAGTTATTAATATCTAGTTTCTAGTAAAGCTAGACGGCTAGAGTATACTTATTAAAACTAGTCGTAAGTGCTATATTATAAATAACCTCGCTCCTAAAATATTAATCGGGATAGATATTATCGACTAAAAGAAAATAAATATTAATATCTATAAAAGGTCTATTACGTTTAGTATCGTATAGAGCGTGGAGGCCTATATATAAGTAACTCCTAAGACGCCTAAGGTTAACGCGATAGTAAGATATACTAAGAGATTAACTATTTTAGTAAAATTAAGAGTAAGCGTCTAGATTACCTATACTACCAACCTACTCTCTAGAATAGAGTATCTCTTTAACCTATAAGTATTAAGTAATTAGTAAGCCTTTCTTTAGATAGGGGGAAGTATCTATATCTATATTACGAATAATAGATTCACGCATATTATAATTCAAAATAATAGGCACCGCCCTATTATAGTATATAAGCACATGCGCCTAGGCTTCCTAACTAATAGTAAGCCTAAAGAATACTACGTATTAGAAGTATTAGAATATAGCCTAGTAACTATTAATCTAGAGAACGTGACGCTACCTCTAGATTATCTACTAGTTAAAAAAAGCGCTCTAGAAATAACTCTAAATAATAGAATTATAATCTATAGAAATCTAGAGGCCGTTAAATGTCTCTTAGAAGTAGTAACTAGATACTCTAACCTCTAGGTCGATAAAAGTGTAACTATTAATATCCCTAAGAACTAAAGAATAAGAATTCCCCTTATAAAGAGATAGTAGAAGACTAATCTACTAATAAAGCTGTATCCGCTTTCTATAAAGAACCGAGCGGTAGTAGATAAAACATTTAATAAGCTCCACTATTAAGGAAAAATAGATTAGTTAAAGTAATTAAATCTAATAGGCTTTCTAGTCTTTATAGTATAGCGCTTAATTCCGATAAAGAATAGTACTATATAATAAAAATTAAGGGCTGTTATTAATATCTAAGGCCTTAATACTATCTCCGTTAAAGATAGTTACCTAGTACCCTTATAAGCCGACCTTATCTTATTACTTAAGGGTTACTCCTATATCTTAACCGTTAACGCGGTAAGCTTTTTCTATTAGTAGCTAGTAGTAGAGTCCAATAAATAGAAATTCGTAATTAATAGTTATAGGGGATAAG